GAAAATGTATTAAATTAAAGATTAGTAGAGAAGATGATTTTAATAATAGTGAATTAGTAAAAATAGTATTTACTCTGATAGGGGTTATTAGTAAGAATACGTATACAAAGGATAGAAAAATGATACTTTCTTATAATATATACGATACTGAGTTACTATGCTATTATACTGAGTGCTAGAAATATTCTTACTGCTGAGGCGTAGCTAGTGGTGTAGGTAGGAGAGTGGCGCTGTTTCCCCACTACACTATATAGTTATATTTTTCTAATATAATAAGCGCTAGCTTATAGTAGTAGATAGTATTATCCTTATCTTTCTTTTTATTCTAATATTCATATATAAAACTATATAATATAGTATATATAATATACTTCTAGAGAGTTCTCTATAAATTGTTTTTAGAGAATATATTTTAGATAGTAAAGAAATTTAAAAGAAATTATAATAAAGTAAGAGAAAGATTTTAGAGCTTTATATTTATATCTTTTTCTTAAGATTAGTATAGGTTTAGAGTGAGTTAGCTTCTATTACCTCAAGGGTGAGAATTGTCACTCCGTTCTTACCTCTCTTATCCCAGTCTCGAGACTTCTCACCCATATCACCCGCACTCATCCTAGAGTGTTGCTAAGGTGCTAAAGGCACGTTGACTATTGACTGTGCAGAATACGTGGCTTATACGCAGTCAATAGTCAGGTGGGTGTCGCCTGAGTGAGAAATGGGTGAGCGCCGCTTTACGGTTGTGTGACTAGGGGTGACAAGGGTAAGTGTATTATAGACAGGGTAAGAATTGGGGTGAGAATCATCCGAGTCACGCAACCACCGAATTGACCCCCTCTAGCTGAACAAAAGCAGAATATCATTGGACTGTGTTGTTTCCTTTGAAATACTCGGAATCTTGGTATCTGCATATAACTAGAAATGGATACCACTAACTAAGTAATAGGCGAGTTAGGTATACTAATTATATATATAATCAGTGAAGCTACTAAGAAAGCTATTACTAGATCGAGCTAAATGTTACGGACCTACCCGTCACCAATCGTTGCGGAGACCGTAACTTACTGATGGGCCACCGAGGGCCAACTATCTTATCTGGTATTAAGATCACATGCAACATCCTATACCCTAGACACCCCCAGGTATTCGGGAAAAGAGAAACTACGATTATGCTTAGAGATCAAGAGCATAATCTGCCTTAAAACCTCCACTGGATTTCAGTCCCCGAAACTCCCAGCGCTCATGATTCTGCGGAACCCACGACCTTGACAAGAGCTCTGGACGTACCTTCCTTCGGATACCCGACACCAAAATCACCTAGCAGCCTATCACATAATCAAGAACACTTCATACCTAGATTTCTAATGCTCAGGCATTTCCATGTATGATGACGTAGCATCAATCTTCCCAGTGGAAGCTTTTCATATGCTAGATTACACCAAGAAGAATGTGGCGGTACAGGTAGTGCAGTCAATTGGTTCTTGATCCGATCGCGGGAGGTTGCTCTTTTCAAATAAAAGATTTGCAAAACCTGGAGAGTAAATATTAATCAGCTAATACATTGTATGGTCAGCATTTTGGATAATAGGTTGCCCGCCTCAAGGCGGCTACCTGTCTCTATCATTGCTATATTGCCCGCTGGACTTGACTGACCACTCGTAAAAAATTTGCTATCTGTTGCGTTTCTCATTCGCCATGACGATGTCTTCTCTCCTCTTCCTCCCTTCCCTATCACTTCCAGGTAACCACTTATATTCACTTGAATTTTTCAAAATCTCAAGCCCTTCAATGGTTTCATCCGGACAATCGGGATTTTCGTGTTTCCGCAAAATGTACAACAGTTCAGTAGCACGCATGAACTTGATGTGTTCCAGAATTGACAATTCTTCCTCAACGTTTTGGCCCAAGGAAACCGGTACACTTTCGCTTGTGTCCGCACCATGTTCTAGACAGAGCTTCACCGCAGGACCCGAATTAGCGCTGATGGCATATCGGATAGCGGTCCACCCTGCATTGTCTTTGATATTAGGATCTGCTCCTTTGCTCAAAAGCGCGGCCATTCGAGGCAAATTCCCACTTCTAGACGCTAGGTGTAATGGTGTCACACCATCGTTATTCTTCGCATTTACTGCAGCTCCATATTGCAATAACAATCGCACTGCCTCATGGCTGCCCCGTTCATCCGGTTTAGGTTGACGGTTAAAGAATTTGAGACCATCAATCTCTGTATAATAACCTTTCAGGAAAACCTTCGACATCTTCGCCAAATCCCTCAAGTCAAACTGGGTTACTCGATGCCGAAGTGTCGGGTGATAAAATGGCATAGGATCGAGACGATGTTCGTGTCCCAATGGGCCCTTCAGATCTTTGGTGTAAGAAGCAGCATGTAATGGCGTGTTTCCAAAATTGTCAAGAATATTGCCATGCATCTCAATACCAACAAGCGACTCTATTGCATGGAGATTTGACACTTCCGCTGCTAGGTGGAGCAGTGACTTTCCGGATATTGTTTTTGTTAGGAGAGACGCTCCTTTCCCGATGAGATATCTCAGAACTGCACGAATGTTCCAATTGTCATGAACCTCCCCCCATACAACAGCATGCAATGGTGTTTCGCCCTGAGCATCCAATGTCATGAAGTTTCCACCCATCTCAAACGCACTCTGGACAACATCGATATTTCCCGAGCTGCAAGCGATATGAAATGGAGTTGTGCCTTCCACAAGAGAGTTTATTCCACCGTATTGGTTCACGAAAGTTTCAAATTGATCAATGTACCCCAGCTTCGCAGCAATATAGAGAAATGTTTGAGCCCACCCTTCATATTCGATAGAGTTATTTCCCAGTTGCGTCATTTGAAAAGCGGTGGACTCCGAAGCCCAACTCATAGTTTTTGCAAGCTCAAGGGACCCGAAAGATGCACCATTTCTGATAAAGGTATCAAGAAGGTCTCGTCCAGACCCAGTATGAAGCGTTAGGCGTAGTTGTTCCCCAAGCATTTTGGACCAGTCAACAGAGGAAGTCTGCTCTACTAATATGCTGAGCATTTCTGAATCGCCTTTTTCAACAGCACAGCGGATGAGAGTAGAGCCTTTACTCTGAATTTGATCTGATACCGTGGCGTCTTGTACCGATTTAGCCACTGACGAATAGTCATCTCGAGATACGGCTTTATGTAAAGCAATGAATGGATCCGCAGAGCCATATCGGAGTTTGTGCACCAAGGAATAGCGCCAATTCTTTTGCTTTGTGCTTTTTATGGTCGAGCCATTCGTATTTGGGCTATCATGAACCTGGCCCACACTAGGAACGAATGTTGCTGGGGGTATGCAGTGTGGAGAGCCTTCGTTGACTTGCTGCAAGTCTGCGCTATACGTGTAAAGAGAGACATTGTCCGCGCGAAGAGGCAAGTCTTGCACTTCATCTGGAAGGATCAATCTTCCTGATAAGGATGCATTTTCAAGCCAGTGAGCAATGAAGTGATGCTGCTCGCCGAGGATTTGAGGCGAGATTCCGGAGTTGACCAGCTCTCTTTCCAAATCGTGCCATTCGGCACCATCTTTCTTGAAGCTTGAGATCGTGGACCTAGAAAGTCGGCTTGACAAAGAGCGATCATCCCCTTCTCCCTCATTGATGAACTCTATAAGTCCGTCCAATCTCTCAACCAAGTCGTTCATGGACCGACTTTGCTCAGAGTCAGTAAACCATTCATTGTTGAAAATTCCTTCCTAGCCAGTCACATACCTTGCCAAGTGCTGATTCAACCCATTGATTTTTGAGGTGGTGCATCTAATTTGTGACTTGCAACTCTCAAGCCCGGAAGACTCCGGCATTTGTTGCATGAAATGTTTCCTTCCTATCTGAGAAACCCTTCCATGGGCTTCAATCATTGTCACCAGCCCTTCTAAAGTCTGACAGCAATCAAAAAGTTGATCTTCAATTTCTTGTCGACGATCTGTCGAGTAAGTGTCGCTCTTTACTTTTTCATTGAATATACGAAGTTCGACATGCAACTGAAGAACATCTTGCGCGACTTGAAGAAAGGCTGGCAAAGAGGTGCGCTGACATGAGCGATAGACTGTCCAGGCCAGATCGGGAAGCTGAGCAAGATCTGCGGGCAATGGATATATTAGTCCGTGAGCTCTTGGCTTCGAAAAGTTGATTGTCATACACATCTTTACGGACGGTCTGGGCCTGTCTTGTATATAGCGTATCGGTTTCAGAAGAATACTTGATATGTCGATACCACCATTGGCGATATTCTGGCCGTCTGAAATGGAAAGATGATCAGAAAAGCCCAAGGAGGTTAGAAAACTAGGTATGGTTCTGAGGGTAACAGAAATTCTCATATGGGAGGGTGGTTGAATGTATATCAGAGCCCACCAACCCTCGTTGTCCAGCGGATCCATGCTTACCGTGACCTTGCTTAAGCTTCAGTGAACCTACAAGCGCATCTGCACACAGCATTTGCAAATTTCGCTGCACTTTTCTATAATTATCCACATCAGATTGGACATCCAGGTTGAAACGACACATATTGCTATGGTCGGCATCTATGCGCAATTGTGTTTCCCGGTTTCCTGGAAGGTTCAAAACAGCTGAATTGAATGGAACAATCTAGAATACGAAAATTAGCCTCTGTCAGAGAAGATTGGGATGCTGGGCAGATACATCGCCTATCCCCTCGTAGCAGGATAGTATGTTATACGTTTCGAGCTGATGGCGAAAGGTCTCACTCAAAATGTCTGAAAAGAGGGTTCCTTGTTCTAGAACTTCTATCAAGGTTGAAGGAGCCCCGAATGGCAGAGATCGAGCAATCTTAGCACATGCCATGCCGAGGCCGACTTGGAGATTCTTTGACGGCCCACTATGAGGGGTTCCAAAGAACACAAGCGAGTTACTTATCAGCTATGTTTAGCTGATAATGTATGGTGGAAGGGGGGCACAGAATTGAACTTACGTTGCCTCTTTGATGCCCCTGTACTTTGGATTTGCCCACGCGTTCACCAGTGCCTACCATCTTGGTTAGAATACATCGTATATGGGAATTTCACTGATCTTACCTGCTTGATGAGAATTCCCCCAGACTGTGTCCGACAAGAATTAAGGGGATGTTTTCACCCTAAATTTGCGTTCAGTGAATTCATCTAGGAAAATGTGTCAACGTGCAACTCACAAGTTCCCATCTTGCTCCATGAATCTCATCTAAGAATTGATTTGCCTCGCGTACGAAGCTATCTTGTCCTGATCCAAATACGGGACTTGAGTTGTATTCATAGATGAAAATCCTCGCGTTAGGTTGAGCTTTCGGAAAATCGTGTTTCAACCAGAGGTTACCGCTGTCATCTTCCGGTTTCCGCCAAGTGTTGAAAGCGTGATTAGCAGATCCCAAGGGATTCAGACCATGGACAGCGATGATGCTAAATTCTGGTCAAAACAAGCAACTTCAAAAAATAGATTGGTAATTGTACTCAAGTTCTGGCTTCAGTGTACCATTTCGTCCTGTGCCTGGTGCCAACTCGCGGAGGGACTACATTTGTCAGCTGAATGAGAACCAAAAGAAGCCTGCTCAATGCAGTCTAATATTCATACCATGTTGAAATAGAGACTTGATCCAGGATCGCGGTGAAAATACTGCCTTGCAAAGTTCCAACAAAGGACGGACAAAACACAGAATAGCTTTCGCGAAAAATCCCGTTATCATGTGCGCGCACACTTCCCCTCATTGAATGCTTTCCGCCCCATCTCTTAGTATCTTTTTCGATTATACATCTATCCGATTGGTGCGTGACAAAAATACATTTTGGGAACCCCGTAGGTTTGGCCGATTTTCTCTATTCTAATGGCGAGCCTTCTCCCATCCCATTTCATAAACAGACACGGCACTCACGCAGCAACTGCGAAATGAACTATGCAGCTGGATAGGCTTCTATAATTCCCCACTTTGGTTGGTACGGGTCGGGCCCGGTTCCTGAGGGCCGACTTGCTGGGCCCGCGACAATCCGACGCAGATTGGTTAGTTCCAAGAAGGTGGGTCTGCTTGCAACCCTGCCTTATTGGTAGAAACCAAATTTTGGCTTGGATGCTTCGAAATCAGAAATGTTATCATCAAATGAAAAGTGATTAAACGCTGGTCTCTACGCCCTATGATTGGTCCTTGACACAATTTGTACCCTGCTGAGAGTATGCAGGCTTCTTCACCAACAAAATCGATAGTAAGTATTACATTGTATATCTATATACGCCAAACTACTTCCTTGAGATCAATTATAAGATGGTAGAAGACTTCCTCTATCCCAAGAAAGAATAATTTCCGTGCATCTGAATGATTTGAAGAATGGGATGGTCACCGGAGGCAATTATCGCACTCATTACTTTACTGATTACCGGCCCGCCACCACTTGTGCTACTCTGGATTCATTTTCAAGAACGCACGGAGTCTGCTCCATCTGGTAAGTTATATTTTTGGCCAGAAAAAGAGAAAGAGAAGAAAGAGAAGTTGCCTATATCTAATTCGACTGATTAGATCGAGAACAGTCTGTCACTCTTCTGTGGATGTCAGAAAGTGAATATTCTGGATACAATGAGCGCAATCTCGAAGATGGTCTTGTCGACTATCGCATTCCAGCTAGTAAGTGCTCATGGCCCAAAATTGAAGTTAATAGTTGGGCAACTGACAGAAACAAATGAATTCTGTAGAGAGGTTCGTCTGTCGAAGAGCCATTGCGGGAGTCCATGTGTCGTATAGGTCGGTTGGTAATCAATAACCTATCTCCACCACATGGAGGGAAATGATGGAACAAGCTTAAGGAGATGACAGTTTGCAGTAGTGAAAATATAGGATTATGTCCGAAGAAGACTTCACTCATACATGTCTCATGTCAATAGAGACGCACAATGAGATAGATTGGTTTGCAAAAGACGGCACGAGTGTAGTGTAGGCGGAATTTGATCTATCAATAGGCCTAAATCCGAGTACAATCCCTATGATCAGTTTATAATGCCATAATGATTTAGATTTATAATTGTCGTGGAATATGCTACAGAATCAAATCAGCGCCCCTAGCAATATATTATGCTTTTGATGAGGCACATTATATCTCCATTAGTTTGCAAGGGCGCTTAAATGTTTATTATGGAGATATCGATATTGTTATTTCAAAATAGACAATCATTGCGAAAGATGACCCGAAAAAAGGAAAAGGAAAAAAAAAATGCAATCAGATTTTATATGCAAAAGCTCATCAGGTATTAGGAGTCTTTGTAGCTCCTAAGGAAATTTTCTATCCCTATGTGACCTTCCCGTTCTGCGACAGATGCAGCATGGCTACAGACAAGTGCCAAATCTGGCCGGTCCCCATATGCATTCAACAGCAGCTGCAGTATATCTAGACGACCATGTTCAGCAGCTCCATCTATTGCTGTTCTGCCGGAGACAGCTGATGGCGCGGCAGCAACATCAGCACCGTCTTCCAACAGCCTTAGGACAAGGCTATAATACCGATAGAGTGTAGCTGCCTGAAACGCTGTAGCACCCCACTTTTTGCATGGAGGAGCATTGATATCGGCACCATGCTCAAGAAGTTGTGCGATTTCCACTTGCTTATATAATATTGCGACCTGCAACGGTGTCCCTGTCTCCTCTGTCGCCGGTATCTTCACTTCAGCCCCGTGTTCAAGCAGAAATTTGATGACATCAATGTCACTTGCTTCAATAGACTTTTGAAGTAATGTCTTCCGGGTGTCAGAGCAAGTCGCATTGGTATCAGCACCAGCCTGAACCAGCATTTTCACAAGTTCATAATTAGGCGGCCAGTCAGACTCCACGGTTACAAAGGTTAATGACCTTTTAATCGAATTCTGGTAGTGGTCCCCAGGAAGCTGTGACATCAAGTTGATAATAGTTTCAACAACATCGGCCGCATCGCCTAAAGCTGCAACCTCAAGTGCTGACTCCGTACCACAACCACGCGTAATATCGGCATTATTTTGCAGAAAGAGCTCGGTTGCTTTATTTGAGAGGCCTTCAGAGAGGGCCAGAATAAAAGCACTTGGTGCACATTCATTCATAAGTGGCAGCAGAAGAATTTGGATCAGCACCGTTTCGAAGCAATAATTCGATTACATCCTCATCCGATGATGGCAGTTAGGAGCTATCCAGATGGTATTGACACATGCACCATGTTCAATGAGTATCCTAACGACATCTTCATGGCCTCGAGCGGCAGCAGCTTGTAGTGCAGTCCCGTATTCCCGAATGGCCCAGTCCGGTTGTGCTTGACCATCTAAAAGAAGTCGAACAGCTTCCACCCCTCCATCAGAAGAAGCACTTATAAGCGGGAAGCCTCTTTCTTCGTCAGTGACAAAGGATTCTGCGTCTGCGCCGACTTCGAGGAGCAAAGAGAGAATCTTTGTATTGCTGGAAGACCAAATAGAGCCGTGACTCTGGTCGGTTGGAATCAAGGAAATTCTCGACACTTCAGGAGTTGCCCCTGAGGTACAAAGGAGCTCGACCATCCTCAAGTCTCGGCTTTCAACCGCAAGGGGGACCACAGTCTGTTGATTTCTCAAAAATGGACTTGAAACAAAACCTTTGACATCTATACCTCGACAGATGAGTTTGCGTACAAGATCTATCTGGCCAGCTTGCACGGCAGCGGGAAAGATCCTAGTTGCAAAAACGTCTACCGTCATGGAAGAGAGTTCGAGAATATTTGTGATCATCCAGGTGCAGTTGCTTGTCACTACCCAAGCAAAATTTTGTTGGTGTCGTGTAAAGTTACCAAATTGTTGGAGATGAGGTATATTAACAAGCTGAAAAGGCGATACAAGGATATACACTGTGTAGACTTTCCAAGGGTACCCGACAATGTAGTGAGCTCGACGTCGCTGTTGTCCACTGTATATCGTCTGAGAAATGCGGAAAGATCACTGACAGCGCTGACAGCGCTCACTTGGGGGATGTCCCGCATAAATGATAATTCAGAAAGGAAGGATACCGCGAATTCATGGATAATGTTCATGTCGCTTGACGAGTTTGTTATCAACTCGGTCTGGTTTGCCTCTAGGGAAGTCCGAGAAACTGCGATATCCAGTAACAAGCTTCGAGTGATGTCATTCTCAAAGGCCCAATCGTGCAAAGTTGGATTGAAAAGGTCCATCTGGTCAAAGAGCACATCATGAGCGGAATTCGTTGCTGCGTTGGGAATTTCAGCACTGCAAAAGTCGGTCGGCGAGGAGCTTAACAGCCTGAAATGTCCTTCGCCAATTGGGATGACTGGTAATTCAGAACTGTCACCCTGAGTTACCGACATATCTTGCGGCAATATCCCACGAGATTGAACCACATGCTTAAACAGGTTCCAGGGAATATTTTCAATCCGAAGGCTGCTTATAGAAACTAAAAGTGGCGGTGATTATTGAGGACTGCGGATCACCACGCCGTCTGGTGTAGGAGGATCACAACCTATTACAAAAAGTTTTCCCATATCAGACTCTCAGCGTACGAGTAATGACTAGGGTATCATGTGCAACAGAGACTCACTTGTTGATCTGAAGAGGGTGCTTGTAAAAGTGACATGTCATGCGATCTCCCTCCTGACCTTTTTAGGTGAACAAAGCTTCCCATTGAGAAGCAATTCGTTTTCTTTTCCTTGCAACGTTCTTTTCCGGCACTGGCTGTCAATAAACCCCCATTGACTATTTGTGCCATTTTTCTTGACTCACCATACTCTTGCTTGCTGCATTATATGAGTCTTCCTGGGGTGAACAGTTGACAAACAATCAGGTATACCTCGTCAGAAATTTGTGCTTCTCATGCATAAGTTGAATGACACGATCCAAGGTATTATTTCTGTATAGAGTTGTAATTTCCTCCTGATGTTTCCTCCACTCTTCATCCGAAATCCTGGTCGTTCTTAGGGTCATCAGGGAGGCTGGTGCAATAAAGGTTTCGAAAGAAAAGGCGAGGGAACCCAATTTTAGCTTAGCTACAAGATTAGTAGAATGCGGGGCTCTAAAGACCAAAAACCGAACCAGAGAGTGGATATCTACGGTTTAAATTTATTGTTGCGACTACTCTGAGCCTGGTTCCGGGTGAGCTTGCATTGAAGCTGAATCAATTGATTTGAGCCTTGTTGCCAAGGAGCGGCTTGTCAAATTATAATTGGCTAAAACCAAAATTTGTGGCATCCAGAAGTTTCAGATTGGACACAAGGCTAAATGCGACAATTCAGGGAACTGGCAAGGGTCGGGGCATAGCCAGGACACTGCCACAATTGGTGTGCGACCATCTGTAAAGCCCAAAAAGTGGAGAAAAGTACTACATGATACGTATAGAAATAGGGACATCCATTTGGGTGAAAGCGGGTGAGAATCACCCCAGGTCGTGGGTTACCGCCACACTAGCGCAGATACAGCGTTATTGGTTTACCTCGATATGTCTGAAACCGCGATCTCTTGGCACCTGCACTTGCCATCGAATCCCAACTCAGCATTGGCTCAATCAACAGCGAGGCTGACTTCAATGTCGCCTTGGGCCAAAGCAGTGCGTTTATTGTTCAGGAACCACAAACTTCGCGTGGAGATGAGCGTTGAATGTAGGCTCATTGCTTCCACCCAGTGGAGAATAAATGGTCGGCTTATGAAGTCAAACTATTTTTTTCGCCTAAGGGAAATTCTGAGGTCTAAGCGAGGAATATTGTGCCAATTGCATAAATTCAACCTCGCCGAGTATACGCAGATTTCCTAAGTCATGGTATCAGAAGCTGAGGTCGCACTCTATAAACCTTTACTCAGGACCCATATATTGTTCTGGTGGCACAATATGTGGGTCGGTGGCACCAGCTTTGCATAATCCAGGCCAATCTTTCATGACCTGCAGCAGGTGACACGACAATACTGCGTTGTTTTGTGCGGGTTCCGCGTCTCGCTGTTCCATGATCTTGAGGCCTGCATATATCCTTCAGCAATGTTTGACTCATTAGCAATAGGCCTTTTTTGGCTAAATGAGAGTGCGTCCATCTTTCAACTACCCCGAAGGGCGTCTAATTACGCGTTTCAGAACCAAGAAGAAAGTCGCAGAGCGATAGTTAAAAGCTCGCACCGGCTAAGTTAAATCGCTGGGTAAGCTCAGAACTGAGTGAAAGGAGTTAAGTCTGAGGGTAATTTCCTTCTCAGACAGATGAAGGAGCCTGGACAGAGAGAGAATAGAGAGAGGGCTCTCTATTGACAATCACACCAACAGTTTCATTGCATAAGCTGGCATCTCTTGATCTCCTTCTGTCCTTAAAGGAGTCGGTCCAATACAGGACGATATGTCGCGTTGAATTCAGACCCACCATTCTCATGTGCGAGGATTTTCGGCACCCGGGTCCCAGCGATAGTCTTCTATAAGATGGTAGGCTGTATCTGCGAAGATAGACAAGGGAACGGATAGCTTCACAAGACTCTTGAAATTCGCATCTCCGGGCCAATCGTCAAGCAAAGCATAACCATGAGATAAGTGTACACGAAAAGAGATGATGATATCGAAATATAGTGTGCAATTATCGAAAAGAAAAATGAGACGGGGAGAAAGAAGAAGAAGAAGAGGAAGAAGAAGATCTTCTTCTTCTTCTCACCAGATCGTCCCCCAGCTCACTATCTGCTATCTAACCCAGAGACTGCTGACCATCAGAGCACATCTGATCAAGTGCACTCCACGACATAATCTACCTAAGTGGCTGATAGACGGTGCTTCAGAATGAGAGATATATCATGGTATATTACTGGTGCAGATACTCCGTGAAGAATCCAATCCTTATACTCGCGGCTTCTGATCTTGGAAATTTCCCGAAGAACTGGCCAGTCCGTTCTACTCATCAGAAAGACTCGCAAAGAGACTGCTTGCGTGTTTTGTAGCTGCAGTAATAAATCGAAAAGGAGACGCACTTGACGGCAACTCCCTTACGGCCCTCACGGTATTAAGCATGCAGTAACAGGAAGTAAGAAAATGAACCACTTGATAGTATTGCTATGAAGGAGAATAGATACACATGAGCTCATCTTGGCTTCGCCCGGGGGCTACTAGTCACCGACCCTGCGTAGAAGGGTGAGCTCTTCGTCGGTGTTTTATAACTACGAGCTATCTAATCTATGTACGAGCCCAATCCTTCAGTCTCAGCAGCCTGAGCATCCGAGGCCTCGACCTAAGAGACGTCAGTAACTGGGGAAGGGGAATGACTCACCTGAATAATAATAAAAAATTCCCCTTCGCCGAATATAGTCGCAGTACCTAAAAATATTATTTGCTAACCATAGGGAGAATGGGAACTTACCAAAACTCCAGAACAAAGCTCCTCGCCAAAAATACTCTTCTCGGACCTATATACAATTAGCATAGCAAGTAGGGAGGGCTCACTCACCGATTCTCAAACTATTGCTCCCATCTCAATAATAAACTGCAGATCAGGCACTCTGACCCGAAGGCGATCCAGGGGGGAAGTCTAGCAACCTCCCTACCCGGTTTTCCTTATTAATCTTCTAAAGGAGATCAGCAAGCGCAGCATCTCTCAACGCTGCGCGGGCGGCCTACTACCATCGACCGAGAGCCTAGACAGCACGCTAGATCGCAATCACCTAGGTTATATGCACCGTCGCCGCAAGGAGTTTTTGATTAGTTAACACAAATACTATCTTCAAAGAATTAGGGGTAAACTTACTATTTTAATAAGTAGGGTATACTAAGCGAAGGGGAACTAAAGGAAAACTCCGAGGAGATCTATATATAAATATATAAGGAAAGAGCATATATAGATCAGTTAATATTAGATCCTTTATTAATAAATATAACTCTTATATACTTAAGGCGGATACCTCGATAGAAAATAGGTACCGGGGTATTATAAAGCAGGGAATACTTAAGATCTAGAACTCGGATAAATAGCTATAGACCGTTGAATCAATTAAAAACTTTATACTTAGATTCTTTTTTTACAGTGAGAGAAAGAACGAGTATGTTCCATTAAATCCCAATGAGCACCGACCCGGGAAGTATTCCTTTAGCTGCGCAATTGAAGCAATGATGCACAACCCTTCCATCGAAATGAAATGACTGGCCAGCTAAGAATAGCGTCCAGGACGGATTCTCACTGACTGAGATAAAAGAATGAAGATTGCCCCACTGGCCAACCGGTTTGTGGTGCCTTTTAGCCACCCATTTGGAAGGGGTGATGTTTACCACCTTGATCATACTTTGATGGCCAGAACAATTTTCTTGACCTTGGCTCAAAACTAAGGTGATCATTGCATCTTTAATTCCAGCGGTCCCTATGGAGCGACCCCCGATACGCCCATTAAAGAGAACTTCGGGCTCATCTGCAAATGGAGAGCGCTCAATACTCAAGTATAACGGAGTATCTGTAAATCTCATCTCTGGAAAATCGATGTGTGGTGTTGACAATGACAAATCATGAACCGACGTGCCGGATTTATCGATTTTTGATCCCCGGATATTGTCAATATAGAGGCTCTCACTGCTGCTGATAATCGCACCACTGGGCCGAACTGCTATATTTGCGCAAAATCCTTGGTAGCATCCCAATACTGGTGCATTTGATGCAGGATCCATATCCGCAATAACAGCAGGTTGTACTGTATATATTCCATGTCTCCAGCCGACAAGATTATCCTCAAAATTGAGAGTTTGACTTGGCAGAGTTTCGCAACCAGCATGAACAGCGGCTAAAAGGAAGACAGCTCGACTGAGATCTAGTCTCCCTGAAAAGATATCATCAACCATAGGACAGAGAGCGCGCTGCCAGTGATCGCCATCTTCAAGGTTAAGGTCAATGCAATGTCGGAGATTCATGAAGCTTTCGCCAGCCAAGACTGAAGCGGCAGCAATAACAATAGATACTGTAATAACACTAAAAGTTGCCAAGTCTCTTTGTTGCTGCTTGTTGTCATAACCACATTTTCGTTGGAGAATGTATTCCAAGCTGTCAAGGTTTGATAATTGCTCATAGCAAGGGCCAAGGCGTGGCGCAGATTTCGGGAAAAAAAGTGAGGCCAATCTCTTGGAAATAGGCGTCGATTTGGTCTCCCCACAGGTCCATTCGGGTTCCACAAATAAATTTTTGATTGCCGCATCGCTTTTATTCTCCCTGAATCTTTGGCCCTCAGATGGTGTTGCGGCTTTCCAATGTAGGCGCAGCTCAGATTTAACATGAGAATGTGTGTATTCAAAGAGAGTCTGAAACACTTCTGGGGGGATGTTGGCTTTGTTTCCCATTGCGTTTGAGAACATTCCACCTGCTGTGCTGAAATGATAATGATGAATATAAGTTGGCATGACACAGCTGTCCTGGTCCTCGAGAAAAATATCCGTATCCCAAGTACTTCCTGTGACTAAGATGACAGAGTTGGATCCAGAAGCACGCGGTCGATCCCCAGTACCATCCCAGGCTTCAATTTCACCAATGCAATATCCAACCGCTCTCATACAAGCAGCTAGCTGCATAACCAGATTGCATCTTGTAAAGTATGTTTCTTTTCTGGGAACAGTAACCCATCGCAAGAAACTGTTTACATACAACATATCGGTGATGGCGACACCGTCTATGCTTGTCTCATCTTCATTCCAGCGCCGAAGCGCGTTCCAGCACCGTTGATTCAGCTGATCAACCGCATTTGAGAAGATTGTAGTTAGGCCTCGTGTGGCTCCTTCATTCAGAATCTTTGCATGGTTGTCAATCAATTGCAAATATAAACTCTCGTGTGCTTCTGGCAACGTCAAGAGAGTAGGTGCCAAGAATTTCATGAATAGCTCGACAGCAATTTTCCCCCCAAAGATATGCGCAATTGCGCAGATAGATAGACCTATTAGCTGTGTCGGAAAGTCTTCGCCAAAAGGTGGGTGGGAGTCATCCGAGCACACTTTGCTACCGTCACTTGTAAACAGGCGGAATACAGCTGGTCCGACCTGGATAGGCACTGCAAGCTTTTTGGCCGCTTCATCCGCGAAAACTCCATGTATGTTGTTCAGCATACTGCTCACAACACGGAGACCGCCAACCCATCCCCAAGCAGACTGTGCCAACGATAAGGTGGACATGATGTCTGGCAATCCTACCTGCACCTGCTGAAGAGAACCTGCATGAGCTCGAAACACGAGGGTCATTGCGATTTGAATATGAATGAGAAGAGGGGATAGTAATATAACAACAGGAAGAGAAAAAGAGTTGGCTCCGTAGCTATGATCATGAAAGGGGCGTGTTGGGCCTGTTGGCAGCTCATTCAACCCCGCAGCGAAACAACTTTGGAGCTTAGTCGCTTTTAGTCAGCCAAAGGTGCGTGATTTCATCGACCGCTATACAGTCCAGTGTTCTTTACGTATAAGGAGCTCTATACAAAAAATCGATAAGCTAGTCAGGTTACCTGAATATGAATGACAATGCGTTGTTCGTGCGGTCTGGAATCTTTCCATATGAATTCACCTTAGGCAAGGATTTATATGGAGTGTATGAGAGGGATTCTATCATTCTGGCCTTATTTAGACCTGTTCCACTCCTTTTCTCTTCCCCTCTCTTGGCATGGTCCCGTGACTTGATTTGCGGCTGCGGAGATCAGCCTCCAATCAGAGCTGCTTGTTACCCGCGTACTCCGGACCGATCCATTGCCAAGTTCCATTATTAAAAGTTGGTAGGGCCGATCTAATAGCAATCTGCTACGTGGCCTACAACGTAGTGTAGGAGGCGTTAGCTTATAATAAGAAATAATATTATTCTTATTTTCCTTCTCCCTTTGATATTCACGTATGAAACTATGTGATGCGATACGTGCGATACGCTTTGGGACTACTTTCTGGAGATTCTTTTCAGACAACATACTTTGAACGATAAAGAAGATCAAAGAAAATCATAACAGAGCAAGAGAAGGGCCTCAAGGCTTGTGTTTATGTCTTTTTCTTAGAATAGGCATAGGTTTAGAGTGAGTTGGCCCCTATCACCCCAAGGGTGAGAATTGTCACCCCGTTCTTACCTCTCACCCCAGAGTCGACTTCTCACCCATATAACCTGCAATCACTCTGAAATGCCGCTTAGGTGCTGAGGGCGCATTGACTATTGACTGTGCAGAATATGTGGCTTAAGTACGGCTGAGCGGACGGGAAGCCCTGTTCTCCACACCCTGTGGTCGTATGTACTTAAATCATTTTTGAGGTAGTATATATCGAGTGATTGTTGGCAATCAGAGTAGGGGCGAATGGGTCAGTGCACTACGGAGTACGGGGTATGTCGATGCCAATCAACAAACCTCAACAGCCGCCATGCCCTTCTTGGATAGCTTGGTATTCTCAAAAATAAAGCTAACCAAATATAGTTATAGTTTGACTCAGATGACCCCTCAGTCTGCGGAGAACTGAAATTGTGACCCGTTTAGGAATGATGACCGGGAATAATCTTTCTCACCTTGCGACTGAGATTTTTGCTTGTTTCGGAAAGTCGACTATGTGACTTTCGTACTATTTAAATGGATTCTTTCGCACATGTAGAATGAACAGACAGCTTCTAATTTCGAAACTTTCAAGACCAGCACGACCGCCCAGAAATCCCAACACCGATCTATACAATCACCATGGGTATCGCCGATGCGCTTCCCAGAAAGCTTCGCAGAAAGCTTAGAGAAGATTTTGTGGCCGCTCATGACGAGTTTGTGCGCGACATTCCTAAAGTCGAGCTTCATGTGCATATTGAAGGGACCCTGACCCCTGAGCTGAGATGGAAGCTCGCGCAAAGAAATGGCCTCAAAGTCAAATTTGGCAAGAGCCCAGAAATACACAGTATGGAGGAGCTGAGATATGCCATGAACAGCGCGGAACCTAAAACCGAAGATGAGGAGCGTGAATTTTTCTTCGAGTCATACTACGGAGCATTTGACACATTGAAGAGCAAACAGGACTACTTCGACCTGGCCATGAACTACTTCGAGCATGTTGCAACCATGAACGTTCGGTACTGTGAGATCTTCTTTGATCCTCAGGGGCATACAAGCCGAGGTATCGCCTGGGATGTTATGATGGGAGGCTTCAAAGAGGCTCAGGAAAAAGCCCAAAATGAGCTCAACGTAAGTAATGTAGCCATGAACCAAAAGAAATTCCAAAGAATGACAAAACAATCAGGTCCGCTCTTCATGGATCATGTGTTTACTACGCGATCTCTCTCCCGAGGACGCAATGGATCATTACAAGGCTGCGCTACCATATCGTGACATGATTACCGGCATTGGACTTGATTCTAACGAGTACCATCGACCTCCTCTACTGTTTCAAGAAGTGTTTTCGCTGGCCCGTCGGGATGGTTTCCGGATCACGATGCATTGCGATGTGGGACAGGACAATACCCACGAGCATATCCGACAAGTCGCTTCCGAGATTGGCGGGAACGGGGCTGATAGAATTGACCATGGCCTCAATGCTGCCGATAAACCAGAGCTTGTGGATCTGATCCTGAAGCGCGATATAGGCATGACCATCTGCCCGTGGGCATACATGCGATATCAGACCTACGTCGAGCTCGGGCCGAAGATGCGCCTTCTTTTCGATGCAGGGATCAAGATAACCATCAACAGTGATGATCCGGCTTTCATGGACGATGCTTGGATTCTGCACAATCTGTTGCTTACGAAACACTTTGGCTTTACCGACAAGGAAATCGCAATGTTAGCCCGAAACGCGGTAACAGTCTCCTGGGCTTCACAGTCGACCAAGGAGAACATTCTTCAAGAGATCGATGCTGTTTATGAACGCTTCTATCCAGGCTAAAGTAGCTGGCAATCTGCGTCTGTGAGTCTTGCATTCTCAATTCTTTGAGCTTCAAGCAAGCCCTTCTCACAGAGTTTAGAGTTAGTATAGGCGGGTTACAATACCAAGGACTATCATTCTTTTCTTTCATAAGTTTATGATCTATGATCTGGACATTGTATAAGTCGAAACTTTTGTCGACATGTCATATTTTGATCCCATGTGACTAAAACAGTAACGTTTGAGAATCAAGAATCTGCGCATCACCGGTCTGCCAAAACTGCTCTAATACATCGATTGCAAGTTTTGGATTGCAGCATCCAAGTGTCGCAAAATGGGTTGCGAATTCTTTTCGCAACCACTGTTTCCGTTCATGGGACTTCTGATCCAGACACAAACCGGCTTGAAACAAAGGCCATGACGTTGAAAACTTCCGATTCGTCTTGGAAGATAGCCTTTCAGCCCGCCGAAAGACACTTTCTAGTAAATGTGAAGTATCAAATGTCTCATCAGGTAGCTGGAATATGCGAGCAAGATATAGTAAGATCCCACGTCTCCAGATCTCGACCATGTCTCCTCGTTGATTGGACAGGATATCAGATCCTGTCCACGTCCTCACAGCATTGCCAAGGATGATGGCCTCTTTCAAGGCCACATCGGATGAGATTTTTGGAGACATGTATACCTTATGCAATACAGTAATGTCTGCAATACACTCAAATAGATCGATGGGGCAATCGAAAACGTCAAATCCCCATCTGCGACCGGATGGGTTTTTGAATTTGTTCAAGGCAGCTTTTATATGTTCAGGATTCATTTGTATCATTCGTGACGATGTGGTCGAGCCCATGATATCCAGCCTAACGAGATGTAAGCATTGTAGAGAATTCAGCTGCGGAAAAAAGACGTTACCATGCAAGACGTTGTTGGAAAAAGCCTTGCTCAGTTCCATCCGAACCATGCCGCTTCACGATCTCACTCGCTGCTTTTAAGTGTGTTCCAAATTCCAGGCAGTCCCCAGAGCAGAGCTGTCACATCTGTCAGAGTAGCCTTGAAGAATTATCTGAGCACCTACATCGAGCTGGGCAAGTAACACCATACAGGCAATACTAGAAATGTCTGTTTCCTCGATGTCATTTCTTAGTTGCTGTCTGAGCGCCTGCGTGGCATCCAACCGCAATTGAAGACTTTGCATTTTCAACTTTTTGTCTTGAAGTCTGTTGCCAATATGGCATGACGCCGTCGCCCCTACGGCGTACCGAATGCAGGGAACGCTCTTGGTCATTGGTAGTATATACTGCGTATAGGGAGTTCGCGCAGGACCATTGCCCAGGTAGAAGGCTGTACTTAATTCGCGTGCGTCTACAAACTATGAGTAATAGCCCATGTTTTGCGATGAAGAGTTCTCCTTACAATATTGAACGAACACCTGCACACTATCTGGGGTAAGTAAGACGGCGGGCATTGTCCATCTCGGTCGGCGCGGTGAGGCAGCAAGATGTAAATTCATTCCACCGCTGCGTGAAGTGGAATTTGCTAAACTGCTGTACTTGTGGGCGTAAGAGTCTTGTTCCGGTACTCCAGTGGTGTTCAGCCGCTGTGGCAGCACATATCCGACGTGGGCGTCGTCGTTTTTCGACACTAAGCTGACTGAAGCTTGCTCCTTCCGCGGGGCCGTGTCATAAGTAGCGGGCTGGTATGTCCGACCGGCCATGCTTCCCCTGGCTGCCAGTCCGACCCAACGTAGAGCGTAACCCTCGCATTCTACACCACGCCGATGGCAGCTCATGCACTTGGGCAGGCTTCGATCACACTTTCGCCCTCTTCGACGACATGTCTTGCAAGCAATACCAAATTGGGACGTTGAGGTCATTGTCCCGAGTGAAGTAATTGTTCTAGTTGCAGGGGATGTGCTGCAGTAGCGAGGAAATGAGCCGAGGTAGACTGGCGATTCGGAATGAGTGATTCGGAAGGGGAAAGTCAACTACAGTACTTCGTACGGAGTACTCCGTACTCCACTCTCAACTCTGAGCAGGTAAGAGGCTAGTCCGCAATAGGGCAAAGTTTCAGTTCTCCAGTGAAAAGGCTTGGCATTCTCGCCTGAGGTGCAAGGCATCGATTATTACCAAACAGTGCAAACAGGGAGCTCCATGAAAAATGACGGAGCGGGTCCGCGGGGCAAAACATATTACAAACCCTCGTGCGCATTTCAAATCTGGGAGTCTGGGACTGTCTTGCTTCTGAAGCTCATTTCATACCCCAGTTTCAACATGGAGAGAGATACGGATGCTGGAATTCCTATCTCGAAGCTGGATTACCAAAATTCAGGCGCCGCGACGTGAGTCTCTTATCGCGATCGATTTGTTATCGGCCACAGTGCTAATGTATGTATCACAGTATCCTGTGCTGCAACTGCGGTGCCCCCATTGACGGAACCACTGCTGCTGAAGCACTGTGCTCGGATTGCTTGAGACTGGATGTGGATGCCTCTGCCGGGTAGGTCAGCAATTATCATGTACGAAACAACCACTGATCTCAATTTCCAGTATCCAACGTGACGGAACTCTCCACTGCTGCAGAGACTGCGAGCGATGGCTTCAACCACCCAACAGCTGGGTAGTTGCAGCTCCGGAATCGAAGGAACTCCTCTCTGTTTGTCTCCGCCGTCTCCGTGGCTTATCGAAAGTCCGCATCATCGACGCCAACTTCATCTGGACAGAACCGCACTCTCGCCGCATTAAAGTCAAGATTACCATTCAACAAGAAGCGTCGCAAGGCACAACTATTCAACAAACCTTCGAGGTCGAATATGTGGTTGCATCACAACAGTGCGCAGACTGCAAAAAGTCATTTACTCACAACACATGGCGAGCAGCCGTTCAAGTCCGACAGAAGGTGCCGCACAAACGTACATTTCTATACCTCGAACAAGTTATCCTGAAGAGTGGGGCTCACAAGGATACGGTCAACATTAAAGAGGCCAAGGATGGTCTTGATTTCTACTTCGCAGCGCGGAATCACGCCGAAAAGATGGTTGATTTCCTTACTTCCGTCGTGCCTTGCAAGATGAAGAGATCCGCAGAGCTGATTTCTAAGGACATTCACACAAGCGTCAGCTCCTATAAATTTACATTCTCCGTCGAGATTGTCCCTATCTGCAAAGACGATCTCGTCGCATTGCCTATCAAGCTAGCCCGCCAGCTAGGCAACATCTCACCCCTCACTATCTGTCACCGTGTTGGAAATTCCGTGAATCTTATGGATCCTAACACCCTTCAAACCGCCGAAGTGCCGACAGGCACGTACTGGCGGGCTCCGTTTAAAAACCTGGCAGACGTAACCGAACTGAAAGAATTCATTATCATGGATATCGAGTCCACTGATAAATCAAAGGGCAAATACAGACTCGCCGAGGCAACCGTCGCCCGCTCCTCTGACCTTGGATCCAACGACACTACGTACTTCACTCGGACACATCTCGGTGGAATTTTGAATGCAGGCGACGCGGTGTTAGGATACCATCTTACCGGCACCAGATTCAATGACGATAACTTCGAAGCCATTGAAGCGAGCAGCAAGTATAGCTCGACCATCCCAGACGTTGTGTTAATCAAAAAGTCCTACGCCCGCAAGAAAAAGTCCAAGGCTCGCTCCTGGCGCCTCAAGCGCATGGCCAATGAGTACGAGGCTGAGGCTGCTGCCGCAGCCGCTGGTGGTGCTGGATCTGGCCAGCAGTCCCGCCGTGAACAGCAGGATGCCAACCGTCTCGAACAGGACTACGAGATGTTCCTGCGTGATGTTGAGGAGGATGAGGAGCTGCGACAGACTTTGGACCTTTATAAGGTTCAGGCACAGAGTGACGCTGTGAATGAAGACGACGACAGTGAAGATGAAGTGCCGGAAATTGACATGAATGAACTGCTCAATGATATGGATGAGCTCGAGGTGGCTGATAAATGAGATACTTGCATGTGATGATCATGGGCATAGCGGCTGGATTTGTGGTTTTTTTGGTGAGTTGAGGAAAATACAAGGAAATTTCGAGAACAATATGAACAGTTTGACTTGCAGTGGTGGGTTGTCGACCGGAGAGATGTTTTCCTCAGCACTGACCCTCATTTTGATCGACGAGACCATGAAGCACGGAGTATGCCTGGTAGATTGGCAATACCATCGATGAAAAGACCAGGGTATCACTGGCATGGTATCAACTGCTGTCATGCATTGGCGAAATCTTTGCATTCACCGAGATTGGGTTTTGGTTCAATTCGACCGGTGTAGTACGGCCTGGAACTCAGCGGCGAGGTCAAGACCAAAATACATAGTGAAAATCGACAACAGGACCATAATCTCGAAACAGTGTCCTGCACTAAAGTGTGAGCTTCACGCTAAGACATCAAGGTTGCCTAATCGGGTAACCTTGGAACCAGCACGGAGTGGGCTCAACCCTTTGCGCAGCCAGGCTTTGTGGCCTTAGCGGCTCTGTTGTAATTTTTGGTTAAGGTCTCGCTTTCTTTCTTCCCAAAAGAGAAATATCGGATGCATCTCATATCCTGCTCGTTGAAGTTTCCGGGCAACGTCGAGTCTGATAACAAAGATATTGATTTCTTTGCATGGATCGCAGTGGTAAATAAATACGCACATAAACTGTAAGCTACGCATACAACTTGATTGATTGGATCAGGTTTCAAGGTTCACTTCCATCCAGAGACAAAAATAATTCTTTTCCCGGCGTTCTCCATACAAGTAGTAGAATGGTTCCATCGTTTTTGTCTCAGTGACTGTCGGCTCGGAAGAGCGTTCTGGGCTCCTCGTTTCCACCTTGCATTTCCGAACCCGGGTGATACCAAATTCGACTCTCTACTCTTGGATAGGATGTCTTATTATTCCATGGTCTTTGTTGGTATTCTATTGGCAGCCGAATACGGAGTACTCGGGTTGTCTTTCCATTGTCGATATGAAATCATGACATCATGAAGCTTCCCTGCATACTTAATCCTCTGAATATTGTACATGGAATATGTCAAAAGCAGTTCGATAGACGCTAAATCCAAGTGTACATCGACTTTACTTTTTTCGTTTATCCAACAACATTTCCAACATCATGGCCGACAACCCTACCACGCTGACTCCAATGGCCCCGAGTGTCGTTCTCGGCCTTCCTCATGTTCAGGGAAAATGGCCTAGAGACCCCGAGGAGCTTGCTGTGAATGCCATCGACAGCGGTGTATTCATCAATGAACTGGCGAGCATCGATCTTTTGCCGAAGAGGCTCAAATCCCTTACTGACAAGGACAAAACTTCTTTTGGTCAAAACCCTGAGAACCTACACTGGAAAGCCCATGAACAAGGACCGTCTCCAATTGCCGAAGGGACATATCGGGGGACCAAGCTGGCACTTACGAAGGCTTATGACCTGATAGAGCAGCGGTAAACATATCTGACCGATTTGTTATTTAACCATGGCTAACATATTATTCAGTTTCATGTCTTTCATGGATGTTGCCAACTTTGAACCGCTGGTGCCATCGCCTTTAAGCAGAGAAGAGAGGGAGAAATTCTTCGCTTTCACAGATGGGTCGGACGGTTACCCGCCCCATCTCAATCTTGCTGGAAATGTGCCAGCTGCAGAAGCGGAGAAAAACAAAACGGAGAAATCAACACTTCAGCCAGCTGATTTGTTTAGCAAAATGCGTCTACTTCAGTTGAGCTCGCTCTTACCCGCCGTTGTGCCTAACAAATTCATAAGAGGAGCCGCCAAGACAGTGGCATGGGCTTGGTTTGGCTCTATGGGCACGCCTGACGCAGGTACCAAACTCGAAGACGTGGAGTGGTATAACAGGAAAGCTCGTGGACAGTCACATCGCGAAGATATCTTTGATCTCCCCAACGTGGGCGACTTGCTAGATTGGTACAGCGATAACCGATTCTGTCAGCAGCAGTTCACGGGGACAAATCCCACGACGATTGAACTAGCTTCGGATCGCTGGATAAAGCACTTTATTGACAGTGCAAAGGCACTAGAAGATACAGGGGCTAAAATAGTCATCACCGATCTCAATAGCGACTCCCGAGAGTCTTTGTATATGCAGGACTACAGCTACTTTCGCGAGGCTGCTGGTGTGGATCCAACTGATCTCATCAAGTGTGCGTATGATGAGCCAGATGAAAAGGACAAAGGCAGAAAAGGCGTTCGGTTTGGCTGTGCATCTGTCTGTCTTTTTTATCTCAACGAAAAGGGTCAAATTTACCCTCTGGCTATTGTTATTGACTGGCGGGGCAGTCCCGAGCAATCCGTGACGATCTACAACCGGGAATTGTTCAAGCGGACGGATATTCGGTCAGGGACCAACAAGGAAAACCCTAAAGAGAAAGTGATTGACGAAGCTCATGACTGGCCTTGGAGATATGGTAAAGGTCCCGAATATCACACTATTGAGGCAATGAGCTGACTTTGCTATTCAAATAGCGAAAACTTGTGTGCAATGCAGCGACTGGCTTCGACATGAAGTCACTGTGCACCTCACAAACACTCATCTCATTGAGGAGGCCACAATCGTCGCTTCTAATAGACAGCTTGACCCTAATCACCCAGTGATGAAGCTGCTGTATCCACATTGGCAGAAGACCCTGGCAATCAACGCCGCAGCCCGAAACACTCTGATCCCCCACATCATTGTCGAGTTAGTTGGGTTCCAACCAAGTGAAGCCTACAATTATATCAAGCACGCGTATAAGACATTCGACTTCAAGAAACGCTACGTGCCAACAGATCTCAGTCAACGCGGATTCCCTCCTGAGAAACTCAACCAACCAAAATTCCACAACTACGCTTATGCCAGATGTATCTACAGCATGTGGCACAAGATCCGGTCATACGTCGAAGACATGCTCAGGCTAGACTATCCCCAACCCGGTGCAGAACAAAAAGTCCTACACGATGACCGCATTCAAGCTTGGTCTGCCGAGATGCGAAGTCCCACGGGTGCAGATCTGCCCTCTTTCCCGACAATCAGCACATTCGCCGAACTCGTGGACTGCGTGACAATGTGTATTCACATCGCCTCTCCCCAACATACTGCGGTGAACTATCTGCAAAATTACTATCAGTCATTTGTTGTGAATAAGCCTCCCTGTCTGTACACCGAGCCCCCTTCCTCACTACAGGATCTGCTCCACTACGCAGAGAAAGATCTTGTCGACGCACTGCCTATGAATCACACTCGAGAATGGCTTCTAGCATCACACACACCATATCTCCTCAGCTTCAAACCGGGTAATAAAGAAAGCCTTATTGTCTATGCTGCTTCAAAGTTTCGTGTATATCGCAACAAGACGTCTCAAGCGGATGTTGCTATCGCAAAAGCGACAGGCAAGTTTTACACGGCGCTGGCTGATAGCGAGGAGGAATTCAGGGGTTATGGGCAAGCGACGGATGATTGGGGCACGATACCGTATGAGGTGCTGAGCCCGGAGTGGAATGCGGTCTCGATCTTGATCTAACTAGCTTAATGGAATTGTTCCAAGTTATCGCTTTAAGATCTTTGCTGTAATGATCTGGAATTCAAAATTTGGAAGATCATGGTGCAATATTCGGCAAAAAATGTTCCAAGTTGGAGCAGGCTATACATCTAACCTAGGATCGTCCCAGAACCCTGCAACGTTGGAAACACCAGTGAGTCGGTAGCCATAGATGCAATGTATCCAAGGTTCCAACTAATTGTCAACTTATCATGATTGGTCGAGAAATGGAAGTCTTGGCTAAGCCGTGAACAGAGAATTATACTTAGGGGATACTTAGGGGACTCCGGTCTCTGTCAATACTTTGGGAAAGAATGTAACTTCTATGCATGACTTAAATCATTCAATTCATCGACTGCTAGCCAACTTAAAGTTTTCAAGACATATTAGGCTCTCTGGGAACCTCTTGGGAGCATTTTCAGACCATAACATTTGCCGTCGTAGCTCAAGGATTGACTGGAGTAGGTTTTCATTCTGTGTGGATAGGGTGCATCTTATTGAAAACATTGTTCGGATCATACTTTCTTTTGAGCTTCTTAAGGCGGTCCAGGTTGGGTCCAAAAAGCTCCTCCAAGCTCTTATCTCCAGCTAATTTCATGTTAGTATTTATCAGATGTGAATTGTAGGGTCTTTGCGTACTCTCAACAAAGTTTGAGTAAATCATAACTTTGTCTGACGCTGGTCGATTGTTTTTGAGATCCTTTTCCAACTCTTGCACGGTCAGGCCTTTGAGGTACCTGCCGGCGGCGCGCGCTGTGGAATCGATTGTTGGATCCTTCCACCACATCCATACGCCTCCATTTAAAAACCCTCCACGGTTAGCAAAGGCCATCCCTGGCTGTGAATGACTGACGACTTTGCCCATTTGAAGAAACTCAAAGACAACAAAGGTCTTGATACAATCTGGTTCTTCCTTGATTATGCGGGCATACTCGTCAAACATCGTTCGCACAAATTCAGGACGCATCGGTAATACGAAAGAAAACCCCTTCATGCTTTTCCGATCCCCAGCCACTGCTACATCGTTCAGCAGTGCATTGACCTTTGATAGGGGATCATTGTCACCGAATTCATGACTGGATTGAGGGCCAGGAGATCCGCAAAGCGCGTTTGCCCTTCTTCCTCGGAAGTATTCGACACGACGCAACAAACAATTGTTGGTTCGGAACTTCCCGGTGGCACAGCCAAAAAGCAGTAGATCGCGGACCGGCCATCGGCAGTATCATCTCCCACGAGGTGATTTGCGAACTCGATGACCTGCTCGAGCTTATCAGGCGTGAATGCAAGAAGTCCAGCATACACCTCTCTTTTCTGCTCGAACGCTTTGAATGTGAACTCGCTGACCACTCCAAAATTGTGCCCTGCGCCCCTGATCGCCCAGAAGAGCTCTGGGTTTTCCTCCGCCGAAGCTGTCAGTATGCGGCTATCCGCCAAAACCAGCTTGACACGGAGCAAGTTGTCAATCACCAGTCCATACTGGCCACTCAGCCAGCCATAACCCCCACCTAGGGTCAGGCCGCCGACACCCGTGTGATTCACAACGCCTCCTACAGTTGCCAAGTCGTGCGCTGCTGCCTCCCGATCAACATCCTCCCACAGAGCGCCACCTTGAGCGGTCACAGTGCGCTTCGCAGGGTCTGCCGTGACGCGACGCATCCTCGACAGGCTAATCAATACCCCACCCTGCGTCGATCCCGCCCCAGAAGTTGAATGGCCTCCTCCCACGATTGCAAGGTCAAGCCCGTATTTTTGGACGAAACTAATAGTCTTCGAAATATCCTCCTCATTTCCGGGAACGACGACGAGGCTCTGGTAGCACAATTACTTAGTGGGACTTCTTCGATAACAATGCCATGATGGAGGTAAAGAGAAGGAATGCCATACCGCCTCCTTCTCCGCTGTGTTTGACCAACGCTCCGTTGCAGCATGATACCCCTCTGAGTCGGGCGTCAGAACCCTAGAGTCAGACAGCTGCTCTTCCAACTCTTTCAGCATCCCATCGTTGATATGCACTGAGCCGGTTTTCTCGAGTATAGTGCCCATTATTCTGATATGTGCTGGATTACACAGCTCACTTCGTAGAAAATGTAATAGCAAGTGAAACCTATTTTCCCACAGGCCAGGGCCACAGTGACTGATAAGTTATAACTGCTCTTGAACGGATTGAGACTGTAGTTATTCGCTTTATCCAGCGCCACAATATCATAGATAGTATGCTTCAGCTGACTTCTAATTACAAAAGTGGTATAGCAAATGAAGTCATATACTTCTGACTCTCCATCTCATTGGCCCAGCGTTCCCGTGTTGCCCAGGTGGGCTTTCTCGTAAACAAGGTAAGAAACGATTATAACTGCGCACAACTGGATATGTTTTGTCTTTAGTGAAGTAGGTAATAAATCCAGTCGGACAAACTTCCTTAAGAAACTTTTTTTTTTTTTTTTGCAAAAGTACGACTGAATCCTGGTGCTGGATTTTGTTGGGTCCACGTCAAAAATTCGTCCTGCTGGTATGCTGCTATCTGATCAAGATACCAGTCAGACTTTCCAGCCCAATGATCACAGAGCGTTTGACATAAATTGTGTATTTTCCACCTTTTTATAACAATTCAATAAGAGGCTGAGCGTAAAATCCATGATCACGTGGCGCTTTGGAAAACGAACCACTGAGTGACTTTGTCACAACAATCGATCGTGTCGACTATATTTGTATTTTGTTGTAATATACTGTAAAGAACTGCCAATACTCCCAATATCTTCATAGCTTTCTTAGGTGCATTAGAAACAGTGTAGGTACGAAAGATCCGTGGCAATCAATCATGAATCAAGATACCGCTCTAGACTCTTTGGAGTACGAGCTGATATACGATGGATCAGCCGGTTCCGAAGCACTGCGGGGCCCTCAATCTACATGACCGTGATTCTTCCTTTCTGGCGTTCCAAGGATCTTATTGATACCGAGTTGGGCTGGGAGAGGTTTGCTGGACTGCTCATCCAAACATACCTCCAGGGCTTGTTTTGTTCATTTTGATCAGTTTTTAATATCACTCGCTACTTACTACCCAAGTTCTTGAGGTATATGATTGTCTAGTCTCATTCTCCTCTTGAAATTGAACGCATTCATACATGTAGTTGTATACTAAGCTTGTCTAAATCGGGACGATGATCAGCTTGATGGGGTTAAGCGTGATCTTGTTTTATCACCCGGCTCGATTCCCGCTTAGTCATCTTTGGGAGTCGGCCCCCAGCTGCTGCTATAGTGTACACATATAGACAGATACCAGAAAAGAACACAGTAAGAGCCAGAGAGAGCAGGAGCATCACCTAATGGAGGATAATACCCCCTGGGCAGGAAACCATGGTTGGCTCCCATCTTGTCTCGCTCGCTCCCGCGCCTGCAAGGACTCCGTCCCAGGACGCGGCCAATGGCTCCTTTGATACCGAGGTGACGACTGCGATGTCCTTCAACTGCCAATCATGTGTACGGGAAAAGGTCAATTGTAACCGCGGGGTACCAAAGTGCGCCAGTTGCAGCAAGGCAAAGCTCCACTGCATCTATCAGTCGCCGCATCAGATATGTGATTCCGAAGAGGTACGCCATGGAGATGGCCATAAAGAAGACAATGGGTTGTGTTGTGAACATCTTCACCGGCCGCTCAAATGCATGAAGAAGCTTGTAACCGAGTGTCTCAACCTTCTCCCCGGTATGTAGATTCTCATTGCCCGTTTCAATTTCCGTGTGAACCCTCAGGGACTTGGCGAGGTCGTTCATGGCAGGAGCAATCATCGATGATGACACGGGCGAGATGAAGACAAACAGTGAAATAGTCCAGGTGTTCTTCCATTTCAGATCTTTTGGCCAATTTGTGGGATTCTCTGGATCCTTGTGCCCATTCCAAATAATGAGATTTGGATCTCTATTGGCATCGTCGAGGGATGGCTCTGGGCTGATCGCTGTTGGGCCGGCTTCGAGGTCTCTCGCTTCCTTCTCGCCCTCGGAGGCACTAGAATGTTTGTTGCTGATCTTGCTCATCTTATTTGCCTTGGCTTTGACCTCGGGAGTAGTTCAGTATGAAGGATGTGGCCTGGGCATGGCTGGAATTATATACTCACCTTCGTTCAACCATGTATACAAGCTACAACCAATGGCGAAGCATAAGTATGCTTCGGGCCCGGATTTTCTGCCAAGCACCGATGCGCTGGCCAATGAGATGTGGTATTGTGCCGGGCCCGGGCCCTCGAGTCCTCGAGTCCAACCAAAGCATTATCCAGATTGTCGAACCCAAGCACCCTCCAGATGTTGATATTTGCAGTATTTGCAGTATTAGCATGATTGCTATGCTGACTAGTTGGTGATTCAAAAGTCAGCTCATGACTATAGTTACGTCAGTTCCAAGGTTAGGGCCAGGAAACAGAATGAAGTTTTAAAAGAACGATTGCACGTAGGAGTGAGAATCTGACCTCTCTTTACTCATGGTCATCATGAAAGTGTCAGTCTGGCTGCTCCTAGTAGCGTGAGTGATGATAGTATGTATGGAAGAAAGAGACGACAAGGAAGAGACGAGACAAAAGAACTACTTTCATTTCATAGACCTTGCATTCAAACAAAACCCATCAACGATGTATGTATTTTCGTGACTAAGTATATTGTAGAACGTGATCTAATGACACATTTGACTATGTGCTTAAGGCAGACCTGACTTTGGCAAGAAATCCATGCCCAGGTGGGCACAATTTGGAAATGTGGTAAAAACGACGTTCACGACCATGTGTAGAGCGACTCGACGCTGCTCGAGTGAGAAAACAACTTCCCACCTTCGCATCACACTGCATCTCTCAATCGCACTATATCCTCCAATGGATCTTCCGGTTTGTCCCATTTCTGCATCCACGTCATTGAGTTCAACTAACAAGGCCTCACGCATAGATCAGCGATGCTCCCGTCGTCCGCGAGACCTCTCCCGCCAAAGAGCTCTACCAGCTCTTCCTATCCGTCCACCACCGCGGCGAGCTCTCCCTCGGTGACAACAGAAAACGCCTAGGCTTCTCAGCCTATCACTGGGCGATCCTCCTCGCCCCCGAGAACGCCGAGCACCACCGCTGCTATGCCTTCGACACCACCAACGGCGTCTCACCCCACAGCCACCAAAGAGTCAACATGAACCCCGACTACAACTGGGCATTCCGAGTGAAGAGCAACGTGAACCCGGCCTCGAGTGACTCTCTCTTAATCCGCATCGCGATCGGAGACCCCCACGACGTCCACCCTAACACCATCCGAACTCTGCTCCAGTCCGTTCAACTCCCCATCAGGGGTGCCTGGCCGCCTCAGAATTGTGTGGATTGGACCAAGTCAGCTTTGCATATGCTCTGGTCGGTTGGGCATGCGGCGAATATTGATAGTGTTGATATGATGATGGCGAGAGCGCTTGCTTATGCCGATTTGCGCATGGCGGACCCTGCGAGTGCGCCTTTCAAGCTTGATCATATGGGGAACGAGATGTGAGATCTGCAGTGTATGGTGGGTTCTGGGGATTGACTTGTTATGATATTTGAGTGACATGGCACACTGGGATGTAGGATATTTGGCAATGGAGTTTTGTTTGATTAGTATGAAACTATCCTTAATTCTGGAACGCTCGAAGTGAGGAAGCACTATAGGCGTCAGTGATAAGAGGGATCCACGTAAACAGTATCTGTTTCATGGCTGGGGGACAGTTGACGTCTTGTATGGGGTGATAGCCTTCCAAGATCCCACCCTGTCCAACATCTCTAGCGCCCACATGGGGACTCTGTACCGTGATCGGTAGAATCCAGTCCATCCCTTGAGATAATCTGGGCGCGTTAGTTGCGGGGAATCTCGGTTCTACGCAATGGCAGACATAACAGTTTCCAATAGTTAGAATGGTCTCAATTGCCGGAGCGGGAGTTGAAGCTGACTGTTGTCGCTCATAGCCTGGGCGGTTCTTTTGATCAAGGCGTTCAAGGCGTTGGCGCCAACCGGTAAGGTGAGAATCAGCACGTCGCGAATAGAAGACCGGACCGCGACGCTGCTTGTATCATTGGAGCGCTGTGCACACTCATCACTAGGCTCCGAGGCAGCAAGCCGGCTTGAAGTCCCACTCGTTGTAACGACCATGTTTCCGCCACCTGTGTTTGTGAAGCGACCTAGCTGCTTATCGCTGTGATTCCCAAGATAACCGCAGAGGAATTATGAGTGGAGCGCATGGCGACGGACATGGGGATTCTGAGGAGCTTCAATGAGAAATGCCGGCCGGGTCTCTGCAGTCAGTCGGGTAAAGGATCGTGAGAATTTGAAATCAGCCAGTGAGCCTGGGTTGACCATCGAGGTGCCTTCTGTAAGACAAAAGAACAATCATATATCACGGTGGTAACGAGGCGTTGAGGCACTTGTTGCTGGGTCATTCAGAAATCTGAGTTGGTTCATGGGAGTGCTGCTAAGGTTGTGGAGGGGTTTGGCCTGTCGAGCATACTCCGTATCGTGACGAGCAATATTGCTGCGAGCGAAAGAAGCTCGGGTATTCTGCCTCAGCTGGACCGAGTGGCACGGAATACGTCGCTTGTGCGGTGTCCTCTGGCGGTGAGCTGGAATTTGAGGAGAAGAAGTCTCCGTCTTGTGTTGGTCAAGTTGATAGCTCCATTAGTAGCGTTGCGCCAGGCTTTTTCATGCCATCAACACGGCTTGAATTGCTTCATTGGTGCTCATTGCTTCTTCCTTTGAAGGGTTGAGTGTGAGCAGCTCTCGCTTCTCAGCCCTGGTCGCGTGGTGGATGCAGTGTGAATGCCAAGACATTCTCCATCTGCAATTGGAAGAGCTCGATGCACTCGTAAGACGCTTGGTGGTCTCTAATTGCCATAGCAATAACCAATAGCTGGGTCTGGAGCCATTAGAGTGACTCCGAGGTATGATGTATCCGATCATAACATCGATTGCGGATAGCTTCGGGACCCGCAGTGTAGTCGAGACCAATGGAGCACAATACGGAGTAAGCAAAGACCTGTTCCTATCTGATATTGCCTCGATCCGACTCTTGGCGAAAATCGGAGGTATCAGCCGTGGACCGGAGTGCACAGGGTAGGGCGTAGATCACGATAGCTTCAGCATGACTCACGGGAACGGATGGAGTCAAGACGGACGATTTCATCCGTGCCGGATACCCATCGTCCGCGCTAGCAGGGCGATCAATTCGGCGACGGGACTCCGAGAGGGAAGCCACGTGAGCAGAGAGTAAAATACGAGTACGGAGAACGGAGCGAACGGAGCTTGCAAAATTGTGCACGACCCACCTCGGACACGGAGTTTGCCAACGTCCTTAGTGCCGAGTGTCGGAGAATTCATGGAATATTGGACTGTTCGTATCTGAGATATTCGCATCTGACATTTAGGGCCTTAAGTCTAGTTTCAGCTCTCAGCCTCATCAGTACGAGTATTTCATACCTGTCTCGTATTGACTATGAGCCATGACCAATGCTTACTGATTTTTAATCCGTATCTTGAGCAATAGTCTAATAGCTTTGAAATACGGAGTAGCTTTGAATGACATTATTGACAGCCCGGATAGGCTAATCGCACAATTGAATTCTTCTAGGCCATCTGGCATTTCTGGCAACGGTAACGAATAGCCGAAGCCCAAAAAAAAGTCCTTGATGTCATCTGTCAAGAAAGCGCGGGTCCTCGGATTTTTTTCGAACAAACGCCGAGCACCGACACTTTATTGATTGGGGCGTTTAATACGGAGACCCTTTTCATTCCAGGGTTTGGTGCCCGATGATTAATCCATATCTCAGTCTGGAGTCAGGATGAGCAATATGACTCTCGGGCTAGATGCGATGATTCTTCTTGATTTGTTTATTGACTTTCAAGGTTCGTGGCGCCCATCACAGAGTACTCCGTATTGGATCTCAGCCTGGACACATGGAAACGTCAGGTTGGAGCGTCACGAAGCGTTAGATGTGCCCCAAAGCAGACTAGTCAACATTCAGAGTACCCATTTTGGCATAAGGCTGGTGAAGGGTGGAGCTGTTTCAAAAGGGGAAAACCCTGCGAAACCAACCTTGGAAGGGGGCTCGGATGCTTGGCTCGGTCATATCCGCTTACGATCTCGGAGTCTTACTCGTCCCATTTCGCCCGGAGAAAGCTGGTCTTACATAACCCGCCAAGCTGATAAATGACCTCAAAAAAACGGGTTGCCAAGTGAACGATGGTTGGGGGCCTAGCGTGACGTAAAGTAAGAGTACATGATGCTGCCAGCAAGGTATCGACCTTGGAGGTACTCGCAGGTCCAGTACATACACATTCCAGCAACATTGGCGGCTCTTTATTGGACCCCACATCCAACGCCTCTCACACCGCGTGCTGCAAGGAGGGTAAGATTAGGTCTGCAGCTTTCAAATGCGCGAGCAAATAGTCTGCCTGGGGCAGGGCGCTCTCAGATAGACCAGATACGTGGACCGTTTGAGGATCATATTTTTTTGAGGTGCTATGCCGCGATGCCAACAACACTAAATACTAGGGATTCCCCACTATGGAAGAATTACACAGCCTAGTTGGCGCTGGTCTCAGCATCGCCCTGATATCTGGGGAATGTTGCCAAGGCTAGGCGACCGGATTAGGAAAGTGATGCAGCCGCATGTAATTTTCGGTAATCTGCGGTCAATCATACGAGAATACCGTGGCTTTCAGAGGTAGGCTATTTGGGCTTGAGCTTGAGCTCGGGCTTTGGCAGGATATGAGGTGATTGGAAATTACCAAATGCGTCCGAAGTAACTACAAAGTATGGGGAAGATTGGAAATCAGATTTGGAAATATTCGATTAGAAATCTCACTAAGCAACCCAATGAGCAATGGGGATTGGGAATTTAGGATTTAGGACATAAAGGACATAAGGACAGGAAGGAAGAAGAATACGAGGTTGGTAATCGGGAGCAAGTGCGACCGACTCGGGCCACGGCACCGGCGTATTGGTCATCCGAGTCCCGTTCCAGTGACTCACGTTTGACAGGCTATTGAGTCGAGTAATTTGTACGGAGTTTGTAGTATGAACTTCTAGCTAATTGTATGAATAGTTTATAGAAAGTAGCAATACTTATTTATCTAGGCAATGAAAATCCATGCACTCCGAACTCCGTACGGAGTATGAAAAGGTAGCGGTGAATCATCAATAATCAAAAGACGGTAATCCGGCGTAATAGCTGCATTATTCATAAAAATTTAATTCCGGTGGATCTCCAGTAAACTCCGGTTCGGGGCGATCGAACTAAAAAAAAAAAAGAAAAGAAAAATAACGCTGCCTTGTCATATTAAATAAACCTCCAGGTCGCTGCTCTGGGAGTTGATTTCTTCTGTTCATCACAACTATACTATCCAAACTCGTTTCACCTGAAACATCTTTGGATCTATCATACAGGGCGACACAAAGTACCGTCCACACTAGTCCATCCCTTCCGATCACACCGCCCCCGCGTCGATCCGCCGTGACTGGTTGAGTCACCAACAAGAGTCATACCCCGATTAATTCAAAACCCAGTCCTGGCCCACCATGGACTCCTCTTCTGCAACTTCCTTTGCATCCACTGCGAGTCCCTATTTTGACTCGCTTCATCGCCGCCGCCAAACCAAGAAAATGAGCATCACCCAAACATACTACCTCGCCCACACTGCCCGGAAGAAGCTCACTCGTGAAGCTTCCCGGGCCGATCACGATCTACGTCTCCTCGTCGGCCACGCCAATCTCCTGGACTCCCTTATGTTCGATCTTGCCGATGCCGAACGCGAGCAAGAACGCTGGTTCAACCAAACCGTCAGCGGTGCCACCAAGACCTCTCCCTCCCGCCAACACATCCAATGGGCCTCGACCGTCGTCGAAGAGCCTGAAGAGTGGGAGGAGGATGCCTCCGACCTGGACTCGGATCTCAGCGACAGTGATTCCGACTCCGACTTTGACGAATCTGAATTCGTCATCAACACACCCCGTCGTCGCGCTCCCTCTCCCGTGGCTCCTTTCCACGATGACCTTCTCGAGGAAGACGAAGGCGAGGATACCGATTCGGACTTTGAATACGACGATGCAGAGGACCTGGATGACTTGAGCTTAACTCGCTCGCCATCCCGCCAATCACCACCCGAACTCCTTGCTGATTCGGATGGTGAATCTGAGGACGAGGCGACGCCCCCGTCGCCCCCTCAACCGACCCTTGAGGCCTTTGATGGGAAGGAGGCTGCCTCTGCTATTGCATTGGCGGGCTCTGACCCATCCGAACTTTTCGAGCAAGGGTATTTCGGTGCACGAGAGCAGATCATTGAGGCCTACTAGGCCCCCCTCTCCCTCTATAACGATTCTGCCTTGTGTACCATTCAGCGATTCTCACCGTGATACCCTCATACTCTTACGATTGTGGCCAATGTTCAGCGATTCTATTCTCATCTCGTGTTCTGTTTACTGGCGTTTTTGGATGGCATCATCATGGAGACTGTGTCTCCATTGCCTACTATTTTTTCTCATTTTATACATACCCCTCTCATCTCTGGTTGCAATGGCAGCCCAACAGCTCTCCTTGCAAAGGTCGAGACTGCATTCGAACATGTTTGAAACATGCGGAGACATTACGATTCCATCTGGAACCATCTGGAATCCGAAATTATATAGACGAAACACGTCAAAAGGAAATAATACATAAAAATTCTAAAATATTTCAACCCATTCCAAGATATCAAGATTCTAAGATTCCCCATGTAAAACAATCCAGACTCTGCGAATGCCAAACCGGCAGAATCAGCAATCGTCAAGAATCCAACCCACGGCGCATGTGACCCGTCGATCGGAGCCCCGAGCGCGGGTACAACCAAATGGCAGCGCAGCACGATAGCACGCCATGCGCTCTGCTTCACCGCCGGACAAGCTTGATAGATCAGAGATCTGATCAAAGCCAAGTCTGATCTTCGCGGCTAAGTCGGCATAGTGCAAACTACTAACTGATAGCGTCGTGAAGGGTTTTACTAGTGGTGATCCTGTCCCCATAGATAGTTCGTAAATCTCTACTCCGTATTTCCTGTCTACTCCGTAGACTATTACTCATCCCCCATCTGGTTAGGAGACTACGGTACGGAGTACTGGTGTCATTAATTTGAACTGGAGTTTCGGAGTTACCGTAAAGTGGAGAATGGTGGAGCGGGAAAGGGTGATTTTTTCTTTCTTTTTTTCTTTCTCGCTTCTTTTTGCTTCTAGTGTGGTGATTCAGCTGGTGTTGTTCGGGTAGAGATTGGGCTGGAGGGGAAATTTCTGGTGGCTTTAGGGACTAATCTGTATGTGTGGCTCTGTCGGGCTGATTATTGGGTTGGGTTGACGATCCCCCTATTTCCTATCTGCATTCACTATCTGACAGTTGGGGGGCTTGAGACCCTGAGATATAGAGTTAGTCATGGGTAAGCATAAACATCTGTCTCGGTTTCAGGTGGCTTGCGCTGTTTGCTGTGGCTTGCTCGGTGGATCTGGCCGAGATACCAACGAGTATCTTTCGTACTCCGTACTCCGTACCTCCGTGTTCTATGGGCCCATAGGGAATGATATCAACTTCCAAGATTGACTTTATGCATGACTTCACCATGTTAGGCTGTTATACAAAATATGGAACCCAACCTTGTTTGTCGGAAATTTTGGTGGCCTATATAGCAATGCCGAGTACAGAGTACGAATACGAATGTTTATGTTGTCATCCTTCTAGAAGGCTTGTTTCACACAGGATGTGGTGGTCTCAGACTCCGTTTGATGTGTTTCTGTTTTGGGCTTAGGTACTTTATCATGTTCCAACGTTAGCTACTAATATGGAGTATGCAAGGCATGAATACTGAATTGTTGTTCTTGTCATCCACTGTTGAAAATACACAATCCATCTTGAGATTTCACAGAAATATACATCCCACTCCTACCTACCTGGAGTACCCCATAGACTTCCAACTGTGTAGGAGGTACCTAGGTACAGAATGAAGCAAAGAGACATCTGCTAGGGTAAAAAGTTCACACATGATAGAATACCAAGGTATTATACACTGCCTTGCTATTTTCTTGAGCGTAGCCTGGAAATGTACGTCAATGTCACGTGGAACAGTTGGTCAAAAACCGATGACATAATCAATTAAGCTCCCTATCGATAAGTGATCGCCGCCCTGACCCCTCGCTGCATCCGTCACTCCTCCCCTTTCGTGCAATATGCCTCGTGACCATTAACATTCCTCCGATCTTTTGCAAATGCTCTTTTGAAACATGACATCAACCTACCGTCTGGTCCTGTGGAACACCCAGCAATCCCATGGACGCTGATACACGCTACTAGCCACTGCCAACTGCGTTAACTCCCAACCTTGGAAGGGAAATCAGCAGACCACCTAGGCAACATTCCCCTGCATTGGACTTTCGTCCCAGAGCTACCTTGAAATGTCTGCACCAAGCTCCCCCAAACCCTCGTTCGAGAGCCAAGGACGACCTAGATCCAGCGATCATACGACTCCAGCTGCGGGGTCCGGTCATACCCGCAGCCTTTCCGGTGACGTTCCTACTCGAGACAAAAGTCCACGGCGAAGATCAATCCAATTCAGCGTAGGCGCTGCACAGTCTCAGCTACCAACTCGGTCGTCAAGCATCAAATCAAACGTAAAGGAGAAACGGCTATCATACGGAGATACCCCGACGAGGGATCTGGAAGAAAAAGAGAGGGAACATAGGGCTGCACAACTGAACAGAGGGCCGTCCCCTCCCCCTCCTAAGTATGCTATACCCCAAATCCACATTCTTCATGAGAAAAATGCTAATACAGAACAGGACCTATGAAAGAGGTGTATCTTTTGACACCTTCGATAATTTCGACGCCACCGATTTCTCCCTCACCCTGAACTACAAGCATAAGGGATATCAGAGCACACGCCGAAGCAGAACGTTCCTATGTGGCACGGATCAAAACGACTACTCTGAATTTGCCCTCGAATGGCTCATCGACGAGCTGGTGGATGACGGCGACGAGATCGTCTGTCTCCGAGCGGTGGAGAAGGATTCGCGTATCGCCACCGATATTGCGATTGAAGAGCGGAAATACCGCGAGGAAGCCGAGAAGCTATTTGAGCAGGTAATACGGAAAAACAGCCAGGATGAAAAGGCCATCAGTCTGGTTCTGGAACTTGCAGTGGGCAAGGTTGAAAGCATCATCCAGCGCATGGTAAGCTGACGTCCTTGACACTGTAAAACACATCAAGTCTAACATAACCAAGATCCGCATATACGAACCCGCAATGCTCGTGGTCGGCACGCGGGGCCGCAACATGAAAGGCGTGCACAGTTTACTCCCAGGCTCCGTGTCTAAATACTGTCTTCAACAATCTCCCATCCCAGTTATCGTCGTACGCCCATCCCCAAAGCGCGAAAAGAAGAAAAACAAGCGCCGCGCGGACCCCACGCGACGCAGTTATAACCATATCTTGGAACTGAGCGAACAGCGCGGAAGCCGCATATTCGGCGCCAGCTCAAGTAACGATAGCAGCACCTCCAAGCTGCCAGACGAAGAGGCCGCAGTCGCTGAAGCCTTGGGTCTTCCGGCCTCATACTCAAACGCGAACTCGCGCAGCTCACTGTCAGTCTCAGACCGAAGCAGCATCAGCCACGATGATTCCGACTCCACAACTCCTGCTCGGAACTCGCTTGATGCTGTCGTCATGAAGAGCCCTATCGATAGTCCGGCAGATAGCTCCCAGGAGAGCGTTGCCGAGACCCAGCCCACGGGCGGCGCCGAAAATGACTCCTCATCTGACTCGTCCTCCACGGAAGGCGAGAAGTCGGACAACGGCGCGGATACTAAATCAGTTTCAATCCCCTCTATCGAAGTGTCTGGGGACAATGATCAGAACGGATCTTGAACCATGATTGAGTCATGACTTGGACTCGAAGATCAGGATTTCCTATATTCACGATGCATACGAATCACTCTATTACCTCTCATTTGGGATTTGCGCAGCAGTCTTGGCCACCCACTATCCTGCAACTGGTCCCATACCCCGAATACCCATTTAACATTTACCAAGTCCAAGCATCTGGTTTACCTAGCCTTGGATGATTACTGGCGCTTGCCACTTACAAAAGAACATGAATTGAACCTTCAAGACAGGTACATCGCGTCGCATTATAGTTGTAGCTTGTGGTTGCAGCGTCCCTCGAGTACAGAGGTAGATAAATCTAACTCAAGTCAACATAAAAGCATCATGCAACCTGAACACAGACGAGATCCTTGCCATGAATAGCACCTCGAAACTACAACACGAGTATCCAGCAATATAATCTACGCACCCAAGCACAATGTAAACGAAGAAATTCATTGAAACTATCGTATTCAAGAGGCGAAGCATCATTCAATCGCATCGTAACCGAGAATGCTCTGGGTATTGAAGAAGGACAAGAGAAAATGTAGAAAGGAACAGAAAGTAGAAAAAGCAAACCCTTCTTCACGATGAACAGGATTGAGGATCAACCCGATCACCACCTCTCAAAACCCCGAGAAAACCCAGCAACGGAAAAGGGAAAGAAAAACAGAATCTGAAAGAGCAAAAATCCTACTATTAAACCCGGTTCATCATTGCCGTGGTCGCCGCTCAAAGCTCAGTGCTCCGTGCCCAGTGCCCAATGCTCACAGGGAACCAAAGCCATCGTAGGAAAATAACAGTTGAGAAAAGAAAGGTGAAGATGTGAAGATTGTACACTATGAAGAGGAATTTGATTCGGTTCGAAAAAAGGGTAACCGCGATAAAGATGAAAACGGAGACCTCAGACCGACCAGTCGGAAAAATGCATGGGAAACCGCAACAGAAAAAAGCCCAGCTCCGGGAGGAGGTGGGTTGAAACAAAATGACGGAAAATGAAATCTTTTGTATGAACCAGAAACGAGAAGCGTTGATCATTAACTCCTAAGGACTTTCTATGCTGTGGATTCACCATCCTTGACAGACGGGGTTTTTGAGGGTCGACGTTCAGCCGCGGGCTGCGACTTGGTGAGCATCGGAGAGGTAGGGTTTGAGGGGGGCGAGGTTGCCATGTTATCCCGGTCCTCAAGGGCGGCGAGCGCACTGGCTGGCTATTAGCATCTGGGGGTCCTTGGGAGAGAATTGATGTCCACGCGGGCGCGAATCACGTACCTGAAAGCGTTCATGGAGGAAGTGTCCTTGTCTTCCTTCTTGCCGGCGGGAGGGGTACCGGTGCGCGAGCTGGCGGCGCTGTCGTCACTGCCACGGACCAGGTTACCGCCGGGGCCGAGGTTCTTGCGGCCACTGTTGGTGCGGGAGCCGAGAAGGCTGGAGGGTCCGAAGGACATGGGCTGGTTGGTGTTGCGGGTAGCACGGAGACGACGGAGATCGTCACTGCCTACCTTGCTGGAGGCGTAGTCAGGGGGAGGAGCCTGGTTTCCGTATCCGAATCCACGGGCGTCACCGCGGCCCATGGGCATACGGCCACCGCCACCGCGGTTGCTGGTTTGGCGCTGACGCTCAGCCTCAGCGGCTTGTTGGGCGCGGGCAGCCTAGATTCAAGTTAGTATTGAGAGGGTGCATTGGATGGTACAGCGAAAACTTACAGCCTCACGAATCTCAACGATGGTCTGAGGACCCTTGTCACCCTCCTTGGAGTTCCAGCGAGCGGCGCGAAGATCAATGATATCCTGATAAATTGGTTAGTGTCCTGATTCTCCTCATTCAAAAGGGGAACCAAAGGGTACTTACGAGCAACATGAAACGGAGACGGCTGGGCAGGTTGGGGGTCTCGACCATGAGGTGAATGCGGGCGAAGTAAGCATCCATCATAGCAGGTCCCTTCTCGGAGGCATCGAGACTGGCACCAATGGTGCGGAGAAGAGAGGTCAAACTCTCAACCTCAGCCTCATCGGGAATGCCCTCGTAGTCAACAAGCTTCTTAACACACTCGTGCATGATACGCTCAGTAAGCATGCCAAGCTTGTAAAGCTCACCAATGAACTTGACGAGACCGAGACCACGACGCTTAGCGGCAGCAGCAATGTAATATTCATCAGACATCATAGCAACCTATTGATAGTTAGTACACACGAACCATATGCTTGGACCTTGAAATATAACATACCTCTTCAGTGACGCCCTCAGGCTTCTCGGGAAGGTTGACCTTCCAACCACGCTCGAACTCCTCTTGACAACGGTTGAGCAGGTACTTGCGGAACAAGCTGCCACCGGCAACGACTGTGCCGTTGCGATCGCGGATGTTCTCATCCTTGATATCGGCGCTCATGCTCTCAAGCATACTCTTGCAGAACTTGGCGTACATGGGGGCCCAGTGAGCCTCATCAGTAGCCTTCTCGAAGGTGAGCTGAATGACCTGGCGCAGGGTGCGGCCGTCAGTCTCATCCTTGGACTGGGAGACAATTTCGAGGATCTGTCCAGCGATACGATCGAACTTCTCGGGAGTCATCTTGTTAAGAGCAGCCTTGACCTTACGCTGCACGACGTCAGGTGCCATGTAGCCTGTATCACCACCAGGGGCAGGGCCAGAGGCAGGTTGGCCGACACTGCGGGGCTTCCAGCCAGATGCGGTGGTTTGGATAGCCTTGAGGTCCATACCAGCGGTGAGGGGCATAGACTTGTTCTGCTCCTCATCCTTGCGACCACCGGCCTTGCTGCGACCACCGGCCTTGCTGTCGTTGCGACCACCCTTAGAGCCAGTGCGAGGTCCAACACCGGAACCGGTGCGCATGTTGCTGAGGGGGTTCATGCCAGGGGAACCGCCTCGCCCGAATCCGAATCCAGAAGCAGTGCGGTTGCCCATGGGGTTACCGCCCATAGGAGGCATCTGACCAGGGCGGGGTGCGGCGAAAGTACCCATAGGGAAGTTACCGCTCATACCACCGCGAGAGGGGTTGCGGCTACCCATGCTGGGGGTGCGACCGCCTTGACGGGCAGAGTCAGTTGGGTCACCAACAGTCTCACGGACGCGGGAGTCCCAATCAACGGAAATCTTCTCCCTGAAAGCGGCCTGGAACTGCATCAGGAAGTCGCGGTCATAGTGGAACTTGCGGCCTTCGGGTGCGGCATCGTTCAATACAGCATTTGGAGGAGTGATTGAGGAGGGGTATGTGATCTTGCTGAGCTCAACAATGTACTTGGCGTTCTCGAGAGACTTCATGGCCGCAGTGGGCTGCAGAGGCTCGGTGGGCTTGGAAGTCTCAAGCTTGAGACCAGCAGGCTTCTTGGAATCAGCGCTCGCGGGCTTAGAGGGAGGACCCATGTCGGAGATGGGAGTGTCAAGACCACCCTCACTGGCAGTTTCAGTGGCACCGAATCCACCCTTCTTGAGAGAAGCGAACATATCCTTGTTCTCACTGGGGGCGCTTTCGCCGTTGGCGCGAGCCTGCTCACGAGCAAGTTCACGAGCCTCGGCCTCGGCCTCAGCCTTCTTCATAGTGGCCTCGTAGTTCTCACGCTCCTCACGCTCGGCCTGCTCGGCCTTGGCCTTCTTCTCAGCCTTGACGCGGTTGTAGTCCTCTTCGGCAGCACGCTCCTTAGCTTCGATCTCGGCCATTTCACGCTCGATGGCATCAAAGTCGATCTCATCGTCATCAGCAGGGGCGGGAGCAGGGGCCTTCTTGGGCTCTTCAGCAGCAGCAACCTTCTTGGGCTCCTCAGCGACGACAGGCTTGGCCTCTTCGGCAGGGGCAGCCTTCTCCTTGATGGAAAGGTCCTCAATGGCAGCACGAGCAGCTTCGGTGTCATCCTTCTTGGCAGGGGCAGACTCGGCTTCGGTAGTCTTGCTGGAGGCCTCATCAGCGAGACGCTGCTTCTGGGCAGCCTCGTCTTGCTGAATCTTCAAGCGGACAGCATCCTTCAACTCCTGCTTCTTCTCCTCGTCGGTCTTGGCAGCATTGGCCTTGCTGTCGGAACGAGCGTGCTCGTTGGCGCTGGCTGTGCGGGGAGGAGGAGTAGAGGTGGGGGGAGTGCTGAATTTCACGGGGGAAGGAGAAGCGCGCGAGGGAGAAGCGCGTGCGGGAGAAGCGTTTTCAAAGGTCTTGATCGAGCCGCTGTTAGGGTCCTTGATGACAATCGCAGCGCTCTTCTTAGCCGAGGGAATGACAAAGTGCGGCTTGGGAGCGGGAGAGTTGGAGGTTCGGCTGGCGGTGTGGGTGTGACCGGGGGTAGCTGGACCAGTGGGGGCGGGTCCCTGGCCGAGGCTTGAGCCTGGACGATCAGTAGAAACCTGGGAGGGGGTACGTGAAAGGGGAGCCGCCTGAGGGATAGGGGCAGGGTATTGTTGGCCCATGTACTGGTTGTTGTAGGGCATGCCCGCAGCACGAGGCTGGGGAGAGGGCGGGGTCATGTAGTAGCCACCAGCGGCCGGGTTGTAGTAACCGGCGTAGTTGGGATCGTATCCACCGGGGTAAGTCTGTTTGGTGTGCACAAGTGTCAGAAGTTGTTCAAACTGGCGGCTCTCAGGCGCAAGATCCATGGGAAGCTGGTTCTGGTAAACCGAGCGTTGCTGTTGCTTCCCATTATGTCTGGGGTTGCTGAACTTCCTTTGGGATTCACGTCGCGGAGAATTCTGAAGAGCATGAGGGGGGAAAGAAGAGGGATTGCTCACAGCTTGGGGACCCATGTGTTGGCCGTAACCGTAGGGCTGGGGGGGCATGTTGGGGTGTGCCATGGGGACCTGGCCCATCTGGGGAGTGGTAGGGTTAACATTGGCCAAAGCAGGGCTGCGTTGGGCTTGGTGAGGCGAGTAAGGAGCCAACGGGCGACCCTGGTTGGGACCGTGGAACTGAGGAGCCATGTTGGGACCTCCGCGGGGTTGGTTGGGGGTCTGGCGGAAACCGGGGTTGGGAGAGTAAGGCATCTGTTGTCCCTGGTAACCGGACTGAGAGTATCCACGACCGCGACCACCCTGGTGGGGGTAGCCCGAGCGTCCGGGGCCGTTCATGTTGTCGCTGTGGGTTGACTGAGAAGACTCGCGACGCATGTGGGGAGGACCGTGGGGAGCCTGATTGTGCGAAAGACGTCTTGTTAGCACATGAATTGAGAGAAAACCGAAAGAGAGGAGAGAAAATGAACAGGAGAGGGAAAAGAAAGAGAACGAGAGAGAACGAGAGAGAACGAGTAAAACGAGAAAAAAAAAAACGAGGGGGGAAAAACGAAAGGTAGACGGGGGACGGGGGACGGGGATGAACAGCATATCTTCCAAAAATGGAAATTTGATAGCAAGGTGCATAAATTTGCCGCAAAAATCACAGCGCTTGCACATCGAGACCTTCTGTTCAAGACGTAGAGAGGGGGAAAAAAGAAATCGCAAAACTTACGTTGGCATCACCGGATTCTCCAAAGCTACCGAAGTTGGGAACGTTTCCTTGAGTCTGGTAAGTAGATGGGGGAGGACGACCGCCGCTGGAAGCGGGCTGAGGAATAGGCGAGGGCGAAGTCTGAGGAGAAGTCACACGGGGGTTGGTGGAGGGCGCACCGAGACCAGTCTGAGCCGGGTTGGAGGCAGGAACCGCGGGCGCACCCATGTTGGGAGAACTCTGCTGGTTTGCGAAACCGAACTGAAGGCTGTTGGGACGGCTCGCGGGAGCGCCGCCGTTGGGAATGTATCCGGAGGTACCACTGGAGGTGATGGTCACAGAGGGCTTGCGAGAGTGATCGCCAGCAGCTGGAGCAGAGGGAGCCCCATTGACGATGGTGACGCCCGAAGCGGCAGGTTGGTTTTGCATGGGTTTTCCGTTCACAGAAGATACAGAACTCTGCTGCCCATTATGCGCTGAGCCGCTCACGGTGGCGGAGGCGGCGGTCGAGTCCGTCGCGGACTTCTTGGTCGCGTTGGCGTAGGAGGTGGTCGCCTGGGTGGGCTGAGATGCGGGCTGGGTCGAAGCGGAGGTAGCGGTGCTTTGTCCTTGTTGGCCCGACTGAGGAGGGTTCGAGGTCATTAGACAGGTTGTTTTCCGTCTGGACGCGCGAAGAGGGCGAGAATAGATCGAAAGAGAGGTGATGTCAAGACGCGGTAGAGGCGTGACAGGGCCACATCCAAACCTATCGCAGGTTAAAAGGGATAAAGAGAAAGGAGAAAAAAAAGGAAACTAGTTCCAGATGCAATGAAGACCAGGTACGCAGCAAAAGATGCGGCGTTTGGTCTACAGTTGCGAGTGTGTGAAGATGGTTAAAGGTTGGTGGGAGGAAATCGAAGAAAAAAAGTTGTTTCGGTGGAAAAAACTTTTGGGGTTTGTGGAAAACGAAAGGGCGTAACGGAGAGCAACTCACCACGATACAAAGGAGATTTCTGATGAGAGTACTTCTCTAGAGTAACTACAGTCTCTGGAGAAGTGATCTGAAGTTGAAGAGGTTTTTTTTTTATCATGATTTTCGATTTTTCTTCTTGATGTCTATTGACGCCACCCATGACATGTGCGTCTATCTACAAGTGAGTCGCAAGTACGAAAGAACTAAGAATTATACGAAACAGCCTATAAATTAGTTATGTTGCCTAGTTATGACTCTTTGAGCTCTTGGTCGTTAGGATATTCTTCTTTGCTCATTGCTTTCCTCTTCTCTCGTCAATCTGGAACCTGATAGACCCTCCAGTGCCCCATTTTCCCCATTTGCCACTCTGTTGCTCTATACTTACTACTAACTACACACTCCCCTGTATATTCTACCTACATGTCTTTCCTCTAGTGTACTTGGTATATCTGATATCCTGGGGATTTCTTTTCTCTCTGTCCGGATAACTCGGCCTTTCATTGACTCCAACCTATTCGTCGACTAGTTCCATACGGACTATTGTCCTCCCCCTAGTATGGAATAGTCGACTATCGGTTATTGAATGCTTTACGGAGTACAAAGGGATATTTCTCCCCCTGGCTCGATAGCACCGATACGGTGTGAAATACTTCCTTCATAGCCCCTGAGATAGGGAATATCAAATACATTGTCCTCGCGATCTCCCGTCCTTGCATTACCACTGCATCCGAATCTTCCTATGCATATTATTCCTCCGACCGGAGGGATTCGGACGGAGATCCTCGGCCAACAGGTATTTGACAGAGTAAGCAAAGTATTCATTCAGATCTGATTTGATCGCTTCAGCACGTTAAAATAAAGCCATGAACCTCCCGAGGTTCAGTTCCCTGTCTCTCACCCAGCGAGAGTACAGTGCTGCGATTCTATTTTAGTGGGTGATTTTCTTCCAGTTTCTACCTAAACCCTGCATAGCAAATCCCTCCGGCTACTCTCCAGATCGATCATACCCGGTGGCGCGCGACCGGGCAATCTCGTCAATGGCGCGGGCCGCGAAGTCCGTGCCAGACGACCCAGACGAATCCTGCTCATTGCTAAACCAGCCTGTAGACCATCCGCCGCTAGTTTTGCGGTCCGGGCGACGGCCCAGGTCTTCGTCGTCGACGACCTCGAAGGAGTTCTCGCTTCGGTTCTTTCGTAGCGGTATGCCGTAGGCCAGGTCGTCATTCTCATGCTCCCGGGGGTGCTCTGCTCCTCGCTGGTCAGGGTCGACCGAAGATGATCCAGGAGCTCACGCTGAGAGGAAATAAAGTGCGCCTTTTCGGCACCGGACATAGACTGCATCTGGCGCTGAAGGAGAGTACCACTGGCCGACAGGTGCTCGTCTTGGGCTTGGCGGGATCTTCCAGTAGACGTCGCAGCGCCCACAGCGGAGCTGAGAACGGAGTACCAATCGTTAGAGGCCGCCGCGGCTCCGGCGGCGGGGAGGTTGAAGCGCGAGAGGAGCGATTGCGCATACGAGGAGGCACCTTGTTGGGGAGGGGTTTCGGGACGCTGTGGGGGCAGCCCCAGGACTTTCTCTCGAATCAAATCGATAGCTTGCCAGAAGTATTGCAGACCCATGGCCTTGAGGCGCTCATGGGTCTGGCCGATAAACTCCTCGATCTCTCTCTCATGGTGGGCCAGAAATGGATCGACGTAATCTTGGTACAGTAGGCGAGCCCCTTGCGTCTGGGGAAGAACGAGATAAGAAAGGAAGAAGAGTCGAATCCAGCTATAGAATGGGAACCTGCATTGTTCGAGTGGTCAGCATGCGATCAGGTAATATGTGAGCGGTCCAACCATACCAGCCGATGATAAAGTAGGTCCACGATTCCGCCCAAATGATGATCGAGAGGACCACCCAGTACATGAGCCATGGTGCTAGCTGGGAGGGGTCGGAGGAACGGAGGGCTTTGAACGAAGCGAAGACGGGGAAGAAGATCGTGATGACCGAGCTATGGAATAGATCTGCGTTAGCTGATTGTGGGACCTCCCCGTTCCAGCCCGGAAGAACTCGAGATAAACTTACGACAGGACGTCCGCGAAGATTCCGAACATGGTGAGGTGACGCTCGAGGCGGTGTTTACAGAGGTCAAAAGTCTCGGGGCACAGTGATTTTTAATCTCCAAATTCAGCCCCGCTGTCTGAAGAACACCGAGAGAACAAAAAAACGGGGCCGAGCAGGCAACAAAGATAAAAGGGGGTAATAAATAGAAACAAAGCCATAAAAGGAGAAAAGGACTACAAATAGCTGACCCTGAAAGGAACCATAGACAGCCCTACAGGCGACATCACAATAACAAGTCGATATCAGCTGAGCGGTTTCTTGACGTCACGGCAACTCTTACTTCCGTTCGAGTTTGGATATTTATCTGTAGGTCTTCAGGGCCGAGGGAGGGTTTTTACACATTTTTTTCTACAAATTTAATTTACTGGTTCGAATGGCAATGCCACTGCGGATTAGATATTGTCATATCGACTGAAGTGAATCTCCAAAACTACTCCGTACAGAACCGCCCAATCACCCGATGCCCGTTCCGTACATATGGGCCCGTTCCCTCTCCCCTCCTCTTTCCTCCGCACCCTTCCAAGGTTGCTTCCACACATATAAAGCGCCATTCGATTTGGCGTGTGTTGCATTATTTCTGCTCATAGATTCAGTACCGTGGACGCTCAATCATGTGCATCGCATTGATCTCAACAGCCCACCCTTCATACTCTTTGATCGTCATCGACAATCGAGATGTAATCACAGAGACCCAAGTTCACCAGGATTCAAAGCTAATATACTCAGGAATTTCTTCATCGGCCAACATCAGTGCCAGACTGGTGGCCAGAGCCCTCCTCGCATGTCCTCGGCTCACGCGACCTCGCGCGATCTACACACGGCACTTGGATGGGCGTCACCAAGCATGGCAAAGTCGCTGTGTTGACCAACTATCGCGAAGATAAAGCCAGCGAAGCCATCGGGGTCTTCAGTCGCGGCGTTATCGTGAATAGCTGGCTGACCGGTCCCCCAAAGAAAGAAGAAGCCACCCGGGAGTTTGTGCAGGCCATCGTGGCCAGCCCAGAAGCAAAGCAAGTGGGAGGATTCAGTCTGGTGTGTGGGCACATCAACGAGCCACTAGCCATAGTCTCAAACCGAGCCTCTGACATGGACCATATCACCTGGGTGGCCACGGAGAAGAACCAGACGCGCGGACTGAGCAACACCAGTGTAGATGATCGAAGCTGGCCGAAGATCATTGATGGCGAGAGGCTGATGGAAGCTGCTATCGAAGAGCATGCGCGCGAGGGAGAAGATGAAGACCTCTTGATTGATCGGCTGCTGGGGGTTCTCAGTACGGATACTCTGCCTGAGCTGTCCCAAGAGACGGCTACCATCGACACATATATTCAACACTTGCGCAAGAGTATCTTTATCCCCGTCATCGGTGCGGCAAACGATCGTGTTCAAGCTGCAGAGAAGGCTGCAGCTCGGGTAGAGGATTCCACTAACACACCGACAAACGGCCCTGTGGACCAGAGCTACACATCTGGCTCTTATGGGACACAGAGACAAACTGTCCTTCTGGCACGGCCAGACGGGCGAGTACGCTATTTTGAGAGGACGCTGTATGACAATGACGCACAGGCTATCCCGGTTGGGCATGGTGACCATTCATTTGAGTTCAACATCACCCAATCTGTAGCCTCAGATAAACTATAATCGATTAATGCAAGAATTTGAGATTTTTTTTTTTTTCCTTTTATTTAAAGAAACTGAAACACTGGATTTCGTTCTACAATGTCTTCCTATGCTGGAGTCCAAAAAGGTAGGCGGTATTATTCTGCCAAATAAAGAGGATATAGCGACGTTTAAGGCAAGTTCTTTTGCCCTTCGGGGCATTTGGTCAAATGAAAATATACAGAGAAGATTAGCATGGCCCCTGCACTAAGGATGACACGCTCAATCAAAGAGAAGCTACCAATTTTTTTTATTCCTTACCGGAGCTTCCTTACCCCAGGAGAGGGTCCTTCTGTTTTTACTCGCTCTATACACACTTTAAGTGGACTACGGAGTACTCCGTATTAGAAAGGGAAGTCACGTGCTTGTTGCTCCTGCGGCCCGCGTTCGAAACCGACCAGCGCATCTTTGGGCAAGAGCCCCCTTCTCACCAAACTGATCAAAAGATCAAAACACCAAATTTCCACGTCGCTTTTCCACATGTCAGTGAAAATTGTGACCTCGAGACTCAGGCAAAAATGGAATTTCCTTGTCAGTGGATTCTGCTGACAGATTTTTAATCCAACCTACACTGCTTGATTGATCCAGCCTGAGACTGGTCTCTTTCCGCGTACGAATAAACAGCAGGATGATCGCTGCCTGGCCCGATACTATGCCTCCGCTGCATATCAACTTTAATCTGCCATACCGGTTTGCAAAAGAACTTCCGGCATCATTTAGGCGAATTGTGCCGGGGATCGCAACGTTTAACATACTAAACGCCCCGTCGTGTTTCACCTTGAGCATGGATCAATTTACCCGGTGCTTCTTTCTCGGCCACCACCCCAAGACGGGATAGGCGACCCCGGAAGTGTATCAGAATAATCTCCTTTTGATTATTTTTTCTTTGACCGCGAGACTCATCCCAGCCAGTGTGGGAACTGGCCGACAGGCCCTGCAGTGATATCACATCCACTCTGGCTCCTATCATCAGGCCACAGGGCCAAGCCTTGCTGGCAAATTTCCGATAGATTGAGGTTCACTATGGAATATAGTACCTCTATACAACGCTTGCCCGTTCCTGGCGCTCCGTTCTGGAACCATTGGTGTCTGGGCAATAGGATCATTCGTCTGGTTTCTCCGGTGGGGAAATCTCATCGTCTAGAACAGCCATCTCCTGCGACTTTCAGGGTTAGTGGCGACGGTTTTCCCGGTCATCAAGCCAACACTACAGGGTCTGTAAGAGGTCCTGAAGGATGTATCCACTTTGTCCCAGATGGTCTGGTTAATATCCACTGACGCCGTTTGATGGGCCCCCGTGCAGGACATGGCTATATAACAGAAGTCTCCCCGGGGGTTTGCCTGTTGATTTTGTTCAGTACATTCTTTTCATTCAAGCATCAAGAACTGGTTTCTTGATTTTTCGTTCTTTTCGTTCTTATCACATTCTTTCGTCAAACTCGACAGTCACTCTCTTTTACATCTCAAGATGAAGTTCACCAACATCGCTCTGGCTGCCAGCGCCGCTTCCGTGGCCTGTGCTCTTCCCCATGCCGTCCACACCAAGCAGAGCGCCGCTGTCAACAAGCGCGCCAACGGATTCACCTGGGTCGGTGTGAGCGAGTCCGGTGCTGAGTTCGGCGAGGGCAACATCCCCGGTACCCTCGGCACCGACTACACCTGGCCCGAAACCTCCAAGATCCAGGTCTTGAGAGAGGCAGGCATGAACGTCTTCCGTATTCCTTTCCTGATGGAGCGCCTGGTGCCATCCAGCATGACCAGCACTCCGGATGCTACTTACCTCGCCGCCCTGAAGAAGGTATGTCCCACGCACTATGGCGGACCCTACTCCAAAATGATATCTAACGAGTTTAGGTCGTCAACTTTGTCACCGAAAGCGGTGCCTACGCGGTCCTTGATCCACACAACTACGGAAGATAGTAAGTGACAGCATAATCGAATTGGCCATAATCATAATGAATACTGACAACTTGCCGATAGCTCTGGAAGTGTCATCTCCTCCACCGACAACTTCAAGGCCTTCTGGAAGACCGTTGCCACTGAGTTCGCTTCCAACGAGAAGGTTATCTTCGACACCAGTAAGTCATGCCACCCAATCCTACAATCAGTATCCACTAACAACCCAAAGACAACGAGTACCACGACATGGACCAGAGCCTCGTTCTGAGCCTGAACCAGGCCGCGATCAACGGTATCCGTGCCGCCGGCGCCACCTCCCAATACATCTTCGTCGAGGGTAACTCCTGGAGCGGAGCCCACTCCTGGACTGACAACAACGACAACCTGAAGGGTCTTACTGACTCGGCTGACAAGATTGTCTTCGAGATGCACCAGTACCTCGACTCCGACAGCTCTGGTACCTCCGAGACCTGTGTCAGCAGCACCATCGGAAAGGAGCGCCTTGAGTCTGCCACCAGCTGGTTGCAGACCAACAACCTGAAGGGTTTCATCGGCGAGTTCGCCGGTGGTGTCAACAGCGTCTGTGAGGAGGCCGTCGAGGGCATGCTCTCCTACATGTCCGACAACAGCGATGTTTGGATGGGTGCCGAGTGGTGGGCTGCCGGTCCCTGGTGGGGATCTTACATGTACAGCTTGGAGCCTACCGATGGCCCTGCTTACTCCACCTACCTCCCCATCCTCGAGAAGTACTTCGTTGACGGTACCTCCTCCGCTTCTTCCACCTCTTCCGCCTCCACCAAGACCGCCGCTCAGGCTACCACCACTGCTGCCGCCGTCGAGGTCACCAGCACCCCTAACAGCCAGGTCCAAGTCGCCGCCACCGAGACTTCCAGCTCCTCTACTCCTGCTGTTCAGACCTCTGCTCCCGTCGCTGAATCCTCCGCTCCCGCCGCTGCCCCTACTACCGTGACTTCCATCCCCGTTGACGTCCCCACTGCCACCGTTGCCCCTACCAGCTTCGCCAGCGCCGCTTCTTCCACCCAGGCCTCCACCGAGGCTGCTTCCTGCAGCGCCACCCCCAGCACCTCTGCTAGCGGAACCGTCAAGAAGTACTACCAGTGCGGTGGCCTCAACTACACCGGTGCCACTACCTGCGAGTCTGGCTCCACCTGCACCAAGCAGAACCCTTACTACTCCCAGTGTGTTTAAATACATCCTGCGGGACTTGAACTTGCATACATAAAAGGGGATAGTTTTGGACGTGGTGGTTTGGGGTTAGCCTTTCTTTCGGACTGATGTTTTCTTTCACATACTTTCACATTTTGTCTTCTTTTTGATACTTTGATTATATTATATAAATCCATAAAGAGACTTGTCTCTTTCCTTCTTCAAACTTTTTTTTTATGCATTGATGGATAGTTCAGGAAAGTCAATATGCTCTGATCTAGTTGTCTAGCCATGGAAATGGAGTTGGTAAACCATAGGTCAGGCCCGAAACCAGCATTGGGGATCCATGTGCATCCAAGTATGGAACTACGACATCGCGATTCCATGGCTGATAAACATCCATGGATGGGGTTTGCCAAATCAGATGGATAGACCCGTGGACCCAAGAAGAAAATTGGTGAGTCTATCAGTATTCCAACCCGGAAAGACTAGTCCTAGGGATACCCCAGCGCAGCATCGGGATGCAACCTTGGAACCATCTACTTTGTTTACTTTGTTCTACACGTTCCATGGTAGAGAGCACATGCAAAGATATTCTAAAGGGCATTCCAAGGTTGGCAACAATTTAAGACCAAGAATATGGAGATGTAGGTTTCCCAACACTTCTGAGAAACAATGTACAAACAAAATCATAAGAGATATCATTCTCGTCATCATCGTGAGCAAACAGCTCTCAGGTACCATGGTCGATTCTCAGACCAACGGTACATAAATACTATAACAACCGCCCCATCTAGCCAAACGGCTAGCCCAGGGACGCAGCCAAGAACAACCGACCCCACAACATCATGCAGGGTCACACATAAACCAAAAAGGGAAAGCACTTAGGCATCCTCAGCCTGGTGCATCCGCACAGTAACCTTATCAGCAGGCGCACTGGTCAAAGTAAGACCATACCGAATCTTCTGATCAGGATAAACATCCTCGATACGATCGAAGCGCTGCAACAGTCTCACAAGCACATACCCAGCCTCAGTAAGCGCAAACTGCTGTCCAATACAGATACGCGGCCCACCATTGAAGGGAATATATTCCCAGCCAGCCTTACGATTCGCCCAGCGATCAGGCTTGAACTGGTCTGCGTCGGGGCCCCACAGGTCCTTGCGACGCTGCATCACATGCGTCGTGTAGATGACGGACTGTCCCTTGCGCACGTAAACGGGGTCAAGACCATCAGGACCTCCACCACGGGGAATGGTTGTGTCGCGTGTTGCGTTGCGACGGTTGAATGGCACGACGGGGTAGAGGCGCAGAACCTCGTTCATGACGTACTGCAGGTACTGGCAGGATTTGAGGGCTGCGAAGGTGATGTTTTGAGGGTTGGAGTAGGTGCCGAAGGTTGTGATGATTGTTTCGCGAAGCTTGGCGAAGACTTCTGGGTTGCGGGCTAGCATGAGGGTTGTCCAGCTGAGCAGGGAGGCGGTGGTGTCGCGACCTGCGAGGAGGATGTTGAGGAGTTGGGAGCGGAGTTCGATGGGATCGCGGGTGACCTGGAGGAGAGCCTCGAGGAAGACGTAGGAGGTGTCTTCGGGCTTCTTTTCGGCGGAGGCGGCGAGGGCGTTTGAGACGACCTTGTCGACGAAGGCGTGGACTTGCTTGTCGGAGTGCTTGGTTTCCTTGTTTTCGGCGAGGAAGGCGAGTTTCTCGAAACGGGAGCGCTGCGCGCAAACCCATTGCGACTTGTCGAAGTATGCGGCGAAGGAGTCTTCGGGTCTGTTGCGGTTGTGGAGGGCACCGAGTTGACTCTCGACACTTTCACCGAAGAGGAACTCAGTTGCGGAGTCGATGGTCAAACGGAAGAAGATGGATTGGATGTCGGTTGTGGCGGTCCAGCCATTGGCCGCGACAGGCAGCGCCTGCATGGCCTTTTGGACATGCTCCTCTTCTAGATCCAACTGACTGATCTGCTCACGGGTGAACTGAGGTCGCAGTAGGCCACGAGAACGGGTCCATTCTTCCCCATCGGCGGTGAACTAGAGAATGTCAGATGTGGAGACAGCAAACATGACTTGCATGTGACTTACGATACCAGTGCCAAGCAGGGGGTGCATGCTATCACGACGAACGGAGCCAAGCTCAAAGTCCTTGAACTGGGTAGCTAGAACAGCCTGAATGTTCTTGGGGTCGATGGTGAATAGGTGGGTGCGGCCCAAGTTGCGAATAGAAAAGGTGGTGACGTAACGGTCCTCCTGCTCGCTGATAACCTTGATACGATTCTCAGCCAGTTCAGGGACGAGGTTCTCCTTGTCAGCCGCGAGGGACTGCTTGAGGTTGTTGATACCGAAGGGATCCTTGCAGGGGTACAGTGGCACGCCGCCACAACCTAGACGTTTGGCGTTACGCGAGTGTTGCCATGAGTTCACGAACATGCGAACGACCTGCAGCACAATGGCTGCGGCCGTGAAACCGAGAATGAACGTCAAGGTCATTTTCGAGGGTGATGAACAGCAGTGGCAGCAGCAGACACAGCTAGCTTATATGAAAAACACTGGCCTCGGTTGGTTCAAGTGGAGACGAACCTTTTGGAGCAAGATTCCAATGTCCAAATGTGGCTTGATCGTCACCCAACGCACCAATGAAATGCAATACGGAGGTCATAAACGATCGTACGTCGGAGTTCACGCTCCCTTTCCAAGTCCTTGTCCGATCTAATCTCGGACCTCTTACTTGGTGCGTCATGGAAATCCGGTGAGTTCGGTGATCTGCTTCACCGTGTCCGATCGGAAACTCGGAGCGTCCGTCGAATGTAGTACTGTGCAATGTACTTGTGCGATTTGGTCTCCCAGATTGTTCGAGTCCACATCACGGCACAAACCGAATCCATCACCTGCCCCGTGGCTGTACACAGAGTTCGGAGTACGAGCTGAGCCATACGAGCGGCTCGAGCATCCGAGGACGAGTCTGTAAACACCGTGGAGCTCGATATTAAGAGTGCAGCTGATGCATGATGTCAAAACATAAAAGCATAGCCTGACACATGTTTCGGGGAACTTTTTTTGTTAAAGAAAAAAAAAAAAAGGAAAAAAGAAAACATCAAGGCTTCCAGACGCATCAAAATTCTGCAGAGTGTGTGCCCCCTGGCCCGCATTAGTGCCCAGGTGCGCAGTGGCCGCTAATAGTGCCGAGGCTGAAATTGGCGATGAGTGATCAATGAATTTGATGATTACGACATCCAGTCAACCCCCAACGCTTTGGAATTCTTTGATTACATCGTTGACCATATTCAACTTTCAAAGATGGACAGAGGCACAGGAGTTTTATCAGATATGCTGTCTTCCAGGTCCTATTTGGACCTGTCACAGGAGCAGCCTCACATGCAAAGACCCAAATTGAACCCACTCGAGGAAGTGAACCCCGAGGCCCATGAGCCAGACCGTCGCGTGAAATCCCGAGACAAGCGCATACCCTCTAAAGCACCGGGCACCTCCGAACAAGTCTCCGAGAGCAAGAGCTCGGTGACTCCGGATCGTCCCGCCCGCAAAAGAGGCCGGCCGAAATTGGAAACTGTCAAAGATGCCGCAGCTATTGAGGTAGATCCCGCAAGATCCACCTGTGGCTGCCACAGGGTAGCTAACAAGCTCCACAGGAACGACGCCTCCAAATTCGGCGTGCACAACGCACGTACCGATCTAAGAAAGAGGCCACGATCCAGACCCTTAGATCTCGCGTTAATTCGCTGGAGCAAACGCTAGCAAGTGTATCAGATCTGCTCGGCGCACATGAAACTACCGGCGGCAATTCATCCAATGTCGACTATCTGGCACGCACGCGAGAACTCATTCTTGCAGAACTAGCAAATACTACTACTGCTGCTGCCGACCATAGCCCCCAGACACAGCATGCCGATCACATTGATGTATTGGGCTATCGAGTCTCGCCGCCATCAAGGACATTGAGAAATACTTCAAAGAGCCGCACTTTATCACGCACCCGCCCGAGATCCCCATCCCCACTAATCAACCGCATCCTCCCCACATCTACAATCTACACATACAGCTACCAAGAGTCCAACATGTGCCGCCGCCTCCACAGATTCACTCTCGAGCACACCTATCGCTGGCTCACAGACTCAAACACCACACCAGCGCAACTCAGCCGAGTCTTCGGACTAGTACCTTGCATCCACGACATGCCTGGCATTATAAGGAGTTTCCGACGTACTTTGCAATCTGAAATTGGCAGTACACTAGAGTTCGTCAAGATGCCGTACTACACTCTCGGCGGAGCGGGGACGCACTACCCACGAGTGCGGAACGGAAGCCCTGTGCTACCGGAAAATACGCGGAGGCCCGGGAAGATCTTAAGGCGGATGCAGAGGATTCTAGATCGCGGTGGAATTCATGATTGGGACGAAGATTGGAGTGGGGACTGGGATCCTGTTGGGCTCGAGATGGATGACCAGGAGAGGATTCGCTCGTTGGATCTCGACGGTGAGTGGTTCGATTGTCATGATGTACAGGGGTATCTGGAGTACAGAGGCGTTACGCTTGACGGGGCGCTTAGATTGAGGGTTCCGGAGACGTTAGTTGGCGTTTTGAGCGGGGTCTCGCCTTTGTCGAGTGTGTCTAGTCTTTATGGTTCGCCGATGGTGACCCCCAATCCAGTGGAGTCATGGGATGTTTATACTCTTGATGTCGAGTGTTTCTTTGATCGTGAGTTTTCTCTCCCCTTTTCCTTTTTCCTTCGATTTTCACTTCACTAACATCGACAGTGCTACTCCCCAATATGCGCATCCTTGGTCGTGCCCCAGGCTTCCGGGTAGGCGATGTCGATGCTGCACTACGGGGAGCTATCTCTCGTCGGTCCTTTGCCTAGATTGAATTACATATATTGCACATAGGCAAGCAGTACTTACTCGCTGGCCAGCTAATGACTAAACGACACCAAATTAATTTGAGCCGATTCGACTTTCCGAGATCAGATTGAAAAGGATAACTCCATCACTGGCATTGTTCTGGGGTATAGCGTAGAAAAGTCCGACATAACACAAATAAACCATCAAAAAATCACATCAAAGACCACCGAAACCGCGGGTTGTCGTTCATAGTTCGAAGCCAAGTGCCGGAAGGTAGACATCCATCGCGCATATCAGTGGTAACATCTAATCGGAAGCGCTATCGTCTAGCAGCAAATCTCACAGCACTCGAAGCAAGCGATACCGGCGCACCTGGTCAAAGTTAGTTTCATGCTTATTGTGCGCGACATTGTGATGTAGGAAGAACGTACACTCCGCAACAGATACCGCCGCCGCCACCACCGCGCAGCTGCATTTGTTCTTGGGAAGACTGATAGGGTGTTAGTTATTTATTTCCGGGATATCGGATACCATGCGCGATAAACACATACGGGCTGCTCAGAGACGACGTTCTGATTGCTTGAAGGGGCAGCGGGGCTGGTGGGCTGCATAGTGACAGTGCTGGGGTTCCAGGTGGCCTCGGTGGACTCAGTGGGAGTAGACTTGAAGAAGTTGAAGTTGAACATTGTGGCGGTGAGGTGAGTAGAAGGCGAGTACGGAGTAGAGCAGGAGGTTGCGTTGAGTACTGAGTATAGTGTGTGAGAGAAAGGGAAAAAAAAGACAAAGACGAGCGAAAGGAGACTATATGTACCTTTTGCCAATAATGTGGAGGATCGGCTGAAATTATTACTGAAACAACTAGCGCTCAACAATAAGGGACTTACGTTACACGTCCCGAGTTTGTCCCGTACTGACGGGGTACATTCCTAACTTTCTTACGGCGTTAGATGCCCTGCGCGTTGCTAAGTATAGTTTTTCCGACTAATTAGAACGATGCTGCCTACGTACTACTGCGCCTACTGTGGCTTTGCACCTCAACGCGTTCCCTTTCCACTCTGCGGAGAACCACAGTACTCTATCTCCCAGTGTGTGATTTCTATTTGCATCTGGGAAAAGTGGCTACCTGTTCGTCTACTGCGCCTCTTATCCAGACGCAATCTCGCCCACGTTCGCAAGAAGGGATCAGCCCTAAATTCCGATCAGCCCTGTGAGGGCGGATTGCCAAGACCTTGGCAAAAACACTTGTATTGCACGGGTAATCTGCGGCCCGGGTATTACGGCATCCACGGATATTATGCTCGCGTCCATGGAACTATCTCTTTTTATTTCTTCTCGCTTTTGTCTTTAGCCGCTGCTCGAATAGATTTCGATGTGAGTCTTGGCTCAAAGCTTAGTGTAGCCCTACCACCTAGGCAGGGCCTGATGCGTCGCTATTTTTAGATAGCCTTCAACGTTGGAACCAGTGATCGCCCCTGAGCCTCCTTCTGGATACAACTGTCCACGGCACTTCTAAGATAAGGCTTATGAGTAAGCGGACCAGCTGACCTTGCCCGGGTGGGATCAAACTTTGATGAACGATTGTTGGTGGATCCTACGCGCCGATAGTCGTACTTTTGTATGCTACTATCAATTTTTTGGTTCAAGTTACCGCTCTCTCTGCTCAAACTGCTGGTCCTTCCCGAAATTTCTTCTGTTCGAAATAGGTATAGATTACTTCCTACTCCGTTTCCTATCATCTCAGCTTCTCGAACAAGTACTATCGATTGTGGCTCAGAATAGAACTTTCAAGGGCCATCATGAAAAGCTAAAACCCATTACTTCATATTTTCAACTTTCTTCCCCTCGTCTTGGTCATCTTCTTGATCATCTTCGTCCTACCAGATGGCTGATATGGTGTTAAAAGGCCAATAATAGCCAGTCAAAGGCTCCAATGGCCATTCTCGGATCTGAATTCCAGCCAAGCATCTGTCGTAGTGAAGCAACTCCAAGCAGCATGCCTACAGATCCCATAATATGTATATTCACAGTCAATAAGCTGGAATTGACGCGTATATACTAGTCACTCGGTGTGTTTGTAGAAATTTGTGCCCAAAAGTGCCCATATGGTGCTTGTTTGGGGAAAGCAGACATTGCTTATTTGAAATTATCACGTTCTGAGACTGTGTAGGGTCAATCGTGCTGTCGATTGAACTGAAGAAATCTGCGCTAAGCTGTACCACACCCTTTGGTGACCTGCGTTTGCGACGTCAGACTCTGGTCTTTTGTCGGCTTTGTTTTGATGTTTCGCCCCAAAAGCGGCTTGATGTGGACTTTGTTAGACGCATATAGCTCGGTGGCTTCGTACGTCGAACTTTGAATCCGAATTGTGTGGTCAGAATCCATCTCTATCGTCTGCTTTGGTTTGACTCCTCGTGTGCAAGTCACAGCCCCGTGGTAGTCTTGGGCGTCGATTTGATTAACCTCCAGGGCTGTTGAATCAGATGTTGGTCTGATTTGAGGGCCTTGTGGGCGGGTCTCCTAGTCCAGTGCTTCAATTCGATGAGAGTCAATAAAGCTTTATGCTCTGGAGCGAGCAAAATGCTCATAATCTGGCGAATGAGCATAAATGAACCATACGGTATTCCAAGGTTGTATTCCAAGGTTGTGAGACTGAAGAAAGGCCTCGGGAAGGAAAGAAGATAGAGAAAGAGAAACTTTGGAAGAGGGGCTCTCGAGACATATTCTAATGAGCTGCGTACAGTAGAGTCTGGCAAACTCAGACAACCTTGGAACCAGAACCCCGACAAATCAATCCCAAGACCCTTGGATATCCTGCATGCGAGACCAATCACGCCTGAGAATTTTGAATCATTTTGACACCAAGCAGAAATTTCCCGAGGTCTGGACGAGTGACCTCGCCTTGGTTTGGCCAACGTCATGCAAACCCTTAGGCGCGCGCTGCAAAAGATATGGCTCCGTTCTACTTGGAATTTGAGGATATCTTTCAGCGGGTTATTTCCAGGAGAGTATAGACTTTTCTTTACCCCAAAGCATGCCATCATAAATGCTAATAAATCAACAAGTATCATGACACAGATTGTTGCCAACATTGTTATGAGTGCATGTGCGGAGTAGCATGATGTGGTATGTATCACGGTCCAGACATGACTGAGCAAAATGATCAGTCATCGTTCTGGTAGGCCATTTAACCAGAGTCACCATGAAAGTCTTATGCTTGTCGTGGGGAGTTTTATTGAACGTAGATCCATGCATCCTGAAACGCCACGATTTCACACTGGTAGTCTGAAAGTTGACTCGCGGATATCAGTGGCACCGCATGGCCAAGCTCGGTCGACTTCAATACGACATCGCAGGACCTGCAAATGTGGCAAGCAGTATCACAGATGCTGCTGGCGCACTGGTGATCGTCTGACCTGATGGAATCTTGAGCCATGCTGCCCGCCCAGATAACCTGACTTTGTTTCTCGAAATATTTGACGTTTTCCTGTCCTCGGACCGTTTATCGGCTATTACAGGCGAGCTATTGAGCAGTAGATGTCTCAAGTTAGGAGAGGTGGACTCTAATATGTGCCATCTGCAAATCGCGGAGGAGTGAGCCTTGGCTTCTTAGGTGATGCGCGAGAGCCTTCTATTGGTGAGGTTGGAGGGACTGGGAGAATTCGGGTTCTGCCTCAGCTCTGCGTTGATGAAACTGCGCTTTGAAGGAAGCAGAGTGTTTTGCTTTTGGGAAATGGGAGCGATGATGATGAGGACGTAGTAAGCCCATCATCTTTCCCCTGGGTTGGGACTATCTAGACAGGACCAATCATCAAGTCAGTCTTCAATGTGAATCAACAGTCTGTCTTTTGAAATGATCATGGAGAATCTCCTACCGAATCGCCGCCTGATAGACCGCTCGAGTGGGTCAAATTTGTAGGAAGTTTGGACATGTTGTGTATTGCTCTCGATTAGGAAGGGGAACGAAGGAATTAGAAGGACAGCCAGACCCGGTCAAAGAGAAACGCTGGAACACACAAAGAGGTTGAAGCGAGATTTGAAATGCCTGCGCAGAAAGTAGGACCAGATTCAGAGTGAAAGTGGACTTGGTTGGGAAGATGAAAGCACGAGGCGGCAGCAGGAAGGGAGTCGCTCAGGTGTGTGTGCTCCTCAGCTCCGGCCCGCAGTGTACACGGCTTCTTTTCTCTCTACTCTTTCATCCATCTCTGCTGCATACTGTTATTCATGTCACTATCGTTTGATCTCACTCTTTGCTATTGATTTTAGACGTGTCATTCTCCCCAAACCTAAGGTGTCGTCGAGCGAGCGAACAGCAGGTTATATAAGTGCAACCTCTGGCCCAAACATAAAATGTGGGGACTTGAGTCCGGCTGAACAAGCCGCAACACACGGGCAGCAGAGTGAACGGCATACAATGGAAGATGAGATGGCGGTCTCTAAGCTCAACATGTGGAATGTGTGGACTTTGGTGGATCAGCATCGTCGGGACAATCCACACTCGTGCAAATCTGTGTTCAGCCTCGGGTTGGCGATTTTATAATAGGTTTGTCGATCGTGTCGACATCCGCCACCTCGTCTCCGATCACACTGTCGAATCTGTCCCCCTTGACGTAATTCGGACTAAACGGGTAGGAGTCACCCCTTTGCACATAGCCACATTTGCGGTGACCGACCAGTTGTAAATCACATTGGAATATTTGGAATGGGTGTTTAAAGGTTTCGGATGTGTCGATCGATTGAGGGAAAGATCTGTAGTCTGTATGTGTAGATCTACGGAGTAACAGACACTAAACTACTCCCCGACACGAAGTCCTCCCCGATTTGAATGGGTCTCCGTGATACTCATAGATTTACGTCCAAATAAAGCCATGAGTGGAGGTGATCGATTTTAGTTAATACTATTCATCTAATCTTCTAGTGCTATCTGCTCTAAACTATTATAGAAGGTGAGACAGTATGGATCTATCATGCGGGTAATTGGCCCGGCGTATTTACTCTAATTTACTAAATCGACCCGGGGGAGTGATAGGTGTGTCCTCGAAGCCTGTGTAGATCTACAAGACGCTAGATCCTTCATAGCGTGATTGGGTTGAATTTTGGATCTACGTTGGGACACGAGTAGACTCCTCGGGATAGGTAAAAAGTGAGACAGTACGGATCACCTGGATCCTCCCGCGGGAGCTTTTGAACAGTGTCACTTACTCGATCCCACTCGATCGCGGGTCGGATAGTGATCTCTCGATGTCTAGTGATGGGGCTATACGAGTATTCTGAGACATATATCCATTGGTCGTATACTTCCATTCGCTGTCCCATAGGCGGTCTCATCGGGAGCAATCGATATACGGCAAGGATGAGCACGTTCGGAAATGTAGATCCCCTCGGCTCACGGCGAATAAAATCTCTACAATTGACAAGATGCTACAGGATGAAGTATCCTGGATATCTGTATGCAGTTTCTCAAGAGTGTTGAACCTTCAAAATATGAATAGCAGACACATCAAAAGTGACATGTTTGTCGACCCACCAAAGTGTTCGCCTACGGATTACACTCCAATCCGTGCTGCCACTCGAACGGCTTAGGAATCGTCAGATTCCCCCCCGGGGAGCAGCGGATAATTAAAACAGCACTAGCCCCATAGCGGAAAGATCGTCTCCTTTCCAGATGGCTAAGGATAGACCAAACTAGTCATTCCCATGGATCAACCTAAGCTGTTAAAACAGTGGGACGCTGTCAAAAGTCGGATCGTCAGCAGAGAATGCCTTTGTTCTCGAACACCATTCTATGCCAACTGCCCGGAAACATATGCAGGGGGAAAAGGCTCGGCGGTCCCTAAACCGTACACGAATCCCGGAAAGTTGGCTAGCAGCCCACTTAGGGCGCCGCCTATCCCGCGTCTGGTGGATTGCCGGTCTCGCCAAATCACACTACTGTGGACAGTGGGTGTTTGTTAGCTTAATGCTCCTGAAAAAAATTCACCCTTTTGACGCCGGGCTAGGCAGGCGAAGATACCTGCTTTTTTCCGTGCGCGCGGAGCGGGGCACGAGTTCCGGACAGCTCGAATTCTCCACAGGTCGGCATTTTCTTAATTTGTTTCTGACGATCTCCTGGTGCGGCTCCCGCTTGACCGTTGACTCGTAATGGGGTTATGTAGCGTTGGCTTTGTTGATCCTTTCCTACCATTCGCTGGTGGCAACAGTTGAAGAGTAGCCTCGGCGCACCTAAAATGCCCCTGACAGACAGACTTTTACTTGATCTCCCCGCTGTCCACTTATTTTCGTTTTGAGTCAAACTCTCATGCAACCGTTTTTTGTCACATCTCATTTCGACTGTCACCATGGCCAGCGATGAGGACTCAAGGAACATGGCCATTAAGGTCGTCGCGGGCCTGTTCATGTCTATAGCTGCCGTGGCCGTGGCACTACGATGCTATGTTCGTGGATTCTTAGTGAAAGCATTTGGATGGGATGATGGTGCGATGGTGATGGCTATGGTAAATTCTGCTCAATTGCCTATGATCATATCACATACTAATTTTGGAATTAGGCCTGGTATGCAATGTTTTGCGGGTCTATGATTGGAGCAGGAATCCATGGAAATGGGCGACATTGGTACAGTGTGTCGGCAGAAGATCGAGTCATTGCCATGAAGGTGAGCAGAGGCTAGATTATTGTTCAAAGTGCACGACTAACTCTCTGCTAGTACTGGTGGCTCTGCGAAATTGGATTCTGTTTCGCATCTATTTTCTGCAAGATCTCAATTTGTATCTTCTTGATGCGCATTTGTATCAACCGGACGCATATTCTGCTCCTTTATTCCGTCATGGTTCTGACAGTCCTTGCTGGACTGGTGTTCATGTTCCTCATGCTGTTGCAATGCAAGCCATTGTCCTTTTTCTGGACTCGATTGGCTTATCACCCAGTCCGAAATATCCCCGGGGAAGGCAAATGTATTGATATGGAAATCATCATTGCCATGACATACGTTTACAGTGCCTTTGCCGCGATGTGTGATTTCACCGTGGGAATTTTGCCAATCTTCGTTGTGCACAACTTGCAGATGAAGAAGCAAACAAAAGTGGCCGTCATTGGAATTTTGAGCATGGCCTGCATGTATGCAACTTCCTGCGCTCCGTTTGCGGTGTCAAGCTAACCTCCTCCAGTGCATCCTCCGCCGTGATTGTTCGTATTCCATTCGTTAAAACGTTCGATGATCTGAACGACTTTTTGTGTAAGTTCTGTCTTCACATCGCATTTGGTCAAGTTACTGACCCACAAGTAGACGCCACCGTCCAAATCGCCTACTGGTCGAATCTCGAGGCTGGCCTCGGTATAACAGCTGGCTGTCTCGCAACCCTCCGTCCCCTCCTTCGCCACTGGTTTGGCTCACGCGCAGATCCATCCTACTCGGCTGGATTCCCCAAAGATACATACGGACGTCGCACTGGTGCGAGTCAAAGTCGTCCTGTCCCTCTCAGCTCGATGAATGGAAACGAGCGAGGTGATTTGAGACCCGATAAGCTGGCTGTCATGGTCACAAACATTGAGAGCGACAGAGATTTGGAGCGTTCTTGGCCTCAGCCATCAAGCCCGAGCAGCAGCGAAGAACGATTGACCATACAACCTCCACTTCCAGGAAGAATGGAGGTGGGTATCCATCAGACATTTGAGGTTACCAGAACTGTCGCAGACAGTGACTTTGGGGATGTGGCTCATTGGACCGCGCGAGAGCATGTATAAGATACCTTCCTTACAACTAAAATTTCCTAATCAATCGTCATGTATATATCACTACCTACATACTATATACGAGCCAATGTGGTCTTTAATATACGAGCTTGTTAATATACTTAGGTTTTTTTAAGTTATTGCGCATGTGCTCCATCCATCTAATTAGCGTTCAACGCTGAGAGATCAGATACAATACCCATTGTTCGGCTAGGTACGGAGTACTCCGTACGGAGGAGCAACGTATGACATTGGATTCCACTCAATTGGTCACGACAACTGTTCAACCAAGCTCTACAAGCCCCTGTTCCAAGGTTTCCCCTTTCAACACCCCCTAAGAAATTCGAGTCTTGGATCGAGGTATCCATCCATCCGAGTTTTGACATTACCCTATTGTGGGTATACTGGAAAGACTAAATCCACTCTTCATGGATGTGGAGACCGATCGGCAGGCCCTACTTAAAATTTCTTCACTCGTGTTCGGTCAATCACCGGTGAAGCCCTAAGAACAACAATCGAACATGTATGCTGATGTCTATGCGGGGGAGAAACAGAAGCTTTCTTAGAAATGGCCGCGTATGCAAGTAGTCCGCACGGAGTACGGAGTATTGTCACAATTAATGATTCAGGGGTTATGGTTGGCTACAAGTAGTACTCCGAACAGCAAGCCGTGTTGCTCCGTACGACGGCTGTAACTTTGAAAGTCGGTATTCACCATGATCTCATTTCCTGCACTGTGAGAATGGAGAACTACGGAGCACTCATTTGTATGTATAGTCTTGAACATAAGTTAGGAAAGCTTTGGATTAGTCTAGCTTCTCGAAATTTCGGCTTAAGGGCACATCCGTGGAGAATGAAAGTCGCCGGGCCTGAGTTGCCGAAGATGAAACAAGGTACTCCGTATGATCCTCGTTCTTGTACGAGAGCGATGCGAATGTTCTTGTTCGTTCATTAATTTTGAGTAGTAGAAATATGGCATCTAGTATATTTTACTGATCGATTGCTAAGTGTAATCTCCTAATAAGTTGGATTATCTACTCTGTGGCCCTGGAGGATTGTGGGATGGGTTACAGAGGCAAACAAATAAAAAGAAATTAAGCAGATAAACATCGACCCGTTATTATAAAATCTACTCCATAATAAGCAGGCCTAATACCCAAGATGAACCGGCTAAAATTAGATCCTTCAATCAGGGGGTTGTGGGTTCGACAATGGAAAGCTCAGACTCATTTCTCACAGCTTGGACAATATCCCATCCGGTCGCAGAATGGAGAGATACGAACTTTGAATTTCGCTGATGGAGCGACAACTGAATGCAGTTAGAACACTTATTTGGGGTTCCAGAAAACAAGAAGAACTTACCCAGCAAGGGCCATAGTGATGCGCAATTCTTGGCGAAGGATTCGAATCGCCAATTCTACTCCGTCTTGTCCGTTATACTAAACCTGTAAGCGAAGGTTCAAAAAAGCCACAATTTGCCCACTTACAGCAAGACCCCAGAATGGAATTCGTCCAATGAAACAGAAGTCCGCTCCCAAAGCCAAAGCCTTGAAAATGTCGGAACCTCGTCGGATACCACCATCCACAGCGATCGGGATACGTCCCTTGGCGATAGGCGCACAGACACGGAGAGCGTCTAGTGTCGATGGCATCCCATCCAGTTGACGACCTCCATGGTTGGAGATGACGACTCCGTTAACGTTGTATTTGAGAGCGAGTTCGATATCCTCGGGGGTGGTTACTATATGTCACACAATTAGCGGGTGGAGTCCATGTTTCATCACCTCAATGTTTAGTACATACCACCCTTGAGCCAGATAGGCAAAGAAGTGTGCTCTCTCAACCAAGGAATAGTGGCTTCCCAATCAAGGCTAGGGTCTATATTTTATCAGTTTGAAATTACCCCCGTCATATTGTTTGCAACATACCATAATCGGTGCGATCCGAGTGGTCAGCGCCGTGGCTCAGGATATTCGGCCATGCCATATCTTCTGGGATGGTGTATTCATGGCGATATTCATTCAGTCGCTTTCCTAAGACAGGCACATCAACAGATAGGAATAGTGCTTTGTATCCCGCCTCTGGAAAATGAATAACCGGGTCAGCCTGTGTCGAAACTATATGTTGGATTTCTCCGGAGTAATATGACAACATACTCTCTGCGCGCTCCAAAAGCTGAATTGTGAGTGATCGATCCCGCAAAACACACATCTGCATCACGTATGGGTTTCCAGTACCCTGTGCGGCGACATCCTCAAGTGGGTAGTTTGAGTAGGAGGAGAGACCCATGCAGAGGCCGTATTCTGCGGCTGCACGAGAAGTTGCTAGCTCGCCGTCGGAGTGCGCGAGTTTCATAGATGCGGCGGGACTGAAGCCAAAAGGAAGCGAGACCTTCGGTGTGATGGTTAGATTGTTTCGACAATTGGCGTTGTCGCACGTACCTTGCTTCCAAGGATCTCGGTGGTTGTGTCGATCTTGTCAACATTTTTCAGGATTCGAGGGCGGATCTTATACCGATCATATGCGGTTTCGTTTTCGTTGAGGCTGAGGGAGCAGAGTTAGAGATACGGATGGCTCAATTGAGCTTCAAGACATACGTGATCAAATCCATAGCTCCTTCATTGTAGTAATCTGTCGAGTTCAGCACAAGCCGACGAATTGTCGATTCGCAATGAAGCTTTACCTCTCACCATTGGTGCCAGCCGACTACTACCCAGCCTTTTCAGGTCGGCAATGCAGCACACATCTTTGTGAAGAGTCTCTCCGCGGTGGGCCATTGTGATACTCTTTGTTCGTGATAACAGGGATGGGTGGAAAAAGGGTTGCACAAGGAAAGAAGACGATACGATTCATATAAGAGGATCTTTGAACAATTCTCAAAGGACAATCCCGAGGCAAGTTTGTTACCGAATTCAGCTATGCAACATGACCTTCCCTTTGCTGTACATTGGTTTGTGGGGTTGGCTTCCTATCATGGCAGTCCCCGCAAGTATTACCCGGAGTCGCTTGCCACGTCGAGATTTTGGGACAGTGTCACAGGATAATATTGGAACGATTTGGTTGAATGGGGCATTCATGTGAGCGGGTATGATCCTGATTGAGCAAAGTGTGTTACATTACCTCCCATAGCTTGGATTGGCTACAAGTAAACTATAGTATAACTTGCCGTGTGTTGCGAAGACTCTAAGCACGGGTGCTCTTGCAAGCTCAAGTAAAAACAATCAGATGTTCCATTGATATTGACAGGATGAGAATGCATCTATCAAATTTCCCATCCTCAAACCTTACAGCACGAAAGCAGAATTTCAACTTCTGGTGCCGCTGATGAGCAAGTAAATTTTCGGTGTACCTAAGGCACGTACCCTAGCTCTCACAGTTCCAAGTGCATTGAAAATAATCGTGCTCATCTATGAGATTGGCCCCAAGGCATATCCCTTGTGAGCATGGTGGTCACTTAGTGAAAGCACTATTTACATGGTGTTTGCTTTTGGCGTTGGAGTTGAGTGGAAGTTGGGGGAGTGGACGGAAAGAGCAGGCGATTCCGAGCAGATAAGCAGATAAGGGTGGCGGGGCTATCTTCGGGGAGGCGACTCCGAGTTTTTGCGGGGTGACCATCTCCAGATTTCGTGTTTGGGACATAGGAAGCATTGACAAGTTCAAGAAGTTCCTGATAAATCAGAAATCATACGTTTATGATCCTTTCACTATGGTGAGCTCTAAGCGACCCCGACCTCGTCGATCCCATGTGCTCGGAGGTTGCAGCACCTGCAGACGTCGACATGTCAAATGCGACCAGAAACGGCCCGTTTGCCGAACATGTCGGGCACTTGGCGTGCCATGCGAGGGATACTCCGATCAAGTGCTTTGGATGCGCTCCGACAGCAACGAAGAAGTTGAAGGCACTCGGCGTGGTACGAGAAGGCATCTTTACACAGGTGAGAGCGAGCCCTCAGTTGACTTGTGATTTTTTCCATTTACTCATATAAATTAGAGCAATCTAGACTTTCCATGAGCGCGGCTTTAGGATCCGACCTGGTATCCGGCTCAATTGATGCATCACTAGCAGAAGTCGACTTGAGACTGCGAGACCCGGATCGGGTTGCCGAAGGTGACATTGTCATTGGCCCTTTTGCGGTCCTTGATTTCTCCTCAGCACCACAGAAGCCGGAGCTCGAAGTGGCAGAAATAGATCCTGATGTGGATCTCATTGATCCGAATCTAGCCACAGCTATCGAAGCCCCGGAAACTGTGGCCCCCGAGGACGTGCAGAACCCTAGCCCGTCTTCGATACTTGACTCTCTATCTCATATTGACGACTTTCTTCATTGGTCCGATTTGTTGAGCTTTAGTCCAGACCAATCAGGGTTCACGTCAAATAGCGCTCTGACTATACCCAATGATCTATCATTTGATATGAGCCACGAAATGGGCTTGCTGCCAGCTGAATCAGGCCACAACGATGAATTCCTTCGGATACTCACTCCACAACAGACTCCGGCAGAGCCAATATCCTCTGATATAGATGCATTGAAAGATGCACCATGTCTCCTGAAACACTTCCAAGATATCGTCATACCCCATATAATGGCTATTCCTTGTCGACAAAAGTCACCTTGGAAGATACTGAACGTCCCTGCGGCAGTTGTTACTTACAGTGATACGACGTTCCTTGGCACCGAGAAAATAACACATGCAAGAATGGCAAACCTTTTTGGTTTGCTTGCCTGCTCTGCTATTCATCTTGTTCTCAACCCCTCTGCGAGCTCGTCGAAGACCCCTGAATATTGGTGGCAGGTGGCGAACCAAGCATACCAGGAAGCGAAGGATCACATGCAAACTTCCTTGAATTATGAGACGCAAGGTCTGAAAAAGGCAAAATACAAAGACCAGTTGATGGCTGCATGTATTCTTATACAGTACACAGTAAGTGCTTGCCCCCAGGATTATGGCAAGCAGCTCTGACGTTTACAGATAATGTCGGGCCAGCAACAGCATGCTCGGTGCTTTATGATTGACGCAGAGCGGTTATTACGTCTACGAGGCCTTTCAAAAACAAAGATATCCAAAAAAGCGCGCCTGTTACATCATGTCTACACCTGGCTGAGAATAGTTGGAGAGAGCACTTTTGTCTTACATGACTATAATCTTTCCTCATCATCTCTCGAAGCACTCGGATCTCGTTTCAGAGCTCGGTCATTGAGAAGCTCAGCCGAGTCGGAAGTTTCCGAGCCAAACCCTCGCCTTGATGATTTTCTTCGCCTCGAAACACAAAACTCAGATAGTGATCTCAATATTGATGAACCCAAAGATCAAGCCTCTGCCCTTTACGACATCCATCTCCAAGACTCGCGAAGCCACCCAGAAACATTGTACAAGCAGATCTACGGGATTCCAGAGACATGGCTTAGCCTCGTGTCTCAGACAACAAGACTAGCCAATGTCTTGGAAACATTCTGTGTTGCCAGAGAGGTAGGGAAGAATGTGAACCTGAGAGCTTGGGAAACACTCCAAAGGCGCAGCATGCGTTTAGAGAACATGATCTGCTCCTTCAGTCTGGGTCGCACAAGAGCCGGTGTTCTAGAGCTCCATGCCGATTCCAAGTCACATGGTCACATGGTTGAAGCTTTAAATGCCGCGCTAGTGATATTCTTCTACAAAAGAATCCGACACACTCATCCAGCGGCTCTACAAGGTCACGTTGATAGTGTCATTACAGCACTCGAAGCATGCAGCGCGACAAGGACGGAAGAAGATCCGACTGGCCCGGGAACGGCGTGGCCTTTGTTCATTGCTGGTTGCGAAGCGATCTCTGCCCCTCGTCGTGAGGCAATTATGGCCTTGCTGGACAAGGCCAGTACGGTATGTGGATTTGCCGCTTTTTCGGCCGCGAGAAATATTATCTGCGAAGTATGGAGCAAACAGGATGAGCATCTTACTGCTAATCGAGGGGAATCGATGCCTTCGTGGGTGGACATTGTGCAGCAAGGGCAAACTTGGCCGTTATTCTGTTGATTTTTGCAAGATTGTTTATTACTCGATCGATTGTGACGATTGACTTTCTAACATGTCTTATGAACCTGTACTACCTACGCAGCCGTTTTGGAAATTCACGAGCATATTCAATAAACTGACGTCATATCAACATTCAAGCATCAAAAATTCTATATAATTATATGACATAGCAAATTTAGACAGTCTTAACACCGGCCTTTTCCAAAAGCTGCTTCAACTCAGCGCGCAACTCAGGCTTAAGAAGAGCGAAGGGCTTGCGCAGACCACCGGTAGGCTGGCCAATCAATTCAACACCGGTCTTGACAGCCGCGGAGTAGCTGTGTGACTCTAGGAACTTGCAGATAGGGAAAGCCTTGGCCCAGAGCTCACGTCCGAGCTTCAAGTCACCCTTCACTGCAACTGCATTATAGAGCTCAACAGCCAACTCGGGGATGATGTTTGCAGCACCCCAGACACCACCGGGGGCACCAGCGGTAAGGCCGTAGAATGTCAAAGTATCCCAACCATTGAAAGAGGTAATCTGATCAGACAGACTGAAGATAAGCTCCGTCAGTGCAGGTGCATCGCCAGAGGTATCCTTAAGATACTTAACACCGACCTTGGAAAGTCCGGCAATCTCAGTGGGAGTGAGCTTGAGGCCCGATGCACCGGGGATGTTATAGTAGACAATAGGCAGGTTGGAGGCCTTGTGAACTTCATCGAGAAGCTCGTGGAGCTCCTCAAGGGTGACGGGGTCGTAGAATGGAGGCACGACCATAGTGGCAGCGGCACCGGCCTTGGCTGCGTGTGCGGAGAGCTCAACGGCCTCGGTGGAGGAGAGACTGCCCGTTCCTGCGACAACGGGGACGCGACCAGCGGCAAACTTGACACAGAGCTCGGTCAGCTGCTTTCGCTCGGCGACTGTCATTGTGGTAAATTCTCCGGTGCTGCCACCGGGGACGAGACCGTGCACGCCGGCCTTAATGAGGTGCTCAATGTGAGCTTGGAGACGACCTTCATCGATGGCAGTCTGGTCATCGTTGAATGGGGTGATAAGAGCGACGAGGATTCCGTGAAGAGACATTTTGAAGGTATACGGAGGTATAAAGGAGAAGGTAGATGTTGAAGTTTGAATTGGAAGTATGTGCTGGGTGAAGCGATGATGATCTAGATATAGTTGACTCTCTTGTGGAGTCTCTTTCCATTTCGACATGATTTGGAGATGTTGGTGGTTCTATTTACTTCGAGTCGCAAATGCAGGAACCGCTTGCTCCTTCGGGATGCACTTCCCAAAAGGGAATACCAGCATCACCGTGTCCACTCCGCTTCATTTTTTTCGGACTGTCGCAATTACTGCATGTGTATATGGTACTAGGTAGAAGATGCTATAGCTAGTTCCAAACATCAGACTTCCGGGGCTTTGATGATCTTCTGTGATAAATTGTGCTAGGAATAAATCAATATCTCTGAGGAGCAGCCCTAAGTAAAATGTGTCCTAACATTATTTACTTTAAGGCTGCAAGTATGCTGCACAGAATATCACAGTAGTTCAATATGACAGTACTTCTAGAAGCTAGCCGTAGGAATGGACCATGATGACACAATATTGGGGAATATGTATCTCGAGTCATGAGGTACCCGGGAGGTCTCTTAAGTCGATTTGGCACTTGACTTCGACTTCCCCACAATACAAGTGAGGAAAAGGCACGGTTGGAGTCGGATAAGAAAAGCAATTGGAATGTGATTATTTGACTTGCAGCCTGCAACTATAATGGCGTGCATGGAGTCGCTTTCTGAATTGACCGATGCGCCGGAAGGACTTACCAGATCGGGCTTAACGTGGTTGGACGATGCGACATGGAAAACGTCTTATATCAAACACCACGCGCCTCCAAAGTGAATCCAGCTCAATTTTCGAAACCAAAATGGATCTCTTCGTCGATATCGTCACTCCCAACGGTCGGAGCTACAAGCAGCCCACCGGACTTTTTATCAACAACGAGATTGTGCCCGCAACTGGGGGCCAGACCATCACCTCTATCGACCCCGCGTACGTCATAACAAACAGCTGCAATACTTTCATGAGACTAACCATCCGAATAGAACCGACAAGCCCATTGCCACCGTCCAAGCTGCTAGTGCCGAAGATGTCGATCGTGCTGTGAACGCTGCCAAGGCGGCCCTGGTGCATCCCTCATGGAAGCAGCTCCCCGCCACGGAGCGGGGCCAATTGATGGCCCGACTTGCCGATCTTATGGAAGAGAACCGAGAGCTGCTCGCTTCTATCGATGCATGGGATAATGGTATGTATGGACTTTATATCACTTGCGGCCAATCACTCACTTTCCTCAGGAAAACCTTACCATGTCGCCGTCGATGAAGACCTCACCGAGGCAATTACCACAATTCGCTACTACAGTGGATGGGCCGATAAGACCTTCGGTCAAACCATCAATACAACCCCCCAAAAGTTCGCTTACACAATTCGCCAACCTATCGGTGTCGTCGCCCAGATCATTCCTTGGAACTACCCCCTGTCGATGGCCACCTGGAAGCTTGGTCCCGCATTAGCTTGTGGAAACACAGTTGTGCTAAAGCCTGCTGAGCAGACTCCCTTGAGTGCTCTTATTCTCGGAACTCTGATTAAGCAGGCCGGCTTCCCTCCTGGCGTCGTCAACATCGTCAATGGCTACGGACGCGACGCAGGCGCCGCGCTCGCCTCACACCCTCTGGTGGATAAGGTCGCATTTACAGGATCCACGGGTACTGCTCGGGAGATTATGAAGATGGCCGCAGGCACCCTTAAGAACATTACACTCGAGACCGGTGGCAAGTCCCCTCTGGTCGTGTTCCCAGACGCGGATTTGGACCAGGCTGTCAAGTGGTCGCATGCCGGAATCATGTCCAACAAGGGCGAGATCTGCACCGCCACCTCAAGAATCTATGTCCACCGCGATATTATCGACTCATTCACCGCCAGCTACAAAAAAGCAGTTGAGAGCGTGAAGATCGGTGACCAATGGGACGAGGCTGTATTCCAGGGCCCACAGGTCACCCGCGCCCAATACGATCGCATTCTCTCCTACTTCGAGATCGCCAAGAGCGAAGGTGCCAATATCATCACTGGCGGTGCTGCATACAAGCCCACAGATGCGAAGAACGCAAACGGATACTTTATCCAGCCTACCGTGATTACCAATGCCAGCGATTCTATGCGCATTGCTCGTGAAGAGATCTTCGGTCCGGTCGTAGTGATCTTCCCCTTCGACGACGAGGAAGAGGCAATTCGCCGTGCGAACGACACAACTTACGGTCTTGGTGCATCTGTCTTCACGCGCGATCTGGAGCGTGCTCACCGCGTCGCTGCGGAGATCGAGTCCGGTATGGTGTGGATCAACAGCAGTCAAGACTGCGACCCCCGCATTCCATTCGGAGGCGTGAAGCAGAGTGGTATCGGGCGTGAGCTGGGAGAGGCTGGTCTAGAGGCTTACAGCCAGACTAAGGCGGTCCATGTGAACATGGGCACCAAGCTATGAAGGCCGATATTGATTACACGATAGAATAAGCATTCTGATGCACATATTTTCACGCTAGAAATGATTTCAAATAAACACGACAAAAATATTACAACATCAGCTTAGAAATGTCGGAGTCGTAACCTGGGTATCTTCATCGGAATCACTTGCCATACCTCAAAGAGTCCCTAAACTGATGTGTAGCCTCATACACTACTCGTGGGTCCGGTGGATTCAACTGCGTGATTTATTCTTGCTCTGGAGTAAAGTAGGCAGATAGTGACATGGGGGAGTTGGTCATGGATGGAAAAGGAAAGCGACTCCGGACGATCAACCTGCGGGACCCCGTCGATGTTAACCCCAGAATTTTTGACGAAAAGACAGGCCATAAACCCGGGGTAAATGATGGGGATTGGGGAGATCATATATCCATGAGTAGTTTCGCCCTGGTCTACTTTACTAATTTGTGCAATTATATCCAACCACGTTGTTTCACGCCACTAGTCTCCAGAAAATACAACTTTGCCCTAAAAAAAGGCCGCTAAAGTTGAGCCAGCAGGCGATTCCGTCTTTGTAGATAAGACCTTTTACGCATTTTCATATTAATCATCTTGTCTGTAATTTCCGTAGTAACACCTGGATGTTTCATTGAGATAGAATCTATCTATGCTATCAATTGAGATGCCATTCGGCGTTTTCTAAATCGCAATGCTTAATAGTATGGCAAACTACCCCATACCGGTCAGTAGGCCCTCCACAACCCGACTACTAGCGAGACAACAGTGGCTATCTTTTTGTCTGTAAATGGAAGGAGAGTAGAAGTGGCTCCCCGCAATCCCCGGGTTTCAAGGGAATGCCCTTCCCAATGGTTCAATGGCTCTTATGCTTCTATTCACCCTGTTTCATCATTGCAGTATTATTATCACTTAAGAAGACATTTACCTTATCCTCCACCTCAATCCATGATGAGATCTTTCAATATGAGGTCTGAAATTGTTGATTTACCCACTTCCAATGAAGATGTTGAGTCAGCGGTTGAAGACACAGAAAGTTTACACGGGGAATTGGAAAAGCCTGCTCCCACTGAAGAGCGACAGGATGCTTTTGGAAATGAAGAAAATGCCGAAATCAAGTACAAAGTCTTGAAGTGGTGGTATGTGTTGAGCGCCTGTGATCTCTCTCCTTCGTTTATTGATTCGCTGTTGCAGGCAAGGAGGCCTTCTGATGGTCGCCGAGACAATTTCGTTGGGAATCCTTTCTTTGCCAGCTGCTATAGCTGGACTCGGTCTGGTTCCAGGACTCATCATTCTTATCGGCCTTGGACTACTTGCCACATACACAGGTCTAGTGATTGGACAGTTCAAGTTGAGACATCCTCATATTTCGAGTATGGCTGATGCCGGGGAGGTTCTAATGGGTCCCTTTGGTCGAGAACTATTTGGAACTGGTCAACTCCTATTCTTGATTTTCCTGATGGCTAGCCACATCTTGACTTTTACCGTGGCTCTAAATACGATCACCGGATATGGCACCTGTTCGATTGTGTTTGGTGTTGTTGGCTTGATCCTTTCCTTGATCCTTTCCCTTCCTCGAACTCTTGAAAAGATGTCTTGGCTATCACTTGTTTGTAAGCCTGACCTTGGAAGCCTTTCCTCACAACTTCTCGATTCTAACTTGGAACAGCTTTTATTAGTATTTTCATTGCCGTCGTGGTCACGATGATCGCCCTCGGAATACAAGATAATGGTGCCCCCGTCCGTGCAGTCGCGGAAGCCAACTTGGTGACGGGCTTTATGTCGGCATGTAACATCGCGTTCTCATATGGTGAGCACAGCCTAAGATGAGACTGCAGATCCCAGCCTAACAATTCACAGTCAGTCACAACACTTTCTTTACCTTCATGGCCGAGTTGAAGGACGCGAGAGATTTCCCCAAAGCTCTGGCACTTCTGCAATCCATTGACATGACACTGTACATTGTCGCCGCGGTTGTCATTTATCGCTATACCGGTGCCGATGTTGCTTCTCCTGCACTTGGCTCCGCTGGACCACTGATTTCGAAGATTGCCTACGGAATTGCGCTCCCTACAGTAAGGCCAAATCACTCACTGAATTATGCTCAAATGCTTACCCTATCAGATTGTAATTGCTGGCGTTATCAACGGCCATGTTGCCGCAAAATCGCTCTACGTCCGTATGTTTGCTGGCACAGACCGGATGCACAAGAGAGATTGGATCTCCACTGGCTCCTGGGTGGCCATTGCCTTCGTGCTTTGGGTCATCGCCTGGGTCATCGCCGAAGCAATTCCTGTGTTTAACAATCTTCTTAGCCTGATCGTAAGTGCTACCTGCGTAAGACCTGTCTGTAAATAGAGGACTGACCCATGATACTTGAAAACAGACCGCTCTGTTTGGCAGCTGGTTTACCTTCGGATTCACTGGCATGTTCTGGCTGCACATGAACAAAGGGCTATGGTTCTCGTCGCCCAAGAAAATCATGTTGACGATACTCAATGTCTTTGCTATCTGTGTTGGCGTCGCTTTGGTGAGTGATATCGCTGGGATTCTTCCGACCTTGGAGAGATCTTTGACTAACAAAATCCAGTGTGTTCTCGGTCTCTATGCTTCAGGATCAGCTATCCATGACAGTACTGGCAGCGCTAGTTTTTCATGTACTGCTGATAATGCCTAAAGGTAGGCTACGACTAGACTATAGAACATTCGAGAATGATTTGAATATATTAGAGCTTTGAATGAATATTGTGTTACTACCATGACCGAATACTCAAGTGACGCGAGAGATATCGAGGTCCGGCCCCGTTTAGCATTTTGACCTCCTTTGATCACAAGAAGCCAACAAATTAGAAAGCCTGAGCAAATGGCCCCCACTAGCCCTCGGATGATGATACCTTGGCTTCTTGGCGTTCGGCACCAGCACCGATTAGGAAAGTGGTCAGATTGTTCCGCGCATTTCGATCTGATTAGATTATAATCTGATCAGCAAACATCTAAACCTAGAAGCACGCTCGTCGTTGATTGTTACAGGGTTTATCCCCACTTCTTCAGCTTTGATTCTTTCTATCCGACCTTGGAAATGGCAGAGTATAGACATCTGGCAAATGCCCACCCACAGTGGGTTGATGTGAGTATCCCCACGTGGAAGTGTGTCCCCTTCGCTGACTGCAGGAAGTTCCCTAACAATCTTCCCCCAAACACCCGCCGAGTTCCCATGACTAGGGACCATCTTCCAATTACTCCTCAAACTGGTCTGGACATCGACGAATTCACCATCCCTGCCCGAGATGGCCATTCGATCTGCATACGCTCCTACAAACAAACTGGCGGCACGGACTTAGCGCTTCTGGCATACCTGCATGGTGGAGGATTTGTCACAGGCGGCCTAGAAACGGATGATGCCTTATGCCGCAACCTCGCAGCGCAAGTGCCCCTGGTGGTCTTGAATGTCGAATATCGCTTGGCACCCGAGAACAAGTTTCCTGTCGGATTTGAAGACAGCTTTGATGTTGTACGCTGGGTATGTCACAAACACACAGTCCAAGGAGCGATAGGGAGCTCATAGGATAATACAGGTTGCATCTCATGGATCTGCCCAGCTACCGATCAACCTTCAACAAGGGTTTTTGCTAGGTGGAACCTCTGCTGGTGCCAACTTCACAGCCGGGATCTCACATTTGGCTGTCCGTGAAGGGCTATACCCTCCGCTGACAGGTCTTCTCTTTCTAGCTGGGAGCTTCTGTCATCCAGATGCACGTCCGGCAAAATATCAAGATCGCATTCTGAGCGTTGATGAAATCAATAACGCGCCAGGATTGACAAGGAAGTCCATTGATTACTTCGCAGGTAGGTCAGAATGATGCAAAGTATTACTGTTGAACTGACTTGTATACAGGAAAATATGGCGCGCCGCCCGAGGATAAACGACTTTCTTCCCTGCTCTTTGAGTCACATGCTGGTCTGGCACAGAGGGCGGCATTCTTCGTTTGTGGATGGGACCCTCGGCGGGATGAAGCCTTGCTGTTTGAACAGCTTCTCAAGCAAGAGAAGATTGGAACCAAACTATATGTCTATCCGGGTCTGCCTCATGGATTCTGGACTACGTGCCCAGATCTAGAGGTTTCAAAGAGCTGGCGGTCGGACTTGGTGGAAGGGGCTCAATTCCTGTTGAAGTAGCCTCGTAAGTTTGGGTGTGAGGGGTAAATCATTAACCTGCTTAGGTTTGTGACGGACCCAATACCGATTTTGCCTCCCAAGAGACTACAAGCCATGTAGTAAAGTCAGATGTGTCATGCTATATTTCATAATATACACCATGGATAATCCTTGGGTCATCATTGATGTGTTCCTCGTATACGGGGTCCCAAAGGGGATAAGTTCCGTCTTTTTTGGCGCCCGCACATGATACCCAAGCTGACCAGCTTCTGATTGTAGACTTTCAAAAACATCAAGCTTCCACGTATAAGAATCAAGAAACCGCCCAGCCAGAACTTTGCGCTCAGATCTGAAAATATGTCGTGTCCCGATTGCTTCAACGGCCATGTGCACGAAGGGACCCCCCGTGGTGAGGTCACCACCTTGCACGGGTTGAATGCCTACACTGCATCGCCGTCCGATGCACCTCACCGCGGCATCATCATCATAGTGCCTGATGCTTTTGGTTGGGAATTTGTGAACAATCGCATTCTTGCCGATAGTTATGCTGAAAAGGGGAAATATCTTGTCTATCTTCCCGACTTTATGGATGGTGCGTACTGCCTACGTTTCTAAAGAATCGCTTCTCCGAAAAAGAAAGACTCGCTGAATTTCTATTGCAATTCCAGGACACGCAGCGCCCGTCAGCATGCTAGCCAATACGAAAGAGCTGCTCCGAACGGATGGACTGACAACTTGGCTCACAAAGCCGTAAGTCACTTCCCTTCTGCAACAAACTAGAGCAAAGACCCTGTGAATCCGCAGAATTCCCTTGCTGAAATAAACGATAGATATTACTTAGCTTCAGTGATGACCCAGATCATTCCTTTCAAAATGTACAACTCCTTCGAAGCATCATGGCCTATCGTGAGCGACTTCTTCAAGTCCGTTCGAGAGAATGAAGGCTCCGAGCTGCCTATCTACGGGGCCGGATTCTGTTGGGGAGGGAAACATATTGTTAATCTTGGCTTCGAGGATATCGAATCAAACGGCAAACCCCTGATTAACGCTGGATTCACCGGTCATCCGAGCTTTCTCGAGATCCCAAGCGAGATCGAGAAGATCAAGATACCTATTAGCTTTGCGCTTGGTGATAAGGACATGGTCATCAAGCCTCCGCAGATTAAACAGATTCAACAAGTCTTCGAAATGGAAAATAAGTCCGAGAAGGGGGAAGTGAGGGTTTATGAGGGGGCTGGTCATGGGTTTTGTGTTCGCGCCGATTTTGTTCTAGGCGATGCAACCAAACAGGCCGATGAGGCGGAGAACCAAGCATTAGATTGGTTCGAGAGACACCCGAGCTTGTGAGCAGGATGGATGCATCCATCTACCGATACTTCATGTTTTCCTGAGGGGGAAGTATGGAATTTCATATCAATGATACTATGATCAAGCTGCTGTCGAGTCTAGTCACATAGTTGTAGAAAAAAACAACAGGGCTCATCAATGATCACGGTAGAGGGTGGATATTGGCATCATTCAACGACCAGAACTCCCGCAACTGGGGGCTCACTTTCAAACATGGCCATCCAACATGCATTTCAGCTTCGGAGATAATGTCAAGAAGACACTCAGTTTCGGAGGGATCCGTGAAGAGTTCGCCAGCCAGTGCGATTCCCAGGCCAGCCAACACACGAGCAGGCACGTAATCAGGGTTGGATAGCCAAATCCCACATACAGTTCGAACTGCTTCTTTGATCCTCGTCTCTTGGGCCCTTTTATAGCTTGTGTGACCCAAGCCCAAAGCCGGCATTCTCGGATCATGCGCCATCAACACTATTTTGCATATCTCCAAATATTGGTGGCCAGCGATTGAACAATCGTGTATGTAGTATATCTCAGGGAAGATCCCATGCCGGTTGTTGGGTCTTTGAAGTAAGCTTAAGTCATTCCATCGGTTTAGGGCTTTGAATGAAGTGGGTTTGTTCAGGGTCCATCGCTCAAGGTACCCCCACAATTGATCCCAATGAGCTTCACTCCGGGGATCACTGCTGTATGCGTAATTGGTGACTCGCGCTGCATGCGACATCATCCGACAAGTCCACATAACATCAGATGCAGGCCACAAAGAATCTTCAATGCCGCATTCCAGTCCACCTACCTCAACGGGTCTTTTGGTCATATTTGCAACATGAATCTCTTGTCTAAGAACAATAGCCATGGCTGCATTGCTCAGCTCCGAAGGGTGTGTGTCGGGCTGTCGTATCCGTAGGAACAGCGGTGCGGACACTGCGTGTCTGATTGTGGAATCGGAGTCAACAGGGTCTATTAAGTTTTATGTGTTAGCACTCTCCAATCAAAGGTATTATGGGAAAGTGATAGGTCAACCTGTCATTTCATCAAGCAACCGTAGGAGCAATGCCGACACAAGCACCGAGTCACCTTGTGATTGCGTGGCGTTGTTTTTGTTGAGCGTTGGGATCAGAACCCCAAGACACCTTTGTTCATACTCATCTGATTCGTTGTATGTTGAGTGTACTGCTTCAATGTGTCTGGCAGACACTGCCAGTATTGCATACAAGATACCAGGATCTTTTGCGATTGCAACTCGAAAGTATGATCGGAAATACGCTTGTGCGCAACAGTAGTCAAACTGATATGTTAGCTTTGGCTATGGAGAAAAGTCGAGGAGATATTCCCTACCCAGGGTACCAGAACAGTGAAGAAGTGCTTTATGATCTTACATTGATCGTTGGTGAGCTGACTGGGGCACGGATCTGCCTGAAGGGGGTCGGGTTGAAGCAAGTTCACTTCTCTAGAGGCTATCCCAGGAAGCTGCATCCATGATTGCGATGTATGTAGGTCTTGATAAGAATCCACCAAAGGCGTCAAACTCGGGATATCTCCATCGCCTGGCTCTAAGGCCGTAGCACCTGCGTCGGGTGAGGTTCGTTCTTGGCCAAGGTGCGGCTCACCTGTCCGGGGATCCGCTGGACATCTTTCATCTGTCGGTCTGTACTGAGACCCGTTTGAGGGCGACGACGAAGGACTAGTTTCCTTTTCTGTCGGCGGTTGGTGACTGAACTCGCTAAATCGAATCTGAAGTTCACTGTTGCCTTCACCTTCGCAAAGAACACCAGCTCTCGCACAGTTTGAACATGTATTCTCTTTCAATCGGATGTTACCTGCTTTCAGTTAACATTTGTCCGACTTCAGGCACATGGCTACATCGTTCTCATTTGGTGAAGAGTGTCAGAATGAAGAGTGATACAAGCACCACAGAGTAGCTGAAGTCACGTAATGGAAAGACTCACATTTTTTGTGAATTGCACGGCATCTATGGCTAAGAATAGAATCCCATGTGTCAACATGATTTCGCGCACTGTTTATCATTACATTGCGACGTACCACGCACGACGTGGGATGGGAGACTTCAAACTCAAGATGTCGGAACCGGGGAGATCGCGGTTTGCGCGTTTAGCCTTGGGCATTTCTCTAAAAACGGACGGGGAAGATTAACAGGCAGAGCTGGTGGGAGAAGGAAAGAATCAAGAAGTCGGGAAGAATTGCGAGGCGAGGAACAACCCCCGATGCGATCACTACTCCCATGCGGGAAGATCTTACCAATTCGGAAATAACCCCCGCCAAAGGCCACAACCCGAGTCATTTTTTTAGATGATCACTCCAACCAACATCGTCTCCATTAATCTGTTAGCGATATAAATTTGACAAAATGCCAAATGTTGTCAATCAAGAGGCTGACGCCTTTCCAATTCCGGAAAGCATCCCGACCGGCATATGACAACACTTTTGAAACAAGCTGTGGCTACATCCCGTCGCATCTTATAAGTACTAAGCAAGAGCTATGGCCCAAACACATTATACGAAGTCTGTGATCAATCTGCATTAGGCCAATATACCATGACGACTTTGCTACTTCTCCTCGTGTTAGCTCTCTATGCTGCAAAGCCGCTTGCCATATACTTCTATGATGCAAAAGGCTTTCGAAAGTACCACAATTTGAATTTCCTCTCTGGCATCACGAGCTTGTCTTACGTCTGGGAGCATAGGCGAAGCTTCCGAACAAGACGACTGTATGATCTTCACCAAAAGCATGCTGTCATTCGTCTTGGGCCCCGCGCACTTTCCTTCGCAGATGTCAGAGCCATCAAAGATATCTACGGCCACGGAACCCCCTGCCGCAAGGACGATGTGTACGCACTCACGGCAGGATCTCATTCGCACATGCTCAATGTGGTTGATCGTGACGACCATGCACGCAAGCGTCGGATGTTGTCAAATGCCTTTGCAACCCGCAACCTGGAACAATGGGAGTTCAAAATTGTTGACAAAGTGGAGAGACTTCTCATGCAATTTGACCGACGGTGTACCTCACCGTCGCTCACAAGTTCTCACATCGACAGTGAGGACCTAACGGTCGACTTCAGATTCTGGTCCAACCTTTTCACTATAGATGCCATAGCCGATATTGCTTTGAGCATCAAGCTTGGCCAGTTGGATTCGGCATCAGATGAAGTTCTAGCCTATGGATCCTCTCGACCTATCAAATATATCACAAGTCTGCATCGTGGCAATCGGTTCTCGTCTCGCATCATTGGAGCGACTGACTGGTTTCATGTCCTTCGTTACATGTCCACGGCGGTTTCCCCTTATCTACGATCACAATGGAAGCACGCACAGAGATTTGGTGAGATAGTCCGCACGTTGGCTAGTCGAAGGTTGCAGCTTCAAGAGAGCAGCGGTATATCCAGCGATCTCCTGGCATGTTTGATTGAAGATAAAAAAGGTAATGCCCGTGACTTAGACCGAGGCGAAATTGACGCCGAGACTAGTATCTTTTGTCAGGCACATTCTCGTGGCCCTTTATCTGCATATGCTAACGCCGTTTTGTAGTGGATGCCGGCTCCGATACAACGGCGATCGCCTTGACAAACGTTTTGTACTACCTACCTCATCAAGAGCCCGCAATCTTTGCAAACGCTCAGGACGGAGGTAGCCAACATCAAATTCAAGAACGGTGTTGCCCCTTATGCTGAAGTGAGAAATTTGCCTTATCTGAAAGCCTGTCTGGATGAGTCGCTGCGGTTGTCGCCACCGGTCTCGCGAGGGCTGGAGCGCAAGACACCTCCTGAAGGCATGCGAATTCTTGGAGAGAACATTCCTGGAAACGTCACCGTTAGCGTTCCCACATACGCAGCTCACCGCGACCCGGAAACTTTCGCAGATCCTGAGATTTTTCGACCAGAGAGGTGGTTTGAAGACGATGAAAGGGTTAAACAGATGCGGGCTGTTTTCATCCCCTTCAGTACCGGCTCTCGGGCATGTATCGGGCGCAACATTACATTTATCGAACAGCAGATTCTTGTTGCGACACTCGTCCATCGCTATGACTTCGCTTTGCCGTCTAAGGACTGGATGTTAGAATGGGAAGAGGCTTTCAATCTTTGGCCTGCGCAGATGCCGTTAAAGATCTGGAGAAGGGACCAAGGGGCTGGGTTTGACGCCCTTTAATATGTCTTTGACAACCGAGAAATTTTTAATTTATTTGGAGTGAAGAGCCAAGAGCGAATACATGCTTGGTTATCAGGATTCTGGACATGTTTTTTCTAAGTGTAGATGCCTTATATGCCTGAGATTTCAAATACAAAGACTCGAAGATAAAAATAGAACTTCACTCTCGCGCGTCACAAGTGGAGTGTAAGGCTGCATTCTGGGGCTCACCGCATTGTGGCCTTATGGTCCATGCGGTTTACTCGTTCTGCCGATATTTTCTTCCCAAACCATCTTGATCGCGTGTTCATGGCTATATCAAATACCTCGGGCAACTTGATTCCTCGCTCGGATTCTCGAAACCCAGCAACAACATGTAGAGGAATCACGACACAAGGCCGACCTTGTCGTCGTGCTCTAGCATCCCCTCAACCATTCCCTGCTTTTACACCTCGAAAAAATTCTCGACAAGAAGCTGTAGAAAATGCTTCCTTGTACTGCTGGCAGCACAAGGACCAAGAAAACTCGAGTCTACCCGCTGACCCATCTGCGGATGTGACTTCAAGCAAGCCCAGGACCAGTATTGATACATTGATGGATCGCCTGGGTGTACTCGAGTTGAACGACGACCCAGCTTCGAAGCCGAAGCCTAATCAGAGGCGGCGAACTTACCAAAATGGATTATATGAGAAACGCCGTCCAAAGAAGAAAAGCACATTCTGCTGTTTTACTATTCTCGAGGAAAGCGATGACGAAAAACCAATACCGGCCCAGAAGCCCGCGTCTCACCGTCCGCAGGCCGGCATGTCTTCGCAGAGACCAAATGGGAAGATACCAGTGCCGACCTCGACCGGGAAGCCACAAAACGGACAAGCGTCATCAAATCAAGCAGTCTATCCACCTAAACCCGGCAAAGGCCAGACCTCGTGGCTTCCATCCACACTTCCGCCCCAAACAGCGTTGACCGTGGGTGCAGAGTTGAACAAGCCAATTTCAGATGCAGATGAAGAAGGTTATATTTACATGTTTTGGGTAACGCCTCCCACTACCACCACAACTCGAGGAATCGACGGCCCAGCAACCAGAGACATAGCCCCTTCTTTACTTCCTGAAACACCGGAAACCAGCAGAAGTCTCCGACCACCACCCCAGTCCCGCAGCATCAGCGAGGCCATCCGTGCAGCTCAAGATCTCAATGCGCTTACCTCAAATCCTACATCCACCAAACCGGGAACCCTCAGACTGAAGATCGGTCGCACGAATAATATTCACCGTCGAATGGCCGAATGGACTCAACAGTGCTCATATGATCTGACTCTGATCCGATACTACCCTTATATGCATGCGGCTTCTACGTCTTCCTCTCCCGCGAGAGTGCCTCTGTCTCATGGAAAGGGTCAGTCTCTTGCTGGTATGGTGCCAGGGCGCAAGGTTCCGCATGTACATCGGGTCGAGCGATTGATTCATCTTGAGTTGGCAGCTTTGCGAGTCAGGGACTTGGGACAATGCCCCGAGTGCGGAAAGGAACATCGGGAGTGGTTTGAGGTTGAGGCTGCGAAGGAATCGTTGCGTAGTGTCGACGAATGCATTCGGCGGTGGATTTCTTGGGCAGAGTCACACTGATCGATTTGAGATTGCATAGCTTGTGAGTATCTGTATATTAGCACTTATTGATCGAATCTATTGGTGACTTGATAAACTCTGGCGCGACGTCAACTTAGCCGGGTAGTGATAGAACGTGGAGGTCTAAAGTTCCAAGGTTGAGACTAGAGCGATCCGCCAATGAGATGATTAACCAAGTTCCGACGAGCATCCCAATCCATGGATGCGGATGTCGCTTTGCTCACGTGGCTTATGAGCTTATTCTCCAGGATCTCGAGTGGCTCGCGAAATCTTGCACGTGTGAATAGTGAGGTAGTATTGACCACATTGTTTTGACCAGCCCTCACAAGCCTGGCGCACCATTCTTAAAGGGAATATATACATTTTTTGTACATACACAATTGTATAACTACCTATGAGTGGCAATTTACACATGCTGTCACTTTGATCTATACCTTCCGCTTAACCAATCCACGGAAGAAGTCAAAGCTGTTGCTGTCACTTTGCAACTGCCAAACCCGTCCAGTCGGCCGGTCATTGAATCCCAGCTCTTCCGCTAGTAGGAGACCATAGTCCCGTGTGATACCTTGAATGCGAGCGCGGGCACCGCCCTCTTCCTCTAGCGTGACGATCTGATGCATATGCAACCAATCCTGGTAATACATAGCCTCGAAGCCTCGATCAAAGCCAGTGCGCAAGAATCGTGTGTACAAGCCCTCGAATGTAGTCAAGATGCGCGCCAGTAGTTTCTCGAGAGTTACTGGCGAAGCAGCCGCAGCGCCTGGTGTTGCGTAGCGGGCGGCGAGAGTTGTCAACGCCGTAGTTGGGGAGGCGTTGGTGGCGTTCAGACCGATGCCGACCACCGAGATGTATTCGTTAGACATGAAATGGGAGTTGATGAGGATGCCGCAGATTTTGGTATAGCGCTTCTGCTCTGGGTCATCTGGATCTAAGGCATCTTTTTTATGTTAGCTGAACGTTCCCAGGTCATCATTTGTGAGCTTACAAATGTCGTTTGGCCATTTGAGCTTGACTGGGATTTTCTCATAGCCACTGGCGTAGTTTTTGATGCCCCGAACAACTGCCATTGCTGAGAGATACTGGAGGAAGACCACCGGTGCGGACTGAATTTTGTCCATTGGGTGCTTCACAACGGTCGAGAAGATGAGAGCCCCAGCTGGTGATACCCACACGTTGGATCCGCGTCCTCGTCCGGCTATCTGTGCTGTAGCTGTCGCTGTGAATCCTTGGGGCAATTGGCGGAGGAATTGAGTGTTCCTATTTCGCGTGAGAGCTGCTCAAAAAGACATCAACTGTTGGAGATTCTCACTTTTCAAGGAGTGTGTTTGTGCTGGTCACAACCTCTCCATACAGTATATTGTTTCCGAATGTCGAGGCATCTCCCTTGGATTCAGCTTGATATTTGCGAAGATTTGAATAGAAAGCATGATGGTTGAAGTATGGGGTCAACTTCGAGTCTGGGATATCATCATGGAACACAAGACGTTTGGTGATTGACTGGTAATCAATGATTCCTTCGGACTCTGTTGGGAGCGATTCCTCTAGATCGCCGAGATTCCACGTTCCAGGGCGCTCGATGCGGAATCTGTCATGCTCATCTTTGAGGTATTCAGTCTCGCCCTCCTTGGTGATCTTGGAGCCCAGGCCAGAGAGAATGTCCATGGGGCCATCAGCGTCGACACCTGATACATGCCATGACGAAAGAGAAGGCACAGTCGAGTCCTGGGTGACTTCAAGTTCAAGTTTGATCAGACACGACTTCAAAAACTCGGTACGCTGCTTGTCATCAGCAGCGAGAGCGGCCACCATCTCGGCATATTCGGGACCACCAGATTTCGGATCAAGATTAGCAGCAGCAAATCTAGTTTCAAGTCAGCAAATGCCACTACCAAACAGGACATCACTGCCTACTCAGGGTGGGGACCGGTCAAAACAGCTGCTCCACTGCCCACTTTACAGTATACCACAGCAGCAGCTCCTTCCCCCGGATCGACGTTCAATGTCTCATTATAGTTCGCAAGAACCTCCACCCCTTTGTCCGCAAGCAGTGGCGCGTCAACGAAGACTCCACCGCCATTATAGTATGACCGGAATGTTGCAGGCACAATCCCAGTCCCAAGGGCTTCTTTGACAACGTCAATGCTAGCTGCGCGCGCGCCTGCCTCGCTGTGGTAAACGAAGCCCGGGAATGCCCCGCCCCGACAAATCCCTGGGAAGAATGCCAACTCGCGATCCCCAATGACCTCCATGGTCTTATCGCCCACCTCAAACTCACAGCTCTTGCACCCGTAATACCCACCCGCACAGAGACCGAGGTATTTACCACCATTGCGCACGAACTGCGCAATGCGCCGGTTCCCCGCACCGTTAAGCGTGCGACAGTACCCCATGTCTGCGCCGCCGGGCATGACAAGCATCGCACACGTAGTCATCCATGGCTCTTTGAGGATCATATCACCCGTGACGGGGATGACGGCATAGTGGGGAGCGAGGAGCCGGCGGAGGGTGTAGAGGCAATGGCGGACTGAGTCAACGGTGGTGCCATTTCCTGTTGAGAGCGCGTCGGTCAGAAAACAGTTACTACACCAATCTAGAAATGTAGACAATAGACAAACCTGAATATACTAAAACATTGAGCCTTTTACCACTGAAATTGGCATTGTTGCCCGTTGGCGTTGTCATGGTTGTGTTGTTGAGGCGGAATCAGCGCGGGCGATAAGATATTGAGTTGAGCCGCGGACGCCGAGGCCAACCGACTCTCCTTCACATATCAATCATGTCGAACAACTTGGAAAAGCCCACAGCAGTTCCCGAAGAGGATGATGAGCCAGATGACTGGTGCGCATTTTTGAATTGCTTACAATTGATCTAATGCTGACTAGGTGACAGGGACAAGCGGATCTTCAGCACTGGCTGCCACTGTGAGCCACAGCCGCCTATATGGATTCAAGTTAAGATGCAGTATTAACAGATATCTTAGCCGAACAAGACAAGATGAATGACTGCTACTTTGCAAAGAAAGATTGGCGCGAATGCAAGCAAGAGGTAAGCTCGAGTTTCTGACGATCTATGCTGCTGAAGGACATCTATGGAAGGGATGTGCTCACAATTGGAGCTCCCTATATGGAACTTTCCTTAAGCCCTATTACAGACAGCCCAAAGCTTCGATCTGGAGATTGCTGACTAGCTGTTGCAGATGGAAGCTTTCCGCGAGTGCTGGAAACGCCAGGGCAACGACCAGCGAACCGAGACCAAGGATGCTTAATCCATACTGTATTACCGTGTACCATATGTAATATATTCTACTCTACTCAATTTAATTGCAGCATCGAGGGCGCCGATTGTATCAGTGAAACCATATATAGAGTCACGTGACTGTTTGCGATTAGCTCCGATCCAGTGACTTCATTCCCTACAGCTACAACATCACAACTGACAATGTCTGCACCTTTCCAAATGCGCCCTTTGAGGGCAATTGGGGTTCTCCAAAATGCCACACAATCATCATACGCCCCAAGAGCAGCCAGCCACCGAATCAGCCAGCTCTATAACCCCATGAGCAAGCGAACAATCACCTACAGTCAAAACCGCAACCAAACGGCAACCAAGCCCTCGCCAGCGTCACCAGCGTCTTCTACCCCGAAATCCTCCCCATCCACAGCGAGCAGCTCGGCATCTCGCGTCTCAGCCCCCACCCCAGAACGTACAACCACCGAGAACATCTCCAAAAGCGGACTATCCGACAAGCCCCTCGAGCTCGAGAACCCTGTCGAAGAGAAGATCGACTGGACCCGCTCTTTCCACGGTCTATCAGCCGCACCCTTCCCCAAAGAAGCGGCCGATATCCTCCTCGCCGAGACCGATCCCAACGAAGTCGAGATCAAGCCTGATGGCATCCTTTACCTGCCCGAGATCAAATACCGACGCATTCTGAACCGCGCGTTCGGTCCTGGTGGCTGGGGTCTTGTGCCTCGTAGCGAGAGTATCGTTACGCCCAAGACAGTGACGAGAGAATACGCTCTTGTTTGCAATGGACGGTAAGATTTGATTCTCTCTTATATTGTTGATCTCGCTAACGCGCCGCAGTCTCGTTTCCGTTGCCCGTGGTGAACAGGATTATTTCTCTCCCGATGGTATTCCCACTGCTACTGAGGGGTGTCGGTCGAATGCGCTGGTGCGCTGCTGCAAGGATCTAGGAATCGCGAGTGAGTTGTGGGATCCGCGCTGGATCCGCAATTATAAAACCAAGTACACGCGGGAGGTCTTTGTTGAACATGTGGTTAACAAGCGGAAGTCGAAGATCTGGACCCGCAAGGATGATCCCGTTGGATACCCTTGGAAGGAGAGTAAATAGATACAGACTCGATCGTCTTAGTCCAGTGATGCTCCGTTGGACCTGTATTATAGCTTTAATTCGGTGTGGTTGATTGTATGAATGGAGCTTTTATCTCTTCTCAGAGTATTTGTTTTCCAGGGTTATTACTTGGTGGGTTCACGGCCTAGGATTCATCAACAGAGCTACTATGATGTGTCTCTATAGTGCAAAGCAACGTTCAAGGAATATGAGAAGATATTTTTGATATTGTATTAGGTACTCTGTGTTCAGCTTCAGTGCATAGAGCAGCATGAAGAGAAAGAAAGGTGATCAAATTTGGAAGATATCCAATGGGAACATGGCATAAGTAGATCATAGTCGTACACGACAAGAGAAGAAGGAAATTTTGATGCAAAGCTTGGTGAACGCGAGATTGGAAAGGTATCAACATGCCGCACATAATATAAACAGCCCAAGAAAAGATTCAAAGATCGGAATAGATCTATCGAGAGTCAAGGAAAGTGGTATAGAGCGATCAGGTCTATTGATCATCGTAAGGAGACTTGTTCTTCTTCAAAGTCTTCGACAAGAATGAAGGTCGACGGGAACTTGTCTCTGGCTCCTGTGCCGGAGTGTTGGGATTGAAAGGGTTTGTGGCAGAAGGCGGCATGGTCTGAGGCGGGGAATAGATGCTGGCAGAAGGAGGAGAGACCGGATCATAGCGATCTGAGATCTCGTAGTTGCTGTGAGCTGTCATACCGGAGATGTCGCGGTTGTCAGCACCATAGACCTGGTTGTACCCGGCGTTTTGGTTGTAACTGCCCTGGTAAGCGTTCGGGTCAGGAGATCCGACAGCTTGCACGGTGGCCGTTTGGTCCTGGCTTCCATGGCTGGAGTGAGGGCGGGGCTCGTAGCGAGCGCTGCCGCGAGAGCCAGGCTTGGGAGTTTCCAGGATGGGGACTTGGCTGGATGACGGGGTCATGCCTGCTGCGACAGGGGAGAGAGCGGCGGGCGGGGGGAACTGGAGGCGCGCCTTGGTCATTGAAAGAGGCGCGCTCACCGGCCTTGCGGTGACCAGTGGAGAGACCGCGGGCGATGTTACCGCCCGTGACACCGTTGTGCACGCTCAGCTGGTTGCCGTGAGTGGAGGCGTTGGTTGCAGTGCGATGCAGGGCATTGTCGTCATCGCGGCCGATATCCACAGCAGGAGAGCGGGAGTTGAGCATGTCGACAATTGCGGCTTCACGCTCGGCGTTGGTAGTCTGTGTGGATCCGCGCTTGGTGACGGTTCCGCCACGCTGTTGGTCAAAGCCAGATGAATGACCGGTGTTCTCGTAGTTCAAGATGTCTGCACCTGCAGCGGCGGCAGGCTTAGGGTCGTTGTCTTGACCAGGCTTGCCCTCGCCAGCACCAGCGTCATCACCCTTGTCGTCACCTTCGGCAGCTTCCTCGGGGGCCGCAACGCCAGGGGCGCGGACTTGGACCTTACGGACAGCCAAGACGAGAGCACACAGGAACTTGGATCGACGAGCAGCACGAACAGTCTCGTTAGACCAGTTCGACTTGTGGCGGATATCCACACGCAGCTGAAGTTTATCCATATCACCAACGCCGCCAAGCTCGATGTCGACATCGGGCTGGAAGTCACGGTAGTTTTCCTTGTCACGGACAAAGTTCTCCATTTCTTGACGCAGCAGCTGAACCTCGGCAAAGCTAGTATCAAAGGCGACGGGGACAGTGAGTTGTTCATGCATGGCATTGGCACGAGTGAAGTTATCAACCCAAAGACTGTTCAGGATGTTGTTGGGCACCTGGGTAACACGCGAATCGGTAACATTGCGGAAGACAGTGAATAGCAGCGAGATACGATCGACAATGAAAGGCTTGTCACTGACCTCCACACGATCACCAATATCGAAGGGATGCTTGACGAAGAGGAAGATGCAGGAACCCAGGACCTCCTGAGCGGTGACGGAGAAGACGAAACTAAGGGAGAGCAAGGAGGTGGCACCAGCGGCAATGACAGTACCGAATCCAGTAGTGACGAAAGAGATGAAGACCAAGACACCAACCAGACCAGCAACACACATGAGAAGGTTGTCCAAGACACGAATGGCCTGGTCAACGTCGTGCATGCTGTGGTTGAGAGCCTTGCGCATACGACCGAACTCGGAAATGGTAAGAACCATCTCGTCAAGACTGATATCGCCATTGCCATCCTTGTCGAGGGCGTGGAAACACTCTTCCGCCTCAGCCTCGTGCTCGGCACCAAGTACCTCAACTATGTCCTCCATGTAGAGAGACTCACGACCCTCAACGACAAAGGACATCCAGATACGACGGGCCAGCGCAGCAGCACAGCGCTTGCGCTCCAAAGCCTGAATGACCATGGTGTGGGTGGCGGTCGGGTTGAACACTTGCTTACCTGTAAGTTCGGAAGCAACATTACCGAAAGCAGCAGTGACCTTGTCACCGACACGGCCGACGTTCTTGCCGACCTGGCGGAGCATGCGAAGAGGCATGGCAGATGACCGCTTTCCGCCCTTAACGCCAGCCTGTGCAAGGATGGAGTCGAAAATGAGAGAATCCTCCTCCTTGAACTCCGGGCAGTACACGGGGAACATGTTACGAGAAGCCTCGAAGAGCAGACTGACCAGGTGAACGTTCCGCTTGGAAACGCGAATCTTGGCATCAAACTGCTTGCGGTGGTAGCTGATGGAGATCAGCTGCACCAGTGTCTTCTCGGCGAGGTAGATAATAGAGCAAACTAGCAGGGCGAAGAGAATGTTCTTGACACTCTTCTCCCACGCCTTCACGTCGGTATCACCGGTCTCCTTCTTACCAGGAGTCAAGGTCATGACGGGCAAGAAAGTAACGAGGGAGATGATGGCCCAGAAAAGCAGAGCGAGAGGGGTTTCGAGAGCGCGCAGAATGAGCGCATACTTGCGAGTACCGGAGCTGACGATACCGCACAAGAATTGGAAAAAGTAAGGAATATAGCGAGCGAAGATCTTGGATGTCCAGAGACTGAACCAGACAATCTCAATCCAAGTGAAGAACCAGTAGAGGTGGACACCACCGATTTTGGCGTTCGGCGCAGCCGTAGCACCAACAATGATGGGAATAGCGATCAAAATCGCAATGGGAATGACATAAATGAGATAACGAGTGATGATGGAGTAGTTCAGGACAGCTTGATAGACACGGCCCATGCGATTGATGGTACCGTCTTCGGGAGCCTCATTGGGCTTCCCCGACATCTCATTGATATCGGTATCAGTACGACGCCTGCGACCAGGACCCCGGTGCTTGTGACCCATGATGGGCCCCTTTTCCGAGGTATTTGTGGTAGAGTCCACAGGAGTCGTGTTGGAAGCCCATTTGCGCGCACCTGTCTGACCACGACTGACAGTCTCCGTCAGTGGGATGTCAATGGTGACATCGTTAGGATTATGCATGTAGTCAGGCATGTCGCGGAGCTGCTCGAAACGATGTCCCGGCAGACGTCTGATGGAAAGACTCGACCGACCCATTGGAAAGAGCAGAACGGACCTTTATCTGCGTGTGTCGATCCGCCCTAGAGGCCTGTGTGGGTTTCGATTGGGGGGGCCTCGGTGTCTGTAGTGGAGACACGTAAAAAAAATAGTAACAGAGCCAATGGACCGTAGTGCCGTTTTTTTTTCTCGCCTCCCCCTCGTCGGGTGAACCCAAAATGTTCCGCTGGTTACGTCTCTTCGCGTCCGCAGTGCACAATAATGGGTGGCTAAGACACCCGGACCAGTGTACGTGGACTTTTGGGAGGCGATCGCGAAACGTCAATGGCTCGCGAAGCGTTGTGGAGATGTGGATCGGCGAATCGACCAGTTTAGTGGTGTCTGAGATTGGTTAAACGAGTGAACAATGCAGCGAGATGCAGCATACGAGTCCCGCCAAATTCGAAGAGGGAAAAAATTAGAGAGCTGAAAAGAACAGGGCTGAAACGGAGCGCAAGAAAGGAAGGGGAGCTGGACACGATAGATCGAAATGCCCGTGTTTCACTAGATCGCGTTGGGGGGGAACAGCAAAAATGTGAGACCGCCATAATAACAGCGGGATCCTCCATTCCACTTCCTCCTTCATCATTCGCTGCACAATTCCTCCTAGCTCACGTCTTTATTACCGATCGTCTCTAGACGTGCCCTCTGACCCAATTTTTTCCCACCTGTCTCCTCATCGTCGGATCTCCAGACTAGCATCAGTACGAGAACTCCGTTGTTCATGCATTTTTGAATGCACATGCAGGTCCACTGACCCCCCACATCGCGATGTGTCTGATCGGCCAATAATCGACTGTCATCAGCGGGTGGCTTGAGATCAAAAGGGGTCTTACTTTCCCTGGATTTTAAGACGACATCCTGACATAACTATGATGTGCCTTCATCTTACTCGTCATGGAGTACTCCCTACTCCGTACAACCTGCAAAATATATGGAGTACATGAGATCTTGTTTATTGTTTTGGAGCTAAGCTTTGGAATCAAGATGCATCTGCTCCAAAGCAGCAACAATATCCGGTGTGGTCCAATCCTCCGCCAACCCCCGCAGCACAATATCCTGCTCACTCTCCGGTGCCATTCCACTGGGCGCAGGTGGTCTCTGATCCAAATTCGTAGGGAATGGATATCCCTCTGCGACAGCCTGCACTAGAGCCCGCAGCTCCCTTTGTTCCAAGCTATACAGCTCTGGATCAAGTATATCTGCAACTTTCCCAGCCGCCACCAACCTCCCCTTCATCAACTCCCACGTCTTCTCAACAATCGGCACCGAATCCACCGTCTCCATCGGTTTACCAAACGCACTACTAACCTGTAACAAGTTCGCCACACGCCGGAACCCATCCTCCCCCATCTCATTAGCTCCCGCCGCATGGAACAGCGCCGGGTTAAAGAAAACACCATCTCCCAACTCCAACGGCAACGCCACATACGACCCGTTGAAAAATTCCCGGAACTCAGCCTTCCGCCATGCAAGGTACCCAGGCTTGTACGTCTGACTGTAAGGCAGGAATCGCGTCGGCCCACTAGCCACCGGCATATCACTGTGCGCCACAGCCCCCTGCAATGTCAGGAACTGCGAGGTAAGCTGCGTGGCCGCCGGATACCGCTGGCAAGCTCTCTCTTCCTGGAATCCCAGGTGGTAGTCGCGGTGGGACTCCTGAGCCTTTCCGCCGGGGTGCACGGCGTTCACCTGAGCTGTGATGCGGTAGTCCGGGCCCAGCCAAGCTTCCGAAACGGCTGCTAGCCACGGGTTCGAGTAGTAGTCCGTGAAGGAGGCCGGGTCCTGCAGGGCGTGTTTTGAGAAGGCATTCCAGATGCGATCGTTGGCGCCGCCCGTGGCGAAATGGTCACCCTTTGTGGAATTTGAAGCGCGCTCGCGGGCGATGATCGCATTGAATGCTTTATTCGTGGCTTCTAGTGTTGAGCCGTATTTCGAGGGCGCATACATTGAGCGCAGGACGTAGACGCCTGGACCCTGATGCAGGATGTGATGCCACTCATCTTGGAGGGATGATAGGAGGGAGGCGGAGAGTATTGGTTCCAGGGCTGAGAGGTCGTAGATTGGGATATTTAATTCGATATCGGCTGCGAGTGGGTAGGTTGCTTTCTGTGTTGTTTGCGCGCAGATGGCCTGGAAGTCTGGGAGATGTGGGGTTGCGGGGGAATAGAGTCGCGAGGACACCTGCGGTGCGTCTGTGTGTCCGTTCATTTCGTAAATATGCAGATGGTTCCCGATTGATTGCCCGGTGAAGGACCTATTGGGCGCTGCTTAAATATCTTGAGGCCGGATTTCAATGTCCATCGGGTCCCCGCATTTTCGCGTTTTGCCGAACCACTCGCGGGGACGTGACGTTTCATTTTGGAGGTCATCCTGGTTGTCGGTAATTGGTTTCCGATGGAAATCTATAGCTAGAATACGGATAGGCGAAGACAAAGGCAAAACGCTTTGAAATGCTTGAGATGTCCTTGCCGATATTTATGTATTCCTGATCAGTCCACAGCTCGGAGATGAAGTTGGTAGTATAAACAAAACCTTAAGTCGAGGCCACATAGGTTCTCGAACCCTTGAAAGGTTACTTATCGCGGGCATAAATAGACAACCGGAATATCTAAAGGACTCTTTTCCTAGCCTTGGAATATTAAGAATCTTCGAAGTGTTGATGAACTTTTTAGGTCGCGTAGAGAAAGAGAGCATGTGTAAAGAGTCCACGGGGGTAATATGTGAGAGATGAGAGAGTATGATAGAGAGAAAGAGAGAACAAATTATTCTAGACCTAGATGGGTATCACAGCTATCAAGCAGTATAGTACAGGTCTACCACTAGCCACTGATATGAAAAGAAAATCCAAAAGAGAAAAAAAAAACAACAACTGAGAGCGCCAGCATCGCAACGCCACGGGACAGTTATATCGCCCACGATAGAACCAAATTCCAGGACAGTGCCTTGAAAAGTAAAACCCAACCCACGCAAATGTATGCTTCAATGTCAAAAACGTCTTTTTTCCCCTTGTTGTCGTAAACGGGCGTAAGGCGCACCCGCAATTCATGCATTCATCATGACCCCAAGGTCCGAGCTGAGAACGGGCTCGGAGGGCGGGAGGTCAGCTTGATTGTCGAGAACGAGCTGGTGTTCGGCCATGGTTTCGACAAGGGCACTGGGTCGGCCGATGACCGTGAAGAGAACCTTCAGCAGGAGTGTTGGGCCATGGCCGTTGAGTCCGCCCTGTGGTTGGCGACGGGTGTGGGTGAGGAGGACGCGGACGAGTTCGCGGATGGGGCCGTCGGTTGAAGCGTCGTGAATGGCATCTAGGCCGTCGACCAGGAAAACCATAAGCGGCGGGGCGGATTGTAGAAGGGTGTCGACTAGCGAGAGGGCGGCTTTCCAGCTGGTAAGGGTTCCGTCGAGTTGGCGGAATCGCTCTGCGCTCAGATCGAGCACGGCGTCGCTGTCCACTACCGGTGGAAGCCAGTCGACAAGTTGTCGGATGACACTGTAGGTCAGTGCGATCAGGCCTTGCTCGTGGAGTGTCAGTCCCTTGACCCCTTTTGTAGGGAGGACGCAGAAGTGAGAGACGACGGGCAGTCGAGCCTGGCGTGCGAACGAGGCATAGCAGGCGGAAATAAGAGCTACGGGGCTGGGCGAAACAGTGGGCTGAGTGCCGCCCACCGCGAGGGCCTGGGAGCGTGGGCTGGTAGCCCATTGCTGAAGAGACGCAACGACACTGCTATCGGCAACGACCTTGACTTCTGGCTCGTAGTCACAGATCTGATCGTCGCTGTCGAAAAAGTCCTGGAGGTGCTTGGATGAGCTCTGAATCTCGAGGCGTGCGAGGCGGCGTTTAGATCCTCTGGACCATTCGAACGAGGAGGTATCTGTCACGGATTAGCCTAATTGTCAGATCTATCCCAAAGAGGAAAGTCCTACCTATATTAGGAATCGGAGGTGTAGTCATGCACACGATGCCACTACTCTGTTCGCTGACCGGTTGCAGTTGCTCACGCACAGAGCTGAGCGTCTCTGCCAGCAACCGATCCCGGCCTTCTCTATACCGAGCCCGCTCCTCCGCATCTTGTTGAATCTCCCAGATAAGCCGTCGAGTGATAGTGTTCTGTGCCGCTATCCGACGGTCTTTCTTCTGTTGTCCAACCTGGCTGAGTCGAGACTCCTCCCACAGTGCCCGTGGGCTATACGGGTCCAGGTAGTCCTCGTCCATATCCATGTTCGAATGTTCCCAAGGCAGATCGTGTGCCTGGCGCTGTATATATATGACGAGATGGCGGAACTCGGAGTACACATCCTGACTGTGGATGTTGAGTAGCTGACAGGTGGACCTCCGGACATACCAGTCCATGAACTCGGTAAGGAAGAAAAATATTAGGGCGTAGGTTCTGGTGATGTGTTTCACGGCGGTCGGGAGCAAGCTACGGTCGGCGGGAAGGCCTAGGGCGTCGTGTATATTTAGTAGTGCGGTAGCCAGGCCTTCCATTACCCGGGGGTAGTGCGAGGATGCCTGAGTTGTCAGCTGAGATCCAAAGGTTGAAGTTGTTGATTGAAGCACCCACCTTAATGACTGACTGGAGGACGCCGTAGAAAAGAGGGGTATATGACAGGGCGTCCGGGAGGGCGGACAACAAGGTCGCATGGGTGTCCATGGTCGGAAGGAGTCTATCGCACAGATCCATGGAGTCACTGAAGACTCGTTGTCGCGGCCTCGACATCCAAAAGGTCTTGATTTTTCCGAGCAGGGACTTCACGTCGTCGACGGTCTGTGGCCGCTCGTCCCACTCGACCTGATCCTGCGGCAGGAGCAGACCGACGAAACGCTTCCAGGTATGGGCCAACTCATTGCGTTCAATATCGAGGTCGGCGATGGCGGGGTTTCTGTCGAGCGTTAAGAAAATGCGGTTTGACAAGGGGGGTTGGAAGAAGGGCTCACGGTGAAATGGGCTTCCCGTCAAAGCGGTGTTCCCAGAGGGTGGCAGAGTCGGGCATCTTGCCGCAAGAGATGATAGGGACAAAGACAAGACTCTCACGACATGTCCTAGAAAGGAGTGGAGAGATGTGGAGAGCCAAAAAGGAGGAAAGAAAAGAAGGGCGGGTTTTGCCGCTGAGGGGCTGTCGAGAAGGAGAGAATGAGATTTTTCTATTTTGGGGCGTTCTAGATGTCTTGGAGGTTTTTTTTTTCTTTCTCTCTCTCGACCTCTTTGTCTTGTTTTTTTTGGGCTTGTCTCTTTGCTTTTGTTCTTAATTTTGTTTCAATAAATTTTCCAACCCCTAGCCCCAGTTGTTTTAGGGTCTAAAATGGTCTAAAGAATTAAAGTCTTAATTTCCCCCTTTGCAGTCGATCAGAGCCGAGGCCTCTTACGGAGTTAGTCTGGGGAACATTCCTGACATCTCACCATCTAAGCATCTTAACGTCTGACCGTATCATATTACATGTACTAACGCGTCTGGGCACCAAAGTACGAAGTACTAAGTACCTCAACTCCGGAAGACACTCTCGCCTGATTAACCCTATAAGTCCGGACTCCGGGAACTCTGCGGGGATTTGATTTCCACCATGTCCCCGGGTGTTCGCATTGCCCTTGTGAAATGCTGAATAGCAAAAGACTTAAGGTTTTGGTTCAGTTCAAGATCACCTTTTTTTTTTTTTTCATTTCCGTCTGTTGCCTTTTGAGTGAAAGTCTGCCCACGGACCGCTTGGTGGTGCGTGGACTGTCGATCGGGACGAGGGACGAGTACGGAGAAAAGCAAAGAAAAGATGAATAATACAGCAAATAAGCAGCCCTGGATACAAGTACCAAGTACTCCGTATGAATCCTGACGAAAGCTCAGATGTCGGGGGAAGGTACCGAGTGATATAAGACGGAAGAGCCGGGAGCAGGTAAAGCGAGTGCCCGGATACGAGAGCGATATCCGGAGGGATTGGCCCATACGCTCAGCATTGGCTCAGCATTGGCATTAATTTTTACGTGCGGATATGACGGAGGATAGTCGCTAAACCCCGACGATCAGTGACTTCGGTGTGACTGGGGCTGGGCGTGGGGTAGAGCCGTAACCGAGTACGGAGAATTGAATACGCAGTGAGCGTTCGAGTCCAGCCTGGACAGAATGAACCCATAACGGAGAACATCACGAGAATAGATTCAGCCTCATGTATCATGTATCAATATGGAAGAACAGAATATACGAACAAAAAAGAAGAGAACCACAGAAAAGTCAAAGTCAAAAAGCGACTCTTATCGTCATCCGTGATCCTCTCCGTTAGTGCCGATCCTCCCCTCATTTTCCTGTTTTCCGGTTTCCCTGCACCTCCACGTTTCCACCTCTTCTCTTGACTAATGTACCCACACAATCTCGCATAGATGCTGCTCGTCTTCTTCTTCTTCTTCCTCTCTGTACAGGCCAATGTGGTTGCCGCACCCTCTAACCTCACTCACTACCCTTCCTTTCGCATCTCCGGGTCTCCACTCAATGGGACCAGGCTCATTCCATTGACAAGCGAGCTGAGATCCGAAAGCAGCAATCAGAACGTACGGTCCTTGAAACCGAAATTCCATTAGGCCGCTGCTGACAGGTCCGCAGTTTAACATCTCGGGCACTGCCACCCAAGTCACCTCAGGCAATTCCCTGGATTTAAAACCATCGGAAATCGCTCTCATCTCCTGCGATTCCGACTTCTACACCGGAAATCTCGGCGTTGACGACAACATTGAATACGTCACCTCTGCTCAATCTGCTGCCGCGCTGGTGCTTTACAGCCAATCCGCGCTCTCTTGTAATTTGACAGTCGATGAGACCGCCAATCGATATCGTAATATATTTTCCATCTATAGCCGGGACATCGCTTCCGCTTTGCAGAGTACCTGGAACGAATCTCATCCGCTCATCAGCATCGTCTCCATGTCGTCCTTCAATGTGCCCACCGACTCTGGGGGTGGAGGAGACACCGGAGGCTCCGGTGACAGCCCCAACACAGGTTTGTCCATCGCTTCCACCGGCCACGCTCATCGATTAACCGACTCTTCTAGCCATGATCATTTTGTACAGTATCACCGGCATCATTACAGCATTGTTCTTGGGTATCATCATCACAGGTGCCGTTCGGGCGCATCGCCATCCTGAACGGTACGGACCTCGCCGAATTGCCGGGCGAGTCCGGCAGAGTCGAGCGAGAGGTATAGCTCGAGCCATGCTGGATACCATCCCGGTTGTCAAATATGATGACAAGCCGGACGATGTGGAAGCCGCTAAGCGCGACGTCGAATTGAACCCGGAGGATTCTACTCATGCCTCCCCGAGAGGAAACGGCATCACGGAGCCCACCACCCCCGTATCTGAAGTGTCAACCCCGGACGGAGAGGAGAGACCCACCCCGACCGCTCCAGAGGCCAAGAGTGAAACGGTGCCCGACGCTGGTAATCTCTCATGTCCGATTTGCACGGATGATTTCATTAAGGGCCAAGACCTACGTGTTCTGCCCTGCAACCACCAATTCCACATGGAATGCATTGACCCCTGGCTGATGAATGTTTCTGGCACTTGCCCTCTCTGGTAAGTTTGAATCCAAGACAGCCAAAAACATAAAAGAAGAAACTAACTCTCCTCCAGTCGTATTGACCTCAACCCGCCCCAGGCAGAGACCGAGCAGACAGAAAATGGTGAGAATGCTGGAAACACAGAAAGCACAGGAAACACAGAAAATACGAGCACTCCAGAGGTAGCCGCGCAACCTGAAGCCACTCAAACCCGACACAGCCGCCGTCTGACCAACTACCTCCACGGGCCCCTCAACGCCCGTCGTATGCGCGACGCAACAGTGGAAGAGCGCCTCGCCGCCCTCCGTCGTGTTCGCGAAGCCAACCAATCCGAAAATGAAGAAGGCCGACGGACCCGTCTGACGACCCGACTGCGCGAGCGCTTCCGTATCCGAACACGCGCTCACGGCGAGGCTGAGGCCGAGGCCGAGGTTCCCACCGCTCCTGCGCCTGCTCACATGCCTCCTTCCACTGCATGATCTCATCTCACCATCACACTTCTCCCCTGTGACATATTCACTCCTTTACGCTTGCACATACTTTTTGACACGATTATGAATATTTTTTTGGCGTTATTTACTTTACAGGATATTTTGTTTAAAGCTGGCATGGCGTTGGGAAAAGGATTTCTGTTACTTGTATCTATCTAAGATTCATACATGTGGATATTCCAGTCAATATTTACCTATCTACGCAGATCGTGATCGAGATGTTTTCGTAATGAACTGAAGGTGAAGGTGGAGGGTCGAGACGTCATGCGCTCATATTGGAAGTCCACAGGTAGGTCTAGACCTGATAAAGGTAAGAGTTGGCCCCTGATGATTTGCCTGCGGGCGCCGGAGAATATAGGCCTGAGGCTATGCTGGTCAGCAGGGTAGTCAACCGTGGCGGATCTGCGCAAATACGCAGAGATAGCACCAGGGTCCACGGATCCGGAGTACTCTCTGTGTCTACGGAGCATGGGCAGCACAAGAAGGGTGAGACTAAGGTTCCCAGGGTCAAGATCGCCAGGAACACCGAGTCGGGGTGAACTCCATACAGTCCAGCCTGATCGACCTATTGCATCAGCGGCTGACGCCAACCCGGTTTCACGATGTCTGTGATACCGATGAGGGATTATCATTTTACCCATGCGATGAGGTATAAAAACCCTGACTCCATGCCCGGTCGCCAGGGCTAATCACGGAGGTGAACAGGAAACCAAAGAGAGGCGATTTAGGTAACTACCCCAGAGTCGGGGAAAAACATTAATAATAGGCGCATTCTGGCTGGAAAACGGTGGAGCCGTCGGAGAAAAGCCGCCTTAATCGTTATTCCGATCCCCCTCGTGTGGGGTTTGTAGACACCCGGTCATCCTCGTTCGGAGATTCTCCTGGAGTCCGTTGGAAATTACCCTGGAGGCAGAGAGAGAGGAAGGTATCCCCGCATGATTGGCAGTTGGAGAAACACACAATACAGGTACAATGTACGAATACTACCTTCAGTAAGGCACATAACCGAGTATCATGCGATTAGGCCTGTCTCCACAATGCGTCTTTTTACCCGGCGTTGTATGACACATCTTCGGCGAGGATGGCCTGTCGGAGGTATTAATTACAGTCTTGGAAGTTGTACAGTATGGGAATAAGAAGAGAAAGGAAATGTGTACGATAGTTACAAGATCAAGTCAAGACTCAAGGCAAGTGAAGGATGTACCTTCTACTACCGGCATGTGAACCCTTCACAATCAGCACCCTCGGTATGTTCAGCCGAGGATAAAAATATAATATAAAGGTAGACGTAGGCAGAAAATAGAAAAGAAGTTGTACAAACAGATCTATTACTTTGTTACTTTGTTACTTTGTTACTCAATTTACTCCCCCTCACTCCAATCCGGTGAACGCAAGCAGGTAAATCCCGTTTCGGTGTCAGTTTCCGGGGAAGTGTATTATTAAACTCCTATATAAGGCCCGCCATGTCTGCCAGAGATCGTCTATCCAACCTTTCGTCACACATCATGGGCTCCTCTACTCCCTCCGTATTCACTGCGGCCACCGTGGCTGCTGCCCCCGAAGACCCTCTCTTCGGTCTTATGAAGGCATACCGCGAAGATCCCTCCGATAAGAAGGTTGACCTGGGAATTGGTGCCTACCGCGACAACAACGCAAAGCCCTGGATTCTGCCCGTGGTTAAAAAGGTACCCCTCGCTGTGAAACCAACTATGATGTAATGCCCATATTAATCGCAAACAGGCCGACGATGCCATCCACAACGACCCCAGTCTCAACCACGAATACCTCTCCATTGGCGGTCTCGCCGACTTCACCTCTGCCGCACAAAAGCTGATTGTCGGCGCGGACAGCCCAGCCATCCGCGAAAAGCGCGTACGTATCCGGCCAAGAAAATAGAACAGGCGCATCCACCTTCCCAAAACAACCCCCCACTAACGCAACCACCCCCCCAGATCTGTACACTGCAAACCATCTCGGGAACCGGCGCTGTCCACCTGGGTGGCCTCTTCCTCTCCAAATTCCACCCCCAAAAGCCCGCTATCTACCTCTCCAACCCAACATGGGCCAATCACAACCAGATCTTCACCAATGTCGGCCTCTCCCTCGCCAAGTACCCCTACTTCTCCACCAAGACCAAAGGCCTCGACTTTGAAGGCATGATCGCCGCCCTCCAGTCAGCCCCCAACGGTTCCGTCATCCTCCTGCACGCCTGCGCCCACAACCCCACAGGCGTCGACCCCACAGAGGAACAATGGAAGCAGATCGCAACACTCATGCGCGAACGCTCCCACTTCCCCTTCTTCGACACAGCCTACCAAGGCTTCGCATCCGGCGATCTCGTCCGCGACTCATGGGCCATCCGCTACTTCGTCGAGCAGGGCTTCGAGCTCTGCGTCGCCCAGTCCTTCGCTAAGAACTTCGGTCTCTACGGTGAGCGCACTGGCGCTTTCCACTTCGTCTCCGCCCCCGGCGCTGACGCCTCTACTTCCTCCGCCCACATCGCTTCCCAGCTCGCTATCCTGCAGCGCTCCGAGATCTCGAACCCACCTGCTTACGGTGCGAGAATCGCTAGCCGCGTCCTTAATGACCCCGTCCTGTTCAAGGAGTGGGAGGAGGATTTGCGCACTATGAGTGGTCGTATCCAGGAGATGCGCACGGGTTTGCGTCAGCGATTAGAGGCTAAGGGGACTCCTGGGTCTTGGGAGCATATTACCTCGCAGATTGGAATGTTTAGTTTCACTGGTCTGTCTGAAGAGCAGGTTATGACTCTTCGTTCCAAGTGGCATGTTTATATGGTGAGTTTAACTTCTTGGGCACTCCGGTTCTGGATTTATGCTAACTTTTTCTGTAGACAAAGAACGGCCGTATCTCAATGGCTGGCTTGAACACAAATAACATCGATTACTTCGCTGAAGCGGTCGATAGTGTTGTGCGCGAGTCGTCTTAGGAATTTACTTGATACCTTACGATCCAGGAGATCTGGACGTGTCTGGGCGTTTTTTTATGCTTTTTCTAAACAGTTATATCGAAATTTGTACCTCGATTGGGTTCACTTCACACACAAAGAATGATGTAGACAGTTGCATGGCCTTGATACGATATAGTAGTAGAACCATATCACTACCACAGAAATGCTACCAATCAAAAGAATGCTATGCTACAATTGAATAAACAAGAGCAGGGAAAGGCCCTCGGCCTATCCACATGTGCAAGGAAGCCGAACCACAAAGAGCAGCCCTAAAAGACCAAATCCCAAACCACAAGCCAAGTGCACAGCCCAACAGTACCCCAGAAGACAGCTTGAGCCGTACTCCTCCGCTCGGTAGCCCTCTTCAGCTCCCGATTTCCCTGCCCGACATTCGTCTGCGTCGTATCAACATCCGAAACAAGCTGCGAGATATATTCCTCCTGCGTAGCAAGATGCGTCACCAAAGTTTCCTGCAACGACGAAATCTCCAGCAGCGATTTCTCGGCATTTCTAAATCATACCTGTTAGCACAAACCAGCAACCGGATCCGCAGAATACCATACTGGACCTTCCCAAGCGTATCCTCATAATGCCTAAGCATAGTATCATTCTCCTCCGCAAAAAGCTGCAACTGTTCCGGCGAAAGCTGCGCTTCAATCTGCGCCGTATCCGCCTCGCTCAGAACCGCTGCGTCTGGCGCTGGACCCGCGCCCGATCCTGACCCCTTATATGTGGGACTAGATGTAGACGTCGACGACGCCCCCGTAGATTTAGATATAGATCCCTTCCGCCCGGCTCCCCGGCAACCTTGTAGAGAACACTTTTCTCCTTCTCCCGTACTCGCTCGATTCGCTTTTCGACCATTCTCCGCTGCGCGCCTGCTGCGCCTTCGAGTCCGCGTCGCAGGTACCATAGTACGGCTTCACGGACGGTGGTTGTTGAGCGGGCTGTTTCCTCTGCGCGCAGTTGTTCGGCGGACTTGGTCCCGCTGTCGCCTGCCCAGCGCCATAGTGCGGCGCCGGCGGCGGAGTGGCCGTATTTCTTGCGGAGGAGGGTTGAGGTTGTTTCTTGGCGGAGGGACTCTGCTGAAGAGAGGTTTGCGATTGAGGTTGCTAGATCGCGGAGGAGGAGGGCGGTTGAGGTGTCGACTGCGTCGCGTTCGGGGTCGGTGAGAGTCTGGGTCTGGGATTGGGATTGGGCATTTTGGCGGCGTTGGGTTGTTGAGAGGTAGGAGTGACGGATTGATTGGAGGTATTTGAGGAGGGAGGTGATGTGTGAGTTCTGGGGTTGTTAGATTGGGTTATGGAGGGTTGTTTGGCTGGCTTACGATTCGGTAGGCTTCTTTCAGAAACTCGTCGGCGGTTTTTGAGATGGGCTTTGGGATGGATGAGCCTTGCTTGGAAAGCAGGCCATTGAGTGTAGGCGTTAGATCGGTCATGGCTGGACTTAGTATGGACGGTTTGGAGATGTGTTTTCTGTACATTTGATCAACGTCACTGCGCGGATGGTCCGTCCCGCATCCCGCACCTTGTTTACAACGGACCATGTGGTTTCAATTTGATGATTGTTTTTCGATCACACTTGTCTACAGCTACACACGAGAACAAAAAGGTCGTCGTATACTCCCAAGTGGCAAGCCTTTTTGCTTCATCTCCGAGCCATGTCCCAAGAAGCGACCTTGCCACGAAGCACGGCCAGAGCGACTCTGTCTTCCCCGCATCTGCAGCATTGGATTTTTATGGATGTCAGCCCTGCACCCCAGGCTGAAGTGGAGACAGTCATCGAAACTGAGTATCTGAGACTGAACTGATGATCTGAATGTCAGAGGGGCACTGAAAATACCAATGAACTCGCAAGTATATGGAACATGAAATCATCGTCACCTGAGGACCTGTCTCATGGTCCTTGATCTCCATATTCTAGATCTTGAAAGCACATTGAAGGTGCTGAATCCGGTCCAATCACTTCTAATGTCAATCGAGCACCAAACATTGGTCGGGTAAATGTCCCTTCGTGGTGGCAATTGACCACTAGAAATGTACGGGGTATGCCATGCTAAACCTTGATTTGGACATGTGCAATCACCCCATCTCAGATATTGCGGCGACCTTAGAACCAGCACCCTCATCTCGAGGTTGGACCATCTGTTCAATAGATTCTTGCATCATAGATGAGACTTGGAAATGGAAAGCCAGCTAAGATCATCGCTCTCGAGATATTGGGTGATGACGTTGATGGCTGTATATACGAAGGATTCGGGATGTTCCAGACAAAGAAAGACGGTTGATATCTGACAACATAGCACAGATCGCCAAGAAGAGTCGATAGAGTCTATTCAATACAAAAGTCGAAATTCCAACTTCAGAGTTAACTCCATGTGGGCCTGATGTCCAGAAAAATACGAACAGACACGGGGAATTTCAGCCATCCTTCCGACTGATATAGCTGATCCCTGTAGTTTCCACAGTGGCGACCAGTTAGAGTTAGATACATCACATGTTCTCAACGGTCATAGCGAGAGTAAACAGGGATGTAAACTCAAAAAAAGGAGAATCCATGCTCATAACCTGAGAGTGTGTTATACATGTTATACATGTTATATGGGACAAGGAACCAGCCAGGTTTCAGATCTGCCGGTCAGACGTCACTGAGTAACACGTCCACGTTTGCTCAGGAGGTATATAAGTGGGCTGACATTCCTCATGGTCTCCCTTCAACCTTGGAACTCGCAATCTTAGCATGACTATTCCCATCAAAATGGAGCGACCGTCTCAAAATATACACCCTGCAGCTACCTCTATAAAGCTGCCAACTCTACGACTTGCCCCATCACTCAAGCGATCCACCACCTACTCCACGCCTTGTGAAGAAAACGCTATCCAGCCGGACTCAGAGAACTCCACCGCTGCCATGGACACACAGCTTCGCGACTACCATTATCAAGTCAAAGCAACCCTCACCAACATCCTCAATGACGAGCGTGTCAAACACAACCCCAACGGTAGCCGCTGTGTCCAGGAAATATTGCTGGAGAATGAGCATGATATGAGAAGGCAACGAAGGGAATCACTCAGTTCATGTACCGCCAAACGAACAATGCTTTTGTGAAAAATGTAATATACGAAAAATGGACTGCCTGATGCTTTTATGGGCCCTTCAAAACCAACTCATTCCTCAGTCTCCCGAACAGACCTTTCGACATCTTCAACCTTCTTCTTTCCGAAACGAAGCTTTTTCTTTAGGTTCAAAGCTCGCACACGGTATGCCCGCTTACGTCGTCGAGGAGGATAGTTGACTGGACTCTCGCCACCAGTGAAGATGGCCATATCGTAGACCAGAGCACCAAACAATGCACCACTGATATCTGCACACCAAGGTCCCCACACCCACCAGGCATGCATTTCCCGGAAGAGATGACCACCCCAACCCGCCATGACAGCAACGAGTCGAGGGCCAAAGTCTCGGGCACAGTTGAAGCAGCTAGTAGCAAATGTTAGTAATAATTACAACAAGACAGACAAAAAAAAAAAAAAAAAACTCACCCTCCAGTGTTATATCCAAGAGCAAGAATGATGACTGAAATAAGAATGCCCAGAATGAAAGCCTGCATGCCAGCACCAGGCGGGGCATTCGAGTCATCACCCAAAGCCATAATCGTACCGACCAGAAGCGCACTGCCCACAAATTCAGTGAAGAAAGCCGTTGCAGGATGCACGAACGATTTCGGCATTGTGATCAGCGCCTGCGCTGCAGCACTTGCATTCTGAGGAAGCTTGGCGGTAGCCGCAACTTCCACAATCGCATCATGATACAGCGCATAAGCAAATCCACCCGCGGTAATGGCACCGAGCAATTGCGCAGCAATATAAACAACACAGCGACGAGCAGGGAATCCTCGGAAAACAGAGAGAGAGATTGAAATGGCTGGATTCATGTGACCTCCGGATATACCACCGGTGGTATAGATAGCGATCATGAAGCCGAAGCCCCACGCAGCGCTCTGCGCTGGGTACGAGCCTGCTTGACCTGACGAGGTGAAGTTAGACAATGTTGCGCAGAGACCGATTGTCATTGCCATCGTTGTCTAGGAGTGGTTAGATCGAATATACTGGACGGGAACCACAAGCTAAAAAGAAAGTGAAACTTACGCCGAGCCATTCGGCTAGTGGTTCGCGGAGATGATGTCTGATTTTTGACCAGGTGTTGAAGAAGCCGTCATCGTTTGGACCGTTGACCCGATTCGTGCGAGCCTCTGCTGAGCGCTGTTTCTTAGCTTCGGGCGATTCGTCATACTCGCTGTTCTGCATGGCTTCTTTGTCCTCTTTTCGGTCTTCTGGCAAGGCACCGTGACGCATGCCCGGTCGCACGATGTGCGGGAGTGGTTGCGCTAAACTCCATGTTGGTCCTTCGTTGTTGTGTCCATACTGCGGGTTGTAGGATTGGTATTCTTCATCCATATATGGGCCCTGGTTGGTATTGTTCGGGTTCTGGGCGCCGGAGCCCGCAAGGCTGAAGCTTGGGTTGGTGCCCAGGCGATCTTTCTTGCTTCCTTCTTCTTGGGTGCCGCGACGAGCTTCATATTCGGGGATCTGGGTAGTATCTAATACTGTCAGTGATGTCTTGGGTCATAGATGGGGAGGGTTGGTACCTTTTACAGGGCCATTGGCGCTGTTGGCGCTATTATTTAAACTCATTTTGTTGCCCAAAAAAAGTCTGACATGAATCTATCAGTGCGACACATGGAATTTAAGAATGAGAGAAAAAAATTGAGCTGTCAAAGCTTGTCGTCGAACCTTGGAAGTAAAGGTCCACTCTTTCGTCACTATCCGATCGACGAACCCTGGGAGTCTAGGGTAAAAGCAAGGAATCTTACAAGCTTCTCGGTGAGAGTCCTAGGAATTATATCATTTTCGATACCTTATTGGCGGCATCTGATCCGTATGGACCCAAACACATATGTCAAAAGCGCAGATCCTTACAGGACTCTAAATACTAGTTTCGGATAGAGCCATCCCGCCCGTAAATGGTTCATGAGATTGCCTTTGTTCAATGACGAATGTCTTATCTTCGAATTCCACCAGGACTTACCCTAATTAACTCTAAGTACACGACTAGGGCCTAGGTATTCCCAATTTACACACAAAAAAAAAAAGAAGAAGAAGAAAAGATTCAAGCAGACAAACCTCTTCTCATGTGGCGTCCTTGGATCTTCCATGCATTGGTATTTCTTCAAGCTAAATGCGTCAGGGTATAATCAAAATCACTATGCTAATAAATCAAACTTCAAATCATTGCTCGTTCCTCAACCCAGATCTAGAAATTGAAGTCAGTAAAAATGTCAATGAAAAAGCACGGCACGAAAACTCACCTCCATCTTCCCCATCTCACTCCCTTCCCTCTTCGCCACCTCCTTCGCCGAGCTAACCAATAAATCCAAATCTTCCTGATCAACCATTGTGATCATGTCCCCATCATCCTGAACCCTGATTTTGAGAGGACACTTGAACCCAAACTTCTCTTGTATGCGACTCTCAAACTCGGCGAATGTGATGGTCGGCCCGATCATAATGTATCGCGTGTCATCGGGCGCATGGACCTTCGTGCGGAATTTTTGGATCCCCGACCGTCGCGTAGTGTGACGAGAATTCCGGACCGGGGATGGTGTGCGCCGATGGCTCGGACCCGCACCCACGAGCTCGAACTTTTCGTTCAAATTCGACGCAGGGTGGCCCCCTTCGACGTACTCTTCCTCTTCCTCTATGAATTGGGGTGGTTGGTGACGGGAACCTCGACCCCATCCTGAGCCCGGGGTTCGTTGGGGTGAGTACGGGTCACGAGAGTCTTGTCCGTATTCTGACTCAAAGACCGGGTTTGTATCGCTGAGATTCCGGCGATGACCTTGTAAGCTTGACCGTTCGATTTGGTCTGGTTCGGCAAATCCTCGCATGTTGCTGTATCGGGATGGGCCGCGAGGCTCTGATGCTGTGCGCGTGGTTCCTATGCGTGGTTTTTCTTGACTTGGGTTTGGTACTCGTCGGTCTAGAGCGGCTCCTGTGCGGTCCAGGTCCAAGCGTGGTGGGCGGGCCAGGCGTAGAGATGACGAGCGCTGATGTCCAGTGGTTGATTGGCTTCCTGATGCGTTGACTGATCGATCATCTGGCGGTGGCGTTGGTGGGAATACATTGCGGTTGAGGGGAGGTTCGGATTGCTGGCGAGTGCGGCTACTGAGATTGTCGCGTACTAAGTTGCTCGAGGCAAATGAGACACCTGCGCGACCTTGGAGGGCACCCTTGTCAACCGGCATTGGCCTCCACTGGTGATCGGAAGTTTGGGTGCGATCAGACGCGGCAACTAGACGCGCTTTGCCTAGGTAGTCCTTGGTCTTGAGATTCTTGACTTTGGCTGCGTTCGGGCGATAGAGGACCCCAACTGGAATTGAGAAGACGGTGTATCCCTACATAGAAGTTAGCGGGAATCACAGATACGTATAGTCTCACGCACATCTGCATTCTCACGGATAGCATCGTCGATCACATCGTGATCAGGCGTGACTTTTTCTTTGGCTGCATATTCAAGATCTTGGATTCCTGGGTTCATCTGCCGAAGATAGATATAGCAGAGACCTCGGTTGAATAGAACTTCACAGGAGAAGAGTCGGAAGACCAACCCCAACTGTTCATAATCAATCGAGGTGTTTCCGCGCAGATAGAGGAGAGTATCATTGAAGTTGGCTAATGCTTCCTCAAAGTCTCCGAGCAGGAAGTTGGACACTCCTTGTTGAAAATAAGCGATTGCCAGATACCGGTCTAGACCGGTAGCGCGTTGATAGCATTCTACCTTTATCGCGGTTAGTTGGTACTTTACGGAGTGCATTTGACGTTCACCTACCGCTTTACCATGCTCGCCCAGCGTCGCATAAATAACCCCGCAATTGAATAATATCTTTGACGTGTCGGCGATTTGATCGAAATAGCGCAATGCCTCGTCGAAGTCTTGGTTCTCATAGGCATCGAGAGCGCTCACCCATGTTTCAATTTCCTTTTGTGGTTCAAAGTCAGCATGCAAGCTCTCAGCCAAGATGATAGATATCTCCTTACTTGTTTGATCGACATGATGCAGGCTGGGAGGAATGAAGGAATGACTGAGCTATGCGGTTCACCTGTGGCTAGATGACATACGAAGAGACTATGCAATTAAGCACTGCTTCCCTGCGATTCAATCCAGAGGACCCGGGTGTCTGGAGATGCGCACAAGTCGGAGCAAGTTGCACTCCTGGCGAGAGCCAGTATTATAACCGACACCAATGGCACCAGGTGTCGGTGTGACGAGAAAAAAACTTTAGAATAAGGGGGAGCAATCTGATGGCGGAACGAGCGGGGTGATCTTGGACGTCGAATAAGCCGAACCAACGTGGGCCTTCCGATAGCAGTCCCTCAAGCTCTTGGTAATGAAGTATTTTTAGATACAACGATATGCAAATAATTGATGTTGACAAAAGGTCGAAAACGGCCCTCCGATCACAAAGATGTGGAGGTGAGGGGTGACCCGGTCAGTTGGGATCACATCAGGATATTGGCGGGTAAGCGGAAAAAAGAAAGAGAATAACGGAGAAAAGAAGATCGACAAAAAACAGAGGGGACAAAAAAGCAAGAAAAGCAAGAAAGGAGGAAAAAGAAACAAATGGCTGCTGTGTCCCGAGAGGACAACTCGTACTGGACAAGGCTAGTTAGGCCGAGGTGATGGGACAAAAATAACCTGCTTTGCACCTGCAGCATTTATGCACGATGTGATCAATCAGATCACAGAACCCATTTCCCACTACCGCGGCGTCTGTGACTGGACCTTTCGTACTCCGTATGCGTTGGAGACTGTCCACGGAGAGATGCTACTCGTACGGTGGGCCCTGCGACACGGACCTCATAGCGGGGAGATGCGAATGCGAATGTGGTCTATCGCGTGGTGAGGGTAAATAATGTTCGACTGGACTCTCTGATTGGCTATCTTTTAATCCCCGCCACGGCGCTTGCAGTGCGTTATTTTAGAGTTGGACAAGGCCCGTGGGTATCTATCTCGCTTGCAATGCCTGAACGGGTGTAGACTATAACATTTGACAGAACAACTACGGAGTGCCATAATCCATAGATGTCTACGGTATCCCAAGGTTCTAGTCTATATCAGTTTGGGATATTGTTTTTTTTTTTTTTTTTTGACTTGGACGCACCTTGTATACAACCTTGAAGGCCAAGTCTCCGGAGTATACGGAGTAGTCCTGATTTAGTTATAGGTACGGAGTTATATGGCATGACTAGGACCGGGTATCTCAACCGCCGGGCCTTGGCTCTTCACCCACTGCGGAGTGAGCTGCATGGTGATCGTGATAGGATTCTTGCTGATACCGACGTCTAGACTCGAGAGGTGAAGCCCGAACTAATAAGAACCACGGGAACAAGGAGCCATGGAATTAAATCTATTTATATCAAAAACCTTGAAGTCTTGAAATGTCCCGGCTCATGTTGGCAGGGTGCGAGTGGGCTGGCCAAGTGGGGATTCCAAGGTTGTTGTTGGTTTTGACTAGCTATGACCCACCAAAGCGCCTAAGCCCTAGGGTGCCCCTTGGCCCGAGAAATTGGTTCTAGAAATAGCAGCAGTGATGCCATTGCACTTGCATTGCGCTAGTAGACACGGCACGGTACAATCTGATGGAAGATGAAGAGCTACGGTGTGCAGGAATCCTGTGCTTCAACCGGTATTTCATCGGATTTGATTATTCAACGCTGAAGAGGACTATGTAGGTATAGAAATGTAGCTAACTTGATTTACAGCTTGGCAACCATCTTGTTGCCCTTCTGGAGGAGAGCTGCGGCATCAGTGACGAGCTCGTCAACGATGGCCTTGGCAGACTTCTTCTCGTTGACAACGGCAGCGACCTTACCCATCAGGTAGGGACGAGCGTTGTCCAGGGTCTCATCGTCGACGTCATCGGGCAGGTTCTCCATATCGTGCTCAACGGGGATGATACCCTTGGAAGTGAGCTGCTTGATCTCTTCGTGGCGGTTCTCTTCCCAGTTGAGGATGTAGTTGTTCTTGCGAACGCGGAGGGGACGACCCTATACAGCTGGTTAGTGGCTTGAACAACCTCACACCCAAACAAAAGGTCAAACTTACAGTGAAGATGATAGTACGGATGTTGTCCTCGAAGCCAGAGGTGCGGACGGCTTCCTGGTGGGCCTTGGGGGCACCAGCCTCATCAGACAGAATGAAGCGAGTACCGATCCAGACGGCGGAAGCACCGAGCATGAGAGCAGCGGCAACGGAGTTACCGTTGAACAGACCACCGGCAGCAATGACCTGGACGGGCTGGCCGGTCAGGGGGCTCGTCTTGCCCTCGACCAACTTGGCAACCGTGGGAATGAGAACGGTGGTTGGGACATCACCAGTGTGACCACCACCCTCACCACCCTGGGCGCAGATAATATCGATACCAACATCGAGGCACTTCTGAACGTGCTTGGGGTGACCGATCATGTTCATGGTGAGGATACCGGCGCTGTGGAACTTCTCGACGACGGCCTTGGGAGGAACACCGACGGCAGAGACGAAAAGGCTGGCGCCCTCCGCGATGATGATATCGACAAGCTCTCCGAGCTTACCCTTGGTGTAGTCGTAGCTATGCGAAACAAAGGACAAACGGTCAGCGATGCGTTCATGGCAGGAAAAAAAAATTTCAGATCATCTTACTTGGTCTTGCGAGCGCTGCCGCCAACCTGAGGAAGGAGCAGGTCGACACCGAAAGGCGCCTTCTTGTCGGTCAAGAAGCTCTTGAGCTCAGCGATCTGCTCGCGGAGCATATCCGGGGTGTAACCAATGCCACCGAGCACACCGAGGCCACCAGCGTTGGTGACAGCGGCAGCCAGCTTGGGACCGGCAGCCACATTCATGCCTGCCAGCAGGATGGGGTGGTTGATCTTCAAGAGATCGGTGATGGGAGTGCGGATTCGTTCTATGCAGTCCGTCATTAGCATCTGCGCATAAAGGCGTGGGCCCATGTACCGGCTGCATCGGAATGATCACATGGCCTATGGGTGGAGGGTAAGGACTAAGGGAAATCCGGGGTAGACTCACGAGGGGAAGCCATGATGAATGTGTTTTGTCAAGCGAAGCCTGCAGATTATGGGAAAAGAAAAAACCTGGGGAAAAGGAGGAGGCGACCACTCTATAAAGCAGACCAACCTCGGTGGTTCACAGACTCGCGTTGAGCCTCGGTCCACGTCGTTTCGCCGAGCTTAGTCACGATGTCACCTGGCAGCGGGGTTGGACACCTCAGGTGTCTAGTGTCATGTGCAGTTTCAAGTTTCACATTTTTATCTGGTCAATTTATCTGGTCAATTTTTTTTAAACACATTCTGGCATTTCTCATTATTTTATGCATTACGCAATTTTACTGCGTATGCTTTATTTGTAAAAAGCGACTATTGACACTTTTCACAGAACATTATATACAACCCAAGAGTGTATCCAACGCTAAGTTCGACACGACCCGAGGTAGTATCGTTCTGGAAAACAAAAAAATCTAAACAAAACAAAATTCCATCGGCCCTGCCGAATTCAAGAAGATGAAGTGGGGGTTACCCAAAATTTAACCCAGAGTGAGAGTGAAACCGGAGCTCAGAGAGCAAGAGTAGGTGTTCACGTCATCAGGCTTCTGGTAAGCCTCGGAGCAGTCTGCGTCGCCAGCGGCACAGGTGGAGGATCGGCAGCTCGAGTCACTGGGCTGAGCGGTGAAGCCAGACTTGATGAAATCGGAGCTGGAGTCGAGATCAATGGATGACATGTCCCAGAACAAAGTGTCTCCGTTCTGGGTGTATTCGAACTGCAGAACGCTGGACTCGTCCTGGGTGGTGGACATCTTGATGGAGATGCCACCACCGTTGGAGTTGGTGTCCCAGTCCTCACTGTAGTCACCACCGCCAGAGCTGAGAGTCTTCATGCTGCTGCTGCCGGACGAGGTGGTCCACAGGTAGACGTCGGTGTCCATGTTGTTGACGATTTGGATACCGCCGCCATCGCCGCGAGTCTCGAGGGCGGAGCCTTCGGAACGAGCAATGGGCTGGGGAAGGGCGGCAGCAGTGGCTGCGAGGAGGCCGGCAAAGAAGACGTTGAAAGTCATGATGGAAATTTGTGGGAAGAGAATGGAGTTGGTAGACAAAAGTTCACCTGGTCAACAGAGATACTAAAGTGACAGTAATGGAGGATCAACCTCAAAGAGAATGAAACAGATTTCAAGAAGAGAGTGACTTGAAAATCAATGAATGTGTTTGAGGAAAAGAAAAGACATGGCGGATTCCGGGGTTTATATGCTCTCCGGGGGAGCACGGATAGAGGGAACAAACTTCTAAGAGAACCAAAAGGCGCGAAGAATGGATAAACTACAATTATAGATGTGGGACCCCATTTTAAGGTTGACTTCCGACCCCATCGGCCAATCAAGGCTTGCGGCTGAGATTTCCACTATGGTCTCGAACACTTCGTCATCCTCTTACGTGTGGAACTGAGCCTTCCAGAAGTTCGATTCGAGAGTTCGTTCCACTCATATCTTTGGTTTGGTCCTCGAATTATGTTTGTGCTCACAGAAAAGAAGAAATAAAAATCCACCACAACCTGACATCATTTCTTTGGGGCTTAGAAACACGCGCAATCTACGTCAGCTTCCAGTGGCGATTTGCCAGAGAAAAGTCTAAATGATGGGCATTTCAAGATTAGTGGCCGTTATTTGGCATTTAGCAACCGAGGCGATCTCCCGAACTTTCTGGAACGTGGCTACGCCACTCCAAATTTGTATATCCAGCGTTCGGCAGTCTACTCTGTCTTCATAATTCGCCAACCGTAACCAATGCGTACCTGATATAGCCACGGAGGCGTTGAATTTTGGTGGCAAGCCAGGGGATATCACATCATAAGTGAGTGTCCCTATTTGTTCCTTGGTATGGCTTTACCGAAGGATCAAAGCCCTTCACTGCCTCGGCAAACCCCCGGCCTTTGTCCGGGTGTAAGTTGGAGAGGCCATTTCTCTGACACTGCGGCCTAGAATTTGTGGAGACAGCAAGTCTTCGAGAGTGGACTTTCAGTATGTCAGTACTCCGCACAGACTCCAACTTTACCCAGAAATTACTTTGAGCTATTCCATTGCCAACCCTGCCTTTGGGTAAGATCCGCCGAAACATAATGTGCTCTTTGTTATCCGTCTCCGCACCATTCATTGAAAACGATCACAACCCAAGCCATATGAGCGGGGGAGAACTGTAGCCAAATCCGGGATTTCAAAGGGAAGAGGAGGAGGATCAATATTCAACCTCAAGCTAAATGTTAAAAGAAGATGAAAAGCAAGACTGTGAATGTATTGAGATACAAGTAGGTACTTGACGACTAGACCTTTCTGCCAGAGATAAAATCAACAAGAACGATTTTGGGATATCAGAACATTTCCCTGAAACTTTAGCTAATAGTAGAAATGTGGTTTGCTATGGAAACCATCCGAGCAGACAAAAATCAGCCAAAGGTGTCGATAGTATGGTACCCACACTGTCAATTTGCTTGAGCAATTCAAGGATTGGCACATTTGCCGGACTTGCAGATAAGATCATCAGAGCAATCGTCACCACTAGAGCAAGAAGCACCTTAAAGCAGATCAGCAAATGTCAAAGTCGATGTCAGAGGCATATCTTACCAGCACAATGTCCAGACCAAGAGCAAGAAGTCGAGCTAGCACACTTTCCAGACTTGCAGACAAGATCATCGGAGCAATCATCCTCGCTAGAGCAAGAAGCACCTTCACAACGCATTAGCCAATATTATCGAAGCCACCATCATAAGAGTAGTCCCACCGGCGCAATGTCCAGACCATGAGCAAGAGCCACTAGTCGGTAAAGAGGCAACTGCAGTGGTGGTAAAGGTAGTTGGTGATCCCCCGGCAACCAGGCCTAGGTTCTTTGCTAGAGAGTTCACCAGGCTGTCGCCCATGGAGCGCAGAGTGCTGAAATTGGTGACATAGTTCTTGTTCAAAGCACTGCTGGGAAGTACGGCTTCCGATCCCGTGAAAACAATGTCTGCTCCGATTAGCACAAGTCAACAACTCCTCATTTCCCTGGAACTTACACGTCACATCGGCAGAACCGTGGCCATCGTTTCCATTCAAGTTGTCATTCGGGAAGCAGGTCCGCGCCATCAACCAAGATGCCTCTCCGATGACCTCTGGAGTATCTCCATTGCTATCACCGTAAATACCATAGAACATCTTGCCATCGCTTGGTCATGGTTAGTTCGGGCCGTGCTATAAATGATTGATGGACTTACCAGATGACAGCAGCGAGGTTATTCCCAGGGAATTCACTGGAGTAAACAGTGGCGAAATTGTCAGGAATCACGATAAATGGTACCTCATATGCCGACAGAGCACCAAAGTTCGTCTGGTCTTGTCCATCGGGATTACCCTAAATATGAATGTCAATTTTCTTTACGCCAACGGTGAAGCGTCTTTCATATGCTTACCTTGCAGTTGTAATTCAAGCCATCACAGTCCACATCCATATCGGCGACGAAGACAAAGGCCGCGCCCTATCCAGCAGATCAGTATGTAGCAAAAAGGTTAATTTACAAGAGATAGATCGTACCTCGGAGAACTTAGACCAGTCACTATGAATAGTGACCTTTTCAGCACCACCATTGTTGTTGATGGCGTAAGTGGATTTTGCGGCAGCTGTGCTAGCCCTGGCCGCCGCACTCTGAAGGGCAGCGACGGGAATCGTGCTTGCCGCAGCAAAATAACTGGCAGGAGGTCCAGCGGTTGGGTTGTTAAATTGAGCCCCATCCACCTGTTGGGAAACAGCGGTACCCGCCAGGGCAAAAAGGACGATTGGGAGAGAAAGGCTGAGCATCCTGGTTGCAGCTCTCGAGATCAGGTCTGAGATTTCGAGTTTTGTGGATTGCTGTGTTTTAGGGGCTGAGAATAGATTTATAAGATAGGTGCTCTGGAGTCTGAGACAATAATCAAACAAGTACTTTGTAAGGTTGCACTCGGGTCCACTGGCACGAGTTGCCAACAGTGTCTGTGGCTTGCTGCTCCAAGATTGAATGTAGGGAGTATTCTTAGTGAGTACTATTTAGTATAATGGTCAACTCTGTTCATGCAGGTAGTCACGGGAATGCGCGGAACTGGCGTAAACTAACCAAAGAGAGAGTAGGATACTGCACTGACTAACCGCAATAGCCGAATCGAGTTAAGTGTGAAACCGAAGTAGTTCCCTATTTTGAAGAACGTGTTTGTCTGACTGGTGTGAGAGATATGAAGAAGAGGAGAGTGGATTGACAGTGGGGGCTGGAAATGAAGGCTTCTTTCACTTGATTGAGCGTCGGGGTGTCTTGGGTGGACCCAAGCAATGCTGCCTTTTCAAAAGAGATCCTAACATTCTCACGGAGCTTAATTGACTTGCCAACCAGAGGGAGGGATTCGCACCCAAGGGAAGACCTCGGGTGGTGATGATGTCTACCGTGGTAAAGATAGTTGCAACCCGTAGTCCCGCAGTTTGTCCTCGTGGAATAGAGCTGGCTCCAGACATAGCTGAGAGCCTGAGACAGTCTGACCCATGACTCCAAGCTCAATATGTCGAATCCATCTGCCAATTAGTCTCCGTATCATCAACCTTAATTGAATTGGTCAATATGTCAATATGATATCAGAATGCAATCACTTCAGGCGGCTATGTCCGTTGCGTCGATTTTTTAGTATCATTTTAGTCGGCGGGCTTTTCCAAGAAAAACCCTGGCCGTCCAAAGACACCACGTCAGTTATTAGTAACGGATAATCGTAACCCTGGATATCCCGTACTGAGTATTCATTAAGCATTACCAAAACAACCCTGTGGCCATCAAGTGACTTGTGATAGTCAAATCGAAGAGCCAGGAGGCGATTCCCGTTGCGAGACGGACCGAACCGCTCGGAACTGCGGCGGCGGACCCGCGGGTGAGCCCGCCGGGAGATGGCTGACTCAGCGCACATGATCGCCCGGGCGGGCGCCCGGGCTCAACTCACCTTGGGGAGATCTGATCTCGATTTCATCCTCCAAGCTCAACAAGATCAAGCGCCTTGAGTCCGCCAAAGATGATCAAGAGATGCACCGAAATAATTGAGAGAAGAGATTGCTATCTCAGGTGTGTAGATATACCATTGGGGCAGATCAAGGAAACGTAGCCTCTGTCTTTGTGTACGATGAAGTCTGAAGAGAGGAACAGCAAAAACAAGAGAGCTGAGAACCAGGGTTTCGCCTGACTTCCACTACTACCACATCTCTCTAAACTGACACCCCTCTCTCCCGGCCAGGCGTAGAAAAAAGAGGTTACCTTGGCAGTTCTTGATCGCCTTTGTAATTGCAAGTTGAACACTGGAAGTAAAGCTTATGCGCCATTTGAGAAGTACGAGTGCTTGGGTTTGCGTAGTCTTACGGCCCTGCAGCCCTACAGCCCTACAGCCCTATGCAGCATCCCAAGTCATATGCACCTAAATCACACTTATTGATGTAAAGATGTGGACCCAAGAATCATGCTGCCTGGGCTTTGCAACAAGCTCTACTTGCGCCAGAGAGATAATATAAAATCGAGTCTTGTAAAATGAAGTGGGTTAAGCTCGGAGCAAGTTTTTGATAACCGGACTCGAAAGCATCAACTCATCGCTAGCCATGCGTAAATTGTCAATTCGCGCCCGCAAGACATTTCGGGGGCCGATAACTCACCCACACCATATCTTGCCGCTCTCATGCACAGCGAGATACATGAATGAACATCATCCTTGGCATATGACTTATCGATCATATGTCTCTGGAGAAGCGTGCATACGCAAAGTTGCACATGTCTTGTTGCTCCTTTGACCGAATGTCTCTACATAATGGGTCTCATATGCCCACGGGTCTGCGTCTTGCGTAATGTGCAAAATACATCTAGCTATAAAAACGTCGATAGCCCTAGTGTACTTTCTGCAACTGTGACTTCTTTTTCCCAACTTTGAAGCCCCATTGAGACCTCCCGCCTTTGACTTTGCAATGAAGCTCAGACAATTGACATTCTGCCTCTGGGCCATAGCTGCAGGGGCTTCTCTGGCAGACTACCAGGAGTTATGTCCAAGCATGCATGAAACGAAGCATGAGATCCAGCCTGAACAGTGGGTACTTGTCAAATGCGGCTGGGTTGGCTCCCATGATGGCAGGAAGTCGCGGGTTGGTGATATCCGGACTCCTGCTGCCTGTGTCCAGCTGTGCAGTGACGACCCCACCTGTACACATTCATCCTGGGGTTTAGGAGAAAAGTGTCTTTTGAGCGGCTCCAAGTTCACCGAGAGGGAAGTCAAAAATAGTGTGTTGCTTATAATGACCACCCCGGACGATCTACAAGATGAGTGCCCAGAGGACAGCCCCTACTGTGACGACGAAGAAGAAGAGGAAATTTGCGAGGAACAGCTTGAGGAGAGCGAGACTCAACTCGAAAATTGCGAAGAAGAGAAGAGTATTTACCAAGAGCAACTCGCGGAATGCCTCATCGAACAAGAAACCCTTGCACAACAAGTATTCGACTTGCAGTCAGCCGAGCTCAGTCCCAAAGTTGACGTCCCAGAATGTAAGGGCTCTTTGTGTCACAGGGAAGAATCGATCAACTTCATGAGACTGACAATACCTCCAGGCGATATGAGCCATGGTACAATCTTCACGGCCCAAAACAACCAGAGATTCAGGATTGATTGCAGAAAAGGCATGATTCCCCTCATCAATATGCGCAGTGGATTTTCCTGACGTCTTATAGGAGGAAACTTCAAGCCATTCCAGGATTACAATTCGGAGACATTCGCTCGCTGTATCGAAGAATGTGCCGATAACCATCACTGTAAGGCGGCCGAGTTTGTGAAATCCGGGCAATGCAAACTTTACCATCTGGGCAAAAGAGATTCTGGTCGCTGGATCTCAAAGGAGAACCGATCTTTGGCCCTGTTGATTGCCGAATAGGTCCCTGGGATGTATATCTCAGAGATTGTTGAGACAATCGACAATATTAGACGCAAGCTGCCAGCTGGCGAGAAGCTCTTGGAGACAAATCAAGATTCACTCATGTATTTCTCGAGAAGGTTGATATATTTCTTACAGTTATTTTTCTGTTTGTTCTTGCTAGCTCCACTGGTCTTGGCTTCTAGGTGATTAGGTATTGACAATCTTAACCCTTCCCACTTTACTGGACTGTCAAAAGAGATGCAACCTTCCAAGGTTGGGATGATCAACGGTGACGTTAAAACACACCGTGAGAGCTTGGTTAACAATATTTTATACATGTTGCAGAGGATATTGGGTATAAATCAGATGACCTTCTGGAAGTCATTGACAAGTAATCTCCCGAGGTCTCATTCATATTGATGCCACACTGAATTTTACGCAGTCATCGACTGCCATTTTCCTCGGGTCCGGATTAAATGTGTGTGCAAATTGCTTTTATCACGAGAATACATTACCAATAGACGCGCGCTTGAGGCCAAATTATGAAGATATTGAGCAATCCGTGATAACGATCTCTCTGTAGAAGCTAAAAGACAGGAAAGGGTAAGAAAAATCAACGGTCAACATATTGCGACATAAATCAACTAATCAATATTTCTTCTTCAGCACCGCTCGTTGACATTAGCCCACCCAGCGATAACGTCGATCTCCATGTCACCCGACCCCTCCCCGCTGTAGATCTCTGCCGAAGTTTCTTTGGGGTTGGGGGATTGCAGCAGCTTTTTCAAGCATCCAGACCAAGATGGCGAATGGAAGCTGAAGTGCCCCGTCGTGGGCTAGCACTGCTCGCCCTGACCACTATTGATTGTTAGAGGTATATCTTGTCATTGTGTACTAAGTCAATTCAATCTCAATTGACCTTTGAAGAGTGGTCAATCTGTAGGAAGTGCCAAGTACTCCCACTGTATCCCATTCCATATACAGTGGAATTCACTTCTTTTTACTTTTTGCGCTCCTGATGGAAATATCCTATCATATAGATTAGTTTCGTGAAAACAAAGTCCACATAGTACAATCCACGTACCCATTTAACCCAGCAGCTGGGCAATTGGATCATTGCCCTTGATCCTTTGAGGCATGAAGCCTTGTTGTGGCTTTACCATACACTGTAGTCCGGTCTCCCAGAGAGCATGGCTATCATCCCGCTCAACTTGATTGGGCCAAAGTTGTAATTTCTCTCACTCTGGACGTTGAGTGGCTGTGCATTTCGAAATCGGACGTGGCCGTTGTATGGACATTGAAGATCACAGTGTCGACAATTCACCGGACGCTAGTTTCGGTGGCTTTGGGGTGACCAAGTGTCCGTTGTATAGGACTCGAGTATGAACTATATCCAGTCAGCCTTATACCCTTCACGGTCAATGTCTTGAATTGCGTACCGAGATTTAAGGGTAAATATAAGTCCTTCGCCTTCATGTTATGTTCATTGGTTGAAGAGAAGATGGAGAGACTGTCTCATGGCATGGCAGCTGAAGGTAGGACCCACCCTGTCACAGTTCACTGGCAGATCGGTGTTGTCGATATTGTGTCCATCCGATCGATTTCCCCTATGAAAGTGGGTCGGAGATGGTGGAAATCGGAACTATAAGAAGTGGGTCGATGGCTGCTTGAGGAACTGAAGGTGTTTAGGCAAATGGTCGAAATCGGGGGGTTGAGCAGTATGGCAACCTGGGGCATGTCCAGGTGGGGGATGAGCATGTGTCAGAGGCTGGTTGGGAGGAAGGAAAGGAGGAAGGAAAGGCAGGCTACACATGCTCAGCCCCTCGCTCACCCGCTCTCTTTTCTTCCCCTCTCCCTGGATTCAGTGAGATAATTGTCTTTTCTACCGTCTTTTCTACCGTCTTTTGACCTAGTATTCTTCATTGAAAGATTTATTTCTATAACCACAGCCTGGAGTACAGCTCGTTCAATGTTCTGTTAAGATCACCACAAGCTCCAACGCACATGAAATTCAATTTTGTATATTCCTCCTTGTACTCAGGCCTCTTGTTGAATTCCATCGTGCTTTCCCTGGAAGTCCTGCATGGCAGCAGACATCGACTTGAACCCCGTGGCGAACTTCTCTTCGAGCTGATCATCGGAGAGAACATGTAATCCGAAAAGCTCATTGTCCACGGAATCAAATTTGGTTTGGTACTTCCCACTCAACAGCGCGGATTTGAGTAGGGCGAGAGTATTGAAGAGATCCAGACCGCTTGTCTTGATGGCTTCAAGGACCGACTCAAGCTCAGTTTCAGCATTCGCTGGATTTATTATCCACTTGGTATCAGGCCCAGAGTATTTTCTCGCCAGATCCAGCACTTTGCTTTGAGTCAATACGGTGTCATGAACACCGACCAAACAATTCTTGGTCGCTTCTGCATTTTTGAGAGCACCCGAGACAGCCTTCCCCACACTTCCAATGCTGGTGGAGCTAAATGGGTGTTGGCCGCCGTCATAAAGTGTGACCTCCTGGGTTTGAAGATCTACCAAGAACGGCATGGACATGACAAATTCGAGAAAAGGCCCGACGGCAAAGAGCGTGTACTCGATCTCTCCGACAAGAGCCTTCTCCTTGAGATAGTCCTGAATTTCCACCCACATAGCATTCAGCGGGAGAGATTCGGCTCCTGGTCGGGTGGTCAGAGCCCCAAAATCAGAGGGGATGAATCTTCTGACACCAGCTCGAATGCTTGCGTCGATAACCGTCTTCTGGGCGCTGATTGCGGAGGCGCCAACAGTAGATACCACGGCATCCTGGTTCTGTAAGGCTTCAGCAAGGCTATCCACGGAGGAGTAGTCCACTTGCAAGGACTTGAAGTTTGCTCTGGGCTTCTCTGGGCTTGCAGTGCGACTCAGAACTGTGACCTGGAAGTCGGTGTTTAAGAGCTCTTCCAGTACTGCAGATCCTAGCCATCCTTTCTGTTTGCGCCGAGCTAGTCAGATTTTGGTCATATTCTCTTGGACATAATGAGACTTACTCCCAGCAGCGCAACATTCTTTATGGGCTCCATGGTAGATGGTCGACAAAGGGTGGATTGATGAGAGGTATGCAAAGACCCAAAGAGGGAACCAAAGTAATGTGATATCCAGAGTTATGCAGATAAAAGGTCTTGAACAGAGTGAGAATGATTCACACCTTTGCTGGGATTCTTCACTGTCTTTATAGCTTGATCAACGTGGCAAGACATAATTGTCGGAGCCTGCCAGAATCCACATTAGGAAACTCAGTCGTGGGATAGTTGAATAAAGTTTGCATCAGCATCAATGACCAAAGATTATACCGGAGGCTTTCGGAGGTCCACGAAAGGCAAGTGGCTCATCAATTAGTTCTTTGGTGCTCAATAGATGTAATGCACGCTAGTCCGCGTTAGGAAAGTCAGTCATGAATTAGCGCGAGGCTCCAGAGGGGTTCCACTTCTTATGCAGACAGCAATTGCGGCCACAATGCTTTTTACCATCTCAACCACGGACATGCATCACTGCTTGGAGGTCTTCAAGTTTTGAAACACATGTATTGCTCGGCTCGATCATCTTTCTTTCCCAGGGCTTTACGGCGCATTTTCCTCAGAACTCTTAACAGGAGTTTTTTTTTTTTTTTTTTCTTTGAGGTATCATTGGGGCCCGCACATCGATATGTCATAGTGGCCGCAATACAACACCACATGCCCCATTGCAGTTCGCCCAGTGCCAAGATTTCCGGGTCAAGTAGGTTAGTGGCAACGCTTCGTTTACAACACTCCTTGATCGAACTGAACACTTTTCTCGCCCCCTATGGCACTCAGTAGAGCTAGCCCAGCTTGTCAGAATTGCAGATCTAGACGAATCAAAGTGAATCCCCCTTAACGGTATGATTTTGGCCACACTGACCTCTGATAGTGCAATCTCCTTCAACCGAGATGTAGTCAATGTGCTCGAGCCGGTCTCGAGTGCGGAGGCTATAGATCTCATTCGGAACTTCTTTTCCGAGATCAAACAAATTTAACAATTCGAAAGGCGCGGCCGAGACGAATCTCTGCGGTCAAATTTCCCACTCACGGGTGTTCCTCTGTGAGGCCATCATTCGATTGGGATGGTGTCGCTCGGAAAGTTTTTACTGATAATTTTCCTGTTCTTGGGGATGGATGCAAGAGTTGGATGGAATCTAGAGCGGAGCAACCTTCCTCCACTACTATCAGTCTAACATCAGTCGGTCTGGCTGCACTTGCTCTAGTCCATAAAGATCCCCAGTTGATGGATCTTGCACGAAGAAGGTATCAGTCTGCTATCAAGTCTCTCACGACAGCGATCACTTGTCATGCAGAGTCTGGGGTAGAGCAATCTATTGTGTCAAGCTTTATTCTCTCGATATTCGAGGTTCGATTCCAAATTCAATGTATGAGACCCTATGCTAAACGATATCACAGGTGATGACATGTGATAAATCCTCACATTATGATGCATGGCCAAAGCATGTTCTCGGAGCCGCTACTTTCTTGGGCTATCTGTGTTCTGCAAATGGCCTGCCCCAGTCGCCAGTGACCGAAATCGTGGATATTTGCTTTAATACTGTCAGTCATCATCCCTCTGATGATTTCCTTTCTTTGCTGATGATTTAAAACAATAGATACTTGCATGTCTTGTCAGCAACACGCTTGTCCCAGAATATCTGCTGCAATTATCCCATCGATTCGAACCGTGTCTTGGCCCTCATGAAAATGACCAAAGACCATTGACACTCGCAATGAAGTTATTCGACATTATGGGCCCGCTGGTGAATTTCCATAACTTGGGAAAACACGGCACACTTTTTCAAAGTCAACTAGTTTCATTTGCCATGCATAGCACCCAAGCCCTGCACGATTGGGTCAATTCCCTCCCTGCTTCATGGGATTACGAGAAGCGCAGGGGCAACGCATATGATTCTTATGAGAATATCTGGTTCGCTCAAATTTGGAACTACTATCGTTTGGCTCGCATACTCGCCAATCGCATGATTATTGACAATCTTGACATCCCGTCCTGTTCGGGACTGGACACAATAAGTGGTGACGTTGAAATAAGTTGCGACGACTTGATTTCCACAAACGCGTGCATGTTGCAGGGTATATACGACACATTTCCCTTCATGTTTAACTCGGAGTGTGCGTCTTCCGCCTCAATGCCACTTTCGGCAAGCCTGTTCTCGATGACAAGCATTTTGCAATCTTTGTCCAAGATAACAGACAAGATGACTCTGTTGACGACATGGTCGATACCTGCGAGTAAGGAGCTCGGGGAAAGATTCACACTCACGAAGGACATCGTGAATCAAAATCTCCATTAGGAGAATAATACAATGTTGAATCATGACTAAGGTGGTAACCTTCCGAAGTTGGAAGCTTGGAAGGATTTCTTTGCGTGTAGCTCTAAACTCTTCAAATCTGTCAATCGATGTATGTTGAATTCATGTGATTTATTTAATGATGCTGAGTATATCCAAAAACAAGATGCAATGGCAAAAGTGCCAAGTCCAACCCCAACAATATGTACAACACGCCCTTAACTATAAACAAAAATCAAAACTACCGACCAGTGTAACGCTTCTCGATCGGACGCAAGATGCAATACATTGTTGAAGCAAAGGCAAAGCCAAGCTCGAAACCGACGTCACCACCAAATGCTGGGTCGCCAGCGTGGCGAGCGATGGGGCCCGTCCACCATGTTTGACTCATACCCACGACCACGCCGGCAACACCGAAGCAGAAAGCAACGGAGGCAGCAATGCCCATGGGCAGCTTGTGAGGCTTGTCGTAATCGTCCGGGTTGTAGCCAGCGAATCCGCGTCGGAACACAAAGTGGTCGCAGATGGCAATGCCAGAGTAGATGGCCAACCAGTATGCGATGAGGTTCATGAAGTTTTCAAGGACAACCTCGAAGTGAGAGTAGCCAGGAATGGCGATGGCGAGAGAGACACATGAGGCGCAGAAGGTCCAGATGAAACGGGGCACGCGCTGGGTGAACTTGCCCAACACCTGCAGAGTCAATGAGACGGAGTAAATGTTGGGGCAGTTGTTGGCAATGATAGACAAAGCGAGAATGACCAAACAGAACTTGCCGAAACCACCAAGAGGCTCGAGCACAGCTCCGATCAAGCCACCGTTCTGAGAGGCCGCGTAGCCCTCTGCGTACTTGTTGTTCACACCGTCGCCGATGGCAGTAGCGGACATCACGGCAATACCGAGGAATTGAGTGAAGATCAGAGGGACAATCAAACCGAGCCAGGCAGAGAAGAAAACCAAACGGCGGCTCTGAGTCTTGGGCTGGTACACGGTGTAGTCGGCGGCGTAGCTGGTCCAGCCAGTTGCGAAGCCGTACACGGTTGATCCGAAGGAGAGACAAGAGCCAAGTTCGGACATTCCAACACCCATCGGGATGTTCACAAAGTCGCCTGAGTGAGCGAAAGTGCCCAGCACGATGAAGAAAACGATACATGTCGGAATCCAACTCCAGTACTCGTAAGCGTGGACGACTTTATATCCGGCGAAGGTGATGAACAGTGTGCAGAAGGTGATGATCAGGATACCAGCATATCCTGGTACGTTACTATTCACGGCGTTCAAGAGCTGGGCGCCGACAATGGCGTTGGGGGCGGACCAACCCACGCAGGCGATAACGTTGAGGACGGCGACTATTGAGGAAGACTTTGATCAGCTTCATCCACGGTGTACCAATTGAATGGTTAAAATCAACTTACTGCATCTCACAGCCCACCATCCGAACCAGAATCGCGAAAGCACCATCTGGCGCAATCCGAATGCCGGACCGAAACACGAGAAGAAGCAGACGGTCATTACACCGAGCAGATTGAAGAAAAGGCACACCAAGATAGCATCGACGAAGCCTAGACTGAAAGCCGATTTGCCGAGAACACCAATCGCAAAGGAACTAGAGACCATATTTGCGGCCAGCCACTGGGATTGGTCAGTGTGAGGCCTTTAGACCACGGCCATCACGCCAGGTATAGAAACACACCATGCTGCCAATGTTCAGGTACGAGTCATCGGTCCGTTCCGATTCTGGGACGCGCTCGACACCTCGCTGTTCAATGTGGAACTTGCCGGCGAATCGCTGGATCTTGGCGTAGGTTGAATTGCCATATTCGAAGCTCTCGCCAGGCACAGCGTTGTCGCTCGAGGTATCGTACTGCTCGTTGCTGCTGGATTCGGAGGCGAGGCCATTGTTCACGTGAGGAGCCTTTTCGACGTCTTCTTCCGCCCCACGGAATGCTTTTGCGAATTTGGGAAGCATTGTCGTGTTAGTCCTCACCAGTCAAGGAGAGAAAGGGAAGGTATATAAGAATCGAAGAATCGAAGAGCGAAGCTCAGCGAGATCCGTTATCAAGATGGAATGTGCACATCTTTTTTTTTCTTTCTTACTCCACCGCGAGGAAAGAGCTCCTAATATAGTCGCGAGAATTCTTTGCGCGTCGGCCCCACCCGTGGCAAAGATAGCCCTGCTCGCGTGCAAAATTCCCTTCCAGAAAAAGAAGCAAATGACAAGCCTTCACGGCCCCCTCATGGCGGCACCGAGCCAATCATAGCATTGCATGAGGGGCCTAGCTTATCGGAAGCCCGAGGATTTTGCGTTCGCTTGGTTGATATCGGCTACTATTGGCCGTTGTCTGTGTGAAACGGTCCAGGAGTGGAGTACAAATGGAGTTGTCGGAGGTCGTCGGAAGTAGATAAGAGGTCCGTTTGTACCGTTTGCCTTGTTTATCTATGCACGAGGTACATCTGCCCACGTTCCCCTTTGTTTTACCTTTGATACTACCTTATCTTGTCATGTGTGATGTTATTACGGAGTACCATCCATTGATTTATGCATAGGTCCACGTTTTTGATTAAGCTTTGACGGAGCACGCCGACGCGCTTATGCTTGTGAAGCTTGGTTCTCGGTCTGGACTTGCAGATACTGCGGGGAAATATGCACCTTCTGCTCCCCGGACTCCGGATGAACTATACGGCCCAGGTTTATTTGCTGGAGACATGACCTCACCACCTCCCTGACGTATGATGCTGGCCATCATGAGGCAATTGACTGCGAAGTGCATGTAAGCAGATAGCCTACGAGCCTCATTCCAGCAGGTTGAACCGATGCATATTCATTGTTCATTATGCAAGGCCAATGCCTCGATGTCTACCTAGACACATTGATCATGTCCGTCGTGTCATATCTCTCACATCTACTCGCAATCAGACTTAGATAGCTTTGATCAGCTCGAGATGGAAATGCGGAGATCGCCGTTCGTGATTTCATTGGTGCAACGGCGTCGGGTGCGGACCAGATCTATTGACAGACCCGATAGCAGCTGGCTTCGCTAGCTCCTAGACCTGGAGCTCCTAATGCCTATCACTGGCCGGTGCCAAATTGAATTTGGATTTCTGTCTTTGGAGTGCCCTGTTCTCTGCCACCATGCCCTGTTTGGATATCTAGGATTGCTATCAATGTGTTCCCTACTAAGGGTACTTGATCCAATGTGTCACATTGCAAATTGTATCTGTGATTAACTTGTGCCCAACGCATACATCCAGTCTCCCTCTACATCTCTTGAAGCTCAATCATAGATCAAAGCATGCCAAATCCCTTGGCGATTGTGCCAATGGTGCTTGCAGGTGCTTGCATGCCTATTTGATCTGCACGTAGGCTATGATGACTCCTTTTGTACTTCACATCCCCCGGTATATTTCCCCCCGCATTGTTTGTCCCATCTCCAACGTGTTTGGACCCGTGGACTTTTGCTATGATATTGCCTCGTTGTCATCTTCGGTGCACTACGGTCGACGTGTCTAAAACTTAAATCGCGTGCGACACTCATTCAACCCGATCTGTGCACAACTCAAAGCAAAAATAGACTAACACTATTCACATGGTGACAACTTTCATTCGTCTTGGGTGAAAGTCTCGAGAGCTATCTTTCCACGTCTCCTCAGGATGAAACCTCCTTGGTGATCTATTAATATTAGCTAGCAGAGCAGACGCAACCCAGTCTTTGAATCCCTACAGACCTGTTGCAAACACTATTCTGATTCAAGTTCTTCGCCTACCCCCGGGGCCCCTGTCCACATATAAGGTTTGCCCAGGTGAGAGCTTGCAAATTCTCGGTCTCGTTGCACTGGCCACCCTCGGAACATAAAAGGTCACTGGTCCCGCTTCATATCCCAGGCCAGGTGGTTCAAGGCAAGGTTCAGGCAAATGTTTGAAGTTGATTCCAGACTTTTCTTTGCGAGGGTTCGCCTCCATCAAAAATCGATACCAAGAAACCCATGGATGTTATATTATGCTGATGTTACGAGTGAGCGGTAAAGGTTGGTTAGAAAGTCATTCAGGCGGATTTGTGAAATTCTAAACATGCCTCGGAGTCTACACTCATTTTGGCTGGACTCGGTCAGCTCACAGCTCGAGATATCCATATATGTACATTATTTAGTGTAAGGCCGATGTTCTCTATCCTAGTCGAAGTGTGAATCCAGCTCCTGCCTCCCCAGCATCTCCACCAGGGGCACCTCCAAAAACGCCCGCAAAGTCCAGCTCCGGTGCTTCTTGGCCCCGCTTGGGAGCTTCGGGGGTGTGGTGACGTCTGCGTTTCTCCATACCAGCCTTGGAGGGGAAAGTAGGGAACATCTCACGCGGCTTTGGACGTGGGTCTTCCCGGAAGTAAGGATGCTCGAGGCATTCCTTTGCTGTCGGCCGAGATGCAGGGTTCAATGCTAGAAGCCCCGACAACAGACCCAAGCCAGCATTGGTGAGGTATGGGAACTGGGAGCGAGGCAGTAGGGGTGGGTTTACTGCAGATGCAGATGCAGATGTGGATGGTAGCCGTAAGGATTTGGCGTTAGGCAATGACCGGAAGCCAGGCCATGTTTGTGAATTTGGCGGACCGGTCAGAGCGAAGATCTTGGACACCTGATCGACTTCATTCTTGCCCTGGAGGAGAGGCTCTTTGGTAAGAAGCTCGCCGAATATACATCCAATGCTCCACATGTCGATCTCCGTGCCGTATTTATCTGCGCCGAGGAGCAGCTCGGGGGATCGGTACCAGAGCGTCACCACCAGCTGGGTCAACTTGGGTGGTGGATCACCGTAGTACCGCGCCATGCCAAAGTCGGCGATCTTGAGTTCACCGCGGTTGTTCATCAAGAGGTTCGAGGTTTTCAGATCCCGGTGCATGATCCATTGCGAGTGCAGGAAATCGAGTCCACCCACAACCTGCAGGAGGACAGTCTTGATTTCCGAGGGGAGGAAAGGTTCGCGCATTTCGTCGAGTAAGGCTTTGAGGTCATGCTCGTGGAAATCCATCACGAGGAACACGCTGCGATAACCAATTGATTAGCATATGATCGATGGTCTCAAAATCAGCTCGGAGAAGTACTCACTCGTCCATCTTGTTACCCATAACAACCTCTCGGAGATAGACCACATTCTGGTGCCGCGCCTCCATGAGCGTCTGAATCTCCCGCAACCCAGTGACTGGGAACCCGTCCGGCGAGTTCTCAAGCTTGAGCTTCTTCAGTGCGACAATTTCTCCTGTGGAGATATCTTTCGCGCGTGACACCCATCCGTACGAGCCTTCTTCGATATGGTTCAACCTTTCGAAATTATCAACGTGTCTGCAGGGCCCCCATTCCCCGATCGGAAAACGAAGCAGACTGGATTGCTTCTTCTCCTCGGCTTCGACCCTAGCTATCGTGTCATCCGTCGACGCAGCGGGTTCGTTCGAAAATCTCCGTCGCTTTGTCGGGGGTCCTGACTCGTCATTGGGAGCCTGTGTGCGATTTGCTTCCTGCCGGGCTTGCTGAGCCTTAGCCTCAGCCTGTCGTTGCTTCTCTGCTTTGGCGCGTCGTTTTTCTTCCTTTTCGCGTTTTTGTTGCGCGATTATTGCCTCGGTCTCCGGGTCATCGTCCGCCCATCTGGATTTGGAGGCCATTTTCCTCGGGAGTTAGTTGGGGGAGGAGGTGAGGAATGACGTGGGATCAAAAAGCTGCTCAGTCTACAGGCGGCTTTAGTGACCACCGAGACAACGTCATACTGCCACCCTACAAAAGGCGGAATGCCCGAACTATCGCGGTACAGGCGCTTTTAGTGTCCATTGGAACTATAACAGAATAACCAAAAGCCCGGTTGGTCACCTACCTCCACCTACAGAGAAAAGGAGATGGTTCAGTCTGACAGGCTTATATCTGATCTCTTGATGGAATTGCTATCTAGCCTCGACATTGCTAAGAAAATGTAAACAAACCTACTCCGTACATTGCACACCAAATAGTTATCCGTCTTGTCAGAAGTTCTGTCCATACCCTTGATAACCCATGTAAGGAGGCCAAGTGATCAAGTTTTTTATGGAATCAACTCTCGTAATTATGCGGCACCCTAAATGGATTCTGAATTGAAACTATTTTCTTGCTGCAGATGACATGCAGAGTATTCCGTACCTCCATAGCGATCTGCGGTTATCCACTTCACATTGGGCAGCCTCCAATTGTCTTCATGCTTGTGATGTAATTTTTTTTAAGTCAAGCCCAGCTCAATATTGACAAAAATGACCTGTGCGTCAACTCTACGTTCAAGGAATATCAAAAGCTAAGATGATGAGTAAAGCAATCTAGAAGCGGAGCACTCCAGATGTCGTGATGGCCCCTAAAACCTCCCGTACCAGCCAAGTTCCGCCGCCGATTTGAAATCCGAATTAGGCCCCGCTCTCGAATCGTACTTCACTATATAGCACATCTTTGTTCTACCGTACATATATTTTCCAACTCTCTCAGCCTTGATATCGCACGTCGACCATCCACTCACCTCCCGTACACCCCGCATACTGCGTCCGATTGACGCTCCGTCCCCCACCATGATCGAACCATTCGAGGTTAGCATACCGGAGTGGCGCGCAACACCGGAAGCTTCAATACTGATGAGTCAAACCTACTTAGCTGACCTTCTCGGTCCCAATGCATTGCGAGGACTGTAATACATCTGTTTCTGCAGCTGTCAAGGCCCTTGACGGTACATATATGGTCGATATTCCCGCACCAGCCGAACTAACCCCACTATAGGAATCGAACAGATCCGCGGAGACCTCAAAGCCCAGACTGTTTGGGTGAAGGGTGTCGCACCCCCTAGCGCAATCGTATCTGCCATTGAAGATACAGGAAGAGACGCCATCCTCCGCGGTAGTGGTTCTACAGACAGTACGGAATCCCCGGCGCATACTCCACCCCGCATGACTATGCGATCTTTCCTTCCAAGGTTGTACTGATATCTGTCTAGGTTCGGCTGTTTGCATTCTCGAGACACATTCAAACACCGTTTCAAATAAAGTCCGTGGCCTGGCACGCATGGTCCAGGTCGCCCCTAGCATGACTCTAGTTGACCTGACGGTCAACGGCCTCGCGCCGGGACAGTACTCGGCTACAGTGAGACAGACAGGTGATATCTCACGGGGTGCCGAGTCCACCGGTGGTATCTGGGAGGCATTGAAGGAGAAGGTCACTGGCGCTAGCGCCAGTCCGGCCGAGAAGTCGCGGGGTATCTTTGGCAAGGTGGATGTTGATGAGAAGGGCCGCGGCAGTGTGTTCTTGGATCAACCAGTGGCGATTTGGGAATTGATTGGACGCAGTATGGTTCTCTCCAAGAGTATTGAGGGTCCATTCCAGCGCCAGGATGAAAACACTCTGGTTGGTGTCATTGCTCGTAGTGCGGGTGTGTGGGATAATGACAAGATGGTCTGCTCATGTTCGGGTAAGAACGTTTGGCAGGAGCGTCAGGAGCAAGTTGTCAATGGTATGGCTTAATTGAATGTTGATTAAGAGTAGCGTGGTGTTGGTGGTTGGTGGTGTGATGATTTGGTTGGAGATTTAATACCCAGTACATTGGCTTGAGGCAAGTCCAGAAAAGGAATCACATTTATACAAGCTCGAGTACACGCTCATGTGCGAAAAAAAAAAAAAAAGATGTAGCACCTGGGTGTAAAGGAAAAAGGCGTCAAACTACCAAGATCAGCGGGTAACAACCGGCATGTTTAATTTGATTCTGGATACACGTGAGGAGTTAACCTGTTTCAATGATACAATAACCTTGAGAATGTGAATCTCTGGAACCAATATTAGATAACGGTGTATTCAATGAGTACTAACTATGAAGTCCTAGAAGCCCTAAACGCCGCAAACCCAAGGAGTTGATGGTAATGATACAGTCACTCCAGCGTGACAAGCCTGAGAGCGACCAAAAAGTTTGTTTCTTCTGGAGAAAGTTTCCAGAATATGAAGCACGAACAAGAAGTAAGACCACTGCCTCCACTCAATAATATTTTGTGGGCAGAGTACAGCCCCCGGGGTAAAATTCGTCGTCGGTGAACTCGTCCTCGAAGTCTATCTGGCCATGAAGATCTCTTCCGACAGGATTCCGAGGGGCTGAGATGACATCTTGATTTTGAGCCAATGCTGCGCTTTTCATATTGTCATCCTTGCCGATACGATGTGTTGTCTTCACTGGCTGGTCTCCACGGTCAGGGTGGTGGCTATTGGTCTTTCCATCCACGAGGAAGAATTCATTCTGATCAGCTGTTGGGCTTGTGGTATAGAGGTTTGAGTTGATTGGGGACCACTGGTTTGACCACGGGTTACTTGATATCGACATCCTTGAGGTAATTTCTGTCGACGTCCAGTCGGGCGAGGTCGAGTTGGCGGGTGTGAACAGGGGATTCTCACACCCACTGCAACGAACTCCAAGCACATTACCTTGGGGTCCCAGATCATGGGGCAGTGAAGCAGGTGGGACGAAGGGAAAGGTGCCATAGCCAGCAATATGACTATGACTCTGCGGCTACACGGCGTAATGTTAGCAGGGCAAGAGATCAAGTCTCCAAAACTTACCGATAGCAAAGGCAGGAAGTCTCCTGTCATTGGAGCAGCGCCTAAAATTGGTTCGTATGTAGTTGATCTCTCAGAGCTGGGAGATCCTTCCTCGGGGGGTCCATCAGGAATTTCTAGATCGGAAGACGTATCACCGCTCAACAGCTGTGCTCCCTCTTGGGCCAAGGTGCTACTCTGCGGAGTTGCAAAAAGGCCAGACGAACTGGGACGGATTGTGTCATTGGTTTGCTCGATTCGTGAATGATCCTCAAACTCTTGATTGGAAGGCAGATCATGATCACTAGACTGGCTTACTTTGCCTTCTTTGGACCACTGAGCTAGCGTTTCTTGATAGATACCGGGGAACGCGAAGAGACATTCGGCAGAAGTCTCGGAAATTCCGTCGATCTCGCTGCTAATCTCGGGAACATCGTTGGGCAATGCGCGGATGTGGGTTTGAGCAGGGACGGTCTGAGAATTGACACCAGAGGCCTTTGGCATTGGTACCAACGGTGGCCCATGCTCGTGGGAAATGAGAGAAAGTGTACTTGAACTCTCCAGTGCGCTGCGCACCAAGTTTTCTGCTGCTGCGGGGAGTCTTGGCCCTGGAAGTGTCGTGCTTGTTGGGGACACTGGTGGATCGCTCATCCGATACATCTCAATCCCCAACTCTGGATCGTCTTGGGTGCTCGAAGTTTGTAACCCGGAGGAGTCAATGTGTCTCTGTCTCTCCCGTCTCAGAGCAACAGGGCTAACAAAGCTTCGCGACTCGCCGCCGATCTCGAAATCATCCTCCATAGTAGAATGGCGACGGACACCTGCCCTCAACGCCAATAGTCCCGACCTCGCTCGGCAGAAAGAGCGTCGCGAAAGGCTATGGGCCCACTTCATGGGTCGATGTGGGGGAGAGTCTGCGGAGGAAGAAGAAGATTCCTGGCGACGCCATGGGAAGACTGATACCTCTGGGTTGTGGCGAGGATCTCGTGGGTTAAACACCGGGTAATGTGCCTTCTCTTGGCAAGTTGGCTCATCCGAGTCTGGAATACAGCTTCACTTGGGTTAGCAGAAACTCCATCTTGTTGGATTCACATGCTACCTAGTCCTCTTCTTGGCCTGTTGGAACAACAGAGACAATGAGAAGGGCTTGCGAGTGCTTTCGGTTTGCGGAGAATCCATGATTGATACTGAGTAAGTGATATGAAGGAGGTTGGATGAAGACGAGGTTGAGACCTTTGAAGTCGAAGGTGCATGGTCGTGCTTTCCTCTTAAGCGTCAGGGTCAGTGCCTCTCACTCTTCTAAATCACCTCTCGATGTCTTTCTCAAATCTCTCTCGCCTTTCTTACAAAATGCCCAATTGTCTCTGTAGTCATCGCTTACTTCATCAATTGATATTGCCCAGGTGCACAATCCAATCTATTTCATCTGTACACAAAAAGGCAGATAGTTCCCCCCAAATGGCAGCTGTAAATGTGGTAGTTATACCTAGACAACAATAAATAATTGAAGAATGAACTTGACCATTCATGAAGTAAATATTGGAGCCCCAGAATAGCACAATGTAGAGTCAAACAATAGTATACCGGATGAAATGAGGAAGGCTGAAGCGTATAGATCCAACGAAGCACAGCCGGAAGAATTGGCGCTAGTCCAGAAGATCGGCGGGTTCTGCGCTAATCTCCGATTCCGAGCTTCTTCGCCCCCTTCAGCTTTCAGCTCTCATCACTTTTCATAATCGTCCCACCTTCGCCCCTACTGCTCTGTTTCTTTGATCCTCCTAGCTTGTTGAAATTACACATTCATCATGGTCAACGGAAAAGCCCTCTCCTTCGACGATATAATCAAGGCTGGTACGACGGCGCGCTCCACGCTTCGAACCCGATTCTAATACCTTCCTCTACAGATCGTCAGAAGAAGAAGCAAGAGGACCTCGCAAATCAGCTCCTAGGAAAGAATCGCAGATCTAGCACGCCTGGTTCAGGCTCAGGCGCCAACAAGAAAGGAGCCAGAACCCCAGCAGCTAAGCCTGGGAGCCTAGCAAGCAGGATCGGAGTGGCTAAGGTATGGATAATCTTCTCCTATCTGATTCGAGAATTCAATCTCACGCTCTTTCCTGATCCCACAGCGCTCATCCTCTGCCACCGGAAAGCCTGCCAACACCCCATCTCCATTAAACGGTCGATCGCGCGGCAACAATGGACGAAAAGATCGCGTCAGTGCAGAGCAGGTCTGGAAAGCATTTGATTCAGATGGTGGAAATGTGAACCCCCAGCCTCGCAACAACCGCAACAACCTGTCCATCAAGGGCGCTTCGGGTCCGTTTGTGGTGATCGCCCGAAACTTTGCGCCCGGGACCACGGCCGCTGATATCCAGGCTGCCCTCGAACCCTCTACGGGACAAATGCTCAGCTGTCGAATCATCGCAAGTAGCCCAAGTGTGGTTGCGGAACTTGCATACTCGGATAAGCCAGCTGCTGAGTTGGTCATTGCCAATTTCCACAACCAGCGCGTAAGTCTCGATTGATACCCAGCGTTGATTTAGGCAAATGCTGACATTTACACTATAGGCGGATGGAAGACTGCTTAGTTTCACCTTCAAGTCGGCCAAGGCCAACACCCCTGCAACTAGCCACGGCAACAACAATAATCACTTCACTGCGCTCCGGGAACAAGCTGATCGGGATCGAGTCCAGGCTCGTCGCGGTCCGGGCCCAAAAAATGATCTGATGGCACCGCAAGAAGACACCCGACCTAGTCTGTACAGCGACGAGATGATGGTGGACGCACCGGCGGAGAATGCACAGAGGAAGAACAACCAACGCAGATGGCGTCGTTGAAGCCTCATTTGTCGAAACGTCATTTTGAGACGACCGGCTCCAGGCGAGATCTCACCATCTAAGATCCAAGGAGAATCATGCCCCGTTTGAATTGTGATGAATTGTATGATATTGAGCAAGTGGGTTATGGACATCCTTACGCATATCATTCGGGGCACATTTTTACAACAAATAGCGACCAACAAAGTCCCAATATTATTTTCTTATCCACTTTGAGATCATCCACAAATTGGATTGAGTTTGGATGAATGTGCGACTGCGCGCCATGTGCCATTGTGACATGATTGTTCTCTACGCGTGAACGCACCACCTCCCACAGCCCATGAAATGGAATGGGACGTTGGAGGCAAGCGGTTCTTGGCGACCAGACCTCGATATCCTCTTCTTTCTTCCATTTTGCGTCTTGGCTGGAAATGTTCAGATCCCGTTCCAGTATGCATTGCATGCAAAAATTATCATCTGCCCTTTTTGGGAATAACGGTCAAAATTTTGGCCGTAGCTCGAAATTGCACCACAGAAGGGGCGAAAGCACTACTAGCACTCGCCATACATTTCACTCTTGCTCTTCCAGTGACTGTCAACCGCCGTCAAATGCCTCTGGGCGGCTGGTTGATAAGAACAGGATCCAATTGAATACTAGGTAATTTTGAGACGTATTGATACAGCTGCCATCTGGGATTATGGCCGAGCAGCATTGCACATTGGAAACTAGTCACGTTCGAAAGGTGCTTCTAACGGCTTACAGACTGACCTCCTAAACGCTTTCTCGGTTCTTCCGATGAAACAATAGTCTAGCACACCAATCTTGTAGTACACTGGAGGGTCGCGACCGCCTCAGAACGCGACCATTGAGAACATTTTGGCCGGATATCAAAGAGAAATTGGCCGACACAGACCTCGGGATGTTCACATCCCAATACTGATCGAGCGGTGATGCATCAATCCGCCTTCATGTGCTGAACCTTTTCGAAGGCTCTCCAAATCTCGGTAAAGCTTTGCTTCATGTAGTCTAGAGAATGTTAGTGTCGACACTTTTGTGAATGGGCTTATACATACAACAGCCAATCACAATCCAAATGAAGTTGAAGAAGAAATAGTAGAACCAGAAATAATATCCTTCGGGCCGACAATAAGAGATCTCAAGCAAGCTTGTAGCGTAGTATAGCACGTCGCCATAGACCTGACCTAATGAAAGGATAATCTGCAGCGCATGTCGCATGGGATGCTGTACCACAATGCAATAGGCAATGAGAAAGGCCAGAGGTCCCCAGCAAAACTGTTCGACTTTGTCAGAGTGGCTCGCGAGGTTGCATCACATCAAAGGGATTCCATACCGCTGTGACAGCCTCCATACTGATCAAGAAGGCATCTGAGGTCAGATAGCGGGAGTCAGAGAGTGAGTATTCTTTCCATAGCTGGTCGAACAGTCCTTGTCGGCCGGCAATTGTTGCATTGTAAACCACGAAATGGGCTTCGAAGAACAAGTGGATGCATCCCGCTGTTTCGAATTAGCAGGCATGTTCTACTCTGACATTGAAAAAGCAGGGTATAACATACTCAGGCACATCCAAACAAAGGCAACATGATCTGTGGTCTTCAGGGCCGGTCGTAGACGGGTGATCAAGCCAAATGATCCCACAATAACAACTGCCCACAAGACACCAAATTGCGAGATCAGCGAAAGTACCGAGCTCTCATTGGCAACATAGTGAGGCAACTGTATAGAAAGTGGGTAGTACCCGTGGGCAACGATAGTCGAATTCATCTTGTACACTTGCCCTGGTGTTAGTGTATAGATCTGGGGATATAGATGCAGCTCCCAAGATAGAAGTATTATAAATTCAGTGGATTTGAGAGGTTGTGAGGGATCCAGATCACCTCCTTATCCGGATCAGACCACTCAGTAATCACTTGGTTCGCGCCAAGTTAACAGAGTAGATTGGGTTCCTCCATTTCATGAATGAATGATCTTGGCAGTCTATGTCCTATCACACTTCACATTGTACAGAAAGAGCCCCTTTTCCCAAAGCTCTTGTTGATATTATGATATTTTCTTTCTAATTGGATAACCTTCGAATCATAATTGAAAGATTTTGTTTAGTGAGACAACAAACAACACGCATAACGAAAAGTAATTCTGCGGTGTCCGCGGGCTCCGAGGTAAACACAATGCGATATTGTGGGGATTTGCATTTCTCGCAGTCTGACAGGCTCGCCGATCATCTGGACCGGTCGATGGATTCGGGACCCGCGGGATCCGACGCGCTCACTGCAAAGTAAGGGTCCTGATGGGGTTTCAGGATTCCAATGACGAAATAACCCCTGAGAAGCTTGTCTCAGCTCTTCGCACTACTTTCGATCCCCAATTTGCCGACAGCAGCCTATAATTCTGCAAACGGCCACGATGGCTTCGGAAAATAATGATGTCAATCTTCGCAGCGATATCAATTTCATAGAAACCCCCAAACCTAAGCCTTCCAACTTTGCAACAACGGAAGGCTGCGGGATTCCCACAACAGACGTTAGTCTTGCATGTTTTCCCACTCAACCGAATAAACTGCTAAATATTCCCAGTCACCAGCTATCCACAATGCCCCTCTGCCGGCAGAGGGTGCTGGCAATGAGAGCTTCTCCAATGGCTTGTTGCTTGGTGCTCTAGTTGGAGTCCCGACCCTGCTCACATATATTCTGGGCGGTGGCTTCAAGACCAGAATCTTTTTCGGCCTCATCACCGGTCTGCCAGTGCTGATCGGGTTCTGGGCTTGGAAATCGACATCCAGCCCCCGCCTCAATGAGAAGGTCAAATTGCCCGGTCGGCCCGTAGAGCACTATGTGACATTCAAAAACGAGGCGGACCGTGCTAAATGGCATGGCAGAAACCGCATTCCTATGCAGACTTTCTGTGAAATGTATCTCAATGGCGCAGTGGATTTCAATGGTGACTGTCTTGACGTGCTGGAATACCGACACGACTGGGCACACTTTGGATTCACCTGGGATCTATTCAAATTCATCTTCTTGACCTTTGCGAGAGACGTTCTCTTCCACACCAAGTCGCAGGACGAAGAGCAGATCCGCCCAAATTACGACCGTGGCAATGATCACTATGCCTGGTTCCTCGGTCCTCGCATGATCTACACATCTGGTATCATCTCCGACACGGAGCGCGAAGAAACCCTCGAAGAGATGCAAGACAACAAGATGGCAGTTGTGTGCGAAAAGCTCGCACTCAAGAAAGGCGAGACCATGCTGGATATCGGCTGTGGTTGGGGAACTTTGGCCAAGTTCGCGAGTCTCAACTACGGAGCAAATGTTACCGGTCTTACTATCGCGAAACACCAAACGGCATGGGGAAATGATGCCCTTCAGAAGGCCGGTGTGCCCGAATCCCAAAGCCGCATTCTGTGCATGGACTACCGCGACATTCCTCGTACGAAATACGATAAGATCACACAGCTGGAGATGGGTGAACACGTTGGAATCCGGAAACTCACTGGATTCTTCCGCCAGTGTTATGACATGTTGGAGGACGATGGTGCTATGTATGTGCAGCTGTCTGGTCTTAGACAAGCTTGGCAATATGAGGACTTTATCTGGGGCTTGTATCTGAACAAGTATATCTTCCGTGGTGCGGATGCCTCGACTCCTCTTTGGAACTACGTGCGATCATTGGAGCGCGCCGGCTTCGAGATCAAGGGGTAAGTTGTCCAAGTGTTTGAAAGACCCCCATTTTGGATAAGTCTAACAAAATATTCTAGTGTCGACACCGTGGGAGTCCATTATTCTGGAACACTCTGGAGATGGTACCGTAACTGGCTTGGAAACACCGATACAATCAAGGCTAAGTATGGTGATCGATGGTTCAGAGTAAGTCTTTTTTCCATGTTCAGCCGGATTGGTCTAACTTTTTCATAGATCTGGGAGCTCTTTCTTGCCTGGTCAGTCATTGCCTCCCGCCAAGGCAGTGCGACTTGTTTCCAAATTCTTGTTGTCAAGAATTTGAACTCCACGCACCGTGTCAATGGAATTGCGTCTCAGTTTGGCTTGTCTGCCGCTCTTGAGTCGAGCAGAAAAGCCGGAAAGTCCAAATTGCCAGCAGTGTAGGCTGTTCATGGATCAATGAGGCCCTACAAGCATTTCCTGCCGTTTACGGTCAGGTAAGCTCAAGGCTATGTGAGAATTGGGGAATCAAAGCCTGTCAAGAAGGTCCAAATATCACGATCCCATAAATTTGCACCGAGACCTTGTGCAAAAAAAACAAGCAAAACAATAAAAGAAATAAAGAGTACCATGTATGGTCTAGGGACTAAGACTTTAACCTACTAGATCTATCTTTCTTATACATGTTAAATTGAGTTATTCAACTGGCCTTCCAAGACTTTTTGGGGACAGGGGAAGTATCACGTCCTACTTAGGGCTTCAGTGTATGCGGATGGCTATTTTTGGACTAGCGTGTGAGGACGATAAGATAAGGTCACGTGTTACGGAGGTTTTGCGGAGAGATTTGGAAAGACATCCATTGAACTCGTTATAATTGCAATTTTGCTTGAGCCTAGGTCATTTGTTGTCTCTGCTGAACTCAGAGCTGCGAGTCATTCAGTTTATCCTGGCAAACAACATACAAGCTCAGCTCCCAGGGCAAAGTCAAGATTGAGCCAACATGAACCCAACCGCCAGGCGCGTTGCGTCGCATGTTTTCCGCAGGCCTCGTACCACAGCTATTCCAAGATGCACAAGACGATGGAACTCAACATTTGAACAGAGAGAATGGTCAACACCATTGGCCAAACAATTGGCCAGTGTCATGAAGGTAGTTGCGCTCTAGAACATGTCTGCTTGAACCCAATTTCGCTAACTATTGCTCTCATCAAGGTCACTGGCCCCGTCCCCATTGCAGCTTTCATGCGACAGGTCCTGACCTCCCCGGATGGCGGATACTACACAACTCGAGGAGAGGGTGGGGGTGTTTTTGGCAAGAATGGCGATTTCGTTACTTCGCCTGAGATCTCCCAGGTCTTTGGTGAGCTGATTGGTATATGGACGGTGGCGGAGTGGATGGCTCAGGGCCGTACAAGAAGTGGCGTCCAGCTCATGGAGGTTGGTCCTGGAAAGGGAACTTTGATGGACGACATGCTGCGGGTGAGTTGTTACAGCTAAACGCGTGTGTCTGGGGATCTATTGCTGACCGATCGCATAGACATTCCGAAACTTCAAAAGCTTCTCCTCCAGCGTTGAAGCCATATATCTGGTCGAGGCCAGTGGAACCCTCCGTGAGGTGCAAAAACGCCTGCTCTGCGGCGAGGAGGCTGCAATGGAGGAGACTGATATCGGCCACCGGAGTAAATGCAAGTATTTCGATGTGCCTATTGTCTGGGTCGAGGATATTCGTCTTTTGCCACAAGGTTAGTGATTGACCCGCTCTGTAGTTTCTTGTTGAGTACTGACCGGAGACATCGGCAACCTAAAGAGGAGGGCAAGACACCTTTCATCTTTGCACACGAATTCTTTGATGCACTGCCAATCCATGCATTCGAGTCTGTTCCGCCAGCCCCAGAGAACCAGCAGACATATGAGCCTCGGAAAATCATGACCCCAACCGGTCCAGCAGAACTACATAACCCACCTAAGGCTGCGAACACCCCGCAGTGGCGCGAGCTAATGGTGACATTAAACCCCAAGGCCGTGGAAGAGAACATAGAAGGAGAGCCCGAGTTCCAATTAACAAAGGCCAAAGCCTCCACTCCCTCTTCCCTGGTTATTCCAGAGATTTCTCAGCGCTACCGAGCACTCAAGTCTCAGGCGGGCTCAACTATTGAGATCAGCCCGGAGAGTCGAATCTATGCCGCAGACTTTGCGCGTCGGATTGGTGGCAGTGCCTCCGCCGCAAACGCCTTGAAGAAGAACCCGGCTTCCAACACGGCTGCTCAATTCAACAAGAAAACACCTTCAGGCGCAGCTCTTATTATGGACTACGGAACCCTGTCCACTATTCCAATCAACTCGCTCCGAGGAATCAAGAGTCACGAGAAGGTGGCCCCTCTTTCAGAGCCTGGGCGCGTGGATGTCAGTGCAGACGTGGATTTCACCTCGCTGGCTGAAGCAGCCATTGAAGGCAGTGATGGCGTTGAGGTCCATGGACCCGTTGAACAGGGTGATTTCCTCGGTGCTATGGGCATCGAGGAGCGCATGCGCCAACTTCTTCGTAAAGTGCCCGACGACGAGCACAGAAAGACGCTAGAGACTGGCTGGAAGCGTCTCGTGGAGAAGAATGGCGGCTCCATGGGCCAGATCTACAAGGTCATGGCCATTCTTCCTGAAAATGGTGGCAAGCGCCGACCTGTCGGGTTTGGCGGGGGTATTTCTATGTAAAGCTCTCTCGCTGTATTTCTATTAGATTAGATATCTGTCATTGTACATTATATGATCCAGCATAGCGCACTCAACAAGCGAAGAATTTGCCGGACAAGATTTAATTGTGATGGCCTTGGAATGTGTGTGGACTGAATCCAAGCAAAATGAGCAAGAAATGAGCCCCATCGATGCGGCTCGACTAATTGGTATCTCTCTAAGAACAATTCATAAACGACATAAATCTGCACGATGCAAAAGTGACCCTAGTCCCGTTGACTTCGAATCAACTCAATATTCTTCCCAGATATCAGCAGCAAATGCCTCGGTCAGCTTGGCATCATTGCCATACTTCTGCTGCCACTCCACGAATCCACCCTCCAGCACAAAGACTTGCTGGGGTTGGTCCTGGCCTAGCGCGCTTTCACGTTCACGTGCATAGCGAAGGGCCGCGGAGGGACCGCGTTGCTGGCTCAGTGCACAGTGAAAGACAACCATCTTCTTGTCCTTGAGGGTGCGAATCAGTTCGGGCATGCGCACATCGAGCGTTGAGCTGGGGACCCAAGTTGATGAGCGAATGTGACCGCCGACATGATCTGTTCAGAAGTTTAGGACCAGTTTCAGATTTTGTTTATAGATATGCCATGCTCACCAGAATCTCTAACATCAACGATGGCTAGGTCGGATGGCTCGCCAGTTGAGAGTAGGGCCGCAAGAGCATCGCGGCCCATGCGGGGGGAGAGTTGCGATGGAGATAGAAGACATCGAGCGTCTTGGTCAAGATAGCCAAAGGCGCGATTGAATATTATTTGTGAGTAGTTCAAGAAGTAATTGAAAAGATTAATCAAAGAGTTACGTACTGATCTTGAACTGTAGAAAATGCGCATTGAAGCATGGCTCACGTGATCTTCAATTCCTTTCCAATCGGGGGACGCTGATTTTCCGTCGCGGCAACTTCGAGCATCCCGATTTCCAGCACACATACGCCAACCTAATTCCTGGAGCTCAATTACGACAGGCAGAGCAATCCACTATTCAAGACCTGTCAATTCCACACGAGTGTGTCCCTCCACGATGGACTGCCGCCTGCTGGCCCGCGGCCTCCGCGCCAGGCCAACCCCATTCCTCCAACAAACCCAAGCACTCCCCCGATTCTCCCTTCTTAACGTGCGCTACAACTCCTCCGACTCCTCACCAAGCACCCCACCAAGCCCTAAAGCCGCCGAAAGCAAACCCCAACCCCCGGCACCCAAGCCGGCCTCGGACTTCGATGCCATTCTCAACAGGCTCGACCTCAACCAACGACCGCGTGAAAATGCCGCTCTCCAGAGCTCCTTTATGACCTCCTTCAACCGGGTAATTAACCCAAATTTACGGTCCGCGTCTCGCGCAGCTCCGCCAGTCCGCAAGGTCGAGATGAAGCTCGGACCTACTCTTGGTCGACAGATTCCAGTTGAGCCTGAGCGTGGCGTTGATCTCGGCAGTGCGCTCCGCAAGCTTGGTCAGACAATTGGCCAGAACAGGATTCGTCAGGACTCTCTTGCGCAGCGTTTCCATGTTCGCAAGGGTATGGTGCGCAAGCAGAAGAAGATGCAGCGCTGGCAGAAGCTTTTCAAGGTCTCATTCCAGGATACTGTGAAGAAGATCCAGCGTATGCAGGCGCAGGGCTGGTAGTTTGATACGACTGCCCTTTTTTGTTGTTACTTTGGGCTTGTCCACTCGGCTTCTGTGTATATACCGAGGCTGGTGCAGGTGATGGCTGAGGTGGACAGAGTGACGGCCTGAAAATTGTTTTCATTTGTTTACTTGTACAATTATTGTCTAGGTATCTTGATTTGTTTGTTGAATTTGGCTCTTGCATTAGATACGGAATGCATTGGATTTGGTTGACTCCAGACACTGGTTATTCGAAAGCCTGCCCAGCAGATGATCTACCGATAACACAATCCTCCAGAATTCCTGGGATAGGTGGGTATTGGACTATCGGTTGTAAACTAACCTGGGCATAGAATTAATGACTTGGGTAATTTCGCACTCAGTCCGCTGAGTACTGCCGTGAAAATAGCACATAGTTCGAGAACCGTTCTACCGGTGTTTGAGTTCACGCCACACGTTAGGTACACTGTACATGCCCTTGACAGCACTCTATACCAAGGATATACGCCTTTTGAATCCAACAAATCAGTCTCTCTTCCCACTAGGCAGAGAGTATCCACCACCACCGCCGACCCCGTTGCCAATGCCGTTGCCGTTGCCAGAATATCCCCCATATCCATTGGCCTTTCCTCCATTGCCAAAGGTGACCCCGGGACCCTTTCCTCCCCGAACAGGAGTCCCGCCCAGAAGACCATCCCCATGCCACGGAGAGCGAGATCGCCCACCCTTGCGCTCCCAATACAGCGCAACCAACGCGCCAACAGACCCCGCCATTACAAAGAACACCAGCTTAGAGAAGAAAGACCCGGAGCTTTTCCCAGTGCCAGTAGCCAAAGCCAGCCAGGAGTCAGTCGCCGGTCGTACAGGCCACCCAATGCTATCACCGCCCTCCAACCACGCAACATGGAAAGAGAAAGTCAGTGGCTCCCCGCGCACAACTTTGGTACCGTGTCCAGCAGTCCAAGGTTCACGCGCGGCCTGAGCAAGAGCAACTGGCTCCTCCTCGTCGTCTAGCTTGGTGACCTTTCCAGTGTTATCGAACTCGGGGGTGGAGTACGCAGTTCCACCGACCGCGAACCCAGGCTGGCCGGATTGCGCGCCATTGTTGGTCTTCTGCTCTGCAGCTGCGTCTGAAGCCATGTTGTGCATAACGACGTTCATATCTGTCCAGATGTGCAGGTGGCTTTTCTGCAGCGTGCCCTGCAGCGCAATAGTGAGCGGCGTAAAGGGTGGACCGTTGTCGGCGAGCGCAGAGAGGGTGTCCGCTTCTTCGGACTTCTCGTCTTTATCTGCGAGTGACCCAGCGGAGGGTGTCAGCGGCGCTGTTGGCACGCGGCATGTCATTGGGACATCGGAGTGGACATAGAATTCCAGGAGATGGTAGAGTTCGTCGGAGAGGGAGGGGATGGTGCAGGTTATTGTTTCCGAGACGCCGTAGCGGAAGGAGAGAGGACGGGTGGTTTCGTTGCAGGTATAGAAGGGGACATATTGAAGTTTGCCTTGGCTGTCAGTGATCTGTTCGCGATTGCGGTTAGTTGTGCTGTTGTGGTCTGCGTGTCATGATCGTGGCAGGTTGGTGGCACTCACATGCTCTCCTTCCCTATTACACAACAAATGATTAGCGATGCGGTTGTAAACAGATACTGGAGGGTATCCTTACACTGTTCGATTCAAGCATGAAACTGGGATGGCCTCTCTGAACTTGTATCCCTCGGTGTTGACGTTGCTACTCCCCGCAAGTGCTCCGGCTGGCCACAACGCGCCTGTCAAGGACAGCAATGCTACTGCCGTAGCGCATGGGCTCAATTGAGATGTCAAAGGCATTGTTGTTTTTTCCAATGGCTGAAGTAGGATAGCCACCCCGCGTCAGCGTCTATCGAAGGTTGCGCAGGGGTTCAGGACGGAGTTCTGCCGCGGTGTTGCGGAGTCGGGGATGTGGCGCCCAAGCTGTGGCGTAACAGCGGATTCTCCAGCGCACTAGTCCCCCTAGATACCCTGCGCTCAACCTTGGCTGAACGAGGTGTACAATGAACGAAACCTTCCAAGCCAAACAAAGAATACTACGCATAGCTACTGGATGAATACTCCGTACGAATGATTTGTTGGAAGCTCAAGGATGTTCATTTCTTTTCCAAACGCAAATATGTGATAAAAGAATCAATCGTTGCTCGTCAAAACAGCTCAAAGGTACTGCACTTTACACGTGCAGGACTTAAGCCAGGTTAGCCTTCTGCTTGAAAGCAAGCAGCAGACCACTGGTGGAGCTGTCATGGTCAGCACCAGCGCCAGAGGTCTCCAGCTCGCTCTGGATGTTCTTGGCCAGAGCCTTGCCCAGCTCGACACCCCACTGGTCGAAAGAGTTGATGTTCCAGATAGCACCCTCGGTGAAGGTGACGTGCTCGTAGTAGGTGATCAGAGCACCCAGAGTGGAGGGAGTGATCTTCTGAGCCAGGATGGAGGTGGTGGGGCGGTTGCCCAGGAAGGTCTTGTGAGAAACAAGGTCCTCAGGGGCACCCTCAGCCTTGACCTGCTCAGGGGTCTTGCCGACCATGAGGGCCTCGGACTGAGCAAGGAAGTTGGCAGCCAGCATGCGCTGGTGCTTGCCACCCTCGACGGGGTTGTGGGACTCGGCGGCCATCAGGAAGTCGGAGGGAATGAGCTTGGTGCCCTGGTGCAGCAGCTGGAAGAAGCTGTGCTGGGCGTTGGTGGCAGGTTCACCGAACAGGATGGGGCCAGTGGTGTACTTGACGTATTCACCGGTGCGGGTGATGGCCTTACCGTTGCTCTCCATGGAGAGCTGCTGCAGGTAAGCGGGGAAACGGTGCAGGTACTGGTCGAAGGGAGCAACAAGGTGGGTCTGGGCACCGAAGAAGTCGCTGTACCAGACACTCAGAAGACCACCAAGGGCGGGGATGTTCTGCTCGAGAGGAGTCTCCCGGAAGTGCTTGTCCATGGCCTGGGCACCGGCCAGGAACTGGTGGAAGTTGTCGTAACCAATGTAGAGAGCGACGGACAGACCAATGGCACTCCACACGGAGTAACGTCCACCAACCCAAGAGTCGAAGCCGAACATGTTCTTAGCGTCAATTCCGAACTTGGTGACCTCGGCCTCATTGGTGGAGAGGGCAACAAAGTGCTTAGCAATGTGAGACTCTTCCTTGGCGGACTCGAGGAACCAAGTCTTAGCAGAGTTGGCGTTGGTGGTGGTCTCGGCGGTGGTGAAGGTCTTGGAGGCGATCAGGAAGAGAGTGGTCTCGGGGTCAGAGTTCTTGAGGGCCTCGGCGATGTGAGTTCCATCAATGTTGGAAACGAAGTGGAGCTTCATGTCAGGGTGGCCGTAGGGCTTGAGGGCCTCAGTGACCATAACGGGACCGCTACATAGACAGGTAAGCTTCATATCTTTTCATGTGTGTATAGATGAACACTTACAGATCAGAACCACCGATACCGATGTTGACGATGGTGTTAATCTTCTTGCCGGTGTAACCCTTCCACTCACCACTGCGAACCTGCTCGGAGAACTCCTTCATGTGCTCAAGCACGGAGTTGACACCCTCCACAACGCTCTGTCCGTCAACCTCCATGGGCTCGTTGGAGACATTGCGGAGAGCAGCGTGGTAGACAGCACGGTCCTCAGTGAAGTTGATGTGCTCACCACGGAACATGGCATCACGGAGCTCCTCCACATTGGCCTCCTTGGCGAGCTTGACAAGCAGGGACACAGTCTCCTGGGTCAGGAAGTTCTTGGAGAAATCGAAGAGGATCTCGGTGTTATCGACAGTGTTGGCGAACTTGTGGCTGAACTTCTCGAACCGCTTAGGGTCCTTCTGGAAGTACTCCTTGAGAACGATGTTGCGACCCAGAGTGTTGTGGTGCTCCTGGAGCTCCTTCCAGGCGGAGAGGTCGCTGGCTTGTGAGAAACCGGGCATGATGACGGATGAGGATCTATAGGGTCAGCGCGGGGTAAACTTGAGAACAAGGGAGGAGTGTGAGCTACCTGGAGGTTTGAGAGGGATATATGAAGAAGTGTAGAAGCAAAAGAAAAAAATCAAAGTAGAAGCAAGAAAGCTAATGGCGTCAGTTGCTCCCGGCGCGCTGGGGTCCGAGGGGTCGTGGGGCAACATCATCATTGCCGCATTCGGCTTGTTTTTTCCCGACTCTTTTGCTTATCCGTCCAGTGGTTATTTGTACGGCAATTCTACATTCTAGAGGCATTTGGAGTTAATAAGGTCTTAATATCATACATCATACTCCGGAGAATGCAATTGATTGTTTATAGCAAGTTCATACAACTTCTGTGAATCTTTGGCCAACATTGCACAACACAGGGTAAACCGGATGTTCTGGAACATGACTAAAACCGCCTAATCAAGATGCTGCCCCGGTGAAGAGTCAGTCTCAACTCGTCATGTGTTCACTGCTCTCCGTAGGCTATTGTTATTACTCTTCCGGGCCCGGTCTGACCAATTCGGTGGTTCCAGGTCGATTGCGGGGCATTGGAAATCGAACGAGCAACGGCTATAGAGTCCCCGGTCCTGGTGGCCCAGTTCTGAAGATCCATGATCACTGAGGTCAATCTCAAGCTTGAACCGAAAATGATACTACCAACGAAGATAACCCATATAGTAAGAAGCAAAGAAGAAGAAAAACGTGTAGAGAAGAAGCATGGCTATTGGGAGCCATAGCCAGGGACATGCAGATGTCACTGCACGGCTAAAAGAGGAAGAACTACATAAAACAGCCGGATTCTGCCATACTGCACCGCCTTCCTGTCCATCCAAGCTTCACGTTCATTTCTGAGTGTCTTCTGTACAAGCTCGGGATTGTGAACCTTGGATTCCCAATTTGACTTGGGCCTTGATCAACCTTGCTTTCTTCATCAGACCGCTCCGATGTATAATCCTTATCAAGGTAGGTCTCATGCGCGCGAAGTCTTGCGCCGCGGAAATTCTCAAGAATCATGCTGATCAACATCTAGCCCCAGGTCTCTATGGAGGCGCCCCGGATTACGGTGCCTATGGTGCCCCTCCAGGCATGGGTAAGTCATTACTTCCTGGTCCAATCTCACTTTCAGTTCTAACCAGCCCCAAGCGCCGCCCGGAATGGCTGCTCCAGGAACCGCAGCTCCTCCCGGCATGCAGCAAGCCAACAACCAACAGCCTGGTCGCCCTGGGTACCCACCCAGCTTCCAACCTCCGGCGAACATGCCCAATATCAATTTCTCCGCGCCGGTCATTCGTCTAGGAACATCGGGCCCAGCCAAGGCTGCAGCCCCAGATATGGGCCGAGAGCGGGGACCAGATGGCCCTGGTCGACGCGGCGGTCTTGGATCGACTGGGATGGACGCTCAGCGCAACTCTGGCCGTGACACGATGATGCCACTACATCCTCCTACTCGCGATGAGATTGTGCGCACGCTCTTCGTTGGAAATATCACCGAGGGCGTGGGTGGTGACGATGGCATTGAGCGCATCCTTCGATCTGCTGGTATCCTACGCCGCTGGATTCGCGCCACCGACGCCGATGAGAAGCCCTGTCGATTCGGATTTGCCGAGTATGACGACCCCGAGAGTCTCGAGATTGCCGTTGAGACGTTGAAGAACGTGGAGGTGCCAGTCAAGAGACAATCTCCTCGTGCGGAGGGTGCCGAGGAGCAGGAAGTTGAGAAAAGCACACTTTTGGTATGTAGTACATTGAAATTCTTCCAATGCTATTACTAACTCCTACAGGTCGTTGTTGACGAGGGTACCCTCACCTACCTGGAGCAATTCGAGTCCAGCCGAGCCGAACAAGACCCTGAAGATCGCCAGGCTCGGTTCAGCGCAGCTCGCACTAACCTGGACAATGCTCTGAAGGACCTCTTCCATCCATCCACCCCTACTCAGAAGGAGGATGTTTCCACTCTTGACCGGGAAGGTGACACTGAGATGGGAGATGTCCAAGTTACAAAGGATGGAGAAGTGGTTACAATTCCTATCACAGCCGAGGACGAGCTGGCCGACATTCCGCCTGAGATGCGTGCCAATGTCTCCAAGGAAATTGCAGCATTCCGTGAGCGCAGCAACCGCCGTGATGTCGAGCGTCTGAAACGTGAGGAAGAGATCGAGGCGAGGGAGCGGGAGCGCAATTCTGGATCTCGTATTAACCGACTTGGTTCGCCTCCAGCCTCGGCTCCGAGTGGCCCTGCAGGCGGTACTAACGGAATTCCACTTGGCCCTCGGGACCGCAACGTGCCCAACGCACCTTCTGGTCCAAAGGCATTTGGCGTGCAGATTCCCAGGGACTACCAGAAGGGTGTCTCTTTCGTGAATGGTGGCTCGCTCAATGGAATTTCCATTGATCGCGAGGACGAGGACTCCGATGCCAGCGACGAGGAAATCTACCGCCGCCAGCAGGAAAGACAAGAGTCTGAGCAGGAAAAGCACTTCTTGGACCAAGAGCGCCGCTGGCTCAACCGCGAACGCAGCCGAACCGCTGCTCTGGAGCGTGAGAAAAAGCGCGAACAAGAAGAGGATGGAAAGCTACAGGCTGCCCACGATGAAATGGAAGCACGCCTTGGTGCCTGGGATGACGATACCGAGGCTAGCCGAAAGACTACAGATTACTACGCGGACCATGGTACCTGGCTTCGCACTCGTGGCGCATACCGCTCACGCGAAGCCAACATTGACGAGTCTGATCGCATTGCCGAGGATCGCGAAACCGCGCAAACCGCCAAGCAGCAGGAGCAGGCCCGTGGTATGGCTGATGACTTCCTGGCACGCCAGGCCGAGGAGCTCCAAACACGCCCCGTCGAAGCACCCCGTGAACCCCAGCGCTTCAAGCTCTCCCTCGGAGCCGCTGCCCAGAAGGCCCAGGCTGCGACCACTCGCCGCACTGTTGCCGAGGTGGAAGGTCTGCTTGAGGACGAGGAAGAACCCGAACACACTACCCGTCGCCAGCTCATTCCCATCAAGTTCGACTCTGCGGCTGAAGCTGCCGGTCTGACCGACGAAGAGCGTGCCCAGGCTGCCCGCCAGCTTGCAGCAGAGATCCCCACCGAGAAGCAAGGTCTTTGGGACTGGCCTGTCAAGTGGGAGTTTGTGGATGAAGCTGTTCTCAGCGATCAGCTGAAGCCGTTCGTGGAGAAGAAGATTGTCGAGTATCTCGGTGTGCAGGAACAGATGCTGGTCGACGTTGTGGAGGAACACCTGCGGAAACGGGGCCCTCCCCAGGAATTGGTGGAGCAATTGGCAGAAGTGAGTTTTCGTCCTATCCTCTTTCCAACAAATAACTAACCTTGAACGTGTAGGCATTGGACGAAGAAGCGGAAGTGCTTGTCCGCAAGCTTTGGCGCATGGTGATTTTCTTCTCCGAGAGCGAAAAGCGTGGCCTGTCCGCTTAATGCCTCGAAGGTCGTTATTCTTGTACCTAGGTATCCTAAATAGCATCTAGGCAGCGCACAAACGTGCATAGGACGCGGTCGAAGTTATTTCGGATAATTCAAACGCTTTTCCGGTGTTCTGCAACCTCAAGTAGCTTTGCCCCAAATCGCGGAGCAGCTCCGACTATACTTCCTTTGCTGTGATTGGTGGAACCTCGCAATTTTCCGCCGTCCGCATTTCTCCGCCAATAGGAACGCGTCTGCGGCAAATGATTGAGGGCGAGGGGAGGGGCGCGGGATAACCTGGCGACGACGCGGGGGAATATAATTGCTCTATATGCGCCCTCGTGTCTTCTTGATTCTTGTATTCTTTTCTTCCTGACATTCTCTTCTCCTTGTGACGTTGTGTCCCCAAAGTGTTGAGCTTTGGATCAACTATATTACCCCGAATCTACACCCCGCATTTCTACAGTTGACCCACGCCAGCAATTACTGCCAGCAATTGACAGTCGCCTATCTCATCGCTACTGTCGCAGAGACTTTTCACAATGGTCAAGATCACTGGCTTTAGCACACGCGATGTGCGATTCCCGGTACGTCAATCACCTCCCAACTATTATCACTAGCATCTTGCGATATACTAACAGTCGTGCTTTAGACCTCGCTCGACAAGACCGGTTCAGATGCTATGAACGCCGCCGGTGACTACTCATCCGCATACTGCATCATCACTACAGACTCAGAACACTCCGGACATGGCATGGTACGTGAAAGTCAATTGACCAGTAGCAACATCCAACTAACCAACACATGCAGACCTTCACAATCGGCCGCGGTAATGAGATCGTTTGCGCAGCCATCTCCCTGCTTGCCCCTATGGTCGTGGGCAAAGACCTTGATGAGCTCACCGCAGACTGGGGAAAGACCTGGCGGTACCTTGTCTCGGACAGCCAGCTGCGATGGATTGGTCCCGAGAAGGGTGTCATCCACCTTGCTCTCGGTGCTGTCGTCAATGCCCTCTGGGATCTTTGGGCCAAGACTCTAGGCAAGCCTGTCTGGCGCATTGTTGCCGATATGACCCCCGAGGAGTTCGTGCGTTGCATTGACTTCCGTTACATTACTGATGCCATTACCCCCGAGGAGGCCATCAGCATGCTGCGGGAAGTCCAGTCTGGAAAGGAGGAGCGTATTAAGGAGGCCGAGGAGAGTAAGGCCGTCCCCGCTTATACTACCAGTGCTGGCTGGTTGGGATACAGCAAGGAGAAGCTGAAGCTTCTGCTGAAGGAAAGTGTTGAGCAGGGATACAGACACTTCAAGCTGAAGGTCGGTGGTGACTTGGAGGATGACAAGACTCGCTTGCGCATTGCACGTGAAGCTATCGGTTACGACCAGGGTAATATCTTGATGGTTGATGCCAACCAGGTATGTGCATCTTCGCCAAGCAATGCGCAACACTCGCTAACGTTGTTTCCCATTTAGGTTTGGTCCGTCCCCGAGGCTATTACCTGGATGCAAGAGCTCGCCGAGTTCAAGCCCTGGTTCATTGAAGAGCCCACCTCCCCCGACGACATTCTCGGTCACGCCGCCATCCGCAAGGCCCTGTCCAACACCCCCCACGGCCCAGTCGGCGTCGCCACTGGAGAGATGTGCCAAAACCGTGTGATCTTCAAGCAGCTCTTGCAAGCCGGTGCTTTGACAGTCCTGCAACCTGACGCTTGCCGTGTCGGTGGTGTGAACGAGGTGCTCGCTATCTTGCTGCTGGCCCGCAAGTTCGGTGTGCCCATCGTGCCTCACTCTGGTGGTGTCGGCTTGCCCGAATACACTCAGCACCTGAGCACTATCGACTACGTTGTCGTTACTGGAAAGAAGAGTGTCCTTGAGTATGTTGATCACTTGCACGAGCACTTCGTGCACCCTTCAAGTGTCAAGGATGGTTACTATGTCACACCTTTGGAGCCTGGTTACAGTGTTGAGATGAAGGCAGAGAGTATGGATGCCTTTGAATTCCCTGGTCAGGAAGGGAAGAGTTGGTGGAGATCTGAGGAGGCGAAGAGTATTATCGATGGTCCTCGAGTTGTATAGATTGAGGCTTCGAATAGATGATCATGTCTTTATGTGTATTTATGTTAATAGCTTACAAAATTCTCTGCATATCTTGATGACTCTAGGGCTGTCTCATACGCGGTTCAATATTGGTATGATCTGTACAAATCTCCCGGGCAAGATGCAAAATTCAACTTTGAAACTCCCCAGGGCTTGGAGAGCGCAGAATCCTTCGGACTGAAGTTGAAACTTCGTAAAACTATGATACATTGTCAGGTCACCAGAGCCTGAATGGATGGCCGAGAGGCCGAATCCTAAAAAGTACAAAAAGAGCCTGCTTGTCTGACCGTATTGGTATTCCAGTCTTCAACAAACCCAGATAATGAAATGGCACCGCCAACCTATGGGTGCTTTAATGCTCATGGTAGTTCGGAATATGTAAATCCTACTACATTCAGAGACAAAAGGGTATAATGGGAGTTAGCGAAAGTGTCCAATCAGCGCCATTGGATACCAAAGAGCTTCAAGGCACTGGTGACGTTAGGCTTCTCTGATGCCTTTTCAAGGATGACACGGGAGTGACCCTTGACATCCAATGCGAGAAGCTGGTACTCAAGATTGCTCGAGTCCAGAGGCTTCATCATGTGCACAACGACCACGCCGGAGTTGAGAGGACCCTCGACCTGTAGATGAAGATCAGTAAAAGATTTCTCAATCAGGAGAAAGCATATCATACGTGGAAGTGCAAGTGAAGGTGCTCGCGGCCCAATCGATCTTTTTCGGTCCGGGATCTGTTCCCTGTCAATACTCGACTCGGCTTGTTCGAGGTGAATTTGTATACTCACGCAATGGGTCTGTTGCGAGCCCACCTGCTCCGGGTGTTCTCGCCGTATGCTTGAATCTCTCGCCGATCACCGAGTAGCTTAATGCACTCGGGGTCATCTTTAATGCGCGACACAGCTCTCTCGAATTGCCATGTTCGACTGTTGGGCGAGAGAACCTCGAGATAGAAAAGTGTGAAGACTCCGCCCTAGTGGTATCATATTGTCAGCAACTGCTGGGCAGTATTGCCAATAATAGCACGGTCCATACCGTGAGTACTGCTCCGGCTAGCACGAGAACGAAGTTGAAGGATTGCTGTGTTGTTCGCGCAACCTTCTCACCACGGCTCAGGTCGCCCCACTGAACTCTTCCATCATCTGACAAAACTGTAACGCTCTTTTTTCTGGGCGACAAAGGACTCTGGCCAGTGCCTAAGCCGCTCTGCGTGGCGTAAAGCCGGGTGATCTGAGTGGGGGCGGAGGGGCGGAGGCCAAGGGGTGCGGGCGAGATGCGAGGGATCGCGCGTAGCTGTAGAGCATTCATCTTGCAAACGATTTCGATGGTCCTCTGAAATAACGTCAGGTCGAGTGCCTCACGTATCTCCGTTGCTATCGGCGATCTTCATCAGAGCATCACGTGCGTATGTTACAATACGGTATCACAATACAGCCGGTGGCAGCAGTGCCCCAGCCCAAATGAGAGGCGTTGTATGACGATTACAGGCACCAGGCCTCTCGAGAGTCCACGTTCGCCGTTCCCGATGACCTCTTTTTGTTTTCCCTTCTCAATCACACCCCCTTTTCCTTCTCTTTAACCTCGCTCGGACTGATCCCTCAACTGCGCTATCATGAGTGCCACCAAGGCGCAGTCTCAAAAGATTTTTGAGAAAATCAAGCTTAAGGCCGCAAACAAGGTGCGACCCCCACCCCCGGAAGCCGCTGCGTGATTGTGGCACTCCATGCTAATATTGTTTTGGCATATCGCAGGTATGCTTCGACTGCAACAGCAAGAACCCAACATGGTCCTCGGTGCCATTCGGAATCTACCTTTGTCTCGATTGCTCTGCCCACCACCGTAACCTCGGTGTGCACATCTCCTTCGTCCGATCAACAAACCTCGACCGTATGTAGCCCTCGGCACAATTCTTCTGCTGTTCACCCGATCTGGAGACTCGAGGCTGACATTAACATGTAGAGTGGCAATGGGAACAACTCCGAGTGATGAAAGTCGGCGGAAACGAGTCTGCGACCAAGTATTTCCAAACCCACGGAGGTTCCGCTGCGCTCGCCAGCAAGGATTCCAAAGTCAAGTACACATGCAACGCGGCTGTCAAATATAAGGAAGAGCTCAAGAAGCGCGCTGCGCTTGATGCGCAACAGTGAGTGGAACATTGTTTTCTTGGTGGAACTCGCCCAGTTCGGCATTGACCAATGTTTCCACTTTTAGGTATCCTGGAGAGGTTGTCATTACAGATCTCCCCGCCGGCACCCCTGAAGATGGATCTAGCACCCCCGCTGGCGATGCGGATGACGACTTCTTTTCCTCCTGGGACAAGCCCTCGATCAAGCGTCCCAGCAACCCTCCATCGCGCACCGGTACTCCGCCAGTCGTCAGTCGCACCGGCTCTCCTTTCCTGAACGCAGGTGCCAACGCCAATGGGTCCCGCTCCAAGTCCCCTTTGTCTGCATCTGAAGAGAAGAGCGCCTCTCCCGCGCCAACCGCCATTCGCCCCACCACTGCTGCTCGAAAGACCACTACATCTAGCACCGCCAAGAAGGGCAGCCTGCTCGGTGCTAAGAAGGCGCCGAAGTTGGGAGCCAAGAAGGTCGCTGCGGCTGATCTGATTGATTTCGATGAGGCTGAGCGTAAGGCTAAGGAAGAGGCCGAGCGCATTGAAAAGCTTGGCTACGACCCCGAGGCCGAACAAGCAGAGGCCGAGGCCAAGAAGGCTGCGACCGCTGCCGCTGCCGTGCCGATTGCGGCTCCTACTCCTGTCAGCCCCGCTGGCAAGTCTCATGAGCGACAGTCGAGCGATGTCGAACGGCTAGGCATGGGCATGAACAGACTCGGCTTCGGTCAGGTGTCGAAGCCTGCTGCCCCCAAGAAGCCGACCTTTGGATCCGTCGGTCCTGCCAAGCCCAACCCTGCTGATGGTACTTGACCCAACCCTACATTTTGCGTGGATATTCAGACTGACACTAGACACAGATGCCGAGCTCGCTCAGACCAGGACCCGATTCGGTACCCAGAAGGGTATTTCTTCCGACGAGTTCTTCGGGCGTGAGCGATTTGACCCCGCTGCGCAGTCAGAGGCCAAGGAACGTCTTCGTCAATTCGATAGCGCTACATCCATCTCCAGCAACAACTACTTCGGCCGGCCCGAGGATGAGATCAATGCACTTGATGATGGTTACGGCGATATGGAAGTTGCGGCCAAGGATTTCATCCGCCGCTTCGGCATCACTGCCGGAGACGATCTTGAGAACCTCTCGCATCTTGTCGGTGAGGGTGCTACCAAGCTGCAAGGTGAGCAGAATATCCCATCCATCCCATCCCCCACTACTTGGAGCGCCTGCTAATTGTGTCCCTACAGGTGCTATCCGCACTTACCTGAACAACTAGGCGTGATATTCTTTCCTATTTCTTCGAATATTGCGCCTCTCTCGCCCCAAAGTCCCTTAGCCACCTCGTTCTCAGTCATATCCATTCCCCCTGATGCTCGTATATTTTCTCCTCCATTTGACAAATATTCTTCGCCTGGATTTCCATTGTGATCTGCGGTCAAAAAACTTGGGTTTCATATCGTTGCAATCTGGCGTGTGATCGCTTCTTTCTCGTGCTTCAAATTCCTCCGCGTCAACATAGGATAGTGGGAGGAATTGTTGGTCTTCTTTTTCTTTCCTCGTTCCGTTGTTATGCTTTAAGATAATCAAGAAACTCATGATTTGATATTATAGACAACTTTTTTTCCACAACTTCATTCAAAGTACATGCTAAACTCCGATTTCTCAACCCAAATACCGCTCAAAACTCCCATGATGAATGAAGAGACAACAGTATGCAGACGAAACCCAAATGTTGAATACAAGAATGACCAGCAACAGCTAGCCAGGGGTATATTTGACAAACAACTCACACCCGATAGATCGCATCGGAAACCTTCGCAACATGCGACATCTCACGAACATCATGCACACGCACAATGTCCGCTCCGCCACTCACACTAGCAGAAACCGTCGCAGCAGTTCCCCAAACCCTCTCCGCCGGCGTCTTCACGCCAGTGATGTTTCCAATGAACCGCTTGCGACTCGGTCCCATCAACCAGGGAAAGTATTCAAGCCCAAACTCAGTTCGCAGACGCGTCAAATCACGCAAGATCTCCAGATCTTGTTCCTGCACCTTCGCAAACCCAAGTCCAGGGTCGAGAATGATTCTCCACCGCCGAATACCAGCCTCCTCGGCCGCAGCGATCCGCGACCTAAGCTCACAGGCCACTTCCGGGATTACTCCAGCCGGATAGGAGTGGAGACTTGTCATGGTCTGCGGGGTGCCGCGCATATGCATGAGGATAACGGACTTGCCGATGCGAGCGACGGTAGACAGCATATCCGGATCCAGAAGACCGGCCGAGACATCGTTGACGATGTCTGCGCCGGCAGCACAAGCGGCCTCTGCCACGGCGGCGCGGTAGGTGTCGATGCTGATGGCGATGTTGGCGGCTTCGGGCATGGAGCGAATGTGCTTAATTGCGGGCACTACGCGTGCGATCTCCTCCGCCGGTCCTACGGGTTCGGAGCCTGGGCGGGTACTTTCGCCACCGACGTCGATGATGGTGGCGCCTGAGGCGATGAACTGGCGCACTGTTTCTGTGAGGTAGGCAAGGTCTGTTGGAGAGTGCTTGCCGCCGTCGGAGAAGGAGTCTGGTGTTAGATTCAGGATTGCCATGACGTGCGTGGAACGCTTGGGGTCATTTGAGTGGAGGGAGGCGAATGATGGTGAGATCGGGGTTGTTGACATTGGGGTTGGCTCTGGAGGTGGGAGAGCTGCTAAATGAGCGCTGTATGTTTTTGACTCTTTTCCTGACAGGGGTGGGTATTCATTTGGGATGAGTCTGGGTTGTAGGTTAGTTTTGATGTTCGATGTACAAGGCCGTTGGGATCATCGGGGGCGTACTGGCTGAGAGGACGTAGAACAAAGTCCCGTTCCAGCATGAGATTATGCGGAATGTTGAGACGCTCGTGTGAAAAGACCTCTTGATCATACAACAGAATGTCGAGATCAATAGAGCGTGGGCCTTTATCGATGAGCTTCTTTCTACCCAGCGCAATCTCGATGGATTGAACAGCATCGAGAAGATCTAGGGGCTCAAGAGTCGTTTCCACCTAATTAAGGTCAGAGAAATATGCCAGAAACATTGGAACATCATATCATACCTCACACACACCGTTGATGAATGTGTCTTGATCCAGCACATACATCGGCGTGGTCTCGAATAGTGAGCTTGTTCTTTTGACCTTGATGCCAATTCGATCCATTTCAAGACAAGCTTGCTCGATCATTTCAACGCGGTCGCCAACATTGCTTCCTAGGGCAATAAATGCCCGGTGGACACCAGGGCTGCTATACCTCAGGTTCATCTTGTCGAGCCGAGCGGGCTGCCCGGAGAAATTCCTCACAGGCGGGGTCAAATGTATGTTTAGCAGGCGGCGTGGCAGAGCATTTCTGGCCAGACTCGCCGACTTGGAAGTATGTACAGCTTTGTGAACAGTTAGTTTCAATTTCAATATGTAGACGTCAGATAAAAAAAAAAAAAAAAAAAATGCGGGACAACGATTTCCCTTTTTGGGGTGATACGCCGATAAGCGTGCGAGGGGCGCTGAACGTACTTGGCCTCGAACCTGGGCACTCTCTTGAGAAACATCTCCTAATTTCAGCCGTTAGATTCACCAGAGCATATTGCTTGAGCCAATTGATCATTCAATTGCTAAGTTCCAGGCCTTACCTTGCCAGTTGATCCGACACGGTTGGTACGAACCGTCCGAAGGACTTCGCGGGCCGCGGGAGATTGACGAGTGGAGCAGCCGATGCAGCTCTCTGCAATACGCGGAGACTCATGATTATCCAATGAAGACAACGCAAGACAAGGTGTTTGATAGAATGCGCGTGAGGTCACACGAGTATTTCTCGGGGCTGGGTGTTTACATAAGTCTCGGCTGCGACGGGCCGTAACCTTTTCCATTCTAGTCTCGGGGAGTATACAACTCTTTCCAACCTTGAAATGTTGATATGGGACCGCGGGAGAATACTATACCCTTGAACCTCCAGGGCTGATGTTCTCGCTCTTTGAGACAATGCTTCTCATGCCCAGAAAGCTTCCAAGATTCCTATAAGTTTCATATCAAGTAGAAGTTTGGAAACATATAGCAATGCTTTACTTCACATTGTCTATACAAACAAACTAGGCACCTGGGCACCTTACAGGGCTTAGTCAATAATTGTTAATCAAGATGATTATTCAATGCAACTATTCCCTGGGAACATCGTATTCAATTTCATCGGCCCTCGATCAACCTTAGAAACTAGCAAAGTGCTTATCATATCTGAAGTTGTATAGGTACAGTAGTAGGTTAGATTTGGGTCATAACCTTGCAATTTGTCTACAAAAGGTCCCACGTCGGGGATGTATGTCCTCATGGGCCTGTGATCATGCAGGATTTAGCTACTACCTCGCAGGACCTTCCAAGGCTGTCAGGTCTGGTCAAACTTCCAATGGCAACCCACTACTGCCCAGATGGCCGTCGTGTTCGAGGACGAGTTTGATTTGATTCGATAAGAATAATGTGCTGAAGCAATTGCATCAGTCATTTTGGGAAACTCGCTGACTATTGCTAACATCTCAAGAAAATCATCTGCATGAGCCCTACTGCGGATCACAACCCCTTCTTGCGCCTTCTTTCAACTCGATTCCTTCTTACCACGAGATAATAACCAAGCAGCTCGTGTCGCATTTAAAGACGATGATCTCCCAAACACAGAGTTTCTACCACTGGAGCTTCGTCTGGTTGGCGGTGGTCTGTAAGGGGACGCCTCCAAGACCGATGCCTCGGAGGGGGAACTCGGAGTTGGTGGCTCATCCTTAAACGAGACAAGTACCAACGGCTTCTGAATGGTAACAGTGACTCCCTTTGTTTCACGATAGAGCCCTGGGAAGATGGGTGCGATATGGCGGCCAGATTTCGAGAGGTCTTGAATGGCGCACATATCCGCTTTCGAAGCTGGGAAATGCGTTCCGCAGTTCATGAAATCAAACTCTTGAACGTCTGTTGCCTCGACTTTAGAACGCAAAGAGAAGCTGGGGCTCCATGAGTAGTCCTCCGGGGAGCACATTAACGTGGTACCAAGGGTTGCCGCCGGCTTCAGCAGTTGGTCCAGGATATTCTGGTACATATGTTTCCAGTCGACATCCCTGGAGAACGAGAATGCTCGAAGATAATCCACGACATATGCGCCAACCTCAATGCAGCGTTTGTCAAGTTGTTCTTGATATTCGGTAGTCGCCGTTAGCGCTCGAAAGGTATCCGATCGCCAAGTGGCAATCGCTCCGGGGTCTGCCATTCAACTTATTAGCACAAATAAGATATCTTTGACTGAATTATAGACCGCTTACCTTTGAGGGGCTCAATTTTCTCCATCTGTTCCAGGGTTTTGGTCCAGAGTAATTGTTGGTGATCAGGCAGTCCAGCCAATGTAGGCCTCAGCAAGGTATTCCACACGATGTAGAAGACATCATGCTCCATGATCTCTGTGTCAATAAAATCAAGGCTTTCTTCGGGTTTCAAAGTAATTTTCATCCGGCATGCAAGGCCCTTTTTCACCATAGTTAAGTGAATGCCGTGCCATGTTTGATCAAAACCAGTGATCTCCGGCAGAACTGAGATCAAGTTGCAGAGGCTGTGACGAATCTTCTCAAGTTCACTGAGGATAGAGCTATCGCTGACTTGAAAAGTGCTGATAGTTCGCAACATTTGTTCCCTGCACTTTCGGAGCTCAGTTTCCCGTTCGCGAAGTGCCCTCTTCATCGTCTCAAGCTCGAACTTCATATGTGACCATTCGGCTTGAAGCTCATGCGAAAGGCTCTGAAACTGTGACCACTTGATATTCATGTTGTCAGTATGGTAGATTATGGTTGGGGACTGAACATTGTGTGAGGAATCAGGAGTTGGAGACGGCATTTTTGCAGTGTGCCCGCGAAGAGCTTGTTCTTCCCGGTGGATTGATCAAAGGACGAAAGTGAATGTAATATGTTTGACGACTATAAAGAGTCGAGATGGAAGTGATCCAGCAAGGATTGAAAAGGCAGGAAGAGCAAAAATAATAAGTGGTGGGATTTTTATATTGAGTCTAGCTACAACCTCCCCTCTTTGACTCTCTCGACTTTGTCTTTCTACGTTCCACTTTCTATGCTTCCTCTTCCGGTCTTGCTTTCTCATTCTTCTCTTCCTTTATTAGACTCATTCTCTTCGTCATCACTCTTTGATCATTCATCTACGAGGCATCTACGAGGAACCTTGCTCAACTAGGATCCAAAGCTCCTCTCAATCTTGCCAATTCCTCTTAGACCTCACATTCCTCAAAGCCTTGATATATTTACACCCAGATATACTATCTCGCTCTTTTCTTATTTCGTCTCACTTCCTATCATCTGGTCTTATTACCACTCTTTTGTTCATCAGTCACCCACATTCCTCCTACTTTTTCTTGTGAGTCGCTCTATGGTGCCTTGAAGTTGCACTGGCTGATGTCAACCACTTACTACTAGCTACAGACCGATTACACAAGCCCATAATGTCTCAACAAACCAAGGAGGTCATTGTGGCAGTTGACTTCGGTACAACTTTCTCTGGTGTGGCATGGGCACAGGTATCGAATGTAAGTGTCTGACTCCTTAAGAAAGCATGACTCTAAAAATTTCAAGCCAGATGCGCAGTACATTATAAACCAGTGGTCTTACGACACATCTGGAGGGATTGGTGGAATGACCAGCGAGAAGGTACCCTCCGAACTGGCGTACAAATACGAAGGTTCCACCCCCGTGCCCGTATGGGGATTTCAGATTCCTGACAGCATGCCACGGCTGCAATTCCTCAAACTTGAGCTCGAGTCTGAGCAAAAGATTGATCTGAGATCTTTGCACAGAAACAATATGTCACTCGAATGCAAGGATTCTCGGCGCATGGATTATCCATACCATGCCACACCTGAAAGTGCCATTATCGACTACCTGCAAGCGCTTTTGAATCATATCACCGAGGTAATGAAAGACCAGGTTGGAACAGCCTTTGAATCGATGAAGCTCACCTACGTGATCACGGTACCTGCAATTTGGTCGGATCGGGCCAAACGCACAACGCTCGAGTGTGCAGACAAGGCTGGTATGAGTGCATCTCACATCATCTCAGAGCCTGAGGCCGCAGCCATCCACACCTTGAAGGCATCGAATCCCCATGGAATGAGTGTCGGGGACACTATCATGGTCTGTGACGCGGGCGGGGGAACGGTTGACCTGATCACGTTCACAATCCTTGAGTTTGAACCCAGTCTTCGGTTGAAGGAAGAGGCCCCAGGGAACGGAGCACTTTGCGGAGGCACTTTTTTGAATAGAAAGTTTGAGGGCTTTCTTCAAGAAAAACTGGGGCTATGCGATGGGTGGGGTTACGACACAATGGATCATGCCATGCAGAGATTTGAAACAGTTGTGAAGAGACAGTTTCATGGGGACCCCAAAGAGATGTTTGCTTTCCCCGTTCCTGGAATTGCCAACAATGAAACCCTGGGGGTCCGACGAGGCTGTCTCCAAGTCTCGGGGGAGGAAATCAACAAACTTTGCCTGCCGGTTCTGGAAAAGGTAGTTGATCTTGTCAAGCATCAGATGGACATCTCAAGAAAGACTGTGAAGTCAATTTTTCTTGTTGGTGGATTTGGACAGAGCCCGCTTCTTCGTTCATACCTGCGAGAGCATTTGCCCCCCCAGTATCCAGATTCTTGCCCCGGTTGATGGATGGACTGCTGTGGTCAGAGGAGCGCTATCGAAGGTTGTTTCAACAATCTCTTCCTTGGTGTCTCCGATAGCGATCGACTCACGTGTTGCCAGAAAGAGCTATGGGAACTCGAAGAGTGTCAAGTTCAACCCTCGCAAACACAACCATGGGCAAAAGTGAGTAAGGAATCTTCGAGTATCAACTTTATGCTGACATTAATAGATATTGGTCCGCCTTTGAGGGACATTATCGCATCGATGTTATGCACTGGATCATCAAAAAGGTGCGTGCTTATCTCCAGTCTAATTCTAGAGGGCCCTGTATTCAAACTGACGAGATGCAGGGCGATGATATCTTTGAGTCTCAGCCAATCGTCATGAAATGGTGTCGACAAAGGTTGAAACGAAAAGGAACGTTCACCGACGTCAAGCAAGAAATCTATGAGATAGAAACTCCTGACGGAGTCGATCCCCCCATGTATTTCAGTGGTGGTATGTGCCAATGACATTGATCTTATCAGGCAACAAACTGACAAATCTTTAGAAACAATGAAACTCCACACGGTGCTCCATCCGCAGCTTGACAGCATCTTGTGCCAACAGATCCCACGTGTTCACGGTGCAGACAACGAGATGTACTACGATGTTGCTTACGAAGTACACGCAGTATATTATTCCGCACATTGCGAATACTCACTCTGGTTCGCGGGTAAGAATCATGGAGCCGTCAGAGTTGACTATGTCTGAGCTCGACACGATTTGTAACTCTGCGCGCGTCTGAGGGTTCCATTGGAAGATTCCGGGAAAATATGACAGGGAGATTCTATCACATATGAAGAAGGCAGATTCGAGATCAAAAGGGAAGGAGAAGGAAGGAACCATGGGCCAGAGAGATCAGGAAGATTGCAACAATATTTGAGAAACGAGATACTAGCATATTTATCAATCACTTAGGGAAAATAACATGCACTTTAGCCATTGAGTAAGAAATGGGATTCACATTTGTAGCATTCTCCATATTGAGGTGCAATGTAACGAGCAGACATGTATGTAGTTGAAGCGTTCCGCATAGTTAAGATTGGGTTCATCACCGCCCAATCCACGTGATTGGTCTCACCAGCCACAACTGCGCCACAGTAAATTATTAAATCCACAACGGATTCGCCTTTGAAAGAAATCCAGAAATTCAGCTGCTGCCGCAATAACACCACAACGCACAACATGTCTCGACTCGGGAAGTGAGTATTCTCAAATTCAACCTCCAGGAATATACGACCTAACAGGAATTTCTCTTCAGCCGCGCCGACTGGGCTGACGACGAAGAATTCGATGACCCCTCCGCGCTCCCCGCGCAACAAGTGATCGCGAACAAGGACGGCACCAAGACCGTCATCTCCTACCGTTTCAACGATGACAACAAGAAAGTGAAGGTCACCCGCCGAATTAAGACTACTGTCGTCCGCGAACACGTCAACCCCCAAGTCGCCGAACGCCGCAAATGGGAGAAGTTCGGTCTCGAGAAGGGCCACGCCCCTGGACCTACCTTCGATACCACCTCCGTGGGTGAGAACATTGTGTTCCGTCCCACCGTCAACTGGAAGGCGAACGCCAAGGAAGAAGAGAAGGAGGGCGGCGAGAAGGGCAGCATGAAGGACCAGCTCAAGGACAAGAAGGTCAAGTGTCGTATTTGCAGCGGAGAGCATTTCACTGCTCGCTGTCCCTTCAAAGACACCATGGCTCCCGTCGAAGAGGGCACTGCCGGTGCTCCTGGCGTCGAGGCCGAGGAAGACAAGGGTGGTCTCGGTGCTGGAAACTCCAGCTACGTGCCTCCCCATATGCGGAAGGGCGGTGCTGGTGGCGGCGAGAAGATGGGTGGACGTTTCGAGAAGGACGATTTGGCGACTCTCCGAGTTACAAACGTATGTTTTGTCGCCTTTCAGTCTATCGGGGCTACGAATATCTATTTTGGGGTGATGCTAATCAATTTTTTCTCCGCGAACAGGTCAGCGAGTTGGCAGAGGAGAACGAGCTGCGGGATCTCTTCGAGCGTTTCGGTCGCGTTACCAGAGTCTTCCTTGCCCGGGACCGGGAAACCCAGAGGGCCAAGGGCTTTGCTTTCATCAGCTATGCGGATCGTGGCGACGCAGAACTTGCTTGCCAGAAGGTGGATGGCTGTATGTTTTTCTTCCACTCAACAATCTCTCTCCGCATTTCTGGAGTGCTAACATATCTGTTTTACAGTCGGTTACCGCCACCTCATTCTCCGCGTCGAGTTCGCCAAGCGTTCTACTTAAATGTGTTTTCCGGTTCTCTCTTACGACTTTTTGAATGGAACTTTTCCTTCTTCTCAGGCGGGCCTACCTTTAGGCCGAAGCTCTTTTCCTTGTACTGTAGGAGCTGGTTGATAATGATGATTTCCAAAAAGACATCCAACGTGTCACTTACTTGCATTCGTCAGTCTATACAAAAGCACTGGGTTAGAGAAATGTTAGATCTTTTGCATTGTTCTAACCTACACGCCTTGCACTCATCCTTGGTAGAAGCAGGATATTGGTATTACCCAAATTATCTCACGGCAACCAACCTTGGAAGGAACCTCACAAGCGCCCATGGGACCTCAGCCACGTGGCTGTTTATCCAAACGTCTGCGCTGTCAAAACCCATGGTTTGGTCTATTTTTGCCTCAGTCCCTGTATATCCTTTTTGACAGGTGGGTCTAGAAACAGGTCTCGATGCCTGCCCAGGTGCCCTCGTCCACGATTCATTGATCATGTCTCAGGCGTGGTCAACCTTCGTCTCCTGAACAGCTCGAATTAGCTCACCTGAATCTAGAGACAATGGCTTGGCAGCCTCCAGGCGCTATGATCACTCTTGTTTTAGGTATTGTAGCTAGCTGTCGATCTCGGAACTGGTGGTAAACAAGCGCAATTGGTCATACATCCCCAAACCCGTGGACGCTCCCCGATAGCAAAGATCTGGTGCCGGGTCCGGATGACAAGAATTCCTTCCGGCATGGAAGATGAAGCTATCATCTGCAAGTGGAGAATGGTCGATCTCGGTCTCGACTGCTCGGTTCTCCAATGGCTTCAAGGATTGCAATGAGACTGAAGGTTCTGTCCATTCGCATGACTGTGGATATGACATCGGAACGAAAACTGAGGTCAGGCAACAGTATGCTTTGGGATTTTCTGCCCTAGCTACATCATGCTACATGCTATCTATGCTCGCGGGTGACAGATCCCGAGCCCGATCATCAAAATACTTTTCAATAGATCGACGTTGAATCTCAACGATTCAAACCCAGACGTAGCTTCACCGGCAAAAGTTGTCGTTTCCAATTTTCCCGGTAACGGGATTGGGTTGCATCACGTCGCATCGGTGTTTTTTGTTTAGGAAAGAGACTTGGCTCGGGGTAAAAAGCTTACCTCCGAGTCCGGCATTTCACCAACCCCCTGTTCGACACACGATCTATCTGACCAAGGAGGAACGGAACAGTCAAATTATTCCCTGTCACTCTGGCTGCTCTCCAGAAACGCCCGCTAGGCCGCCGTGTTCTGGTTTCTACTCAGCTGCAGCGGCATCCAGTATGACAAGGAAGACACATGTGAAAGGAGTTCATAAGTTCACGAAGTCCTAGTAACCTTGCAGGGAACATCGGCGTCAAACACCATGCTCCAACTGCTATTGGCCACGGGAGTTCGACTAGAAGGGCAAGTCTTCAATGCCAACGTTTCGGCTCCGTGCCGCTGAGCAAGTTTTCCTTGGCTGGATCCTTCCGTGCGACGTTGGCACGACTTAGGGTTGGCTAGGAGTTGACATGTATAGTTGACAGAGGCTGGTGGAGATTGCCACGGGGGGCAAAACCGGCTGCCAGATAAGCTGTTTGGTAGAGTAGACTCTACAACTGGTATGCATCCAACGCCATCCAAAGCATATTGCCCGCCTGACAGACTTCATCCGAAGTATTTGGAGGGCGGCGATCCAATAGGGCACTATTCACTCTGTCGGAGCCCAGGTCTTGAAACCTTACCTTTCCATCCATGCCGACAGGCTCGGATACTTGGAACAGGGAGCTTTTTACCGGGAGCTTCATTCTCGTCGTACGATCGATGATGTCGGGCTGTAGATTCAGGGTGATCAAGGTTTTGGATGACAGTACGACAACACTGCCAATGGCGATTCCTCAGCCCATTGCCTCGAAATCTCTCACAGACACCTCATATCGCAGTGGCCCAGCACTTGGCTCAACTGCCACGGAATTAACCTTCAATCTCAGAAGAAGTGATACACAGGTAACCCGTCACAGAACCTTGTGTTCAGGCAACCCACTCGAAAGTCAACCGACATTGAAGTGTCACTTTTGGATGTAATTTGATGTGGAGACCAAGTTTGTAGGGCAAATTGCTCCCACGGTTAGGTAATGGCAATCAATTGCTAGATCCATGTCGAGTGCTGTTCCGATGTAGACTCGACGTGCCAGACGGAGTTAGGCAGATCAATTAGCCCGGTCAAGTCCGGTGGATGTCTCGGGATTGGGGAAACTCGGCCGTTGCGCGCAAAACTTTAACAAGTCTCAATACAACGAAACCAAACCAAAATTGATTGTTTATGCGACTATTTCCATACTCGATAGTCGTGATTTGGGAAATATCTCCCCGAGGTGTGAGATTTTCCTCGGTTCTAGACCCAATCGACCAGGGTGTGTTGATATTGGAGGGGGATCACTATGGATCCTATAGGGCGTGTCGCATTCGATATCCTAGATCAATGCGCATTTGGCGGGGGGGATCAGACAAGACAGTCTAGAATAGCACCGGGGTTTGGTTTTTCGAAATTTGCAGGTCTGGCACTGGCCAATGAATGGTGTGGAGGGGTGCTCTCCCTGTCGATCTGAAAATCAAAACTCACTAATGACAAGGTCGAAACTGCCATCCCGGGATCGGGATCAGAATATGCCTCAATCTCGACCGTTGCCGAATTGTAACTTTCTCACCCCTGAAGGTCGAAGCGGCCGAATGCAACCAGTAAGAATGGCATGACATTAACCACAGATTTTGCTGTTGACTTGCATCGAGCGAATTGTCGCACGAGGGTATTTCTCGCGTCGGGATGTCAATCTCTAGGGCATGACACGTGCCCCCAATAACGATGGGGGTCTTGGGGAGTTGAGACAATTGCAACGTCTCAAAGTTTGTCGGATTTCAGGGTTCTAGGATCCATTTCAAGCACATCCATGGTTAGAGCTTATGCAACTCCAGTCAGAAACTTGGAAGTCAAAAGGCAAGGTACCTGCAGTGAAGAAGGTATCCACGTATCGGACAATTTCTGAGCACTAGTTCTCTTTATGTATTCCGTTCAATAGTCCCAAGCACAAAACTTACCAATGTGATAGATCGCAAAGTTGTGCGGGAGAGGCGGGTAACTAAGTGGACCCGATCTGATATAGTCTGCTTAGCTGCATTTTATAATACAGCCCTAACTGGATTCGAACTGTAAGCTGTAATTCTCTTGGTGTTTGTACAGTCGAACAATTTGGCCATGGACAAGCACATACTCCCTGCGGTCTGTGGTTTGAGAGCTTCGAAGTTAGGGTACAAAGACGACATTGTATAGCTTCACCGCCCCCGCACGTGCCGGCACACCGCAAGGGGCAGATCCGCGAAGCCAACATCGTTGCTACATGTCGTTCGGACCCGACTTGGTAGAGATGTATCGCTGATCCATATCTTTCTAGGCCTAATCCGGCTAATCAGCCCTGCACCTAGCGTCGATTCCGGCACCAGCACGGTCATGGTGTGTGGTTCGTGGGGGGCAAAGAGCCTGCACAACATACCCTCAAACACTCACTGGGCGCCGAAGAATTCAACTTGACTTCATGTCTAACCAATCATTGCACAACAAATGCCTTCCCTGCCTTCTTCTTGCCAACTTGTCCAGCCTCATGCAGGATGGCCGATCTTTGAGCCACTAATGCGGTTCTGTCGAGATGATCAGGACGAGATCCACTTTGGCCTAGAAATCTGGATCTGGGATTGAATCTATGAATCCACGGCCCTATCCGTCTTCTTCTACGGTTAAGTGGACCTACACTTCCATAAGCACTACATTTCATTAAGTTCTGGAAATACTTGCCGGGTACGGACCGCACCACCATTGCATGAAACGCAACATTTTGCTCCATCACACTTATTTTAGGCTTCATAGTGGGGTTGCTGTCCCAGTTTGCGGTGCTTGGGGTGTTTCCTTATTTCCACAGAGACCTCGGGTTGTCTAGCTCTCTTCGGGTGGAAGTGGAGTGCCCAAGGGCCTCGTCGCTCTCGGTTTGTCGGTGAACAACTGCCAACATGGATGATGCAAATGGCTGAATGAACCAAACTGCCGATCGCATGATGTTCTTCTTCATGCAAGAGCTGCTTCTCGTGCCTCGAGCCTCTGAAATTAGACCAACGAAAAATGAACGTGGCTGGGACTATTCCGACAGGCCATTTGGAAGGGGAAAAAATCAGGAAAAGAAAAATAGATCCATGGATCCAACTCCGTGGTCCAAGATCTCTTTGGATTTGTTTTCTTCCCCTTCTGTTTGTTTGTTTTTTTCGTCATTGGCCCGCGGATCCCCAAAGTTTGATAGATCAACAACTTTTGTCATGGGACTGGGGTCTCTGCACGGCTATCCCGGAGGCTGATCACCTCCTCTATTCTTCTTAGTTTCATCTTATTTTGTTCTGCTGCAGCGACCCGTCTATCGGGTGTTCGCGCTGAGGTGTCTGATCTCGGGAATTCAAATGTAATGGAAAATACATCCCTCAAATTCCAGAGACGCGTATGGAGTAGGGAGTACTGTATCATGACCTACCCTACATCACGGTCCGTGCAGCCGGCGTCGGGTCCCAGGGCACGCAACATGGGGGGGTATGGGGGGCCTTCCGACCAATACCATACGCCATGAACAATCAAACTGTCTGACGCTAAGGTCAGTGATTCGATGGTCCGGCTGTTACGATGGAGACCCGCACCCATGATGCCTCAATGCTGGACGAAAATTTTGAGTAAACAGAAATAAGAAATAAAATACCAATAACTCAAAATGGAATTCATGCATTCCCCATCCTCAACCTCCCAAAAAGGCAAGGGAAAAAATAAAAGCAAAAGTAAAATCACCCAGGATCCGGAAATCTTTGTCCGCAACTTGGTTGGACCCCTATGCAATTAATAGTCATTTCTCATAGCCTTACCGAATACAACGTATTTTGCAGTGTGCCTTCCTCGTGGGACCCGTCGCCTCTCGGCTACAACCTGACTGGTGAGACTATAGGTGGTAACCTTAACAGAGTATAGATTATCGGACGGGATATGCTATTCCCTAGACAGAACACCACTGGCTTGGTAAGTAAGCGTATGAGATAGACCACGGCGGTTGCATAAGAATTACTAGCTGCTTCAGACATCCCAATATCAATTACATACACACCGTCTGCTTTGAATACATATTGCTCATAGTAAACATGTCACCTCCATCTTTCAGGTAAGCCACAGTTACCAGATTCTGCACCCTGTCTGCCAAAAGAAATTAGACCCAGGTGCACTGTGCGTTCGGTAGTTGATTTTGATTCTCAGGTATTTTTGCTCCAGGGTTGGTCTTTTTGTCATGGAATCTTCCAAGATTGTTGCAGCACAGTGTGCTTGATACCTCTCAGATTACATAGTACATAGAAAGCTTGGTCTTTTATTTGTTCACACTGTCACACTCGATTACATCAGTCTTTGAATTTCCCCTTTTGGAGCCTTTTTGCTCTATTATTACCGTCAATTTTTTTTTAATTTTTTTTTAAATCTTTAATCTTTAATCTTTTTGCAAATATTATTTTTTTTTTGGCCCCGTTGGCTGTGATTGCTATTATTGTTAAAATTTTGAGTATTGCCAGTATTGCCAGTATTATTGTTCTTCTCTGTGCCTTTGCCTGTTTTCGGTTTTTTTTTTTTTTTGTGCCTATTCCCTCTCTACCCTCCTCTACCTCTGGTAAAGCCTGGTCCGATCTATTCCTCCTCTTCCCTTTTCTGTCGGAGGTCTCTATGTCTTTGTCAGGGTTCCCATTCAGGAAGTTATGTCTATCCCGGTGACGCACTCTTCTGGCTCCCGGACATCTACTTCTTCTCTTCTGTCAACGTCTGGCCTAGAAAGGCATCATTCTCTGGATGCTATTACCCTCCTCACCTTTATAACCCTGTTATTCTTCTGCCTCCATTGACTTCATTCTTTATTCGCACCAGTCTATTCCCGCTCCACTACAATCTTTCATATTGTTCATATTGTTCACCTATTCGCGACGTCGTGTTCGCGACATCTATTTATTTTCTATCTCTCTTGTCTATTCAAGACCCCGGGGGATCTCTCTGTTTCATCCTTCAATTTTCCCAGTCTGTTTTCTCTCATAGGCCCAAGTACACACTTTACCTTTTGAGCGGTCCCGCACGCCACAAGACGAGGTATCAATCTAGTATTGTGAGGGAATTTGACGCAGTCGCAGAGGCTTTGGGTCTGTTCTCTAACTTTGTTGCTGTTCTAGACATCGCATTCGCATTCTTGCCACCCCAGACATCAAGGACCAGCCGACGGCTTGGGCGTCTCGCCAGTGTCACGTCAGTCAAACCAAGCGTCAGGGTCTTCGAGGCACCTGGCATCAGCACGCTCAGGATGAATCCCTGTAAGTTCTCTTTTCTTCTCTGCGCACTTTGACTCCCCGTATGATTTATTTGAGGCCACCTCTGATCTCCTCCTGTGAATCCATCAGCCTTACTCGATTCATTCTCATTGAATGATCCTGTAACTTCGGAGGGTGATTATATCGGCTCCCATGTGACAGGCTTTGCGACGGACGAAGACGACAACAGCCAGCGAGTCGGAGGTCTCGCCTCTATGCCTGACACCAACGGCGTGAGGTACCACGCACAGCAGCCCGCCATGCAGGATTTACAGTAAGTTATTCCTACTCTTTCAATATGGACCGCACTTGCGCTCTTGGTCAGCCTCTCGACCCCTTGTCACTGCGCTTCCTCCGGGTCCGGGCAGCTTGGACTTCAGTCCAGCCTGTTTCTGTACCTTCCATATCGATCTGCTGCCTGCATGTCTTTCTTCCGATATTTTGTCCTTTTTTTACCTGAGCTCGTGCTGTGACTTGAGGTCCTTGCCTCTGTTGCGCCTGTTTCAATTGCCTTCCTACGCATCATGCTGCGCCCGGACTCAACGCGATGCTTTTTGCTTTGAACCCAGGCAGCCTAGTATATGCGCTTTACTGAATGACTCCCTGTTATAGATATACCGGCTCAAGCGCCCTTGCAATGACCCCACCAGACTCCTGTCCTGGTAAGCTCCCACTTCCTACTTATACCCCTCTAAAGACCGGCCTTGACTGATGCTTGAGGTATGAAGACTCTTTTTCGCCTACATCTGGTTCTATCTTCCCTCACAACACTCGGCTTCAGCATCCCTTCGATAGGATGACGGACTACCAACGAGTTCCGCCTCTGTAAGCTTTGTCATACTAAGAGTTTGTATACATTGACGAGTACTGACTTGGGCTCAATCATATAGTCAACCGCCTACTGGCATGCCAGCAGGTATGCAGAGCTCAGGGCACGGTTTGAACTCCATACCAGCCCTAATGAGCCGCAATAACCCCTATGGATCATACGCCCTACAGCGTGGGATTGGAAACATGAGTTTGCCACTCATGGGCATGGGTGATACATCGCGCAACCATGGATATTCGGGCACTCCTCGCGCACTGGATGGTAGCCTTGATCGATCTCGAGGCACTATCTATCAGCAGTCAATGGTGGAGTCTTCCCCACGATCACAGCCACAGGTTGAAGTTCCGCCATTCGATGACACGACCTATCTTGAGACAATCGTGGCAGAATTCGGTGGTCAGTATCAAACAGTGAAGCCAGAAATCCAGGCCAAGATGGGCCGCGGGTTCTTCCCATCAGATGGCAAATGGACCTGCTACCGACGCAACTACTTTGCTGTGACTTGTGGCTTTGGTCTTCACCCTTGGCCACCCACTGCTCCTCTTTACATCCGCAATCACGATCAAGGTCTGGAGCCAATTCGCAGTTTCGCAATGACTATCTCAGCAATTGTTAATGGTCAATACAACGAAACCCGGGAGCTCGTTCAGCACACACCAAAACGCGACAAGCAGTCCGAAAGAAAGCCAGGCCGTGTCATTCTTCAGCCATCTCCTCCAGCTTCATTCACATCAACTTCGGCGGTCAATGGAAACCTTTCTGGTTTCCCCATCGGCTCACAATCTATGGACTACAACGCTGCGTTCACGGGGGCGCCTCAATCATGCCAGCCTCCAACAACCCACATGTTCGAGCGTATCCAGTTCCAGAAGGCTACCGCCAACAATGGCAAGCGCCGTGCCCAGCAACAGTATTACAATCTGGTCGTCGAGCTCTACGCTGAGATTGCTAGCTCGGTCTCAGGTGAAACACAGTGGGTACAGATCGCACGTCGCCACTCCCACCCCATGGTTGTTCGTGGGCGCTCGCCGGGCCACTACAAAGATGGGCGCCGGGGCAGTACTGGCAGCATGGGTCCTGATGGAGCGGGGGGTGATGGAAATGGGAGCATCCACTCTCATGGATTAGGCCAGACCACCCGATCACATCTCCTCATGTACGATGCCTCCCACCGAAGCGGGCTTTCTTACGGTAGGGCCGATCATCGACAAACGACCATGAACGATCATTCTCCACTCAGCGACAGTCCTCTCATCTCTTCCTCCTCCTCCTCTGGATTTGAGTATTCCATGATGGACACTATGGATCCTATGGATACCATCAAGTCTGATCCTTACATGAAGACCGATCCCTACCTCAAGACGGATCCCTACCTCAGGTCAAATCCTTATCAGGATGCGCCTTATGCAGAGGTTCCCAGCCACCAGCATCGCCATTCTAGCACTGGGGGCTATGACCCTGTCTACTCAACGACTTACAGCCGTTACGATCCCATCCAAAACTCGCAGAGCCTATGCACCTAGGCCGTGGAATATGACCACTTAGCTATCTGCCTCTTTTTTTCCCTTCTCTCCTTGTTTTATCTCTTTATCTTGCTTGGTATGACAAACTGAAATGGCTTTATGCACTGGTGCAGGACGGCGTGGGCGATCTAGTCAATTTTTATTCGTGGTCTCGTCTTTATTCGTGGTTTGGCTACTTAACTTCGAAGTTCGTTTTCACACTTTCTTCTTGCTTCTCACTTCTTTGTTACTCTATTATTATTGCTGGCCCTTTGCTTCAAATCAGATTATTCAGGACCTTTCCTCATTTCTTACCGTCTCTCTACGTTCTCTGTCTTTGAAAAGATGCATACAGAATGCCATTGAAGACTGCGCTCACAGAATGACCTAATTTCCTGTCTGTCGAATCGATCGAGGAATTGAGATCTGGACTTGGCCAGATTATAGTAATCTAGACGGTATCTAGACGGTGGTAGGGATCCACTGTATGCTCCTGCAGAAAAGTAATTCTATCACCTCCGCGTTCTGTACGGAGTATCAGAACGGTCTTCATTCACTAGACCATATAACTAGATCATCAAGATGAGACAGGAAGTAGATACCTAGTCGTTTTGTGAACAATGCAAGGCATGAAAAGCTAAACTTGCAGCGCTTTCAAAATCTGCTAAAATTAACCCTCGCTATCCCCCAGTCAATTTTAATTCCCCGATTTGCTCTGGGCTATGGCCAGGAACCGTTATTTGCTGCACGCCTGGCCCCAGTCTTCATTTGCAGGGCCCCCAGTTTCGTTTGCAACGGACATGGGCTTATGCGGTCTTGCCTTCTCACAGCCTTTTTGCCTTTTGTTTTGTTTTATGGTTCCTGCTCTTGTTATTTTGCTGAAAGTCCATGTTTGGTTGTTCTTGTTTTATCCAACCAACATCAATACACATGAAATCTCTCAGTGATGCCTACCTCTTTATCGTATCTGATGACTACAGGATCATGCTTTCTAAGTAAGCAGGGTGCTTATCTGCTGATTGGGCGAAATTCATTACCAACTAGTGTAAGGATTAAAGGATTGGTGTAATCTATATTTATTTTTCCCCTAAGGAAATTCCATACGTTCTTGCGGAGGCTCCGCGGTCTTGAAACCAAACGGGACATGGGTGCAGTACTCCGTAGAGAGGGAGATGGCACGATGCAGACTGGATCGTTAGATCAGGGCCAATCAGAGAGTCCAGCGGCAGCCTATTTGGGTAGAGTTATGAGGGGGCTGGTGTTTAACTCCAGGCCTTGTCAGGCAGCAGGGATGGATTTTCTCTTTCAAGTCAAATCATAATCTGATAATAAGGGTGGTCAGCTTCTACTTAAGGAATTGCTCTATGGGTGAATTTGAACCCGCAGATCATGATCTACATTGCATGTGCAGGTGATGCTCCATTTCATGTGAGCTCAGCCCTGCTTGGCTATATTACCAGTTTTGACTTGAAGGGCCAATCTCGAAGTAGACCTCGGGAGCGAGTATTAGGTAGAGCACCTGGGCAAGAACCTTGGAGGGGACCACGGGTCGTGTGACACTTTTGGCTTTGACAAGTATGGCCAATATTTGTTTATCCAATCTTGCCACCGAGCTGGCTGAGTTTATGCAACGATCTTCGTATTGTCCAAAGCCTTCATGCACCTCGGCATATTCCGGTGTTTTAAACACTTGGGTCCTTGTTAATAACGTCCACACTAAGCACCGGGGTGCTGCATGCGGCAAGAGAGTCGAAGTGCCAGAGAACTAGGGATAGGATCAGACTAGTTTTGACTTTTGCCTGAAACACTTCGGTTTAACTCATTTCAGGTTCAATACGGTATGGCACGTTTGCCACCGGGGCACATCCGAAGTAAATTCAGCGAATGAGTACATGGTATTCTAACGTTGAAACTGCTCAAATACGTTTTTGATATCTTAAAACTGATTGGTTTTCAATTTTCATGACCGGTTGGATATGTACTTCTGCACGTCGTACAAGGGATGCTGGGCAAAAGAGCAATCCTGGCCTTGACTATCCAACATCCATGAATCTTCAAAATTGTGGCTAATATTGATTCTCAACTTGTTTTGATTAGACTTTTCGGTCTCTCTGGCCATTCCGATTAGTTTGCTTTCAATGTTTACAAGGTCTACAGCACCCGTATGATTTTCCCTCGTGGTATAATCTTGAATCATGGTGTGGAAGCGTGGATGGTTCATGAAAAGTCACTATTCTGTTCTACTTTAGTTCGAATGATATCATGCCTCATGTCGGTCTGAACTTGGACGTACCTAATTCGATGGATTTTGTCTCGTCTATAAAACGTCATCGCTGTCATATGTACTTTTCAACGTCCACGGGCATCCCAAAGCTCATGGTCTTGAGAGACCTACCTTTTCCCAAATATTGAGCTTTTTGTTGTTCTTATATACTTGCCTTCCAGCTTCTGCCCACCAATATGTAGATGCGACCCATTGAGTTTGAATAAAGATCTTTAGATATTGATTAATCAGGTCTGCCAGCCGAATTGGGAAACTCAACAGCGCACGAGCAAGCCCTGCCTTTAATACGTATCCCAATATCAGAGTCTGTCAGCCTTCAGGGTCTTCCAGATGGCCCAAGCGACGAACCAACCTTGGAGTACGCTAGACAAACTCGATCACCCGACAAAGCCTGTAGCTCTCACTCGTCAAAATGCGCTTTCCTAACTACTCGATCACAGCCCCTCTCTGCTGTGCGCCTTGAGAGCAACCAAAATCGGAGTCAGACAATGACAATTCATGCAGTGCGAGTGAGAAATCGATCTCTACGCACGTTAATCATCTTTATGACGATATCAGACTCGTGGTGGACCGGACATGCAACAAATGAATCTGAGTGTATTCTATTTGAATGTCAGCCCGGGGACGATCATTCGCCACGTTGGGAGAGTAGGGGGATCTCTGCATTCCACCTTAACGGCTTTTACGCGCTGTGCTAGTTTTGTCGTACTTGAAATGCCACATGATCAGCTTGTAGATCTTGATGACATGGTTCATAGGTCATCCTAGGTACCCCAATTCTATAGTGTAGATGTTCACAGCCCAAGAGTGTTTTAATCATGGGCCACATCTATCTGCCCATAGGAGATGTTCGCCCATGGGATAATGTTACAACAATCCACATGGTATGTTCCGATCCCGAGGGCACACAATGATCTTTCTTCGAGATCCTAGGCTTCCGTGTACTACAACATGGATTATAAAAACAGATAAAGGTCCTCCAATCAATCAGCGATGTAAGTGAGCCGGTCAGATCAGCTTGATACATGCCAATCTTAGGATCTCGATGACCTCAATAATTCCACTGGACGATGTCCTCTCAGGATGGACTTGGAAAACATATGTGAACGTTATTAATTCTTAGCCAGAAGGGGCTGTTGCTTAATTCTGAGACCAGTGGTTTAGAAGGCAGCAACCTTGGAGATGATTAGGGCTGACCAAGACATCTATTCCAAATACTCAAACAGGATGCCCCCAACCACGCACCCCTCGCATCCTTTGCTCAATCGGACAAAAGAAACCCACCAAGGCCGGAAGATTAAATCACTCGCTTGATTGGCTTCTTCCGCTAAGAACCACCTCACAAACCAGACCAGGCTAAGCAAAGACCTCCACCCTCCAGCCGCAGCAATTCTTCCGAGCCACATGAATGCCTAACAAAAGTCCGCATACAATTTAAAAGAAATATGAGATAATAACGTCCGGAGAGGCGGGGGAGGCGCCCGCTGGCCCCTGTCCTTTACCCTGCGAACAGCAGTTGAGGCCGGGGTCAATACGAAAACGCCGCACCGACAGCCAAGAGCAGAGCAAAAAAAAAAAAAAAAAAAAAAAAAGAGCATGCATCAGGCCACTCTCCGTGAACGTTCCGATGGCGGGACACAACAGCCAGACTCTCATAGTCAGCGTCAATAACTGGCCATTGCTTGTTTGGATTCTGGTTTGCTTGGCCACACATGCGGGTGCTATGACCGCTTTTGCGTGCCCGACAAACCGGGTCTTTTTCTGAATGCCGAAATCCGGTCCCGGATCCGAAGGCGTATAGGTAGGAGTATGAGCATGGGCAGATATGAGTCTGAGATATTGGCATGGGGCATGGGGGCAAGGGTCATGGGCATGACGCATATGCATGCGCGGAATTAAGACGCATATTTTGATGCTGCGATGGTAGTATCCCTTATTCTGAGCACGATTTTTGTTTTCCTCGCAAAGAACTGATATGCTTTGACTCAAATCTTTTTTTTTTTTTTTCGAGTTCCCGGCCAGTCATGTTCTCGCCCGCGGTTCCGTGGTGACTGTGCACTGGGGGGATCAATGGAGGGATCACATGGATTGTCTTTGCGCCTTGTCCCTTCGTCAACAACTCAATATTCATTTCGCCTGGGTGTCTTCCTCTCCAATGCGCGACACCCGCACCGCCAGCTTCCGATCCAACGCTTCTTGCTCCTCTTTGGAGGGCTGCATGCCCAATGCATTTTCAACCTGGGGCGAGGTCCAAAGTCCAATGCCTGCCCAGGCCATGACGCCGATGCCGAACAGGGCCCGGGTTTTTGGGGTGAGGCCGCGGTAGGAGCTGCGAGGATGGGTGTGTCAGTTGGGGTTTTCTTCAATTGATGGTAGTGTGGACTCGGGGTTGCGATTGGGGTTGGGTAAAGGGCTGTATCACCTACCTCCAGAGAGACATTGTACAGTTGACGTATTGTGCTGGAGATGACCTGCGGGTAATGTAGTTCGTATGGAGTAACTAACTTCGAACTAGTGTCAAGGTCACGTGGCCCATTACGCCGATCAAGGGAAGTGTCCCTGGCTAACAAACTCTATACCGCGATTGTACGAGTGCGACGGGTTCGAGCGTGTATCTTTACTGTTTAATGCCAGGCCCTGCCAGGTACATGTACAACTTGAATACATGTGGTTTGATGGGGGTGTGGTGTAACTGTGGCTGATCAGTGAGGTACTGCGGTACTTTAGGCGTAGGCACTGTCCAGGTACTTTTGTGTATACTACAGGTTTGTGGGAAGGGGAGCAAGTGCAGTATAGAGGGAAAAAGTTTGGATATAATGAAAATCCCCGACTAATGTCAGTCTGCTGCGCAGCATTCATCACTGTCCACCCTATTTTGTGCTAAGAGAGGCACCTGGGCAAGAATAAATGCGAAACGGATATCAACAAGTGTCAGAATCGCAACATAAATTGAGCAAAACTAGCATAACAGAGAGGGTCTCAAGGTACAATAAAAAAGAACGCAGGAATAAGAAAGAGGTAAAACATCCGAATGAAGCTTCGAGCGCTCCTTTTATTTCTTGCCGTAAGCCTTGTTGATCTCAGCCTGGTAGTGGTTGAGGATCTTCTTGCGCTGAAGCTTCTGGGCAGCAGTCATGAAACCCTATCATATTGTTAGCCAAATCCATAGTCCAGCGGCGAAGAGCAACTTACGTTTTGAGGGGTCCACTCCTCGTCAGACAGCACAACACCGTTAATGATCTCAATGCCCTTCAGACCACCAGCGCGGCCAGCGGCCTGCAGCTGCTGGAGGATGATCTTGTTGAGCTTCTCGTTGTGGACAAGGGTCTCGAGGGAGTCACCCTCAATACCGTTCTCGCTGGCAGCCTTCTTCAATGCCGCCTCAACAGGAACGATAACGGCGATGGGCTTGTCCTGGTCCTCAGCTGCGTAAACGCAGATGTTACCAACCACAGGAGAGGAGCGGTAGACCGACTCCAGCTTCTCCAGAGCGATGTATTCACCGTTCAGGGTCTTGACCAGGTTCTTCTTGCGGTCGATGATGTTGAGATGACCGTTGCTGTCGAACTCACCAATGTCACCGGTCATGAACCAGCCGTCCTCGGTGAGAGAAGCCTTGGTCTCCTCCTCGTTGTCGTAGTAGCCCGAGGTCACAGAGCCACCGCGGATGAAGATCTCACCCTGAGGGGGCGTGTTCTTGGTCAGATACCCGGCATCGGGGAAGTCGACGAGCTTGATCTCCACGGAAGCGGGGATGTCACCCAGGGCATTGGGGTTCCAGGCCATGGGGTCATTCAGAGCACCCATGGCAGAAGTCTCGGTCAGACCGTAGCCGCTAATCATGGGGGCGACAGCCATTGAGAGGAACTTCTGGGTCTCCTTGGAGACTGGGCCACCACCGTTCATCACGATACGGAGGTTACCACCAGTTGCCTCCTTGAGCTTCTTGAAGACAACGGCGTCCAAAATGGAGGCACCAATGCCTGAGCCAGGGATACCAGTGGTCATCAGGAAGTTCTTGGCCGACATGGCGCCCCAGAACATGCCCTTGACGATGAAGTTGGCCTTGTTCAGGTTGTTCAAAACACCCTTCTTGACTGACTCCCACACGGCTGGGACACCGACCAGAATGGTGGGCTTGAACTCCTTGATATCACCCTGGCAGTTGCGCATCGAAGCATCGGATAGGGTGCGAGGGTTACCGTAACCCATGGTACCACCCCAGAAGAGGCAAAGGTTCTCGAACATGAACTCCAAAATGTGAGATTGGGGGAGGTAGGTCAGCAATGAGTCCTTGTGGTTGATGTAGGGGCCGACGATCTCGTTGACACCCGCGGCTATTGCGGAAGATTAGCATACTTTTACTCCGGCCCTGGATGCGCATTTTAAGCTTACTGGCAGCAATCACGTTGGCGTGAGTCAGGGGAACACCCTTAGGTGGGCCTGTAGATCCCGAGGTGTACATGATGCAGCAGAGGTCCTCTGGCTTGGGAGGAACAGGCTCCACATTGTTCTCTTCGCCCTGTTTGCGAAGATCCTCAATGCTCAACACATTGAGGTGGATGAATTCGCTGTGCAGCTGATCAAGCAGCTTCTGGTCCACCTCGTTGTCGGTGTTGTAAATAATGTGCTTGATTGAGGGCACGCTCCGGAGGATGTTGATGAGCGACTTGAGCAGGCTAGGGTCGAGGAAGATAGCAGTGCTACCGGTTTGAACGAGAGAGTGCTTCAGACCCTCTTCTCCGAGGGTATCGTACGCGGTCACGATGGTCACGGACTGGGAGGCAGCACCTAGGGCCGGTCAGTAAATCGGGTTTCGGGAGGCGCATCGAGCGAGGAATTGGAATGAACGAACCGTGTGACATCGCCAGCCAGTGTGCGCTATCAGATACAGTTGAGTCAGCTCTTTGTTTTCCGAGTCATCTAGGGCGCGCGTGTGTTTCTTACCTTGTTGCGCCGTACAAGTGAATTCGGCTGTCCTTTTCCAAACCAAGCTTGCGGAGACCGCAGCCAAGCTCCAGACAGAGCTTCTCATACTCGAGGAAGCTCTTGTATGTATAGCCGCTCATCTCAAAGTAGGTCCACTGCTTGTCAACCTCCTTCTCCACGCCATCCACGATCTTCTTCACCTTCTTGTTCTCGACATGGGTCTTGATCAAGCGACGGCTACCGACCGCTTTGGAGTTCCCGAAGACACGGGCGGAGCGGCGGAAGTTCTCGTAGGTGGTTGTGACATCCTCTGAGGGGCGCAGGATAAGACCGTCCTTGGCCGCGGGGTGCCGACGGGGGATGGTCTCTCCCTCGACGGGTTCATAGCCGGGGGCCTCGACAGAGAAAGGCCCCTTCTTGACCATGCGCGGTTGCATGTGGAGTTCGCGCTTCGACATGATGGGATCGGTCTCTCAGTACGGAGTAGACGGGAGGTGGATCGACAGGAAAGGTCGAAGAAAAGTTGCTCTGCTTTTTAAGAGACGGCTAGTTAGTGCCAACGGCCAAAGCGCTAAAGCTGCACGAGGCAAGGGGTAAAGATTTTGAAGCTTACCAGTCAATTCAGAACTCAGCACGGAGGAAAGAGAAAGAGGGAAACGGTGCCTGAGCTTCGAGGTCGGAGATATGTGGCTGGGCCGGCAGATGACGCAGGGAACCTTGGAAACTGAACACGATCGCTTTTCTGTCTTCACTTTGCTCGAGTATCCCTGTCTTTTTGGGTTTTTTTTTTCTTTCTACTTTTCTCATATTTTACTTTGCATAACCGCGGCTTAATTTCCAGGCCTGTGCATAATTTATCTAGTGTCTCTGTAGTGTAGAGTGGCTGTTACGGAGTACACCTTTACGGTCTTTGCGTTTATCCGATCAGTTCCTGTTTCTCCATCTTTCTCTCCTGTTGGGAAACCCAACGTAATCCAATCTTTCTTTGCTTTTAACTGGTAGAAACTACACAAACTTTCTCCTGCGTTTACGAGTTTAGTCCCCGTGATCCCCGTAGATCTGAAATTTCGTAACTAACGCAATTAGTATGAACCATTTTCCCGACTTGCTCGCCAACATTGGCGAGGAGGTGTTGGATGTCGAAGAGGGTACGCCAACAATACCAAGGATCTAAATACGAACTCACACACCTATAGAAGCATTCCTTCTCTTCGCCCAGGATGTCCCAAGTAATAATCTGGGCATGATCGATCCTCGTGCCCCGTCTGTGGAGATCTCTATCAATGACAAGGAATACACCATCCATCAATCACCCTCATTGCTCTCCTCGCATCGAGCGGGAGGAACCACAGGTGCCGGTGCGTATATGAAGATCTGCGTGATTTGCTCTCTCGCATCTCGCATCTCCCCCAAGCACGGACTTCCGCCCCGCAAACTGTACTTCCGAACTGCAACGTGCTATAGCTCTGCCTCGGCTAATGTCTGCCCTTTCATTTGTGTCTGGACTTCGCCTTTGTCCTTTGTCCACACCTGTCTCACTTTCTCTTGGCTACTCCGGATTCCCGGTGCTCGACCCGTCCTCATCCACAATCCACAATCCACAGCCTCGAGTCTATATTGTATATTGATTAAATCACTAACCAACCCCCAGTCCTATGGAAAATCACCCCCCTCTTCGCAGAATGGATCACCAGTCCCAAAAATCCCCTCTGGACACACGATATCCTCAACCGCTCCTCAACTGTCACCGAGCTAGGCACCGGTATCTCAGCGCTGGTCGCTCTCACCCTCGCCCCGGCGGTACACCACTACATCGCAACTGACCAAGAATACGTGCAAAAACTCTTCCGCACGAATCTCGACGCCAACAGCTCCACTTCTACTTCCCCCGCAACCTCTAACTCTAAGAAATCTAAAAGTAAAGGCTCAAAAGCCAAGCCCAAGCCCGCCCCCGTGACTAACATCTCTTTCACAACGCTCGATTGGGAGACTGATCAAGCTGGCTTGTTGAAAGAAGAGTGCATGGATTCAATCGATGAAGACAAGGGCTTTGATCTCATTCTCTCGTGTGATTGTATTTATAACGAGGCGCTGGTTGCGCCGTTCGTGCGCACCTGCGCGGAGATTTGTCGACTCAGACCGACGTATCCTGAGGGTACGGACTCGCGTAAACCGACGGTTTGTATCATTGCGCAGCAGCAAAGATCGCCGGATGTGTTTGAGACGTGGCTGAGGGAGACAATGCGAGACTTCCGAGTTTGGAGGCTCAGTGATGAGGTGCTTGGGGATGGATTGAGGAGTGGGTCGGGGTATTTGGTACATTTCCTTTTGGTCAAATGAATACTGGTTGAAGGTGTATATTGAGAAAAGTTCTATACGAAAGGCCCCGGGGCATTGCCCAGGTGTGTCATCTGCTGCAAGATGTTCCAAGGTTACGAAGATGCAGAATAAGATATCATAAATAAAGTCGAAACCACCTAGACACCCTGGAACTGGTGTGGCAAATTTTGATATAGACTCGACCACTATGCAATAAGCTATAAACAATGCTTGAATATGTGAGAACCAAAACACGACATCGAGCCGCATAGAAACGACACCAAGACCACCCAGATACAACAGGGTATTAAGAAGATAAATCAAGCACACGCAGCATGCTAGAACAGAAAATAAAATAGTAACATGATGCAATTGATTATCATATCTTGGACGCTGCCGCGCCCAAGACAGAATTATATATGTAAATAGCGAAGCGGAGATGGCAATAAACATTACTCCGCACGCTCATTAGGCTCAGCGTTTTCTTTTTCCGCTGCAGCGGGCGAGTACTCGTACTTGCGCTTAGAGGGCACCGAAGACTCCGGCGAAGCACTCTGCACATCTGTAGGAGGTAGCGCGGAGAGTGCCTCGCGCTCAGTATCCGGGGTTCGATCAATGATCGACATGATAGATTGTTTAGTTGAGCCCAGTGTTGGACCGGGGCCGTTGATGAGTTTGGGAGGTGTGGATTCGGTAGGTGTTCCCTCAGCGTCAGGCATGAAACGGTCCATGGCTTCAGTCTTGACGTTGTATTCGGGCTCGGGCTCTGAGTCGGAGTCCATTTCATCGTCGTGTTGGTCTGCGTCGAGGTCCAGGGGATTGGAGCCCATGGGGCTTCCTTCTGTTGAGCCGCGGTGGTTCATGACTGGGGGAGAGGGGCGTTGGGGTCGAAGACTACGCCGCAGACTTCTAGGGCGCGGGATTGGCTGCCCAGAGTGCGGTCCTTGTGTTTCTTGGTGAGGTGGCACATGAAGCCGTGGAGGGTAACGAAGTCGGATTTGCCGCATCCTTGGATGGGACATGTTAGATATACCAAACTTCCGTCGGAGGGTCTTTTCCATAATGCCCGTCCGGAGGGATCGTGTGCTGCGGGGCGGCCGTGGCGCTCGCCCCATGCTTCTACGTTTTTGATGGTGTATTTTTGCTTCCGGCGGATGGAGCCGTTATGTAATGAGTCATGAGAGACGATTTGGTGAGATGGCGGGGGTGGTGGGGGAGCTTGGTGATGAGGTTGAGCGTGCATGTGTGGTGGTGGCATGGGAGGTGCCTGAGATGAAGGTGGAAGAGGTGCCTGGCGGGGTTCTGGGGGGCTTTGCTGTTTGAAGAATGCCAGTGTTGTGGCAGCACTGGTCTCTGATAGTCGGCGTGGAGGAGTTGGGCGTAGAGGCGGCGAATCCGCCGCGGCGTTGAGCCCCAGACCCATAGACTCGCGTTTCAGCTTCTTCCGTTGCCTCCGAAGATCCTGGGTAGTTTATTAGCATTTGGGGTGGTTTCTTTCTATAGAGATGTATAATCCCGGTCTTACCTCTTCCTCGGCCTCGGCCCGCTCGGTCATAGCTCGGAATTCCTCGTCCTCATGCTTGCGCATTGCCAAAATGCGGCTCCGGGTTGCATTTCGGGCCATTTCCTCATGCTCTAAATGCCGGAGACGAGCTTCGATGTGTTCGAGGGTAGCTGGACTGTGCACGGGGGGACTGGGGGATGATGCTCATGCATTGGCGCAAAATGACGATAGTGGTGATTCTGCATCATCTCTGGCGGCGGCATATGCGGCGGCGGATTTGGGTTCATGGCAATGGGATGGTAGCGAGGAAGGTTGACGAGATGGCCGGGTATCCCACTATCTGGGACAGCATGCACCGGCGGCGCAGTGGTCATGTTGAGATAGATAGGATGCAGAAAAGGGTGTGAAGAGAAGAAGAATCAGAAGAAGTAAGAAATAAGAAAAGAAAAATAGGATGAGACAAGGATCGAAAGGGACCCATCTGCGATCTATGGGTCGACGATAGGCAGGCTAACTGTGTTGGAGTGTAGACATCAATTTTAGAGTAGACAGTACTTTTTTTAATAATTAATTTAAGGATTCTACTGGATGTGTGTCCAGCTACTCCGTACAGGATTTACCCTTACAATAGAAAAATAGAAATATTGGGAATAATCCCAAAGAGAATAAATGCCACTAGCGCGACCCTGCACCCCCGTTATGAGAATTTCCCGTAACGGCGTAAGGGGATCAGGGGAGACAAAATGTGATGGATCGTGTTACAAGTGCAGATTTAATCTATGAGGAACTTTACAGTCGAGAATGTACGGAGTACGTACGTAGAGAATAATCTACTTAGTCCTAATAAAAAAAAGCCAACTAAATAAGTACAATTTCCAAGTATAAAGAAAAATAGTCGGAGACTAATGTTTTTTAATTTCCTGATCCAAAACCAGTTTGTGACAACAACAACGCATCCATGGAATTGTCTCGACGCTAGCAAGTAATCAAATCAGAACAGTCGCTCCCGTTTGATTTCATTTCCCTTCAAAACGGGGCTTAATCTACGGAGCCAATGATCGTCATCCCTAAAAAAGTCACTTGACATCCTTCAGGGGCATGACAAGTCTAAAATTTCTGTTGATTTTTATGTTCCAGAGGACTCCATACTTTCTCCCTATACTCTGTATTCTGTATTGTATATTATGTACTCCGAATATAACATTCCAAGGTTGTCATGGTCAATCCAATTCCATGAAGTCTAAAGAAGAAAATAAAAACTCCCCAAAGTAAGCTAAAAGGGATAGTCGCAACTCAGAGCCTCGATGGAATCTGGTGAGAAGCTAATCAATTCCGGGGCTCGGTGGCCAATAACAAGCAACAGATCTACCCATTACACGCCAAGTCTTCAACGTTAGGTAACTGGTATAGAACTTGTTCCTGGGAGGTTCCATGGTACGAGCGTAGAAGCGGGAAGAATCTTAACACTTAACTTCTATGATGTACTGGACTATCCACTTTATGTTCGACGCCTCACAATTGCTCTTCTATATTGTACTCTGTATACCGTACATTATGCACAATACTATACGGAGTACTTCGTGCTCCGTCCTCTCATTATTCACTACAAAATTCATACTTCGTACGGAATACGAAATATCCAAGACTTGAGCTGAAACTCCAAATTACCTAATCGGCAATAACCTTGGAATCTGAACAATGAGAACAGGATTGACATATTTAGTGCGAACTGTCGCGAAAACTACGGGTCCGATTTTTTTTTTTTTTTCCAGCTTGACTATAATATCCAACGCCAGGGCTGACCCGGAACTCGACAGGGCAAAAAGGGAAAAAGAGCGACAGTGGGGAAATAGAAAACAATCATACGCACTAGGGGCGCGCTAAAGCAGATGGTCTCACACAGCGAGTGATCGACGAATGGGCGAGGGGGGCTACCAATGTGGGCGTTGGAAAAAAATTTATTCTTTTCATATCCGCGGCCATGGATTGAAGCTTCCCTTGATATCTTGCCAAGTGCCGTCTTGAACATTTCTTGTCGGATATCGATCTACATTCGGCAAGCCGGGGGTGAACTCCAAGCACAGCGAACAAGGCACAAACACATCCACTGACGCGCTCTGACTCGTACTTGTACTTGTACTCCGTACTTTACTCCGTAGTCCGGACTCGTACTAGACTGACAATGTAGCTACTCCGTACTCCGTACTCCGTATTACTCACGTCATTGCAGAAGACCCACCCTTTCTAGAGCCCGACTGGTGTGTACAACGATGATTCGCTCCTTGAGCGCGCCGCCACAGGGAAGTCTGCACGACTCTTCCCTTTGGCATTGTCTTCGAGGCCCAGATTGTCCTGATAACGAGCGCTCTCAAAGAACTACGTGTAAACCTTTGAAATTGCAGGGCTATGTATATCGTGTTTCCTGCCTAGGAACGCAACCCTCGTTCCACCAGAATTATCAGACCTTCAAAACAAGGGTCAAACAATAGCCGACCCTGCTACCAACTAGTCGTCATGGCTGACTCCGTATATCCCCCTCAATCCACACTCCCATTATCCTTGATGTCTCCTGGACGTATATCCCGCTAGTGGAGTTAATCAGACCGGGGGGATTATCTGTCCTGTCGCGGGTAATGCAAGGATATGGAGACTATAGAGACGATTGGTCCAACTCAACGAAGTACAATTCAATCCCTGTACGAGGGCCGCAGAGTGGAGGCGCAGACGCCAGAATTAGATTAATGGATTGGTGCGATCCAACGCCTTCTTGACAGTTTCAGGTGGTTGGCTCAACGTGTGCTCTGGCGGAACTAAGGACTCAAGAACCCGTGCGCCAGCTGAGCTTCTGGCCTATCATCATTGTCGAATCTCTAGATATTGGGTTTGGCGCTTTTTGGATCCCTGGTCAGTCCAAGAATAGACTTCGTCATTTAGATGGACGGTAAATAACCCACGGCCAATGATGCCCAGGTGGTGCCGCTCAATATGCGGAGTATCGCATAGTTTTCCAAGATTGACGGTAAGACTATTGCTTCGCGTTGCTTATTATTCCCATCCCTTGATATTGTACTGTAGCTGCAGCGCCCCATGGACGGAAACGGCTTACTCCGTACAGAGTGCAGAGTACGAAAGCATATCATATTGCAGTCAGATTCGACCAATTCACTATATTCGCCTGTGGGCTGAGTGGTCTGGAGTGGTCTGTATCAAGTAGAGTTGAGAGCTGATAGGTCGGAAGTCACTCCAGTTGCATCCGTGGAGGCAGACGCACCAACTCCCCGTGCCACCAGCATACAGTAGCGTACATGTCCACATGCTTTTCACATTAATTAAACAACGCTACAGATCGAGATCCAGATCTTGCAAGGTTTACAACTACAATGGAAAGAAAATGATTGCCAAATTGTCAAGCGAGAGGAGAATTGTCCGATTTCTATTGTCACATGCCCCATAAGCCAAAGCCCACCACAACCTTTTTTTTGTGGCCCTTGCCGTAATGTCATTAAATACAATTGCAGACAATCCCGACAGGACCCTAGACTGGCAATTCCAATCCAAGGCCCGAGGGCAAAAAAAGAAGAGAATAGATCATACAGAGTGGTAGTGAAACACCGATACACCAGAAAACGAGATGGGGTAAAAAAACGGGCCTTAAAAAGTATGTGTACAGGTATGCGAATAAAAAAAAAAGAAGATGCGAAGAGGGAGGTTCTAACACAAGGGTGGAAGCATCATAAGGAAATTGTAGAAAATACAGGAACCACGTATGGTTCAAGCGGGGGAGCTAGGAAGAGAAGAAAGCAGCTTACTGCTTGTTCTCACCCTGCTGCTCACCACCCTGCTGCTGCTGTTGCTGCTGCTCGTTGTTGGCCTTGTGCATCTTGTCGAAGAGAGACAAGCTGGCGGTCTGGAGCTCGTCGGTCTTCTCCTTGAGCTCCTCAGCAGTGGTGGTGGTCTCGCCAGACTGGCTCTTGACGACGAACTCACGGAGAGTAGCGATCTTCTCCTTGATGGTCTCAGCCTCGGCCTTGTCGAGACGGTCCTCGAAGTCCTTGAGTGCCTTCTCGGTATCGTTCAGGACGCTGTCGGCGCGGTTGGCGGCCTCAATGGCGGCCTTGCGCTCCTTGTCAGCCTCGGCGTACTTCTCGGAGTCCTCAACCATGGACTGGATCTCGGCATCGGAGAGACCGGAACCGGAAGCAATGGTGATGGACTGGTCCTTGTTGGTGGACTTGTCCTTGGCGTTGACGTGGACAATGGAGTCAGCGTCAATGTCGAAGGTGACCTCGATCTGGGGAACACCACGGTGGGCAGGGGGAATGCCGACGAGCTGGAAGTTGCCGAGCATCTTGTTGTCACGGACAAGCTCACGCTCACCCTGGTAGACCTTGATCTCGACAGCGGTCTGCATGTCGGCAGCGGTGGAGAAGGTCTGGGACTTCTTGGTGGGGATGGTGGTGTTACGGTTGATCAGACGGGTGAAGACACCGCCGAGGGTCTCGATACCGAGAGAGAGGGGGGTAACATCGAGCAGAAGGACGTCAGTGACCTCACCAGCGAGGACGGCACCCTGGATGGCGGCACCAATGGCGACAGCCTCGTCGGGGTTGACGGACTTGGAGGGCTCACGGCCGAAGATAGACTTGACGGACTCGGTGACCTTGGGCATACGGGTCATACCACCGACAAGGATGATGTCCTGGATGTCACCAGACTGGAGGTTGGCATCCTTCAGGGCCTTGCGGACGGGCTCAGTGGTGCGGGAGATAAGGGGGTCGACGAGAGCCTCGAGCTGAGCACGGGTCAGCTTGCTGGCAACGTGCATAGCACCCTGGGGACCAGCAGAGATGAAAGGCAAGCTGATCTCGGTCTGGAGGGAAGAGGACAGCTCAATCTTGGCCTTCTCAGCGGCCTCACGGACACGCTGGATGGCCATGCGGTCACCGGTCAGATCAACACCGGACTCCTTCTTGAACTCGTTGACGATGTGGCGAACAAGGTGGATATCGAAGTCCTCACCACCAAGGTGAGTGTCACCGTTGGTGGACTTGACCTCGAAGACACCCTTCTGGATCTCGAGAACGGAGATATCGAAAGTACCACCACCGAGATCGTAGACGGCGACAACACGGTCAGCCTCCTTCTCCATACCGTAGGCAAGAGCGGCGGCAGTGGGCTCGTTGACGACACGGAGGACGTTCAGGCCGGCAATCTGACCAGCATCCTTGGTGGCCTGACGCTGAGAGTCGTTGAAGTAGGCAGGAACGGTGACAACAGCGTTCTTAATGGGCTTGCTGAGGTAGGCCTCGGCGGTCTCCTTCATCTTGTTCAGGACGAAACCACCGACCTGGGAAGGAGAGTACTTCTGGCCACGGGCCTCAACCCAAGCGTCACCGTTGCTGTGCTGGACGATCTTGTAGGGGACCTCCTTGATATCACGCTGAACCTCAGCGTCGGTGTACTTGCGACCAATCAGACGCTTGGTAGCGAAGAGAGTGTTCTCGGGGTTGACAACGGCCTGACGCTTAGCGGCAATACCGACGAGACGCTCGCCATCCTGGGCGAAACCGACAACGGAGGGAGTAGTGCGAGCACCTGGATGGGAAAAACTCGTTAGTTTACCTGTTCATTCGGATAAAACCATTCCATGGGCAGAAATCTCCTGAATCGAAGCTCCGAAGCTCTGGCCACATGTCGGGTTGAAAATTTTTCGTCACCTACCTTCGGCGTTCTCAATGATCTTAGGGGTCTTGCCCTCCATAACAGCGACAGCAGAGTTGGTGGTACCTGCGATGAAAGCATGTTAGAGGCACGTTGATGGAAAAATCGATGACGATGGGTACTCACCAAGATCAATACCAATGACCTGGCCCTTCACCTTCTCCTCACCACCTTCCGTGGAGTTCCATCGGCGGAATGTGGAAGGAAGTCTGGAGGCAGGAGTGCGAGCGAAAGCAGCGCGCGGGAGCTATTCGGTGGTCAGTCATGCGACACGTAGTTCTGTTCGGGGGGATACATACAGCGCGTGTGATGGTGCGAGGAAGCATTGTGAGGGAATTAATTAATACAATAAAGAGAAAAACGGATACTCCAACGACTCAATCGCAGAGTGATAAGAAAAAGGCAAGAAGGATGAAGAGTTGGAGATGGAGAAAGGGAACAGAATGAAGAAGAAGGGGGATAGAAATTGCACCGGCGAGCTTCGGCCCGACGGTGATTGGCTAGATTACGTGATTCTACCAACTTCGATGGGGCGCTTCCCTGGTAACCGAGCTGACCGCCTCGGGTGCAGTGCCGGTATACATGGACTCTCTCCATGGTAGCTTCTACAAGCTTGTAGACACTCTCAATGGATTCTCAATGGGGTTCAGGTGTATTAGATTAGATTCATGGATATACCAGCCAGCAGCTGTGGTCTTGACTGCATCGCTGGGAAACTTCAACGGACTATTAACCCCGGAAGAAGCTCCCGACCGTTGCTGGGGCATACTCCGATGAACAGCACCTAACCTTGGAAGTAAAAACTGAACTTGTACATTGTAGATCCGTCATGCAGAAGTATTGCCTACTGCAGAGCATATTGATTATGTTCTCCGTACTCCGTAGTGGTGATACACATTGGGTGATCCAATCACCTGGGCATACTTCTACATAATATGTTGTGTGACTGGTCGGCAAACTCCCCTAGGAGGCCATCCATGGATTTCCCCTAAGCTGAGACCTCGGGAGACGATTGGTAACGAAACCGACTTTGGTTTATATCTTGATGAAAATTCTCAGGTTGGATGAGGGGGTAAAAGAAGGAAGAGGGGATCAATATCTTGTTTGGTTTTTGGATGAACTGTGGTGGCAACATGTCGATATATTGTGCCGATATATTGATGTCGGGAGCAATAAACCAAGTGATACTACGCCGTATTGCATTTTGCAAGGGTTTCCAACATCTCCAGGGCCATCATAAAGCATCCAATCCAAAATACCACGGCACCGAGATTGATACCAACTTTGAAATGTCCTATCTAACGTGGAGTATGCCGTACACGCATAGATAATTCTATCTACCTCCCGGAAAACACCCCTGGCTGCTACGAGTGTCACAATCATTTCCATCTGAATGAGGAAGAAAAGGTTAACTCCAAGGTTTATATGAAATATGTATTCATGGATGTTTGTTCCGTACTGTCTACCCCAAAATAACGCCGTGGCCACATAGTATGATGCACACCACCCTCCTAGCCTCACTTTCAGGTCGAGAACCGTATGATTCAGTACCAGCCAAACAATACCCCGCTATAAGGATGCAGATTGCATGTATACAAGCCTGTAGTCGATCATTCCCCCCAAATTAAGAACAATATCAATATCGCTACCAAATAATCACGCCGGTTCCGGAACTCAACCGCATTCGTTGGAACTCACCCCGGCTTTTTCAAGTCTTACGTCATCCGTTTTTCAAAGTGAAGCGCTGTTCAACTTTGAACTGCAGAGCACAGACTTATCCTTCAAAAGAAATTATTATCGAGAAAAAGAACTGTGCATCGCTGCCTGGCACTGTGGACGCCAATCAACGGGGGGGTGGTTTCTCTCGTCCTTTGAACTTCCCCGCTCGAACAATGTCACCTCTGGCTTAGTTCTCCATCATGACCTCGGATTCGACTCTGCAGTCAGTTATGTGCATCCAACTGTCCGATGAGTTCTAACGCTGTCTCAGATATCGCCCGACCGAAGCTCTCATCCTCCCCACCAAGCGACGTTTCTTTCCGTTCAAGATCCCCAATTTGTCCGTTGATCCCTCTTATCTCTCGCGCGCAACCTAACCTATGAGAGCTATGTTTTAGCCACGTCCAGCTTCGTAACTACATCAGCACTGCTGATCCCGATCGCATCTATGTCGTCGTCGAGAGGATCGTATACGCTATCCACCTGTCCGCGCAAACACGTGCCAGTATAGCGTTGATCCCGTTCGAGCCGCGCTGTCTTGCTGCTGGACATGGGTGGATCGCGGTTGGGGGCCCGGAGAATGGGGAATGCGCTTTCATTCGAATCGGGGACCGAGGTATGCAGACACATGGAGATGCGCCCTCATTCCAGACCGATGTGGACAGTGCGCTACCGCTGGACCTCGACCCACTGTCAAGAGTGACATCACCCGACTCGAATGGTGACTCCTTACCGACTCGCTACCGGACCAGTAGGCTACTTCCCGAAGTCGAGTTGCATAGATTTGGGGGAGTATCGTCAATTCTGTGACTATCCATCGACTCTATGGTGGCGGCGAAGGCTTGGCGGATGAAGATGTCGCGGTGCTGAGGTTGGTGTTATTCGCCTGATGTATGTACACCGATCGAACTAACCACTGGAAATAGTAACAATGACCGGACAGTCACTGTATACTCACTCACAAGGGCGAAAGTCCTCAAGGCACTTCATCACCCGAACTGCATGAATTATGCGACAATTTCTCCAGACGCCAAACTGCTCACAGCGGTAGGAGACGAGAACCGAGCCTATTTCTATGAGATCACCCGAGATTTTGAATCTATCGGTACGACTGAAGCTGGGGAGAAACTCACAGGATGGGAGTGGGAGCTGATCAATTGTGTGGAGATGGACATTGGTTTGCGCGCTGATGATGCGTGCTGTTTCACCGTCGCCTTTTCACCTTCCACTCGATTATGCGCCATAGGCTCACAGTCTGGAATCATCACGATCATTAATGTTGCATCCGTTTACAAAACCAATAACGAAACAGACACCTCGATTCTCTGTCAGTTTCCGGCATCAAGATCCTATGCCGAAGGCGGAGCCGTGCGCTGTATGGCCTTTTCACCCGAACCATGGGACCTCCTGGTATGGTTGGAGGGCCGTGGAAGAGCTGGAATTGCCGATGTTCGCCAGAATTTCCTGCGTCGACAGATCATTCGGCTGGATTCCAACGACCAGCCAATGGAGGAGGTATACACAGACTTTGCGACAGAAAGTCCCGAACGACAACGACAGGACGAAGGCCTTCCAGCGGGCGCAGTGCAAGCGAGAGTTGACGATGGTTCTTCGCCCAGACGAAACGGGGAGGATACAGACCGTTCTTCGATGCGAGAATCTTTGATTCACGAGCTCAGCGAGAGAGAACGGCTGATCATGGAATTCTTGAACACGGCACGTTGGACACCGAGGTTGGAGGAGGGAACTACTGAGCGGCCAGAACGATCAATTAGGGCAAATATTCACACTGACCCAGTGGGCCGTCCCCGAAATCACGGTTCCACAAATGGTGCCACTCGTACTCACCGTCCTACTTCACCCCTGCATCACTACGATTCTTCAGATGTTTCCCGGGATCTTCATCCGGGCCGTGCTGTATCCAATCCAAGACGCCAGGGCTCGGCGATCTTGTCTCAAGGAAATTCATCTGAAGGAACATCTTCTCACCATGATCACCCATCGAGTATCACTCTCAGCTTTTCGACTTCACCCTCGGAGCATCTCAATCTTACATCAGAAATTATAGCTCGGGCCGGTGCTGGTCTCGATGCGCCCGACGATGACAGTCGACATGCAACGGACCCAAATAACACAAGTCTTGGTGTCAACGGCGCACACCGGCGCTCCCTGCGAGCAGCAGAGCTTTCTCGCAGAGTTGAGCGCCTGTCGTCAGGAGCAGAGAGAGGATATGATACTTCACGTCTGACTACGTATGAGATACGCGCAAATGTGGCCGCTGAGCGGCTCCGGCGCCAGCGTCAGATTGCCAACGAGGTACACAATCGCTCCTTTGAGAGGGAACAACGGCATCGCCAACAATTACTTGGTTTTGAACAGACACACTCTCCTCGTTGGATCAGGAATATAATCAATGATCTCCCCGATCGAGGTTCCATGCATGGCTCCGGTGCCGAAGAACCAGACTCTACTGCTGGAGTGGGCTGGGGCGCTGATGGCCGAACATTGTGAGTACGATTGCATAAATTCCGCGGGTCTAGGCTTACAACTATGTACAGGTACATTGCCACTCTGGAGGGAATCTTTGAGTTCCAGCTTAATATTCACGACCGGAAGACTTTCCCCGTTTTCTCTTGTCGATAAGTCGCGATATTTCTGGCCTCCTAGTTTCTTATTATTTTCTTTTTCAGGCATAACCTTCGACTGATCTTCTTATGTCTCCATCCTCCCTGGGAATCCAGCAGTTGCTACAACCTTGAAATCTTATCTGAACCCATTTTGGACCCACATTGCAACTTGCAGCCTCATTCTTGAATAGTATGAGTTCCAATTGGGGAGACGAAAAGTGGCCTTTATTATTAACTTCCGTACCCTTGAATCCCATGCTAACTAACACCTTCACGACGTTCTGCCCAATATGGAAGTCTTTTCTGCGTCGCATCTCTATTTTTGGCGCAAAGCGGCGTACGGAGTACGTCTTTTGGTGTTTGATATCTCATACTTGTCACATCCATTCCGCGAACTTTATTTCTTGTATGACTGATTTGAAGTACAAAAGTGTGTTCGAATAACCTACTTTACTTTACTAATGTGATTTTGTATGGATTTCCTCTTATAGACAGTGTATGAACCCTGGGCCTAAATTTTAAACCATCAAATGGTAGATGTTGCCAACCTGAAGACTTTTTAGCCAGGGATTCAGTATTTCGAGCGAATAGATACAGAACAAACACAAATCTAGGAACGAGAAGTAAAATGCGTTGCATACTGCCCAAATAGGAGGCGGTGAATTGAGCTGCGGGAGCTCGACGTCATAAATCTTGCCGTAAGATACCGCCCGTTCCATTTGTGTGTTGTGCTGGGCAGACCTCTTCTCTTACCATTAGCTCGTTCGCACCTTGCCATTATCAAAATGGCGGATTCCCTAGGATCGACGATGGAAAAGCTAAGCCTGAGCTCTCGCGATATTGACCCTGCGGCTTATAAAGCCCGGTTGGAAGGCGAGGCCAATGGCTCTATCGCCAGCCAACCTCGCAAAAGAGCTCGACAAAACGAACAGGAGCTCCTCGACGAGCTGGAAAAGGAATTCCTTGAACCATCAGAGCAATTCGGTACTAGATGGCTAAATGCATTGCAAAAGTGAGTATTCAGAATTTCTTTATCACGGTGGGGTAAACTGACAGTTCTTGCAGGCGATGGGAAGTTTCCACAGACCATACAGACCTCTTTGAAATTGCGCCGACCGGCTCACGAACTGTCACTCGATTCACACGAGAAGGATTAGAAGGACGTGTCACGGGCTACCATGAAGTCACGGTCCCAGCTGCAAGCGCAACCGCTAAGAATTCGACTTCTCTGCTGCGACGTCCTGCTGGCCGCGCCGACTTTGTCAGAGGAGCGGCAGGATTCTTCCCATTTGCGCCAGGAGGTCTGGAAGGCGTTGATGCCATCGCAGCTCTGGAATCAGAAGAACAGGACACAGAGCAAGCACGCAATGACAAGCAACCAGGACTCGACCGTATCATCAACTTTGGAACTGAAGGAGGCCTCTTGACGATACCTCCTGGCTTCGATCGCGGCCTCAATTTCGACCAGATCAAGCAAAAGGACACCCAGGGTGACCAGGAAGTCGAGACAGCCCTCCAGGAGGAAAGTGACCTGAAGGCAGCCCAATCAGAGGAAAAGCCGGATCAAGAGTCAGCTGCAAAGGCTGCCGTGGAAGTTGGTGACAGCGACGATGAGGATGAAAAAGATATTGAGGATATTGACGCCTTACTCCCCGTTGAATTCCCAGCGCTTGAACCACGCAGCCAGTTGCTCGCAGGCGTTCAGAAGCACAAAGGCAGAGAATGGGCCCATGTCGTTGATGTCAATAAGGAAGTTACCAATTTCCATGAGTTGGTACCGGACATGGCCCGAGAATGGCCCTTCGAGCTGGATACCTTCCAGAAGGAGGCCGTGTACCATCTTGAAAGTGGTGATTCAGTCTTTGTTGCCGCTCACACATCAGCAGGTAAAACTGTGGTGGCCGAGTATGCTATTGCCTTGGCTTCCAAGCACATGACAAAGGCAATTTACACGTCTCCTATCAAGGCGCTGAGCAACCAGAAATACCGTGATTTCAGAACCGAATTCGACGATGTTGGTATCTTGACTGGTGATGTCCAGATCAATCCGGAAGCCAGCTGCCTTATTATGACCACTGAGATTCTGCGGAGTATGCTGTACCGAGGCGCCGATCTCATCCGAGATGTTGAGTTCGTCATTTTCGACGAAGTCCATTATGTCAACGATCTCGAAAGAGGAGTCGTTTGGGAGGAAGTCATCATCATGCTTCCTGAACATGTGACACTGATTCTGCTCTCGGCAACGGTCCCCAACACCCAAGAATTTGCCTCGTGGGTCGGCCGCACAAAGAAGAAGGACATATATGTGATTTCCACTCATAAGCGACCTGTGCCTCTAGAACACTATCTTTGGGCTGGAAAGAGCAAGCACAAGATCGTCGACTCCAATAAACGATTCCTCGAAAGCGGTTGGAAGGAGGCAAACGATATTTTGTCCGGCAAAGATAAAGCAATGGCTAAGAAGGAGGCTGAGGCCCAGGCACAATCTTCACAGGCTAGAGGAGGAGGCCCTCAAGCTCAAGGTCGTGGCCGTGGGGGTGGTCGCGGAGGCCCACAGCGTGGAGGACCCCCTCAGCGAGGTCGAGGAGGTGGACCCAATCGCGGAGGACCCAATCGCGGAGGGCAGTACGCCAATCGGGGAACCGGTAACATCGCTCGCACGGGTCGTGGTGGTGGTAGAACAAGTGCTGCCCAGGACAAAAACACTTGGGTGCATCTTGTCTCGCATCTTCGCCAAGAAGACTTGTTGCCCGGATGTGTGTTCGTCTTCTCCAAGAAGCGATGTGAAGAAAACGCAGATTCCTTATCTAACCAGGACTTCAACAATGCCACCGAGAAGAGCTTGACACACATGTTCATTGAGAAATCCCTCACTCGACTGAAGCCTGAAGACCGCACTCTTCCGCAGATCTTGCGCCTCCGTGAGCTTCTGAGCAGAGGTATTGCCGTGCACCATGGTGGTCTTTTGCCCATTATGAAGGAGGTCGTGGAAATCTTGTTTGCTAGGTCCCTGGTCAAAGTTCTTTTCGCCACGGAGACCTTCGCCATGGGTCTGAATCTTCCCACTCGAACAGTTGTGTTTTCTGGATTCCGGAAGCACGACGGAAAGGGCTTCCGTGACCTTCTTCCCGGAGAGTACACGCAAATGGCTGGTCGTGCAGGCCGCAGAGGTCTCGACTCGGTCGGATATGTGATCGTATCAAACAGTGGAAAAGACGAGGCACCGCCTGCTGGGGCGTTGAAACAGATGATCCTGGGTGACCCAACCAAGTTGAGGTCTCAGTTCCGACTCACGTACAACATGATCCTGAACTTGCTGCGTGTAGAAGCCCTCAAGATCGAAGAAATGATTAAGCGGAGTTTCAGCGAGAACGCTACACAAGCTCTCTTGCCAGAGCATGAGATGAAGGTTCAGTTGTCCGAAGCCAGTCTGGACAAAATCAAACGTGAGCCATGTGAAATCTGCGATGTGGATTTGCAGGCTTGCCTCGAAGCTGCGATGGAGTACCGCAAACTCACCACCGAGTTCCATACTCAGCTTCTGTCATCCCCCATTGGCAAGCGCCTGTTCACGATGAAGAGGCTGGTTGTTTTCCGACAGGTAAGTCAATGCAACTAGTGCCAGTTTGGTGTGTTCGTGGTCTAACATGAGATATAGGAGAATGGCCTTCGCACGGCAGGTATCATTGTTCGCGATGGAATCTCTGGCGGCATGGGTGGACTCCCCCCTTCCGTTCACATTCTAGAGATTGGTACATTGAGTGACAAGCGTCACCCAACTGATATCCTCCCCTTCCTACCCCACATGCGACCTTTGTTCCAACAGCTCCCCACCACCGCCACAGATATGAGTCTTCGCTCGGTTAAAATCCCGCTGGCCGATATCGAGTGCGTTACAGGCACACAAGTCAGATTCAACGGACCTATCTGGTACCTGAACATCAGGAAAGGTAAGATCACCAGGCTTTTTTTCCAACTTTGCCCGATAAAATCTAATCTATTACAGAATCTATCAAGTGGGCCGAGAAAGAATTGCCTCAATACACCAAGTCGTGGGTTGATCCTATCTGGGAGGAGGTGGACTGGCAGCGTCTGAAAGAACTGCAAGTCCGTGAAATCATGGAGAAAAGACAGGTCCAGGCAGACATCGTCCAGTCGGCTCACTGCTTGCAGTGCCCTAACTTTGCGAAACACGTAAGTCTACACGGTTCTGTGTACGAATATAACGCTGACATCTGACAGTTTGAAATGCAACACGACCAATGGCAAATCAAGGAGAACATCACTCAGTTGAAACAATTGATGTCCGACCAAAATCTTCAACTCCTTCCTGATTACGAGCAACGAATCCAGGTGTTGAAAGAGCTTGGATTCGTCGATGATCAATCCCGTGTTCAATTGAAGGGCAAGGTGGCATGCGAGATCCATTCCGCCGACGAATTGGTCCTGACCGAACTGGTTCTTGAAAATGTCCTTGCGGAATACGAACCAGAGGAGATCGTTGCACTTCTTTCGGCATTTGTCTTCCAAGAAAAGACTGAGAGTGTCCCCACTCTTACTCCTCGCCTCGAGAAGGGTACGAAGGAGATCATCGCCATCGCCGAGAAGGTGAACAATTTCCAGATCCAGCACCAGGTTATTCAGTCCAGTGAAGATTCCAACGACTTCGCCAGTAAGCCACGCTTTGGCCTTGCCGAAGTTGTCTACGAGTGGGCAAAGGGCATGTCTTTCAACCGCATCACAGATCTCACCGATGTTATGGAGGGTACTATTGTTCGGGTGATCAACCGCTTGGACGAGACTTGCCGCGAAGTGAAGAATGCGGCTAAACTGGTCGGCGACCCTACACTCCACCTCAAGATGCAACAGGCTCAGGATTTGATCAAGCGCGATGTCATCTTTGCAGCTTCTCTGTACATGTGAGGCTGATCATTTTACCTAAGGGTTCAAATCCCTGCATCGTGCGTTCCGAGGTCAAAGATCTCAACACCGATAGTTATGTATGAGGTAGACGAAGAAATGAATATGAATACCCAACGTTGGTAATGTCAAAATAAATATCAGTCCAGTTGAAGTAGAGTACTGTTCATATGAAAATCGGGGTTTGTGTGCTCTCTGATTAGCTGAGGGGTTCCATTTACCGCCCCGAGAAAATCGAAAAAAAGAATCTCCATCTCCCCTCTTCCACCCTCTCTCCCCTGTACAAGATCCACCCGATCTACTTGGACAGTCTCGTCCTCATTTGAATTCTTTACCACCGGCCTCATTCGTCCTTCCTAGCCGGTCCGCGCCCCCGGGGTTCCTTTGCTTGAGATTTCTTGTTTATCGTGGTGGGGGATTGTTGCGCAATGGACGTCACTGCCCTTCGAGACCGCATTCAGTCTACCTTGGACGCGAATGCGGATATTCGCCGGCAAGCAGAGCTTGATCTGAAATATGTATGTGCCAGGGTGAATGGCGGGGCAGAACGTTATACTCACATGTGGTTCCCACCTCTAGGCCGAGACTCAGCCCGGATTTATCAATGGACTTTTGGATATTCTGCAGGGCGAACAAAACAATGCCGTCCAGCTTTCAGGTAGGCCTTTGACCTTTGGTCTATTCTTGCGATCGAAGCCTCGTCCGTTGACCCCCACTCTTTCTTGATTGCAGCTGGTGTATACTTGAAGAACCGCATCACTCGCGGATGGGCCCCCGTTGAAGATAGCCCGCAACGTACCCCGATTCCCGAAGCTGAGAAGCCCGGCTTCAGAGAGAGACTTATTCCTGCTCTGGCTTCGACCCCACCCAATGTCCGCAATCAACTGGTTCCCCTCCTCCAGAAGATCCTTCAAAATGATTTCCCCGAGAAGTGGCCCGAGTTCATGGACCTCACTCTCCGCCTTCTCGGTGGCACCGATGCCAGCACAGTTTACGCCGGTCTGCAGTGCCTTTTGGCTATCTGTCGGGTGTACAGGTTCAAGGCTGGTGAAAAGAGAGAAGAATTTGACAAGATCGTGGAGGTTTCTTTCCCCCAACTGCTCAGAATCGGCTCAAACCTCGTTGATGAGGAAAGTTTGGAAGCCGCGGAGATGCTCCGAATTGTGGTGAAGGCTTTCAAGCATGCAATTTACGTTGGTTACCCTGGACCTCTTTAGTGGGAGCACCACAAATACTGACCCGTTGCGATATATAGTTTGAGCTATCTCCGGCTCTCCAGACCCACCAGGCGACTGTGGACTGGTGCACACTGTTCCTGCGCATTGTCTCCAAGACACCCCCTGCGAATGCCATGGGAGATTCGAAGGAGGAAAGAGAGATGAACCACTGGTGGAAGTGCAAGAAATGGTCATACGCCAACCTTAACCGCCTCTTCATTAGATACGGCAACCCCACTACTATCACGAACTCCTCTACCCCCGATTATAAGCCTTACGCCAAGACCTTCATCACCACATTTGCCCCCGAAATTCTTAAGGGATACCTCGCCGAGATCGAGAAGTGGGTTTCCAAGACACAATGGCTCAGCAACTCTGCGCTTTCATATACCCTGGTCTTCATGGAGGAGTGCGTCAAGCCCAAGGCGATGTGGGACCACCTGAAGCCACACATGGAGAACTTGATCGCCCATTTCGTCTTCCCGATCCTGTGCCAGTCTGACGAAGACATCGAGCTCTTTGAAGATGACCCCTCCGAATACCTCCACCGTAAGCTCAACTTCTACGAGGAAGTGTCGGCTCCCGACGTTGCTGCTACAAACTTCCTGGTTTCTCTTACCAAGAACCGCAAGAAGCAGACTTTCTCAATCCTTACTTTCGTCAACAGCGTTGTCAGCAAGTACGAAGCTGAAGCGGACGACCAGAAGCAGCCCAGGGAGAAGGAGGGTGCTTTGAGAATGATTGGCTCGCTTGCATCAGTCATTTTGGGCAAGAAGAGCCCTATCGCCGACCAGGTCGAGTACTTCTTCGTTCGTCACGTTTTCCCTGAATTCCGCAGTCCCCATGGATTCCTCCGCGCTCGTGCCTGCGATACCCTGGAGAAATTTGAGCAGCTCGACTTCAAGGACCCCAACAACCTTATGGTCATCTACCGCAACATTCTCGAGTCTATGACCGACTCTGAGCTGCCTGTGCGTGTTGAGGCCGCTCTTGCTCTGCAGCCCCTTATTCGCCACGATGTTATCCGCACATCGATGCAACAGAACATTCCCCAGATCATGCAGCAGCTTCTCAAGTTGGCCAACGAGGTTGACGTGGATGCCCTTGCCAACGTCATGGAGGACTTCGTTGAGGTCTTCTCTGCCGAGCTTACTCCCTTCGCTGTCGCTCTGAGCGAGCAACTTCGCGATACCTACATGCGTATCGTTGGTGAGCTCCTTGAGCGCAACGCCGCCAAGGGTGGTGATGAGGATGCTTACGGTGATTTCCTCGATGACAAGAGCATCACCGCCCTTGGTGTGTTGCAGACCATCGGAACTCTTATCCTTACTCTCGAGAGCACCCCCGATGTCCTCTTGCACCTTGAGACCATCTTGATGCCTGTCATCAGCATTACTCTGGAGAACAAGCTTTACGATCTCTACAATGAAGTTTTCGAAATCATCGACAGCTGCACCTTTGCATCCAAGACCATCTCTCCCTCTATGTGGCAAGCTTTCGAGCTCATTCACAAGACCTTCAAGGCCGGTGCTGAGCTGTACCTTGAGGACATGCTTCCCGCCCTTGACAACTATGTTGCATATGGCTCTGATATGCTGGTTCAAAACCCAGCTTACCTCAACGCTATGGTCGGTATGGTGCAGGACATCTTCGCCGACGATAAGGTCGGTGGCGTTGACCGCATCTGTGGCTGCAAGCTCGCTGAGACTCTGATGCTCAACCTTCGGGGCCACATCGATCAATATATCCCCATGTTCATTGAGATGGCCATGCGCGTTATTGACGCTGGTAATGTGCCTACCAAGTCCTACCGTATCCACCTGATGGAGATGGTCATCAACGCCATTTACTACAATGCTTCCCTCAGCTTGCAGGTCATGGAGGCCAAGGGCTGGACCAACAAATTCTTCAGCACTTGGTTCGCTAACATCGACAACTTCCGTCGCGTGCATGACAAGAAGCTGTCTATTGCGGCAATCAGCTCCCTTCTTACCTTGAACGCCACTGATGTTCCCGTCAGCGTCCAGCAAGGATGGCCGAGACTGTTGCAAGGTGTGACGAGACTTTTCCAGACTCTGCCTGCTGCTTTGAAACGTATGTTTACTCGAACAACCATCCAACGTTTCCATGTACTAACCAGCGAAATAGAACGTGAGGATGCTACTAAGGAATCTGACTTCACTCTCGATGACGAGGATGATGAGGATGACGAGGACAATGACTGGGATGGAGATGTGGAGTGGGATGAGAAGGAGGTTGAGGCTGCTCTCGGAGAAGAAGACGACGTCACTGATGAGAGCGCCGCTTACCTTGACTTCCTCAACCAGGAGGCTTCCAAGTTTGGTTCATTTGCTGATGACGACGACGACGAATTGGATGAGGAGAGCCTCCTGGAGACTCCCCTTGATAAGTTGGAGCCCTACGGCATGTTCAAGCACGTTCTGCTGAGTACGTAAACCCTCACTCTTTCGAAAGATCACCCGCTAACAGCACCTCCAGGCCTTCAACAAGAACAGCCCCAGCTGTACGAGAGCTTGACCAAGGTCCTCGGCCCCGATGAGCAACAGGTCATCCAGGGCGTCTTCCACGAGGCTGACGCCAAGGCCATGGTCGCCGCTGCCAACGCAGAAGCCGCCGCCGCCGCCGCAGGCATGCAGGCTAACGGCAACTAAGAGATGAGATGGAGTGAAACAACTCTTGAAAAGTCTCAATATCTGGTTTCTGTTTCTCTGTCCACCTTATCCTCACGAGACCATATGCCCATTTCATGTCTTTCCCGCCTTAGATCATGCCCCGTCTGCCTTTCGTCTCCTTCATGTCACCATTCCATTTTCCCTGTCATGCACTCGCTGATGTACTCTAAAAGTCCTCCTGTTCGGACATTTCTCTCGAGACACCCCTTTTTCCTATAATCTTCCATGCACAGATTCCCCCGACATTTTTCTCTCATGACATAGTACATCAACCGTGCTCCGAATGTTGAATCCGCCATGTCTCGCTGGGATGTAAATGCTTATTTAGACTCACTGGACGCTCTGGGATTTGCCGAGTTATGGTATTGTCCTGTCATGTCCAAAGTAAAGCCGGCACTTTTAGCGCGCTAAATGACGTCACTAAATAGCACACAACATCCTGAGGTCAAATTGAGGTGATTTGCCTATTTGCACATACATATAGGTATGACTGCTTATTAGAGAAGAGTGTGTACTTATTCCAAAGTTATTTCGCATGGTGTGAATCTGTTTCAATGTTGGGTTGTGGTGATGATGAGCAGTATCTACGTTCGTCCACTGGGAGAGAGTAGATGAGGCTCCGGGTCAAAACCTAAGAACTTCCTATCAAAATACAAGCACCACTAGTATCTTCTCTTACTCGAATTTGAAGAAAAAAACCAAAACCAATAACGGAAAGGCATAATGATCTTCCACTAACGCATGGCTTTCGGTATTTTGTGAAATCCGAACCTCATTTGAGCTTCAGCAACGGTCATTGCCAACAGGCTGCTGACCTGATGGTCCAACTTCAAACGGACTACGTATTGTTAGTACATCAGTGATTTTGGGGGTATTGAATATCAAGTTGAGTTATGCTCTGACAATGGTGTTGTTGACAGGTGGGTCTTGAACCTGGATAGCACTAAGAAGGATATCAAGATGTTGATAAGATCTACGGGGACCGCAAGAACCGTGAGGCCCATGGCCCATACTTGAATGCGATACAGGCATTCAATACAGCTAGCTTGGAATCAGTGGAGGTACAAAGCCTTGGAATTGACCAAAGAAGGCTTGTATACTTTTGTCGCCTCACCGGGCCCACACGTCATCATGATGAACCTCGACCGGTTTAAGCTCCAGCTGGTAACGTCAGTTCCTATCTCCAAGTGGAATATAAGACTCTCAATTCACCTCTCAACGTTTCTCTATCATAAACTATCCAGATCTTATCAAAAGGTACTACTCGCCGTCATCTCCTCCTATGCTTCATGTACTAACACACCTCTAGTACATCCAATCACCACCAACCACAACTTCATCATGTCTGCCCCCAACGCCGGTCGCCAATCTCCCCCACCTGAGCGCCAATCCGGCTCTCAGCAGCAAGAAACACCTGGCACAGGTCGAACCTCTGTCGGAAGCCACCCTTCGCCCGAGCACGCATCCCACGCATCTGAAGAATTCAAGCAGAAGCACATGCCGAGCAATCCCGAACACCCATTAGAGAAGATTGAGGCGGAGAAGTTTGCCAAGGGGAAACAGCATTGAGCTCTGTATTTCTGATGTTTAATTGTTTGATTTGATTGGGATAATGATATCATGTGTTTATACCTACCTGGGTCCAGTCGACCAGTCTCGATAGAAAAAAGTTTCTATGAAACAGTACATTTTGACATCTTTGTAGCCTTAGAAATGGTATAGCTTGAGAGTATTGACGGAAAGCCAATTGTGTTTGTATAGCTACTGGGGAGGGACCACGTGGAAAATAACCGGAGAAGAAAGTAAGTATTTCCAAGGTTGTGTGCTTGAAGACGAGTTGTTCAATCATGCATCTCAGTAGGCATTGCAGGAACCTTGGAAGTGCGTGCCACAATGTTCTTTGCACCAATTGACTGCGTATTTTCGAATCACCTTGGGAAAATGCCCACGAGGGCCACTATTCCCCGCATAGCTCAGGTTATTCTAAATTAACAAAGATTCTCGGTATACAGATCTAGCCTCAAGCTTGTGTAAGGTATATACCATACGATTTTACTTCATTTGATGGCAGTTTGAATCCAAAGCCAAAGTCAAAAAGGGTTATCATTGAAAAAGGGACCAACTATGGACACTTCATGGCATCATGAGAACTTAAGAAAAAAGCACGAGTTACGTCCAGCGCAATTCATCAAAAACCCACAACTTTAAGCCTTGGGATCAACAGGGGCAGCAGCAGCCTCAGGCTGGGACGGAACAGCGACAGGCTCAGTGGCAGAGGCATCAGTCTTACCCTGCTTCAAGTCCGCGAGACGGCGAGCCTCGTTATGGATATCGCGAATCTGCTTATCGGTCTGAGTGTAGAATCCACGCAGCTTCTGGCCATGGGGGTGCTCGAGAGCCTTCTCAAAGTAGTGGCTCAGTCCGCGCCAGCCTGAAGCGGCCTTCTCGGAGATCTGGTAGTTGTTATCGAGACCCTTTGCACGCTCGGTAGCGTTGAACTTCTTGTCGAAGTCGCCCAGAGCGGTGGTGAATCGAGAGGAGAATCCGTGCTTCTGGTCCAGGTCAATCGCGCGGGTGATGGCGTTATCGCTGAGAACGTAGCCGTGAGCAAGGTACTCGGCGACGATGCGCGAGCGGGGCTTGTCTTCCTGGGCGATTTCGTGCTCCTCGCCCTTAGTTTCGACTTCTGTAGCTGAGGGACCAGCTAGGTCGTCGATGTTGGAGGCGGCTTCGACGTGCACGGCAGAAGTGCCGAGTTGGGTCTGGTCGAGGAGGAGGGCGGTCTTAGCGGCGCTAGATGGCTGTGAGCTTTGGTCCAATGGGCTGATGGCACTGCGGGGTAGCTTACGCTTCCTTTTCGAAAGTCACAGTTGCGGACTTGTTGGCGTCTGCCTCGCCGGAGACGGGTGTGATGGAGAGAGTGACAATCTTGCCGCTGTTTTGCATTAGCATGTGTCAAATCGGTTGATGCGGCCTGTGCATACCAGAAGCTGAAGAAGTCGCGAACCTCCTTCTCGGAGGTTGCGGGCGAGATGCCGGAAACGTGAACAGTAGAGTGAGACATTGTACAGTGATGTATTGAATGAGTTCTGAGGAATATAGGGGAGGGGTTGAGCAAAAAGAAGTAGAAGTCACACCATTCGGCGAGGATGCGACTATTTATCTGCCACGCCACAGGTGACGTAGAGCGGGGCACTGCGCCTCAAGCTAATTTCTTGTTTCGATTTTCTTTTCTTTTCTTTTTTAAATGAAGTTGCCTGGGAAAAGATCGCGCCAGCGAACGTCTCATTCTAAAATATGTTTGCCTGCAAACCCGAGAATGTTGAGCACTGCCCGTAGTGGCAATGCGAAAGAAATGGGGAGCTGAATCAGACATCGATGCCAGGAGCCTCGGTCGATGGAGAAGGCACTGCCTCCGTTTGCTTCTTCAAGGTCTGTTCCAGCTCACGCACACGCTTCCTGAGCTGTTCGTTCTCTCGCTTGGTCTGCTCGAGCTCCAACCGGTGATGTGTTGCCTCCTCAAATCGCGAAAACGAAGCTCCCGGTGAATAGCCCAGATGGCTCTGTGAAACTGAATTGCGGTGTGGATACACACTGCTGCTGCTATGGGAGAATGTTGATAACGATCCAATTGAAGGTCGGCGAGAGGTGAGCGATGGCTCGCGGCTGCGCACGGTGCGTGAGTGATCTGCCCGAGATGGGTGGCTTGTCTCCCGTGAAGGTGCGATGCCCGTAACACTTCCTGCCTGCGGGCCCTGGGATGCTGAGGCGTGTGAACTGAGACTGGAGTTTGATCGGTTTCGTCGCGCGGACTGAGAGCGGGCTGAGTTGCTGAGAGTAGGGGATGCTCGTGCGCCGTCTGGCTCATTGAAGTTGGATGTAGAAGATGCCGTAGAAGCCACGGACGCTGTTTGCTGGCGGAGGAGGGAAAGTTCTCGGGTCAACCGATTCACCTGCAGGGGATTACTTGCATCAATATGTGCCTGCGTTATAACGATGAAGTATCCCACTTACCATCGCTTCCTGTTCCTTCTCAAGCACTAGATGAAGGTCCGAAGGCGTCAGCGGTTGTGGGTGACGCAAAGGTCCTTACTCTGTTAGTTGGAATACTCCAAGCGACGACTGCCACTATATTAACTTACCCTGGGCGGTGCTTGTCATGCCATATTCCCCCGCACCCAATGGTGGACTCCCCGGTGCAAGAACCGAGGTATGACCGAGACCCGGCTGGCGGGGGGTCGACGACTGTGATGTCGCAGGCAAAGTCGCAGTCGCAGCACGGGGCCGCATTGTGGAAGTGTTTAATTCAGGAACAGTCATTGGGTCGGAGATGTAGAATGGTTCACAGCTTCCCTGGGATTGAGAGGCTGAACTATAACCGTTTCTGAGTAAACAAGCCGACGTCAGATGGGGCAACCCAAACACCTCATCCCTTGATAGGAATTCCAGGGAGACTTGAAACATACCTAGATGCCACTGGGATTAAGTCGAAAGGACAGGGAGCTTTTGAAGTTGAAACATGTATGGGCTCGACTTATTTCTTTGATTGGGCCGTGGTCATACTGTATTCCTACTGCTTTAATACTAGGGGGCCACAGGTACCCTTGTACATTTAACCCACGCTCTCCCATGGAGTAGACATTCCAAATGCAATTACGCTTAGGCCGCTGTAAGCAGGTAGCTACGGTGATCTACTGTGCTCCGCTTGGGCCCCTGTGAGCTACATATTGGATGTCTCAATCAGAGCTGTCAGTTGGGCACTCCCAAGATCGCTTCACTCTCATTGTGCACCATACGGAGTACATCGGCTTACCCTGCGGAGTGTGTACACCTGTTTCCACACAGGAGACGTATTCATAGCAGGACAACGAAGTACAGTCCTCAATTGGACGACCCGGTCAGGTTACATAAGCTATATTCGTCGCGATCGCGACTGGGTCTTCAAAACAATACACCTTCGGCTCTCACCTGGGCACTTATCAGGGTCTCAGCTTGTCTCTTGACATCCCCCAATGATGGCCCGCGCAGACTCCAATACCCACATTCCTCCAGTTGTGAAACAACTCGCTCCTTACGTCAGGTCCCGCCAGGAGGTTCTCCAGATCCGTCAGGCATTGACGTCTTATCTGCGCTCCTTTATCGTCTTCGACGAGTCAAATGACAATCCTCAATCCCACCTCTCCTTGTGTGCCCCGACCGGTGCCGTCGCGGACGTCAGCCGTATCCCTCCCGATCTTCCTGGGCTGCGAAAGGACTACTTGAAGGCGCTGGCGGCCAACGTCACGGCTCGCAAAGAGTTCGCCGCGGCTACGGACAATGTCGCGTCATTGAGGCGTCAAAGAACCTCTCCGAACCTCCCCTGCGACGATGATCTTCAAGAACCCGGCGCCGACCTCCGTGATTACCTTGCCCTCCTGCGTGATCGACGCCGCCACAATAAGCTCCAGGTGTTTCAGCAATATCTGGGGGAAACCAGAGCGCGGGATACAAGTATACTGGGGGAGAATGGTCATGAAGGAGAGCAAATCTCGTTGCCGGAGGTAGAGGTGGGGCAGGATGGGAATGGTACAAGCTTGGATGAGCTGGTGCATAGCCTTGAGAGGGCAGTTGTCCGTGCCAAAAGCCAATTGGATCGCCAGAAGCAATTGTTTGAAAAGGCAAAAGCCCAGCATGACTCTCGTTCGGAGACCTCCCCGGTTCAGGCCTCTCCAGAAGCCAAAGCTCAAGCGCTACACAAGACTCGGGACGAGTTGGTTCAATGGGTGGAAGAACGGCTGGTTGGCCAAGGAGATCCAGACGAGAGCCTGCTTCAAGAGCTTCCCCCGGAGGAGATTGAAGCAGCTCAACAAGAGCTAGCGGATTGCAAGGCACAAATTGCAGAACAGTACGCTGCGTATATCCAAGCCCGGCGTGAGCTCCTGGAGGCTGCCTCTAGAGCTTGCCAGCCAGTCAACGTGGCACCGAAGCCATCAACACGACCCAACAAAGCTGAACTTGTTCCTGTGCAGGTACCGCCGCCGAATGCAATGGATGTTCTGTCATACGCAACCGAGAACCTGGTACCGCTTTCCAAGGGCCAGAAATCGCTATCCCTCCAACGATCCTATCTATCCGGGCTGCTCTCGAAAGAAAAGTCGACCACCCTCCGCGCACTCAATCGCCTCAGCGATGAATCCCACCTCCTCCCCGAATACCCCATTTCATCTCAACAAACGCGTCTCAAACATAATAACAATTTCCGATCCCAGGTCCAACCCGAGCAGAGCGCGGATGAAGTTGTCAACCTTGCCGAAGCATGGGCCTTTGCTGCTGACGCTGCTGGTGCCAATGGACGTGAGTATGTACAGCAAAAACTGGCGCTAGGCACCGAAGTTGCGCAGGACGCTCGACAGACGCTGATTGATGTTTACGGGACTCTCAATCAGGACCTCGATGAGGTCATGGACGGCCAGAAGCGGGATGTGTCAATCTCCACTCGGTTAAGAGGTGGGTCCCGGGTTGAGAAGCGACCGAATGGTCCCTGGTCCAGATTAAATGGGAAGGTGGGAGTTGAGTAGGCCAAACGATACCACTGTATGGCCAAGGTTTCCAAGGTTGTGGTTCGGGTTCCTATAAGCAACACTATATGTGCCTGGCCATATTGTATAGTACATGGTTGAAGATTTCCCCGATATCCGGCAGAAACGAAGATCACAACTAGCAACTTTAACATACGAATACTCTTATGCACTCTTACGTAGGAGATATCTGTTTTCTGATGTGCGGCTAAAAGCTTGTTAGTTTATCGACATAGCAACGACCTTGGAAGGCGATATAATTGTTCTCGCATTGATCTACCTGCACTATAGAGGTACTATCTATCCGTCCTCCACTTTGAGATTTCAACGTCTCTTCCAAGGGTTTGAGTCATACGTGTATCCCGAGGTCAGCTCGTACCCCAAACATCTCCTGATAGGTTAGCAATTCGCCTTGGAAGCTGTACAAGAGTAATGCGAGTCCGCACCCATGCATATCGTCGAGAAGATTTCTGTACGTCAAGTTCACCAAGCAAAGATAAGAGAGATCCACACCTATTCCGGCATCGGCGCAGATCATAGCACACACAGCCCAATTGTAGGGCTACCGCTCCAGGTGCAGGCATGCATTGTATCTGCCACTCTCGTGAGGAAATTTGTGTATTTTTCAGGAACAAGAAGTATTTTCAACCATTATAGATCCAACAGATCCTACTCCGTATAGATCCCCAAATATCAAAAAGTGCTGTGGTCCGGAGCGGTCTCCACTTTAGATTGACTCATTCTGCAAAAAAGAAAGAAAACCACCAGCCCTAACCATCACTTTAAATACTGGAATAGACTTGAATTTGACTTCGAGGTCTTTTGAGATCAATTGCATTTTTGGTCTGCTGGGTTTTCCCCCGAAGAGCACAATTCGACCCCCAAGCCCTTTGAATTGCCAGGCCAGTTCCTCTTGAGTGGAGCATACGGTGAGGGCAACGGACCAATTAGCGAATCCGTGGGGGAAAAAAAGAAAGATTCCCGGGAAAAGTGTAGACTCATCCTCCACACACCTCTCAACAAGCAATTGAACCCTCATTTCCCGCTCAAGCGGTAGTGCGCAATGGTTCTTGCTGCTCGATGTGGGCAGGCCGCCGCCGTGCTGCGCCAGCGTTGCCTTGCTGAGACTCGCCCGGCATTCGTGCGCGCCTTCTCCTCCCAGCCCGTTCGTTCGGTTTCCGCTTTGCGTCAGAAGATCCCCACGGCTCGCTCCCAGCAGCTCCGTTCCTTCTCCAGCACCCTGAACCGTCTTGCCGCTGAGAAGCCCCCTGCTGCTGAGTCTTACCTCGCCAGCGGTGCTGTCAAGCCCGGCAGCGGTCTCGTCGATGTCAAGAAGGTTCTTGTCATTGGCTCCGGTGGTCTGAGCATTGGCCAGGCTGGAGAGTTCGATTACTCTGGTAAGTTCATACACTATTTCAAGATGCAATTGCCTCGTTATGAGCTCGCTGTGGGCTGTCCCCATGATCCCCCATGGGGGGTCGTGCACGCGATACTTTTCTGCGGGGAGTGGAGAGCTGAAAAGACGCCTTCGATCCCTACCCTTTGATGACACTAGAGACTAATCTTTATTTGTTTCGCTGAATAGGCTCCCAGGCCCTCAAGGCTCTCAAGGAGGCCGGTGTCCACTCCGTCCTGATCAACCCCAACATCGCGACTATCCAGACCGACCACAAGCTTGCGGACGAAGTTTACTACCTTCCCGTTACCCCCGAATATGTCACCCACGTCATTGAGCGTGAGCGCCCCGATGGTATTCTTCTTACCTTCGGTGGTCAGACCGGTCTGAACCTGGGTGTCCAGATGAACCGTATGGGTATCTTCGACCGCTACGGCGTCAAGGTCCTCGGTACCAGCATCAAGACCCTGGAGACCAGTGAGGACCGTGACCTCTTCGCCCAGGCCCTGAACGAGATTGACATCCCCATCGCGGAATCGACTGCTGTCGAGACCGTCGAGGATGCTCTCAAGGCCGCCGAGCAGGTCGGTTACCCCATCATCGTTCGTTCCGCCTACGCTCTCGGTGGTCTGGGATCTGGCTTCGCTGCCAACCCTGACGAGCTCCGTGACCTGTCTTCGCGCTCTCTGTCCCTCTCCCCCAGATTCTTGTGGAGAAGTCTCTCAAGGGCTGGAAGGAGGTTGAGTACGAGGTTGTTCGCGATGCTGCCAACAACTGTATCACTGTTTGCAACATGGAGAACTTCGACCCTCTCGGAATTCACACCGGTGACAGTATCGTCGTTGCTCCTAGTCAGACTCTGTCTGATGAGGAGTACCACATGCTCCGCACTGCTGCCATCAAGATTGTCCGCCACTTGGGTGTCGTTGGTGAGTGCAACGTTCAGTACGCTCTGCAGCCCGATGGACTCGACTACCGTGTCATCGAGGTGAACGCTCGTCTGTCCCGTTCTTCCGCTCTGGCTTCCAAGGCCACTGGTTACCCTCTTGCCTACACCGCGGCTAAGATTGGACTGGGACACACCCTTCCCGAGCTCCCCAACGCCGTTACCAAGACCACCACTGCCAACTTCGAGCCTAGCTTGGACTACGTCGTCACCAAGATTCCCCGTTGGGATTTGAGCAAGTTCCAGCACGTGAACCGCGACATTGGCTCCGCTATGAAGTCTGTTGGTGAGGTCATGGCTATTGGCCGTACTTGGGAGGAGTCCCTCCAGAAGGCCATCCGCCAGGTTGACCCCAAGTACATTGGTCTCCAGGGTGATCACTTCGAGGATCTCGACGAGACTCTCCGCAACCCTACTGACCGCCGCTGGTTGGCTGTTGGCCAGGCTATGCTCCACGAGAACTACTCCGTCGAGAAGGTCCACGAGCTGACCAAGATCGACAAGTGGTTCTTGTACAAGATCCAGAACATTGTTGACTGCAACAACGAGCTCAAGGAGATTGGCAGCCTCTTCGGCCTTAAGCAGGAGATCCTCCTGAAGGCCAAGAAGCTTGGCTTCTCTGACAAGCAGATCTCTCTGCTTGTTGGTTCCTCCGAAGACGACGTCCGTGCCCGCCGTAAGTCTTTCGGCATCACCCCCTGGGTGAAGAAGATTGATACTCTGGCTGCCGAGTTCCCTGCCGACACCAACTACCTCTACACCACTTACAACGCCTCCTCCCACGATGTCACCTTCGATGACCACGGAACCATCATCCTGGGTAGCGGTGTGTACCGTATTGGTAGCTCCGTCGAGTTCGATTGGTGCGCTGTCAACGCCACTCTTTCCCTCCGTGAGATGGGCAAGAAGACCGTTATGATCAACTACAACCCCGAGACCTACTCCACTGACTTCGATACTGCCGACAAGCTGTACTTCGAGGAGCTCAGCTACGAGCGTGTCATGGATATCTACGAGCTCGAGGCTGCTAGCGGTGTCGTTGTCTCCGTCGGTGGTCAGCTTCCCCAGAACATTGCCCTCCGTCTCCAGGAGAGCGGTGGTGCTACCATTCTTGGAACCAACCCCCAGGACATCGACAAGGCCGAGGACCGTCACAAGTTCTCCCAGATCCTCGATAGCATTGGTGTCGACCAGCCCGCCTGGAAGGAACTTACCTCCGTCGGTGAGGCCGAGACCTTCGCCGAGGCTGTCGGTTACCCCGTCCTGGTTCGCCCCTCCTACGTCCTGTCTGGTGCTGCCATGAACGTCATCTACAGCGTCGACGAGCTCAAGGAGAAGCTCCTTAACGCCGCCGCCGTTTCCCCCGACCACCCCGTCGTCATCACCAAGTTCATCGAGGGTGCCGAGGAGATTGATGTCGATGCCGTTGCCTCCAACGGTAAGCTTCTGGTCCACGCCGTTTCCGAGCACGTCGAGCCCGCTGGTGTCCACTCCGGTGATGCCACCCTCGTCCTGCCCCCTGCCAACATCCCCGAGCCTATCATGGCCCGCGTGAAGGAGATTGCCGAGAAGGTCGCCAAGGCCTGGAACATCACCGGTCCCTTCAACATGCAGATCATCAAGGCCGACCAGGAGGGTGCTGAGCCCGCTCTCAAGGTCATTGAGTGCAACCTGCGTGCTTCTCGCTCTTTCCCCTTCGTCAGCAAGGTCCTGGGCACCAACTTCATCGACGTCGCCACCAAGGCTCTCGTCGGTCGTGATGTCCCCGAGCCCGTTGACCTCATGAAGGAGAAGCGCGACTACCTCGCCACCAAGGTTCCCCAGTTCTCCTGGACCCGTCTGGCCGGTGCCGACCCCTTCCTCGGTGTTGAGATGTCCTCCACTGGTGAGATCGCCTGCTTCGGTAAGGATCTGATCGAGGCCTACTGGGCTTCCCTCCAGTCCACCATGAACTTCCGCATGCCCGAGCCCGGTGAGGGTATCCTCCTCGGCGGTGACATTACCCAGCCCTACCTGGCCAAGATCGTCGAGTACCTGAACCCTCTCGGCTACAAGTTCTTTGCCGTCAACCCCGAAGTCAAGGCCCACATCGAGTCCACCGCCAAGGACTCCGTCAATGTGCAGCTGATTGAGTTCCCCAAGAAGGACAAGCGTGCTCTCCGTGAGGTTTTCCAGAAGTACGACATCCGTGGCTGCTTCAACCTTGCCAAGACCCGTGGCAAGACCCAGCTCGACGAGGACTACGTCATGCGCCGCAACGCTGTCGACTTCAGCGTTCCTCTCTTCATGGAGCCCAAGGTAAGTTCCTTTCCAACCCTACAAACCCCCACAAAGATCCCCTTGCTAACAATCGCCCCACAGACTGCCCAGCTCTTCGCTCAGTGCATGAACCAGAAGTTGCCCCGTGGTGACGAGATCCCCTCCGAGGTCCGCACCTGGTCCAACTTCGTCGGCGGCAAGGCTCTGTAAATGCTTTCCTGCATCAAATGACAGAAAAAAGTAAAACGCCCATGTCGTAAAGAGAGGCGCCGACCTCTTTCCCCCGATATCCCCTATGACATCAGGCCTCCCCCGCCATGATCCGCTATCAGGGCCTGTATCCTCTTTGATATAGTGGATAGGGCAATTTTGTTGATAGATTCCGGTTTTCCTAATTGTTGTACTCTTGGATTGAATGTTGTCTTTCTCGCTACTGTATTGTAGCGCTTATATGCCTTTTGGCCACAATATGAATTTGGATTTGATCTGTGACTAGGTTGCTTGTAATTTTTCATTTGCATCTAAGAGTTTCACCTGAGTGCTGTAGGATCTAATACTGGAACTTTGGAAGCAGCCCAATGGCTTAGGTGGGGACTTTTGGGGTTTGTTTGTTTGTTTATCCAGGCTATCTCTTACTTATCCATAGATACTACGTCCACAATACCTTCAGGGCTCTGCAAGGTACCTACACGGCTTACGTCGCAACTCTACATTCTGCATGCTAGACAAGAGCTCACTTCTAAGGTTATTCATGGGAACCTCTTGACCGAAGTAGCCCTGCTTTGACTCTAGGGCTGTCAATGCCAAGAGATTCCACGATGACTAATATTTATCCACATCAAATTGAACAACTACCTTGAAATGGAAGATATCCAGATTCCCCAAGGTCCTTGTTATAATTTATTTAAATTGTATAAAATGGCCTCTAGAACCGCTCTCCCGTCGGTGACGACGAAAACAGTACCCCGACCTGCCCCTAATGGCATGGGAAATGGGTTATTTGCAACCACGGACATGAACCCTGGTGATACTGTCCTACATATTGAAGCACCGTTTGTGGCAATCCTTGATTCGCCGCGTTTGGAGGATACTTGCGCTGGATGTTTCGGGAAAAGACAGGTGGAAACCGGTAGCGAGCTGAAGGCTTGTACAGGGTGTCGTGTCGTGAAGTATTGTGATCGGGTAAGTCGTCTGGGCGATCGAATTGTCAAAATTAATGTCGACGTTAATAACGTTGACACTGCTTGTCACCCCTCCTCCTGATTGTCATTTTGTCTTAATTCTAACTAGAATCATAGACATGTCAATCTAAAGATTGGAAATTTGCTCATTCTCTTGAATGCCCAATCTTCAAAAATCTCAAGCCGATGGTGCTTCCCAACAATGCGCGTGCTCTTCTGCGCATGGTGTTGCGGTCTGCTCGCAACAAGTATGACGCTGAAGAATTCAAGGTCTTTGAAGGCCTTGAGACCCACATCAATGAGATCTCAGAGAGCCAGGGTCAGCTTGACAGGATCACATTAACTGCTAGGGCCGTGAAGAACTACTCAGGAACCGATATAGATGAAGGCACTGTTTCATCATATGCCGCCAAGGTTAGTTTCATCAGATGTTTCGACAACGCCTTTCCAGAACTGATCTTTACCTAGCTGGATCTCAACTCATTCAACCTGACTACGTCTATGTACGATCGTATTGGCCTGTACCTTCACCCATATGCCGGCTTGATCAACCATAGCTGCGACTACAATGCCACTGTTGGCTTTGACGGGCCAGAGCTTTACGTCAAAGCTTTACGTCCCATCAAGCAAGACGAGCAGGTCTTCATTTCATACATTGATACCACGACCCCATACGACATTCGGCGCAACGAGTTGAAGGAGAGGTACTTCTTCGACTGCCTTTGCACCAAATGTCAAAAAGGAACAGATACGATTGAGGATCAGTTCATCACAACCCCGGAAGACATGGCACCTTTGGAGACTGCAGAGAGAGAAGCTCTGGGATTGCTGCAGACGGCCACCGGATCTAGCACGGAGCACACAGAGGCCATTGAAAAGCTCGAAGCTGCCATGCACAAGCTTCATGAAACCGGTGCTTGGCCTCTCACTCGGCAGCCCTATGCTTCTCTCCGTGACAAATTGATCATTTCGCTACTATCTGCCGGGAAGTTTACCCGAGCATTCATCCACGCTGCGATCAGATATGTACGGATTGACCCTGTGGTCTACGACAAGGCTCATCCCATCCGCCATATTCACGCATGGAGCCTTGTCAGATTGACAGTCTTCCTTTCACAGGAGGGATTCCCACCTGACCCTCAGGATCCTGTGCAAATCAATGATTTCAAGCTCAACTTCCATTACCTGATTTGGTACATCCTGGCTGAGCTTGCGAGCACTCAATCAGAGAGCTGCACTGTTCCCAGCTTTAAGAAGCTAGTTGGAAACCAATTCGTGCAGGTTCACAATGAGTTCAAGGCCAATGACCTGGACCCAAGCAAGTCTAAGGGCATTCTCGCTTCTGAGTGGCAGAAGTTGGAACGTCTGGTGACTAAAGCGTTGGCAAAAGAGTGAGTGATATTATTCGGATATCGAACTGCTACCTAGCCCTAGACCTCTAGGTGCTTATTAGATTATGAGCAGCAATTGAGGAATTCCTCGATGTATCAGCCACGAGATCCAAATATGACCAAATTTCAGACATGACGAAGTGAGAAGGAACGACCCCCGAGAGAGGGTGCGACGCCCCGGGGCGCGTCCCTTCCAAATCGGCTTGCCTTGAGCCCGTATATCTCTCACTTCGGTGCCAGCTTCACTTCTTGTTTACTTCTCTTTCTCAACGCGTTCGTTTTTCGTTTTTTTTTTCTTCTGTTTCTTTTTTAGAAAAACATTCACCAGCCGCGAGAATGGACACTGCAACTTTCGAAGCCTTTGACTTCGGATTCGAAACCCTTAGTTCGCGTACCTACGACGCCATCAGCTCGGACGACCATAACGTCCACTACGAGGTCAGCTGTCGAGCTGCATCCTCCGGGTTTGCCGACCACAGGACTCCCGTGATTCCCCCAGGCTACCGGCCGATCCCAGGGTACGAAGCCTATCGTCTGATACAACAGGCTCGAGCACTCGCCGGTCCGATTGCGGTGCGCCGGGGCTTGCCTCTCCCCGCCCCAATTTGGACTGGTGGTGATGCAAAGAGCGTTGGTCTGCGATGGTAAGTCGATTGCGTCTCATACCTCTTGCTTTCGTGTCAATTGGCTTTTATTTACGGCTTGTTTCCACTTTAGTCACTTTGCTTACTTTGTTTAAATTGATATCATATCACTTTGTTGTCACTGGATTCTGTATTACTGAGACGTTATTGAGAGACACTGGGCTCATACTGTAGACTGGCCTATTGGCATGATCTCAACTGACTTCCTCCTTACAGGGTCCCTCGGTGCCGTATGTGCTAGTGCCTTTACCTGAGCTAAACCTAAGCAGCCCGTCAATTGGCGAACCTGGCGGTGATGACTTCTGATCCGTCTGGGGGAGCCCCCTGCTTTTGTTCGGCAATGATGGTGCGAGGGGTTTCTGTAGTGTGATTGTTGGGATCGTGAACCGGCTGAGCAGTGTCGTAAGTTGTCTATGACCTCATTTCCAGGCCTCATTTTCAGAAAATATTCTAACATGACCAACAGGCGGGCAAGGGAGATTAAAAAAAAAAAAAAAAAAAAAAAAAAAAGTTGAAAACATCATTAACGAAAAGCTTGTGGGAGTCTTCAGCCTGGGAAAGACAGCTATCTCCAGGGCTACCGGCTTGAGTATGCCAGCCTTAGTGCCTCGATGTACATTTTCTCGATCACTAACCGAGTACAGATCGCCTGTGGCAAGTCTACATGAACCAGCAGACTATCGGCCACAGCCATGAGCCCAAAGGGTCGGAGGACGCACAGAATCCGAAGAAGACGCCGGCGTGTGCTCAAGCTATACAGCCTCTCAAATGTTGTGCGGGCAGTCTCACCACCCTGGCTCGCAATTCCCAGCATGACCGCTTCATGCAAATCAAAGACATCACGACCCCGGATTCGGACCGATGCTTTCACAGTCAAGACGACCAAAAATTTCAGCGACAAGGCTGTCATTTTATTGCAGCACTGACTACGAAGATGAAACAACGATGTTTCATCTACTTGCGCTGTATTTGAAGCAAGACGGACGACTCTACCGACCAGGCTTCCTGGAGATAGCAGTTGAAGAGCTTCCAACAGAGCACGATGCACACCAGATCCCAGATCACTGGAGAGTTCCTAAAAAGCCCATAAACGGTGTGCCAGAGACACCTCTCTCACACGGCCCTCAACCTTTCATAAACGAATGGAGCAGTAACCAGCGGAAGCACAGAATTTGCCTTCTGGGTTGATGTCACGGGAAACACGCGTCGGGACCGTATTCCAAAGTGACAGAGATTTTCATTGCTCTCCATGTTGTCGATCACCCTTTTTGCTCCACATATATCAAATCCTCGAGAGAGAATCCGAATCACACTTTCTCCGCAACTCGATGCCTTCTCCAGATGCTAAAGCTTCCTCGTCAACAATAAAACATCAACCCCGACATAAACACTGGTGACCAGACACTGCGGGGAATTGGTGCTGTGCAGCGAATTCCAGCAGCTTGGAAAACCACAGCTCGGACATCGTTGGGAGGAATGTTCGCCAACGAAAGTCTAGCGGCCTTCGCTACCGCCAAGGATCCTCTCCTGTCGGCCTCTTTCTTCACTTCACCTGGTTTCCCAGGCCACGTGCCCATCATTCCCTTCGAGCACTTTCCCACCACCGACCTCATCTTTGACACCGCAGCCAGGGCGTCAACCTTCGCCGAGGTGCAGACTTTACCAAGTCGCAGCTTACCACAGCGCTATACGAGTATCCTGAGTCTTTGGAGGGTGCTTCCGAAGACCGATATGTTCGGCAAATTGGACAAATTCTTGCAGAGTCAATTTGTGCTGACAAGCACCACGACATATTGATCGAACATTGTTGAGAAAAAACCGGTTTCCACCGCGCAGAGGTCAACGTGTATGTATGTTTGGGGTGGGGGTGTGCCAGGTGACCTGGTTTGGCAGGGCTAATATCAAGCTCTCACTCCCTCGCTCTCTTACTCCCTCTTCTTTTCTCTTCCCCGTCTGTTTTTGCTTTTACATCCTGAATGTACTGTTTCATAGCGATTTCCGCTTCTTCTTCTTCTTCCTCCTCCTCCTCCTCCTCCTCCTATATCAGTCTCCCATCACTGGACTTTGAGCAGACCTTGTGTTTAATATGAAAGCTCATTTGTTTGGAACGATGAATGACGAGGTCTTTCCGAAAGATAACCCAAGAGCATATAAAGTAAGGCGAGGAAGCACTTGATTTGCCACAAACTCCACTTCGGCAACAGCCGTGGTTGTACGGAGTAGCATGGATTTCACTGAGCCCCTACCACTACTCCAACAGCTATTGCAAGGTTGAGGATTTCGGAACGAGTGGGGTTATGATTAGGTAAATCTCATATTACCTTGGAAGTCTTTTGGATCTTGTGTGGTTTGATTTCTTTTTTTGTCATCGACGCTGTGGACCTCGGGTCCTACACTTCAGCTGCGGCTCCACTGGGCTAACTACATTAGGCAATAATCGAACGCGCTCACATCCTAGGTACGATTACCATTGTTCTGGCCATGATTAAAAAAAAAGATGCTCCTGAATTTGAGCATACCACAATACCACCTCAATGGTTGCTGCCTGAGATTCGATGTCCAAAAGCAGTATCTATTGAGCGTGTCTCAGATCAGACACGAGCTTGGTTCCAGAAGAATGACTATCAAATGAATGTCCATGATCAAAGTATAAGATGACCGGCATTCCCAGGGAGAGCATTTCACAAACACGCCTTTTCTCCTTATCAGAGCCCACATTCTCCCGAATCTCTTTCGCAGCATGCATTTCCTTCGATTACTTTTCGTGACAATTGCCGCCGGCGTGCTGCCAGTGAGAGGTTCTGGCTGCCGTCCATTCCCTTCCTCAATGATTGAATTCTCCTCTGGATTCGAACAACCAAGCCCTCCTGTGATACAGGCTGAGTACCAGACTAACTTCATCCAGCATAAGTGGTAGGCAAAAGATAACAATGCTCGTCTGTTTGTCTCATATCAAACTAACGGACTAACAGGAATCAAAACCTGTCGCACATCACCACTGGCTACATCTATAACTCGCCGTCTCAGCAATTTGTACGTGTTGATGAAGCCTATGATGGTAGCATGGCATCGTCTCTCTTCAACTACGCCAATGCTACCGAGGAAGGTTTGGTCGACAACACTTTGACCACCTTTGACCACGATTCAAACAACTCGACTATATGGAGGGGATTTGTCAACTCAAACTTCCCTTTGTTTCCCAAAGATATCCTAGTCAACAACAGTGCTGTCTTTGGCGGACTGGTTCGACGACAATTCAATGATAACCTCGTTGCAGCTGTGAGTAATTTCTCCCAAACCCAGTTTATATCAAGAGAGAGCTGAAGCTAAACTTACACACCACAGTGGAACATCATGTATCAGGGAGTGATTCCTGTCACAGTCTATGTGAGCAATTGCAATGTCATGGTTGGGTACGACTACTTCTCCACTGGACTGCGTACCAGAGTTATCACTGAATACTTCAATATTCAAACCTAGGCTGCTGCTGCGCCATGGAGCCGTGGATGAATCAATTGCGCCAAAATAGTTGGACTTTACTATGCTCAAGTAACAAGTCCCACGTTCGATTTACTCAAACTCAAGATCTGTATCACAGAATGCACCGCAAATGTCGTTTTAAACCACTCTATCTATGGATGTCGAGAAATTGAATAAGATTTTTGTTGGGCACGTCCATGATTGCCCCACTGCCGAACGGCTGTGGGCTAGTGGGCCCCAATGGGCTTGAAATGGGGCCTTCCTAAGTTAGGCATAAATTGCGACGGGGAACTCGGATTTTTTTAATGATGTTTTGGGACTATTCATAGATTTGTGGTAACTAGACGAGCCAATGGTACGGAGTAGCTGTCTAACGTATTGTACCATCAAAGGAGGGCGTCACATGACAGGGCCACCCCAGAGTTTTCCGATCTTTTTGAACAGTCAAACATTCAAGATGAATTCAATTATACAATGGAACTATGCCCAACGATCTCATGAAGCGTAACATCGGGCCACTCGACAAGCGCAAGAATACAACTCGCTGTCAGCCTTGTGCGACCCGACGAATTAAGGTTTGAGCAAGCATCTTGTTTTAACGACAGAAGTCAAACTGACAGATACGAAGTGTGAGGGAGGCCGCCCCTGTGAAAGGTGCGTCCGGACCAAGAAACCATGTGTCCCGCAGCTGTCAGAGCAGACACAAGTGAAGTTCGTCCATGTATCGGGACATGTGTTGTCTTCTTCGATTCCTGTGCCAGTGCGGAGACATGACAATGCCATATATCTGGACCATTTTGCATCTTTCATTCAGCGATGCCACTTCAGCAAAGACTTTGCTGCCACGAATGCAGATATAGTCACTGTCATTGGCAGAAATCCTCTGCTTTTGAACATTGCTATCGCGATCGGAGCTTTGGATGCCGGTAGAAAGGGCTCTATCAGGTCATTTGGCAAGCTTGAGGCTCCTCAGAAAATTGCTTTCCGGGCTTGCGGAAAATCTATACAAGATCTCTATTCAGCACTGTCGACGACAGGATCCGTTTTCAAGGAAGACGTGTTTTGGAGCACATTTCTTCATGGCCTTTTTGAGGTATGATCATATTCAAAAGATAGCGAGTCTCACTAATTTTTCTAACAGCTGCTGGCTGAATATTCTGGCAATTCATTCGCAAACCACATGGTTTTTGGTGCATCGAAAATGCTTCTCCTGTTGGAGCCTACGAGTCGGCTTTCCGTCCCCACGAAGAGCTTGATCAATGCATTTTGTGTCCTCGAAGCCAATAGAGCCATACTTTATGGCAACAATACCGTTCTTCCACGCATATGGCAGTGTGGTTTGACACGAGAAAGTTGGCCGGAACCTATGAACAAAATCCTCATGCTCATGGTGGAAGTCTCCGAATTTGCCAAAAGGCAAGTCCGCTTCTATGATCAGATTTGCGAATTATGCTTACCATCTTAGGCTCTTTGAAACCATTGAGTCCGTCCCTCTAGAACTGAGATCACTCGATTCCGGGTTAGACGCTCTAGCCCAAGAAGGGCTTAAGATCAAAGAAAGACTTCGCAATTGTCAAGAAGAAAGCAACTGGGAAAGACTGCCCGCAGACTGCTTCGCTCAATTGGCATCTGTCGTCCACTGCGCCATTCTTCTATATCATTGTCGAAATTTTACTTTTTATTCATGCTGGATGACCCGGGCAGTCCCCCAGCTAAACCGGATTGAAGTTGACAAACACGTTTCCACAATTTTGAAACTGTCTCAGAGTATCCTCTCAGATACAGATATCCCTGCAGTGCTGTTGCTTTTCCCTCTCCGAATGGCTGGAGTTCATGTCTTTGACAATCACGCACAAGAGAGAGTGTTGAGTATTCTCTGCAAGATACGACAAAAGGGGTTTGTCGTATCAGATAGAATCGAACTTGATTTGCAGGAGTTCTGGCACTATGCACAGGGACAGTTAAACAAGAGCCTTTATCCCTATTCTTCAGATCTTTGATTGTACACACCAAAAGCGAGTTGTTTGTGCATGGATATCTGCACAGAAGAATCGTGAAGCAAGCCCGAATACCAAAGCGAGACGAGCAATATCATTTACAAGAAACTAGGCTCTCCGAAAGCAAACCTAAGAATACATTCCATTAAGCTTGACAACAGCGCTGATCTACTCAGCGAAGCAAGGAATCACTGAGAGAACAGTAAACTCAGACCGTCAGAGCCAGAAAAAATTGACCCGGGAAAAGGAAGAAGAAACGAGAGAGAGAGAGAGGGAGAGAGAGAGAGGGAGAGAGAGCGATGCAGCCTAGGGGGTCATCTTGCCTCCCAACAAAACTATTGCCAACGGTAAGATCCCCCGAGACCAAGTCAGGTGATGTATGCACAGTCCTTCCCTTCGCTCTTCGTCACTCTCACTCTCGCTATCTTCCAAGCCCATGGATCTTCTCCTCTTCGGCCATTTCGCACGAGAGAGTCAGTTCTGAAATAACTATGCAATTTTTTGTGCATCAGTTACGACTGCTTTACAGAATATGATAGAAAGATCCAGGATTTTAAAAACTGTTATAGGAGCTTGCTTCTTTCGCTAATCTTCATGATGATTCGTCCCCAATATCCATGTCTGATAGTGGCTGCAATCTGGTCCCACAGGTATGTCCATCCTTGATGAGGTCATTAAAGCTTTCCAATATACCCTCTGACTTTTTCCGAGAGGGATGACTCTCGGAAAGTACTCTCTGTCTGACTGCGACAACATGTTGCATCAGTTTCAAGGCCTGGTCGGTCTGCTCCTGATTGAAATATACAATCGCGAGTGAGTGCTGAGAGGCTAGTAGAGAAGGGTGTTCTTGTGAAAACAATTTCTTCCGTTCACTCACAACATGCTGCAGTAGCTTGAAGGCCCGATCGCTTTGCTCATCCGCATGATATAAGAGCGCGAGTTGGTGCTCAGATGCTAGCCGAGAGGGATGGTTTTCGGCAAGTGATTTACTTTTGACCATAACGACATGCACCAATAGCTGCAGGGCTCGCGGGATCTGTTTGTTCGCATGATAGATGTTCGCGAGTGCATGCTGCGAGGCTAGCCGAGCCCAATGATCTTCGGCTAATATTTCCTCCCTGACTTTGACAACATGTTGCTGTAGTCGCAAGGCCGATTCAAGCTGCCCATTTGCCTTGTAGGCACTTGCGAGTCCTTGTTGAGCCACGAGAAAGTCGTGATCGTCCTTGGTAAGTATTCTCTTTTCAACTCCGACAACATGTTGAAATAGTTTTAACGCTTTTTCATTCTGTCCATCCACTTTATAGAGGCCCGCGAGTTGGTGCTCAGCGCTTAGTCGCATTGGGTGGGTTTGATCATAATTATGTTTCCGCCATTCAACCAATTCCTCAAGACAGCTAACTGCTTCTTTGATCCGACCATCCTTATGGAGACAGCCTCCGACACGGGCAAGCATTCGGTATCGATCGGTCATGCCTTGCGTTTCATCGGCTTGCAGAAGGTGCAGAGCATGGGGCATATATGCCCGCCATTTCTGCCGATTCTCGGGCTCGTCACATGGAAAATCAATGTGCATTGTTTCCAGTGCCGACTTGTAAGAACTTGTGAGGGACATTTTAGATGGAGATTTGTGCTGTCGCAGCCAATTTCGTGTAGCAAGATGAACAAGTCGATGGATAGTCAGGGAGTTGTTCGTTATATCCTGAGTCACAAATGAAAACGATTTCAATGTCCCAATGGCTGAAGTCTTGTCCATTGGAGTTTTCGCTGGCGGCAGGAGAGATATAGGAATATCTTTTGGCTCAACGCAAGCGGCAAAGGACAGATATTGAGCTGCTAGAGATGATGGCTTTTTGCAGATATGCTCGAATGAGACCAGCCATGTTGTCACCACGGGGTTTTTCAGGCCATTGTACCGACCATCGGCTTCGAAATCCGTGCTCAGAAGATCGATGACTTCTTGCTCTGGTCGATCTAGAAGTTTTCTGTATTCCGAAATACAACTCAACTCATTTGCTTCGATGAAAGACGCAGCCTGCACGATTGCCAGAGGAAGGAAGGCAAGCTGTCTGAGAAGAAATACAATCTCGTTCTCATTTTTCAGAAGTGATGGATTCAGATGTTGGCAAAGCAGGTCTTTGGCGCTTTTTTCGTCTAGCTCGTGAACCTCGATAACCCTTTTTGCAAGACATTTCGCGACCTGCTTGAAACGTGTAGTGAAAAGTATTCTTCCATGTTCGCTCTGTGGAAGAAAATCACTTAACCGGTCTGACTCGGCTTTACCTGTGGAATTTGTATCCCACATCGGATAATCATCGGCATTGTCAAAAATGAGTAGCCACTTTCCGGCCCTTGTGTTCAAATAGTCTTTCAGCAGTGTTTTGACATCAGAATTTTCGTCGTCCCATCCCGGAAGTTTTAGCTTTCTGGCTATCTCGGCGTATGATTTCTGAACGCTTTCGATGCTGGTCGCTTGTATCCAGAAGACTGCGTATCCTTCTCGTTCTCTGTACGTTCTGTGGGCTAGTTGAAGTGCAATCTGCGTTTTCCCAATGCCGCCGAGACCGGTAATTGCGACCCTGTAACATGGGGATTCTGAAAACAGGAGTTCCTCTAGTTGGCTGATCTCGTTCTCACGATCGACGAATCTTTCATTGGCTTGGAAAGGGATGTTGTGGTTGAAGGCTATCGCTGTGTTAGTGGAATATTGGTGCGAGCAAGACAGACTTCTTACGGATTCTTTTATAAAGTTCTTCCACATAATCCTAAAAAACGCGTGAGCTTGGATTTAAGTGAATCACACAATCTTCAACTTACAGCCTGTATTTTAGCAAAATTAAGAGGGGTCTTCTCTGTATAAAAGTGTCAGACCAGGTACTGCATTTCAATTCTAACTCAATAGAAAAGACACACAAACCTTGCTTCTGAACAAGATTCTCAACGCATTTCTTCCTGCGAGATGTGCAGTCCGAGTGCGCAATGTAGCCTTCCGTTACCGACCTAATCAATTCTTGCTGCTCATACTCCTCCAAACCAACCGTCTGTAGCCCCTGCTGCACATTGAAGCGGAAGTAGCGGTGTTGATTGAAGTGCCCAGCCCATCTCCTGATAAACTTTTGCTCTGTTCTTTCTGTCTCGGTGACAATGCTGGCAAGCGTCGCATGGATTTTGAGTGCATTACCATCAATACCCTGTGTACTGGGAACGCCGGTGCCGATTGAAATGAATGTCTTCACAAGCGGCTTCAGCTCTGTCTCCGGACACCAGATGCTCGAAGCCTCTTCTTCCACATATTCAACTGGGTTGTTCGCACCGAACGCCCCATCCACGAATGTGTAAGGTCCAATCGAAACTGGATCGAAAAAGCTTGTGGCAGCAGATGTGGCAAGTGCAGCCTCGCAGATGGTTGCAGAGATGTTAGATCTGTCGCGGAGCTCATAACTCCGCAGTTGGGTTATTCCGGCAGTTGCTTGGACCGTGGCACAGACAAAGCTTATTTGATGTTAGTAAACAACGGTTCTGGACAATCGTTCAACTATTGAACCCTTATACTTTGCATTTGCGATCGCGTCCGTCATTGAGCAAAGTATGCTCATCGGCACCATGTTCGGCAAGAACCTCCAAAATTGCTGCCTTCAACTCGCTCTGTTTGAATCGTGACTTGATATCAAAGTTGTATCCCAAGGGGATCCAGTGCTTCTTCTCTTTAAAGACCCGCTCCGTGAGTTTCACATATGCCTTGATGCATTCGTCGACGTCCATCTCGAGTCGGCCCAACATGATGGCAATGATACTACTTGTGTTAGCCAAGTCGGCAAACTTGAAATGTGTGGGAAAACGAACCCGCCAGTACTTGTTCCACCGATAAGATCAAAGACATCACAAGGCTTCACGCGTGGAGAGCCAGGTGTACGTATCTTGTTCAATCCATCCATGATGCTCTTGAGTATGAAAAGCGTCGATAGTCCACGGACGCCGCCGCCGTCTAGGGATAACAGGCAAAGTCCCGCCTGGTTGACTGGACTCTGCTCACCATTGTCTAAGGTTGCATGCATAGTGAATTGGAAAAATGTGATTGTAGGTAGAGATATTTCAAGACGACCTCGGGAATTGAATTTGTGTCCCTGTGAGTTGAAGACCTTAACACACTATTTATACCTAGCTTATACTATCATGAACCACAAGATAGAATTTGCGTCGGCAAACTCGACTCAATGAAACCATTTGGCAAGCTAGTAGAAGACCAGTCGCGGCCTTCAGATCGTCGGGGTAAGGCGACTAATTCAAGCCCTAAGCGCTGGAGGTTGTTTCATCTAATGCTCGAAAAGCCCTCTTCGCACACCCTGCCGCCATCAATGTGGTTTCCTTTCTTTTTGAGAAGGTCTAGGTCATTCAAAGCATGCCACGAAGCAAGAAGTATGCAGCTTCCAAACAACCCATGTTCTGCCTACTCTCGACTCGATGTTCATATCAACAAAAGTAAATGGTGTTCATACAGGCTGTCAAGACAAGGCAATGCATGATGTACAAAGTGATATTCTGATTTAGTTAGTCAAACATAGCAGAGCCTTGAAGGTGAAAGTGGCCGTCTAGTAAGTATGAGCCTGCAATCAGATCAACGCCCCCATCAGCTGAATACCCCTGCAATAACAACCGGCGACACCTGGGCTGCTGGGCAGCACTCCAACCTTCAATCAAACAATGGTCCAGCTTTTTTCAACGCGCATGAGGACTTCAGCCGCTGATCTGAGATATTTTGAGATGCCTCAGCCTAAAATGGGGCCAATTTTGGCGCCATGGCTGCATAGAGCGGCATGCATGGACGTTAAGTATGATACGAGACTAGCGACTCATGGCACGCGCTTACCACCTAAAAGCATGTACTCGCCACTTTGTAGATCGACTCCTCTGAGGCTCTTCTGTGACTCGTAATCTCTTTATCGCTAGTAAGTCCCTGGCGCTAATTCAAACTGTTTCCGAGGTTGATGGAGCCCGCCGATTGACGGACGTCAAATGTGGCTTGCCATCACAATGCAAGTGGACCGACCAGATGAGTCTCGTGCTAGACGGAGCACTTTATAGTAAACCACTCCTAACTGTATTGGGGCCTCGGATCGAAGGGATACTGAGTACAGTGAGTGGCCCTTTCCCGCTGATGTCGATAATTGTGATTTATCCCAGAACCTTTGATATCCAAGGTACGTTGTACCGGTGCCCAGGTGACCCATAATGAGCGGGCGCCTACTCCCCAGGCACGATCAACTAGCGTGTTTCATTGGTATCCGCCCGGAAATGGCGCCCGGCTATTCATTCTGCGGTCACCTCGAGGCCAACCAGCCTTCGAAGTTGGCAGAAAATCTAAAGATGGTTCTTTTAGGCAAAGTTCGCGAGGGGTGCTCTGCGTTACTTCATTTCGATGCCATTGGGCAACTGAATGATCGTCAATGAATCATAAAATGGCATCTTCTTAGGCCTGTCTGCGCTAAGACCGCCATCACCTGGGCATGCTCTTCTCTCTTCACTGGCTATAAACCTTGTAAGGCGAGCAATGTAATTATTGGGTATGCCAGAAAGTGTCTTAGTGAGTATAGTACTAGGTAGTAGGTAGATATAGGTCGAGGGATCAACCGATCGAACGTTTGAGAATGCTTTCATATGTACATTTCAAGGTTATACAAAGTCCCTAGGCCCATGGGACTGAATAAATCACATCAGACTAGTTCGGCCACCAATCTCATTAGCAGCCTCTCCATTGGGCATCTCGCCATTTCGGCCGGCGATAAACTCCCTGTAAATCCCCTGCAGACGTCTTCGCTCTGGTGCACTGAGAGATGAGCGTGTGGTGTTCAAGGAGCGCTCAACATGCTCCCATCGAACAATGATATCTTCACGCAGCTCATCTGCGGCTGGCTCGGGACCATTGGCCACGGGAGCAGGCCCAGTCGAGCCTGCAGATCCTTGCTCAAGTTGGCGCTGACGGCGCCGTGAGTTCTTGATGGCTTCTAATTTAGCAGAGACTACTGCAGGAGGTGGCATGGATACTGATCCAGATGCTTCCTCGGATGAAGAGTACAGGAACTGGATGAAAGATTTGGAGGAAGCATTGGCGGAGTTGGCGGAGGATTTGGTACCGGGTTTGGCTGTGTCGGCGGTGCGGTCGCCCAGTGCGTCGTGGACTGCCTCTAGGTGGGCGTTGTAGACAACTGCCTGCAAGTCCGCACCAGAGAATCCTTCGGTCTGGGCAGCGATATCATCTAGACGCGATGCTACTTCGTCGCTCATCTTCAACTTCTCGCTCACCGAGCGAATAATATCAGCACGGTCTTCATGGTTTGGCATGTCACAAAGTAGCGACTTGTCCAGGCGACCAGGACGTAGGAGGGCAGGATCAATCAAATCAGGGCGCGATGTTGCTGCCAGCACATAAACACCTGACAAGCCTTCTGCACCGTCCATTTGTGTCAGCAATTGATTGACGACACGATCCGTGACACCAGTTGAGTCATGACCACGCTTGGGCGCAATACTGTCAAATTCATCGAAGAACAGAACGCAGGGACGGGCGGCCTGGGCTCGCTCGAACAGATCGCGAACGCTCTTTTCACTAGCTCCGATGTACTTGTTCAGAATCTCGGGACCCTTGACGCTGATGAAGTTCAAGCCACACTCACCAGCGACTGCACTGGCGAGCATCGTCTTACCACAACCTGGGAAACCATAGAGAAGCAAGCCAGATCGCAGTCGCAATGGACACTGGGCGAAGATTGGGGCATACTTAGTGGGATACTGCAATGTTTCCAGGAGCATCTTGCGAGTTTCGAATAGACCACCAACAGATGAGAAGGTGGTGGTGGAGGATGTCAATGTGACGTTGCGAAGAGACGCCGGAGTGAAGTCTTTTAGGGCACTTTCAAAATCCTCTAACCCAAGGGTTATCATCTTTGATGTTGACGTCAAATCAGAGACAGAGCGGATGAGGGCTTCATTGCGTGCACGAGCAACGAGCAGAACAAGATCACCGGGCATGTATCCATCAGTCTTGCCAGCCAGCTCCAGGTACTCCACGTCCCTTCCGATAACAAATCCATCGCCCCCTGAAGAGCTTGGGCGGCTACCGGGGTTTGAAGGATCTAGCCAGGAGTCCTGTGTAGAAGAGCTCTCGGCTCGGACATGTCCGTTCGCATTCCCTGTGGGCTTGTCTTGACTCGTAAGCTTCTCCAATACTTTGCGGCGCCCCTCCTTGTCGGGAGCTCTCATGTTGATAATCTCACGAACGACATGACCACCAATGATGACGTTATTGAGTGATTCCTTCGCCTGAGCGGTGGCCAGTAGAACCACAGACGAATTCAACGCACAGAACTCTCGAACCATGGAGCAAATGACCTCACTGTTTTGACGACTGCGACCATTGTCTCCACCTACTTGCAGTTCAGTCTCCATGGGGCAAAGTTTGTCCAGATCGTCGAGAATTACGACTGACTGGCCACCAAGGCGCGCGCACCATGCTGCGGACATGAAAAGGCGGCTCAATGTTTCTTTGATGTTGGAGATCCGGGTCTCATCTGTAACAAGCTTGCGACACGAGAAATATTTGACATTAGAAAGATGATCGCGCCTCATGCGATGAGCCAGGAGCTGAGAAAGAGCTGTTTTTCCAGCACCGAGCCCACCAGTGAGTAATATAGAGGAGGACTTGGTCAGATTGTTCATCGACTGCTCAATTATGGAATCGATGCCAACCATTTGGGGGGCTGTCTCTGGAAGAGGATCCTCCAAAGGTAGAATAGATGAAGTAGCGTCCAAGGGTTTGGGAATTTCAGCTTGCACTTCAAGGTTCAATTTGGCTTCTGAGCCTAGTAGCCAGCCAAAGATAGCTTTTGTATCTTCTGAGCCCCCTTTCAGTGGGGGGATCAAATCGAATGATAGCGCCGTCGAATGCAGAAACCGAAGGATGATACTCGGCCTTTGGTAAGATCATACCATCAGTTAAAGGTCCAGAGAACAAGCCAATATCGGAACCTGTGCTGCCGTAGATGACCTTGAGGCGCTCTGCCAAGGCATCCCGAGACGCTGCAGTATCGGCGCCAAACTTGAGCCCATCCTTCTTCTTCGAGGCATCCCCAATGAAGGGATAAACCTTAAGAGTCTTGACTGCCGATCGATGCAGCTGTGGGGGTGCCGCCTCAACTCGGATGATTCCACCAACCATATTTTCCGCTCCAAGGGCCGTGCACAACAAGGTGGACATCGCCGCATGCCGGTTGTCTGGGGCTTCCTCCCACGGAAGCAATTTTGCAACGAGCTTGGTGGAAGGAGATCCCGCATCATTGGCCTTTTGCTGTTCGGCCTGAGCCAGCTGCTGCTGAGGATCTGGTGGGGGCTTGAGACCCGATGGTTGAACAACTGAGACACAGGCCCAAGTTGCTCCGCGAAGCTCGTGACTTGCTAGCAAGTCAGGATCAACCCACACGCGAAGACCCTCGTTTGCATCGTCCTCTACTTCAGCATCGAAATGTTGGGTAGTTGCCGAGCGGTCTACACCTCTGAGATAAACGGAACCGCGTGTGCTCGAATCCGATCGGCCACTTTTGGGGCGAACTGTACTTGACCCGCTTCTTCCCCCGGCGCTTTTCCGGCTGTTTCCAGAGGCACTCCGAGTATCACCCCGTGAGCTTTTGCCTGTCTTTGATCTCACTTTCGGGGCCACTATGACTTCGGCATCCGGTGCAATCTTCGCAAATGGGGACGTGTTTGAAGGCAGGGGGTAAGGGAAGTGACCACAATATTGGCGGTGGATGTGGGGGAGAGATGTAATGCGAGCGGGTGCATGTGACTTGTTTGCGCCGCAGTATATGTCGGATTAGGGAGAGCGCGGATTTGGGATAGGAGATTGAGCTCGAGGAATGTGGCGTGTAGTTCGATGACTGTAGTAAGATTGAGTTAGCGCGGTGAAGACTACCACAAGTTTGCCTTCACCTACTCTCCCAGTCTTCCGGTGTCAACGGCTCAATGTTAATTGTATGTGCAATTGGCGGGTCGAGATGGATGAAAAGTCCAACCTGCAAGTGTCAGCACCCCACGTGGATAATGATGCGCGGGGAGGGTATATACCTTCTGGCCATCGGCGAGACCAAGGAGTCGCCCAAAGGTGGTATCAAGCTCGACGGTAGATATTTCCTGCTCTCTGGACGACCCGGTGCTAATCCCGTCCCTTCCAACGACTGGCGCGAGCCTGCGCTTGCTCGGCATACCCGTCCAACCGAGGAAGCATGACTGCTGCGGAGAAGCTCCATTGGCATTGGGAGAAGTTGACTTGTACTGCAATTCAATGATCACATTCTGTGCAGTCTGATAGATGTGTGTATGTTAGCCGAGAAGACATATGTTGGCTCATCACAGCTAATGTATACTAACCGTGTTTGCATTGACTAGCAGAGAGACAAGCGATGGTGGTAGGTTCACAAGGCAGTTCTTCAGTGGCACAAGGGCAACTTCAGCTGTCGCAGCGGGCTTCTTGGGTGCCATAATTGCGCACTGAGTATTGCGAACTGTGAAAGTACGAGGAGAGGGGAACGTGAACTCGGAGAAGTCACGACCCCGGACTCCACAATACCTGCCTCGGCCCGATGATGAGGCACGTGACTCGATAGAACCATAGATAGCGGAATAAATTATATTCCGAGTTGATTGACACTTTTCCTAATCGGGTTAGATGCATTCTCTGCGCGTCTTTGCGTCGCGTTCGCGTTTTGCCGGTGATTTTGAGAGCGGCGTGCGGATAGCCACTAGACCCTCTTCTTTATTATCCCTTCCGATCCCACTCTTGTTTTGCGCCGCTTTCCAATTGAGCGCTCTTTCCCACACACCATGTCCCTCCTTCAATACTCCCCACCGGTGGATTATGCCGCGCAAACCATTGCCGTCAAGGATTTCTTGAACACCTTCAAGACCATTCAGTCAAGCTCGGAAGCAGCAGCGACCGAAGCTCTGCAGGACTTGAACATAGACGAAGGACGGACCAGCGATGAATATGATTTCATGGATGATGCCGATGAGATGGATGGAGCCAATACCCGAGGAGCAAGCAGACGTCAGATCCCGAAACTCAAGTACATGCAGATTCTGCAAGATGTCGCAAACCGCGAGAAGTCTCATCTTCAAATTGACCTCGACGATCTGGAAATTGTAAGTCCTGGGCGCATGATCCCCTCTGACCACTGCTCACAGGTTTCTAGTTTGAACAGTCCCGGCCTGAGGGAGATGACCTCAAGCTCGTTCAATCCATCGAAAAGAACGCACACCACTATGTTGACCTATTTTCGCAAGCAATTGACGAGCTCATGCCCCGGCCAACCAAGGATATCACGTAAGTCATAGATGTTGTCTGTTGGGATGCGCCTTGGCTAATCACTTTGTAGATACAAGGATGATGTCCTTGATATAATCATGTCCCAGCGCGAAAGACGCAACGAAGCAACGGAAGCTGCATTTGAGGCTGACATGGAGACTGATGCCGGTGGTCTCCCTATGTTCCCCGCCGAGCTCACTCGCAGATATACACTCAACTTTAAGCCCGTCACACCCTCAGGGTCCAGCAGCGATCGCGATTCCAAAGCCCTCGCCGTTCGCAACGTTCGTGGCGAGCACCTTGGTAACCTCATTACCGTCCGTGGTATCACTACCCGTGTCTCCGATGTCAAGCCCGCCATTCAGATCAACGCCTACACTTGCGACCGCTGCGGATGCGAAGTTTTCCAACCCGTCACTACCAAGCAATTCATGCCTTTCACAGAGTGTATCTCTGAAGAATGCAAGAAAAACAACTCAAAGGGGCAGCTCTTTTTGTCCACTCGCGCATCCAAGTTCACTCCTTTCCAGGAGGTCAAGATCCAGGAAATGGCCGACCAGGTCCCCGTGGGCCATATCCCACGGACCCTCACCATTAACTGCCACGGTGCTCTTACTCGTCAAATGAATCCTGGTGATGTGGTTGACATTGGAGGCATCTTTTTGCCAACCCCATACACTGGTTTCCGTGCCATTCGTGCCGGTCTTCTTACCGACACATACCTCGAAGCTCACCACATCACCCAGCACAAGAAATCCTACAATGACATGGGCATGGATCGCATTACGCTCCATAAGATCGAGCAGCACCAGCGCTCTGGTAATATGTACGAGTACCTTTCACGGTTGATTGCCCCTGAGATCTATGGACATCTCGATGTGAAGAAAGCACTGCTTCTCCTTCTGATTGGTGGTGTCACCAAGGAGATGGGTGATGGTATGCACATTCGTGGTGACATCAACATCTGCTTGATGGGTGACCCTGGTGTGGCCAAATCTCAGCTTCTCCGATACATCACGAAGGTTGCCCCTCGTGGTGTCTACACCACTGGACGAGGAAGCAGTGGTGTTGGTCTAACTGCTGCTGTCATGAGAGACCCAGTCACCGACGAGATGGTGCTGGAAGGAGGTGCCCTGGTCTTGGCTGATAACGGTATCTGCTGTATCGATGAATTCGACAAGATGGAAGATGCAGACCGCACTGCCATTCACGAAGTGATGGAACAGCAGACCATCTCTATTTCCAAGGCTGGAATCACTACTACCCTCAACGCACGTACTTCTATCCTGGCAGCAGCTAATCCGTTGTATGGCCGTTACAACCCTCGCGTATCCCCAGTGGAGAACATCAACTTGCCAGCTGCCCTACTGTCCCGTTTCGATGTTATGTTCCTGCTTTTGGATACTCCTTCTCGCGAGGGCGATGAAGAGCTGGCAAACCACGTTACATATGTCCACATGCACAACAAGCACCCGGAGAGCGAAGATGCCGGTGTGATGTTCACTCCCCACGAGGTCCGTCAATACATTGCCAAGGCCCGCACATTCCGTCCCATCGTTCCCAGCAATGTCTCTGACTACATGGTCGGTGCCTACGTGGCCATGCGTAAGAGACAGAAGGTCGACGAGTCCAAGAAGCGCCAGTTCTCCCACGTTACTCCCCGTACCCTGCTTGGTATCGTTCGTCTGTCCCAGGCCCTGGCTCGTCTTCGCTTCAGTGACCAGGTTGTTCGAGAGGACGTTGATGAGGCCCTGCGTCTCATTGAAGTCAGCAAGGCTTCTCTGTACAACGATGGCGAGCAAGGAGCGGATAACACTCCCTCGAGCAAGATCTACAACTTGATTCGCAGCATGAAGGAGAGTGGCGCCGCTGCCATCGGAGATGGCGAACAGGGAGAGCTGAGCATGAGACGTATTCGGGAACGTGTCCTGGCCCGAGGCTTCACTGAGGATAATCTCACCATGACTATCGACGAATATGCTGACATGAACGTAAGTTTTCACCATACCTTTTAATACTTTTGTTCGTTTACTGACATTTATACTTATAGCTCTGGCAAGTTACTGGCAATGGAACCCGTCTACTCTTCACAGAGGTTGACAGTGACATGGATATGTAATTCTTTCAAGGTTCTTCAATCTGCTTTATCTATTCTGCGATGTTGCGTGAGCTTTTTCGTGTTGAAGATGCATGTGAAACAAGCTGGAATTAAGGCGATCGGTGTTTTGGTGTATTCCTGGCAATATGGGGCCGGTTATGATTTCGCATGGTCAATCAAAAGATCTTCCCAATCTACTTTTTTAATCCTCGTTTACGCTTTCAAGATTCTGGTCTCTTAATCACGATTAAAACATGTAAAATTGAATTATCGGCAGATACAATGCTGGGGTGCATCACCGCCCTCCAAGGGTGTCATAATCTCCCATTCGACACAATTTGCTCCAGCTGCCTTCCAAGGTTCTCCCTCCCCTCTTGCGCCGAGCCATACCCGTGGACGTTACGACTCACTTGCCCAAGACCTAGGAAGCTCGACGCTACTTTACGCCGGGCACTGGTTGTAGAGCGGGACCTCATTGCAAAGCCCCGAAGGGGGAGCCATGGGGTTGCTGCACAATGTGTTGCAAGGGGTGTTCTCCGGAACGAAGACGAGGAACTCATAATTCGGCATCGGCAAGCGGAACTGCTTGTTTACATTGTTGTTGTTCGGCGATGCCTTGTAGCCGGCACGGCAGGCACAGTGGAAGGATGTTCCAGTGTTAATACACGAGGTACTGACATCGCACCGGTTCTTCCCCGACACCGGATTGCAAGTGCCGCATGGTGGCTTAGGTTTGGGGCTCGCAGCCGCCAGAGTGGTGGTGGCAACGATCAAGGTGAGAACGGAGAATCGCATATTGAAAGGTTGATATTGGGTTTAGATCTTGAAGTAGATGCTCAGGCTTGCTTTCGTGGATTGGATTGTGATGGCGTTATTTCCTGGGGATATTGCCATTTTATATCGTCTTTTCCGAGGCAGTGCCTTGATCTCGTATCTCCTTTCTGGCTCCGTCACGATAATGTCCGCCATGCTCCCTGCTAAGTCCACCAGCGTCACATCGCGCGGTCATCTTCAGCCTGGGCTCCCCAGAGCACAGTGGACCTTGGGTAGTGCTATGGTTTCAACGATATCTGTTCAATCAGGTTAGGTCTTCATCATCGGTATGGCGGGGAAATCAAATCCACGGGGTCTAGTGAGCTGTGAATACGAGATCAACGAAATGCCTTGAGACACCACCAATGCTCATGGTCAAAACAACGTTCATGGCTTATGAGCTCCAAATGGCTTCCAGGCCACACGAAAACCTTGGGATTAGAAGGCCTGGAACAATTTGAATGTCTCAGACTACGCTTTTCTCTACCTGACCTCATCCACGTCTGGACGCCATTGATTGGCACACAACCGATTTCCAAGGTTCTGGTCGGATACCCGAAGAGAATACGGGGACAGATGTGACCTATCTTTATAGATGTTTCACATCCATGGATTGCTTCAAGAATTTTGATTTGACCACTGAGTAATTTGGATGGTCTTCTGTGGGCGACTTAAAAGGTTGTTCTTCAATATGCAGGTTTTTGAATATAGCGCAAGGTAGGAAGAAAAAACGAAGCTGAAATGAAGCGCTCATTACCTGCATCAGGTAGGATTGTGACTCTCTGTGGTCTGTTTCGGGGTCTTAGTCTAAAGTACCTGTACCGTCCGCTGTACCTCATGAATGCATACAGCTTCCAAGGCTGAGTATCATGGGAGTCTGGCAGCATGGTATTTGAACTGTTCATTAACTGTTTTCATTCTAAGATGAGCACAATCACTCTATAAAAACCGGGTCCATAGGTGTATCAATTCCTCTGCAATCATCGTGCCCGAAGTACCAACGCCATACTCTGAAGCTGGGCTGGACCGTGTAATTGGGATCACACATCCAACGATCACACATCCAACGGGGACCTCGGAATTGGGCAACAGTAGACGAAGGTGTCGAGATCCTTTCCAGTCGATTTCGGAGGTGAAACATGGGCTGCAGAGGGGGTAAATGCCCGGACACTCATGAATCAGACAGCGCAATCAACTCGCTCTTCTTCTGTTCAGGCTTTCAAATGACACTCCAAACCTTCCGTCCATGACCCCAATACTACAAGCTCTATTGCGCTCAATAGTTCAAATTGCTTTCAATTTATCATGGCATAGTTGCCTAAAGGTGTGTCTTGGGCTCCTCTGGCTCGCCAATCAGTCGCAAAAAGGCACCATGTACTTCATCGGTTAAATCGCTGGCTTGCATGCTTCGTCCTTTTGCTTCAAATGCTCGCCTCGAGCACTCCCTAGTGATTCCACTGCCTGCCCAAGCGGCCAGCAGCAAACTTGTTGCGGGAGACATGCGCTTGTTCTCAGAAGTGAGCTCTGCCTGTACTTCTTCTTTGCTCTGCGCCTCCTTCTGGTTGTCAATCTCGTCCGAGTCCCACAACTTGTCGTGATATGCCGCTCGCCAGGCGAGGAAGGTTCCCAGTGAACCTGTCAGAGTGTCTCCTTGACCACCACTGCGCTTCAATCCTCCCTTGACATCAGAAATTATACTGGTGATACCATTAGAAATCACATCATGGGGGCCCTTTTGGACGATGGTCACACCACCCAGGGCTTGAGAAAGCTGCTCGCAGGCTTCGGATTCTTTGCTGATAGCGTTGCTGCCCCCATCTTGTGCAATTTCAGCGGGACTGGACACTTTAACACCCAAAGCTTTGGCTAGTCGACCGAATTCGACGACGTTGGGCGTCAGAATACAGTTCTTATACCCCTTGACCAAATCCGGGTCTTCCGTGACAATAAGGAGTCCATCTGCATCGAGCACAAATGGAATTGATTGGGACCGCGCTTCTTTGATCACTTCTGTGACCACTTGGAGGGTCACACTGTCGCGACCAAGACCCGGTCCAATCACGAGTGCGTGGAGACGAGACAGCATCCCGATGATCGGTTTTGCCAGTGATGGCGCATCACTTGAATTGAAATCATGAACGGTCTCGCTGCTGGGCAGCAGTGGGTGTACCATCAAGTTAGGTGAATATCCCTTAACGACCTGTACGCGTGCGATATTTAGCCCTGCCCAGGTGGATCATCCAGACCGTGAGCAAACTTACCGGTGCTGCGGATCGTTCACAGACAACGTGGCTCTTATTGCGGTCAGTCACTTGCGCTATATTTTGAGAACATTTCAACACACCATGTCACATCCTATAAGTCTAAAGTTAGCACCGGTTAATCACTGCGTACAGGGGTAGAGCACGTACCGAGTCTTGCGGAGGCCATAGCAGAAAAGTATGGAGCTCCGGTATAGCTTAGGCGGATTAGCGATGGAGTTTCCGGGCAGCATTGTTCGAACAAGACACCTACTCTGCGCAGCCTCCAATAACGGCCACCCGACCAAGTTGGCCTGTTGGGCAGTCAGTTTAAATCGCTCTGTAGTGGCCCCAGGTGCGGTCGCCGACGGGTGATCATCCAAAGATCAACATACCTTTATGGAACTTCTCGAGCATTGGGGGTACGATCTTGCGCACTTTACTGAAAAGCATCTTTGACGATACCGATACATGGTGAACGGACTCCATAATGAATATGCGGAATTGAAGGAGAGTGAAGGGTGATCGCAAAGAAGAGGGCTACAAGGTACAGTGATGTCACCGCCAAGTGGGGTCTCGAGAACCTGATACTCCAATGACTTCAATACAAGCTACGCTGTAAGCACTTCCAAGGTTACAGGATGCTTTGCATAGGAAAAGCAAGTTGGTATTGGAATGACGCCCGCTATGGTTCTTCAAAACAAAAACTAGGGCACCCCTTCTATGGACACCCCCGAACGCTCATGATGCGGAGTTTGGCACAAAACAAAAAAGGAAAAGCCCGACCAAAACAAAAGAGATCGAGAGAAATGACAGTACCAAAAATAAATATAACGTGCACGCAACCAAGGCGAGTGGACGACTCAACGCCTCCGAGACGCCAGCTCTGCCATTCGTGCAAGTTTCTCTTTCTTTGCAGCCATTTCTTGCCGCAGTTCTTCCTCATCCTCTCGCTTCGCGAATTTCAGCGCAGCCGCTTCCTCGCGGTCCACGTCATCCATTCCAGCTTCCATGTCGGATGATGCGTCTGAGTAGTAATCGTCATAGCCACCGTAGCCACCATAATCACCTTCGTCTTCTTCGTCGGTGGCGAGGTACTCGTTCTGTCGCGAGTTCCTAGATTGATGGCGCCGGTCATAAGCACCGCGTTTCGACGGCAAGCCCGCCGTGCCGCGATATGTGGGCGGCTCAGGGGTCTGCGTTGGTTTCGCGGTACCCTTGTAAGATAGCTCCTCGGTACCGCGCTGCCGGGCAGGCTTGTCTTTGCTAGAAACACCAGGCACAGCTTTCTTGCCCGAGCGCGCTTGTTTTTCCTTCGCCTGTTCCTCCTCTTGCCTTTTTTTGCGCTCGATTTTGCTGAGTCTTTCTTTGGGTCCAGCCTGGTGTTTCAACATGCCTACCTGGACGGGCGCTTTGTCCTGGGCGGCCTTAGCCTGCGCCATGATCGCTGCAAAAGATCCTTTGGGCGGTGGTTTCGACTGCGCAGCGGCAGCTGCGGGTGTAGGCTTGGCGGCTACTTTGGGGGTTGAACCTGCTCTTGTCGCAGCAGATGAGTTGCCTTTGACTGCGGGGTTTGGCGCAGCTGGTTTAGGCGGTAAAGGCTTGGAGTTGGCAGACGAGGAAGGCTTTGGCACAACTCTTGATGTCGCAGGGGAAACAGCCGATTTCACTCCAACTGTAGGCTTGGATGCCACAGGCCGATTTGGCATGTTGGTGGCTTGAGGTCTGGGTGGGCGAGGGAGCGGTTCATCGGCCTTTCTCTTTGTTCCCCCAACATTTCCACTGGTCGGAGGCGCTTGGCGTACAGCGGACGGTTTGCGCTCTTCTTTCTTAGGTGCCGCAGAGGGGACAGGTGAGGAAGGCGCCTGGGATAGTGGGGGTTGAGATGGCTTGCCCGTCTGAATAGACGAGAGGATGGAGTCAAGGAACTGTCAAAGTTAGCTCAAGACCGACCTGAAAGATGAGAAAGATATCCATACACTCATTTTATCGATGTGAGAAGAATGACCCGATGGGGATGATTTTGAGAAGTGATACAGAGAAGAAGTCACGCTCACCGTCGATATTTGGTACGACTAAGTAACTTCATGACTCCGAGCCTGATACCGAGAATAGATCTCAGGCCCAGTTCACTCTGGAGTTCCTGCTATATTGCGGATATAACGACAGAAGAGAACGTACTTCCCGTCTTGGGCCAGAGCTTCGTAGTTGGCAGTCGATCACGGAAGGAAGATGGTGGAAAGGTTAGAGGTGCTAGATAGGCCAACATTCAATTATCAAAGCTGGACCCAGTATGGCAAAAGCTACCACGTGATCTTCAATCCCCTGCGCCACAGTTTCTCGCTTAGAAGTCCCGCCGGCACCAGCCACACCCACTCGCACCACCTTTTTTCAAGATTTTGGCGCTTCGGTTAATCCTTCGTCAACCAACCCTCTTCCACCAGAACTCGACGTTGCAGTCTCCGCCCAACTTGCGGTTAAATCGATTGTTTCTCTTGTTCAGAACTTAATCAACAACGGTATGTTTCTATCCTTCCTGTCACTGCCTGCAGACTATTGCGCTTTCAAAAGTGCGGTCGCATCTGATCTACAATTTGGTGTGCGATACTGACAAAAATCTGGAACAGTCAATTCAAAATGAAGTACCTCGCTGCCTACCTCCTCCTCGCCCTTGCTGGCAACGAGTCCCCCCTCCTCCGCCGACATCAAGGCCGTCCTCTCCTCCGTCGGCATCGACGCTGAGGGTGACCGCCTCGAGAAGGTCGTCTCCGAGCTCCAGGGCAAGGACCTCAACGAGGTTAGTGATACTCCAGAATCTTGGCCTACAGACTGAACAATGTGCTAATACTTCATTACAGCTGATTGCTGAGGGTTCCACCAAGCTCGCCTCCGTTCCCTCCGGTGGTGCTGCCGCTGCCGCCGCTCCCGCCGGCGGTGCTGCTCCCGCTGAGGAGAAGAAGGAGGAGAAGGAAGAAGAGAAGGAGGAGTCCGATGAGGACATGGGCTTCGGTCTCTTCGACTAAGCGCATTCCTTTTAAAGGTCTCAAAAAATACGGTTCTGGGAAACAGATGTTTGGTTGGGTCGTCAATCCCGCAATGTCTTGCGCCGGCTTGCTTCCGAATCTCATACGGTTGAGACTGTTTAATTACAGTTGCAACATTTTCACGTGAGCTGAAATATGCTCCTAGCCAATACATTCCATCTGGCTTCCATTACATTCAAACTGTAAAGTAATATTCGCGGACGATCGCTGGGGCATAATTAACCCCAAAAGGATAGCGCGTAGCCATATCCACCACTAGAATCATAGACATGTCCATCTCCGAAGGGCCTAGGGCCTCTTCGATATCAAGGCGATACAGAAATTATAATACCACCCTGTTACGGAGATAGGGTATTGACAAATCGAAATGAGCCAAGAAAATGCTTGTGAAATATAAATTACACGAAGTTATTACAATTTGATACAGATGTTTCGGCATAAATTACATGTTTCCCAAAGCGGTATAGTGCATAGGGCTTGAACCTACCCGTCGCTTAACGAGCGGCGCCCACTCCCAAACCCAGCGTGCTAGCAGCCCGACCGCTTAGCGACACGACAATTTCCGACAACCCATCTTCCTTCGCTTTTCGTACGTTCGAGAAGCGAGCTAACAGGAACTTCTGCAAAAATGGCTGACCACGAATACGTGAGTTTTTTTCTTCGACCCGCGAGCGCCTGCGACATACTAACATGACTTTTCATCTAGAACGCCGAGGAGGCTGCCGGTACGTTATGAAAGCACACCCACATTCACGCCCATCGCCCGTCAACAGAATGATACAGCCAAGCAAGAGGGGGACTTTGTTTTTGATCGACTTTTGGGATAACAATGGAATCGATTTGTTGGCGGGGCAGACGCAGGATTGATGGAAACGACACCGAGATCGCAGACGCTGACTGAACTTTCGCCAAACAGAGATCAAGAAGAGAAGACAGTTCCGCAAGTTTTCTTACCGCGGTATCGACCTCGACCAGTACGTTCCACCACCAACCACCCATCCCATCGAAAGTCGTTCGCAGTCGGCACCTCGTGAGACATGAATCCAGGGTCTACATTCGCCATTCCAACAGCCCTGTTGGTACATCACCAATCATACCCCGGTTTTCTGCTCACCTGGTGCCGCGCCTCGATCGAAATTTCGCTATCTTTGTTTTCAAGGACCCAGTCTGACTGAAATTTACAGGCTCCTCGACCTCTCCTCCGAGCAGCTCCGTGATGTCGTTCACGCCCGTGCCCGCAGACGCTTCAACCGCGGTCTGAAGCGCAAGCCCATGGGTCTCATCAAGAAGCTCCGCAAGGCCAAGCAGGAGGCCAAGCCCAACGAGAAGCCCGACCTCGTCAAGACCCACCTCCGTGACATGATCGTCGTCCCCGAGATGATCGGCTCCGTCGTCGGTATCTACTCCGGTAAGGAGTTCAACCAGGTTGAGATCAAGCCCGAGATGGTTGGCCACTACCTGGCTGAGTTCTCTATCTCTTAGTATGTGCTCCCTGATACCCAGTTTGCATCTTTGGATATCTCTAACAACCTCCCAGCAAGCCCGTCAAGCACGGTCGTCCCGGTATCGGTGCTACCCACTCTTCCCGTTTCATTCCCCTCAAGTAAACGATTTCAAACGATTCCCCTTGGAGTGGCGTGTGGAGGAAATGGTGCTGGGAAAGCAAAAAATGGAATTCAGCAATATTCGCAACTGGGCTCTTTTTTTCAGCATGTATTTCCAGTTCGGGTCAGCTGTGTCCTGCTCAATTTAAGATCTTGTCGGCATGAAATCATTCAATGATCTTGAGACGACTCGTCGAGAGCGACGAGGTAAAAAACATGCCCTTTCCCCGGCCTTGCTTTGGTGCTGGAGAAGGCGTATAATCTAACGACACTACAACTTCATCGATGTGAACATCTCGTACTCAACCGACTAGAAGTATTTTAGAGTGTACAGTTGCACCTGCATGTCTGCCTGCGCCGAGAATCATGTCGTTCCACCCGTGAACGTGTAAATCCCTGCATTGAACATTGTCGCAAACTTTCGAGTGGACGTAGACTCTCGATCACCAAGTAAACACTCCCGAGGTCTTACTTTGCAATCCTCGAAGTTCTCTAGCCACTCAGCCATACCTGTGCTGCATACTGCTTCTAGCCTCCAACAGTTCTCAAACGTTGGAGATACCCCACAATCACAACACGGACATTGATCAGCACTCGTCATACCCCGAGGGCACGGATAGTTCTTCATGCACGGCGAGTCAATCGGTCTCTGCCTACCCCGTCCCCAGTCCGGACATCCATTGATCGAATTACCTCTTTTCAATCATATGCTCTTAGGTATGTATATTTTAGAAATGAAGGAGTGATTAGTGCAGGCATGTTCAGGTGGATGTGAAATATGTAGTGATCCATTGGTCATACATTGGAGGTAAATATATCTGGGGCACAAGATCCTCCCGAGATTTAAGCAGATATGCAAAGGCTTGATCACAACCCAATTCCAATCACGTCGGGACTGACAATACATATTTCCTATTCCCTGGAGGGACTGAACAGAAGAATACCTAGTCCATAAAGTCATGAATATTAGGCATCGAGGGTGGGTTACATCATCTCCGAGGTCTTTGAAAAAAAATCGCCGAGATGGCCGAGCCGGAAAAGTCTACGTAGAAACACCATCCATAGACGTAAGGACAAGTGGTAGATATGAAAACAGCGACATCCAATAGCAGTGATATTAATTTCCTCAAAGATTCAATGATATCTTGCGTACAAGATGTTCGTCCCCTAAGAGGCTTGAGGGAGATAAGACACCACCGAAGTCCCGGATGTGGAGTAGAAGCCTTCGGGTATTGGGGTTCTGACCGATGCAACAATGGACCGAGGCAAGCCGCGATTTGACACTGCGGAGAAGGTCCATTTAAATCCTTGGAGTCCAAATTCTGTTTCTTCTTTCATTTAAGATCACCTTTTGCCTACTTGTTCACCTTTGAGCCTCACCTTCCCCGGATCGGCCTGTCTTACTTTCCCCGCATTATGCCCGTCCCCTCCAATTATCCCCCCGTCCACATCCCAGCGGAAGACCTGTGGACATTTCTCTTTGAACGCAAAGACAGAGCATACCCAGATGATAAGAGTGCGTGTGACTCCTTGCAATTCCCAACAACAAGTTCTTTGTTCCTCATACTGACCCTGTCACAGTCCTCTACCAAGATGCCGAAACCCAGCGCCACTACACATACAAGGCTCTCCGCGAGGCCTCACTAGACTTTGGTAAAGGGCTGCGCGCTGTCTACGATTGGAAGAAGGGCGATGTTCTCGCTCTGTTTACCCCGAATAGCATCGACACCCCCGTTCTGATGTGGGGGACTCTATGGGCTGGAGGCGTGGTCTCGCCAGCCAATCCGGCGTATACGGTTGATGAACTCGCATTCCAGCTTAAGAACTCAGGCGCAAAGGGGTTGGCTACGCAAGCCTCGGTGTTGTCTGTTGCAAAACAGGCCGCCAAGAAGGTCGGCATGAGCGAAGATCGAATCATCTTGATTGGTGACCAGCGCGATCCGGAAGCGCGGGTCAAGCATTTTACCTCCGTGCGCAACCTCTCTGGCGCTACCCGGTACAGGAAGCAGAAGGTGAACCCGGAGAAGGACGTTGCGTTCTTGGTTTACTCTTCTGGAACCACTGGTGTGCCTAAGGGCGTTATGCTGTCGCACCGGAATATCGTCGCCAATATCATGCAGCAGGTCATTGGTGAAGGTGGTAAATTGAGTTGGGATGGTGGTCACGATGGCAAGGGTGACCGAGTTCTGGCATTTTTGCCATTCTATCATATCTATGGTATGCTCTCCCTACCACCAGAGGCGATACAATGCTGACAAAAAATGCTTTCAGGATTGACTTGTTTAATCACTCAAGCCCTATACAAGGGCTACCACCTAATTGTGATGTCTAAATTTGACATTGAAAAGTGGTGCGCACATGTGCAGAACTACCGATGCACATTCAGTTACATCGTCCCTCCCGTGGTGCTGTTATTGGGCAAGCACCCGGTAGTGGACAAGTATGACCTATCGAGTTTGCGGATGATGAACTCCGGCGCCGCTCCTCTCACACAAGAGCTAGTGGAGGCAGTCTACTCGCGCATCAAGGTTGGAATCAAGCAAGGATATGGCCTCAGCGAGACCAGCCCAACGACACACTCACAACAATGGGAGGATTGGCGTGAAGCAATTGGCTCGGTTGGTCGCTTGATGCCCAACATGCAAGCCAAGTACATGACAATGCCCGAGGACGGCTCCGAGCCAAAGGAGGTTGCCGTGGGCGAGGTCGGTGAGCTCTACCTCAGTGGGCCTAATGTCTTCCTCGGCTACCATGAGAACCCAGAGGCGACCAAGGGTTGTCTTTCCGAGGATGGCTGGTTCCAGACTGGCGATGTTGGTTTCCAGGATGCCAAGGGCCACTTCTACATCACCGATCGTGTCAAGGAGCTCATCAAGTACAAGGGCTTCCAGGTTCCTCCTGCTGAGCTGGAGGGACTCCTAGTTGACAACGATGCCATTGATGATGTGGCAGTGATCGGAATTGAGAGCGATGCGCATGGCTCAGAAGTTCCCTTAGCTTGTGTTGTTCGCAGTGCTAAGAGCAAGTCTTCAGGGAGAAATGAGAAAGAAGAAGCAGACAAAATTGTCAAGTGGCTGGATAGCAAGGTCGCCCATCACAAGCGCCTGCGTGGCGGTGTACAGTTTGTGGATGAGATTCCTAAGAATCCCAGTGGGAAGATCCTACGTCGTCTGCTCAAGCAGAAGTTCAAGGAGACGGCCAAGGCACCCAAGGCCAAGCTGTAAAAATCTCTTTGCTTGGACATAAAGCAATATTCGCAGAGTCAATAATGATCATATGTTCATATAGATGTGTTATAATCCCGAAATAAGTAATCGAAGGTATTCAGCCGTAGGCCACAGACCTTCATAGAATATGCAGAGCTCAGAATTTCGAATCTAATGCATTAAGGAAAAAACCTCTTGACCATGCCCTCAACATCCTCTCCCTGCACAGCATCGACCTTCTCCTTTGCAACTCTTTCAACGGCCTCTTCAACAGGCTCATCCCCATTCACAAGATCAATCCAGCCTTCCGTATCTTCCCGCGCAAGCAACTGATCCGCAACAATGGCAACATCTTCCCTAGTAACGCTACCGCGTCCCTTAGGCGTGATGCCCAGCTCAACCTTCCGCGTCGCAGGGTCATCCTTCAGAATACCCGGACGCAAATTGATAGCCTGGAATGGGCGTTTCGAAGCTACGGGATCCCGCTTTCGCTGCGCCGCCAGCGCAGTCATATATTCGTCGGCTTCTTGTTTGGCTTTGGCGTATGTGGGGAGAACTTCGGTGTTGGTCTTTACAACACCCGCCCACTCACTATCCGGCATCCATGACGGCTGGGTCTTTCGACTTCCGAGGTAGGAGACCATGAGGAATTTACTGACGCCAGTTGAGGCGAAAGAAGCTGTCAAGAAGTGCTTGGCGGCTTCTTGGTCGATGGCAATGGTACTTGAGGGTCCACCCTTGCCTCCGGCGCCTGTGAAAAAGTGTTAGTCTGGATTTGATTGGCAATCTAGGCTTTAGCGTTTCAAGTTTAGGATTCGAAAGCTGTCCCGTGTGCATGTTTTGGTAAAGTGGGGGTGAATCCGTACCGGCCGACCAGACCACATAGTCAGGTGAGACTGTATCAATGATCTTCTGGGCATCCGAGGCGCTCTTTACATCTTCTAGACTCGAGACAAGGACATTGAGTTTTCCCTTGAGTCCCTGGCCTAGAGCTAGAATCTCGCTTTCATGGGCGGGGTTGCGAACTACGCTGGTCACGTTCCAAGCGCGTTTGAGGAGAAGAGGTGTAAGGTGCAGGGCGACTTTGCCGTGACCGCCGAGGAGAAGGACTTGCATTTTGAAATGTGGTTATATGTGCAAATGAACGAAATTTGATGCTCGAGGCGAGGGGCCTCCAGGGCTGAATTTATGTGCGGGGACACTATTGCGTCACTCGATAGCGACCAACAAATGCTTACTTCAAGCTTGGGTCCTGACCCACTTCTTGACTTATGAAACGGCCTGTGATTGGCTTGCGGATGGCTGCGGCTTGTTGATGCTGCGGCCCGCTCCTGGCTACGGCGCTCTTCTACATAGACATCACCATCCGTAGATATCCCACGGTTCCAATATTCACTCTCCTGGAATTCGGGAGGTTTACTGTTTACACAAGGAACTTCTTTGCGGATATGGAAAAATATATTATTTGAGATGGCCCTTGAACCTTGGGGCCAATCTCTATATTTAAAATTACAACCTCAGAAATGTTGAAACCATTCTGATCTGCAGCAAATTTGACAATCTACAAATCACACAGCCCCAGACAAGATCAACAGGCATTTAGCAAGAGGCACCGGAGGGCACGTTCTTGCACTTGCTGCTGGTCTTACCGCCGGAGACCTTGTTGCCAGACCAGGTCCAGTCAGAGCAAGAGCCGTCACCGCACAGAATGTAGACATCAGTAGCGCTGCTCTTGACGGTACCAGTGACCTTCTCGACAGTGAGACCGGTGATGGGAACGCCGGTGGTAGGAGTGCCAGTGGGGCTGCCGTTCTCGTAGTCCTGCTCAATGACGATACCGTACTTGGCGATGTTGGACAGCTCGATGTTGGAGAAGGTGACGTCGGCGACCTCACCGGTGGCCTTGTAGATGGTCTTGATGCGGATACCGTTGTCGGAGTTGGTCACAGTGGAGTCAGAGATAGTCACGTTCTTGACGTTGTTGTTGTCACGTCCACCGACGGAGCCGATGGAGAGACCGTGGCCGCCGGAGCAGGTACCGCCAGTGAAGATGATGTTCTAGCGTGTATTAGATATTGTTCTGTATTGAAGTGCGAGGGGAAGCTTACCTCGCCAGAGTTGATGGCCAGGCAGTCATCCTGGTTCTTGATGTTGGCGTTGCTGATGGTGATGTAGGTGGACTCGCCGACATCGAAGGCATCGGTGTTGTGGCCGCCGTTGCTGTCACCGGCGGAGTTGTCGATGGTGATGTGGTCGAGAACAAGGTTGTCGGCCTGGACACTGAAGGCCTGGACGGGGGTGTTCTTGACGTTCAGACCGGTGATGGTCGAGTCATCCAGGGAGTGGGCGTAGAAGAACTTGGGCTTGGTCTTGCCGCCGTTGGTTCCCTTGCCGTCCCACCAGCTGGCACCGCCACCGTTGATGACATGGCCGGAAGCACCGTTGACCTCGATGTTCTTACCGGAGAAGCGGATGAGGGGACCCTTCCACTCCTTGTAACCGAAGGTGGTCTCACCCTTGAAGGTGACCTGAAAAGCGGTGTTAGTTGTCTAGTTCCACAATGGCCGTTATTGCAAACGAAGCATACCTTTGTGCCGTCCTTCAGGTTGGACAGATCGAGGGTCTCACCGGCGGGGACCTTGATGTTGTCCAAGACAATGTTGGAGCAGGACTTCTTGCTGGCCTTGGCGCTAGCAGCGGAGGTGAAGGTGCAAGTAGAGGAAGAACGCTCAACAAGCTCCGACACAGTCGAAGGAGCAGGGGCGGCAGAGACGGCAACGGCGCCGAGAGCCAGCATAGACAGAATAGAGGTACGCATTTTGAAGTAAATGTCCGATCAACAGACAAGTAAAAGAGTGAAGGATTCGGGGCTAGCCCAAGTATAGAATGTGATAGGAAAAGTAAAGAAGGAATGAATTGGTTGGAATAAGCTATGCCACGGTGCTTGGCCTTGATATTTAAATGCTGCTTCTCTGCCTTCGAGGGCTCTGCCCCTGCGCTAGCACCACTATGAAACGGGGCCGTGGCTGTCTGCCACCGTCCATGGATGTTGACCCCTGTTCTTCACGGGGCCAGACGATTGGCGGATTAATCCAGTATGTCGGTATGCAGGGACCTTCTAGATGGTTCAATTGATTAATCTTTAATGACTTCGGCTGGAAGTGGAAATCCTCCGAAACCAAGCTATATTCGTCCCCACCAGGCAAGCCCGGGATATCGTCGGGTAAAGCTTCTACGGGGCTTTCGGGGGTCTTCTCGTTTCAGCGTATGAACTCCTGATGATCCAATGGGAGATCGCGATTGATGAAGTCTGCACGCTAAAATCCACCCCGTTGAAGTCTAAGTGGATCCGTTTCGAGGCTTGTGTTTCACGATGTTCGATTTAGGGCTCGGGTCAATATCAGAGCCTGCCTTACCAGCTCCACCGTAATAGATTAATTGTTGCAGAATACCTTATGAGGCCTTATGAATCAAGTTTGGAGTTAATGTGTACGCTTGGTACTTGTATACTTCCAGTTATGCTCAGCTTTAGTTACTTGGGTAGAACTGTGCATAATGACTTACGGGTAACCCCAGGGATATCTTCACAGGGGAGAAAGTGATATCAATCCAGTATATTAAGGGGGATTCAATTTGAATAGGCAGCGAGAAAGGTCCCCAAGTGCCCCATACGGAAGTACCGGAATGCAAAGATGATGTCTCACCGAGCTGTCGAGTGTAATTTCATGAGTCTTCGTTCTAGACCGAAAACATGCCATTTCGGTACTTTTCGCGGTGCACGTGTGGGAAGGACCCAGGATCCACTCTTATCGATGCAAATGATGCAAATGATGCAAAAAGAGTGCAATGCAAACCGATGGAAATGCAGATGGGACAGGAAGAAAAGAGCCGAGAAACGAGAAACGAGAGACAGAAGCGCATAAGGCTGAGAAAGTACTGACATATGATGTGTTGAGAATTGCCGAGGTCGGGCGCCTCCGTAGAGCGGAGACCCCTTCTGATCCCCAGACTTCGGTGCTCCCTCCCAGTTGGCATCAACAGCCATCATGCCTGACAATTCGGTGGATCCGACACTTCCGCCTCCAGCAGTGCGCGATGTTCTTCGCGTATGTCTAAGCGCCAAAGAATATCGATTCCTCCACGAGACAGCCCTGAAACGCGCCCCTGCAGCCCGAAGCAAGCTCCCATCTCCGTCGCGCTTCGATGCCATCGTCCGCCCCAAGAACCGCCATAGCGAAGCTGCAGCTCGCGCCTCGATACGTGTATTTCTAGGATCAGGAATCGCTTTGAAGTTGGCTGACCTTCTGCTCGCTCGCGTCCAAGGCGCTACAGAGTATGATCCACACCGACCCTTCCAATAAGCTAGTATGCTAATGCCCGATCTCACTGCAGAAAGAAAGCACGCACTTCCTTCCTCCGCTCTCCCAAGTTCCGCCTCTCAATTTCCTTGTCCCTCCTTCTTTTCATCCATCGTCTCCTGTATCGCTTCCTGGTCCGATTGCGAGCGAATCTGCGCACCGAAGATGCGCAGCCCTTCAGAGAGCGCAATCCGCGTATTTCACGCGCGCTGACTTCGCGCTGTGCCCCAGCCATCGGTGCAAGTCTAGCCGGATTCGCCCTGGGTATTGCTCCGCAGGATCAGCTTCGTCTGACCGCAGCAATTTACTCGGGCATGCGAAGCTTGGAGTTTCTGTTTAATTACATCGATTACAAAGGATGGCTGGGCAAACGCCCGGAATGGTTCGGCAGCTGGATGCTGATGCCATTTGCCTTTGCGCAGCTTTTCCACGCATTCGTGTTCGATCGGGAAACAACCCCTACGGTTTGTGCTTCGCAATGTTTAATTGTCGCGGTCGCTAATCAATGTCATACAGTGGTTTGGAAATGTGATCCTTAGACTCTCGCCCAGTTATATCCAGAGCCGACCGGAGTCGCTGCCAGATAATGTCGCCTGGCCCGAGAAGCAGGAGATCGTGGACTCTCTCGCCTCTATCGCGGGCCTCCGCTGGCCGTAAGTTGACAACTTGGCCTCGAAGTGCACACCCGTTAACACCATACAGGGCATTCGTTTCCCCAATCCTCCACCCAAACGATCCCAACACCTTGCCGGCGTCTGTGTCGTCCATTTCGCCAATCACTGGCCCAGCACATCCCGCTATAACGAGCTTATCATGCGCTCTTTTGCACCCCAACCTGCCAAACTGCAGTACGGCATTCCTGCATCACATCCTGCTCTCCGTACCGATGCTTGCGCGTTTCATCACCACCATTACTCTGGCTCTCTCATTGCCCAAACTCAAGAGCATCATGCTTGAACCTATGTCATCGATCAATGACCTGTCAAAACGCATCATCAAGATGACAGCAGTCCTGTCGCTTGCTATTGGATCTGCCTGGGGTAGCGTCTGCCTTTTGGACAAGAATCTTCCACGATCCACCTTGCCCACCAAGCGATTCTTCATCAGTGGAGCATTGGGCGGTCTCCCATTCATGTTCCTGGGCCACAGCCGCACCACCTTCCTTTATTTCTTCCGATCCGCGATTGTTTCCGCGTACAAAACTGGAATCAAGCGTGGACTATGGAAGGGCCGAAGAGGCGGTGAGCTGCTGCTGTTTGTCATTTCGTGGGCGATGATGGGCTCGATTCTCGAGGCCAACCCTAACGCCGTGCAGGGCGGAGGTCTGCGCAAGGGTCTGTCCTGGCTGAGAGGAGATGGGTTTGCGGACCCACTGGAGGTAAAGCGCAAACCTCGACGGGAAAAGAAGCCCGGTAATGAATAAGTGTCTTAAGAATAATGTTGGAAATTGGCGATGGGATTTGAATTCCGACCCCACAGTTTTGCGGAGTAGATCCTCGGAGACTGGCCTCCGCATTTTGTAGTTCCGACTTTAAAAAGGCCCCTTCGTTGGGCCTTTTCAATTACATTTTTCGGTCGCTGTTCATCTTAAATATACTCTTTACAATGTCTGCACAAAGATTGAAGATTGGTTGCGCCGGCCTTGGGCGCATGGGCAAGCGTCATGCCCTGAACTTCTTGGAGCGTACACCCCGAGCTGAGCTCGTGGCCGCCAGCTCCCCAGACCCCGTCGAGCTCGAATGGGCCAAGACACACCTTGAGCCCTTCGGTGTGCGTCTGTACCAGAACTATGACGATATGCTCAAGCAAGAAGGATTGGTGGCTGTGGTAGTTGCATCTGCGACCGCTGTCCACGCCGAGCAAACTATCAAGGCGATCGCAGCAGACAAGCATGTCTTGTGCGAAAAGCCTATTTCTACCAGTGTCGAGGTGGTAAGTCATACCCCAATCGCGATTGCAGACTAGTTTGCGGGGTCCCCGGTACCCTTGAGCTAAACATCTGAACTAACATCACTTTTTACTTCCAAGTCCCAATCTGTCGTCGATGCAGCAGCCAAGAAGCCTCACCTGAAGGTCATGTGTGGCTTCTCCCGCCGCTTTGACAAGTCCTACAGAGATGCCTTCAATAAAATGCAATCCGGCTCAATTGGCACAGCCTCAGTGCTTCGCAGCCAAACCTGCGACAAGCTAGATCCATCTGGTTTCTTCGTCGCCTACGCCGAATTCTCCGGCGGAATCTTCGTCGACTGCTCCATCCACGACATCGATCTTACCCTATGGTTCTTCGGCGGTGACACCAAAGTCAAGTCCGTTTCAGCCGTCGGCATCACAGCTGTCGAGCCCGATCTGCGCAAGCACAATGATCGCGATAACGCCGTTGGCCTGGTAGAGTTCTACGATGGCCGCATGGCTTTCTTCTATGCTTCTCGTATGATGGCCGCTGGTCAGGAAGATGTTACCGAGATCATTGGTACGAAGGGCAAGCTGGCGGTTAACACACAGCCTGCGATGAACCATGTTAATATCTACGATGAGACTGGTATTCGTCGTGAGATCCCTCAGACATATTACGATCGCTTTGAATATGCCTTTGTTACTGAGGCGAATGAGTTCTCTGCGGCTTGCCTTGATGATACTGCATTGCCTATTGAACTTGACAGCTCTGTCAAGGCTGTCAGGATTGGCGCTGCGCTGCAGGAGTCTTTGATTACCCAACAGAAGATCTTCTTTGATGAAAATGGCAACCGGACTGAGTTGTCTCGTCTGTGAACGATGTGAACGTTGAACTTTGTATATACTCATTTTTAACCTTGACAGACGAACTAGATGCCGAATCACAACAAGCAGATGCAATGGTATTGAAAACTGCCCATCCAATCAGGTATTCAATCTCAGTAAGAGGTAGCTTGGTGGGGAATCAAAACCCCGTCCTTCAAAAAGATGCTACAACAGTAAGGGGTTTGTAGGTTGTTTATCCGTCAAGTTGAATGGCTGGAAGCCACACCACATTCTTTTCGACTAATGGAAGCAAACGTATGTGTCAAGCTTTTTGGGGACTTGCACTTAACCGGGGGATAGAACGAGATGCAAGATATATGAGACTAGCCAGTTACCATCACCAAGAAATCCCCATTACCATTCGCAACTGCTGCACCTAAAAGAGGCAAAGTAAGCATCACTCAGGGACGACTTTGATTCGACGTACCTTCGACTGAGCAATTATCCTGAGCACATGTAGAACAATGATCCACAACGTACTGGACCGCATCAGCTACATCAGAGCATCGAGAGATAGTTTCCCCTTTAGCAGGATTTGCCATCCCAATAATCTTAATGCTTCCCTCGATCCCGCACATCTGAGTGGTGTCTCTTGTAACATGGCAATTTCGGGACCCCCTGTCCCTCAGAAATGCAATACAGGCTTTGGCACCACCGACTAGACCAGGTCCTCTGCCATTGAATCTGCCGCAGAATTGTTTTGGAGAATGGGTCGGAAAGGGTGGCGCAGCTAGATGAAGCAAATTGTGAGCTAATCGTTGAGCTTTGAGATATAGGAAGGAAGTAGTACGTGAAGTATCCCATCTGATGCTTTCCGTGGGATAGCAAGTAATGCAGAGGGGATGTAGTATCAAAAGCAGAATGCAAAGTAATTTGATGATACCGCTGTTATCAAGGCGGTTCAACATGGTAGTATAGGTCGAGTGATTGATCGAAGTAAATTATGTTGAGATTTGCTGTAGCATACAAGTACATGATCTTTCATATAACAAATCTTCTTTCGACCCTAGAAAGCTGTTTCCTATGTGTACTTTGTACTCCGTAGGGTTGCAAGTCCTCGCCCTAGTCCGTTGGACAAACCTTGAAGCCCGGAGTTTCTATAAGCGAGTCATGTGCCCTCAATCAAGAGGCTCGCTCTTGATTTCTCTATCATTTACAATGAATTGTATACATCAATTCAGTGATCAGGCCTCATTTTGAACGGTTGGATGAGATTATGTCTAGCCATCAGCGGATGAATGTTGTTGTGTGTTATCCGAATCTAAAGGAAACGAGCTGGCGAAAAGCGAGTGAATGTTGTGGTACAAAATAGTCCAGAATTAGAGGTAAAGATACTCCGGAACAAAAAGGCATCTTGCTGATCAAAGATACCGAATCGAGAGTGAGGTGGAAAAATCTTCAACGACTTTCGAGTTCCAAATTATGTTTGAACGGAGTAAGATAGCAACATGAGCAGCAAAACACCCGGGAATCAAAATAGGTTTGTTTATTAAGAGCAGCTGAAAAGCCCGGCTAGAACAATGGAACTTCCACTTCAATTGATCTTTGTACTCCGTAACGCGTGCAGACTCAGTGGCACTGGTTGCACCAATGTTTTAGATTCACATGTTTCTGAAGTAATTCGAGTGGGTATGTTTGCCCCAGTCATTTTTTAAGGTGGCATCTGCTGCAGCAAGGATTAACTTTCACGTATGCGAGAGACCTTAGTTCAAGTAATCCGTATTCCGTACTGTCTATCCCCACCTGGCCCACGAGCACTACACAGGCTATGTAGGATCGTGGGTGCTATTCTATGTTTTACAGGGTACGAAGTACTAAAAGCAGACACATACGAGAATGCACACATATACATGGGGTAGATCTAATCTTCGGTCAATGGCCTGGCCCATGAAACCTATGAGGTAATGATTGCCGACTTCCTTTGGTTTGAAAGGGGAGATCACTGTCCATAGTTACTAGCAGCCCCACAGCCAGCTGGGTATTGATAGGAAGGGGGCTGCTGCAAAACATCAGCTCCTCAGGGCCACCGACATCTTCACAAAGATGACGACCTCAAATGAACTCTTCCAAGGTTTTCGGTGTAGCTGAGCATGCAAGATATATGGAGTACATTGCATGCAACTATTGATTTTACTGCGGCTAAGGCTGGTCGGGACGTGGAGTAGTACAGCATTGTACTGATAAGGTAGAGATTGGCGCGCATGTCCATCATATCGACATTCCCATTGGCCAATGCCTCGATCTACAAATCCACCTGCATGTTCTCATCTGCTAGTCTTCTGTGCCTGGGATGTGGGCTCGATTTTACTTCATTCCTGGTGGTCTCGTCCTAGAGTGGCGGTGAGATCAGCCTAGAACTCCAATTAAATGTATCGTACCTCCCCTTTAACAGAGCTTAGGGTATAAAGCAGGGGACGATTCTCAAAATAATCGTTCATTATCCATCTACTTACTCAATATGAAATTTTCAATCTCCGCTTCTCTTGCTCTGCTCGCCACAGTCACTCCGGCTTTGGCTGCCTCAGCAATCGCTGAAGTATGTATAGCTTCCCTTTGAGGTGACATTACCACTAACAAAAACCACAGGTGTACATCAAGAGTGAACTCAGATCCGACCGCTACTACCCTAGCAACCTTGAGTGTGTGAAGGCCGAAGCTCCGTAAGTCGTTAAGTGCCTATGGTGGACGTAAATTTTGCTGACTAGTACGGTAGTACTGTCAAGGTCACCGAGATCGAGCTCTATCCTATCCAATTCTCGGACATCAACTGTCAGATCTACACGTACGTTGCCCGGTTCTCAAACATCGAAGCATACCTAACACAATCAGTGAGGCGGAATGCAAGGGAGATAGTTACAGCATCAAAGCTGCCGCAGGTTCGGCAGGAAAGCAGCAGAAGTTCAGCAAGGACTTCTATGCGGGAAGCTTCCAGTGTTCCGGCCTCTAGGGTTGAGAATATCATCAAAAAAAGCTCTGTTGGGGGTTCTTTGGCTATTCATGTATTTTCTTAACTACTTGAAACAAAGACTTAGCTCATAATATCAAGTTCAACCCCAAAATGTGTTTCGAAAATGATTATCGTCTTGAATGCTTCACCAACCCTGTGAGATAAAACGAAGTGGTCAATTTCATGACCATGGCCCTGGACATCTTGAATGTGGTCCAATCTATTGAGTCGTGTCACTTTTGGACTCGGGCCAGTGTCATACTGGGAGCACGTGGTGCTGCGCCGGGGCTCTTGGGCTGCAGCTCGCCTGTTCGCCCCCTTCTCTCCGTCGCCGCCTGCCTTTTCTCTCTCTCTCTCTTCTTGCTTTCTTCTTTCCTCGTTTCCTTCAACCTCACTGATGCAACGGTTTTGCCTGGAAATTCCTAGTACTCGACCAAGCTTTGATTGATTAGAACTGGGACTAAAGCTGGGATTGGACTCAGTGCCTGCATGGTGAGATAGGTTTCCAAGAGGCTGTGAGCAAGAAAGCCGGGAAAAAAATTAATTCATTAAAATAAAGGGAGATAGAGAGAGAACGAGAGAAATCGAAAGCGAGAGAGAAAACAAGGGAGGAAGATTTTAGCTTGATCGACTCAAATATTCCGGGGTAAAACCTTGGAAGCTTGCGGTTCCACAGGCTTTGCCCAGGCCAACATTGAGTCTATGGCTTGCAATTTGCTTCCAAGATTGAAGACAACTCTTTATTCAGGCAAATTCCAAGGTTGCTCATCAGAATCAAAAATAGATAATCGGAGTTTACCTGTGGACAGAGCTGATGCTGCCAAAGGGTGGGCTGTTCGCGGTGTATATGATTGGCGCAGAGTTGCGTCAATCGGCACTAAACGAGAGAATGCATGCAATCGGGTAACAATATTCTCCGGAAAACGGTTATTTCTGACACCCAAAGAGATGATCGAATCATTTCTAGTTGTGCTGATGAAATATGAGCAGGATATGAACCTTCGTTTCAAAATGTACAGAATACGCCAATGTCCATCAATCTTAGCGGAACCACGATCCCGTCGGAGGTGCCCGTGCCACTGGTTTGGGGTAAAATCCTGACGTTTAGTTGGGCAGATATTCAAGTCAGAGGAGCCATAACCCCAGCCGGTAGAGCTCGGCTACGCAGTGCCGGTCGAACCGACAAAGCTCGTGACTAATGGAAACCCCATGGGCAAAGAGCTTCCCCACTGTGGATCTTCGGGGTAAAAGGACCCTACTTATAATCACCGTCTCCTGTACTTTGCACAAAGATGAGAAGCCACTGTCGAGATGAGCCCGGAGGCGGAAAAAACAGCTACTTCCCCTGACCAAACGCAACCAGCGGCCACTCTGGGCGACAATGTGTTGCAAGGGCTTGAGAGCGAATATGAGCTCCCTGAGAAGAGAATCAATGGCGGACTACAGGCTTGGCTAAGCGTTCTCGCGGGATTTTGTATTTTTGTCAACTCTTGGTGTGTCAAACTGATCTTTTCACTACTCTCATAGAGCTAATCTATTTGGTAGGGGCATTCTGACTACTTATGGTGCATTCCAAGAGTACTACCAAACAGTTCTCCTCCCAGACCAGACACCATCGGCCATCTCCTGGGTGGGGAGTATTCAAGCAACTTTGATTCCCATGGTCGGTCTTGCAACAGGGCCACTAGTCGATGTTGGCTACTTGCGCCCTCTAATCATAGCCGGAAGTTTCTTGACTGTATTCGGGATGATGATGACCAGTCTTGCGACTTCTTACTATCAGGTAAGTTGAGATCACAAGCAAAACAATATCTCAGCTAACCTCTGTAGATACTGCTCGCGCAAGGATTTTGTGTTGGAATGGGAGGTGGCATCTCATATATCCCCGCGCTCGTCGTGATTTCCACTAGATTTACCACGAAGCGCCCAATCGCAATCGGCTGTGCGTCGATAGGATCAAGTGTCGGGGCTGTTATATTCCCAGTGATGTTTCGCCAACTGCAGCCAAAGGTAGGATTTGGATGGGCTGTCCGCTCTATCGGCTTCATCAGCTTGTTCCTTGCTATTGTGGCATGTACAATATTGTGTCGACAACCAGGAGAAAAGGCCCGGGCCAGAAGTCTCATTGATTGGAAGGCCTTCCGTGAGCCTTCATTTATGATGTTCTCTCTTTCTTTGACGTGTGTTATGCTCGCCTATTACGTCCCGATTTTCTACGTTGCTTCATACGCCCGCACCGTTGTGCATACGACTACCAGTCTCGGATTCTACATGGTTGCAATTGTGAATGGGTCATCTGTAATCGGGCGCATCGTTCCATACCTACTCGTCGCTTACATCAAGCCAATTGGAATTCTAATATTTGCCGTGGCCGCCTCGGCAATCGCGATGTTTACTTGGATCGCCGCCACTAACAGTGCTGGGTTCATTGTTTGGGCATGCTACTGGGGAGCTCTCAGCGGAGTTCTGGTCACTGCGCCTACTTCCATTGTGGCACATCCAGTGTTCTGTCCTGATTCCACCTTTTTGGGAACTCGCCTGGGCATGATGTGGGGTATCTCTTCATTTGGCGCATTGGCTGGAACTCCAATTGCAGGCGCCTTGGTAAATCTCCAAACAGCAGAGTTCTTGCGAGCGCAAATATTCGCAGGGTGCATGATGGTTGGGGCTGTTTTGTTACAGGTTTGGCCAACTGTTAAAGTTGTGCGGTATGATCGAGAACATCCTCGCAAAAAGTAAACACAATACAGTACGCTCACTTCAAGTGAAATTTCATGAATCATCCACAATACTGCTTTAATGGAATGATATAGAGTGTTGGAGTCAGCAAACATATCAAACCTGCCATGTGTACGGAGTAAACACATTCTGCTTCCAGCATGTTAAGCATATTACCTTGTTGGGACCAGGTGCATGACGACCTTGGATTAGAAAGCAAGGATAGATAGCGAATATTTGCGAGAAATCAGGCTGATTTACTTTGTCAATGATGTACGTACTTTTCAAGTTGTTTGGTCAAGTGCAAATACAGGGTAGACCTATCGTCTCATCATGACTTCATCCGGAGCTTGTGGCGAAGATTACATCCGCATCTCGATGCTACAAGAGCGATCTAGCGAACAACAACTTTAAATATTAAAACAATCCTCATATCATTTGAATTGAGAAACTCCCAAAACAAAAACTTTACATGAACTAACTTATTGAACACACTATTGTGAGTACATCCATACTGCCTCATCAAATCACACAGCGTGCGGCCATAGCTTCACGCTCTACTTTCAACCATATCACTTAGACATTCTGCTGACAATAATAAGCTCCAGACCATTCTCAAACGAAAGCCAACATGAGTGGAGACAACAGCCATAACCACCAGACCACCTCTGTCGCCGGAGGCACCAGTGCCACGCCGACTCCAGCCAACAACGTTGGTGGTGGAACAGGATGGGGCGATAGACTCTGGATGGGAGGTAAAGAGCAGGGACTGGGTCATGTAGATGTTCGTCACTCAAACTTCGAATATCATGGGAGACAAAACACGCTGACCACCATTACTTCATCTAAAGGCACCTACAGGCCGATCAACAATGGGCGAGTTCCTTGGCTTGAAAGACCAGAAGTCGCGAGCCGAGAACAAGTATTTCCAGCGTGCGGAAATGGCTGAAGGCAACGATCCCATGAATACCGCGGGAGATCCGACATGTGCCAGTGAAGACCATAGCTTTATGGGTCAAAAGCCGGGTGGCTCCGAAACTTTGCCTGGATGGAACAAGATCAAAGAGTTTGCCGGAGGGTGAGTTTCATATACGCGAACACAAAGTGGCAGTTTCTGACCGATGGCAGATCCCATTAACTTCCCCCTGAGAGGAGGCGCTTGATGTTCCCATTCCAAATACGGTACGGACGACGCAAAGCTGGGACATCTTACTAGTAAAACCCTCGAAATATAGTATCTAACGAAGCGATGCCAATCTTGTTTTCTCAAGACATTGGTTAAGGAACCAAAGTCTTCAAGTTCTTCCAATATTCTATTCCAGCTTCATAAGTAGAGTGTAGTTCGGATGGTACAGATAGAAAGGGCTAGTGAGAAGTAAGCTACCATTTGACTAAGTCATAAAGTCTAGCTGGGTGACAGCCTTTTCGTATTTCTCTTCATATTGAGCTTTCAAGGGCAGCTGAGTGAGCCGGCCTCTGCTGCCTATAACTTGGAAGCCTCGCCATTGGTAATGTATTTATAGAGAGCCACCTCTAAATCAATCAGCAGACTGGTTACGGCAGAATCTCCAGGTGGCAGTAGCTGGGTAAACAGGCCGGCTGCAATGCCTGTTTTGCGATCAATCCACTTTCAGTAGTTAGCATAACAGATCAAAGAACGACACGATGCTTGCCGGTAGTCGTGCCGAAAGGGAGAAATAGTTCAAGTGACTCGAGGTCTTACCCAATGCAAATTTGGCAATCCACTCCAATTGACAGTGCCCGCTTTTCTGCGCCCTTGGATATCTTCCATTGCTATGGTTCCAGCAAGGCAGTGATCTGCCTGGGAACTGGTGTCCGAAGACTGAATCCCAAGGACGCGCCTCATCTGAGTTCCTAGGCCTTTGGGCATGGCCAAACGGGATGCATCGCTCAGCTGCGGCCGAAACAATGTATCGACACTGGTCTCATTCAATAATGGATACCCACCACATAGAAGTGCGCTCAACAGCTTCATATAGTTGCTGGGCGTACTGAAAAGCCCAATTCCACCCAAATCATCCCTCGATGGTTGCTGCAGAGTGATCTTCCCTCGTGTGACTGATTTTCTCCCCTCGCCAACACTCTGCCGGTTTCCCATCTCTAGAGGCGCAGGGAGGGCATCGAGATGAGCATCCGGGTGAAATGTTGTTGATTCCGCGCCGAGCTTTGACCATATGTTGCTCTTCATAAATTGATCCAAGCTCATCCCTGATTTGATCTCAACCTTTTGGTAGTCAGCATACTGTATGTTAGTTTGAAACTATGTTATGCCAAGCTGACCATTCGACCAGCCCAATCTATTCCACCGCCATACCCCCACGAATTGCCAGGCCGAAATAGAAGAGGATGATTGTAGCCATCCTATAATTGCAATCATGAGCGTCTATGATGAGACTACGAGGCCGGAACTTACCAGGCTTCCACAGAATGTGTGGGCTAATCGACTTTGAGATTTTGACCATTCTTTAAGCAACGCCGACGAACTATCATAGACGAAGCCAGAGCTATGGGTCATCAAATGACTGTGGCCATGTCAGTCCGACCGACCTCATTACCATGTCGTGGGATCTTGCGCAGAACTCACCGTACGGTGATTCTATCGCTCATATCTTGCAGCCTAGGAGCGTTCAATGCGTTTGTATCTAGATCATTGTCAGCCTTAGGACTATTAACGGAGTAGACAAGAAGTAGGAGAATATCATGCCCTTGCTTCCATTCTCGAAGACCTTCATATCTTTTAGCTCTGGGATGACTTCGCGAACATCATCGTCCAGCGAGATGAGGCCCCGCTCGACCAACTGCATAACGGCAACAGCAGTGACAAGTTTTGTCATGGATGCGATCCAACACAGAGAGTCGGCGGTTACCGATTCTGTGTTTGAGCCAAATGTTGCCCTCCCAACAGCATTATGATAAATCTCCCTTCCTGGCATTCATAGTCAGTCTCAGCTTGAAGAAGAGCTCATACTGTCAACCCGTGGGAGGGTGATCATTACCTGAATCGTCGACAGCAATGAAGACCGCGCCATGTAGAGACCCCGTATCCGGGTCTGTGAATTGTTCGAGAATTCGGCCAATCTCCATTCCGCAAGTAGGTATCTTCAACGAGTGGGCTATGTAGAGCGTCAAGCTCTGTTATATCTCGGGGATCGTTACACCTTTGCGCAACAGGCCGAGGGATACCATGAACCGAGGTTATTCCTCGGAAGAGTCAAACAAGTACGGTTTTCTCATATTCGCAAGAGCTGGGGTTAGGTTGGATCCTGACAAATTCCATGATTGCCAACGGCTCGGAATGCTTGATTGCTATAATTATGTGCTGTTATGATATTATTCGACCTTGGTTGCTTTGCCTTGGACTCGATCTCGAATGGCCACCACTTTGCTCAGTATCCGACCCTTTAATGTTGTAGCCCCGAGGGCGGATGCTTCTTCCAAAGAGACCACCCGTCGAACTAGGATGTTGAAAATCGTGCCAAATGCAAGAGCGATCACAGTACTAGTGAGGATGATCACATTGTATGGCATACTGAAATCCGGGGTCGGGAGTTGAAGAAGAAGGCTAGTGGAACGTATGTAGATCGGCGCATTATGGGCCTTGTCCACAATACGAATCACCGCAGGTGCAACATTGAACCCACGATTGGCATCTGGCGGATATTCGGTGTAGCGGAGAATGGCCTTCTCGAAATCATATGTCAAGGTGACGGTGGATGCAGCAGGCACGGACAAAGATAGCTCCAATTGGGTTCCACGCTCACGGTCGATGGCAGGGCGGTAATATGTCTCTTTCACGATATCAGATGCCGGAAGCTTGCGCGAAATTCCGTCACGACCTGTAATTGTCGCATGCAAAGTATGGATGTACGGGCGCAGGAACCACGGGAGAGTTTCAAAGTAGATGAAGTCGACTGCGCTCGCATTAGAGGGGTTGCCGAAGATGATGCGCATTCCGCCGCGTTCCTGGCCGTTTCCAACAATAGTTCGCTCGGCGTGAAGGACAGGCTCATCCAGGGGAACTACAAGGTTCACTGGCTGTTGTGGGATGGTAAGATCAAACGAAGCCGATGGGTCTAGCTTGAAACAACGGGTGAACCCGTCATCCTTTTTGATCTCCTCAGCACCTCCCGACGAGAAGACACCTCTTTCGTGGGGAACACGAAGGCAAACACTTCGGTCGCTTGGCCCTTCGGTTTCTCCTAACGGGCAGATGCCATTGAGGCTTCGGCCAAATATTTCGGTCAAACTCCATGCCTTGTCATTGGTCTTTTCCAGTGGGTAGCAGGTATCATCAGAGTGATAGGGCTTCGATGTGTCACAGACCAGCTGATCATTGGGGACAGGCCGAGGAATGGGGTTTGCTATAAACATGTCAGCGTTTGATCCAGGGCAATGGCATGGAAGCAACTGAAACGTACATCTAGAGCGCTTAGACCGGTCGATGTCCAGAACCATATCTACAGTTTGCTCGATTTGGACTACACACTCTCCTTCTGGAGCGCAGACCGGCTGAATATCGACTGACATGCTTTGCCATGCGGCATCAAACAATTTATGTCCATCGAAAAGGCTAGAAATTCCCGCCTTCCCCTTGCACGGAAGCAATTTCAAGAAAGGCGTGAGGTTCTCCGTACAGACCACCTCTCCGGGAAGCGTTCCGTGTAGAAGGTGTAGCTGATCAGCTTTCGAATGGTCTCCGAATGGCTCAAACGAGACGACGGGTCGAGTAGTCCGGGTCGAATCCACGAAATTCAATGAGGCGCAAAACAAGCCAGAGAGGGACTGCGTCAGGGTAATCCATTTGGCAAACGCCCTGCAAAGTCAGTACGGGATATCGTCCAATTACTCTGGGTCAAGCATACTCATCATCATTTGGCGCATCGATCCATGCCCAAAGCTCCACGCCTGTGCCTCCTTCTTTGCTACCATTCCACGGCCGGGGGCCCCAGCTTTCGGCATCCCACCTTCCAGTTGTAAAGCGGAGGTGCAGCTCTTTGGTACTGGCATGCTGTAATATCTGACCAAGTGCGCGAGGCAGGTATCTGAAGTGCTGTTGATCGAAGGATTCTTGCGATGTATTGCCACGGAAGTTGAATGACGCTAGCAGGGAGGACTGCGGTAGAGGGTGTAGTAGGAGGTTTTCATGATAGTCCGACGAGGCAAGTACCGTGGAGCTCCACAATGACAGGAATAGCGCGACAAAGGGTAACGAGGATAGCGAAAGGACGTTCATGACTTCATGCTTGCCGCAGTTCGGCCTGCGTACTGGGGGTGATCTCAATTGACAGGACAAGAAGTTTAGTGGGGAAACAATGGGTCTCCGGTATGTGATTCAGCCCCAATATGAGACCTTGTAAGTCAGCAAGTCAACGAAATAACTTCACATTGAATAAAAGTCGAGAACCGAACCTCCACGTCCGCCGCGCAGCTCATCTGTCCCGTTGATTGACGCGGAGGCGGTGAGATCGGCTTAGCGCCAAAAGCATCAAAAACGAAAGACTTCGTTTCTCGTCTCCAATCAGTTCGCTCCCCACCATTTTGCCCTCTCCTTTGCTATTTACACTGGCGCAAGAGCTATCAGCATGGCGGCAGAACAAAGAAAGCTGCTCGAGCAGCTTATGGGAGGTATGTATCCGCCTTGAAACCCCTCAAATCTCCAAGCTCCAGCCCACTCGGGCAAGTCTCCGAAGCAAGCTAACATTGGTCTTCTTGTAGCTGATCAACTCATTGGGGCTGGCGCACAGGGTCGCAATTCCCAGCTCTCCATCACGGATCCTAAAGTCTGCCGCTCCTACCTCGTTGGCAGTTGCCCGCATGACCTGTTCACCAACACCAAGCAAGACCTCGGACCCTGTCCTAAGGTCCATAGTGAGGGCCTGAAGACCGAGTACGATACTGCAGCCTCTGCGGATAAGGCGAAATGGGGATTCGAGTTCGACTACCACCGCGAAATGCAGAAGCACATCGATGACTGTGACCGCCGTATCAACACTGCCCACCACCGTTTGGAAAAGACGCCTGATGAGATTCGGCAGACCAATGACCTTGTAAGTATATCACTTGCTAGTATCTGGCTCTAGCGTTTATCTTGGATCTCAATACTAATTCACTTAATAGCTCAAACAAATCGCCGATCTCGCGAACACGATCAACTCTGGTCTTCTTGAAGTCTCCGTTCTGGGCGAGACGGGGTCTGTTTCTTTGGCTATGAGTGAAATGCACAAGGTCCGCACGGCCAAGCACCAGAAGGAAACCGTGGAGCGCGAGCTCAAGAACCTGCAAGATACCTCTGGTCCATCCGGCCACCAGAAGCTGCAGGTTTGTGATGTTTGCGGTGCCTACTTGTCCCGTCTGGATAATGATCGCCGACTGGCGGATCACTTCTTCGGCAAAATGCACATGGGATACTCGGAAATGCGCAAGAACTGTAAGAAGCTCACCAGTGAACTGAAGGGTCGCGCTCCGCCAGTGCGTCACAACGAAGAAGATGATAACCCTTACACATCTAACGGTCGTACCGGCGGTGGTCGGGGTCCTCGCTACGGTGGTGGCGGAGGCGGAGGTGGAGGATACAGACGCCGCGGTGGTGGAAGATGGTGATCCACTTGTCTATTTGTTCCCGATGTCTGGGGCTCTGGTCCCTCTGCATAGCGCAGGCGTTTGTGTTTTTTCCCGTATATGATGCTTGGTTGACGGTCAGGAAAGTCAGGTCATTGCGCTCAATATCCATGTTCTTTACGTCTCTTTCCATCTCTCCCTCGTAGGCTAATGTTTCTATGTTGTCTAATGTACTGAAGTGGGCTTCACTTACAAATTATGTTCTACTATCTATCCTACTCGCAAAAGGATGGCGATAACGGTTCATATTTGAATCGACTAATGGATACATCACTAAGATAAATGACGGCCAAGCCTAGGCAGCGCAAGCAAAACTCTGAGAAATCGACAATCTGCACACGGTGGACTTCATTTTAGATGCTGAGAACCGGTGGACATAACATTCAAAAACACTCCATGGTGGGTATTCCCACGTAAAACAACCCATTTTTCCCAAACTTCAGTCCCAAACACCAGACTACCAGCAGGCAGTCTTGTAAAAGACAATACAAACATGACGTTAACTGTACAGGGACATGATATGGCTATCTTGGACGTGACTCTACTGACTCTACTGGGGGACCTGGCCACCATTTGCCTGAGTCTGGAAGAGAGCATGCATCAACGTGTCATAGTGGTCTGCAGCACTAGGCTGTCGGTTCAAGATATCACGGACAACTTTGAGTTGCGTTGTATCCACATTAGGCGCAGTCTTCAACAACTGCTGAATGGCCGGGGCGTCGCTTTGTGGGCCCAGCACTTGAAGTGCGGCGGGAAGCCCAGTCAGGGAGCTAGAGGTTTGGGGCTGTTGTGTGGTGTTCTGGTTGTATCCAGCGAATTGGTGAGGTGGGGTAGGAGCCATTGCGGAGCTGAATTGGGGCTGCTGAGGTGTTGACGCAACGGCTGTCAGAGGGCTCGCGGAGACGGCAGGCTCTTGGCTAGCTTGGTGTGATGGCGGTTGCACAGATGGGGGGTTGGACTCTCCCGTCTTAACTACGAAGATGGTGAGAAGCATGCGCTCGGTGATTGGTCCCTCCAAGGAAATGTTCTCAAGGAGCTCAATAAATTCGGGCATCGCGGTGGTTCCAACCTCCATAGGAACAAGGTATGTGTCCTTGACGGCGGACAAGGGGTGCTTGCCAATCACACCGTATCGACCACGACTGTGGAAGTAGTCGAACATCTTATCGAAACCAGCTTTCTGCTCAGCCTGGTCAGGGCTGGTGACTGCAATCACCGAGACATCGGTTGATTTGCTGAACTGAAGGCCACAGAGGTACTCAGTGGCTCGTTTGATATCAATGCGACCATCAACGAACAAGGTAGACGGGGCCAGTTGACTCCATGGAATGCGACCACTCAAGTCGGCGCCTCCGACATGTTTAGCTGCCGAGGAAAATTCTCCGATGGGAGGCATGGTGACCTTGCCACGCCAGATGATTCCATCGTCGTTGAAGTCCTTGGGTGAGTAAGGCGGGGATTCGGGTTCATCGTCTCGCAGGAGTTGGTCGATCTCGGCATCGGCCTGGACCTTGCCGTGCGGCACAGGCTCGCGAATATTGGGAGCAACCTCGGGGAAAACATCTTCGTGGTGATTGCCCCCCGGCGAAGGAGCCCGAGCGAAACCGTCGGGGTTGGCATGTTGAGGTCCTTTTGGGCTTGTTGGAGCGCCATCTGTAGGACTACCCTCGGCCTCTCCGGGAGCACGACGGGGTCCACTGGAAAATACGGACTCGTTCGCGCCATGATTCTCATCCTCAATCAACTCTTCTCCCTTGTGTGTGCGGCGAATGCGGGGGCCTTGTTCTTGAATAATCATGTGTTGACGTTCGGCTTCTCGCTTGATCTCTGCATCCTTCTGCTGCAGTTCCTCGCTCGCCATTTCACCGGAAGTCATTTGAGACAACACCTTCGGGGAGAGACTGCCGACAAGCAAGCGGTCTCGCAAGGAAATGTTCTTCTTTACGTTGAACATAATCGAGCGAAGTTGTGACTTATATGGTTCACTGGGCTCACCTGTCCTTTGACAGATATTCTCATACATGGCATCTTCAATGGAAAGGCCAAGCTGGTGTGCCAGGTCCTCAGATGACTGGTTTGCGCGCAGTGTCAGGGAGCCTGCTTTTAGGGCGACGGTGACCTGGTCTACAAAGAACTTGATGAGATGTGTAGCCACACTCTTGCGGGAGGGCATCAGCTCATCCAGGCTCGGGATCGCAGGTGCCTCGCCAGCATCAGCTGCCTGCGGGATAGCTGCAGGGATTGAGGATGGGGATATCCGTTGCTGTTTGATTTGTGGTCCCTGTTGGAATAGCCTATTAGTATAATTCGACCAACGTTGTGACAGGAAGGTATCGCATACGTTCTCTACCTCGACTGATTCTTCAAGCTTGCGCTTATTAGTGCTGGACCGCCGAGAATCACTAGCCTGGTCATTCTTCTCTGGCTCCGCGGACGCAGACACGGACACACCGGGCGCGGGCGAGCCAATGGGACCTGGGGTAGCGGAAGGTGCAGTGTGAACGGGCGTACTGGCATCTGTTCTGCTCTCACTTGGTCTGGCTTTGCGGCCACCTTTCTTGCCCTTCTTGCGCTTGGACTTCTTCTCCTCTGCCTCTTGACGGCGCTTGTTGGCAAGTTCTTCCCATGGTTTCTCCCCAGCTTCGATTTTTGCCAGTAAGATTTTGTGGTTCTCGGGTCGACATTTTTCACAATAGTAAAGATCCGGTTCATGGCCTTTGGTGAACGTGAGGCCCATGCAGTCGTTGTGTTGCCACGCTGAGCAATTATCGCAACAGATCATATCGCGTTCCACATCCTCTTCTTCTTCGTATTTGCCGCAAATGCACCGGATGAGCTCTTCTTCATCTTCCTCTCCTCCTTCGCTGGGACCGGGGGTAGGTTCGGCGGAGGATTTCGCGTTCTTGTCCTTCGGGCTTTTTCCCTTGCCTTTCTTGCCGACGCCTTCAGGTAATTCGAGGTTCTTGTGCTGGCCTTTGGTTGCTCGGCCGGAGCGTCGGGGTTCATCTGATGTTGGGGTTAGCTTCTTGTCTGGGACGCGCGACATCATCAAGGTGGTGGGCGGCCTTGCCACCCCTCCACTGATTGATCAGGCCGCAATGACTGAAACCACAATGTACAAAAGCTTACCAGCCATGATAATAGATGTTCGGCGCGTACTACAGCGCGTGGTGGGATAATATGTCTTTCACTGTCTTGTGAAATTGGGTAACACCCAGGGATGACAGTCTACAGGCACAAGGCGCTAAAGTAATACACAAGAAGACGCTGAATGATAGCGATGGTCTGGCCCACAGTATTACTTGAGCAATGATAATTGATCCAGACTTTGCGCAATATTCCTTGTAGCACCACGCAGTGGCAAGGGCGCGCGAAAGGTGGTGTTGTAGTGGACTGTGCAATCCCTTGCTGCGCGTCAAATCAGAAGTTGGTGGTGAGCGGGGTCGCGTGAATGTATCAACTGCAAGTCGCGATCTCTTGACAGCGAGTTGATGAACTGAGTTGTGCAATGTCAATTAAGTAGTATCTGCGCTTGCTGGTATCAGATGGTGAAGGAGCGTAGCGCGAGAGAAGAAAGGTGAAGGGAAGATGAATGAGCTTGGGGTGTGAGACGAGATGAAGTGGCTTGGCTCCCGTTCCAATATTTGTCATCTCAGCACGTGATTCGATCGTCAGCCACAGGTTCGCGCCGCAAGGTATGAATTATTGAGCTTCTCCAGGTTCCCCACTCGTCATCACAGGCTCTGATTTAAAGCCGAGGCCAGTCCTACTTGCATCCTTCCCTGAATATTCCTGCATAAACTGGACACTGCTATTCACGCTCCGACACACCTTTCCACATCACTCAGAACATACATCATGGCCGACGTCAGATCACTACTTCGCAATGAATTAGCTTCGCGCAAGGGTACATCCCAACCAAACACAACAGGGAATCGAGTGACAAAAAAGCGCAAGGTTGACAGCTCAGATGGCGTGGTTCGGAAGAAGCTACGCGCAACTGAATTGGATGCCTTCCAATCTGTATCTGACGCACCGAGCACCGACCACACCACGGCGGATGAAGGTTCAGAGCAACTTGAGGAGGATGCCGCTGGCCCAGCACCTGCTGCTGAGCCAAATCAGCAGAGCTCTGATTTTGTCGCAAACCTTGCCGAGCAACAGACAACCATAGTTTCGCCACAGCCCCAGTCTACATCGGTGGATGAGGATGAATGGGCCGCATTCGAACGCGAGGTTGCCGAGCCCTCACGTGTACCCAATGCACCGGCTGCCGTCGCAGCGGAAGCCACAATCTCAGCTGCACCGATCACAGCCGAGGAAATCGCCGAGCAGCAGAAGAAGGCGAAGCAGTCAGCGGCCCATACCCGTGAAGCGGAGCTAGAAGGGGAACGGGAGGATGCGGCACGGTTGATGGAAGATGAACTTGATGAGATGGAGCAGTTGGAGGAGCGAGTACGAAAACTCAAACAACAACGCGAGGCACTGCGGAAGACTCGCGCAGAGGATCAGACAGCCACTGAGGCCACATCAGACGCAGAGCAACAAGATGCCGAGAGCGAGAGTGAAGATGGTGACGATGAGGAATGGGATGATTGGAGATTTAAGTGATTGTTTCGGTGGTGGATTGACGACCCGTGTACGCAGAGGGCATATACTACCCTCGTCTACAATGATACCCTCAGGAATCGAATGACCGATATGCATTGGTGAATGCTTGTTGGCGTGTTCTTTGTACGATATGATTTTGGCTGGTTATGTTATGACAAAAGTTACAGTGTTTAGTGACTATGACCAACTACTGACTTGGCTTCTGTTCCTCTCCCCCTGCCTGGTCGATCTCCATGTAGCTCCTAAGCCCGTCCTTGTTGACTCTCATGGCCTCTTCGACTTCAGCCTCGCCTTCGCGAAGAAGATGCTTGCCACGCAGCAGATCCCCTCGCTGTTTGCGCTTTTCCTCTTCGACACGCTTCTCCCTGTCTGCCAACGCCTTCTCGCGTTTTTCGCGTTCTGTGCGCTTTCGGTCGAGCTCTGCCAGTTCCTCGGCCGATCTTTGTACCTCCGGTGGTGGAGGCAAAGTGGATATATATGCCTCAATCAATGGATTGCGCACTTTAGGAGCAAGCCCGATGTAACGAATGTCGGTAATGATAGCTGGGGGTAAGGTTTCCAGGTCCGAAGATTTATGCAACAAATCCAATGGAACCGATTTCAGTAAGGCTGAGAGGTCTGACTTGCGAGTGCTCTCGGGCTGCTTCAAGCGCGAGATGTGGTCACGGTAAAATTTCTCCCGGTCTTTATCTCCAAGTTGAGAGTCTTTCATTTCAGGCTCCTTCCGGTATTTGCGTTTGAACTCCGGCCAGTAAAGCTTAGGTGTGGCGTGTTCTTGCAGGAACTCCAAGTATTTAATCCGGGGATCGGCCTTTTGTTGCTTTGCTTTTTGGTCTCTCACCAGTTGAATGCGGTCCCTGGTCCAATTGGCAAATATTTCTCGTCGGGCTTTCATGTTTGATGGTGCGGTATATCGCGTGTCATTAATGATATGACCCTCCTCAATGATGTTTTCCCATGGCGTGAACGGGTTGATTTGGAAATCATCCAGTAAGTCACGGAACAGGGCTTCGGCATCAGCCTCAGTCAATGGGAGACCTGCTGCGCCTTCCTCCCAATCTTCTTCTCCAACCTCGCCGTATTCACCAGGGTCCAACCCGTAGTCTTCACCCATGGCTGCTAGTTGGTACTCCATGTCTTCTTCGGTGAATTCCAGCGGTTGGTCCTCATCGCCGACACTTTCAGTGCGTGTACGCTTAGACGGTTGACCTTCTTCTCCCTCGCTGTCTGTGACTTCGACCTCTTCATATTCATCGTCGTCGTAGCCTGGGTTCCTGGGTTCTTCGGTTTGCTCTGTTGCGGCATTCGAGTCCACGGGTGCAGTTTCGGGTTTGGGTGATTGCCGTTTGGGTGGCTCTTCGGGCTCGCCTCGTTCTTTTCTCGCCTTCTTCTCGCGCTCAAGGCGATCAAACTCAACCACGCCCTTCAAAACCGCCTCCGGAAATTTCCAAAAACTCTCATTTGTGTCCGGATTGTGGACGAATCTCCTTCCCAATTTGGTCCGAACTAATAACCACGGAGCGCAATCTGGTATGGCATGCTTTGCTTTAGGTCGATCTTCGGGTCCTCTTCGTCCTTTATCATGATAGCCTCTCCCACCACGAAACCCTCCTCTGCCTCGCGAACTAAATGGCGGACCAGATTGCGCAGGTCCAGGGCCAAAGCCTGTCGGTCCATAGGGTGTTGAAGAAAATGGTGGTAAGAATTCAGGATTGTAGGTGGGTTGCGAGATTGGCGGAGCGGTTGGGACGGGCTCAGGAGCAGGAATTTGCGGGCGAGTATATGTTGATTGTTTGGTGGAAGAGTTATAGTAGTAAAGATGGCCTGTGAAAATGTTAGCATAGCGGACTTTTCAGTATCATAGCGCAAGTCCAACCTGTGGGAGCATGATGCTGTGTCCACCCCTCAGGCAACGGGGGAAGAGGAGTATGTGTCGAGCTCATCACAGCTATTTGATTTGCTAGATCAAAGTGCAAATCTAAAGCAGAATTGGCTCTGCAATCAATGGGGGGAACGGTAGATGGGAATGCGACTGAAGCTTTGGTGTGGTCAGGTGGTCCGAGCTCGGCGGATGACAGAGGACGCGCCAGGGCGAGTTGCCTGGAGCTTCTACGTCTTCATCACCGACCTTTGCCATCCCGAACCACCTCGATTACCACATTCCCCCGTATCTTTTGCCCTTTTTCACTTTAAGTTGCTTTCTGTCATTTATACACGATGTCTCGGAGATACGACTCGCGAGTGAGTGCAGACCGTCAGTCCATTTGTGCAGCTCCAACTAACCTATGACGCTGTCCCAAAGACTACCATCTTCTCCCCCGAAGGTCGTCTCTATCAGGTTGAATATGCGCTTGAGGCTATTTCTCATGCTGGCACTGCCCTCGGAATCTTAGCCAAGGATGGAATTGTTCTTGCTGCTGAGAGAAAGGTGACCAGCAAGCTGCTTGAGCAGGACACCTCCGCTGAGAAGCTCTACACAATCAACGAGTACGACCCCTCCATACTCGCCACCACCTATTATGGAGGTTTGGCTATGCTGTTGAGCATGTCGATAGCTAATGCATGATAGTAACATGATTTGCGCCGTTGCGGGTATGAACGCCGATGCCAACATTCTCATCAACTATGCCCGTCAAAACGCCCAACGCTACCTCCTTACGTACAACGAAGACATCCCCTGTGAACAGCTTGTTCGTCGACTGTGTGATCTCAAGCAAGGATATACTCAGCACGGTGGTCTTCGTCCGTTCGGTGTCTCCTTCATCTATGCTGGATACGATCATTTGCGTCAATTCCAGCTGTACCAGAGCAACCCCAGTGGTAACTACGGTGGTTGGAAGGCCACAAGTGTTGGTGCGAACAACGCAAGTGCACAGAGTCTCCTCAAGCAAGACTACAAGGAGGATTGTGATCTGAAGGAGGCTTGTGCCATGGCTGTCAAGGTTCTGAGCAAGACTATGGACTCAACGAAGCTGAGCAGTGAGAAGAGTAAGTTCCCTCATCCGTGTCCGTGCTCATCATTTCTATGCTGACAATTATGCGCAGTTGAGTTTGCAACAGTGGGCAAGACCAAGGATGGCAAGATCTATCACCACCTATGGACTGCGGATGAGATTGATGCTCTTCTGCGGGAACAAGGGCTAGCCAAGGTCGATGATGAGCCCGAGGCTGGCGACATAAAATAGATTAATTTTCCATGCTCTTTTTCCCGTTTCAGATACTTGAATCCAACACTTCGACTCCAATCGTCCATTCCAAGGCTCCTAGGTCTTTACTATTATACTTATCCCCAAAACGTTCGCCTAGGCCATATTTCAAGCGTGCGATTGCTTATGGCTCCATCTGTTGTTTACTTGTGACGTGTCATGCACATCGGCCCAGTCTCAACGGTGCCCACTGATTTGTGAGGTCTGCATCCCAATTTGACGATATTTGCCCCGGGGAAGCGCCAATAGATGATTCCACGTAGCCTGGAGAGACGTGGATGTGTTGTAAACCATGAAAGCCTGCAGGCAATTTGCCCGAGCTCATGCCTCGATATATATCTTGGAATGCCCCGGCGTTACCGCCATGATTTCAGTGTCCCTCCAGGGCTGCCATGTTATTTGCTCTTGCAAACACACCTCAACATTCACAACATGGGCACTTCAAAGAGTCACTGCATCGAGCTGCTCAACTTAGGACAAAAGCCTCTGAGACTTGGTCTATACCTTCTAAGGTTGGAACAGAGTATCTTGAGACATGGAGAGGTAGGTCTACGGGCAACGGAACAACCTTGGAAAGGGTGGACCTCGGAAGCACCGCAAACTGACCAGCCACCCAGCATTCGTCTTCATGGAAACCATTTGACCCTTTCCAAGGTTGCACATAATTTCAACAAAGAAGTTCTTTTCTCTGAATGGTCTTGTTGACATGTCTCATCCTATTTGGGGTTATATAAGCACCATCACGTGTGGAGTGAGGGGTGTTTCGCACTAAGTATGCGTCCTCTCCCCAAAGTCAATGCCTTCAACATGCCAGATGTTGTGACTATGGGATGGTCCCGTGGCCAATGTCTCGGATTCTACAGCTTGTGGTCTACGAGACACGATGTTCAATCGCAGCAGAAACCCCCTCTTATCCTTTGAGACTCGATCTGTCTCAGCGAAACGCTCACCTAGCAAAACACGGCGCTTATGGTATTTCTGGTCCCCATCGACATTTTTTGGGAGCCTGTGAGCCTATGAAAAGAGTGTCACGGGGTATAAACCAATCAATTCTTTCGTCAATCTGTCCAAAGGAGATGTGGTTCTCCCATTACCTTGCAGAAATTCGATTCAGACCTAATGTCACGAACAAATAATGAAACATGAAACTCGCTGCAGAACCCACTCGAAAAAAACGATAGGCAGCGAAACCTCAAGGGCAGAAGAATAGTCCGAAACAAGCCAATACAATCGCTGTACGCCTGCCAAAAACAAGAAAGAAAGAAAACACTCGTTTTGAAAATCGAAGCCAATCCTATCTCAGGAGAGTGCTTCTTCGGTCATCCCGTTCCCGTTTCAGAGAGCAAATCTCCTTCTCCAGGTCCATAATGAGTTTGTATGACCGGTCCATCGAGGCCACCAGGGTGGCCCCTTCTCGTTTCCATCGGTCCAAACGGTCGACTTCAGCGCTTCGTCGACGGAACTTGGTCTCGATTTTCTCACAGAGCCGGCAATTGCTCTTCTCGTCCTCAGTCATATTGACGAGTCTCATTCCGCATGTTTCGCCGGTGCGATATTCATAGTTGCATCGGTGAGCAAAGCTGCCCCAGCTCCAGTCCCCACACGCAAATCTCTTCTGGTTGTAAAAACACATGCCTATCAAACTCGTTAGTGCTGCATAATATGCAAGTACGACATAACTTACTTGTCCACGATTCTCCGTTCTTGTTTCAGCTTGAATGCAGGCTTGCTATTGGTTGCACCTGACAGTCCACCCACTCTTGACAAATCGATAGGTTGGCCTTTGCTCGAGCTTTCAAGGAGTTCGGGAAACGACACAAAAGTTGAAACGGATTTTGAAGGAAGTTCTTTTCCGTGAAGAATATCTATTGGACTGGCTTCAATCTTGCTAGCTTGAATGCTGAAACCGGGGGATGATTGAGAGCTTTGGGCTCTTCTGAGGGCGTTGACAGGCTTATTTATGTTTCGGACGAAGGTTCTCTCCTACGCCTCTACTCTCCTATGTTTGTGTCGTCCCACTGTCGATCGACGTTTGTCAGTGCCCGATGGCTTATCGTCCGTGGGCTCCAGTCCGCACATTTCCCATCACACCTGCCTGACGGTTCACCCGGTTGGCTGCCAGCAGCTCTCCGAATGGTGGAGACGGTATGATGGCCATGGTATCTCGAATAGAGCCACTATGAACAGCCGGTTGCTTCATAGATGCATGCAACCTTCAGCCGTGGCGACTTTCTCCCCATTATGATGTACTATCGGTGGAAAATCCCTCAATCAATGGCTCTAATCCTCCAGTTTCCAGATTCGACTACTGCAATCATGCCGTCGCCGGCTTTCTCCCCCCGCTTTCATGTGGATGCTGTTCGCATGGGCTCGTACTCTTGTGATGCTGTTGCATTTGCATGGTTGATCCTGCACGGCCGAGTCGGTCTCGGCATTCGCCAGCTGTCGTATTGATGCAATAATCAGGCTTTCGTGTTCAGGGATACCATGCCTCCATGCAAGAGAAAAGCTACTGCCTTCGCGAATGTGATGAGACTGTGGACGCCCCTCTGTGATCCACCGCAGTGAGATGTTCGATGTTGAAGCAAATTGTCGGCATCTGCAATTGTTGATTGGCTCGATATCTCACCCCCAATCATCCTTGACACAAGAAACCGACGCAACGACCTACTCTTTCTAAGGGAGTGTGTATCCGATATTACTGTCTGTGTGATTGCATACGCATGCACTTTCCGAGCTATTGCCTTCATACCCCATGTCTCTTACGCCTCCTGCATTTGGAAAATCCTAGACATTGGTTTTAGGTCTCAACATGTGGTTGCAACCATTAACCCCTGCCGTCTGGTGTGGTTCCCGCCGAGCCGTATACGCAGACATATCGATATTCTGGTCTTGTCTTCGTTCCACGCCTGCCGCAACTTCCCGGTCAATGGCTATCAGCCAATGATTCTCTTCGAGTGGCAATATTCGGGTCACTGAGGCTCTATCATTGGCACCTGGGCTCGAGCACACGGACCGCGGAATTGAATTTTCTTGTCATTGACCCCAAAAATTAGGGTGCAGGCGAGATAGATCCATTTTCGTTCAGCTGATCTTTCACTCCTGCAAAAGAGGGATCCTGCAGTCGGCCCCGCTCATGTGTGTGCTCATCATCACCCACTTGCTTCCTTTGGCGGAAACGATAGGACCGGATTGCCGTACGGTCCTCGCTGCGGACACGAACCGTGACACCTTCTACATACTGTTGAACCACATGCAGATGCACCAAAGCTCGGAGACTCTGACGTGGCACGTTGTTTCTGGCTCACTGCGTGGATTCCTGGCAACGAAGGCTGGATCGAAGGCCGTGGGTCACCGTTTGGGGACTCTATGCATGCTCCACCGGGGTTCCAGGTGCCATTGACGTTGACGAAAGATGACTGATTCCCGATTCGGACTCGAATTTCCTGCAGGCTTTTCTGCAGGCTGCTTCGTGTGGTCTGCTTTTGGTCAACCCATCATTGGGACACGAGATCGTCGAGGGACCCCTCTCTACCACGCTTACAGCCATCACCCAGAAAAGTGATCCATGGCAAGATGTTGAGTTGGCAACCGGCATCCCTGAAGGGAATAGCTCACAGCCTCAATTGCCGTCACACCCAGTGGATCTTTCCATTCCTGCGGCAATCTTGTTGCATCCAGACCCAAAAATCTCTCGAATCACCATCTGAACCCCCCCCTGCCTTTTTGCCTCTCGCTTCGTCTGACCACCGAAATTCCCTCACTTGTCTTTAGTGTACCAGAGTTTCTCCAGGCAAGGATCAGACCGAGGGCGCTGAAAAGCGTAGCTGTGATTGATACCCAACAAGCGAAGTTGCCGGGTGAAATATCGGAGCCATTTTGGTTCGGTCAAAGGGGCGGCAGGCAACTTTTGCGTGTCTTGTACCTGGAACGGCCGTACTTCAACGTTGAAATTGAATTTCAGGACCCGCATACAGCCTCCCACAGCGTCGGGCTCTTGTGATCCCGTGATCTTAAAGTAAACGGAGGCTCCCGCACCCTCCACGCGCCTGCCTTAAGCCTGCAACAAATCGTTGATGGTAACCCTACCTTCGGCGTTGAAAACCCAAAATGCCACCGCCTAGCACTTGCTTCGACGCACGGAGATTGACCTAGCCGGGGACTTATCCTCATCTGCAGTCTGACGAAGTGTCCAATCGTAGTCGTTTGCCGGGGTCCTAGTCATATGCACCTAGCGACAAATTCCCCACCCATCCTGCACTACGGAGACCTGTGCATCTCACCAGCACTTGCGTTGAGTAAGACCGAGCCTCGTTTCTTATTGGTAGATCGTGGCTCCCTTAACCAGGGCCTTTTGCCGCTCATCCGCACGCTGCCAGGTGCTAATCTTTGCATCCTGTTTTCATCTGGGTCGGCAGTCTGTTCCCCCATAATCATGTGGCATGTCTCGCATGCAGAGAGAAATTCTCATTTTGCATGAAATCTCCCATCACATCCCATGCAGTTATTAACCAAGGTGCCAAGATCAACTCTGGATTGCTCCAGGCCTTGCCACTTATTGACATGATGCATTGACAGCTGGTCATAGCAGAGAGCCAATATTTTGATGCAGTATTCCCTTCGATGCTTTTCCTAGCGCACGGAGGGGGCTCACGTCATATATGCCATTAAGGCACAGTAGTCGCTGGTCGATTAAAAACATTGAGAAACGCCGCAATAGTCTTTGGGCTCGATGCAGCCGGCGCTCGTGGATAGCATATCGGCTAAATCATTACAGGTACCTAGGTAAGAACCTTACATGCGACCTTAGCTCGGGATATGTCTAGGACAGCACCAAGGCAATTCACTACCATCGCCAAGCTGTCTTCAGTGGACAGTCTGGTTATTTATTTTAGGGCTCATGTTTAGTAAGCATTCATCAGGTCGAAGATGACGTCAACATGATTCGATCTATGGCCGAACAAGGCAGAACGACGTCTAGGATATTTAAAAGCTTCTCCGCAGTCAAAATCCACCTCATCACACCTTTTTCTTCTTTGAATAATTTCTTCGGTTGCTGTTTCGGCTTGTGTCATTGCACAAACCCAATTGCCGAGTACATTGAACTATACTATCACCCGTGGACATCCAACACGACTCAATTGCGTCTCGAGAACCCTACGAAGAGCCACATACAAACCACTGTTACAAGATGTGGAAATCACTCATTTCCACCGGCCAACAAGCAACCCGCGCAACTCGCTTGCAGTTCACAAAGGCTACTCCATCCGCCACCGCAGCACCTTTCAGCACAACCCCAAGCTTTAAGAAGGGCAAGGATCCCTTGATGGACCGCGAGGCACTCAACCCAGAGCGATCAGAGACTGCCAAATCTGGCACGGATGGCGAAGTGGCCGAGCACCCCGCCGCTTTCGATCCCTCAAAAACATCACCGGAAAGTGAGCACGAGGCTACCGCAGAAGAGAGCAGACAGCAAGGAAAAGATGATCCTTTAAACATGAGCCCCGCAAACAAGGATGTCAGCGCCTGGAGAGGGCCGACGGAAGGGGGCCCTGTTCGCAACGAGGATCGCGACTCGTCTAGTCGCCCTGGTACGACAAAGAAGAACCGTGGTATTCATGTGAAAGAGGATGGGACTCATGTGTCGTATCGGGATTGAGTACATCTTTCATTTGTTTTTTGATCGGGCGATAAATGTATATAACTAGTGAGCTAATCAACATGGACTCTGTGTACTCATCCACTGCATCTGTGACAAGGCCGGCTGGAATATTGCTCCAAGGTTTCGAGATACTATGTGTAGTTATGGGGCTCTGGCATACTGGCCTGAAATCGCAATGGGAAATTGCATATAGAGCTGGTAGTAATATTCAGATGTTGTTTGTCCTAAAACAATGTAATATAAAGTCATCAATGGAAAAAATACAAGCGTAATCGCGTCGCGCAATCAAGATGAGCCCTCCTTACTGAGCTGCATGATGTCACTGCCAAACAAAGTCCAGACCTTTTCACTGCCAGCCGGGACATCGCCCTCTAGGGCCTTAAGTCCGGCAACAACAGCGGCACTTCCAATGGCACTGGCTTCCTGCGCCCATCCATCCTTTAGACTAGAATGAACCTTGCCAGCCCAGTGAGCGACGAATCGAATACCAGCCTCAAGAGGTCTGCTCTCTTCGCGGGTTCCAGAGATCAAACCAGGGCGCAGGATGACCATCCGCTCGAAGCCGAGGGCCTTGATATCCTCCTCGATCTCGCCCTTCATACGCGTGTACGCGATATTGGAGTCCTTGTTCGCGCCGCTAGACGAGATGAGCACGTAGACCTTGGTACCAGCATCGCGCGCGGCCTTAGCAAGCTCAACGTTTAGTCCGTGCTCGATCTTATGCTGATTTTCGAAGCCGCCGGCTGCTGCTTTTGTGGTTCCGAAGGCGGATATGAAGATGCTTGGGGTCGGGCTTAGGGAGGAAAGCTGGCTCGCCCAGGTTTCAGTGTCTGTTGAGACGAAGTTGGTGAGTTTGGCTGGTGGTGCACCGCCGGCGACGGGTGGGGTGCGACGGGAGATGGTGTCCACGCGGGTTACAGAAGGGTTGGCAATCAGGCTGTTGAGGATATGGGAGCCCTGTGGTAGATTAGATTGGATCTATGTGTGATTTTTGGTATGCTGAGTGGGATCATGGAAGCTTACCACCATGCCAGTGGCACCGATTAATGCGACGTTCGCCATGCTGAGGGATGATAAGTAGTTGGTGATGCCAATAGGTGCAGGACATCTTTCGTCATTGAGGCGGGAGCTAGTCACGGCGCATGGACCCACTCTCTATTTTGCCCAGGTGTACCGAGGAACTGCGTCAGCAACACATTTGCCTATTTTCAAGAGAAGAAGCCAAAAAACTATTCTTTTGATTCTTTGTCCTATTTTCTTCGGGCATCTTTGCATATGTACTAACATTAGATGTGTTTTATCTAGTGACAGCTGCCTGAGCCGCTCAGTGTAAGCTATGACTAGATTCTGCAACCTTGGAATTGCACGAACTATAGATATACATTGATCCTTTCAATTAACCACAACATAAAATGATGACAAGCCCCGCCAGAATTCATGATGAGATGAAAAGATCAGATCTTTGAGCTCTGTGAGAGCTTCTTCTCTTCAGCTTTGTAGATCTTCACCAATTGACGCACTGAGAGATCGAGAAGGACATCCTCCGAGCCACCTGGGATTCGAGCACCCGGAACGTCGCGAAGAATGGCTACAAATTTGTTAGCCCTATAAGATCTTTACCAGGGCCTGAGAAAGGAGATTTGTGGACATACCTTCGACCAATTCACCTTGTCCAGTTTGTGTGAAACCGTTGCCACCAAATAGCAAGACTGCTGTTTGGGCACACTCATTGAGGACCATGGCCGACTTGGCTTTAGCCAAGGCCGTCAAGCCACCCAGCTGTCGATCGCCCTCCTCTTTACTGAGATGAACCAATTGGTACAAGATCTGCTCAACCCACGCCCACATTGACTCCAGTTCTGCACCCGCTTTGGCCAGACGATGGCGAACCACGGGTTGATCCATCAAAGTCTTTCCAAATGCCTCGCGCTTCAGACAGTATGAGAATGCAGCTGAGAGAGCCACCCGAGCCTGGCGGGTGACTCCAACAGCGATGACCAGTCGTTCATGGTTGAAGTTGGTCATGATTATACGCATGCCATCACCTTCGCGACCCACGATGTTGGAAACAGGAACCTTCACATCGTCCAGCTCAATGTAAGTGGTTCCTCCGGCCTTTTGACCCGAAACTTTGAGACGGCGCATGGTCACACCCGGGTGATTCTTCAAGGGAACCACTAGCACCGAGAGGCCTGCGGCTCCGGGACCACCTGTTCGCACCGCCATGGTAGCATAGTCTGACCAGATACCATTTGTGATCCTGGGCGATATAAGCGTCAAATCCAAATCGATACTTCGGACTTAATTTACCATTTCTTGGATCCGTTGAGGATGTAGTGTTGGCCATCGGCACTTTTGACTGCAGTCGTAGTGATGTTGGCGACATCGCTACCGGCCTCAGGTTCCGTGATAGCGATACAGCCACGTTTCTTACCCGTGAGTAGATCGGGTAAGAATCGCTCCTGGAGCTGGGGACTGCCAAATTTAACAATCGGCGGGATTCCAAATGCGAACCCGGCATTCAGGGAGCCCCCTGGGCCGCTAAGGCCGGACCGACCCATCTATTTATGCTTTGGTCAATCATTGAACTATGAAACGTAGGATTCTGTGGCATACCTCATCGCAATAAATTCCCGTGTAAATATAGTCCCAATCCTCGACCTTGACACCCAGGATGTCATTAATGCCCAGACGTTTCAGCCAATCCACCGGCAAGGGAGCGGGCATATTGGGCAACAACATATTATGCTTGCAGAATGTGTGGAAGACATGCTCGGGGACAGTTCCCTCGCGCTCCCACTCAAGGGCATGTTGAATCAGGTTCTCGGTCGCGAATTTCCGACATGCTTGTTGGAAGCGGCGGTGTGCGGGCGTTATATAGGGAGAAGGAAGACCACGAACATATGGTGGCTCCGCGAATGGGATCAGATTTGGTGATGTGTCGACCATTGTAGTAGACAGCAAAATTGGTGTGGTGTTTGGGAAGGGTGTTGTTTTGCAGCTGGCAATTAAATGGGGAGGTTCTCCGCAGTCTGGGGTCCCCGCGACCGAGGCTCGGTGTCTTTCACACTGCAGAGCCGATCCACAAATCACATGGCTTATGCTGTTTAAGCTTGCCTACATTTATTGAACAAAAGAGTGTCTAGTCCTCTGGCGTCCCAGCAGATATCACTCCGCACTTGGTTGCCAATTCTGACCGATGACGTCAACCTACACAAGCTTCATAACTAGCTCTATGTCGGTTATGATTTATGCATCTTGAGAGCAAATACGGAGTAGAATGAGTAGGCATAGCACTATTCGGCTCAACCTTTGATCGAGGGGCTTTGTATAAAGCCACGAAATTCCGAGGTCACTTTTGGTGAGACCGTCGAAACCCTATGTTTGAAACCGAAACGATATTCTCCCATGATGCCCTGAATGAAGTATTCACTGACCATAGAGAATAAAGCTTTCATGGATACAAACCTGCAAGGCATCTTTGCGCTTTGAACTCCCACAATCCTGAGTGCATCCTCTTGTGGGTGTAAACAACGCACCTTGCGGATTTGGTCCTGTTATTATTCTGTGCACAGTGATTGTTGTAGTCTCTCTGGATCTTTTCAGACTTTGTAGTCCGACTGAAGATTGGCCGTGCACGACTTTTGCCGCATGTTTGCCTGTACCGTGGGTGTGCGCTGTGCCCGCTGAATGTCAATGTCCATATACCAAGCCAGGATTATCGGGCAACGGAGTTTGATCTAACAGAGATAAGAAAGGAACCACGGATGTTGGATAACCGGCCCCGGGGGAGGTCTGAAGTGGGGAAGATGACTTGTGTGTTGTGTGATTTTAGGTTGACTAAAGTCGTGTTGACACAGACAAACCCATGTATCAGGCACACTTATGTATGTCTCTTGATTGTGGTGGCTGTTGTATACACAGATAGTCAGTTGCTCTATGGTAAGGTTCAAATTCTTGTGTGCATGTACGGAGTACAAATTTCACAAAGTACGGAGTACCTGCGTTGTACTTCAAAGTATGCAGGATAATCCTTCACGCCATTGGCCAATGTGGGACCCACCGAGCTCGGGATCGCAGCAGAGACCGAGTCACGTGCGAGGCACGGATGCTCCGAAAGCGGCCATGCCCATTCGGGGGAACTCCGGGGGCTTATTGCCACGGCTAGTAAACTTCTGCCCTCACCGCGGTTAATGCCACGTCGTAAAACCCTGTTTGAACACGCACGGATGAGCACGCAATCGATCTGGTGGCCAATCGCAGTTGCGGCGATCTAAATATTTGATCCCCGCGGCGCCGTCCTCGGTTTCCCCAATATCTTTCTCACTTTTCTTTTAAAAGATATCAAACTGGTATCAAGGGAGAGTTGTAATCTTCCTTTTCCAATTGATATCTTCTTCCAGTCGTTCCGGTATCAGCACATACCTGATATCATCCGGATATGGGTTCATCAGTCCCAGCTCTGTCGGCCTTGAATGGCCCGACATATGTCACAGCCCAAACATTGATTCAGCAAGTCGCTTACTTGTTGTCTGACAAGATCTTCTCTTACTCACCAGAGACTTTCGATCTTGACGCCGCTCTCAAGGAATGGACTGCCCAGAACGAGACCAACGCCAACGGCGAGTCTCCCGCCGTCAAGACCCTTGAAACCCGTCAGGGTGCCGGTAACCTGGCCCTTGGTTACCTCTTCTCCCAGGACTTTGACCTGAAGAAGCGTCACATTCCACAGGGCATCGTTGCTTCGTCCGCAACTCTTCCCTACATGCGCGCCGCCCTGGAGCAGCTCTCTCTGCTTTACTCCGTTGCCAGCCCCGTTGCCGCGCACGTTGCTGCCGTTGACTATGCCGGCGAGGACGGTCTGGTCTCTGACTACGCCTCTGCTTTGTCTCTGGCCGAAGATCTCGGTCTGGGTCTGGTTTCCAGCGGATCCGCCCATGAGTCCCAGCACATGGCCCTCTTCACCACCCTGCTGTCTTCCGTTCTTCCTTCTCTTCACATCTACGATGGCGTCCGCGTTGGCCGCGATACCACCCGTGTCATTGATGTGCTCGACAAGGAGGGTCTTACCCGCACCTATGAGACCGTCCGCAAGACTCTCGACGAGTCCCGCAACCGTCACCTTGACGCCCAAGGCAAGGTTTTGGATATCTTGAAGTCCCTGAACGGTGAGCTTGGTACCGAGTACGGTGCTTTCGAGTACCACGGTCACTCGGAGCCCACCTCCGTCTTGGTCGCCTTTGGCACTGTTGAGGCTGCCCTCACTGCTCAGATCGCTCGCTCCCTCGCCAAGGACGGCGTCCGTGTCGGTGTTGTGAATGTCCGTGTCTACCGCCCCTTCATCGAGGAGGAGTTCCTGCGCGTTCTTCCCAAGTCCACTCAGACCGTTGGTATCCTTGGACAGGTTTCCACCCCACAAGCCGTCCAAGAAGAGGGTGTTCACTCCGCTCTTTACGAGGACGTTCTCGCCGCTTTGACTTTCGCTACAGACCGTGAGCAGACTCCTGCTGCTGTTGAGATCAAGTACCCCCGCTCTCAGCGCTGGGATCTGATCTCGACCGCTGCTGCATTCCAGCGTGTCTACGACCAGCCCATTCTCACCATTGATGGCGAGACCAACGCTTCCCTGCAGTTGCTTGACCCTGCTTCCGTGCAGGAGTACACTTTCTGGGACGTCGACAGCTCCGTCACCGTGGAGGCTGCCCAGACCTTGGGCCAGGCCCTTGGTGCCGACTCCGCTAGCAACGTCACCACCAGCAAGGCCCATGACAACTTGGTCCAGGGCGGTGCCGTTCGCATCGACATCCGAAAGAGCTCCAAGATTGTCGATGCCCCCCCTACGCCGTCACCGCTGCTGACGTTTCTTACGTCGGTAACCTTGCCCTGCTGAAGGACATCGATGTTCTCGCCTCTGTCAAGGACACCGGAAAGATCATCATCAACGCCCCCGGCATCAAGGATGAGGACTTGGAGAAGAAGCTCCCCGCCAGCTTCAAGCAGGCTGTTGCCCAGCGCAGCATCCCTGTCTTCATTGTCGACTCATCCGCTATCGAGGGCTCATCCGTGGATGCTCTGGTTCTGCAGGCTTCGTTCGTGCGCGTCGCTCTCCCTGCGCAGGAGGGTGTTGCCACCAAGAAATTGTCTGCCATCACTGGCAACCCCGAAGCTCTCGAAGCCGTGACCAAGGATCTCGAGAAGGCTCTCCGCCAGATCGAGGTTCCTGAGTCTTGGAAGGAGCCGGAGGGAGTCACTGAGATTGAGCAGCTTCCCAAGGACATCACCACCAACAGCTTTGTTCCCTTCGACAAGAACGAGTCTGAGCCCCCTACTCTTCTCAAGGATTGGGAGACTGCTGCTCGCGGATTGGCCTTCAAGGAGGCCTACGGAACCAAGGATGCCCTTCGTCCCGACCTTGCCCACAAGACTTTCACTGTCCACGTCAAGGAAAACCGCCGCCTCACCCCTACCACTTACGACCGTAACATCTTCCACATCGAGTTTGATCTCGGTAACACTGGCCTCAAGTACGACATTGGCGAGGCCCTTGGCATTCACGCTGAGAACGACCCCGAGGATATCAACGCCTTCATCGCCTTCTACGGCTTGGACCCTGATGCCATCGTCGAGGTCCCTAGCCGCGAGGACCCTGCTGTTCTGGAGAACCGCACTGTGTACCAGGCCCTCATCCAGAATGTTGACATCTACGGTCGTCCCCCCAAGCGCTTCTACGAGGCCCTTGCCGAGTTCGCCACCGACGAGAAGGAGAAGAAGGACCTCCAGACTCTGGGTGGTCCCGACGGTGCCACTGAATTCAAGCGCCGCGCCGAGGTTGACACCGTCACCTTCGCCGACATCCTGCTTGAGTACCCCTCTGCCCACCCCGAATTCCACGAGATTGTGCGCATTGTTGGTCCCCTCAAGCGCCGTGAGTACTCCATCGCCTCGTGCCAGAAGGTTACCCCCACCACGGTCGCTCTGATGATCGTCGCCGTCAACTGGACTGCCCCCAACGGCCGCGACCGCTTCGGTCTGGCCACCCGCTACCTCAGCCGTCTGCGCGTCGGTTCTCCCATCACCGTCAGCGTCAAGTCCAGTGTGATGAAGCTGCCCCCAAGTCCACCCAGCCCCTCATCATGGCCGGTCTGGGTACAGGTCTGGCACCTTTCCGTGCCTTCGTCCAGCACCGCGCTCTCGAGAAGGCCCAGGGCAAGGAGATCGGTGCTGTTCTGCTGTACATGGGTTCCCGTCACCAGCGCGAGGAGTACTGCTACGGTGAGGAATGGGAGGCTTACCAGGAAGCCGGTGTCATCACCCTTCTTGGCGCCGCCTTCTCCCGTGACCAGCCTGAGAAGATTTACATCCAGGACCGTATGCGCCAGACCTTGCCTGAAATCATCCAGGCTTACATCCGTGAAGAGGGTGCATTCTACCTGTGTGGTCCCACTTGGCCCGTGCCCGATGTCACTGCTGTGCTTGAGGAGGCTATTGCCACCGAGGCCCGCAACAATGGAAAGAAGGTTGAGACTCGCAAGGAGATCGAGAAGCTCAAGGATGAGGAGCGTTACGTTCTTGAGGTCTATTAGACTGTTTGCTTTGCATCTCATGATATTCACGAGCGTCCTTTTCAAGACTTATTACCCCTTGATTTGAATATAGTTCAGCGCACTCGATAGACAAAATGCATTTCATCTCATTCGATCAAATCTCTTTGCAAATTCTGGAAACAATAAGCTAAGGTAGGCATATTGTAGTAGTCTTGAAGCATATGTATTTGGGTATTTGCTTCGAGAACCATCGCTATCTCTGCACAGTTTGTGCAGATGCTATGTCGTATCTAGGTCGTATATACATACAGCTTTTAAAAATTCATGCAATATAAGAATCACGGCCGAGGGCCAAACTTGGTCTTTCCGTATGCGCCACCCTTCAGCTTCCTCAGCTCCAATGCTTGCCGATATGGCGGCGCAGTGGGTGGTTGGATGGGATCCAGATTGACGTAGTCAGGGGGCAGAGTGTACGTGGCATCAGAGTCCCAAGCCGAAAGATCACCACAGGCAATGAACGACGGAATCCATCGGTTCTCAACAGCGAATTTGTTAGTCAATTTTTGCGGCTGGTCTTGGGTTGAAGTCGTCGTCTGGAGATGACGAACTTCAGTGGAATGATTGGGCGTGGTTTTCTCCGTTGAAATGGTCGTGGTGGTGCGAACTTCCGAAGTCTGATCAATTTCCTCACGAACCTCAACACCAACATTGCCATCTTCTGACACTGGCACTGGGGCCGCGGCACCGCCAAAGAGCGGGTTTTTCAAAGCGGCCATGCCAACGACCCCACTGTCACTGACGGGTGGGATGAAGCCCTCGCAGACAATGAATGCCTCCAGACTACTGGCGCGACTGCTTCGTGGCTTTGCGACGCTGACGCGCTCGAAGACAGTGCGCAGCTGAGCATATAGGAGATCCACGTCGCGACCGCGGAAAATCTTAGCGACAAACTTGCCACCCGGGCGCAATACACCCATTGCCAAGTTGAGCGCGGCGTACAGAAGTTGTGATTGAATGTAGATGTCTAGGTCGTGGAGGCCTGTCACATCCGGGGCACCGTCGGAGATTACCAAGTCAACAGGGTGAGGCTCCCGGATAGCCTCTGGGGCAGGAGAAGGAGAATCGGAGGGAACAGCGGGTTGCTCGTATGCTTCGGGGTCTAGAGCGCGCAGGAGGAGAGGGATCGTAGAAGGGTGTGTGATGTCGGCTTTGAGGGTTGTGATGCCTTCGAGGGGAGCCATAGGTTGCAGATCGATCGAGACAATTTTGACGTTCTTCCGGGGTTTCAATTCAGCACTTGATGTAGGCTCATCGCAGTCCATTTTATCGTCATTGGCTGTCTGCATCTTTTCCAAGCCTTCTTGTTCTTTGCTCTTTTTCTCGAGCCATGCTCTCCGCCCGAAGCTCTCGCCCTTAATCAACACCCGGCTGAGGACTTGACTCCAACTTCCGGGTGCAGCGCACAGGTCCACGACTCTTGTGACATTGTCCGGGTTCTCGTGCTCGAATAGGTCGAATCGCTCGTCGATCTGGATAAGCTTAAAGGCGGAGCGGGCGCGCCAATTTTGTTCCTTGGCGAGGCGGTAGTAAGCATCTCGCTTGTCTTTCGAGGATTTACCCATTTCAAAAACAGGCCTTTCGTGGCGGGATCTCAATTGTCTGTCGAAGTGGGTTAAATTTGCGATTGGACGTGGGGAACAAAAAGATAAGATTCCAAGGCGGACCAAATTTTCTGCCGCTTTTTTTCTTTGCGAATCTTCCGGTGCTGGTAACTCTTGCCAACCTATACACTCTGTGATACTCAGAGATATCTTGCTACATTATGGGTCAAAAGAGAGCACGCGATACCAAAGCCCCCCGCGGCTCAGGCAAATAAGCGCAAGAAGGCCGTCAAAGCTGACAGCGCCAGTGACGATGAGCGCTCCGTCGGAGTCGAGGACCTTAACTGGAAAGAGGTCGCGATGCCAGACCGGATGGAGGATGCCGAGGGATTCTTTGGACTCGAAGAAATTGATGGCGTTGATATCATCAAGAGCGGCGGAGAGGTTCAATTCAAGGTAGGACGCTATCACACATGAGATATCCGAGCGGAAGCTAACATATTCGCTGTTGCTAGGCCAAGACTGGGAAACCAAGAAAATCGATTGTGAAGCCTCCTTCTGAAGACGATGACGGCGAGGAGTGGGGTGGCTTCAGCGACGAAGACTCAACCGAGAAGTCTCCCTCTTCTGAGAAGGCCTCCGCCGAAAAGACTGCACCTGCGCCGGAAGCGAACCAAGCCAAGGAGGACAAGAAATCAAAGAAGGAAAAGGCCAAGGATCAAAAGAAGGCGAAGAAAGAAGACTCGAAGCCCAAGGACCAAAAACCCAAGGACCAAAAGCCTAAAGACCCCAAATCTACCCAGGATCGAAACATCAAGAGCGGACTCTCATTCGCGGCTCTCGAGGAGGCTGAAGATGATGATGGGGTTGATGTTTCAGCTTGGGATAGCCTCAACCTGTCCTCTGAAATTTACACTGCTCTTTCCAAAATGAAATTCAGCTCCCCGTCAGCCATTCAGAAAGCCGCTATCCCAGCCATTCTCGATGGCCATGATGTCGTCGGTAAGGCTTCTACAGGATCCGGTAAAACGCTGGCGTTCGGTATTCCCATCATCGAGCACTACCTGGACATGAGGGGAAAGCAGGAAGAAGATAAACAGGAGAAGAACAAAACTCCCATCGCATTGTTACTATCTCCCACACGTGAACTGGCACACCAACTGGCCAAGCACATTGGGGAACTTATTGCCAACTCACCCGATACGAACGCCCGCATTGCTCTTCTGACTGGTGGTCTTTCGATTCAAAAGCAACAAAGACAGCTTGCCACTGCTGACATTGTCATTGGAACACCTGGTCGTGTGTGGGAAATCCTCAGTACAGGAACAGGATTGATCCGCAAAATGCAGAAGATTCGGTTCTTGGTGGTCGACGAGGCCGACAGGCTTCTGAGCCAGGGCAATTTCAAGGAAGTGGAAGATATCCTCGGCGCACTTGACAAGGAGCAAGCCGGTGATATCGAGGAGATGGATGAAGAGAAAGAGGAAGAGCCCAACCAAAGGCAGACTCTTGTCTTCTCCGCCACATTCCACAAGGACCTTCAACAAAAGCTTGCAGGCAAGAGTCGCTGGACTGGCAATGACATGTTGGACAACAAGGAATCCATGGAGTATCTTTTGAAGAAGCTGAACTTCCGCGAAGAGAAGCCTAGGTTCATTGATGTGAACCCTGAGTCTCAGATGGCCTCCGGCCTAAAGGAAGGGATTGTGGAGTGCCCAGCTATGGAAAAGGTAAGGCATCATTCACCCTGGTAACGCCCAGGCCTATGCTAATTTGAACTCTCAGGACCTTTACCTCTATTCTGTCCTTCTCTACTACCCCAAGCACCGGACAATTGTGTTCACGAACTCCATCTCCGCTGTCCGTCGTATCACTCAGCTCTTGCAAGCACTTCAGCTCCCAGTGTTCGCTCTCCACTCTAACATGGCCCAAAAGGCCCGACTACGCTCCATCGAGCGGTTCTCCTCACCTACCGCCGACCCAAGCTCAATTCTCGTTGCCACTGACGTTGCTGCTCGTGGTTTGGATATCAAGGGTATCAACTGTGTAATTCACTACCACGTTCCGCGTGCAGCAGATGCATACGTTCACCGATCTGGTCGTACTGCTCGTGCCGGTGAGTCCGGCAAGAGTATTCTGATCTGTGCTCCTGAGGAAGTTGTCGGTGTTGCCCGCCTCGCTGCAAAGATTCACGCCAAGAGGACTAAGGGTGAAGCCGATGATGCACCCAGCAAGAAGCTTCCTCTCGAGTCTCTCGATATTGATCGTCGGGTTGTGGCTCGTCTCCGCCCCCGCATGACCCTCGCCAAGCGTATCACCGACTCCACCCTTGCTAAGGAGAAGGTGAACACCGAGGACAACTGGCTTCGTGCCGCGGCTGATGATCTTGGTGTTGAGTATGATAGCGATGAATTCGACCAGTCCAAGGGCAAGGGCCGTGGTCGTGGTGGTGGTCGCGAGCGTCGTGACAAGCAAGCCAGCGAGATGACCAAGTCCGAAATGGCCGGCCTGCGTGCGGAGTTGAAGCAACAGCTCTCTCAGCGCATCAACATTGGTGTCAGTGAGAAATATCTCACCGCCGGTCGCATTGACATTGATGCTCTCCTTCGTGGAGAGGGCAACAAGGCCTTCCTCGGCCACCTTGATCCTCTAACTTTCTAATTGTGACGCAAATTTCTTTGGAGCATGGGGTTTGTAAAAAGCATGTGATATAGTTTATACCAAAACAATGAAGCCTTTGGACATTCTACACATTGTTACTCTGTACAGAACCAACCTCGGGAGCGTCGGACCTGGCCGATACTGATAAGACGTATCAGACGATAACAAACAACACCCAAAGACCATTGGATGCATCCCTGCCTAAGCTACATTAGGTACATGCAGCTTGCAGCTATTTACCTAATTGCACAGCTTCCCCGCCTTGCCACTAAAAGGCGACTCTTTGCTCCAACTCCCCGCTCCATACTCCTTCCTACATTCCAACAACATGAACCCCCAGATTGAAGAACTGCTTGGCCTAGAGGCTGTCCGCTCCAGGGCGCATGCCGTTCTCGAAATAGCTAGGCAAGGCCGTCTCAATCACTTTAACTACCATGCGGATCGAATGGAAAATGCCACCGACTATGTCCTGAAACTCATCCAGGTAGGACCTGATACACTTGCCAACCGTGATATTAGCTGTACAGCAGACTAATATCTCTCATAGCGCGACTTTGGCCCAGACAAATACCATACCATCCCTCCTCACGGTCGTTGGCAACATTTCGAGGTCGGCGGGGTTCCCCGCATAGATAAACTTCTGGCCGAATGGGACCAGCAGAAATGTGACTCGCTCGAAAAGACCCGACGTCTGGTAGATCTTTTCTTTGTCTCAGTCCTTCTTGATGCCGGTGCTGGTGACTTCTGGCGCTTCCAGGAACCAGGGACTGGTCACACCCTCAACCGAAGTGAGGGCATTGCGGTGGCGGCGTTACACATGTTCCTCAATGGCGACTTTGCAGGCCCAGGCTCGGCATCAAAGCATACTGCGAATGGTGAGTATATCTCTTTCGATCATCTTTATACATTGTTTGCTTACCGAGACTAGGTGAGGCACTGCGCAATCTCAACATCGATATCTTATCCCATGGACTACAGGTTACCGAAGGAAACCCCATGGTCGGAGTTGGTGCCCGTGCAGATATTCTTCGCAAGCTCGGCGAGTCCTTGGTAAATCTAAAGGAGATATTCGGTTCCACTGGCCGTCCAGGAAACCTCGTGGGTAAGTCAAACGAGCCTTTCATGGAACCCTAAGTTTCGCAGGAGCCCTGCTAACAAGTTGAAGACTATCTCATTGCGCAATCTAGTGAGAGTGGAAAGCTTGACTATAAAGATCTTTGGAACGTTCTCCAACGATTGCTTCTCCCAATTTGGCCATCAGACCGGACTCATTTGGAAGGACATCCCATCGGAGATGCGTGGCCCCTGCGCGCCCTTGAACAGCAGCCTGGAGCTGAGCTCAAGCCTTATTCCAATATCCAACCCTTCCACAAACTGACCCAGTGGCTAGCATACTCATTGCAAGTGCCATTCTCCCGCCTTCTGTCAGTTTCATGGACCAATACCCACCTGGGTACTGGTCTTCCGGAGTACCGGAACGGAGGAATGCTTGTTGACATGGGGGTACTTGAGCTAAAGCCCGAGGCCCTTCAGCGGGGTCTCAGTCTCTCCGGTGGTGCTTTGCCTTCTTTCGCCGCTGGGGCGGATGAGATCGTAGAATGGCGAGCAATGACTGTGGCCCTTCTTGATGAGATGCATACTAAGATCCTCGCGCGCCTGGATGGTGTTGAGCTGTCTTTGCCGCAGGTCTTGGAGGCGGGATCATGGAAAGCAGGACGTGAGCTTGCCGCGGCCAACCGACCAGATACTAAGTGTAGTCCCATCTTGAACTTTGGTGATGGAACTTTGTTCTAGTATACTAGTATAGCCATATAGCCTACCTATATCATGCGCCATTCCATGGAAGGAGATGAACCAACGCCTGGTTTGGCATAGGTAGCATTTCTGTTGTTTGAAAAAGGTTCAACCTTAGTATTCTTATTGCTTCTTTGCCTTTATCTAAGTGATAGATGGTCTTGGTCCGATGGAAACCATAGAGCCCCCTCCCCCCAGGCCTCTGTCGGGGTTTGAATATGACTGGCCGTTTTGACACTCACACTTGACTTTGGGTTGTGATTTTCTGTGGCGCCCGATAAATCTCAGACTCACAAAATACCCGCAGAGGTATATTCGAGATTCCTCAAAATGTGGAATACATCAAACCGACCCTGGAAGGCGGGATGGAAGTGCCTATCTCAAACCTCGGGATGCTTAGGGCATCGGCATGCCGAGATAAAGTTCGGCATACCGAGCCGCCGATAGTCGGCTCTTTGGGCCCCACTGCTGGACCCGACTGATGAAAAATCGGCGGCTCAAAAAACGTGCTGCAGCGTTCCAAAGCACCGGGCCTGACTTTTAAATACCTTGATCCTCACTGCAAACCATCCGGCTTCGTGGTGTGGCTACATCGTGTGGAATATACTACATCCAAACAAACCCTACTCCGGCCTCCCACCCCTGCTAGCTCTGGCGATCCTCGCGTCCAGCTAAGAGTTTGTTTGGGAATTTCAAGAAGCTTTTATTATATAACAGGTAGGCATCCCAACCTGCAGCTGCATACCTCGCGCTAACTCGAGCGAAGAAAGTTCCATTGCAGGCCGATATCGGGCTTCAAACATACTTCCCAAAATGTCCAACATTTCACACATGGCGCGCCGCCTATTGCGTCCACAAAGCGCATTAGCTTCCAGGACAATCCCGCCGTCGATCGCTCGTCTGCATCAGCAAGGCCCATCGCGCTCAGCCGTTGTTCACGACCAAGCAATTCCTCACGACCAGCACCATGTGTCAGCTGGCGAAGGGGCCCCGTTTCTCTCTCCATCAAAATCACAAGCACCTACGTCACAATTGTCCGAAAGTGGAGCTACCAGCCTCGATAGCCTCGTCTCCCATATACCTCTTGTTCAGACCCTTCGTGATGCTCATAGTTCATACAAGGAGTCAAGGCCTCATCTTGCCATTCCACCTGCTATCCGGCAACACCACTTCGTTGGCGGCAGCTTGACTGGCTCTGGAAAACTTGCATTCCAGCCTTACATGTGGCTTTCCACTGGCAAGCCCGGATCACAAGCAAGGAAAGATAGAGCCAGCAGTGTTGTATCAGTATTCCACATCGGCCAAGACCTTTGTGGTCACCCCGGCTTCGTTCATGGCGGTCTACTTTCCGTGATGTTCGACGAGGTCTTCGCGCGCTGTGTGTCTGCTGCGTTCCCCAGTGGTCTGGGTATGACTGCCAATCTCAATGTGGATTTCCGCAAACCCGCTCTGCCGGATCGTATATATGTGTTGCGCACCAAGACAACCAAGGTCGACGGGAGAAAGGCTTGGGTTGAGGGTCGCATGACCTATCTTCCCTTAGCGGTGGCTCAATCCACGGATGCCAAATCTGCCATGTCTGATCTCAGTCTACTTCAGGAGGACCATGAGGGGGCGGTCATGGTTGCTGAAGCGAAGGCATTGTTTGTGGAGCCTAAATTTGCTGACGTGAGTCCAAAATTCCCTATTCAACCATTTCTCGTTAGGATAAAAGCTAACTCCCCTCTACAGTCTATGGTGTCTGTTTACCGAAACTAGATTATGTGTTTAGAATCTTAGAAGAGCCCTGGAGGGGCTTATTGTGGTGCGTTCGTTAGATTTATAGAGCTTATGACTGATAGACTATTTTAATAAAACATCCATGTATTCATCCATTGAACCACTTACTTTGTACTCCGAGAGGAACGTGTTACTGATCATGTTGCATAGGTACTCCGTACGGAGTAAACCTCGAGGCATTGATTTCGGGATTACTCTGCAGCCTTGGAATTAGTGCAGAGTACGCCATACTCCGGGGCTGCACTTCCGAAGGTGAATCCACCTGGTGAACCAATTCATCCAAGCACGGCTTCACTCGGCCATTAAAGCAGGGAGTACGGAGTACTCCCTGCATACTAAGTCTACTTCTCAATTCCGAGACTTAGCGGAAGATCAAGCCGCAAATTACTCCGTAAAGAACCCAATCATGATTGGTCTTGACCTTGAAATTGCCGAAGATCTTGAACGCAATCGTAGTATAACACAAGGGGGATCTACAGAAGTACTCCGTACTATAAGTTGACACTAGGTCGGACTAAACCGAATGAGGCTAGCTAGTACGGAGTATCCGATCGGATACGCCTGATCACAACCCTATTGCAAGGAGAGAATACAATATATGATAGATCGTATTGATGGGTAAAGAGTATTTAATTGTTTCTTCTGCTGGGCTTTAATCTGTGCGTTAACCCTGTCGTTCCCCTAATTGATTGAAACATTCTGCACCAAAATCCACCTACACAAGATGTGGAATTACTACGAAGGAAAATCAATCCTTGTGACCGGTGGATCAGGGTTCCTAGGCACTGCGGTTGTTCATCGCCTACTCACGACAACGTCGGTTCCTCGAATTTACTTGATTTGCAGGGGAGGTGTGGAGTGAGTCTTCGAAGCCAGGATGTTTACCTGAAGCAGCATACTAACTATTTCTCCCAAGAAAGCTTCGCATGAGGTGGCGAGAATGGCTGCCTCAAGGCACCGCCGATGCAATGTGTGACCCTAGTCGTCTGATTGTACTCGATGGCGATATTCTTCGTCCCAACTTGGGTCTCTCAGAGCCCGAGCTCGAAGCTGTTCGCAATACCACCAATATTATTATCCACGCCGCCTCCTCGAACAACCTAGCAACGCCATTAAAACGCCTTCACGGCCCTGTCATTGAGGCTACCGAGATGATGGTCAAAATCGCCCAGTCGTGCAAGATGTTAGATCGATTCGTTTACGTTTCGACCGCATACTCGAACACATACCTTTATCCCCACAGCGAAGAGACAGATTTGAGGATTGAGGAGGAGCTGTACAGACTCCCGAGTGGATGTGATGCCGTACATGAACTGGACGAAGTGAGGAACTACGGCACGAGCACGGCATACGAAGCAGAGGATTTCCCTTGGTCCTATGCCTACGCTAAACACCTCACCGAAAGACTTCTGGTGCGGCATTTCAAAAGTTCGCCCGAGAAGCTTCTCATTGTGCGTCCCGCCATCATTGGTGCTGCTCAATCATTGCCATTCCCAGGATATAATATGCCGATGTCTTCTCCAACAACAATGTTCACCGCAGCGCTGCTCCTTTTCCCATACCACAATATGAGAGTTGCTTCACGGATGGATGACGCGGACGTGAGTGTCACTTTTGACGAGGTTCCCGTTGACGTCGTCGTGGATCGTCTCCTGTGCCATCTTGCTGTCGGTACTACCGGTTGCATTCATGCTGTGAGTGGAGCTCGGGCTCGATGCAAGGGCAGCACATATATGCAATCAGTGATGAAGCTTCGAAGACTTCCTTGGGATGTGAAGCCTTATTGGGTCAAGGAGACTTGGAAATCACGGAAGCAAGACAAATTGTGTCGACTTTACGCAATCATGGGGACATCCTTTGATTTCGCGGAGGATAAAACGGTTTCGATGTATGAGAAGCTGTCTGAAAAAGAAAAGATGCGTATGCAATTATTCAAGAACATCGATGTCGAGAATCATGTCTCTGCCCGAGACCAAGATATTCGCTACGTGATGGATTACTTTGCTCGCAAAAGTTGGTTAGCATGGCTGCTTGTGATGCTCTTCTATTTCAGTTTTGGGAAGACCAGCCAGACCAGCCAATATGCTAGGCTATAACTTTTTTATGAGGTGCTATGCGAAAACGATGGTTGTGAAGTCTGTTCAGATGGTCGGTATATTCATTTTTTAATATCAATAGATAGTTTTTAATGTCAAGATGTGGCACTGATTACTTGTGTTTGATACACTGTGGACAAATTTGCAAACTCCCGATGTCGAGATGAGTTAAATCACACACTAGGAATTGACGTAACTATAAGCGCACATCTTCCAAAGCTCATTATTAGTAGCCGGCAAAATCATAAACGAGCTTTTGACAAATGTGCTGGCCTTTGCTTGTCATAATCACGACCCGTCGGGTGAAGTAGCGCAGTTCACCGATCATTTCGAATCCCCAAATCTACAGTGAGAATGTCAGTTCATAGTCACGTCAGACTTGCAAGATACCAGGGATTGGAAGAATGATAATAACGAAGGAAACAAACCTGCTCTGCTGTCCAGTCCAGTTTTTCGCTACGCTCGAAGGTGTGTACCCAATAGCCCAGGATTTTATCCCCAGCCTCATCGTCCTTTGACTCGACCAAGAAACCAGCTGACTTGGTCCAGTCCTCATTGATCTCTCCGGTCAGAAATTGTTTAATCTCCGCACTCGTCGTATTTGTCTTAAGGTCGAACTCTGGCCTTATGGATCCATCCTTAACAGGAGCCCCAGAAACGAATTGACTAGAAGCCCTGACTGCCCCAAAGAAATAATCAGTGTGATCATATTCCTTCCAATCCAGCAAACGCTCCTCCTTTGTTCCAGACAGTCCACCGGTGGCTGTTTGTATGAAATCGATCTTGATTGAAGGTTCGCTGGATTGGCCGTCTTTGATTGGGTATTGTAGAACCTGGAGATAGATAGTCGCGAACGAAAGAGCCTTCCGTAAAAGCCAAGAGATTTTTTGCTATGCATTGGTTAGCCCAGTCATTGCCAAGGCGTTGGGCCATCAATCTCGCACCAGCTTCAGGGCGGCATCAAACGAATTGCTTGATAGTTCCTTATTCTGGATTTCCACACAGCTGAATTAGTAGTCACTCAGAATAGATCTCGCCGATGGCGTCGAGCTCATAGTAGAAGGCATTATCAATTACCAAGATCCAATTGCCATTGAGTCGCTCAATATTGGTGTCCGGGGATGCAGCCATGGCGTTGATATGTCGATATGTCGAGATATCGTGTGGTCAGTACGGAGTACGGAGTAATGAATTTGGGATTGGAGCTAAATGTTGCTTCAAGTCAATTCGACATCACCCTCTGCAAATATATGACCTGAAAGTTTTGGATTCGTCGATTGCCGTCATGCTCGGCGGAAAAAGCAAAAAAGGGCCGCGCTGTGTTACGGGGCAAATAGTTTCTACGCCCTTGCACAAGAACTCTGAGATACGCTGCGGGAGACGGCTTGTCATACGTGCGGTGTAAAGTGGAGCGCCCTTGGGAACTGCAAAAAGAGCCAAGATGCAGGGGTCTTGCTTCCAGTATAGCCCATTCGTTTTCGTGTGACACAGATCGTCCCCACCTGCAGAAAATCTGGGAAGAACAAAGCTGCAGGACGGAGAACCTTGTACTGAGAACGATTGCGTAGAGATCGACAAGAATGACCGCATGCCTTGAACATTTCAAGCCCTAGAGGTCGGCAATATCTAGTAGATATCAGAGAGCATTGCCTAGGCAGAGAACTCCAAGGTTCCTCCGACCAAAGCTCCAGCAAGGGATATGTACGTTTGAAGAAAAAAAAGGTGACCATTGCTATCTAATACCACTATTGTTGGAATCCCACCTTGACGCCCTTCAGCCCAGACGGCATATGAAAAAGGACAAAGGGCAAGAAAAGTGAAGGGAAACAGACCCTAGAAAAGCAAGATTGTCCGTCCGAAAACCTGAAGAATGGGGGGGAATGAGGGGCGATAAAATCAAAAAGAACAAGGATCGCACATCGTTGCATCGTAAATAGGGTCTCATCCTTGCTGAGAAAGACAGATGGTAACTGGGGGAGATAAAGAAGAGAGAGGGAGATCAGGGAGCGGCGACGGTCGACGGGACTAAGAAAGATGGAAGGCGCCTTGGCCCTCCTTGATGGCGACGGAGAGTCGTCTCTTGAGGGTCTCCAGGTCGCTATAGTCCGGGAGTTTGAGGTAGTTGACGCACGTCATCACACTGGGGAGATAGTCATCGGGTGTATATGGGTGTTCGCTTGGGCGACACACAACGGTGAAGATGGGAGTGAGACTCTTGAATCCTGTTTGCAATATGGTTAATACTCGTCCATTTGCGAAGAACAATAAGGAGAGGGAACTTACCTCCAATGGGAAGTTTGGGACTACCAGTGACAAATTGCAAGAAGTCACGGCGTTCCTGATTATCCAACTCGCTCATGGTCTGGAGCAGGTTTCGCACGCTGCGACTGTCCATATTGAAGCCGTGATCGGCCTTGATAGAGTCCATGAGTGTCTCGATAGACCAGTCCTCCTTGGCTTGTCCAAACAACATGACAAGTTCGCTTGGAGTGAATGCCGAGAGAGAAGAGTAAGGGAAGACTTGGGAGAATCCTGTGCGGAAAGCCTCGACCTGGCGACGCACACCACTGCCCAAGGTCATATCGATCACCCGGTCGATGTAGGTGTCCACGTTTTCAATTGACAGTGGAACATCGGTACCGCCGGGGATCAACTCAATAGATGGGTATCCTGGTAGTGTGAAATCCAAACTCAGGTCATCAACCTTGACACCGTGGACTGTGATATCTTGCAGAGCCTCAGCTTTTTGGTTAGGCGAGAGTCGGTCATCATTTTCAACCGCGTTCTTTTCATTGACAAATTGCTTCAACATGATCAAAGACTTTGCAAGGTCTTGATCAACTGCTTTGACAGTTCCCAAAGAGGGGGCGACAGAGGACATTGTGTCTGCGATGCGGAAGAAAGCCGGGTTGAAGGAGATATCAATGATTCGGGAATCAAGCATGGAACGGGCAACGAATTTTCCAAGGACCTTGAAGATATTCAACTGCTTCTTGCCGTTGTCCTCGTTTGCCTGCTGATCACTCATTGGTGCCGGGAATAAGCCGCGTTTACCGAAAGCATACTCTGCCTCAGAGCTACCATCAGTGTCTCGCCAGATTTTGAGTTTCTTTCTTGAGAACTCCTTGGAGACTGTGGAGTAAAACTCAAGAGTTGGTCCCAATCCAGTTCCAACTTCTTCGAAATATTCAATTTCGAGAATGCTTGGTGAAGACCCGTAAAGCTCCATGACCTTCAGCGCGGAATCCAAGATGCGTGTACGAGAGATTCGAACTTTTTGGCGTTGCAATTTGCCCATGAATGGGCGATCGTCACGGCGCAGATCCCGCTGGCTGTCCTGACCACTCACAGAGGCTTGCCACCTGAGCATTGCGCGCGAATAACCAAAGGCAGTGGACTGCAAGAACAAATGCCTGGTCTCGAATGGGAATAGGAAAGAGAAGAGTCTTGCAAGGTCCTCACTCCAAGTTGGAAGGCAATCGCTTGCCACAATCAATGGCTCTTCTAATTGTCGGTTGATTTTTGCGGTGAGCTTGGTGTTGATAAATTGGGCCAACGGTTCCGAGGTGATGGGAGCTACGTCTTTGACATCCGTTAAGATATCATCGATAGTGGCATTCATTTCATGCAACCCGCGAAGAAGACGAATGATAGATGCGGTAGTGGCATCTTTGCTTAGGGAGCTCGGGATGTCAAGAGAATCTCCTTGAGAAGAGGCGGCTTGGGATGTTGAAGGCAGGGTGGATGGCTCGGGAGGTGGGGGCCCCGGGACACGCTTGTATGTGATGGTGTGGACAGAAGACCAAACGTTCTTAGCGCTAGCCTCGTCCAGATCTTCACGGTCGTGGTGAACACCCCTATAGATAGTCGTCTCGAGATCCACGTTCTTGCCGTCCACAAAGAATTCCAAATGCCAATCCTGGGGAACCGAGGCCGTAGCTGCAGCGTAGGATGAGAAGGGACGCCCAGCATTTGCCAACGAGCTGTTGCTGCGGCTGTGAGAATGAGGGGTCGGCGCGGACGAAGAAGGCTTTGGTCCACCTGTTGTATGAGATGGTGTTCCAATTCGAGTGCCGTCCTCCTTGCGAGCAGTGACTTTGCCCTCGGTTCCAACCTCCATGTTGACGGCGGAGGGGTCAGAGACGTTGTCCACTTCCAAGTCCTCATCAAGGTCATCAATGGCGTTGAGTTCTTCATCTTCATCTTCACCGCCATCCTCATCTTCGTCGGTCAATTGTCTTTCGTCGGCACATTCAAGCGGCTCATCATCGTGGTCCTCGTCCTCGTCTTCCTGTGTGTGTGCTTGTCGACGGTGTCGGTGGCGTGTGCTGGGAGAGTGAAGTGCGTCTCCGGATTGATCGGCATTGGATCCAAGTAGGCCTGTGCGACCAGGCACAGCTCCAGACCCAGAGGCCAACTGATCACGGAGTCGGGCAGCCGTCGCAAGTTGGGAGAGAATGGTGTCACGGTTGGAGCGAGATGAGCGGGGCTTTTCGGCGAGGGCGATCCGTGGGTGAAGGAAATCATCCAAAGCATGGAAAGGAGCAATGGCATGGATCGACACCATGATGTTTCGATAGGGGCGAGGAATCTGTGAGTCATCTTCGGCAATCAACTTCAGGCGCAACTGTTTAGAGAGCATGTATGCTGCATTGTTACGGGTGTTTTCCAATGAGTTGTGGCTGATGGTAAGAACTTCGAAATGTTCCGTCCTGCTGAGTAAATCCTGAAGTTTCCGAATAAGAACACTGAAGGGAGTCGTGGCTGTGCTTTGGCTCTGGGCTTTATCCGAAATCGAAACTCCCATGAATGCTTGCAAGAAGGCAGCTCGGGCATCGCGAATGGAGGGAGCTTGGTGGTTTCCAAGAACGTCAAGAAGAACCTGTATGATGCCAGAGTTCAACAACTCAGAACTCGTGATACTCTCCAAAGCCTCTCCGTCAAAGTAAGAGGCAAGTTGTTTGAACAAAGCAAGGCCGCCGTCGGCCCCGTGCTCGTACCGAGATCGGATTTCAGAGGCAAGGGACTTGAGCGCAGTCAGGATACGTAGGGCTTCTGCGCGAACGGTTTCGCCATGACTAGCCTCGTAGACCTCAAGGAAAGCTTGAGCATCTCGAATGACAACATCATTGAGAGCAGTCTCTAGTTTTTGCAGATTGCGTGGGGTCGGCGCATCATCCTCGGAATCCGACATGTCTTCACCATCGTCATCCTCGCCTTCATCATCAAAGTCATCGGGATCCTCATCTTCATTGTCGTCATCGTCTCGCTCGGTTCCTGACTCCCTGTGAACTACGTGAGACGAGTCCGCAGTGGTATCCATGACTGTCGGGTCAGATGAATCGGCTTCTCTGCCCTCGGAAAGAGTTCCTTCAGACAATTTTATAATCTCAGAAATGACACCTTCACGATGGAATTGATGCTGGTAAACATTTTCAAGTCGCTGGAATAAGAGCTCGGAGCAACGCAGCGCCAAAGATACAAGGGAGGGATGATCTTGCTGGGAGAGGATAGAAGCCAAGAAAGATGGATAGGGAACAGTACGAAGAGCATCCTCAATCAACGAGGGCTCCAGAATGTGTAACATCTTCAACTGTGCAATGAGGACCTTTTGGCGGACATGCAAGTTGACCGTGCTCGAGTAAGCATCAGTGAGTGTGGGAAACAGGATCATCGCAAAACGCTTCAATTCGTTCTTGCAATCTTCAAGCAATGATCGTCTGTCTTCCACATTTTCTTTTGATTTGGGTGATCTCAGGCCAATTGACATATGGCTGTCAAAGTAAGTGCTCAGGAGGTTGTCCGTTTTCGAAGCATCGCGGCTAGGGACGCCCGGAAGAAGCTCGCAGATAACATTTAAAGTTTCATAAACCTGCTCCCGTGGACGGTGGATCAGTGCCTGCATGACCAGAACACTGTCCATCTTAACGGCTGTATTGTCCACGTCCTGTGGGGGAGATACGCCAGTCAAGATCTGATAGAGAGTGTCGACCACGTCCATTTTGAGAAGCTCGTTGGACAGCCGTGGGCTTGTTTTAGAGGTGATAGCCAATACCCTAAGGAATTGAGTGTGAATATGAGGTCCAATCAAGTTGGTTGTCCCCGGCAGCAAGAGCCGGAGAACGGCTTTGAGCATCGCGGGCTCAATGAGTTCCTCGAGGTTCTGAGGTCGGTTCTTGAAACTTTCAACGATCCGCGATACACAGAGGCACCCCTGCTCCACGACCTTAGGATCATTGCTAGAAAGAACATTCAAAAGAGTGGGCATTACGTCCCGCACCACGGGGAACGAGCCATTGGGCAGGTTCCGGCAGCAGTTTGCAGCCGTCGTTACCGCTGTTCGCTGGGTGCTGGTAGGGAAGAAGTCAAGATAGGTAAGACAGGCCGTCAAGCCACCTTCACGCACAATAGAGGCAGGGAAGTCAACGGAAATTTTGGCCAGGGTACTCAAGGCCTGTTCAGCCAGATCAATGAACTGGATATCAAGAAGTTTTTGGCACAGGATCGGTACAGCGCCGCCATAAACAACATTCGCAACGGAGCCCCGCAGGGCTTCCATTAAGTTTGCAAGAGACCGACATGCGAGGAGCATGATCTCGGGGTTCTCCTCACCAAATTGATTTGGTTGCATGAGAGTCACAAGCTCCTTCACGTACGGGTCAGGCGAGAACTGACCAGCCAGGTTATCCTCATTCGAGATAAGCAAGGTATCTGACAGCTCTTGAAGCGCACACAGCTGAAGGGATGGGTCATCTTTTGCCCTGAGGTTGCAGAGTATGTCCCGGAACCGAGTAGAGGGGCCTGCCATCATCCCACTGAGCGCCCGGAGTGTGCTTTGCAGTCCCATCGGGGCTCGGCCACCAAAGAGACTACTGCTGAATGGGTCCATGTCATCTTCTTCGTCATATGCCGACGGGTTGGCATCATCATGGCTCTGTCCTGTTTGAGAGTCATCCTCCTCCTCAAGATCTTCTTCCTCAACTTCCTCCTCCGCGTCTCGCATTATGACATCGGCATTTGGTTTTGCGGATCGCTTTTTCTGACGGCGAGGGGGCGGGGATTGAGCCGTCGTGCCAGGGCGTTCTGTGGGAAGGCAGAACCACGTTAGCAAAGATCACGTCAATTCACGCCTCATCTCAACAGCCAGCACCAAACTCACCATTGCGGCTGGACTTTCGGCGGGTCGGCTGCGGAGTCACTGTTGATTTGGACGATTCCTCAGAAGGTCGTGACGAAGGCCTAAGAACATGAACTAGTCAGCTCCTTCGATTTTCAAGAACAGCAATTCTGACATACCCAGGTTGTGACATGGCTGGGCGGCTACGGGCGCCTCGACGGGGTGCAGCTGCACCAGGACCGGTTGATGGAGCTGTCTGCGCTGCAGTCCGCGGTCGCTTTGTTTTCCTTGATGGTGACGACACCGCTGGTTGGGGCGGAGCGTCTGCTGGGCGGTCGTGACGAGATGACGCTTTGCGTTTCCGGGAGGAGGTCGATCCGGCGGGAAGCGGTGTATCAGACTCCGCCGGAGGATGTTCTGTAGCAAGTCTCGCGGAGGAGCGAGTAATTCTGGATGACATGAGAATGGATCTTCTTTTTTTGTGATGTGTGACAGGTGAGGGATGAAGAGAGAAAGAAAGAAAGCAAACGATGACCAGAGACGGTCAAAGCGATATGCAAAGAGTTGGGTAGAAAGATGACGAATCGAGAAATGTAGCGATGAATCCCGATGGCGGGCCACCCACCACTGACGAGCCAGATTGTGAGGGCTGCACGATCCGGTCCACACAGCTCTCAGTGAGCATTCACGCGGGGGGCTCGTTGCAGGGTGCGAGCAAGGCGGGGGGGATGGAGGGAGAGAGAGAGAGAGAGAAGATGGGGAACTACCTCAGGGAAGACGAGGCGGTGGAAGTGCCTGGGGAAAGAGGAGATTCCTCAAGAGGGTCCTGGCGGTTGGATGAGGGCCTTTGCCTGGCCATAAGTTATGTATGGAAAGCTCGATTGAGTGTTCACTCGATATGTCCCGCCATTCGCCTATCAGGCTAGCCGCGAGCTGGCAGGATATAAATTAAGCTCAAAGGTAAGGAGCAAGGAGTCCAAGAGATGGAGATAGAAAGAGAGTGAGATAGGGAGATAGAGGGGAAAGGGGGTTGGTTGTGATGGAGATTCGGGGAGCGTCAGGCGGCGGAAGTGCAACATTCGATGATGTTACTACTTCCCGAGGTGGACTCCGTCCTTGTACGTACCTTGGGGCTACTTTCTCAATTTCGTGATCTTCTCTCTGTTAATATTCTCTGAACTCGCTATCATTTTGTTCAACTGAAACATTCTAGCAAATCCAATAAATAGTTCAAATTGACCTTTCTCTTTGGGCACACAAGGCCCGAGAGCTGTGCAGGTGGCACCTAATGTTTGCCCTATTACTCCATTACTCCATTAATACTATACCTGAGCGGAGTACAGAGTACGGAGTAGTGTTCTATACTACAGACTCTTGTATACTTTTGTACCATACCCCTACACAGTATACCCCGTTGTCTTCCAAGATTATACATGCTACATTCTACCGGCTATATCCCCTGGCCTATCACCGACCGGCATTGTTAGATCTAACGATGAACTCGCGGAGATCACGCCGACCTAATTCGACTCACCGAGATCTTAATAATCAACTTTCAATTAACCGACTCTTCGCCTACATTATAGCGCTGTCTGCTGTTGTCTACTGTCTGCTTTTCTGCGATCTATCATCTGTTGCCTCTTGTTGGTCGTCAGTCGATATAAACTCATCTTTGCCCTGTTCGCCTCCGGCGCATTCCCTTGCCGCCTTCGGGTTTGCCCCCTCCGATTTTGTCTTTTCCCCCGCTTCTGAACATATCCCCCGATATATCTCGGCTATTGGCAACCTACACTATTTAAAAACTCTCTATTCCTCATGGCCGCTGAAATGGTTGGAGGCCAGAGCGACGACGTTCACCAGGCCCCCGCCAACATCACCCCCGCCTCAATGGACGACTACACCTTCCCGGAGTTGCGCCTCAAGCGCACCATGAACGACCCGGAGAAGACCCCCTCCTGCTGGTCGCGTGTGGCTCCTTTTCCCCAATCACCTATCTACACCTGCGCATGTTTGAAATGGCCGCCGATCACGTCAGATTCAGCTCCGACTACGAACTCATCGGAGGTTACCTGTCCCCCGTGTCAGATGCCTATCGCAAGGCCGGTTTGGCTAGTGCAGACCACCGGTAAGGATCTATTGATTTGCTTTTCATCGCTCCGGTGACCCCGAGGCTAATGGGAATATGTTAGGGTCGCGATGTGCCAACTCGCCGTTGACCAAACCTCCGATTGGTTGATGGTGGATACCTGGGAACCTACTCAAAAAGCCTACCAGCCGACCGCTGTGGTGCTGGACCACTTCGATCATGAAATTAACGTGGTCCGGAACGGCGTTGAGGCTGCGGATGGAACTCGGAAGCCCGTTCGCATTGCTTTGCTTGCGGGCGCAGATCTGATCCACACAATGTCTACACCGGGTGTGTGGAGTGAGAAAGATCTGGATCATATCCTGGGAAAATACGGCGTAAGTTCTGGTTATCTAAAGGATCAGGATCGTCTGGCTAACTTCTTCCCAGTCTTTCATCGTTGAGCGCAGTGGTACTGATATCGATGAAGCCCTGGCCAGCTTGCAGCCCTGGAAGGACAACATCCATGTTATCCAGCAACTCATTCAAAATGATGTCAGCAGCACCAAGATTCGGCTCTTCTTGCGCCGTGAGATGAGTGTTCGCTATCTCATTCCAGTCCCCGTCATCCATTACATTGAGCAACACCATTTGTATGAGGATGACGGCACGACGGAGAAGGGCAAGGAGCGGGGATGATCCCAATACTGCCTTCGGGCGCCATAATGACCCTAGCGACGCAAGATCCCGATACGATACCCCCGGCTGTGTATGACAGATGTTGATTTTTCTTTTTCTTTTTTGGGGAGTTTGGAGTTCAATTTGCAGAAAGCAAATCATTCGAAGTGGGACAGTGTGCTATCGCTGCAATCCCGTATAAGTCGGTTCTGTTACAGTTTTTCTCTTTCATTTTCCTTGCTTTTATGTGTAAATATAAAGATGTCATAGACTTCGATGGAAATGTACATCCGTACATTGCCTATTTGATACTTCCAAGGTAGAATCCTTGGGAGCGGCACGCAATACGACGTACTTTACAGTTAGTAATGTCCACGAAAATCCCCACATGCACCATCAGCACGGCAAATGACACCATCTAACCGACCTGGAGCTGCGTCTCGCAGACATCGGTTGGCTTAGGGGATGCCTAGATTAATTGGCCGAAGGCGCTAGAAGACCACCCTCGATCCGATCGCCCGCATTCCGCCCTGTTATCATCCGTTATCGACTGACCAACTCTCTCCACAAACGGCGAGGTCTTGAGGCCGAGGGACCGAGAATTGGCATCTTCCCCCAGCTCCCTCTCTAAACCAGTATGCCCGATCTCTAGCCAATTGACACACCATGACCATGTCCGAAGCCGACTCGTGGCCCCTCACCCCTCCCGGTTCTTCCGATCCTCAAACCAAAGATGTCTCGTCCGTCGTCACGGCAATCCATGTCATAGCCACGGAGCGCGCTGCCCTCGCCCACCTTGAACACATCTACCAGACAGATGCGCGAGCGCAGCAGGATCTCGCCCGGGCGGTGGATCGCATCACGCGTAGCGTGCGCGAGGGCGGAAAGCTGGTTGTCTGCGGGGTGGGCAAGAGTGGGAAGGTGGGACGAAAGATCGAGGCCACGATGAACAGTTTGGGTGTGTACAGTGCGTTCCTGCATCCGACTGAGGCGCTGCATGGAGACCTTGGATTGGTTCGACCGGTAAGCCACCTGCAGAGTGCTTTTGTCTTGTCCTTTGACTTTGAGCTGTGCCGCAATTGAGACTGGGACTTCGTGCTAATCGATGCGCAGAATGATACCGTGCTTTTAATTTCCTTCTCTGGCCGTTCGCCAGAGCTTCTTTCTTTGCTGCCGCATTTGCCGTCCACTGTTCCACTCATTGCTCTGACTTCTCACACACACCCGGCGTCATGTCCGCTGCTCGCGCTGCATGCTCCTCTTGGCATGGGTATTCTTCTGCCAGCGCCGATTCATGAAGATGAAGAGTGCTCGTTCGGCGTGAGTGCGCCCACGTCGTCAACCACAGTAGCTTTGTCTCTGGGTGATGCATTGGCCATCGCGACTGCTCGCAAACTACACACGGCCACGGGCAAAAGCCCTGCGGAAGTCTTTCGAGGCTTTCATCCCGGTGGTGCTATCGGGGCTGCATCGGCAGCTCCGCTGGCGACGCCGTCTAGTGGGATGTCGGCAAGAACTTCTGACTCGCCGATGTCCCTCTCTCTTGTGTGGGAGGAAAATAACAACACCTCGTTGATACCTCCTTTCACCCTACAACCGCCGCCGGCACAGCAACTGATCCCCGAAGATAAGATCGTACCCCTCCAAGTGATTCCCACGGCCACGTCTTCGTCCGGCTTAGTGAGCGACGTCAGACTCCTGGACATTCTCCTCACGGCTATCCAGAGCCCCAATGCGAAATCTTGGGTGTTTCTGTCACCGACTGAAATTATCCCCCTCGACGTGTTCGCTCTCTTCTTTCACCGGGCGGAGACATGGACATGCGCATTTCTGATGTCGCAGTCGACGATCTCGGTGTTCCTTTCAGTGTCCCCCGGAGCAACTGGTTGTTAGTCTCAGACTCGACACCACTTGTTGAGATTCAAGGTATCCTGTCTGAGTATCAACGAGGGTCAAATCCAGTTGCGGTGATCGGCCTTGTGAAGGACTTGGCCAATCCTAACAGCTGCTTCGGGGTTGTAGATGCTGAGGAGCTTTTGGGCGAATGATATGAATGCACAGCGACTAAGCTCCATTCTTTTCACATAATCTTGTTGGCTTTTATGCTCTTGTGTTACGATACAATCGATTGACGATGTTATGCCCGCACATATACAAACAGTGATTTACCCGTCTCTCCTACTGAGATGGCTTCTCGCGTTGAACAAGCCCACGCTCACGACTTCGGCTCTAGTACACTGTATAAACTAACGCCAATAATATTTCTCATGGTGATATAATCAGTACATATGCAACCCACTATAGTACACAACTCCATCTTATCTTCCACAAATCCTACACCAATTTAAGCCTTGGAAATTGGCTTGATACCCTTGTGAATGGCAGCGATTCCACCAGTAAGGTTCTCGAAGCCCTGGCCAGGAATCATGAATCCAGCCTTTTGGATCATGCCCCTGAACTCCTCCTGGCTGGGGAAGCGCTCAATGCTCTCAACCAGATACTGGTAGCTGTCTCGATCACCCGCAACAACCTGTCCAATAAGAGGAATAGCACTGAAGTTCCAGCGCTTGTAGATTCCATCCAGCACAGGGTTATCGACCTTGCTGAACTCCATGCAGGCAAAGACACCACCGGGCTTGAGAACACGGTACGCCTCATTCAACGCAGCCTGCTTGTCCGTGAAGTTTCGGATACCGAAAACAACAGTGTAGAGATCCACCGAGGCGTCCGGGATATGCGGCATGTGTTCGGCGTTCGCTTCGATGAAGTCCAATCGCTTGGTGTTGTAGTAGGGGGTATCGAGGGAGCGCTTGCGACCCTCAGCCAGCATATCAGCGTTGATATCACTGATCGTGACGCGAGTCTCCATGTCGTGGTTGATATTCGTGGCGTGGTCAAGCATCCGAAACGCGATGTCGCCGGTCCCGCCGGCGATGTCAAGGATGTTCCAGCCGGGTTTGTCGGCGGTCAGGGCGGGGAGGCACGAGCCTGGGTTTAGGGATCGCACGAAGTGGTCTTTCCAGAGGCGGTGGATGCCCAGGGACATGAGATCGTTCATGCGGTCGTAGGAGGCTGCGACGGAGCTGAAGACAGCGCCAACTAGGAGATGTCAGTCTGAACTTTAATGGGGCCAATTGATCGACTCGCGATCGATTGCGGCATTATTTACCTCGCGTCTCCTTCTCTGACTCTGGGACATTGGTGAAGCCGAAGTGTGTCATGCGGTCATTCTCGGACTTGTTCTGCTGGATGCGGCTGGCGCAGGAGAAACAGCGGTACGGGGTAACAGGCTGGAAAGCACGACGCTTTGCACTGTAGTGCAAAGCGCGCCAGGCGGAGTTGGACATAGACATGATGCTGTGTTGTTGGAAAGCTTGAAAGGGCAACTTTTCAGCAATCTCCGCCGAGTCCCACTGGTGCGTGCCCATAACCATTAGCCGCAAATGTACCAATCACATCGCGTAGTTTCCGAAAGCTGCATATCTGCTTGATTTTCGAGTTATCCTCTATCAAAACGTCTACGGATTTTACGGGAATAGTATTCCAAAGTGATGGAGTTAAATATAATCTCCGAGCTCAAGCTTGAGTGGCTACATATAAATCAACGTATGATATGCCATACCTCTCAGCTCTACACACAGTGCAACCAGACCAGTCCTAGAGTCACTGCAGCTGAAAATGACTTCAAATCAGCTTTCGGAATGCTGCATCAAAGGCACTTTACATGAAGGACAGGCCAAAGGCGAAATCAAAAGCATTGGGAATAGTAAACCAACCCTTCCAACTGCACTTCAGTCACTAACATCTCATAGCTTCCACCTACTTCGCCTACCCGGCAGACAACTCAACCAAGCATGCTATTCTGTTATTGACGGATGTACTGGGACACAAATTCCTCAATTCCCAGCTTTTGGCCGATCAATTTGCTTCCAACGGATACTTCGTTGTCATGCCAGATCTGTTCAATGGCGATGTAGTTCCAATGAACAGACCAGAGGGATTCAACATCATGGACTGGGTTAAAAACCACTTGCCCGCTCAGACCGAGCCTATCATCAATTCTGTGCTGAAAGAGATGCGTGAAAATCTCGGCTGCGAGCGCATTGGCGGAGTGGGCTATTGCTTTGGTGGAAAGTATGTCTGCCGGTATCTGAAGCCAGAGAAACTAGATGTTGGGTTCATGGCCCACCCAACCATGGTTGAGCCAGATGAATTGGGAGGAATTGAGGGCCCACTGAGTATTGCCGCTGCAGGTATGTTGTGATAACCTTGAAACCTTACGGTGGGACTATCGCTTATAAGACTGGATGTAGTCCGGGACTTTGTGTTTACAACTGCTAAACGGCACGAGAGCGAGCAAATTTTGGATCAGCTTGATGTGCCTTATCAGATTAATTTGTTCTCGGAAGTTGAACATGGCTTTGCAGTGCGTTGCAATCTTGACGAGCCCCTTCAGAGGTTTGCTAAGGAGCAGGCATTCAGCCAGGCTATTAGTTGGTTCAAAATGTTCCTCGATACCCTAAAATGAAGTTTATCTTGTCCGATAGATATACAGCGATATACATCCATGAATACAGATAGAAACTATATCAGATTTCCAATCTGAACCTATGCCCTCGAGCACATCGTCCTTCAAATTCTATATTGACCACCCGAAGTGAATTGAAATTTGACTTCCAAGGGTTATGAGGATCTGCACTTCCGTCGCTTGCCGCTTTTGGCTTCATAGCTTGTTTATGATCTTGAGCGTCGATCTTCCTTTCGTGGTCGTAGAACGGAATTGAGTAACTGCGGAGGCATCTTTGATCTGAAATCTTGTTTGCATTTGTACAATAGCCGAGAAGCGAATTTTGGTCATTGTTGAAGTCCAGTAGGATCCAGGGTGACCTCCGCGCGCCCCACGTTGCCCCAAAGCCCATCTCATCTCAAGCCGAATGGGCTGGGATTTGGGCCTGATCCTTAGGCCCACCAACGGGTTGTGGGCTTTAGCGGGAGCCCAACGGGCCCCAAACAACACACCCGTGGAAAATCGTCCTCAAACATTCGGGATTCATTCATTGTCAAGCACCAAGGGACAGTGTAGACATGAGGATTACAAATTATATACACAAGTGTTATCACCACATCTTCTCCCATGCCCGATGTACCCAATTCATATTCGCCAGCTCAGCCTTTCGGCGTTCTTCGTAATCACCCTCCTCCCAAATTTTGCATTCTTCGTCAACTTCCGCCTTCCCACTGTACAAGTCTGCATTGATCACAGACACGAATGAGGAGCGATGATAGAATTTCCAAAAAACAAACATGACGACCCAGAATGCGAGGCCGAAGTACGACGTGATAAATCCTTGGACACTGAAAGGCTTGAAGACAGAGAAGCCGTTGAAGATAGCTGTCAGGCAACCAATGATAATAGCGAGAATGGCGCCGTAGGGCTGGAAGGGTGCAGCCCAGGGCACAAAGGTCTTTCTGTCAATTCCTTGGGCTTTCATAGCACGATACCAGGCAATGAAAACACAAAGCATACCAGTGTATGTGAGAACAAAGGCGATAGTGGTCAGATCCACGAACCAGTAGAACACTTCAACGGAAGAATTGCTCGCCACGAGGAAGGTGATGCATGACAAGACCGATACCACAATCACACAATTGATAGGAATACCAGAGGCAGTACACTTCAAGAGGAACTTGGGTGCTTGGCCATCGCGGGCAAGGGAGTAAAGCGTTCGGCTAGAGCTGTAGAGATAGGCGTTTCCACACGACCAGCCAGACAGCAGGATGAGCAGGTTGATAAGATCTGGAAGACCGCTGATGCCCAGGTTCTGGATGCCAATAACCCAAGGCGAGGCAGCAGATCCGGATGCGCCATCACTAATGGCTGACATGAGACGAGGATCGCGAGGGTTGCAGATGATGCTGACGGCCAAGACACCGACAACGTAAAAGCCAACAATGCGCCAGAAGGTCATCTTGACGACGCGAGGAATGGTGACTCGCGGGTTCTGGATCTCTCCGGCAGCCAGGGCAGGCAGATCCGGTCCAGCCACTGAGAAAGCAGCATACACCATAACAGAAAAGAATCCCAGGAAACGACCAGTGTTGCCATCTGTATAGTACTCGAACATCACGCCGTCGGTCCAGTTCCGGAAGCCGTAGACATCGTGTCGGGGGTTTCCACCAACCATTGTGATGAATGTCAGGAAGACGAGTCCGATGAGCAGGAGGATCTTGGTTGAGGCCATGATGAATTCACTCTCCCCATACCACTTCACGGCAACGAGATTCAGAATGGTGCACACAATGAGCGCCATGGCTACCCACACCGCTGGATTGACGCCCGTGTTCCAGTAGCCCATGACGGTGGCAACGGCGGAGTATTCCGTACATACTAGCATCACACCACCGTAGAAGTATACCCAGCCCCTAGGTATGTTAGCAACGAGGGGAGCCATACCAGCAGCCAAAGTCACAAAACTCACATCGCAAACCCAAATGCCGGGTCAATGAAACGTGCAGCAAGTTCGAAGATCGATCCACGGATAGGAAGATACGCAGCCATTTCTCCGACACACAGATTGACAGGCAGGATGAAGAGACATCCCCAAACAAGATATCCCAGAAACAGAGACAGGGGACCGGCATCACGCAAATATGATCCAATACCAACAAAAAGTCCAGTACCAATCGAACCTCCGATGGCCATCAATTGTACATGTCTGGAAGCCAGACCACGCTGAGTCTGTCTGAAAGGCAGCACCTCGCCTTGACTGGTGTCATCCTTAGGACTTAACACTGTTGATTCTTTCTTCTCCATTGTGAAACGCTAGGCGAGCCTGATACTACTCTATCCAAAGAAGCGGGGAACATTATTCTTTATATGCGCGCTGATGTTGGGGTCAAGCGTATAGACTTTGAAGGTGCGGAGAGGCCGCCAAGCAGGCCCTGATAGAGGCATGCGAGTGACATGCCAGAGATACGGGCCGGTGGTGCATGACAGATAACTCAAAAATGTCATAGCAGAGACACCGGACAGGGGATCATAGGAGTCGGTCTTAAAGGGGGAAGAGATGGCGATGCTAAGGTTGCCAAGTGATAAGCTTATCGAGTGCTTGACTTTGACTTGGAGAGAAACTCTTTCGAGGATTAAGTAAATAGGGCTCTTCTGATAAGAGAATCCTGGTCATTTGGCCTATCATTGGCTAAATATGCCGGAAGTTGACCGGATATCAAAAGCCCTCGTACTATCTGGTTATCGTTGACAACTACAGAGAACACACCTGGGCACTCTGCACGGAGTATACCTTCCACATCTACACCACTTAGCCCAAGCCGTCCCACGATACTCGTATCTCGAATCAAATCAAAAAGCGCAAATGCAAAGCTTAACCCAAACAGGAAAGGTCTACCCCGCGTTTTCCAAGTAAAGGGGCGGACTAAATCGATTGCCTCGGAACAATTCGTCTGAATCTCAATGATACATTGGAGACATGGGGTCCAATGGGGTCGTACGCTCGGAGGTCTCCTGCGTTGATGTGGGTGGCGTATGACGAACCCTGCGGTGTGTGGTTTTAACAGCTTCACCCGCGTTGGTAGGTATAACTACAGCAAGTTGAGTCTGCAATTGAATGCCAGCTTTGTCGAAAGCAGACTTGGATTTTCGATGTCCCCATTGCTGGGTATCAACCCAGTGTGCAAAAATTTGACATCAGGGTAGTGTGTGGACAAGGTTCAAATATCACGTTCCATTCCAGCCGACCCAGATATGCGAATAGACCAATAACCACAAATCACAACCGTCCACCCAGTGATATCAAATTAACTAACGTATTGACATGAATGAGTATAAACAAATGATAAAACACAAGGCTTTTCTACTCTATTCCAAAAACAAAGGACGCCGCCTTCAACTCCCACACGAAATCTATTCAAACGCCAGAGGCATGAAACCCTCTGGATGAGCACCGCCGTCCAACGGCCATGGCCAATCCGACAACAGCTCCGGCGGCAATTGGAACTGCATCATTTGGTTATCCACCGGAGGTCCAACGACCGGACTCGGTCCACTGTGTATCCCAGTTGCAGGACCACTGGGAGGGATATAGGTGGTCGCTGGCGGAATTCGCATATCGGGGTTTGTATCAATGGGTACGGAATTGGGGTGCGGAGGGGGATGGCCGGCGCTGAGATTCAAGAGCCGGGATGTTCGTATGTACCCGTCTATTCGGTCCACTTGAGACCGAAGGCGTTCACTGGCGCCTGCTGCTCGCTGAAGGCCTGTTTCGAGACGGCCGAGGAGATCTGCCATTTCGAGACTGGAAAAACGTTAGGGTTGTTTCTTGGCTTTCTTTATTTGGTTTTCAGAAGTTTTATACTCACAGTAATGTGCGAACACGTTGATAAGATGCTTCCGACAAGCTTCCTTCCATGACAGATCCAAGAATGTAACCGATACCACCAAGATGATGTAGCTAGAAGAGATAAGTGAGACTCTAAAGTAAAGGGGAAAAGGCGCATACCAGAGGGGAGCTAATAGCCTTCAAATACTCCACTGGAACGTTGCTGAAGACACTCAGCAATTCCCAAGCCACGTCACATTTGCGGTCTACTCCGAGTTCCTCTGCCGACAAGAGAACCATGCGAAGAAGCTGTAACGTCGCTTGAATATTGGCTGATTGGAATCCAAACAGATCCTTGGCCATGTCGCCAGTCGTGGGCGGGGTTTCTTTGAACTGTGCTGGTAGAGCGGCATACATCGACAGAACCCTTTCCATGACCGCTGGTTCTGACATTGATGACGGGTTGAAGAGAGACCAAACTTGTGAAGTACCATTGGCAGATGAGAAGCGACGTCGATTGCCATCAACGACGTGCTCTAGTATCCGATATAGATCTGTTGTAAAATTCCACCCCCGAAGCCATGCAACAGGTTCTCTCGATACAACAGTCACATCGCCTGGGCTCAGAACGCTCGACGCCGGAGATACGGGTGGGAGCCCGTACCCGTGCGGCGTGATAAACTCGTCGTCGACTTCGCTGGGGTATCGCACGAGAGAGTGTGCTTCGCGATACCGAATCACACCTCCCCACACAATCGTGGAGTATATGTCTAATGTATAAATGGACCAAAACTGGAAACATGTTAGTATCTGGGAAGAGAGGGTGGGCGAGGGAACCACGCGGGGAAGAATGTTCAACATACCAGCCTTCGTCGCTCCTCGATTTCAATTGGGCTGAGATGCTTCGGCCAAAGCTTCTCATCATGTAGCCCCTCCATGCTAGTAAGTGTATGGTACATTCCCAAGTATTTTTGCATGTTCTTGATCTGGCCGTTCTGGATGCTGGCGATGGCGAGGATAGCGCAGGCGCGCATATAATTCGTGCCCTTCGCCGCCGCGAGGTCTCGAGGAATAGAGTCTTTCGCCGCTGCGTAAAATGCTTCCATTGGGGGTTCTGCAAGCTCGTCGCGATGCCACCGATTGGTGAACAATGCGCCGTCCCGCGCCCGGCCTGAGACCAGCGCACAGACGGCCATTGTGGATGCAAAAAGTCCGGGGTTGCGAAGATGTTCTTGATTATGTACTCTCTCGATGAATGATTGTTTGTGGAAGAGGGGGAAGCTAGAGTTCGGTCAGCCGAAATGGACGGGGAGATGAGGCGGGGTGTCCTTACATGGGATAGACAATTTCAAAGTATACTTGCACTAGATTGCGTATTTGGCGATCACTAGCAATGGCGAATGCGTTCCATGAGTTGCGCAGCGCACCATCATCATCGTACCCCTCGGTTGCGACACCGCCGGCGTTGAAGGTCGACCAGGGATCGTTCGTCAACGACGGCCGGTGAACCCAGTCAGGGTAAAATGAGCTCCTCGAAGTAGAGGAGTTAGACGTCCTCCCTGTAGCCGGCGCAGTGGGCGGAACAGGGAGGACGTTTTCCGAGACAGGGGTCCTGACCAACGGCGTCTCGCGGGTCGGTGCTCTGGTGCCAGCCTTGACGCCCCGTCGTTTTGCCGGGCGATCGAAGGTACACGGGACGTCAAAATCCGCGCAATTCTGACACCTGCCTAGCGTATCTTCACTTCTGCCGCATTTGATGCTGCGTCTGTTGCAGAAGTCGCCTAGATCCGCGTGAGCCGCGAGCTCTGAGCTGTCGCAATCCGGGGCAGCTGCCGCCAAGCGCGAGTGGAGTATAGAAAATTGAGAGAGGACTTACAGGCTTTGGAGACGCGTTGGAGCTTTCGGGGTTTTTGCGACATTCAATTCATTGAACCATTCCAAAGTAGCTTGATCTGAAGGGCAGAGATATAGCCCACTGCGGGAGGAGGTTCAGCGGGCCGGTCGAAAACGGGGTTCGGGGTCTGCACGGAGACACGGGGTCGCGTGGGCTGGGGATCCTGCGAGAGAGGGTGCCAAAAAAAAAGCTACCGATAACTTAAACCAGACAAAGTCAACCAATAAAGCTCTCTGATGACGATGCGCAATCCATTGAACAGCTGGAACTTGGTGGGTGAAGCTAAAAGTCGACATTAAGGTTGCATTTGGAAGCGCTGACTAATCTATCAATTGGGCCCCGGGGGGAGGTGATCCAATGCAGTGGGGAATCGGTCGATCAATTTGATTCTCGAATATACTAAAACAGGGAGGATGAAGAGCTCTAACGTAGATCGCCTTGAAACAAGGCTTGATAAATTGTGGTTCTAGAATGCGGCTCTCTGCCACTCTCCCTATTAGAGCTCTATATAACATTATGTGCGGGGCTAACCCCCTTCCTAACATGATCTTATACATGTGCGATATATCCGGAATTATAACCAAAAGCATTACACTCTGCATCCTTGTAACGGATACAGTATATTCTAAACGGTGGTGACCTCGGCAGAGGCGCTGCTCTTGACCTCACGGAGAGCCTGGTCCGCGTCAACACCGTGTTCGGCGAGAACATCACCGTGTTCCTTGTAGGCTTGTTCCATCTTCCAGAAGAAGGGACTGGAAACGGAGAAGAGGGCATCGATGGACTCGAGGGAACGGTTGCGGGTCTCGGGGTAAACTATTGAGCCTTGGATTAGCTTGTGTGGTGAAGAGTGAGGTGAGAGAGCCTTACAGAGATAGACAATGGGGATCCAAATCAGGTTCAGTCCAGCAAATAAGAAATATGTACGGCTCTAGAGAATAGGTTAAGTAGTGCACGGGGTAAGAGGCTGAAAAGGGGCCACGCACGGTCATGACATTGAACATGATAGGGTTCACTAGAGTGGTCATACCCACACCAATGGCCCACCCAGTGATTCCGAACCCATTACCCTGGGCTCGGAGATCACTCGGGAAGATCTCCGTGGGGACCAGGAAGGCGACAGTGCCCCAGGTGGCAGCATATCTGTGGTTGGTTAGTTTAAAACGGCTTAAACGGCTTCCAGGGGCTAGACCACCTACCCCAAGTTAAACAAAAACAGCATCAGCACTGCACCAGGCGCATACTGAGCTGCGTTTTCGGGATGTTTCAGAGAGCCTTCATAAACGGCTCCAGCCTAGAACAGTAGTCAGCAATCTCAATTCAATTGAAGCGTGGTAGGGTGGCTTACAATCAAGTTGACCGCAAATAACACGGCAGCTCCACCCATTAGGCAAACACGTCGACCCAGGCGGTCAATGATCTGAGCACTGATGATAGTACCGATGATTCCAATTGTATTGATTCCTCCAGCAAGGCCATTTTGTTTGATGTCGCTGTAGCCCGCCTGAGCGAGGAGGGTGGGAGAGTAGGCAGTGACGGCCTGTGCGGTAAGATGTGAGCGGGAAAACCTTAAAAACGTTGGAAGCAAATCCCGAAGTCACCGAGAAGGTCACTCACTCACCGTAATGCCCGTCCACGACGCCATGATCTGCAGCCAAACACAAAGCCAGGCGCGTCGGCCAAGGTTGAGGCCTGGTTTGCCACCCTTTCCAACCAAGATCTTCACAAACTCCATAGGCGAGCTAGGCTTGCTACCCTTTGCAGTGGTGACAATCTCCAAATATTCCCGGTCGATCTCATCCTGAGAAGCTCGGTCTTTGCGAATCCGGTTCAAGAGATCGCGCGCCTCCTCATTGCGCCCCACCGACGCCAAATAGCGGGGGCTGTCCGGTAACATCTTAATGAAAGCCACCAAAATGAGGGCAGGGAAGCACTGGAACGCCAACAAAAACCGCCATCGCACGTCCGAGTATCCATTATTCACGAAAGCGAGGCCGAAGGAGATCCAATACGCGACGGAGATTCCTAGATCTTCACAATGACGATTGTCAGCACTAGCCCCCACAGTCTCACAGCACAGTCCACAGTGGGAACACGAATGGATTGCTCACAATTTGCAATGAAGACATAACCCAAAAACCCGCCCCGGTGTTTCGCCGAGGATGTCTCCGAGACCAGTACTGGGGTAATTCCAGTCAAAGCTGTCAGATGAGACGAGTCAGAAATGTCCTTTTGATCGACCTAAAGCAAAGCTAGCTGGGGTCTCACCGCCGGTTCCAATACCAGTGAGCACACGAGCACACAGCATGAAATTCGAATTTTGAGCTGCCGCCTGCAGCGCGCCTCCGACCAGCGCGAACAGTGATCCTGCCAGCAAACCGTTGATCCGCCCAACGCGATCTGCAAGCCATCCGCCGGCAAAGCAACCGAAGATCGCACCCAGGTAGTAAATGCTGACAATTCCTCCCTGGTGAGTGGTGTCTGTCACTGTGCCATCAGCCTTACCAATGCCGACCTCGGTGACATAGGTTGGGGCACTGTTGACACCTCCCATCACACCCTGATCATATCCCTCGAAGAAGATCGAGACCAGCGAAAAAATCTGAATGGCGACATTGAGCTGACGTGGCGAAAGCCGCTTCCAAAATGTGGTGTAACCCATGTCTAGATCCCCAGATCCCGATCTTGAAGCAAAAAAGAAGCAATCCTTGTTATGGGTCCCGCCCCCGGCAGTTGTGAAGACTCTGTATGGGCCAGTGCTGGGGTGAAATGGAGCTGCAGTTCACGCGGGGGGGCTCAGCCACAAGGGTCAACCGTGTAGCCATTTAGCATTCAGATTTTTATTTAGGCGCCAAATAGGCGTTTTACCGATCATCCCTTCTGGCGTCCATGCTTCAGGCTAAAGATATCAGAAATCAGAATGCCAAAGCGTGCTATTGGTATCCACTGGTTCGAGTCTGCCGGCTGCGCTCTGGACCGAGTGTCTGTTAAATATAGTCCAGAGTCCGTGTCAAGGTTTTTTTCCCTTCTCTCTGCCTTCTCTTTTGTTTTCAATTTTTCCTCAGAGTCCAACTATCATTATTCAATATGGGTTCTTACGCAGGGAACGATAGCACTGGCAATGCCCTGGATATCACTGTCCTGGGGTTGAACAGCGGAACGTCTATGGTAGGTGCCCCCCCCGGCTAGAAGCAACAAAGACGAAACTGGAACATCAAACTCATTTGTGAATAGGACGGTATTGACTGCGCCCTTTGCCGCTTCCGCCAGGAGACCCCAGAGTCCCCAATGCACTTCGAACTCCTCAAGGTAAGTGTTCCCGATCAACACGTTGACGCCCCACAGAGAAATGTGTATTGACCAATAATGCAGTATGGCGAAATTCCGCTTGAGCCCGTGATCAAGAAGCGGGTGATGAACATGATCCTGCATAATAAGACCTCTCCGTCTGAGCTGTCCGAAGTCAATGTGATCCTGGGCGAGACCTTCGCCTCCGCCGTGCACAAGTTCTGCGAGGACTACAAGGTAGACATTAACTCGATCGACGTACTCGGATCCCATGGCCAAACAATTTGGCTCCTCTCCATGCCAGAGGCCGGCGAGACCCGCAGCGCTCTGACGATGGCCGAGGGCACATTCTTAGCCTCGCGCACAGGCATCACCTCGGTTACAGATTTCCGCGTTAGTGACCAGGCTGCTGGTCGCCAGGGTGCGCCCCTCATTGCCTTCTTCGACGCACTGGTGCTGCACCACCCCACCAAGCTCCGCGCATGCCAGAACATTGGTGGTATCGCCAACGTCTGCTTCGTCCTGCCGGATAGCCACGGCGGTGTTGACGAGTGCTACGATTTCGACACCGGTCCTGGAAACGTTTTCATCGATGCCGTTGTCCGCCACTACACCAAGGGTGAGCGCGAATATGACGAGGATGGAGTGATGGGAGCCCGCGGTACTGTCAACCAGGAGCTTGTCGACGAATTCCTCACTCACTCCTACTTCGCCCTTGAGCCACCCAAGACGACCGGCCGCGAAGTCTTCCGCGACACTCTTGCCCACGATCTCATCGTCAAGGCCGAGGCAAAGGGCCTCAAGCCCGACGATGTTGTCGCCACCATTACCCGCGTAACCGCTCAGGCTATTGTCGACCACTATCGCCGCTATGCGCCTAAGGGCCTCGAGATCGAGGAGATCTTCATGTGCGGCGGTGGTGCCTACAACCCCAACATCACGGCTTTCATTCAGAAGAACTACCCCAACACCCGAATCATGATGCTCGACGAGGCTGGTATCCCTGGTGGCGCCAAGGAGGCGATTACATTTGCTTGGCAGGGTATGGAGGCTGTGGTTGGTCGATCTATCCCAGTCCCCACTCGCGTTGAGACTCGCCAAGAGTACGTCCTGGGCAAGGTCTCGCCTGGCAAGAACTATCGCAATGTCCTGCGCCAGGGCATGAACTTCGGTGCTGGTCGTGATCACCTTGCACCTGTCAAGGAATTGGTCAACTACATTGATGGAAAGGTCTTCAACAACAAGTGGTGAAGTATCTTCTTCTGTTTCTGGACTCCCCTGCGTAACGGATTTTTGGATGCATATTTCGGTGTTTCTTTGGCGTGGCTTACAACAAACATGTACATGCTCTATATACATATATGAAATGATGAATGCCTGTGTATTATCTCTCAAATTACATCCGCAATAACCTTCGAATGCAAGCTATCTGAGCACAGACCTCAGTAATTGCAGCAAACGCATGTAGCCCTGGAGGGCAATAGGCAATATGGATGTGATCCCAATTGATGCCCAAGATCATGTAATTTCCTCAAAGCTCTCCTTCCCTCACATGATATCGGTGTAGCCTGATTCGGGCGCCTCACCTGCAATATTCGCATTCAGGGTTCTTTTTTCTCTCTCTGGTGATTTCATACTGTGAGCAAACGAGCTCCCGAGGTCCATTTTGCTCCCATTTGTTCTCTCGACAGTAATGAATATGGACGCCAAATGCTGTCACGTCTAGTGGGCTATTGATCAATTGCGTTGGTTGGAGAATACTTGTCGCGTCCCGAGAAACCGCATCTACTATGCCCATTATGCCAACAATAACTGCTACCAATTTCCAGTCAAGTCGAGATCTCCAGGCTTCTCATTTTGATCTGGCAATGCAGTTGTAAAAGTTTTCGCTAGTTAGCCACCGAGGCTGTGTCTGGTGGGAGATGCTCGAAACTTACCTCTTTCGGGGAATGCTGAAAACAGCCATAGGAAGAGTATACGATTCGCGGATTTGATTCCAAGATATAGTTAGATGTGGTACAAAAATCCCATGTAAGGCAAGATCTAATTTCGCCGATCAAAACGATCAACAAATAATGAATGAAAACGCCTAAGAAGTTGGAGACACCGCACCAATTCCAAGGCTTCGGGTGATATGTGAAAATCTTAGGTTGTGAACAGTCTGTATGACAAGCCCCCACAGTCTAGTCGAGACCAATTATAAGTACCTAGAAGTAAGCCATGCATGGCGCTAGGGCTGAAGGCGCGATATGAGGACATGATTTCCTATTTCGTCCAACTGTGCGCGAAAACTCATCAAAAATCTTGATCCTTGTGTCACTTGCTGATGTCTAGAAGAGTGGCAAACCCTTCTTGCGACGGCCGAGGGTGATCAAGGTAGTATAACACATGTTTACAATTTGACCGGTTCCAAGGTTGTGGTATGTGAATTCAGGTATAGATATCTGAGTTCCAGCCTTGAGCAAACATATTTCGTAACTGGCCCGACAACCTTCAGAAAGGGCTGAGACCGGGAATAACCTGGGATGGTGTCAGGTCACTCGCGAAGCTCAGAACCCGACGATCAAACTAGTATCCCCTAGTATCCGATAAGAACCACGATCAATTCCAGGGGTCCTGGGACTAGGCAGGAAGACTTAAACCCATTGGGATGTACTCGTATGTCGTGCTTCCTGAGAAAAGTCCAGATCTAGATAGTACAACATACAACTGGCGGCCTTAACTCGGTCCGAACAATCGCCGAGATGATACGAGCTGATATCAGACGGGTTGGGCCCGTACATTATTTGACCGATTGCAGTGAAAATAAACATGCACCTAGTGCTTTGTGAAACAGTGCGTCATTTTCCCTATGCCGAGTTCCCGGTGATGGCTTGGTCTATCTCGGAGATGGATCGGCCATGACCGTAGAGCAAGAGTACTCCCATCTCTCTTTAAGTATAAATACAAGGCCATGTTTACACAAACATCATTATCATCCCACATTCAAAAGTCTTCAAACTTGGAATATACTACCAAATACCCACAATGTCCCCACCAATATCAAAAAACCCCCTAGAAAGGCCCGAGCCTACCCATCCCCAACATCCAAGTGTTGAAACGGAGGAAAGCCTGCGCAACCTAGGCATTTCAGAGAGCCACACGCTCGACTATAACTACCCAACCGTCGGGCATGATTCAAATCCAGTTTTTCCCGAAGAATATACCATCGAAACCAACACCGGACTTGTCCCTCAAAAAACCCTTGACCGGGTCCGATCTCATGGCTCGGCTTCATCCACCCAGCTCGGCACACCCGCCAACGAACTGGACGCAGATATTGAAAAGGGAGGAAATGGACCGATAGAGTTTGTCACATTCACAGTCAATGACCCAGAGCATCCTTACAACTGGTCTCGCGCGTACCGATGGTACATCACGATGGTCGCTTCTACTCTAGTCGTCTGCGTCGCATTCGGCTCATCAGTCGTCACCGGAGGACTAGGTCTGATTGAGGACCAATACAAAGTTTCCTTGGAAGTCGCGATCCTGACATGTTCGATCATGGTCTGTGGCTTCGCCGTCGGCCCGCTGCTATGGTCCCCGTTGTCTGAAATCATCGGACGCAGACCCGTCTACATAATCTCATTGTTCCTATACACCGTCTTCAACATCCCTTGCGCCCTCTCACCCAACATCGGTGGTCTTCTCGTTTGCCGATTTCTGTGCGGTGTTTTCTCGAGCTCGGGACTTTCCCTAGCAGGTGGCACAATAGCCGATATCTGGAGCATTGAAGAGCGAGGTATGGCGATCGCTTACTTTGCCGCGGCGCCTTACTGTGGCCCAGTTCTCGGCCCAATTGTTTCTGGCTGGATCAATGTCGGATCTGGTCGTCTGGATCTATTTTTCTGGGTGAACCTTGCTTTCGCCGGCCTAATCATGGTTCTCGTCGGCCTGGTACCGGAGACCTATGCACCTGTCATTCTGAAGCGTCGTGCTGCTCGCTTGCGCAAAGAAACTGGAAACCCTAACATCATCACCGAGATGGAAAGGACAAAGCCTACTTTCCGTGATATCGCACGCACAAGTTTGATTCGGCCCATCACGATGATCATGACGGAACCAGTTCTTGACCTTATGTGCATGTATATTGTGCTCATCTATGCGATGCTTTATGCCTTCTTCTTCGCATACCCGGTCATCTTCGGAGATCTCTACGGATACAATGATGGTCAGATTGGACTGATGTTCATACCTATTCTCATTGGCGCTGCTTTCGCCCTTGTCGCGACTCCGGTCTTTGAGAAACAGTTCCGAAAAATTTGCAGCGCCAGGTCTCCGACCCCTGAAGATCGACTTCTTGCGGCACTCGTCGGAGCGCCTTTCATTACGATCGCATTTTTCATCCTTGGTGCTACTTCTTATAAGCACATCATCTGGGTAGGACCTGCTTCGTCTGGAATTGCGTTTGGTTTCGGCATGGTCCTGTGCTATTATGCTGTGAACAATTACATCATCGACTCTTACCAGAAGTACGCGGCTTCTGCGCTGGCGGCCAAGGTCTTTCTGCGATCCGGCGGTGGTGCTGCATTCCCCTTGTTTACTACACAGATGTATGACCGTCTTGGTTTGCAATGGGCCTCTTGGTTGCTGGCTTTCATTGGTCTCGCCATGGTATTGATCCCATATGTGTTTTGGATGTTTGGCGCCAAGTTGCGGGCCAAGTATAGCCGGGAGTAAAGTGGAGACCCCCGCAAGGGCTGCTACTATGGGGGCTCGGAGTCTCTTAAAAGCCAAAAGAGGTTGGGGTCGGTCAAACCCTTCCAAGGTTCAAGGTTGGAGTGAAGTATTAAAAGTACTCCGTATGATATAGACTAATGTAATCAAAAGTAGTGAGAGCAGATAAGTTAGAGATTAGAGAAGAAAGATTATAATAAATCAAGATTTCCAAACGGTGTTCATTCTGTTCAGCGACATACAGTCGGTTTCTGGTTAATGACGCCTGAATGGTAACCAAGCCAGTCAGCCGTTTTCCCGACGACATGGACTTCACGAAATAACCGGGCAACCGACTTAAGATTTCGTAGTCTGATCCCATAAGCTTCGCACAGTGACACCGTCAACCCACTTGCCGCCAGTCTCATCTTTTTGCACAACAAACTTGAGACTGCGTTTCTCGCCTGGAGCCAGTGTGAAAGAGTTGTCTTCAAAGTAGCCCACCACCCCGGCAGGGTAGTCAATCCAAGTATACAATGAAATGGCGCTCCTAGCTTCGACAGTGAATATGTTATCTTTTGAATCGTGTGATAGGTGTAGCTGGGGATCTTTCAGCTCTAGATCCTTTGGGTAAACTGGCGTAAAGTGGTTCCGATGGGTGAATATAGTCGCAGAATCTTGCTCTTGATTGGGGAGGTAACCCTGGGCTGTCAGATCAATGATCAAAACTGCGTCTCGAATGCTTGGAAGAGAGATCTTTGAGATGTTTGTGTCGTAAATTCTGGTAGTGTTCAGAGCACCGACCGAGAAGCTTCTGCTCTTTGGGGTTCCTGCGTTGTCTAGAATAGGCTTTCCTGAGAGGTCTGACCAAGTAAAGCTCACATTACCCTGTGCGGTTTTCCAAAGGTCTGAGGTGACATAGACTGACAGGTCACCAGTTGACGAGTTCCAGAATGGTGAGACGATAATAGGTTGGTAAATGTCGCGTGCTGTGTAATGAAGCACCTTCCAGCGGCCATCGTACTCAATACCAGCCCATGTTGGCGCCTGCCAGATATCTTCCAGCTGCCAATATAGAGATCCGAGTTGGCGCTCTGGCATTCCGCTGCCACGGCGGTAGAATTGAATTTCGTACTTGTACATGTCGGCTTGGAAAAGCTGCGTCGCATGGCACCATGTGCTAAAATTCGCTAAAGAGTCGTCCTTGTTTGGAATTGGATAGTACCTTTCGACTGCCAAGGTCATCTCGGCCATTCCCATAGATGCATTCTTGTAGTTGTGGGTGTCCGGACCGTTCGAAGGATAGTGATGATTTCGGAGCACGATTGTGCTACTGTTGAAATGAAGATCTTCCTCATCCACTGCCTGCTGCCAGGTTTGAAGACTTGGCATGCTGTGGTAGCCAAACTCATTCGCAAAACGACCGACTGGGTAGCCTTCGAAATTGAATGCCACCCTACTATCATAGTTGTAGTAGTCAGTATCGCCATAGTAATAGCCTTCTTGATCCGTGCCGTTATCATAGCGCTCAACCATTGGGACTGGGGCGGAAAGGTCAACTTTTAAAAATCCGTTGTTTGTGCTGCTTGGCATGTACGAGATTGACCGCGAGTTTTCGTAAACCAGGGGCAGAATGAGAGTAATGAACAAGTGCTCATAGTCCCCAACCAAGAAATCGTAAGCTTCAGGTGCCTTTTCTTTTGCCGTGGGTAGTTCTAAACTTTCAATCTCATTTCCACCCGCCCACAGGGCCAGTGATGGATGGTGGTTGACCCGTCTCACGTTATAAACAACTTCTGCCGCAACATTATCGAGGAACGGTTGGTCTGTGGGGTATAATGCATCACTGAATTGAAACTCGCTCCAAAGCAACACTCCACGCTCGTCAGCAAGATCGTACATGAAGTCCGGAAGGTAAATGCTAGAGGACCAGACTCGGAGCATATTTTGGTTTCCGGCGACAACGGCATCAAACAGTCGCTTCATCTTGGCTTCTGTGACTCGGGGCCAAAAGGCATCGGGTGGAATGATGTTTGAACCCTTGGCATAGAACTCTTGACCATTCACCTCAAAATGCCAGTTGGCTCCCGGCGCAATGCCTTGGGACCTTTGCTCCTCAGTGATGTTGGACTGATTGAGATAAATGGTACGGAAGCCGGTGCGCTTGGTCACGCTCGTGATGTCCTCTTCATTAACCCGAATGGTCACTGTGACGTTGTACAAGATTTGTTTGCCCATCCCTGTGGGCCACCAAAGTCTCGGCGCATCCGCATCAATGACTGTTTGACCTGTGATGGTTTGACCAGTCACAACAGCATTGTCCAGAGTTCCAGATTTGAGAATGCTGCCTGACTCAATATCTTTGATCTCAATTTGCATCGACGACTTCTCGGGCAGTGAACCAACAAAGTCGATACTCGCATTGAAAACCCAAGGTTGGTTCTGGTCAGGAGCAATATGATTGATTTGGCCTTTCCGGTATATGTCAAAACCGGTGTTTGAAATGTACGCACTCGTCTTAGCCTCAGACTGTACCAAGTAGACATTCTGCCAAGGACCAACGGGGGAGAAGGCTGGACCCCAGTCCCATCCAAAATCGGATTGTTCTTTGCGAATATACCAACGGTTCGGAAACTCAAAGGTTCCTTGAATGCCAGCCGGCCATTCTTGAGAGTGTTAGATTAATATCTTTTAAGAGGGGGGTTCCAACTAACTCTGTGATTTGGGATCGGCGGCAATTGCATTTGCAATCTTGGGACAACTTCCGAAGTTGAGTGATACGGTTGGTAATCCATTGCAACCTTTCAACGCATCTGAGATGTCGAAGACGTGTTGTCGGAACTGGTTTTCCGTGGAGGCGATGTGTTGACCGCAAAATTCGATTGTTGTGAACGTGTCAAGTCCGTTGAAGACAAGCCAGGATGTTTTCGAATCACTTGATCTGGAAGGGGTGAGTAAAATGACACAGGAAAGAGATGAGAGGATCGCACAAGCCCTCGATTGGTTTACTTGTGTATGTCCAATTGTTGTTGGCAATCCAACGCAAGTTGAAGTCATTTAAACCATGGTATCTAACCAGCATCAAGTTAGTACTCCATGGGACAAGAGGCAAAGGGCGTTAGCGACTGACGGATCATCTATTTCTGTTAATAAATGTGCAAAACACGTCACCGAGAATGCGCCCTGACTTACCAATAATTCCTGCAGCGAGAAGGTCCAAATGCGCCTGCGAGGGAACACGACCAGGAACGCTGATATTCAACGCGCTACTACTGACTGTCCAGCCATCCCCACTCAGATCGATGACATTTTGCGCAAGGGTTGCTGGTAGCGCGGATGAAAGCACAGTCAGAAAAAGCTGCTTCCAGAGACGCATAGTGTCGCAAAAGTTATAACTTAGGTGTGTCTCTTTGGCTGAGGACACAGCGAAATAAATACCTTCGATCCACCCCCGCTTAGGTAGTTTGTCGAATCGAGATGGCAGACCCACTAAAAGGTGTACCAAATTGAGCTGCTTCACCGGCTAAATACATTAATCATGGCACCACACGGCATGGGTTGTCGATGACAGGGGGTCAAAATCTGGAGCCAGCACCATCACTGTGCGGGGAAAAGCAACGGTAGCAGCGTCGAGTAGCGGACTTGTGTTGATCCCGGGGAGTAAAGTTGCGAGCCTTCAATTCGGGACTCTGGAGCGGAACAAGGCGACGATCTGCGGTGTTGGGAGTGGAGCTATGCGGAGGATGTGAGGGGTTTTGCTCGAGCCACGGCAGCCACAATGCTTGCTTCGTTGGTGGGAAATGATGATTGCATGCAAGGGTTCCAAGGTTGTTTCAAATTGTCTGGACTTCGCATTTAACAGGCTAAATTCTGTAGAATTGGCCCTGGATTCCACTGAATAAATGTTTTGAGCGACCTTGGGACGAAAACCAAATCTTGGAAATAGTGTATTTGAACATCACCTCGTAGCCTCATTTATATGCACTGCAACCCTTGAAGGTTGTGACCTTGGAAACGCCACATATCAGATCTAGTATATACATATGTCTTGTGCACAATATTTCGTCGGCTAATGACCTAGGAGATGAGGTTCTTGCGCATTGTGTCAACATGACTATGCGAAAACCCAAGATTATTGGTCAGATAGCCCTCGATGCCATTTTCATAGGCACCTGCAAAATATTTCAAAAACTCTGCCATCGCGGTCGCACGAACGCCGCATAGCTCGAGCATGCCTAGAGCCTCAGGACTCAACTGGTTGATATCGACTTCGTCGGAATCCATGTTCATAGCAAACGCCTCCATAAGGTTCTCTCTGGCGCTCTCAAGGCCAACACGAGTGAGGATATAATCATTGATGATCTCATCGCCAGGTCGGCCAATCAAGAGAAGTATCAGAGCCGCCAGAACACCTGTGCGATCTTTACCGGCTAGATGTGAATCGATAGTCAGCATTCGATGTCTACTGACTTCAATGGTATAGAAAGTCCACCCTCGCCGAAACATGAAATTGCGGTCCGATGCGCAGGGAAGAAGAGTCAAATGAACTCACCAGAGCAATGGAAGATGAATGGATCATCTGGGCTATCTCTGATGTGGGTAAATACCTCAGCAAAGCACGGTTTCGCGGCCCTGAGGATCCCCGAATACATCTTCACAAACCCTGCAGCTCCTTTGTCTTCTCCTGCAAAATCTCGCAAATTTAAAGTCGCGGGCGAGGAGCCATATGGCATCCATATAGTGTCAACTCCTGGAATCGAAGCTGGAGGCGCCTTCTGTCTTTCACCCTCATTCCGGAGGTCAAAGATAGTAGTTATCCCTAATTCGGTTGCAATGATCGCTTTTCCGGATTCCATAACGTCAGACAGATTTCCCGAACGGTAGACATAGCCCGGTCGCAATTTATTGTCATCATGGCTCAAGTCGCGAAAGTTGGATACGCCTTGTATAGGAATGAATGGCGGCAGAGACGTAATTTTGGACACTAGAGCCTCGGGGATTGGGCTTCTAATGTCGGTATGCAACACATCACGGTACTCTTGGGATTCCAGCATCTTGAACAAAAAGGTATGGTAAGAGAAGAGAGACTGGAAAACAGCAATGTGATATTGGCAGTTCCAACTATGTCATCGTATCCATCAAAATAGTGGGGGCCGAGAGCCGGAGCTTGCAGGCACCATGTCATCATATATGACGATTTTTTCCACCCGGCTGATCTTGAACTTCTCGCTCACAATATCTCAAACAGAGAAAAATCTCATTGTTAAATGTCTAGCTTTCCCCAGCTCGCCCTGGAGGGAGAAACGCAAATCGAATCTGGGCAGTGGACATCAAAACTGTTAGATTATGACCTCATAGTCCATGTGGAGAAAATGATACCGAGGAGCCTTGAAATTCCACACAGAGACACGTTTGTTATAGAGTGTGCGAACTTGATAATTATTTTCTGATCCAGCAGTGACAATCGAAATTCAAGTGACTTCTGATATCATGAGACATCATTTGAGCGAACAAAAATCCCCATGCAGCTTGTTACATCCGTGAGGGCTTGGCGGAACAACAGATCGAGTCGTTCTGATAAAGGGTAGATTTGTTATCGCTCTGGGAAGATCTGGGAACATCATTGGAGGGGTTTAGATTGAAGAAGTTGACGGGCTTCAGCGAAACCATCATTCTTTCTTTGGGCATGACGGGGAAATCTAGATATAGGTCAGATCGCCAGACTTAATTTCATTGGTCCATCCATATGCCTGAGTGCAGAGAATGATAGGAAAACATACCTTCAGTTCGCGTAACATGGGTTGTACCAAAGCTATGCCAGAGAACGACATCCTCATCCTGGACATTTTCGTCCCGCACAGCCCATTTAGCCAAGCCGGTATCCTCCCGACTTTGGTTGGTGAACTCACCCGATGCCCACAACTCATCGTCGCGGTACTTGGTGATCCAAATGGGCTTAGAGCCAAACACACCACGTTGGTAGTTGAAGGTTTCCGGTCCCATCATCAGCATTTGGCTGGGCACAGGATGCAGTTTGTAGCCAACAGGCTTCCCTGCGATGGCGTTAATCTTAGACTCGTTCAAAATTTTGAATACTCGACCCTTAGAAAGGTCGAGGTCATAGCTGCCGGGCTTGTTGATCGGAGTCGTATGGACCTTGAAGGCACATCCCGATGGATTAAGCTTGGGTTCATGCTCCACAGGAACGCAGTCCTCGTAGACAACGGTATTCTTGGGCCCGTCCAAAGATGGATCTACCCGTAGACAGAATAAATGTTGATGGTTAACGGCGAGCACACCAGGGGCCACAACAGTACCCCATGGAACCTGGACGCCTTTGCGAATCGGCATTGTGGAGACAATACCGGTTGCACGGACGTCAATGTGGAGATTGGCTGCCTGGTCAAGAACAAATGCGAGGATGTACTCGTAATTGGCTACTGTTGCAGTGCACTGGATCACGAGTTGGCGGTCTCTCACAACAGACGACTTGCCATTTCTGAAGTTCGTGTGCTTCCATCCAATGCCATCGTCCACTTCGTGCATGCAGACAACGTTCGGCATGACGACAGGCTCACCACCACTTGTCACCCTGATTCCATTGAAGTACGCGATGTGACCGAGACAGTCGCATCCCAGGTTCAAAGAGTTGGAGGTAAGACCAAATCCGGAATCACCAAGGTCAAAGGCCTGCTTTCGGTGGTACGGCGAACGAGGATCGCCGTAGGGAACCGTCATCTCACTCATTGAGACTCGGTAGAAGAGTGAACGTCCATCATATCGAACATCGTGAAGCACAGGTCCCTCGCGCATGTTCCATCCAAGCTGAAAGGACCACTTTTGCCATTCAATGTGACGTCCTTGAACAGCGAATGAAGGTCCTTGGGGCTGAACGACTTGGAGTGGCTTTAGGTCCTTCCGGAAAGCATTAGGTCCAAGCAAGTCGGCGCTGTACTCGACCGCACTGACTGGGTCCCAGGGTTGAGTCTCAGAGTCGAGCTCATCGGTTGCGCCAGTTGGCAAACGTTGTAGGTCAACCAACTCCAGTGTGTTGCCGTCAAATATAGGAGCGAGGGGAAGGGGTATCGAGTAATGGTTTGACTCTGGGTCATCATTGAGGGCCAGATACATGTAGCACTGGAAGAGTCGACGCCGCTCGTGAAGGTTATCGGTACCAAAGCTCCAGGGGTCGTTCTCGATTCTAGCACTGTGGAGAGGATTAGCTCAGAAGAACCGATAGCAAGATAGCTCAACTTACTTTGGAGGGAGCTTCAACTTTGCCACTTCAGCAAGGACTTGGGGGTTGGAGAGGCAGGCCTTGTGAACTAAATCATATTCAACCCAGTCTACTGGCCCTTGAGAGTCAGGTGCGTCATCGGTCCGCTCCACGATTCCTTTGGTTATGTTGACGATTGCAATTGAGAGGACTGGACTTTTCAGGCGATGATAGTAGACTCTGCATTTGCGGTCAGGCGCCAGGCCACCGTGATGAAGGTAGGGAAGAGTCAAGGCTTTGGGAGGTTCAGCAAGATCAACAACCTTGAAGCGAACCTCATTTGACTTGCAACCCAAGCGCCGGAGCAAAAGTTGCGAGGCAGCCTTGATCTCCCCGCGTGCAATGGGTCAAGGGGGTGGGAGGCTGAGGCGGGGGCATGGAGTGACATCTTGACTGTTATGTGCTGATAGTGCGCAGAACAATAGCTCCTAAGACTATACCGCGAGCGTTTCTGGTTCTCAAGATCTGGTTCCAATGAAGATTTATATGCTTCGATTCTGTATAGAGTGATCAGAAATCTGGCTTCCCAATAAAAGATGTCTGGGCTTCTTACTCAAATAGGCAGCACCGCCCGCATTGTCCAAAACTCCGTGTACATGAAGACAGACAAGACCAAATTCTGCTTATGGCGCAACCTTTACTCTGTTGAGTATCGAAGTGCGGTAAAGTACTTGCGAAGTACTTGCAACCTTAAAATATCCTTAAAATATTTCATGACGAGAATGAGGCTGCAAGTTGTTGACATGGAGGTTGGTCTGGAACAGGTGACTTTGACTTGCTTACGGAATCCACCTTCGAAGTCTACGTCTTGATTTCTGCACAACTCTTGGTGCTTTGCATTCAACTTCCTCATGTGACTTCCCGATGGTTCTCACGTGCTACCGACGTTGGAATCTATTAGTCCCATACAGTCACTCTGACTTCCTGCAGACTCACATGGAGCTTGCCCATATCATACACACAAAGCCTAAAGGGGCCCGGAGCAAGCAACGCTGGAAGGAACCGACACATCATCGCTAGGATTATCACAGGGTCTGCCAAGATTGTATCCAACAAAGCTCGATTGAGGGGCTTTGATATAGCCCTGGAGCAGAATCAACGAGGCAGAGTTCAAGTCTGAGCTCTCATTGGATAAAGATAGTGAAGCCGGGTTCCAACAAAAAGAGTTGCCCAGGTGGTTTACCCCGTACGGAATACTCCCCGGGGTCTGCGGGGGAGGACATTTGAGACCCGCAAATTGCCCAAAGGGGTAATACAACCAACTGCGGAGCCACTAATCCTATTCGGTCTGTGACTTAAAACCAGCCCCATCGGGATTGACATTCTGATTGCCCAGATTAACCATAGGAAATGAGATACGAAGAGGTATTCTCCCACGAAACTTTACTCTCTAACTTGATTTAGTTATGCGAATGTTCGATCCGCAACCAAATCCTCATCCATCTGTCAACGCTCGGACATCTTTCGTGATCCACCAGAGATGGAATAATCGAGTCATTGTGACGAGAAAAAGAGCAGAAATCGTATGTATTGTGAGACCTGAGGAAAGAAGGAGAGAGAGAGAGAGAGAGAGAGAGAGAGAGAGAGAGATCTACATCTACATCAGCGGGGACCCTGCAAACCAGGCAAACACCCGCGTCGACACATTGGATTTCAACCACGAAGGCAACAAGTTATTTTATTCTTTGAATCAACAAGGTACGCAGTCCGGGTAGATCTCTCTCATCTGCCATTATTTGCAGGTTTGTAGCTCTCACTTAAGGGCCCACACTAGCAACCTGCGGGGTCTAACTTTGTTTGCAAGAAATCCTTCAGCCATTTGTTTCTGGTTGCAGTCGCCTGGAATGCGAGACTGGTCTCGTAGAACAGATCAAAGCCGTGAGGGCCACCTCCCCAAACATGCAAATGTGCCTGTACCCCGCTCTTCCATAATGTGGTTGCATACGCAATGACTTCATCCCGGAATGGTTCACCAGAACCAGCATCAATGTAGGCCAATGGAAGACGCGACAAGTCTGTAGCACGCGCAGGTGCTACATATGAGCTAACATAATCTGTACCCGCTTGCACACCAAGTACGCAAGACCATGCGTACCGATCCCACGCTGTGTAGAATCCATACCCATTCTCAAATTGACGACATGACATGGTGCTGCAACGATCATCAAGCATGGGACATATGAGCAGCTGCGCACAAAGCTTGGGGCCGCATCTATCTCTCGAAAGCAGAGCTGTTCCTGCCGCCAAACCGGCGCCGGCCGATACTCCCGCAATCATGAAGCGATCGGGGTCAACATTGAATCGCTCGAAATTGGTAGACATCCAAAGTAGCGAGTTGTAACAGTCTTCGACCGCGCATATACCTGGATAATCAGGCGAAAGGCGATAGCTGATGCTAATCACCACAGCATTGAGGTCTTTGACAGTGTCCACCAAGCTTTTGAGGCCAACGTAAACGTTTCCCATCACGCGCCCACCTCCGTGAACAAAAAGTATACCCGGTCGAGATATTCGGAGGCTGGCTGGAAAACGTTTGTAGAGAACGATAGCATCAATGATCCCGTCGGGGGTGGGAATCTGAAGGTTCTCAACTTTAAGAGCGGGATCTTGCACGATGGTTTCGTCTGTAGGCGGCTCTTCAGACCGCAAAGCAAGTAGGTCTTCAAAGCTTGATGGTAAGGGCCGATGCTGCGTATCTTCGAAAGTGATAATTTCAGCGTCGTAAGGTGGTAATGGCAAGGATGCCTGGACCACTGTAGCTGTCCCCATAGCTGATATGGGCATTAGAAACCCGGCGGACAATGGGGAAAAGTTGGGAAAGCGTCTGCTCTAATAGAATAAAGCTCATGCAGTGATCAGTACAAGAAAAATTGACACGTACAAGTGTATAGAGTAGATGTGGGGCTTCGTCTCGAGTTGTGGTCGTCTCTCGAGGTGGTCACGGCAACATCAGCCTTTCTGAGCCCAGAGGCGATTCTGGTTGAGTTGTTTACCCTTTTTGGCTGTAGTTCTCCAAGTGCGGAGCCGTCCCAATTGCTTTTTTTGCTCTCTAATGTGCTGACTGGCCTCTTCACCGACTCATCTCTGGTGGGCTAGGCACGGTCAGCGTAAACATTTCCCTTCCGGTGTTACCACCCGCATCGTATAACCATGATGGCGGGGCATGAGATGTCCTGCAGATTGCTTGGACATTGAGAAATGGCATGTGAGTATGGAAAACGCAAAAGCAAAAGCCCAAAACAACAACAAAAACAACAAAAACAAATAGACAAAGGTAGCAACTAGTGGACATTGAAAGGTTGTAGCGGCAGCTCGGGGGAGAAGTTTGGAAGAGAGTCAGCTGCAGTACTCCGTACATAACCCTGTGTTATCACTTCAACCCTAACTCCTACTTTTGACTTTCCACCCCAAAGCAGTTCATGCTCCGCTGCTATTGATAATGATATAATTCATTTTCATTGTTTCAAATATCAGAAAGACATAAATACTTTGCGGTCTCCAATGCACGACGGGAGCCCGTTGAAGCTACTCTCACACCTAGTTATACAATCCTCCATTGGCAGAAAGAACAGATCCAGTCACCCAGCGAGCCTCCTCTGAGCAAAGGAAAGCAACCAAAGGGGCAATGTCTTCAACCTCCCCCACTCTGGCCGCAGCGGGAGTTGATTCAATAATCGGTTGCATTTCCTTCAGGAACTCTTCGTTGCTTTGCCTCCATTGATCTAGATTACCAAAGTTGTTAATTTTTCCTTTTCATATGCCTTTTAGGACCACCTACCTGTTGCCACGGGCCCAGGGTTGACACAATTGACTGTGACGCCATAGTCCTGACCTAGCTCTTTAGCCCACACACGAGCCAAGGCCTCGTTACTAGCCTTTGTTGCTGAGTATATACTCTGCATTGGAACGCCAAGACGAGCAGCAACGGATGAAACCAGCACGATCCGACCACCCTTTGGTAGATAGGGAAGAACTTGCTGGGTCAGGAAGAATGGTCCTCGCAAGTTGCAATCAACATGTCTGTTGTAAAAGTCAAGCGAGACATCTTTCAAAAACGCATCCTCTCCGAGGGCAGCGCTGAGCATATGTCAGTGACGGTAATAAAGACAACAACGGAGCACCAACTTATGAACTAGAATGTCAATTTTTCCGGTGGTGCTGAACTCTACCGCAGCTTTGACAAGCTTGGGCAAGTCATCCAAGACACTCATGCTTGCCTGGCAAAGAAGAGCTTTTGAACCGTATTCTTCAATCCGAGCGACAACATTGACGGCTGCTTCACGGCTGCGATCCGACACATAGTTGACTACCACGTTGGCCCCTTTCTGTGCTAGCTCCAGGGCGATGCCGGCACCAATTCCCCTAGAAATGCAAAACACGGAATAGGTTAGCATCCATTGAGTTCCTTTTTGTCTATAACAACTGAGTCTTACCTGGACGCACCGGTAACGATAGCAGTTTTGCCTGCAAGGGGACGGTTTGTCGGATGGTTCGGACTCATGGTTTCGGTAGCAGAAAGAAATGCGGATTCAAATTGGAAATTAATTTTGTAGAAATGACCGTTCTCTAGTGACTGGCATGCTAATTATATCGACTGTGAGGGGTACTCTTCATGCAGTTCCCTCCTGCTGGCCCACCTGCCGAATGAGGAAACCCAAGCCACTTTCCGGCATTGTTTGAATAGTTCATCCACAGTGAATCACCCCAAATTTCCCACTAGCATTGCCACTAAAAGTCTCAATGAACATAATACATTCCAGTCACATCCAGACTCTGGGATGACGAAATCAATTGACGCGGGGTAAACAGCGGTTTGGCTGGAAAGCAGGTCTGTGGCGGCTAGGGTTAATCTCAGTATCTCAGGCACCACTCCGGCCTGAGGTATTTAATTATTGTTGTTCGAGAGTTAGCTCGTAGAAAACTAAGATACCCGGATAACTATTGCAGTCATTTTACTTAGTAAAGAAGATGTTTAAAAAGACACCTGGAAAGACAATTCAAAAGATACCCGAAAAAACATTTAGAGATGCCTAAAACCTAGGGGTGTGGCCCCCCGAGAAAGCCCGGAGGTCGGCATGCGCAGTAGCCCGGGAAGACGACACCTAGGGGTACCACCCGTCGCGAAAAACTTCGATCATTCAGGGGCCTTATACTACAATCCACCATTTACGGTGATAAAGACTCCAGAGAAAACACAAAATTAACGTATTAGGAATACTGAAATTTGCGCAAAAACCTCACTTCTGCATTGTTGCTTCCCATAAAGACTTGGATGAGGAGAAATCAGCCAGGAAGCTGAGCGCGCCCGACGATACATTTAAGGGCCAGGCACCGAGTGGGCAACTCCAATGGAAGCAGAGAATTGCCCATATCGATGTTGAGAACAATTTGTTTCTCCAGACCCGGCTCTTCTTCGTCGATTTCTCTTGTGCTCTTTTGCCATTGATCAATGTTTCCGCGGTCAGCGGGTTCGCGGAAGTGAAAGCCTCCTGCCCTATACTAGCAAGCTCCATCGAAAGATGAAGGAACAAGGCCCGGGCGCCCCACGCAAAGCAATTCTCTATCCTTTGTGTGCTGGGTGTCAACGTTTTGGGTAGTACCCGTTTCGAAGCAAGAAATGCATAATTTTCGAGCAGTTGATATGAGGTGATCGTGAGAATTTGAGCGATCCTTATCGCTTTTGGTGACGACTTTCCTCGATTATTTTGGAATGCATGGATACTTTGATCCCAAATCGCAAATAGGCCAAAAAGACGTGTGGTACAGCGTGCCTCACTAAACATGGAAGACAGCGACAGCAAAATGGAGGAATTGGACTCATCAGCAGGTTGAATGTGTGAGGTTTGTGACCGAAATCGGTTTCCAAAATTGAATTTTGTGATTATGAATCTTCTTATCCAATGCCGGAATAGAAGGAGATGGTGAAGGGCATGGAGCAGATATTCAAGACTCGCCAACGCGCAATCCTGCCCTGCAGAGGTCTCGAGAAGTCTGTGGTGATGATCAGATCAAGGCCGGATCGACATAAGTGAGGGTTTTTTGAAGGTCAAAACTTGCCTCCGTAAGCGTTGAAGGATAGTCCTGATTGTATGCCTTCCTGTCAGCTCTTGCTGTGGAAAGATACTTTGATTGAAGGAGGAAGCTTGTGTTTCATCAATATCAGACCCTTCTGTCGAGTCCTTTGACCCTGCCGTATCCATGTTATTTGCTGATCTTTGGTTACCGAGCTTTTCGTCAGCAGTGGAATTATCTGGGCATCAATATCCATGTATACCGATACCTTAAAGAGAGAAATGCTGCTGGTATGTTGAACTGTAGAAGTGCGAAATGACAAAATAGTGTAAAGGATCAATTATTGTGATCAACAAGGCCTTTGCTTCCGACCACAAGATAAACCATTCACGCCCAGGAACGTGATCCACATGCAACATTGTCGGGAGACTTTGCCCAACAACGTAAGGTGGCTTCTGCTCAATCGCTTGATTCCAGGATTGCCACTGGCTGGCTCAAACAACTTGAATTTTGGAGCTTGCGGTGTTTCCGCAATCGGTATATCACCCAACTGCTCCATGGGTACATCTGAGCAACCATTAGTGTTCTGTGGCGTTATTAAGGGCTGAGAGAAACTACAAACCCCCTTGCGGGGTACTTCGCTTACTGGCATGGAGATTGCAGATTGCAAATCTGGGGATTTATCGTAACCGAAACGACACCCCAAGGTCTTGGAAGACCAAATCTAGCCAGAAAAGCAGATCTACACTGTCCAAAGCCTTCTTGGGCCGCGACTAGCGAGATCGGCGCATTCAAGGACAAGAGTCAAACTCAAAGCTTCCAAGGTTAGAATGTTGATATAGTTAAACTCGCAAGTTGCCATTGGAGAACCCGAGATTCTGGTCTATTTAGTCCTGATATGGACGGTACAAGGTTACGTAGTCTGCAAATTTTCTGTAAGTTAGTGGTGAACATGTAAAGATTGAAGTGCGAGCAACGTATCTAATGCGCCCAATGACTTAGAAAATATCAATATATCAAGCACACAACGAAGATATGATAAGAAGCCAGGGCATGGTGCTGAAGTATGACCACCTGCATATCCGCAGATAGCATCCATATAGACGAATGGGCCTGAGCGAAGGCATGGAGTGGAGGGAACTTCAAATGTTTGGGGAACAGCCGGTATCAATATCATGGTGAAAATCTTCGAATTTGGAACTGCCGACGCATGGCAATGTAGCAATGCATAACTATCAAGGTATGCTCTTCGCTCGCCGACCTTTCGAGAAATGTGTGTTCCAAAACCTCTAGCTTCGAGATAAAACCAGTTGAATCTACTTTCCCGAATGAAGAACACTGAGTATCATTCACTGGAAGCGTGGCGACCAAGAATCCCCAGTGAAACGATCCACTATTAAGCATGTCCGAGCTCGCATACTCAGCGCCTTCACGATGTAAATGCGGGGTGATTCGAGTGTACGGTACTTGTACGAATTGTCGGTATTCTTTGTATCATCCTTATCATTGGTCGTTGATAGGTGTATAACAGTCGGGAAGTTGACCAGATTCATCCCATATTCGTGCCACGAAGGGATAGAACTAAGTATAAATAAGTCCACCGAGCCACTGTCAAATTTAGAATCCATCTCAATATTCCTTTCCCGGGGCAACAACAACCCTACCAAATCTCGACGTTCGCGTACCTCGAGTATGACTTCAATACAGTTGTCGGACCAATGTGTAATTTCAGATAAAAAGAAAGGCACTTCTTATCAACCAAGTATCGAAACTGGTGGTTGCGACCCATTATCAAAGGGCGATGAGGACGATGAAATTCTCCGTGCAAATGGCCATGAGGCTGCGATGCCTCGCCAATTTACTTGGATATCTGCACTTGGACTTGCCTTTTCAATTGTCAACTCCTGGATTGGATATCTGGTAAGCTTGATCACAGTCCATTTTCATATTCTGAACTCACAATGTTGAATCAATAGAGCTGCTTTGGGCAGAATCTGAAATACGGAGGTGCTCAAACGTGTATATTCAGCTTGGTGGCTGCCTTTCTGACACAAGGAATTGTCACACTTGGGCTGGCAGAGTTGGCATCGGCATATCCTGTACAGCCCCACATACAACTAACAGAAGCATTCTTTGCTGATAGTCTTCTAGTCAAGCGGTGGTCAGTATCATTTCTGTTTTATACTGAGTCCGCCTGGATCCAGGCGATACGCTGCATACATCGTTGGCTGGATCACGATGATTGCTTGGTGGATAGTCACGTACGTATACATACTGTGGATCTCATTTGACTAGAAGCAACATGCTCACACCAGAACAGCTGCTCGGGAATTTCACTCGCTGCCGTTGTCCTGAATGGAATCGTGAACTTCTGCCATCCACAATATACTGGTACCCAGTGGGAAACATACTTGATCTACCTTGCAGTGACTGTTGTGACCAGTGAGTTTGTGGCAAACGAACTCTATGAATAGACTAGTTTGATCTACTTGCTGACATTTCTCCTAACTTTTTAGTTTTACCCATATTTTACTCCTCAAAAGTATTCGCCGTATCGCAAGCATCTCTATACCTTAGTCTGGCAGTATATTTGATCGTGTTTGTTGTTGCGCTAGTGATGCATCAGCATCGTCAGCCTGCTAGATTTCTGATACAGTCGGGCCTCGGAAACAGTGGATGGTCCGATGGTACTGGCTGGTTGCTGAGTATTAGCAATGCTATGTATGCATATGGGGGTGTCGCTGGTGGTAAGTCTCCCCCAACGATCTTGTGAAAATAGTCTGATATATGTCGATAGTCGTTCATATCTCGGAAGAAATGCCAAAGCCTCGGAGACGAATACCACAAGTCATGGCTTTGACTATGGTTATAGGTCTTCTTACTGCACTATCGCTATTCATCGTTTTGATGCTTTTTGTTGTGGATATAGATGCTGTACGGATGTCACCTTTGCCGAGTCTCGAATTGATCTATCAAGTGTAGGTGTTCAGTTCAAGATCCAAGAGGTATCAATTGCTGATTTTTCTGTTGACAGGACTGGGAATCGTGATGTGACCCTAGGTCTTTTCGTTTTGATACTTCTTATTTACTGCGGTAAGCCAAAATGGTCGAAAGCTCACTCCCCACTCTTCTGATTATAATTAGCGGGATTGCCAGCACAATGGGTGACATCTGGACGAATTGCATGGGCGTTAGCAAGAGATGTGGGTTACCAATACATGAGCCCCAATACTGACTCACTCAAGCTGATATCTCAACGAGCAGCGCGGTGTACCTTTTGGTGAATTCTTCTCCAAAATCCACCCAAAGCTTAAATTCCCAGTCAACGCAACTATTGCCGCCTTTCTATTCACCTGGCTATATGGACTTCTTTACCTTGCATCGACAACAGCGTTCAATTCGATTGTCACTTCTGCGGTCTTGTTCTTGAACATCTCCTACACTATACCTCAAGGTATACTGCTTGCCCACGGTCGGGAACGCCTCCCCGACAGATATTTAAAGCTTGGCTGGCTGGGGTACTTCTGTAACATCTTCTCTGTTTTGTGGATAATTCTTTTAGGTGTCTTGATCTGCATGCCACCAAATCTCCCTGTGTTCGTTGGCTCGATGAACTATACACCGGTCATACTTGTTGGCATTTTTACCATCATCAACCTCATTTGGATTATTTCTGGCAGGAAGAGATTCGAAGGACCGCACATCGATTGGGATGTCATGCTCACCGTTGAAGATTAGGCTCACCGGGGTCCACATTACAGAATTTCAGATTTCAGCGCAAGGTCGTCAAGCTGGGTGCCTGTGATTTTTACCACTCTTGCCACTGCTTTTTTCTGGTCATGTAGCGCGCTTGATCAATCCATAAGTGCAATCTCTCAGTAGCCAAAAATTGGATGTACATCATTATCGAGCGAATCAAAGGAGCAGTATGTAACATCAATGTAAGTATTTTCGGGGACGAGGAGAGAAGAAGGAGGTAGAGAGGGAAGCTTTTTCATCTCCGTCTAGTTAACTAACCTGCGGGGGGAGCCTGGCAAACAAGGCAAACACCTGCGCCAGCAGACCTCCGCAGAATCCGTTAGCCCCAAAACCCAGCCCAGCCCAACCCACTAATGGGCTGGGTTTTGGGCCCGAGAGCGGGCCCAGAGACGGGTTTTCGGACCCAGAATAGAACCCATTGGGCCCCAAACAGTACAAACGAACTTGCTCTTGGCAGTTGCACAATTCTTGTAAATTTTCCTAGTATTTCTAAGTAGTCAATCTACTATATTACTAAAATCTGGCTTACAGGAAAGTGGTAACTATAGAACATAAATTAATCGAGAGATTTATGAATGCCAAGACCATATTCATCCAAATAATGGGCTCTCACGGGGGCCCATGTGGGCCCCCAAAACCCACTGCATTTGGGCTGGGTTTTTTGGGCTCTGGGTTCCAATGGGGGCCCATTTATGGGTTTTTTCGGAGGTCTAATTCTGAGTGTACCATTTCGGCTGAAAAGACACGGGTTGTTCTGATCAGTGATGTTTTAGTCCAAGCGCGTTAGTAGACAAAAGCTAATGGGAGGATGATATGATATTTTACGTTTTGCTTAACGCGCGTGAGGTTGAACATGTCGATGATGAGCTGCGAGGCCGATAGAGGCACTGGGGAGAACTGGTCCAATGGCTGAGGGATGACCACTAAATAAATGCTGATTTGGCACATTGAAGTGATCGGAAAACAAACGTCGCTCATAACATATCATAGCTTTACGAAAGAGATGATGAGAGCGCAAACCAATGATCGCGACCAAGTGCAAACCGTGACCTTGGAATGAAGAGGAGACCGAATATGTGGAATGTAATGGAGATATGCGAGCAAAGTAGAGATAACGATTTGGGGCTCCAGCTTCCCTTTTGCCAGTGAAACATGTTGCGAGGCCTGATGACCACGCAGGCTAGATAGCTCTCTCTCCCTCTCTCCCTTTCCCTTGGCCCCCTCTTCCCTTCTTTTCCCTCGATTTTGCTGCTCCCAGTAGATCAGCCCTGTCGTCAAAAATCTAGTTTGTTGAGATTCAGAGTCCGCAAACCCACTTTCCACTTTCACGGGTCCGACCTCCAGCAAGCGAGCGTATACATAGCCAGGGTCCACGCTTTATCTGTCTATACTTTATACACACCTGGAAGGGAAAAGCACCGACTAACAGATAAAAAAGCGTCATCGTGACGAACAATTGATAGACGAGATATATTTCAAGGTTCTCAATCTTGGTCTGTATCAAGCTAATAGAGCTTGCAGGCTAAGCAACTATATATTGGTGACTACCTGGAAGCTCCAAAATTAACCCCCGGGGCCCGTGAATGGCGGACTCGCCTAGATTCTAGGCGCCGACTTGAGACCAGGGTTCGCCCCGAGAACACCAATCTCGTTGAGCACGGTGTCCGCTGCCGAAGCCCCTTGCTCCATGGCGCCTTCGATAAATCCTCTCCACCCCGATGCCCAGTCAGAGTTTGCCATCAACACATTTCCATGGCGGGATTGAAGTTCGGCGAGATACTTAGTGAGGAAGCCTGCGGGATACCAAGCGGCGCCGGCCTTGGCGTAAGGATCGGAGACCCAGTCATGGAATACGACTTTTCTGATCTCCATAGGATGGAAACGTTTCAAGGCGGCTCCCAGTCTTTCCGGCTCTTTCAATGGGTCCAGGATGCCTCTGTTATCGCCGGCAAAGGAGGTAATGCGGGTAGATTTGCCACCAGCACAGAACCCGTCGCCGTATACATAGAGGAAGTCGCCAGGCCATGTACATCCCCTAAGGCCGCGTAGATCACCTTCAACCTCGGCGTGAATTTTGGTGAGGTAATCGAGCTGGTTGATTCTGAGGGCCTCCTGGCGAAGAGGAGAAAGGGGAGGGTCAAATTCTATGGTAGGGAGGACGGCCACAGGGATAGTGTTGATGACGCGCCGCGTGCGATAGACCCTATTGTGAGTATTGCTAGTGGCTGGAGTAAGGAGGACAATGCCACCTCTGTCGGTGATAGCTTTGATGGGGGTCTTGAATGAATACTGAAGGCCAAGACGCACTGCGTCATCGAAAATACGACGTGCAAGGGTAGACTGTCCTCCGCGAATTTTGTAGAGGGTCCATATCTCTTCGAATGTTTCCGGATTGTATCCTTGAAGAGCCTGAGCGCGAACCATTTCCAAAAATCCCATATCCTCAACTGATCCTCCGCCGCAGTGGGGGACCAACGACTCAATAAGGGCAAGCTCGTCGGGGGTAAGTAGGTGTCTGATCTGTTCGATGCGGTCACGGCAGGAGAGTTGGTCAACGGCCTGGACCTGCTCAAAAGAGACACGAGAATTTCCAAGGGACGAATATGGAAGAGGGCAGATATCGCGGCAATCATTGCCGTCAATGTTGATGAAGATCTTCCAGGCTCGGGCGCTCATCTCTCCGGCTTCCTGGAGGGAAAACTTTCGCGATCCTGATCCAGTATCGAGAGTGAAGTAAGAGCAACCACCGTTCTCAGTGCGCGTCATTGTCACTTGGTCCTGAAGGCCATACCGCTGCATCTCTGCAAAAAGGCGGCCATGGACGTGCGAGACCCAGGTTCCTCCCATATCATAAGTCGTCCCATCAACCTCAGCACTCCATGTCCGGCCACCAACACGGTCGCGTGCCTCAAGAAGGAGCGTCTTCTTGCCTAAAATATGTGAGTAATCAATAACTACGAATGTTTGTTTCACTCACCAGCCTTGACAAGGTCACGGGCAGCAATCAAGCCGGCATACCCAGCGCCGATAACAATGGCATCCCAGACATATCCAAGTTCTGGTTGATGAATCTTGATCTCAGGTTCAATAACACCGTAGGTTTGCAGACCACCAACTAAGCCATCTTTTTTATTGTAGATGTAACCTTCGTTGGATAATTTGGCTTGGTACGTCATTTTGATTCCCGGGAAGGTAAAAAGAGCAATGATGATGAGAAACAGGAAACAGGAGCGGACCTCGGGATTAAACAGACAGCCGGGTACAAATATAGCTTGCAAGAATCTCTAGAGCTGGATGAGCTAGCGCATGTTTGGAGGTTGGAGTTGCAAATAAGAGATCACCCTCACACAAGCTGGTTGACATACCCCAATAGGAATTTATGCACGGATCGACCCTTGGCATATGTAAGAAATATGGGAACATATGACTCCCCCCAATTGGGGTTAGAATTCCAGGCTTGGGGAATTTGATGAAGCTTTTCTGGCTCTGCTGGGTCGACTTCCATTGCTAGTAATATTATCAACGACTTCTTGTTCCGCTCGAAACTGATAGTGGCATTTCTAGCAGAACCTCGGGCCACAGCGTTCCAGCCCACACCGAAATTGTCCACATGCCAAGGTAACTTGTATTTATATTTACTGTCCTATTTTCTGGGCTTTATCAATCGAGAAACTGAATTGCCGTACAGGGAAAAGATTATGACAAGCGGTTAGGGCAGTTAGTCCTGCAAAAAGCACTTGTGGGCTCTTGTGTTTACCTTTCCTGTATACTCAGAAGAACATCATGCTTATCGAACCATGCTCCGACCTTTTTATGTAGCAACTTGATGAATTTGATTCCCTGGAAACTGTAAAAAGAAGGCGTAGATAGAATCTCTCTTTATTTAAACATGGAATAGAGCGGCTTCCGCAGACAATTCAACTCTCATTCCTGGCACATTGATCTCTTTCACAATCACCATTGTCCAGGTCGGGGTATGACCCGGAAATCGTCTTTTGAATATTTCCTGCATCACTGACTCATGGGCTGGGTCCACGAGATAGCTCACCATTTTGAATGCTTGAAAGAGTCCACTCGAGATGCCTGCATCCTTTAATGCTGCATCCAAGCAATCAAAAGCTGCTTCAAATTCTGCTTCAATGGTACTGTTGATCGCTTTCCCGGTGACCAAGTCCAATCCAAGATGGCTGGTTGTATAGACAAGTGACGTTGTTGATGATATGGGTACCGTTGCTGTGGTCGCTAGCGACAATGACTTGAGGCTATCCCCCACGGGGCCTGGCATGTTTTTGTAGATGATTGACGGCATATTGGATAGTCAAGGTAGACAGCGTGAAGAGAATTGGCTTTTTGGGGCGTGGATAACTGATTTGATCCGATGCAACGTGGAAGATTGTGACCGTTGTTGAGGAAGGGAAATGAGGACCTTGGAATATAAAGGTGAAAGAAGTAGCTGCGAGGCGAAGAAGAAGAGAGAAAGTTGGAGGGTTTTTCAAGCAGAATCTAGTGTGTAACACGTTGTTTTATGTTCTGGGCTGTCTTTGGCCCTCCCTTCCCTTCGCTGATTTGATGGGGGGACTTGGTCCCTCTTTCATTGTGTTTTCATTTGCTCTTGGTTTTACAATCCCGCTTCCCCAATGTATCTTTAGGAATATCTTTCGCTCAAATAATAAGGTAGTCATTCTCACGGTCCGATGAATTATCACGCGTCTGAATCAGTCAGCACAGGCTCTGATGTGAAAATATCGATAAAAACATACAAACCACATCCACGGAATGTTGCTCTTATCATGCTTTTTTTGATTCCCCCGAGCATCCCAGACAGACTTTAGGAGAACCCGTATCAACTCATTGCCAACTCCTGCCATAGCCTTGATGTTGTCCAGTCGCATGATAACGTAATGCCGAGTGTAAGGAGATAGGGCATCGGCACCAGCTATGAAAAGAGGCATGACCAGCAGCTCTAGAAGATAGCAGTCTGCTGGAATCTCAGCCACGTGGTCCAATATAGCCGTGACTGATATCTGGATGATTGCCGATTCAGCTGGCTGGCCCATGTCTATCAGGCGGGAAGTGTAGAGTATACAGGCATGTCGAAAGGCCTCGGCAATGGCCATCCACCGCTTGTCGTTATCTGGATATTTTCCATCGTTCGCATTCCATGTATAAAGCTCAAATCGCGCACTCTCTAAGAGACACCTGAGTTGGGAATCATTCAGCCCCCCTTCTGAGTGGGCCTTTCCATGCTCCAAAATTCTACCCATGAGCAGGAACAATTTACGTGGGCATCCGTTGACTTGCTCGAATTCGATGCCACTAAGCGATGATATGGTTTCCCGCAGGTCTTGAGAGAAGCAAAGGCGACGTGGGCTTGCAAATGATCGAATGATATCCAACCTGAGCACTTTGATCAGTTTCATAGTTCGACTTGTCATAAAATGTATACACACCATGCCAAATTTCCCAAGAAGAAGACCGCCCTTTCATCACTTTGAGTCAAAGTATCGAACAATCGCAATTGGTTGCAAATCGACACCGCTCCGGTGATATGGACACCATGGCTTGATACCCCGGATTCATGAATCTAGATCGACAGTCAGCACCTCGTGCCTCAGCAAAAGCGTGTAGGTTTACGATTTGTACTCACATCCTGGAGAAGAAGCAGTTGGATAGTCGCAAATAGTGCATCCCGCTCATTTTCATGTATGTTTCCCGAGATGCCGGCTTGAATGGTGTCAGCAAGGGAGCGGATAGCCCTAAGTCGGTAAACAACGGCGAGTGTGTCTCGCAGATACTTATCTTGATTGACAGTCCCCAGATGAAACGATGTAATCGCTAGAACTGCATATAGCAGACCGATCTGCTCATACGCCAATGGCAGAATGAATTTTCGGTACGGATTACTCGCACCATCTACTGTCAGTGCAATTTGATGTGGACATATCTCACGGTCGTCTAGATTCTCAGCGTTTGTGAGTGAGTGGGTCTCAGGGAACGGGTCATTGGTTTTTCTTCCTGTACGTACAATGCCTGAGAAGCACCTCTGTTCGATCGAGCATCAACACATCATCGAGCTCTACAGATTTATGATCCGGCGGCTGCCATGCCGCTGAAGGGCTTGGTGATGAAACTTGGCTCATGGCATGATCCGATGGGGTGATAACGGAAAAGGACCCTTGATCATCCACTAAGGGGCCATGCTGGATAGGCACCTGTGTGGACACTTGTGGGAAGTTCTGCGGCGCGGCGCTCGTCGATGTTGGGGCTGTTTGGTTTTTCCATTTTCCTCTTGTAGCTAAACCACAAAACCGAAACTTTTCTGGATACCCTTTGCATACAAGACCTTTCGAAGAGCATCTTTTACAGCTAGGCCTGGTGCGGTCGCATTTCCGGCACTTCTCTCGACATGTCACGCATGCTGGCCCTGCAGATCATCAGTTTCTAGCCAATTTGGGTTGCCAATCCATGTGATCAGAGCTTTGATAAAAACTCCGCGTACCTTGCTGAGACATCTTTTGGGGGCTGCGACTAGGCACTCCGGGGGCCAAACGCGAATGGGGGTATGGTGAGGGAAGTCATTGAGGTATCTTGGTTGAAAAGGGAAGCTCGACAAACCTCCAGCTCAAAATTAGCCGGGGTATCAGGGATGCATGACTGGGGATGAGAAGTGCGTCATCCCGGGGCAACGGAAAAGTAAACTACGCTTGTGAATTCACTTCATCGTTTCTGGAAGGAAATGCGGGGACAATATGTGTCTTTGATTGGGTTTTTGGTCTCCATTTGACCAACAATTAAAAAGTGAATCCAGGGGTGTCAGATTTTGTGTTCACTTCCAAGGCTCAAATCAAGGTTGCGCTCTCTATTGCTCTTTACGGATAAGGAATCTGTCTTATGTTGTGGCTACTGGTAATGGCCTCCTGGGCAATCAACAAATTTCTTGTAGAACAACGAGCTCGAAAGTTTGTAGGGGTCCGAAATCCCCGGATGGCAAGGGGGAGGTGGTTTTGATGGATGCAGCGCCCAAATAGGCAGGTCGCCCAACTCCGCGCTATTGTAGCTTGAGGCTTGGCGTGACATGATTGGCAGATTGCCGATAACCTACTGTAGTCCAAAACTAACCTTGTCTGCTCCCCGAGTAGCCTTGTCTGCTGTTTAATGATTCTTGTGTTTAGTAAGTTATGGTGTACAAGAGCTAGTAGAGCTTTGATTGTAATTTGGACAACGGATTGCTCTATAAAAGCCCGGGTAATTCCCCCCAAGGCCGGAACAGACCCAGCAAGAACGAGACTAGGTAAAGGTGATCACCAAACTGCTTACTCTCCTCAACATCATGAATTTCATCGCTCCATTGCTTTGCGGGAATATTCAGATTTCGCAAGGTCCTTTGTTCGAGTGGACGAAGGAGCCATATGTGTCTCTTACAGAGAAAGATGGATTTTTGCCATCCGATTCCGAGAACGAAATCCTGCCTTCCAGCAACTACGAAGCGAGCAAATCCGAGGTGAAACACATTTCGGAGAGTTTAGAGAAAAAAGAACTTGTGAGTGGTTTTGATAACAAAAATCGCCTTCATTACTTGAGCTTGACGACTAGTTGAGAGCAGGACACCTATTCTCATCAAATTGAAAAGAGACAGCCGAAAGGCACATCTAGCCTATGCAATCAGTCTTAATCTTATGATTCGGTATTTCTAATGGTGTGCGCTGGACGTTTGTTTTGGATAACGAGATAATTGGAGACAGTGACAAATAGTGGGCACGAAGTGGACGGTCGAAAAATCTATATATTGCTTCAAAGAAATTTAGTAGGTGTTTTGTCATTATACCAATCAAAAGAAACGCTTGTTGTTGCTTCGGTTGTTGTGTTTGATCGTTGACTTTCGAGATCAAGGATCCTGCATCAGGCTCAGGCACATAACTAGCCATGCAGTGTTCGAGGCATTTGCCAAGCTTGCTGATTAGCTAGACACCTTGAGTCGGATGCGAGAGGAGTAGCTGTAAATGAGACGATCTAATCGAGAATAAGATCGAAGCAGCTTTCGTTTTTAATTGAATTTAACCTCCAACGTCCAAGGGGTTGAGTTGCGGACTCTTCTACTTCGGCTAGCATCGGGGAGGTCGGTCCGAGGCCAGCCGTTCTCCGCACTCCCCCAGGTTTATGACATCCCGCAATTCCATGACTTTTTGTTACTACAACTACTCTGCAAATGTCGATGGCAAATTGCAATATGCCAATGAACTTTCTGAGAAGTAGGCTTCACAGCCGGCCTCTTGTTGGGGCAGTGCGCAGCTTCCCCGCACGGCAGTGGAGTAGCACAATATCACAACGACCAGGAGCGGACAGGTGAATACCCTCACAGACAATCAAGATTTGAGAGCTAATGAGATGGCTTTTATTATAGTGTTCGGTTTCCAGGTGCTGTCAATAGCAAGTTTACTACCGACATGTCCTTTCTCAAAGCCTCTGACCTACCCGCCATCCCTACCTACCGAGTGATCGACTCCGACGGTGAATTGGTCGATAAAACGCGACCGGCTCCCGATGTTACAGACGAGGAGGTATTGACTTGGTATAAAAACATGTTGTCTGGTCAGTTTGGAGATATCGCGCAGGGTATGTCATCGCTAATTGTTGTCCAGTGAGCGTTATGGACGTCGTGATGTTTGAGGCCCAACGGCAGGGCCGTCTCAGCTTCTACATGGTATGTGAACTGCGTCACAAAGTATCTATCCTCAGAGGAGGTTAAGCTGATTGAATACACTCAGGTTTCTGCCGGGGAAGAAGGGATTACTGTAGGATCAGCCGCAGCACTGACGCCAGATGATGTGGTATTCGCCCAATATCGCGAAGCAGGCGTCTTTCAACAACGAGGATTTACATTGAAGAATTTCATGAGCCAGCTCTTTGCCAATGCGAATGATGCGGGTCGAGGTCGCAATATGCCAGTTCACTATGGACAAAATTACCCTCGCATGGTATGCCCCCAACCATTGTTGCGATACCCGGTGCTGATCCATTCCCATAACAGCACACTATATCGTCCCCGTTAGCCACGCAGATTCCACAAGCGGCTGGTGCAGCTTATGCACTGAAGATACAAGATCAACAAAACCCCAGTCGCGATCCACGCATTGTGGCCTGTTACTTTGGTGAAGGCGCCGCTAGTGAAGGAGACTTCCACGCCGCACTCAATATGGCTGCAACCCGCTCCTGTCCAGTCGTTTTCCTTTGTCGCAATAATGGATATGCAATCTCGACACCGACTCTTGAACAATACCGCGGCGACGGCATCGCCAGTCGCGGCGTCGGTTACGGTATTGACACAATTCGGGTCGATGGTAACGATGTTTTTGCTGTGAACGAAGCAATGAAAGAAGCACGACGTCTCGCTCTCAGCGAAGGAGGGCGACCTGTCCTGATTGAAGCTATGAGCTACCGTGTTTCCCACCACAGTACAAGCGACGACAGCTTTGCATACCGCGCGCGGGTCGAGGTTGAGGACTGGAAACGCAGAGACAATCCCATTATACGATTACGCAAATGGCTTGAGAACCAAGGGCTTTGGAGTGAAGATCAAGAGAAACAGACCAGAGATGAGATGAGGAAAGATGTGTTGAAGGAGTTTGGCGAGGCTGAAAGGGAGAAGAAGCCTCCTCTTCGGGAGGCTTTCAAAGATGTCTATGAGGAGATCACGGAGGAGCAACGCGAGCAGATGAATGAGCTCAAGCGCATTCTGGAAACTTACCCAGATGAGTATGACCTGCGACATTATCAAGATGGGGCCAAGGGGCTTGAGTAAGGAGATTTGTGAACAAAACCTAGTCATGAAACTTTAGACTACCATTGAACTGATACCAAGGTTATCAGTTCTATCATATAACGAGAAAATTTTTCAAGATTTATATCACTCATATTACACTGTAAGCTCCCGGCGTTCTCTATTCAGTGCCTACAGCGCGCCGAGTATTCCAAGACAACCCTAACATGAAATCAATACCAAATCACCACCAAATTGAAATCAGACAAGCCTAGAATAATGACAAAACTTTCAATGGGCACTATGGCTATTGCGTCTCGCTTTTCGCTTCTCCGAAATAGCAACCACAATTTTGGGTACTGAGCTGAGGCCCATGTAGTTGTCATCATAGGCCAGATAGATAGCACCCAGTCGCATATTCCTCGCCAACCTGACAACTGTATCAATACTGGCATCGACTGGCGTTTGATTCAAGATAATAGCTTTCTTGGCGTCGTTTCCGTGTGCCGAAAGATGCTCAGTCGGTGCCAATGCCATCCAATTAGCATAAGTATTCTCGTATTCGACGATCAAGTCCGCCGCAGCAAACCAGTCTGAAACGTCGGCGAGGATCTTCGCGCCAGGATTGAAAATGACCATGTCTAGACCACTCCGCTTGCTCGTCGAAGATAGCTCCTGGAAATAGCCAAGTTTACTTTGATCTTGCCCATTGGGTGTCAGGTCAAAGAAGATTCCCGCGAGGCTGATATCTCTTCCCGCAAAGCTGGACCATTTCGCGTATGCGGCGATATCCTTTTCGACTTCTGATTTAGCACGTGTGCCATGGTTTGTATGCGTATAGCCCAGGACATGAACGTTGGAATAGCTGTTCAGTTTGGCGATACCAGTGATGTAGACTTCTTCTGGGTACTCAGTGGTACCTGGGCCAGTGTCTGGGTTGACTATTAGGTAGAATGGAACAGACGGATTCGCGGCGACTGATTCGTAGACTGCAGCCCAGGCATCTGTTCCCGGCCAAGCGTACAGTGGCACGATGACGCCTGTTGATCGGACCGTGGATACTAGTGCCAGCACGGTCCACAGGATGGATAGTATATAAGACATGGTTGTAGGAGTAGGTGGGAAAGTAACAAGTATTATCGACAAAAGTCAAGTTCCACTGACCTCGGGAATCGAAAGATTGTAGGAGAATGTCAGTATTTTATAGTTGCGAGCATGACCCCCACGGAATGAATCTCCGAGGACACTCACGTTCTGTGTCCAGGCCGGGTCGAAGAACTCCAAATCGAATCAGCCACACGTCCGAGGCCACAAACATCTCACCCGGTAAGAATCAAGCGTAATTTTAGGCCGTGTGTCATGAGCCAATGGCGGACTGGTCGGAGGGAAGGACTCAGATGGCTGGTCCAAATGAAAATGTAAGGAGTGTGATCTTGAGACGCGAAGCGCCTATAGGAATGCATTGGCGGTTCGTGAGACACATTTTTTATAAGTCAGACAGGGAAACAGAAATGAGACTTGGGCTTGGAGTTTGAACTCGCATTTGCCAAGCGCAGTTAGTTGGACTCGTCGGATTGAACGCCACAAGGAGTCTGTCTGCCCCTGGCACTCATCTCCGCTGACACCTCAAATCTGGGGGAACTGGTTTCTGCAATCCCCACAATATGTCTGGGATGCAATTGGATAGAGTTGCTAAGTGAAGTTTCGCAAGTGGAATGGAATGGTCTGCAATCTGGATCATTTGGCTTGCACCGGAAACGCCTGACTCTATTAGAGCGAATTGCCAAGGATTGAGAAAATGCCCAAGTGGACGACTGGAATCCGGGCTCAATCGTTTTCAAAGCCTTGGAAGTTATTGGAAGTTACTCCGTACTGGGGGGTAATAATGTAGTTGAAAACACGGCTCGTTTTAATCATACATTCATAAGTAATATTACACGCTTGACTGAAGTACAGAGAACCGGGTATTGTTTCCCGTTGGTACAAACTCTCAACCCAGCGCGATCTGTAAAATGCGGACCGAAACCAAACTCCGACGGAGGAAGAGACGGGGTTTACACCTGCGGCTTGGCGAGAGAGTCCAAGGCCAGGTGCTGGAGCTTCCTGTTTCGTCGAACCAAGGCATTGAACTTCTTGTCCAGTGACTCGGAGTCCTTACGCGCCAGCTCCAATTCTTTCTTGGAACGGGCTGCGTGCTCCTTTAGTTCTTCATTTGTCAAGCCTGCGAGGTCGTCGAGAGTGAGGTCGGTACCGAGCATGCTGTGGTTGCCAAGCATTTGCTGAGCAGTGGCGGCAGCGAAGGAGCGGACGGCATCAGGGGTGGTATTGAGTAGCTCGGCAGAGTTGGTCACGGCCCAGTCATGGTTGCGAGTTATGTCTGCTTCCATGGCAGAGAACACGTTGGGTGGAAGAGCGGATTCATCGACTTCTGGAGAGGATGTAGGGGATGTCGCGCTCGGATTAGTGGGCAGGTCGTCAACCCAGCGAATTCGAAGTCTCTCAGAGTTTGCAAAGAGCGCTTCTAGGCCAATGTTCTGCGCCGAGTCCTCGATGAGTAGTGGGTAATCGCGGCAAACACCTGTGCGCTCTCTTTCGAGGACCGATTCCATTTCCGCGGGGTAAAGATGACGAAGTAATGTGCCATTGGGGGTGATGAGGACCTGGTTCTTGATCTGGTCTCCGATGATAATGTGCTCTCCACGAAGGAGCATTTGACGATGTTCTTCAGTCAGCTCGACAGGCCGTCTGTTGATATCGTAATCTTCCGAAGAGCACTTCATATCAATGCGTTCATAGGGATTTGGTGGGTTGAAGAGAGCACAAGTGTTCAGGTCAATTTCCCCATCCCTGTGCATATCAGCAAGGATTTCATGCAGAGGCCTGGTCCGTTCCATCACAAGATCCTGGATGCTCTTTCCAGTGGCTTCTGCGTCTGCGATGCACTGGCCGATGGTGTTGTGGGTACGCCATGCCTCCTCGGGTACCTCATTTGGAATTGCTGGGTCGTCAACGGGAGCAGGTGAGGGTTGTTCGACGGGCTTGACATCTTTGACATCATTGACATCAGCTCTCTTGGATGTATCCGCTTTCGGCTCATCTTCGACGGTAGGAGCAGGCACAGGTTTCACCGGACTCGCTGGCTCTGCCACAACTTTGGAGGCAGGTGCAGGGGTGTCTGGAATGGTCTTTGGCGTGTTCGTGACAGGAGTCGGGGTTGGAGCTTTCTTAGTCTTGCGCTTCCGGCCCATGATGGGTGCTTGGACGGGTTCTTCGCTCGTAAGGGCAGTTTCGGCCTTTTTGGCCTCGGCTTCCTTGGCCTTTTGCTTTCGCTCTTTCTTCACTTGGCTTTTTGTCATTGAACGGACAGGAGCGGAGCCAATACGAGAAGATGCAGGAGGAGAATTGGCACGCGAAACGGATGTCGAAGGCCAGAAATCAGCTTCAGAGCCGGCGTCAGCAGGAGTGTCAGGTATGCTGTTGGAAGATATGCTCTGTCGCCTGTGGCGTGGCTTGTTGCTTCCAACGACAGACGCAGGTACAGATGGCGCGGTTGGGATGACAGGAGATTCAACCTTTGGGGTTTCAACGACTCGAAGGATACGATGCTGACGAGCAGGAGAGTCGGACAACCGAGATGCAATGGTCTGTGGGGTGTCTGGCCGAGATGCACTTGCAGGAGTTGGGGCAGAGACAGGAGCTTGCGCAAACTTGGGAGAATTAGTCAAAGCTGCACTGAAAGCCAATGCACCACCCTTAGCAGCGTGAGGACTTGGCTGCGGCTGGATCATAGCCTGAGGGGCAGGTCCCTTCAAATCGGTGGTGATGGTAAAGTCACTCTTGCGCTGATTACGGGCTTTGTTTGCAGTTTTTTGCACGGGAGACCCTAACGAGACCTGAGAGGCATCTTTAACACGGCTTGATGTCAATGGGCCACCGACTGTCAACTCAGGTGTGAGTGGACGAGACTGGACATCTTCCCCGAGCTTGGTAGGACTGTTGAGACGGGAGATATTTGGGGGTCAGTCCCGGAGGCAGGAGTGGAGCGGGTGATGACGGTTGAGAGGAGTTAAGTTGGTCCTGGAAGGACGAAGATGGATGAACGAGGGGTAATGGCAGTCCAGGTGGCAGGCTCGGAGTGTCTGCGCGAGCCGCTGATTCGGTTGGCAGCTGTGATTTCAAGAATCCGAAACTATCAACGGTGCGAAGGTCATGGTCCCCGAGTGGAGGAAAGTCCACACCGACTGTGAAATTGCAGTTAGCAGAGTTCAGACAGAAGTGTGAAAAGTCAAACTGGGAGATGGAGAAAGGCAGAGGCAAAGAGGCAGAGACGAAGATCTCCCGCATGGCGCACGACTGTTCAACACCAACACATGACATCAATCAACGACTAATCGACGAATTATCGACGATACAAAACCGGCGGGTGCGCAGCTAATTACATGGTGGGAATCTCGAGGCCAGGAACATTGCAAAAGGGCGTCTATGTAATCGGCGGCTGCGAGGAAACTGATTTCGAATAAGACCCTGTTTCGGCTTGTGATATCAGGGTAGGGAGATCTTAACGTACATTAATTGACGATAGACACCACGGTCTTCAAGACGCAGCAGATGGTATAACGAAGTCCAAATGGAGCAGAAAAGAAGAGAAGAAACAGACATGAAGACATGGAATAACAAAAGGGAATAAACAGCCGCCGGATACAAAGACAGCCCCAGAGACATGCCGGTATGTCCATGAGATAAATGCAGAGACCTATGAACCACGGGGATAACCGGGTACATGATGCAAAATCGCAGATAGCAATGAAGGAAAATAAGAAGCCTCTGTGCGCCATTTGTACGCCTGGCCATCGCGTAAATCAGAGCCGCAAGTCTGACCGCAAACAGATAAACATCAAGATGCAGAATTCCGTAAAACAAGGATGGGGATCGAGGTCATGTCGTCAAAAATCAAACGCCAGGCCCATCAAGGGACCAACGAGTCAGGTAAAAAAAAAAGGAGGGAGATGAAGGGAATGGAATGGGGCAAAGATGTGGAGGAGTAACCATGGTGTTTCACCAGCCTCTCATGCCTCCGCCATAAACCATCGAGGGATTGTACCCACCTTGACCCTGACTCCCGTACAACGATTGCCCAGCACTAGCATTGGCACCGACCTGGTGCATTCTCGCTTGCAAAATGCTCGGGTCCGCAAGATCTACTACACCACCTCCACCGGAGGAAGTGTTAGCGTGTCTCTGCTTCCTTCCCTTCTTCTTCTGTTTCTGCTGACCACCAGAATCAGGCATTACGCCTGTCTGGGACCCGTAGAAAGAGCCGAGAAGGCCGTTGGCAGGAGTCATGGGGGGTGGGGTATTGTGCTGTTGAAGAAAAGGGAACATGAACTCACGCTTAGCCGCCTCCTGGCCCTGTAGACCGCCAACTCCATTACCAACATTCGTACCAGTTCGTCCACGCAGTAGCTCTCGCATCAACTCCGGGGTTGCATCCTGCTTCCCTCCACCGCCGCTGATGCCTGATGTGAACCCGTGACCCTGGGCAAACATTCCACCGCCGCTGATTGGGGGAGTGCCGGCAGTCTTCAAGCCCGGTGGGGGGCCCTGGACACCACTAGAATAGAAACCACTTGCAAGGCTGTGCTGAGGGCTGGGTGCCGAAAGTGGATTGGGAGATGCTGACTGCATCTGGCCCAAAATTCGAGCATTGGGCATGTTCTTCGATCCACCCTCGTTGAAAGAGAAGCGCGAGGACTGTCGATTTTGTGCTGCTTGCGCAGCATTGAATTGTGCCATCTGGTTTTGAATCAGTCCCTGGCGTACTTGGGCTGCCTGGTCCAAGGCGGCAGAGCTGAGTGGGTCAGCTAGCCCAGCTTGTTGATTGCCGGCGGACTTGAGTAGCATCAGTTGCTGTTGCTGCAAAGGGGTCAAGCTTCGACCAGCAAGATTCAATCCTTGGAACTGATGGCTCGTTGCAGATACAGGGGAACCAACAGTTGAGTTCTCGGCAGTATCGTGCTGTGAAGGGGGCTGGATGGCACCATGAGATTCGCGCGACTGCCGACTGCGTGGGATATTCGCATCCTCCGGCTCACCACCTAATTGAAGGCTACCAGCTTCTCGGCTATCCTCCTCAGCTGCGACATTCCGTAACAACTCATGCTCACGGCTGAAACGCTCTTGCTCCACCTTCTCGCGCATCGCTCGGCGCTTAACACCGCCGAATGGATCGATGAAAGACGGGTAATCTTTGATCAATTTGACCTCTTCGGGGGTAAGTTCAGCTGTGCTGAAAGTGAACCTGAATTCTGGAGATGTTATGTCTCTCAAAAGCTCATCGAAGGGGGTTGGTCGGTTCGGTCGTGGAGGTGTACGGCGAGTTCGTGACTGCGGAGCAGGGGTAGGGGCAGGGGCAGGTGCTGGCGATTGAGATCGAGATTCGATTGGGGCGGGCGACTGGTGGGCTTCATATGGGGTTGGGGAAGGTTTGTCCGCACGTTTTGGTTCCTCAACTGGTGTCGAGACGTTGACGCTGGCAGGACGAGGGCTGTTAGACGCTTGGCTTCCAGTGAGACTAGCCCTTCTGGTTCGCTGGATCGCAGCATCCTTGTTAGCCCAGCTGGCAGATGATGGAAGAGCTGGGCCGTCTGGTACACCGGAGCGGCTGCTGATTGACTCGTCTTTACTCGGTTGCCGGCGCATGGGATGGGATATCGGCTGCACAGTCCGCACGTGGGAAGGAGTGGGTGGAAGGCTTTGGCGGGGGGGTCGATATCGTGTTCATAGAAGAAAGGTCCTGGCGACTGTAGCTATCACTGTCTTCTCCAGTCTCGTGAAGGAACGTGCAATTGCGATTGTTGCACGGCTCGTTGCGCAGGAAGGACGAGCAATATTTGGTGGTTCCGTATTGCGCTCGAAGGACACGATCACCGTTCCCAGAGCCATCCACGGCCCCGATGCACGTCGCTGCATCGAGTTTGCGGGAGAAGGTCACGTAAACACCAATTCCCTGGTTGGGGTTGCCACCGGGCTTAGCCTTGCTGACCACAATCTTCTCGATCTCGCCATATTGACCAAAGTATTCCCGTCCACGAAGCGTCTGGAGAAGTTGATTTTCGTCCCGGATCGTAGGATTCAAGCCGATAACGTATACCAAGTTCTTTTGGACCACACGCACACCAGCTAAGTTTTTCCGACTGGAGGCCTCGATTTCCCGGCGTTCGGCTTCCTTTTTCTTCGCTGCAGCTGCTTTGCGGTGCTTCAATGCCAAATCTGCCTTGAACCTGGGGGGGTATATAACATTAGCGAGTTGTGGAGGATGCGCACTGCGTGCGAGGAAACTCACTCTTCGGCGTCTGGAATCTTGTACTGAATTGTACTTTCATCATATCCACGTCGACAGTTAGGACATCTGCCCTCTTCGTTTTGGGTTTTGATGTTGTTGTAGCAAAATTGACATATCTATAAAGAGATCAAGCGTTAGTGGGTGCTCCCGCATGGTAGAACAGCTAGCTCGATTTCAATCTTGTGGGGCAAGCACGAGGTCAGAGGTAACTGCTTTCATTTCGTCTGGTTCATACCTGGTAGCCACATGGGCAGGGTTTGAAGTTCTTATCGGAAAGGTCGAACTCTTCAATGCACAGGGGGCTGTGGGGTGATCAGTACAAAGATCGCGCGGGGTTAGCTGAGTGTTGACGCACCAGAACTCATCGTCGTCGTCAATGACGGAGTCAATCAGCGAAAGGCTGGACATGGTCGCCAAGCAAACGTTGATAACCGGGGAGGGACACAAGATCTCAAATGCCGACAGTCGATGGTATTGGATGAGGAACCCAAAAAAAAACAGAAAAAGAATCACGCCCGGTAGTGGACAAGAAGGAAACGTTGATTAGAAGAAGAAGGGAGGAAAGGCGAAATAAAGAAAGATGGTTGATAGGACGAGGGTCTGGGGGAGGAGGAAATTGAGACGCGGCTTCATTTTGCTGGCGCTTCATTTTGCTGGCATTACCCGATTTAGTTTAGCGCATAGCCTGCCAGTCATGTGACGAAGTGCTGACCATTTGCTAGGCGGGTTTTCCTTCGACGTGCTCCCGTCCCCTCCACCAGTTGCAACAGCCATTGCTCCCTCTACACAATGGCCTCCGCCCGCTCTCTGATGCGCCTGGCATCTGGCCGCTCTGTGGCATCTGCCACGAGGTCCATGGCCCCCCCGCACCTTTTCTTCGGCCTCCCTTCAGTACGCCCCGAAGGCCTCGACATCACCGGGCCCGGAACCTGAGAACATGCGCCAAGCGCAGCGTCCGCGTATGTCTCGCAGACCAAATGTCATTGATGCCATGAATGAACTAACCGATTTGTGCTCAATTAGCCTCGGGACCCCTGCGTGCCCCCGTTGTCAACCCTACTGACAAGTACCAGCCCATGGCTGATAACCTCCACACCTACGGGCAATACATCATGTCCTGCCTGCCCAAGTACATCCAGCAGTTCACCGTGTGGAAGGACGAACTCACCGTGTACACCGCCCCAGCCGGTGTCGTCCCTGTGATGAGCTTCTTGAAGAACCACACTGCCGCCGAGTTTACCCAGATCTCCGATATCACTGGTGTCGACTTCCCCACCCGCGACCAGCGCTTCGAGGTCGTTTACAACCTTCTCAGTGTCCGCTACAACTCTCGCATCCGTGTTAAGACCTATGCGGATGAGGCTACCCCCGTCCCCAGTGTCACCGGACTCTTTGAGGGTGCCCTGTGGTATGAGCGTGAGGTCTACGACATGTTCGGTGTCTTCTTCTCCGGACACCCTGATCTGCGCCGCATCATGACCGACTACGGCTTCGATGGCCACCCTCTGCGCAAGGATTTCCCCTTGACTGGTTACACCGAGCTGCGCTACGACGAGGAGAAGAAGCGCATTGTCATCGAGCCCTTGGAGCTCACCCAGGCGTTCCGTAACTTCGAGAGCGGTTCCACCTCCTGGGAACCCGTGGGTGCTGGTCAAGACCGTACTCCCGAATCCGTAAGTTGAATCGTTTCTCTCGCTTTAGTGCCAATTCTAACCAGCGCGCACAGTTCAAGCTTCCTACTCCCAAGCCGGAAGAGAAGCCAGAGGAAAAGAAATAGAAGGAGTCTGTATGCGTATCATTTTATTCCAAGGTTTGCCATGTCTCTATGTACATATCCGTCAGTGTTAATCGATGGTCTTTTTTGTCCAAACGCATTCGCGAACTCTAGTTACCTAGTGTAAGTGGGAAGCATGCTCTCCCTAACCTAGCAAAGAGGTGAACTTTTATGTGCACGCTGAGATCCACGGGTCGATTTAGCTACTGCAAATGGTAAAAGAGATGCCCTTGTTGGAGCATATGATAAATGAAGGGAGCCAGGAAGCGCAGTTCGATTAGAATTGAAGGGAAAAGGATGATTAGTTTCTAAAAACTCACGCGTTGCGCATACTAATCTCTCAAAAACAGAGGCTGATGGCATAATCAGGCCCTCGGGCCAATAATTCAAGCATCAATGGATATGAATGATTGAAGAAAAGGTGGGTGCCGGAACTGTATGTCAGCCTCGTTCGGTAAATAGCAAAAAGTCCAAAGAAGGCTTGGAAACAACTTTGAAGAAGAGTGTCAAAATCCTATCCATCTTCGGAGTACTCATCCTCAGACGTTTCGTATTTGAGCCTTTCGTATTGCATTCTCTTGTCAACCTTTCGTCTCAAGGAAGACTCAGTGGGAACGAGAGGCTCGGTAGATCCTTCACCTTGATCAGGTTGCGTAAATGACGCTGTCGGTTGTGTCGATGAAACGGCTGATGCTTCTTTCAGGACATGGACCAATAAACCGAATGTCTTTTCTAGGTCCACTCGAGAATCTAGCGTTGTGGTGACATACTAAAAGGCATCAGAATATAGCTAGCTCTCTCGCAAGGATATGTTGGGTGAGTATACCGTGGAGTCATTATCCAGTCTGACAAAGTGGAAAGTTGTAGAGTCCGTTGCAATGCCGTACAATGGACAATTTTCTTTCTTTGCATTCTTGCGATGATGGTACACGAAAGCTTTGACCAAATTAGCTGGTGGACACATAGTATTGTGTATAGCACAATAGACTTACCCAAATACCCAAGTACTTCTGCAATTCCCTTGTCGGATTCACCGAACCTCTCATCCTGAGCCACCATAACATTCAAAGCCATATCGTCTTCGTCCCCGTATCACAGGACATAAGATGGGTATCCTAATAACTTGACGACTTGATCATTGTATCTGATGGGTCCGAATGACCACCTGCGTTCAAGGTGGATCTCCAACCGTCCTCTCTGTTCAGAAGATGAGTTCATTGCTTCGTCAAACGCGAGTCGAATAAATTTACACATCCTCCAGCGTATTGTCGCTTTGGTGCTTGCTTCTGTCATCAAGAAACTGTCGATCATAGAGAGGCCTGAGACTTCATAAAATTAGCCAGATCTTCCCAAGGTTATACCTAGTTCCTTGTACTCACTCAATAACTCAGGCAGAGGTACGTCAGGGAAAGACCCCAGGCCCCGATTTTGGTAGGCAGACCTGAGGCCTAGTAAATTTTCAACTTCAGAGACACTCAATGATGGTAGACGAACGCATGGGATTTTCTCGTCATCGTTGTCCGGGTCCATCAGTTGCCAGAACTGCGAATCCGAAATCTTGTCCCTGGCAAAGCAGAGTGTGTGTATGGCTTCGCTCAGCCCCATCGACTTTGGACACATTGTTTTCAAACACAACCGTGAAGATATTTCGAGTTGTCAGGAAAAAGACAAGTTAGAAGATCGAGAGAATGGGAAGAAACTCAGAAAGGATGAAGAAGATAAGAAAGATGAGATTCTATTCCCATGTTTGATGTATGCCTCAGGTAGCAAAGTCGACCGTAGTTCTCGAGCTTGATTCTGATATCTCAAAATGCATTCCGTACTGCGAGGAAGCTTTACTTTCCGGTTCACGGTGTTACGATGTATTCCCGTGAACGTATTACGTACCACGCGTTGGAGAGCTACACGTAAAGTACAAGATATGGGGATTTATTTCAGGGACAATAATGACGAGCACCGTGTAATTTGCGGGCAATGTAGCAAAAATCGAAAGAGCAGGTTCGGATCTACTTCGTAGAGTCCACCGTAACTGGTGCCTGCCTTAAACGGAAGCGCATGTCTTGGCGTCGGGATTCGCCCAAAAAAAAAAAAAAAATTACAGCTTCTCCGATCTTTGCCAATCAACACCATTTGCGACATCCGACATTTAGTCCTCTTCTATTCAGCCCTAATCTGAAACTCCCTTCGCAAACCTATATTCGCCTGAACCTATTAGAACCACCGACGATATGCCCAAACGCAAGCTCGACGAGCTCAGCGCTCCCCCGCCGCGGCCACGCGCCAGCGACACGCGCAAAATGTCGATTCACGGTACTCGACTCACACAAATGTACGAGAATGGTGTGCAGATGATCTCCCGTGGTCTCAAAATTTCTCGCGGCTTTGAGCGACAGAAGCTCAGCCGTCGAGAGAAGACAGCAAAGACTCAAAAGGACGATAAGGCTCTGGCACGTCTGAAAGAAGAGATTGAAATTTTAAAGGTGAGATGCTCTAGTTTGAGCTCGCTCTCTCAAGCTACTGGGGCTAATATTTGGTATCAACAGGGCCTCGATTATCAAGTTGTCTCCGAACGATATTTATTCAAACAACTCGTCAAGACGAAACGGATTGCCGAGACACGGACGTTTGGTGAATTCTCAGCAGTCAAGAAAGTGTCACAGGAAGGCCCAAAAAGCACCGCAGAAGCTAATATCCTTGCGCGACTGTTCAAATCTACACCCGTACAAAAGGAAATTCCAGGCATAATGGCCGGAATCCGGAAGCTACTCAAGATCGACGAAGCGCCATCTGGAAAACAGAAGGAAAGCGACACGAAGGCGGCGGCATCGAAGAAAAAGTCAGCCAACGACGCGGATGACTCCGAGTCAGAGGCAAACACAACAACAAAAACCCGGCGCGGCGAGCAGGTCTCCCGCTCCGACGACATGGAAATATCTGGCTCAGACGAATCCGGAGACGAGGGACTATCGCAGTTCGACGCACGCCTCGCGCCAGGATCAGACTCCGATGCCGACTCGGAATCCGGCGACGAAGACGAAGAAGACGCAAATGAAATTTCCGACTCCATATCCCGCTCTCCCTCACCCGCCTTTTCGGGCGCGGACTCTCCACCACCAAAGAAGGCAAAGGCCACCAAGGGGTCTACTGCGCCTGCAACGAATACCACTTTCCTGCCTTCGCTTATGGCTGGCGGTTATTGGTCTGGCTCTGAAGAAGCCACTGACGAGGAAGCCGAGGCCCAGCCCAAGCGCAAGAACCGTATGGGTCAACAGGCCCGTCGGGCTCTTTGGGAGAAGAAGTTCGGTACTGGCGCAAACCACGTTAAGCAGGAGCAAAAGAATGAGCAGATGGCTGCCAAGTTCGGATACGGCGGCCGAGACAATGGATGGGACTCAAAGCGCGGTGCTACCGACGGTGGCAGAGGGAGAGGCGGCAAGCGTGGTGGATTCGGCGGTGGCTTTGGACGTTCGAACAGAGATGATAACTCTGGTCCTCAGTCTGCCGGCAAGAAGCCTAGCAAACCCAGCGGACCGCCCAAGGATGAAGGTCCTCTGCATCCCTCTTGGGAGGCAAAGCGGAAGGCCAAGGAGCAGGCTCCAGCTGCATTTTCCGGAAAGAAGGTTACCTTCGACTAGCGTCCGGAGATGGCTGTCTTTGATTCAAAATAAGATTCATTCAGCGTTATCAATACCTATTACAATCTTCAAGTCCTTGTCAAGATATCCATGGATTATGATATATTTGTTTGCTGATCTCACGCGTCCTGGCTGGGATAATCAGGTTCCCAACGTCGTTGCACTGTAAAAATGGGCATTAAATCAAAAGCTGTAGAGAAAAATCTTCATTTTTCTGTCCCATTCACACCAAATGACAAAAACATAAACCAACGCAGGGTGGTATACCAAGAAAATCGAAGAACCTCATTGGAAAAAAAAAAAATCCACACAAGACAGGCCGCCAGAGTGCCACGAGGATAGAAAGGAAATAAATAACTCAAGGAGCTCATCACTCTCTCATGAATTGCAGCCAATGAGGATCAGAGGCACTTCCAGGTGTCCTCATTTCGGGGCCGCCCATTCCATTGGGCTGGCCCTGAGCGTCTGGCTCGAAAATAGGAATGGCAGTGAATTCGCCAAGCTCTTGAGGGAAGTTCGAAACGAAATGATCGAATCCGAAATGTGGCATGTGCGAGAGAGATTGCTGAGACATGGAGAAGGGGTCCGAGAGCGCGCTACCTGGAACATCCCCTTCGGCCAACTCATGATCGGGCGCACCGGGGGTCGGCATAGCTCCGCTTGCGTGAAGCATTGCTGCTGAGGCGGGTGTCATAGGTGTACCGGGCATGAGATTGGCATGGCCTGGCACCACAGGAGGTTGAGGGGGATGCCGGATGCCATTTTTTGCTCGTTGGAATAGGCTTCCTGTTGTTGCCAGGCGAGCGTGGAGGGAGATATGGGACCGGCCTTCCATAGCATCTCCCAGTTCTTGAATCTGTCATACGCAGATTCAATGTTACCCCGTTGCTCATTTCCGGCTGTGTTTCGGACCAAGCCTCCAAGCGCCGAATGGCACGCTCAAGTGCTTCAATCACACTCACGGCCGAACGGGCCGACCCCACACCCATGGACATGATCTTAATCAAAGAGATACCCTGTTCAAGGGCCGCACCGAGACGTTCAGTCCGTTTGGTGAGACCTTGTGCCAGGATCACTAGCAAGGCTGCTCGGCACGAGCTGAACTCCGTGAAAGAGGCTCTCGCGAGACCTGTCTCATCACGCAATAAGCGGCACAAATCAATGATTTCCAAAGCCGCCTCCACGCAATCTGTTACGAGAGTTGCGCGGTTCTTCGCCAATCCAGACGCCCCCTTGAAAGGTGTAGCCTGAGAAGGAGTTTGAGACAGGCCTTTGATGTTGCTGAAAAGGAATGGCCGTCCGATAAACACCCTTGTAAGACAGTAATCCAACTTGAGATGTACGTTGGACCTGAATAGAGGTCCGCTGGGGTTCAGATCACGACATGTGATTTCCTCTGGTAGAGTGGACCACCAATCGACCAGATGTTTCCGCAGATTGAGAAGTCGTTCAAGACAGTCCTGTTGTTCTTCTTTACGATATGTTCGCAAAGATGTAATCTCCTGAGAAACCTGTCCAAGCTTCAAAGTCAATGTAATCAAAGCTACCATATTAGTGTGATTTGAGATTTGAGATGCGGGCATGAGTCCAGGGAAGTCGACAGGCAGAGGCCCATCAACGTCGGGATCCGACAAGGACGAAGGTCTGCCATGCAGAATGCTGATCCGCTTCTCAATGGTAAAAGATGTCCAGAAAACCCGGTTCCGCACCTCAATCATGCGCGGAGAGAGGCCTTCACCGTGGTATCTGCGATGCATTCCGTTTTGGATGGCTAGTTTTAGTGCTAGACCGAAGTACGTGTAGCACAAGCCAGATGTATCCAATGGGAGCAAATATGTTCCAATAAGCAGACAAGCCTGCACACTGCGAACGGACGCAGTGGCAATGATGTCTGGCAAGAGCTTTGAGGCGAATTGGTAGAAGGTAAGACCAACCTCATCCTCCGAGAAATGATGGTCCTGGTTCGCCGTAGTACCAGAAGGCAAGCGATTCATGGGAGTTGATGACTCCATGTGTGCAAATTGCGTACCCACAGCGAGTACCATGAGGATACAGCAGACCGCCCCTGCATCATCAAATGATAGACTATCAGGGTCCGTATAGCATACGCTCAATTTCTCAACTAGCCAATCTTCTTCGATATAGAAATTGTTGGTCTGGGCGTATTTAAAGAAAATCTGGACCAGGAAGTCGGCCACATATCTTGGTGGGAGACATGTAATTGAAGCTGATACAGCAGGGGACGCAGACTGAAGTTGTGTACTTCGCCATCGTTCCTCAAAGGGCTCAACTTCGGAAGTTGCCTGCGGGAAGGGTATTAGCATGGGGGTGGTTTTTCACCGACAATTCGGGAAACCCACATCTGGTGCCGCTGTCTTCATCCACTCATCAATCTTTTTGCGAATCTTCATAGTAAAATTTAGATATGAAAATTCACCAGAATATTCTGTAAAATGTCAGATCAGTCGTTCAATCTGAGGTATCATATGTCCAGCTTAACATACGGGTTGTGTTATCAGGCATGGCCTTGATAGTGAAATGCTCATCGTCAATTGCAAGATCCTCCATTTCATTGGGGTCCTCCCTGGCGGAGATTGCATCGGATTCAGAATCGCGGTGTTTGCTTTTTAGCTCTTCCGCAGCCTGGCGCAGTGACTGGATGTCAAAAGTAGTATTGGGCATATAGTGGGAGAGTAGTCGTTCCATCAAACGCACTCGTTCGGCTTCGGCGATTTCATTGCGATTCTGGGCGGCTGCTCGGTCCAGGAGTCTAGTTTGGGGACGCACAATTAGTGACCCGAAAACAAATTTCAGCTCAGCATGGAGGTATATGCTTCTACTCACGAAACCGAAGTTGACCGCGCCTTTTCGTGAGGGTCAATGTGGGTAAAATTGCATTGGCGGCGATATCGCGAACATCTCCGACAGGGCACGCCACCTTCACATTTCTCCTTCACTCGGCGGCAGCCATCGCATCTATTGACATAATTGTATTAGCGGGACTGTGTCGCGACAGGTGCGCACGGAATTTCTCACGCTCGGACAGCTCGCTTTCGATTTTCTTCAGCCACACGAGGGCGTTTCTGCTGCTGGGAGGGCGTCGAGGTCGAGTCGTCCATGGCAGGCACGTAGAGCAGGTCAGGGCATAGTCTGCAGCGAAACAAATGAGAGCGGTTTCACGCGGCGGTCAGGGGAACGAACAGGTGTGAGGAGAAAAGGAAGTTCCAAGTTGCTATCGATAAAGCGGAAGATCCCCGCATCCCGGCTCGCACAACTCTGAGCCTCCGCTCATCGGCCTTGTGGTCAGTGCTTCACCTGTTTCGCCTCTCTGTTTCAGGCGGCAACCTTTTTTGCGAAAGAAAAGGTTGCAAAATTCGTGTCGACCATCTTGATTTAATCCAGGGTATCGGATCTGCGGTGATAGAGGGTCCACGACCTGAAGCAAATGCCCCGGAAGGCCTGTCCGAAAGTCCCTCCCGAGGTCCTCGATGAACAGGATATATATACAAGCTAAGGGGAAATCCTAGTGTGAGAATGGTGTTCGAATAGAATTAACAACATGCAATGACAGCATCTTTTATCCAGTTTTTTGTCTAATTATGCTCCAATTGCCCCTTGGGCCCAGTCCAACGAGCTAAATACGTCCCCGGGCATCTCGATCTCTACTCCCTCTTAGTGCGGAGTACAAATAAAACCATTAATACTCTTCAAGGTTCGAAGGTTGTGACTGCTATCTACCCAGAGACCCGAAGTACAATTGATTCAATTCACAACCTTGGAAGATGAATGAGTGCCCGTGGACGATCCCTAGAAGCCCTCTACATGTGTGCCAAGCCCCATTTCAGCCCCGACATCAAGCACCTTCTTTCCAATGACAAGATCCATCAAACCCATTCCAACACATTTATATACCACATTGTGCCCATTCGGAACATCAAGTGTATCATTCACAATAGTCCCATCCCCCAAGAGATCGCCCATCTCAATCAGATCATCCTCCCCAAGCCCAGCTGTAATCAACTCCCCAGATTCCTCAAGGCAAGCAGACTTAGAATCAACATAGACCTTGCCACCAGAGAGCAGTGTATCCGTGTCAATCTCATGCATAGGTGGCTTATATGAGCCGATAAGGGAAATAAATCTTTGCTTAGGTACCTTTTGCAACTCTGCAAATGAGAAGTTTGGCTCGATTGAAGGAGTGCAACTGAAAATGACATCCGCAAGCGCAAGCTCCTCTCCAAGTCGCTGTTGATAGTCATCTGTGCCCTCCTTGGCAAGTGTCGAGAAAACAACATTGGGGTAACTGCCCCGCAGCTCGGAGATGACATCGCGCTCTATATCTGCGAGTCTCTTCGCTCCACGGTTCACAAAGCTAACCCTACGCACTTGTTCGGGATAAAGGAGTAGTGCGAGTCGGGCATGCCACTCTGCCTGACGACCAGAGCCGAGAACAAGAACATGGTCTTTGCGGATGGTCGTCACACGGACTAGGAGTGTCATAGTTGCCAGGGCGGTGCGGAAGGCTGTTATCTCGGCGGCGGCGAGGAGGCCTTGGAGGCGTCCCTCCGGATTAAACACATTGATGACGCCTTGAATACCACCAGCGGCGACAGTCACAACTTTGATACCAGTTGACACGGTATCGGAGATTGGCATGAAGATGCAGCTGTTGTTTTTGCTGGTTGTGAAGACTGTGCGGAGAGGTTGATGGATTTGCTTGTCCGACGCTGGGAAACTCGGCTTTGACTCCCGTGAGATACTAATCAAAGCGTCTCCGAGAGCCTCAATAAAGGTGTGGCATTTCTCCTTAGTCAAACCGCGGAAGACACTGGAGACATCTGGCTCAGAGAGTACATGCATCTTGAACTTGTAGTTTGGTGCTGGGACAGGTCGTTCAAAAGTTGAATCAAGCGAAGTGAAATTAATCTCAAAGAGGAGTTCAAGTACTCGGAGATATCGTGAGATAAAAACAATCGGGAATGTGTCGGATAGACCTTCCGCACATACGGAGTCCACGGGTACAGAGGGGTAACCCCAGCCGGCGGGGGTCACACGGGGACTCGTGTGCCGGTTGACAGAGGCCTTGCAGCCGTGTTTGTTGCCTGCTTAATTGAGGGACGGAAAAGTGATTTTTAAAAATGTCTGATTTTATATTTGAAATTCGTTGATCATTAAGCTCCCAAAAAAAAAAAAAAAACTCCATCTATGCACCCAAGCTAGACACAAATGCAAAAGCAATCAGCCCGTAGGCTGGTGCAGCAAAACAACAATGAAAGAAACTATTTTCGGGCATAATTGACTCCAGCAGGAGTCTATTTGCTGCTGGTGAAAGCACTGCCACAGCGACGCTTCAGCTCGGCGAACATGGCGATCTGGGAGTCCTTGGTCCGGCCAACGGCTTCGGTGTTCTCGACGGCACGACGGAGCAGGAAGCCCATGCACTCCTTAACGGAGCCCCAAGTCAAGAGCTTGAACACGTTGGGAGCCTCAATGGGAGAAGCACCGACGCTGTTCTCAGCAGTCTCGAAACCTTGCAGAAGTTCGCAGCTGACCTCATCGGCCATACCCTGGAGCTGAGCGTAGCTGACATCCACGCCCAAGTTCTCGTTGCGGGTAGCCTGTTGCATGCGAATGGCGTGAGCCTTGCGGACAGACTCGCGGTTGTGAGTGGCGATGATGACATTGACGGATGGGAGATCAGTGGTCTCCTTGGTGGGAGCCTGGAGCATAGAGTTGTACTTGCGGGTGAGGAGAGCGGCAACGACTTCGTCATAGCACTTGTCGGTGTCTTCCTTCTGAGCCCAGAAGATCTCACGAGGATCGGTCTTCATGTAGGCGCCACGGACCATCTTCACGCCGAGGGTGTATCCCTCAGCACGAGCAGTCTCAAGGTGGCGAGCGAGAGTGGCGGGAGTAGAGCGCAGGTAGGCTTGGTAAGTACCGTAGAAAACGGCGCGTCCAGGGGTTTGAGAGTTGCAGTACTTCTGGTACTTCATGATCCAGGCTTCAATGCCGGGCTGCACGGCTTGCTCCTCGGCATCGACGAGCAGGCGCACACCGCGGGAGATGGCGAGGTCGCAAATCTTCTGGATCGAGGTGTCCATGAATTCGGTAGGCAGGGTCTGGGATTGCAGAAGACGGAGGGCATCGATACCCATTCCAGTGAACTTCAGCGCAACGAAGTCACCCGGTTGAGCCATGTCGACGGTCTGGAGTGTTCCATCGATCCACATTTGGATATCAGCCAGCGCGGCCTTGGCATCGTACGAAGCCTCGTCGTTCTCGCCGATCAGGACCTCACGCGCGTATCCCAGGAGGACACCACGGCATCCGAGATCCTTGATTTTATTGATCGATTCCTGGACCTCAAGCTTGTTTTCACCGGCGTTGAATTGCTTGTAGATGGTGTGCTTAATGAGTGTGTTCAGCAGTGGGTTCTTGGCGACGTCCCAGAATGCATTGCGCGGGTGCGCAAGAAGCGATAGTGTGTAGATGCATGGCTTAAGGAGAAGGGTTGAAGATGAGACGGAAAGCACAAGCAACGAACGCAGAACAGATGAGAGAGGCAGTTTAGCCAAAGGCGCAGTCAGGGCCTTTCGTGGTTGAGCAGCTGGTGCCCGCGAGAGTTGTTGCCATGCGTTGGCTGCGGTGGGGGAGGCGACAGAAGACCGAGAGTTGCTGGTGCCGCTCACGAATCGGGCGTTGCGGGCAGACGCCTTGATGGGCATCCGCACAGAAGGTGCAGCCTTCATTGTGTAGATCTTGTGAGGTAGGTACGAGGGAGTCGAGGGTTTGCGAGAAGTGAGTGTTGGGAATGTCACAGAAAGCCCTTTGTACGTCGGAGGAGAGCCACGGTCGAGCTTTAGATAGGATTATGTAGATAGAGGAACCTCTTTGAGTGCCGGTGGCAACCGCCAGGCACCGGTACGGTCAGCAGGTCAAAAAAATGACGGGCCGGCAGAGCCACCTCCAATTTTGATGTTTTGTGGAATTACAATTGCTAAGCTAATTGAAGCGTATGTACTTCCTTGGAACCTGTGGAGATCATCTTTCTTTCGCCGTCCACCAGAGTATTTGCCACCACGATCACCCTGTACAAGTACCTAAGTTACTAGACGAGGATCTTGGTGATCATGGGATCGAGCGAGTAACCCGAGACTCGTATTCGTCCTTTGCCTGCACAATCAGAGATACAGTTCAGCATTGCAGCAGTTCGTCAGGGATATTGTCACGGGCCGGTTTATAGATTCAACCAATGATAAGCTGATAAGGATCATGACCGGGCCGGTGCACCTCAGATCTTGCACATCGCGTGACCAAACCCGGTTACTTCCGGCCTAGTAGCATTTCATTATGGATTTTGCGATGCTAATGGAATCCACGCAAGCACTCATTGATTTGTCGAGAGTTTTCTTGTGTTTATCGGCAAGACCGTGCTGGTCTACCCCGGATTCTCCCCAGACTCCACGTGATCAAACAAACAGGTCAAACAAAAAGCATAACATCAATTAGATTTTAAAGTTCAGGCTAAGCCCTGATTGGAACAGAGGCTGAAAAGAGCATGTCGACTATAGTAAGACAGATAAGCATTACAACATGGTATTAGAATCCTGAGATAGCATATCAAGTGCCGATAGGAAGCCTGCCGGAACTAAACTCAAAGCGCACAACGGGCCGATAGAGCCTGTCGTCCAGCAATCATTTCCCGTTGTCCCTGATCGAGGGGTCTCTTATGTGCCTGTCGAACGAGTCCAATATGGCCATGTAGCCGTTAAAAAGTTGTAAGTTCATTCATGCCTTTTTTCAGCCCATAAGAGACAGTGAGCTCCGACTTTGGTATACGGCGAATCCCCGCATTTCCACACAAAATAAATAGATAAAACAAGATACTCCATGGATTTATTATACTTTCTCGCTCCAGATAGCCTTATTTCCCATTCGGAGCACACCATCAACGTCGGAAATTCCTTCCGATGACAGTAAAGATAACGCGCGGGAATCCTTTGACATTGCGGGATAAACTTATCATTCTCTAGTATATCAATTGAAAAGGCCCTAGACCAGTCCGTCTTACTTCCTTTCAGACAAGCCATCATTTTTCAAGTCATATTGTGTATTGGAGATTTCCCCCTTCTTGTGTACAGTCCGCTATGAAAGACTCTGCCAAGGGTATGGAGGAAGGCCTCCATCCCGAGCCTCACTACGATGATCCCAAAGCCATACAGGGAGAGATATTGGGAACTCACAACACCAACACTCAGCGAGGCTTAAGCTCCCGTCATATTCAGTTTCTTGCGCTTGGTGGTTGTATTGGCACAGGCTTATTTGTTGGTAGTGGAGCAGCACTATCGACTGTTGGTCCAGGTAAATTTGAGCTCATAACGCACGAATTCACATAAGTTGACTCAAGGTGCAGCTCCTTTGCTTATGGGCTACATCGCCATGTCCACTGTTGTTTATTTCATTATGAACATGCTGGGAGAAATGACTACATACCTTCCTGTCCGCGGCGTCTCAGTGCCCTATTTCATCAATCGGTTCACGGAGCCTAGCCTTGGATTTGCCGTAGGTAAGTTTACTTCATATGAAATCGTTGGTAAAGACTTGTACTTACTCACGGCTTTTCTAGGATACAATTACTGGTACTCTTTCTCGATGTTACTTGCTTCTGAAGTTACCGCAGCTGGTCTTGTGATTGAGTATTGGCCCTCTTCAATTAGCGTTGGAGTTTGGATTGCAATTATTCTTGTTGGTGAGAGCTATTATCAAAGTCCCAATACTTTGGTTACCTTTTCTTACTAGATTGTCGCAGTGATTCTATTCCTCAATATCGTTGCAGTCTCATGGTACGGCGAGGCAGAGTTTTGGTTTGCATCGCTCAAGATCATCGCTATCGTCGGCCTCATCATCCTGGGCATCGTGCTATTTTTCGGCGGAGGCCCCAGCCATGATCGTCTTGGTTTCCGATACTGGCAGCATCCAGGCGCATTCGTGGAACCCTATTTGGTACCGAATGTCAACACTGGTCGTTTCCTTGCATTTTGGACGGCCCTCATAAAGTCCGGCTTCTCTTTCATTTTCTCTCCAGAATTGATCACCACTGCCGCTGGTGAAGCTGTTGCTCCTCGCCGCAACATTCCCAAAGCCACAAACCGCTTTATCTACCGCCTCTTCGCGTTCTACGTTTTGGGCAGCTTGGTTATCGGAGTCACAGTTGCTTATAACGACAAGAGCCTCCTACAAGGCGTTGCGAGTGGTAGCTCTGGTGCTGGTGCCAGTCCCTTCGTGATTGGAATCCAAAACGCCGGAATAGCTGGACTGAACCACGTTATCAATGCTGCCATATTGATATCTGCTTTCTCGTCGGGCAACTCTTGGGTTTACGCTGGCTCCCGTACTCTCTACTCCATGGCATGTGAGGGTCAAGCACCTAAATTCTTTACCCGGTGCAATAAGAACGGAGTACCTTACAATGCAGTTCTGATAACGTGGTCAATTGGCCTTCTTTCCTTCCTCAACCTATCTGCGTCCGGTTCAACGGTCTTTTACTGGTTCACCAACATCACTACAATCGGAGGATTTATCTCCTGGGTACTTGTTGGCGTCGCTTATTTGGTTTGTTTTAGTGACTCCCACCTCATCTTATTCTGTGCTAACATATACAACCAGCGATTCCGTGGTGCTTTGCAATTTCACGGGCTACTCGAATCAAGGCCTTTCAAGACGCCTTTCCAACCCTACGGTACATATTATGCCATGGGTTTCATCTCGCTACTTGCAATCACCAATGGCTATACAGTATTCTTCCCTGGCTCATTTACTGCCTCAGACTTTCTTGTCTCCTACATCGTGTTTGTGATCTTCTTTTTGCTATACTTTGGCCACAAGTTCTATTACAAGACCCCATGGATGGTCAAGGTGTCTGAGATTGATATCTTCAGTGGCAAGGAAGAGATCGATAGGCTGGAAGAAGAGGACATTGAGCCTCATCCAAGGAACTGGTTAGAACGAGTATGGTGGTGGATAGCATGAGTTTTCCCTATTGTAGTTGAACACCAATTGACTAAAGCAGTGCGCTCTAGATACAGCCAAGAAGAAAAAGACCACCTATAAAGCATTCAACAAATTTAAGCAGCTATGACATGGAAATAAGATAGATACTAGGTAGGTATGACTTGTACACACAATGAGGAAGAGATGCCCATTCTCATTGAACTTGTCCAGGTGTAGACATCGGCAGTAGCTACTTCCAAAGCCGATCTTTAAAACTCTAATTTAATTCCTCATGTAAACCTCTGGCCTCGACATGTACAAAGCCTCAACTCCCAAGGCACACATCGCTGTCGATTCTGATGGCTGCTGTCAAATGCCAGTTGGTTCACCTTTCGTGTGTACATGATTCATTACCAACTCCACAACTAGTAATATCTATTCCTCCGGAGTTCCCTGGAATTGCGGGGAAGATAGTTCTATCATTGCTCTTTACTAGCCGGGGACAGCCCTGGAGTATTCAGCCCTTGACTAACGATATCTGATATGCAAACCTAACCCAAGCTAGCCGGATCTTGACTGGATATCCACCCGGCCCGGTAAGACCCACCCGGGATTCTTGCCGGCCACTGCTTATTGGCTGAGAGGCCCCAGATCAACCGGGCTGGGGATTGGCTGCTCACGGGCTACAGATTGAGCTTCTGACCGGTAGTAGCCGGCCATTTCATCATGCTTCCCCGCGTACACTTTTTCTTCTCCAACTTTTTTTGTTCTCTTCTTTCTTTCAATTCTTTGGACTTGGAAGATTCGAATACATCTTGAATCATGCAGTCATCTATTCTGCGCGTTCGCGCGCCTGTCTCGCGCCTTGCATACCGCATTCCTAGCTCTAACATCCGTGCTATGGGAACATATGCCACCTTCAAGGTCCCCCAGATCAACAACGAACCCAACGTGAGTTGTCAGTCCAAATTGAATGCTTGAAACATTATGCTGATTGTGAACTATCCAGAAACACTACATTCCTGGTTCCGCAGACCGCAAAGGACTGGAGGATGCGTTGGCTAGCTACAACAAGAGCGCCCCGCTGAACGTGCCTCTGGTCGTCGCCGGCAAGGAGGTAGGAATATATCCTTCAGAGTATTGGAGGTCCATTTGCTAATTTTCTCTCCTACAGCTTAAGGGCTATGAAACCTTCACTCAGAGCAACCCCGCATCACACGCTCCCGTGGCCACTTACTCCAATGCCACCAAGGCCGATGTTCAGGCTGCCATCGACTCAGCTCTTGCGGCTCGCAAGTCTTGGGCTGACACTCCCTTCGCTGAGCGCGCCAGTATCTTCCTCAAGGCCGCTGATTTGATCGCCACCAAGTACCGCTACGACATCATGGCCCTGACCATGCACGGCCAGGGCAAGAACGCCTGGCAGGCTGAGATCGACTCCGCCGCTGAGCTCGTTGACTTCTTCCGATTCGGCGTGAAATACGCCGAGGAAGTTTACGCCCAGCAGCCTTCCCACAACTCCCCTGGTGTGTGGAACCGCACTGAGTACCGCCCTCTGGAGGGTTTTGTGTACGCCATCAGTCCCTTTAACTTCACTGCCATTGGTGGCAACTTGGCTGGTGCTCCTGCCCTGATGGGCAACGTCGTCATCTGGAAGCCCTCTCCCGCTGCCATCGCCTCTAACTGGCTTGTGCACCAGATCCTCCTTGAGGCTGGTCTGCCTAAGGATGTCATTCAGTTCGTTCCCGGTGATGCCGAGGAGGTCACCAGCACCGTTCTCGAGAGCCGCGAGTTCGCTGCTCTTCACTTCACCGGAAGTACTGACGTGTTCCGCATGTTGTACGGCAAGATCTCCCAAGGTGTGGCGGATGGCAAGTACCGTAGCTACCCTCGCATTGTTGGCGAGACCGGTGGCAAAAACTTCCACTTGGTTCACAAGTCTGCGGACGTCCGCAACGCCGCGGTCCAGACCGTTCGCGGTGCTTTCGAGTTCCAGGGCCAGAAGTGCAGCGCCACTTCTCGCGCATACATCGCCTCTTCCATCGTCGAAGACTTCACCCAGCAGGTTGTCGCCGAGGTCCAGAAGATCAACGTTGGTGAGCCCACTGAGTTCACCAACTTCTGTGGTCCCGTCATCCACGAGGGCTCTTTCAACAAGCTTGCCGGTGTCATTGACGAGGCTAAGAACGACCCAGAGCTTGAGCTCCTTGCCGGTGGATCCTACGATTCCTCCAAGGGATGGTACATCCAGCCCACCGTTTACCGTACCACCAACCCCGACCACCCTCTTCTTTCCCGTGAGCTCTTTGGTCCCGTTCTGGTGATCCACGCCTACAGCGACGCCACCGAGGCCGACTTCGCCAAGATCTGTGACAAGATCGACAGCACCAGCACTTACGGACTGACTGGTTCCGTGTTTGCTCAGGACCGTGCAGCCGTCCAGGTTGCGGATGAGGCTCTGCGCAACGCCGCCGGTAACTTCTACATCAACTGCAAGAGCACTGGTGCAGTTGTCGGCCAGCAGCCCTTCGGTGGTGCCCGTGCCAGTGGTACCAACGACAAGGCTGGTAGCGCTAACCTGATGACTCGCTTCGTCTCTCTCCGCTCCATCAAGGAGGAGTTCGTTCCTACCTACACCGTTGCCTACCCCAGCAACGCCAACTAAAGGTGTGGACAATGATCCATGAATCCTTTCGCATGATATTCTATGCTTTATGATATTGTTGGCGTCAATCTTGCATCCCACCCCGGCGTTCTGTTCAAATTGTTCTATCGATTCTAAGGAATCTTCAAATGTATATTTAGTCGAGTTTTAAAAAGAAGTCAAATATGCCATTTCATCATCTGTTCAAACCATCGTAATGACTATCTCACTCAGTAGCACAGCTCGTCAAAAACTTCTGCATACTTTCCATGGCCTTTTTCGCAAAACGTCCCATCTCATACTTCTTTCCATCTCCATTGGGCCCACCATCGAATATCTCCATGGAGAACCAACCCCGGAAACCAGTTCTCAGAACCGCCCTTGCGACATCCTCGATAGGCAGGTATCCCCCGTCATACGGCATGGGCCGATAATCGTGGCTCCACCTGCCCCGAGGCCGCAGCTCATTGATGACCTTATCTTCCAGTGGAGGTGACACCTTATACGCATCCGAGATCTGAAGCAGATAAATTTTGTCCGCTGGCACCGTTGTCGCAAGCTCGGTCATACTAGCATCGAATCGCTTTTGCAACTCGCTCTGCGAGACATCCTCGATCAGTCCAGACTTTGTGGTTGGATCACCCCATTCACTCCCTGCAGTCTGGAACGTATCTAAGCACAGCCCACAGTTGGGACGGTCAACCGCTTTCACAATGTCCCAGACTGCCTTCCAACTTGGTGCATGCGTAGACCAGCACCAGTTCTCATAGGCGAGTCGGTAGTTGCGTTTGGCGAGCAGTTCAGATAGGGCGCGTAGATCCGTAATGATTTTCTCACGCTCACAGGAGATGACCGGCTCGGGCGTGTCTGTAGCTCCTACCTGAGGTATACTGTCAGCTAAACGATTGTTCTTGTGCAAGTGGTTCCTCATCGAAGGGTTTCATACCTGCAACAAGTCTGTGCCAACAACGTTCATTATCTCCATCCAGCCAAGAGCTCTTGCAAATGCTTCTTCTCGATCCATGGAACCTTTCACCCAGCCTTCGAAATTAGAGAACGGCTGTAACATCATGATGTTTAGTCCACGTGAGTCGCACAACTTGCGAATTTCCTCTGCGACAGGAATTATTTTGGGGTAGTCGATTGGGCCAATGTTTTCGCCTGTTATCTGAAGGCCATAGTCTAAGATATCTGGGAATGAAAGCTCGATTGCGGTGAAGCCTGCCGCGCTGATAGCATCAAGACGGCGAGGAAGTGTGTCCTGGGGGCCACATCCAATTGAACATGAGGCGTAGGAGAGTGGAATGTTTTGGAGAAATGCGCGGGAGATTGCCATTTTGGGAATCAAGATCGTGCAGAAGTGGGCGGTTCCAATGAAGAGGACTTGGAGGAGTCAAAAGAGACTGTAAAAGGGGGATTACCATGAGAACATTGCCAATATCAATAGAATAAGATGTCTAGCCGCATTCGTGTCGTCTTTGCCTCATTTGCTTTGTCCATTATGACGACTTGCCTCCTCGAGCTAGTTTCGTCACAAATACATCATATTGAAAGAGGAGTCGCAACCTCAACTCAACGCAGTTCTGATGAGCATAATCAGTTTGCCTCCACCTACATTTGGGCTGTGCCACCAGACAAAAGCAAGTTGCCATCAAACTGCGGGTATGTGGCATCTTGATTGTAGACAATGGCCCAGACCACCAGTCTGGTTGCCACCAGCTGGTTGAAGAAGAGCGGACATCGTCACTGAAATTCTTGCACAATTTCTCCTCGCGGGTTTTTCTAGTGACATATTCCTGAAATCCGAATGAGATAGTTTACCGAGGCAATCGCAACTCGCTACAATGCCGTCGTCAATCAAAAGCATCGGCGTCGTCGGAGCCGGCAACATGGGTTCCATGATGACCCTCCGCTTTGCCGAGCTGGGTCTTGCCGTCTCTGTCTGGGACATTGAAAAGAAGAATGTCGATCAAGTTGTTGACCATGCCACAAACGACAAAGGAATCAAAGGCCGAGTTCAAGGATTCTACAACATCAATGACTTCGCCAAGAGTCTTGAAGGAAAGTCTGATCGAAAGTTATTCATGTTCTCCATCACACACGGCGAGCCCGCGGACGAAGTCCTGCGGATGATCAAACCCGATCTCAAGAAGGGAGACATTATTCTTGATGGCGGAAACGAGAACTATCGGAACACCGAGCGCAGACAGAAAGAATGCGCTGCCATTGGCGTTAGTTGGATTGGCATGGGTGTTTCCGGGGGATATCAATCCGCACGACGAGGTCCAAGTCTGTCGCCTGGTGGTGACGCCAAAGCCCTGCAGCTTGTCATGCCTTTCCTAGAATCATATGCTGCGAAGGACCCGAAGAGCGGAACCCCGTGTGTGAAACGCATGGGACCAGGTGGCTCGGGCCATTTCATCAAAATGGTCCACAATGGTATCGAGGGTGGAATGCTATCAGTTCTTGCCGAAGCCTGGCAATACATGCACGATGGCCTGGGCATGGAGCATTCCAAAATCGGCGACGTTTTCCAAAAATGGAACGAGGCTGGCGAGTTACGTAGTAACTTCCTCATCCATATTGGCGAGAAGATCCTTCACACGCGGAGAACACCAGAGGGTGATCATAAGGGCGAGGGAGCCAGCCGAGACGGTGGATATGTGCTGGACGATGTGCTTGACAAGGTTGTCCAAGATGATGATAACACCGAGGGAACTCCACTCTGGTGCCTCATGGAGTCTGCCTCTCGCCATGTCTCATGCCCGACTCTAGCAGCGGCCCATTACATGCGTATTTCGAGCGGAAACCGTCAAGAACGTGTGCGTGCTGCCAAGAAACTTGAAATGCCCATGCCAAAACCCATCGAGGGTACTCGGGATTACAAGGAAATCATCGAGAGCCTACGCCAAGCTGTCTACTGCTCTTTCCTTGCATCATTCTGTCAGGGATTGGAGCTAATTTCCCGCGCTTCGATAGACGAAGGTTGGAATGTCAACTTGGGTGATTGTCTGCAGATCTGGCGTGCTGGGTGCATTATCCAGTCGGATCACATCGCTGATCTCCTGCAGCCACCACTCGCTGCTAACAACGAGCTTACCAATGCCAAGTTCGTTGACTCGGTCGCACATGAGCTTCACAAAAGCTTCCAGGGTCTCAAGGAGATCGTCATGGAGGGCACAATGTCTGATCAATACATTCCTGCGCTCTCGGCGACCCTGGAATATCTGAAGTATGAAGGCGGGCTAGGATTGCCAACTAAATTCATGGAGGCGCAGATGGATTACTTTGGTGCTCACAATTATAACAAACCTGGTATTCCTGGCGAGGATCCTGGTCCTGTCCACAAGGGCCCTCATCATTACGAGTGGCTGCCGGCCTAATTATATTGAGCACTAGTTTTTTTCCCAAGTTTACTATCAGAAATTGCCAAATCTTCAACCTTGGAACTTGATTCAAAAGACACCAGTAGTGATGTTCGGCAGACCATTGCTCTGCTGTAGGGCCTCAAATTAGATCTAAGTAGATTCCCAAAAAGGCAAGTGGCGGCCTTAGGAAGAAAAAGCACGTGGGTCGAATCACGACCAATCGGAGACGGCGAATGCACCGCAGCGCAGCATCAGACTTTTGATAAGGCGCAACATGCGCTGGATCTTGAGTCGATCCTTCTCTTCAATATCCAAACCGTTTCGTCGAATCGAATCCCCGAAACAACTTGCTCGCAGGATGGCTTCTCTTCCCACCACCTATGACGGTACGCCTTTTCTTTACAAGTCAACTACCCCTCACTGCCCCCACCTTGAAAACTGACGATAGTGAATCTGACAGGGTCCGTCCCAATTGCTGTTATTGGAGGCACCGGTCTGCGTGAGCTGCCCGGCTTCAGCCAGGTCGCTTCACTGACTATCGAAACCCCCTGGGGCGCTCCTTCCTCCCCCATCACTATCTTGCACCACGAGTGCAAGCACAACGGCAAGACTGTCGCGATCGCTTTCCTCAGCCGTCACGGCCCCCACCACCAGATTGCCCCCCATGAGGTTCCTGCTCGCGCCAACATCGCAGCCCTCCGCTCCATCGGTGTTCGCTCTATCATCGCTTTCTCTGCCGTCGGAAGTTTGCAGGAGGAGATCAAGCCCCGCGACTTCGTGATCCCCGACCAGGTCATTGACCGCACCAAGGGTGTGCGCCCATGGACTTTCTTCGAGAGCGGTGTTGTCGCTCATGTTCCCTTCGGTGACCCCTTCGATGAGGGTATTGCCAAGGTGGTGCGCGAGTGTGGACACAGTCTCGAGGGTGAGGGTGTCACCCTCCACGACCGTGGAACCATCATCTGTATGGGTATGTATAACCGCACTAACTCATACACACAGAGCGTAGACTGACAAATTGCTGAACAGAGGGTCCCCAATTCTCCACCCGCGCCGAGAGCAAGATGTACCGCTCCTGGGGCGGTAGCGTGATCAACATGTCCGTTCTTCCCGAGGCCAAGCTCGCCCGCGAGGCCGAGATCGCATACCAAATGATTTGCATGTCTACGGACTATGACTGCTGGCACGAGTCTACCGCCGACGTCTCCGTCGAGATGGTCATGGGTCACATGAAGGCCAACGCCGACAACGCCCGTCGCTTCATCACTGCCGTGCTCGATGCTCTGGCTGGTGACGAGCACACTGAGCTTGTCCAGGCCAAGCACCTCGCTGGTGGCATTAAGTTCGGCGTCACTACTCCCCAGACTAGCTGGTCAGCTGAGGCTAAGCAGAAGCTGGACTGGCTCTTCCCTGGATACTGGTAGATCCGGGACATGATGCGATTTGAGCGTCAGATGGCACATATATTTGCATTGTACTTACGGGATATGCATGATTAGATGATGAACCTGGTTAAAATTCACTTCTACAAAAATCTTCAAGTCTGCAAGGATTAACATCATTTGACACTTGGGTAGCAGAGGTAACAAGTTGACATACAACCCTTACGATCAGTTTAAATTCTAGAGATGAGGTAGATCAAAGGATGAACTGACTGATCAAATCAGTCTACCTTGACTGTCATATCCTCTAAAAGAGCTCATATTCAGTATGAGAAAGTGATCGCCCTGTCCATATTTCCAACGCTCATCTCATTCAACTGACAACCTTTTTTAGGATACCTCCCAAGTCTAGGCAATGTTACCGACACGCCTTGGCGGTTACTCAGCCTTGAGAATGGCCCAGCTAGGTTCCAAGGTTCCAAGGTTCCTGTCTGGGGTTACTCATCCCTCCTGTCTCGGCTTCAAAGCGCGTTTGCTGTTTATTATTGTTTACTTCTGCGGGTTTCTCGGGTATTTAATACCGAGCTTGGTATGAAAATAGCAACAGCTAGGATACCAATGGCGAATCCCAGTCAGTGGTATCGGGTCAAATTCAAGCGCCATGGCACTCCCAGAATTTTGAACCGTCACTCAACCTTGGAACTCGGTTGCCAAAGTATTGAATATCTCCCGTTGGACGCTCGAGATGTGAACTGGGTTATGCAAATGAGAGTTTGATAGCTTCAAAAAAACCTTTGTCTCTTCTTCTTCTTCCCAGGTTTCTATTTTTTCCTCGTCGCTGGTTTCGTCTCTCCGCTTTTGGTAGCTGATTTCGTAGATGTCCTAGACATGAATATTTGTCTATTTCTGATGCCTTTTTAACCCTTCCTATCGATCACGTGTTTGCACAATGAATCGAACTGTAAGATAACCAAAGAGCTACCCGTGAACACAATCAACTGGATGAACTATTTCCCTCTCAAGGTGGCTGCTCTATCCTGACTCTTAGTGGTCAATGGTGTCTACAATACCCGTTAATAGTGCACTGCCAAGCCCTCCCGGGAGCGCCCCTTTCTTCGCTCCGCACGTGATCTTGTTGAGCTGATGCCTGAGGTGTCATCTTCACCGATAAGTGATCTGCCGTATCTACAACTCTACCCCGAGCTCCACCCAACACGGAGAACACACCGTCTCCGAACACGACTCAACTTTCTCCCACCCGTCGCGCGGCCGGTTCATGACGCAAGATTCTATGTCCTGATTGCAATAAAATACTCGCAACCAAATTACTCTCTCCCCATAGCTCATCTATACAATGCTTGGCGGAGATTCACGCTATCGGCTGGCATGATCACTGACAGCTTGGACTTGTCAGAAGTTTGAATACCCGACTCCGCTTGTGGGGCACCTGAGCCAACACAATGCCTCCTGCAACGTCCAGCAGCGAGGCTTCGTCCCAGCCCGTCCTGGCCGAGGACCGGAAAACCAACGCGACAAACGGAACAACCAATACCGAGCGTCAATCCGCATTTCCGAGTCTGGACGGACCTACCAACGAAAGAAACTATGGAATTTCTTCCACCAGTGAGCAAACTCAGCGCTCGATGCCTTCCGATGATGGCCCCCAGCCGCAACGAACGAACGACGTGGCATCAGAACATCATACTTCCGCGGGCGGATACAAAAGAAGCTTCGGATCACCAGAGCAGGGACTGGGCATACTGGTGGAGCACTCGCCGGACAATGAAAACAGAACTGGCCAGCTGTCGGTGGTGGATGTCTATGATGGCCGAAGAGCTAAAGCTGCGCTTGCTGAAATGTCCGACGAGCTCTCCCAATTACCACAAAAGGAGAACGACAAGGTCATGAAGCTGTCTCCCGAAAAGATCCAAGAACTCACATCGTCACCGGAATCAATCCCCTACCGTCCTGCTGAACCAGAATTGATCACAGGCAGGCGATCGGTCTCGGATAATGCCCACGAGAACATTCCCACCGTTCGACCAGAGATACCAGATTTTGTTCTTCAGCCATTGAGTGAGACACCATCAGCTGCCGACAGTCTTCCCAAACTGAGATCTACCAAAGGGGTATCTTTGGGTGATGCATCAGCACCAGCGAGCCCAGCTTTGCCTCGCACTACTGAAAAACCACCTCTGCGTAATCGGCCACACCCTTCTCGCACCGTGTCTACCCCTGGTTCCACTCGGCGTCAACTGCCTTCCACGCCACTGAATGACCGGTTGGCACATACATGGGCGTCCCGTGGGAAGCAGGACCGTTTGAATCCAGATCGTGATCTGAAAAGTCATCTCATGGCATCCCCTCAAGTCATTGAAGCTCCGTTGACCTCACCTTTACCGTTGGCCATTCCATTACCCCCTGTATCTCTACCAACATATCTACAGCTTGAACTTGCGTCTGGGAGACCTTCGCCGCTGTACATCCATCGAGATGCATCGAACGACTTTCCGTATGAATCATCACGCGTGAAAATAGAAAGACTGATGAATTTCCTCATGCTTCCACCAATGCTAGAGCAGGTACTCTGCTTTGGAAGCTTAGCTTGCCTCGATGCATGGCTATATTCATTTACCATCATGCCCCTGCGATTTATCAAAGCTGTGTACATTCTATTTGAGTCGTGGATCATGAATATGGGCGCGGAAATCCGGTTCATCTGGAAATTTGTCATGACTGGAATCGGCCGAGTCTGGCGTCGACGGAATCATAGTGTGAAGGAGGATCAGAGGGAGAAGTGCGAGAACGAATCGGATGCCACTCCACGATTTCCGTCCGGTTCCTTTTCTGGGATAGAAACTGTGACGACCGAAAGAGATCTTCGACAAGCACAGCCGGAAGCCCCCAGGCCCAAGCATCGGTCCTCTGAATCTAGAAGACATCATCATCGCCGGAAGAAGTCAATGCCCTCGGCACTGTTGCCCGATGACAAAGCCGATATTTTGACAGGGCTGCTCATGATAGCCACCTGTTGTGTCTTGATGTATTTCGATGCTAGTCGGATGTATCACTGGATCCGTGGGCAGGCTGCTATTAAGCTATACGTGATCTACAATGTTCTGGAGGTCAGCGACAGGCTTTTGGCTGCCATTGGACAAGACGTGCTTGAGTGTCTCTTCTCACGAGAGGCTCTTGAGCGTCGTCCTGATGGACGAAGCAAGATTATCCGTCCATTTTGGTTGTTCTTGTTGGCACTGGCCTACACAGTATCCCATGCGACATCCCTTTTCTATCAGGTGATGACTCTAAACGTTGCTGTGAACTCTTACTCAAATGCTTTGATCACCCTGCTGCTCTCCAATCAATTTGTGGAAATCAAGTCCACGGTGTTCCGCAAATTTGAAAAGGAGAACCTCTTCCAGCTTACCTGCGCTGACGTTGTTGAACGATTCCAACTATGGCTGATGCTCACTATCATCGCTTCGCGCAACATCGTCGAGACAGGCGCCTTCAACTTTGTTGGAAATTTCGGGTTGGGCTCGAATATCCCGGGTCAATCATCTACCAGTACGAATAGCACACCACTTTCTACACCTCCGCGAACTGCATCCTCGATTTTGCCCCAAGCGTTCACATTCTTCCCATCGTCGATCATGTCCTCCTTCAACAGCGTTAACTCCTTCATTCCAACACTTGCCCAAGTCTTGGGTCCCTTCCTGGTTGTACTAGGCTCAGAGATGCTAGTTGACTGGTTGAAACACGCATACATCAACAAGTTTAACAACAATCGACCAGCAATTTATGGCCGGTTCCTCGACGTTCTAGCAAAGGACTATTACACTAATGCTTTCGGTGAACAAAATCTTACCCGCCGGATCGGTCTCCCTGTGATACCACTTTCCTGTCTGTTTTTCAGAGTTTCCGTTCAAACATATCAAATGTTCCTCGCGGCTCTGGTTCCCCAGCATCCATCCTCAACGGCAATGGAAGCAACCTCCCTATCATCAATCTACAACCACTACGCACCAGCTCCTATGCCATCTGCTCCACCCTTGACACTTGCCACTCTGATACCCGCCTCTGCGGCGCGTGTCAGTGCATTTTTCCGCACCCTGTTGGAGAACGCGATTCCATCTCCTGCACAGTCCGTTCACATCTTCACCGTTATTCTCCTTCTGACCGGATTCGTCGTGCTGCTTATTTTCAAACTCCTGCTTGGAATGGTTCTACTCGCGTTTGCTCGCTCGCGCTATAGAAAAATGAAAGGCCTGGAAACCGAGAAGAGGGATTCTCACTCCCGCCATTCTGGTGACAGTGGTGCTCCTCGAGCCCGCGATTTCGATGTCGAGGGCAGTCAGCGTGTTGGTGGGTGGGGCTGTGTGGAGGTTGGTGAGGAGAAGAGGAAATTGATCTATGCGGACGACCCAGATGGATTACGTAGAGTGAAGGAGAAGGAAGAAAAGGATAAAAACAAGGACAAGGAGTTGAATGTTGATCATGTACAGCGGTATGAAATGATTGCGAAGAAGATTTGGTGAGGGTTGGGCACGCTGACTTGCTCCTGGGCGCATTCACATTGCCCCGGTGCGTTTGTCTGCAATTCAGCCAGTTAACCATGCCTGCTGAATACATTTGTCTATATTTATCGCTTTTGTATCATATGACCAGTAATATGAAATGAACACAAAGATTTATACCACCTGGGCACTCCGCTGGAATCGCCTTTCTATCCCAAGAGCCGTCGGCTTTCATGTGTTTCACCCCGCGCAGCACAAGCCATTCTCACCCAAAGACAAAAGAGTGGGTTGATTCGCGGGGAATATAGTATTCTAGTAATGACCTAAAGATTTGGTCGAGGTTGAATTTGATCGTCACTCAAACTCTCCGAGAAGAATCTGAGAGCATTCAATTGGCCAATCGAAGGGTTGGGACATCTGCACCAAGGAACTTTGACGCCCTCCGTCCGCGGGCTTGACGATCATCTCGTATCGAGAACGCCTGTGGAGCATTGTTTCACTTGGCGTTCAATCTGAGAACTTGACAATCTGGCCTAGCGCCAGGACTTCTTGACAAAAGCCCGCAGATTTGATTTGGACCTCACATCTTTGAGCATTGAGCCAAACAAATCCATGGATTCCTATCAAGATCGCGATTTTCACACATGGATGTGTTGGTTCTATCCCTAAACGAGCAAGAAGCTTCCAGACTCTCGATTTAGAACTGGAATGCGTTCAATCAGTCACTTGTTGATTAGTTGAATCAAGTGCATCATCTGATAACAAGCAAGCCTACGAAGGCCACACACGCATGGGGCGTCGGGCGTTCACGGGTGGCGTATGGCCCAGGATAATGGCTGAGGTGAAGGCGTTGAGCGAGGCTCTAGACATTGAATAAGCTACCACTGTATAAGTCTCAATCTGTCTTTAGCGCTGATATCATTGTGTTCCTCCTGTAGGCAAGGACTTCGCATACTGCAGAATGCAATGGATGCTGTAAAACATGATGCAGGCATAAGGTGGGGGCCGGAACGCGGGCCGTTCCGTAAGCCCTGTTGTGCTCCTGGGCTTGAATGCAAATATCACACCGTCCTCGCATTAGTTCATGGTAGATGGAAGAGGCAGTATTCGATAGGATATGACATGAAGGATAGAGAGGTTGTCTGTGCATACTGCTTTTGCTCTGGGGGAAATATGGGACCATTTACCCCGTTAGTTTGTAGGGACAGTTAGGGCGAACCTTAGGGTCCATCATGATTCATGAGCCCCGGCCTTGGGGTGAAACGTGACTTGCAGGCTAATGCAAGCCCTCGCCTGTCGGAGGGGTATGTGTGTCCGATAGTGGTTCCTCATGCGATGTGGATCTTCACCACCGGTTCCCCACGTGCCTATTGCGGTATAATTAGCTATTGCGGGGGTCTAAATACGAGGTTGTGTTGCTTGCTTACATCTGGGCATTCGTCATGCTCTGACAAGATAAATTAAATCAATAGGATTTGCTCATTTCCAAGGTTCTAAGGGATTGGCAGGATGATTTGAGAGCGAGATGCCTGGAATAATGAGTGGCTAAGATCTCTTTCGAAAGCCCCATTGGTCGGTTTCTTCAATAATTCGCCATTTTCAATGCGCCAAAAAGTACCGCTTGAGTGGATAATTGCAAAAGTTCGTCTCGATTTGGTCTCTTGGTGCGACAGGCCAAGGCTAATGGACCAGGTCATCATTCTTCACAAGCAACTATACATAATCCAAGTCAATTATACAGACAACCTTACTTGCACAATCTTTTGGAAAGAAAATGCTTCCTCAGGAAACACAGTGTGTTGGTGTCTCAACACTTCTCATCAATCTCGACGATGTGCACGATAACTGCATTGATACGCGCATTCCCCCATCTGTGCATGCAGTCTACCTGCACTTTTTGCAGCCTTTTAGATCTTGCCACCGCGCTACTGTCCAAGTCTCTATCATTCCCTTTTCCTTACCTGGATTTCAAGGCCAGACCTTTTACTACTCACAAGGAGTATTTGCACCCTGTTGCGACAAGATCCAAGGGAGTGACATTATTCCATTGATTAGCGAGTCTACTGAGGCTATTTATAAAGCATCTGTTCCCTGGCACAAATGGAATTTACAAGCGCCAGGCTTCTGGTAAAGTTTTGCAATGGAGCTACCCCTCATGCCAACCCAGAATACTGACCAAGACTGTGATACAGGAGCGAGCTCATCAAGGAACCCCCCATCTGCCCCCAAACCGAGACATGCCTAGAGAATTCAAGGACACATTTGGCAGATATGATGGAACAGACGCGAGGCTTTCAGTCTGGCGCCTCGACACCTCTACTCACGGAGGAGATGAACAACGACATCCAGGAAATACCAAGCTCGAGTTGGGACACATCTGCTAGTTCTCGGGACGATTCATCGGAGCAGACAACCTCGGATACCCCAAGATCGTTGAAGAGAAAGCGGAATGACGAGTCTGGGACCTCCGTTGAGGCTGTGACTGCGACGGCAGATGCATTCTTGGAACGACTTAGCTCCACTAGTATACCGGACGAAGAAATCTCGTCCTACAATGCTCTGACAAAAGTCAAAAGCCAACCACTATCTCCGCGGGGCGAGAATGTGTCCCGCGCATGGGAGATGTGTATTAGCTTCGCTCGCCGCTCGAGCCAGAAGCTCAAATATGGCCGGTTTCTGCGTTTCCTGTCCCTTTGCTTCTTCTTGATTTGGGAGAGATACTCCGATAAGCAAGGGAAGAGTGCGGCTCGTGAGGTATGCTTCGACAATTCCCAATCTGTGTTGAGATAGTTGTGCCGGCTCGAGATATTCGGTAAAATCGTGAATCCATGCTGATAAATTGCAGGTAAACGCCAAAATGCGAGAAGCTGGCTTCACCGGTCACTCCAGAGGCCTCAAGACAATGCGCGACGAGACAACTCTCATCAACAGAATGGTCGCGTCCATACAAGAAAGCTGCGGTCCTAAACAAGCCGCAACTCTATATCACGTCGTATTCGGTAGGCGGATCAAGCATTGAAGTGAAATGATTGGGCGCAACAAAAACTAATAGCTGGTTCATAACAGAACCGTCAAACTACCAACTCATTCGGACGATCAACAGGTTGGGGAATGAAAAGAAATCAAATATATTGGAGCACATGTGCAAAACTGCTCGAAATGGATCAATTCCATCATATCCGACTTCAACCACTTGTGTGCAGAGTATAATTCAGCAGTATCTTCCTAATCTGTCGTGAGTCGTGGCCAAGTTCTATCTATACCCATGTTTTTCGCGTGCTTGTTCTCACCTATCGCAGCACCGACGCTATTAGCAAAGCTATCGGATACCAGCCCATTACTCAAACACGCCAGATAAGCAGAGAAATCAAGACAACGTCAGGTCAGTCCGGCTCAAATCTTTTCAACTTTCCGAGAATCCAAAATATTAACAGGCTCTCAGACGTCCAACTTCCGTGCGTTCAGAAAACCAGACCTAGCGAATCGCGAAAGCGCCCCTTGACAACATCCCACAATATTTTCGATATTTTCGACTCCCCGATGACAATTGCAGATGATGAAATAGATTTTTCAGCTACACTGGATGATGTTACGCCCTGCGATGACACTCTTTCGCTTGATTTTCCTAGCACGATAGACGACCTAGAATTTGATTTCCCGTTCAGCATGGATGGTGGGTTGAGTATTTTAAACGAGGTTGATCACACAGGACTTGTTGCATCTTGACCAACTAGCAGGTGCAGATATGGTCAGTTTTGCAGGGTGGTGTGATGATTTTCTAAGAGCGCTGTGAACAATAGAGGAATATACACCCAAGAAAGACAAATGATGAGATTCAGACATGACCCGTCCGGGGAAGACCATCGGAGCGCACAATAACTAAAACAGGGCAGAAATTAAGGGAACTATATTAGCGCAATTCCTGTGAAGGCTCGTCGCTCTTCAAACAACAGTCTTGTTTTGTTGCTGCCGTCGAGATTGCATCTGCAAATCGACCCGCCAAGATCTGCCACATAGACATGTTTGTTTTTTTCATCAATCTTCAACCCGATTGCTTCGTGAAACTTTCGCGCTAAGATCTGGTATTTTAGGAATGGTGTGTTGTCGATCTCCAAAGCCTTACCATCATCCCCAAAAAGAAGACGGTTCAGGGTGTTTCCAAACGGCATTTCGCCTCTGTCCGTCCAGTACAAGGCTTTCAAGTCTTCATGGAACTCAAGATCGATTGGTTCAGCAAGATTCTCAAGAAGACATATTTTGTCTGATCTGTTTTCGGCAGTCTCGCCCTTTGGAATCTCGAGGTTTGCACTGAAAATTCGTCCCTGCCATCCCTTCGGTCCACCTTTCTGTGTCCAAAAGATTTTACCCAGAGTCTGCGATATAGCAACACCAACGCACCAATTTTGCGCATCTTTCAGACCTTTGTCATCGGACGTGCTACCAGTTGTAACAACCCGTTGCAGGCTGCTGCCGTCATGGTTGCAACTCCAGATGCAAAGACCCTCACGATCTGCAAAGTACAATTTCCCAGTTGCCGGGTCGAGTGTGATCTGCTTTGGAGTATTGATGCTTCCCTTTTCGATAAGGGATTTGAATTCACTTCCGTCGAGCCTCGCCGAACAAATCATACCGTCGTTTTGGCCTGGGTTACCCATGCATGTCCAGAAAATCCGCTCCTTTTCTTTGTGAATGACAATCCCGTCAGGGAGAAACTGCTTCTCAAATAGGGTTCGAACTTGTTGACCACCAGACGTATATTCCAGGACCTTTCCCATTTGCAAGGTTTCCACTTCACCAGACAGGCCATTGTCCAGCACGAAAATCCTCGGTCCGGTAGTCCTCGATGCCTTGGGATAGAACCCGCCATTTTCGCAGTGGAGCCCGAGTTTACCTTTGCTCATATATTCTTTTTCTAGATAGTCAACTGTGTGCTTTGTTGGAAGATTTCGTTCCTGCGCGAAATTGCGCTCAATATTGGCAACTGTCTCAAGTCCGACAACTATCCTACCGTTAGCATGTTGAAAATCTTCCAGATTTGATGGATGAACAAGGGAATCTCGTACGGTCCATTGCAACAAAAGGCCTCGTTCCTGGCTTTACGATTGCCTCAAAGAAAATGTCATCTGCGGTCTTTGGATCCGCTACCCCCTCCGAAACAACCATAAGCAGCTCTCGCTTTATCGCAGCCCACACCCTGTTGTGGATAAATCCTGTCGACTCTTGTTTCGCAACGTATACACTCAGTCCCGCTTCCTGCATCCGTGATCTCAGAAACGGAAATATGTCTGACGCGGTACAGCCACTAGTCATGAGCTCAACAATTCGCACATGAGGTGGCATAAAATAATGTGTGTTCAAGATTCGATTTTTGATCCCTTCACTCATCTTCCGAGAGATTGCAGAAGATTTATACGATGATGAATTCGTCGACAGTATACAGTCTGGATCACAGACTCCTTCAAGATCCGAGAACACATTCTGTTTGATTTCAAGATTTTCGGGTGCACATTCAACCGCGAGCCAGGCATTCGAAACAGCATGCTTTAGGTCTATGGCCAGAGTAACTTCACCTGGCTTGACAGAAACGTATTGTTGATAGATGTTGATGTTGTCTAGAAAGTATTTCAATGCCTCATGGCATTGTGTGGGGCTAGGATCCCAGATATGGACGTTGTATCCGGCGCATGCCCAGCATGTTGCTGATATGGTGAGCAGAATCCCCAAGACAAAGGCAAGTTCTTACCTATGCGACGTCCGAGTACACCAGCTCCAATGACAGCTATCTGACGGGCTTTATAATCCGATGGCGCATGCCATGATTGATGTTGCTCCATAGTCAGAGCAGATGGAAGGTGGGTAGTGTAAAAAAAGGAAGATGATGGAAACATCAACTCGACATGCAAGATTATTCTAGATTCCAATGATTTGTTTTCAAGACGTGCCGAGTCAATGCAGAGAGAATCACCGACTAGGGCGCAAATCAAGTAAAAAAAATCGTCGGTTGGGGGATACAGTTTGAATGGTAGGATGATGCGTCGCAACCTTGGAAATTGCAGCCAGTTAGTCAGAAGCAAAACAAATTCAAGGCTAGTGTGAATTTCTATGTACAAATCTAAGCATTTAATATCAAGGTTGATCTATGATTTTTGTTTTTTCATGGTCTTTCGTCAAGCGCATAATGATTGGCGCTTGAGCTCCGGGAATGGGTTCACCCCAGTGTCTGGTGCTGGAGGACTACCCCAGCTTGACCAAATCCTGAAGTGCCTTGAGCAAAAGCACACGCCATGTAAGTATAGCTTTTCTTTTATCACTATATTTGTATCCCATTACAAGAACCCTTTCTTTGGGCGGCGTGGACACGATAGTGTAAATTAGGTTACGATCAGCTCTGAAGAGCCGATGTTTGCTTCGAAGAAAGAAGGGGACATGGAAGCGGCGGAAATGCGAATGAAATGGATTGAACTGTCAAATACCTAGGTAAAATATAGATTCGATTTAGCAAAGGCCTTGCTTGGGAAAATGAATATTCTTTTAATATACCACCGGGCGAGAGCATCTCCTGGGCTGGAGACTTTGGAAGGTTTTTTGTCTTCGGTCAAGTAATGTTGCCTCTTATTTCTCCCCAAAATTCTAGTCGGTATTTCCATTGATCAGTTTGATCATTTTGATTTCCATCTTTCCTTGGACACAATCCACCCCAGGTTTTATTAACGGCTAGGTGTCTTCCTTGCCTTGCGAAGCAACATTCGTGGTATAAGAAACCTTCAGCAACCATTTGCGAACTTACATACCAAACACACACCTTCATTAGATCCGAGACCGTCAAATAGAATGACTGTCTCTGACCTAGCCCCCGGGCCGAGGCCATTAGCCATCGTGGGCATGTCATGCCGCTTTCCAGGAGATGTTGCCTCGTTAGATGATTTCTGGGAGCTCCTTACGAACGCAAAGGACGGATACAGAAAGTTTCCAAACGAGCGATTCAATTGGGAGGCATTTTATCATCCAAATGAATCACGGAAAGATTCAATTCATGTCAGCCATGGTTATTTTCTCAACGACGATGTGGCCAATTTCGACGCGTCGTTTTTCAAGATGAATGCAACAGATGCAACCTCATTTGTATGATGACCTATTGTTGCTCCTATGGTTTCCGAATTGACACAACATCCAGGACCCCCAAGGGCGAATCCTACTCGAATGCGTGTATGAAGCTTTGGAGGATGCCGGAATCCCGAAAGAAAGCATCGCTGGGAAAAAAGTGGGAGTTTTCTCATCATCTAATGCATCTGACTATACGCTCGAACTGAAAGAAAGTGTTAGCGATGTGCCAGCACAGGTCGGAGTGCTTGGTCACAGTTGCATGCTCTCAAATGTAGTGTCCAACGTATTTGACCTTAGTGGTCCGAGTGTTAGTGTGGACACGGCATGTTCATCAGCATTCTATGCTCTGCAAATGGCAGCACAGAGCATACGCTCTGGAGAAACGGACATGTGCATTGTATCAGGATGCGCTCTCAACCTCTCGCCGTGGCGATGGAACATGCTGTCCAATTTGACCATGCTCAACTCAGACGGAAAGACACGAGCCTTGGATCCAGAAACAGAGTCGGGGTATGCGCGCGGAGAGGGTGCAGCTTGTATAATATTGAAGTCACTTGATTTGGCGCTGCGCGACAATGATCGAGTTCATTGCGTCCTGTCGCACATTGGGGTCAATCACAATGGCAACACAAACGGATATACTATGCCAGATGCTGTTATGCAGGCTAGATTGATGACGGAATTGCAACAGGCTTTGGATGTGCGGCCAGATGAATTTGGATTTGTCGAGGCACACGCGCCTGGGACTCGAGTGGGTGATCCTATCGAGATCTCAGCGATTCAAAAGGTTTTCTCCAGCGATGCTCGCACCCCTGAAGAGCCACTGTTACTCGGCTCAGTCAAGGCGAATGTGGGACACCTGGAATCGGCGAGTGGCTTCCCATCATTGATAAAGGCGGCTTTGATGTTGAAGAAGGGTCAAGTCGTTCCCAACCCTAATTTCAAAGATGAAGGAATGAACTCCGAGCTGCGGAAATTAAATATGGCGGTCAGTAAGAGATATGGCTATATGATAGCGACGGATCTGGAGTGCTAACTGCAATCAGGTACCGACCAACACACAAACTTGGCCGAAGGGGAAGTCGTATGTCGCTATCAACAACTACGGGTTTGGCGGGTCCAATGCCCATTGCATTGTTAAAATGGCACCGGGAACCGACATACCCCGCCAACAGAGTACTTCAGCAGAAGAGCCATATCTCTTTGTTCTCTCTGCACATGACGAGCAGGCTCTTGCGCGAACCAGAGAACGACTGGTTGGATTCCTTGAAGCAGACGAGTCGGCAAATGTTGATATGAGCGATTTGGCCTACACACTGGGTCAGCGCCGATCGCAGCTTGCTTGGCGATCTGCTCTTGTTGCGACAGAATTGGATGATTTGGCTCTCAGCACTGCCGCGCCTCGAGTCGCACAGCGGCGTGCTGTTCGCCCGCCTAGAATAGCATTCGCTTTCACTGGACAGGGTGCACAAGGCTTTGGGATGGGCCGTGAATTGTTGCAGTATCCGGTCTTCGCCGAATCCCTCGAGAAGTCATCGTCTTGTGTGCAGTCGTTCGGGGCCACATTTTCGCTGCAAGAAGAGTTGTTCGCGTCTGAGGCAACATCACGGATAAACGACGCCGACGTAAGCCAAGCCGCGTCAACAGCCATTCAGATCGCCCTCGTGGATCTTCTTCGATCGTGGGGAGTGGAGCCCGCTGCGGTTGTCGGACACTCCAGTGGCGAGGTCGCCGCCGCCTATGCCGGAGGCATTCTGTCCCTTCGAGGTGCTATGCGGATTGCTTATGCCCGTGGTCAGATGGCCATCAGAATCAAGACTGTCCAACCGGATTTCAAGGGTGGTATGATGGCTGTGAGTGGCGGTATGGAGGATGTCGCTCCTCTCTTGGACATCGTTATATCCGGGACTGTGGTAGTCGCATGCGAGAATTCGCCAAAGTCGCTCACAGTATCAGGGGATGACGCAGCATTGGATGAATTGGAGACATTGCTTGAAGAGGATGGAATACCCCATAGACGACTCGCAGTTGACTTCCCGTACCACTCCCCCTTCCTCGAGCCATTCATTGATCAGTATGAAGAGGACATCTGCACGGATGACACTTTTGTGAGGACCGAAACGAATAACGTCGAGTTCTTCTCGGCTATGGCTGGACGGAAGGTCGATCCAATTGCCGTCAAGAAGCCCTCATATTGGGCTAGCAGTGCGAAGTTCCGAGTTCGCTTCACATCCGCCGTGAACGCTCTGCTTAAAAACAAGACACCACCAGAAGTCGTGGTTGAGATCGGGCCAAATCCCACACTGGCATGGGCTATGAAAAGTATCCTCAAAGCACTTGGAAAGCAGGCGCCGGCCTCGGTTGACACCATTCCATCTCTGCATCATGGCAAAAACGCACGAGCTGCGATGCTTAAGTTAGGTGGATCTCTTTTCTGCTTGGGTCAAGGGCTCGACATGGACCAGGTCAACTTCGGACACATCAAGGACCATGGATCCCGCCCACGCCCGATAGATGGCCTGAAGCCATACCCATGGTCTCGAAGTCGCTATTGGATTGACTCCAAAGTTCGAGACGATAAACTTCTTAGGCCATTCCCGCGGCATGATCTTCTGGGGCATGCGACCGCGCACTCCAGGGGTGCTGAGATGGCCTGGTCGAACAAATTCGAGATCGAGGATATGCCTTGGCTTCGCGATCACCAAGTGGGATCATTGATCACCTTCCCACTGGCTGGATATGTGTGTGCTGCAGTGGAGGCCAGTAAACAACGCGCCATGATCAGCACTGATGTGGAGAGCGCGGTCGCGGGATTCACTGTGCGCGACGTGCGCGTCAAACATCACTTGGTGTTTCAAGAAGGAGTGCGCGCCGAACTTTCCATCAAGCTCCGCCCGATTGATGGAAGCGAATTTGATGAGTTCAAACTTTTGACCTGGGATGAGGAGCAGCGAGCGTGGGTTCTTCACTGCAGCGCCCTTGTTCGGTTCCACTTGGACGACGCGCCCGAGGGGGGCTAACGCGATGGGGCGAGGCGCGCGAGCAATGTCCCGGCCACGTCGGCAGCCCGCTGCTTTACCAAGGCTCCGCAAAGACAGGCCCACGGCGTACGGGCGCATTCCGCAATGTGTACAATTTACGATATGGCAGTGGCAAGACCGCGGCGGAAGTGGTAGTTTCGGACACTGAGGCTGGTATGCCGCACCACTACGAAACTGCCTACACGATCCACCCAACCACACTGGACGGCCTTCTGCAGTGTGGGAGCTACATCCCCTTCCTAGACCCCTCCTTCGCACCGATCGGCGCTACAAGCAATATCTGGGTCCCTAATGCTGTTGAAGAGGTCGTCATTGGACCTGGAATTCCCATTGAGCCGGGCGTTGTGCTGCATGCTGTGGCCCGTTCAGAGCAGCCTCCACAAAAGCTTGGCGGGACATATGCCATTGATGCTGCTCTGAAAAGCTGCTCTGATTCAAAAATACGGATCAGGGGCTTAGGTTTTGATGTCGAGAGAGGCATTATACCGCGCTGGCCTGCTCCACATTACGGATGCTACAAGGTGGAATGGCAAAGCGCTGGACCTCCAGTGAAAGACGCCACCAGATGGCACTTATTGCAAGCCCTTGGTGATGAAAGCGACTTGGGGGGAATTCTTAGCCGAAAGTTCGACATAGCCGTGTCGCCCCTTTCTCAAGGACTACCCGCCGAGGCCAAATTCTGCATTGTTTTAGACATCGGCGAAGGTCTGCTGGGAAGTGTGGACCAAGCCTCATTCGACCACGTTAAACATGCTCTGACAAGTTGCGAAGCTGTGATATGGGTCACGCGTGGTGCTTTCCACCATGCCACAAATCCCACTGCGGGAATGGCTGTTGGGTTGCTCAGAACGATCCGCAGCGAGATGCAGGTTGCCGTTGCGACCCTGGACCTTGACCCATCCACGACTAGTGATGCGGTCACACAAGCAGCGCTAGTGGAGCGTGTGGCTGGCAGTATTGCCAACGCAGCCAGGAAGGTTGATGCCAACGCAGAGATGGAGTTCACAGAGATTAATTCTCAACTCTTTGTTTCGCGTATCGTACGCGACGAGGCTCTGGATAGCATTACACATGCTGCTACGGGAATCGCTTCTCCCCAAGATGAGGCATTTGATCCCGAATCACGACTCATATATGGGCTGCAACGCCCCGGAGATGCCGACACACTTTTCCTCCAGCGGGCAGACACAGTCCCGCACTTGGCCGAAGAAGAAGTGGAAATCCAAGTCGCCGCGATTGGACTTGGAATCGAGGATGTTCAATCTCTTCAAGGCCGTGAATGCAGTGGTACGGTGGTACGATGTGGCGAGAAGACCACGCGCATGCAGGTCGGTGACAGAGTGTTTGGGCTGGCGGATACCAAGGGTGCATTTGGGACATTCGTTCGGACGCATCAATCGAACTTTGCTGTCGTTCCCACCTGCATGACACTAGAGATAGCAGCAGCCCTCCCATCCACGTTCGGAGCAGCACAACTCGCCCTCGCTGAAGTCGCTAGAGTACGTGAAGGTGAAACGGTTGTTGTTCTTGCAGCCGAATCAGCCGTGGGCCAGGCAGCGGTGCAGATCGCAAAGGCAATTGGTGCTAATGTTCACGCTGTGATTGATTCCACCTCTGGTCACGAAGTTCTGCTCACAGTTCGCCCACCGGCTGATCACATAGTTGACAGCCTCGACGCGGTGCTGTCCGCAGAAGTCGTACTCAACCCCACTCATTGGTCCAGGTGTAATACATCTGTCTCTCGGGTACTGGCACCACTTGGGCGCTTCGTGCAAATTGGAGAGCTGATCGCAGGCTCAACACCACGTTTAGATATCGGTTGCAGTGTCGCTGGCGCTCTTTTGTCCTCTGTTGCTGACTCTGCCCCTTCGCGTGTTGCCGCAGTCCTTGACACAGTTGCAAGCTATTTTGCTGGCGATATTGTCAGCGGGTTTTCATCGATTCAGACAGTCAGACTAGATCATTTGTCTGCAGTACTTCCTACTGTCGCTCCCAGTGACCAATTGAGAAAAGTGCTAGTGCCCGTCAAGGGTGAAGTCTTGCAGGTAAAAAAATGCTTTTCTTAGATCTTGAAGTCAAAATTGCTGATCATTGTCTAGACAACGCCTGCACGGCCTCCCTCGCTCGCCCTCGATTCAGAAGCCATTTACTTACTTGTCGGAGGAGGCGGTGGTCTGGGGCGTGTCATTGCCAGATGGATGGTGGACAATGGAGCAAGGAAGATCGGACTCCTTTCGCGTAGCAATTCAATGACCTCTGAGGTTCATGTGCTTACTGAAGATATGGCCGCATTGGGAGCCGAGATCTTCTTGCTGCCGTGCGACGTTACCGACAAACTGCAGTTGCAGCAAGTTGTTGATCAGTGCGCTACTGAAAGGGGCACCATCAGAGGAGTCATTAACGCTGCAATGGTCTTCAAGGTATGTTCGACTAACCTCTTGACTTGTTATTGGTGTGTACTGGTCCTGACGTTTCCTAAAGGGCGGCGTATTTAGCTCGGTGTCACACGCCGACTTCCAGGCCGTTGTTCGTCCCAAGGTCCATGGAACATGGAACCTTCATCACGCCCTTAGCAATGCACCTCTAGACTTTTTCGTGCTTATTTCGTCGGTCGCGGGCTTGGTCGGCACACCGGGACATTCAGCATATGCAGCTGCTAACACATTTTTGGACTCTTTCGCAAAATATCGCATCCAACAAGGATTGCCAGCCACCTCACTTGCTCTCACTGCCGTGGTGGACGCTGGCTACATGGCCGAGAATGCCGAGAAGCTTCAGAAACTGAAGTATATTGACGACTATGAAGGAGAGATACTTACCACCCATGATGTGCTTGCCCTTCTCTCTGCCTCTGTCTCCGGCACTACTGCTACGTCTTGTGATGGCTTTTGCATCACTGGTGCAGGCTTTGGTGCTGCTCGCAAACTACCAAGCTACGCCAAAGACCCACGCTTCTCCTCCCTGGTTTCACTTCATGCCAAAGACAGAGAGGTGAACCTGAGATCGATCCCTCTTTCCAGCGATCACTCTTTGTCGACTGTCCTTGACCAGAGTGATAGCAATCCCGATGCATTCCCCACAATTTTGAACGCCGTGCGAAACAAAGTTGCTGAATTGCAGCTTATACCGGTATCGGACATTTTGGACAACCAAACTATTGTAGACCTTGCCCTTGACAGCTTAACAGCTATGGAAGTTTACTCGTGGATCGGAAGGATATTCCGTGTCAAGTTCAAGGTACAAGAGTACGCCAAACTCGACACACTGGAGAAGATCGTGGAGAGTGTCATATCAAAAACGGAGGCTATGAACGCTTCTACTTGATTCACATTTTTCTTTATTTATTCACAAGACGTCATGGTTCTGTCTATCCAAAACCCCTAAACTCATGTATATTGCGCAACAGCTCGAATTATATTGGCCCCATGCGCAGGTGGTTCCAAGATTGTAAATCGGACAGGCCCACCCATCCACAACTAACCAAATCTACCTGAGGAACAGCTCCCAGGAGCTGATCCTCCCCCAGGTGCCAGGAGGTGGAATTACCCCAACGCATTTTCTCCAATTTTCTTCCTCTTTTATTGTATGTAAACACCATGGCTGCACCACAGTTGATCAATGTCGGTGTATGCATTATCTTACAATGAACGGCCTTGAAGGGAAGGTCGCAATTGTCACCGGTGCGTCGCGCGGTATTGGGGCAGCGATCGCGCTCGATCTCGCTAAGCAGGGCGCTAAGGCACGCCGACCCCTACCTTCTGAAAGCACCCGGCTAACAGTCAATGCAGATAGCAATCACATTTGTATCGACTTCAAGTGAGCCAGCTGCCGAGGATGTTCTGTCTCAGATCAATAATTTCAGTAATGGGGCACGCGCAATCAAGATCCAAGTGGACATTGCGCATGTCGACGCGCCGCGCATCATTATTGAACAAACACTAGCGGCATTCGGCCCAAATATTGACATTCTCATCAACAATGCCGGCAAAAGCGTCAGAAAGCCATTCCTTGAGACCACCATGGATGACTTTGATCAAAGTATCAACGTTAACTTGCGAGGTCCCTTTTTCCTCTCGCAGGCCGTTGTTCCCCATCTTCGTCGCCCGGGTCGCATCATTAATATCAGCTCCATCGTATCACGCAGCGGAGGCCCCCTTTACGGAGTTTACACCGCATCCAAGGCTGGATTGGAGGCATTTACGCGATCTTTGGCTGCAGCTGTTGGCCCTTTCGGCCACAGCGTAAATTCTGTTCTGCCGGGTCTGACAGATACAGACATGCTGAAGAGTCTTACGGAAGATGACGAGTCAGCCAAATTCCATCGTGATGTTGCATCGATGACACCTATGGAAGGTCGAGTTGCTTCCGCGGAAGAGATCGCAAGTGTCGTTTCACTTCTTGTTAGCCCGCAAAGCCAGTGGATCACAGGGCAATCTATCAGCGCCACTGGTGGTCTGCTCATGTTATGATTTCTTCCGCAGGCCAAATGACCTCTGTCAAAGAATACAAGAGAAAACATGTTGGAATAACATCTATCAGCACTTGGTCAATCACCCATTTCATGATATTGATTAACTATTCTTGCCAGCCATTTCGAGAATCTTCGCGCAAATCATTTCTACATCTGAAGCTTGGATAGGTATTCGGTGATCACCGTCCCACTGCACCAAGCTCTTTGTTTTGGGGGAACAATATGTATCATAAAGCTTCTTCTGCGAAGCAGCCCATTCGTCATGAATGCCTACCACGTGTAGTGTTGGCCTCTCGATTGACAACTCGCCAATAGGACTTATCCTTTCTAAATCCTCAAGTGAGATTCCCAGTTCCGTTGGATTTTGCAAGGGTAAGTCTCCAATCTCGGGCGAAAGTGCCACCAGCGGCGCAGGAGCTGCAAACAACACTGCAAACTTCCAATCCTGACTCCAAAGAGTGGAAACAGAATCCCCCTCGTATCCTGTGAGAACCTCTCCTCTTTCTTGGGCTGCCTGGCGTCTTTGTGATTCAAACAAGATAGAGGCACTCAACCTTGCCCCTTGGCTGAAACCCAACAGGCCAACCCACGGTCCACAGCCGCCAGCTTCATCGTCTTGGACCATCGCATCTTCAAGACACCTTCGAATAGCTTCTACGTGAAACTTCGGCTTCAGTACCCGGTGTGATTCAGTCCAACGCAGCCATCTTCGGTAGGGATCGGCATCCGCGTATGTAGGGAGTACTCCTGGCCCAGCTTCGGAGAAGAAAGGTCCATTCGCAAAGACGAAGCGAAATGAGCTGCGCAGCTTCTCACGAAGTGATCTTGTCTGAAGGAGCAATATATCCGCATTTGAGCCAACACCTACCGGGACAAAGAGGTAAGCATACGTATTGCAAGGTTCGTGGGTTTGGTGCTAGAAGAGAGATGAGGAAGCCTACCATGAAGACAAAGAATGCGAGGAAGATGACTTGTGTCATCCATGGCTCGAACCTTGGAGAATTTCCCAATCTCGCTGTACTTGTAAGGTCGTAGAAAGACAAATAGAGCTTCTCAGTTGTGTGAATTGCCCAGGTGTCGGTGCAAAAATATGTAGTCATGGCTCCGGGGGTGGATCACAGCCCACGGGTGCGAGCCCCCCACCTTAGAAGACAGTGAGTGAGTGTCATGCACGTATATTCTCAGTTCTGTTGCAACACCAGTGACATCCAATCTTCCAAGGTTGTTTGGCGGTGTTGGTCCTATTTGTCGGGTTCCTTCCAGGTCTAGATAGCGCAGATGGCGAGAGCTTTCTTCTCTCCCTCTTCTTCCTTCTCCTCTCAGACAACAATACATTATCATACATGTCTGTTTGCGGTGCTCTCTCATCGATAAATCTTGGAAGTATATTAAAATGTGTAGAACCGAGTATCAGCCCAAGAGCTATTCGCTCGATTTCCAGGATTCATTTCCATCCTCGTGTCCAAATATCCTAACTCCTGGGGCTGGGTGCGAAAGCATGAGAGTAATTACTTCACGGGGCTTCCAGAACTTTCAGCCTATGTTTTGGGCGCGTTAAACAAATCAGAAAATCAGAAAAATATCAAAAGACGCGACTCGGGAGCCGTGCCGTATAAAAATCACCAGAACGGAACCACGACAAATGTACATGAGCGGATAAGTCTTCCATCGGTTCGCTTAATTATGACCTAGAATTATACCGAAGTTAGCCCCCAGCTCGAAGATATTAGCAACAACCTTGGAAGCATACGGAGTAATAAAAAAATGATTGTTCAGGATGGATATTGCCAAGGTGTGGAAAGACACGAAATCCGAGCCGGAATATGCTAGTGCTCCCGTGCCACATATTCAGGGGTGATGTGCGAAAAAAAAGTAAATAAATGACGATCATGCTCGACCCCCTTACTTATCATTCGGTCATACATACAAGTACTCCGTACCTCATGAGGAACCAAGCGGCTGGGAGATAATATGGAGTTCAAAAAGCAATACCATCGAAATAAGCAAACACAAAAGCCCTGGAGTCACATAACAACATTGTTGGAAGGATGTTCCAGGTTTAATTTTAATACTCACACCTAATCTCCCATTTCGATCTGCTTTTTTGATGGGTTGTGGCAGTTATGGCTTCTTATTTCGTGATATCATTCATTATATCAGTCGTGACTGCGTGTTCATCTTGCGAACAGGAGACAACGGTGTACCCCAGACTCACACGTCGAATGCAGCCTGAGGCTCAAGATGCATTTACGCAGCCAAAAAGACCTTTGAATTGGGGAGAGATAAATTTCATCCACACGACTGACAGTCACGGATGGTTGGAAGGGCATATCAAAGAACGCAATTACGGTGCCGATTGGGGTGATTTCGTGTCTTTCACAAAACACATGAAAGACCAAGCCGCGAACAAGAATGTGGATCTCCTTCTCATCGATACAGGTTCGTCTATTCTATGCTGTGGGTCTTTGGCAATATTGACACTGTATTCGACTGCAGGTGATTTGCATGATGGAAATGGGCTCAGCGATGCGACCGACCCGAACGGCAAGATCACAAATCCTATTTTCGAAAATATCGACTACGATCTTCTCACCCCAGGGAACCACGAGCTAGGTGCCATTAATGTTGCATACAATACATTCACTGAGTTTGTCGGTGTATATGGCAACAAGTACCTGACAAGCAACATTGATATCTGCAAGAACTGTCAAGATGGTGAACCTGATGAAAAAGAATGGGTTTCGATGGGAAGCAGGTCTCGATATTTCGAGACGGAAAATGGCATCCGAATCATGGCATTTGGTGTAATACTGGATGGGACTAACAACAACAAGGACATGACGAGAATTCAGCGAGCCACAGAAATGATACAAGAAGACTGGTTCAAGGACGCAGTCGCTCGTCAGGATATTGACTTGTTTGTACTCATTGGACATAACCCGGTGAGAGCCGGAGACCCCAGGAGTGTCAGTTCCTTTCCATTCATCATGCAGACGCTCCGGGAAATGCGACCTGATGTTCCCGTTCAGGGCTTTGGGGGTCATACACATACTCGCGATTTTCGCGTTTATGACTCCATGTCTTCGGCCATAGAATCTGGCAAATATTGCGAGACGGTGGGATGGATATCTTTGAGTGGCATCAAATCTCGACAAACTCAAAGGAGTGATATCCCCGAGAAAAAGCGTGCCCGGGAGAACGAGAGCACACAGGCCGATGCGCAATGCAGCAAGACCAATGATTTTGATATGCAATTGACCCGGCGGTATCTGGACTGGAACAGACTTACCTTTGCGTACCATGCAACTGGATCACAAGATATAGATACATCTGAAGGGCTTGACATCTCAAAAGGCATTGCAGAAAATCGCAAATTTCTGAATTTGACACATGTCTACGGCTGTGCGCCACAAACTTACTGTCAGACTTGCAAGCCAATTGATGACCCCGGCAATGTATATGCACTTGTTCAAACGGCCGCTGCTGCCATTTGGGTGAACCCAGATCGCTCCACCAACCCGCGAATGATCATCATTAACACGGGACTGTTTCGCTACGACGTGGTCCAAGGTCCCCTTACCGTTGATGATTCATATACCGTCTGTCCGTACCATAATACCGTCAGATTTGTTCCCGATGTCCCATATTCACTGGCAAAGACACTTCTCGAGACCCTAAACACGCCAAAATCCACCAAGCGCTCTACGTCTGTAGATACCTGGTCGAGTGGGTTGCTGGGGTACGATGAGTGCGGAAATCCTTCATATCATAATGAGACCGAGCTTTCCAGGCCAAAAACTCTCTTCCGTCGTATGATTGGAGGCGAAACTCCAAGTTCAGGATACACAACATGCGATGACCTTGGGGGTGATGGCGACGACACACCTCATTCTCAAATTCCAGAGTACTCCGTGCCAGTCGAAATCCAAGTCACCGCCGGATTTCCATCGGACGGCGTTCCAGAAACTGTGGATGTGATCTTCCCTGATTTTCTCCAACCCGAGATTGTTGATGCATTGAATTCTAAGAATCTCTCTACAAGTCAATCATTGAACTACACGGCCAACGATACCCGACTTTATCTTCCGATGAACTTCACAAGTTTCGATCTAATTCCTACCTATGCCTCTATGGTGTGGCAGGATAACACCGACAACTGTTCAACCCCCGGATAGGTCTTTGACCTGACGATCAATGGTCACGTCGGGCAATATAGGCTGCGTTCGCGCGATCAATAAAGAAATAGAACGGGCCTTAATCAACCTCAGTCTTGGCTGAGCAATTCAACTGATAGAACCACCACGCCTCTCAGTATATCCTTGATAAATCATCATAGAGGCAAGCGATCTTTCCTGGTTACGACCTGAGGTCTTGGCCAGTGATGAAACACTGTGATGCTCAGCTCAGGCTGAATGCAAGGTTTTTGCGATGCTATAGGATCATGTTTGCCCTCAGAATGTGATATTGTACCCATTTCATCATCGTGGCTTGATTTGTTACGACGTGAGGCCTTGGCCAGTAATGCAACCGTGAGAATTATTTTGAAGACTTTGGAAAGTTATTTACTTAAGTTAGGGGCTGCAAACCTGAGCAGTGAGTGAGTCATTCGGAGTGAAGCTGTCACCATTCCGTAATTAAACCGAAAACTCACGCCGCAGGGTCTTTAGAAGATTGAGGCATTCCAGACTCTTTGGCCTGGGCAGGTGGTCAAATCTTTTAGGCTACCATCGTTCACTTAGACCACACATTTATGAGCAAGAACCGATTTTTTTAATGCCACTGGCAAACCAGTGGATTGCTCAAGTGGGAGACGAGAGCAGGAGGGGGAAGAAGCCCTCAGTCTAGTTGAGACTATCTAGCTGCGCTGGAGCCTGAAAACTCAAGACAGCCACATATGGGAACTGAGCAAAGGAAGTGTAATCCCTCAGTAGTGTTCCGGGTATCTTATTTTTGCTGGCCAAAATCCAGGAAATACAGTATGCCTCAGGCCGGAATGGCACTTGAAATACCCAAAACGGCTCTGGCCGCTACCCGTGGACAGACCTACATATGATGAAGCAATTGGAGCATCTCGGCAGTTTTCAGGAAATGTCATGCGGGGTAAAAGAGTAAGCAAGGAGGAAGGAATTGGTTGTCCAGCTAGCAAAAATCCCCAAAGAGGAGAAAGGGAACGAGGAGAGAGAACCTTCCGAGGTTCCAAGGTCCAAGGTTGTGAGAAGATGTGGGGACGTGGGGACATGGATTTGTGGGGATGTGAGAGGAGAGACAATGTGGGGTCTCTGCCTCAGGCACAAATTACACCTGATCTGTCAGGCATCTAGCCAACCCCGTCATCGACTGCACGAAACAAATAGAGCAAGACATGGATTCCAAGGTTGCAGGCGTATCATCTTTCTCAGCGAACGCAAGCACCCTAAGTCGGTTTATAAAACTCTTCGTCCTAGAGATCCATGGACATTTCTGCGTTGAAGCAAATATCAGCAGGAAATTACATGGGGGACAATGTGCTCTTGAGAGCTGGTGTTTTGAGCACTTGGGTGGAATATTATCATCTCAACATTTCGTACTTTTCATAATCCAAAATAGGGTCCTGTTCTTAGAGATGATGTTGCTTATATCTTCAATTTAACGATAACAAGGGGAGGTAAAGAAGAGTCGCAGTTGTGACTATTGAAGTCAAAAGCTTCCCTTCCTCATTTCGCCAAGATCACACGAGGAATGAACCGGAGCGCAGCGCAATTTCGTTCATTTCCCATGTTTGCGAGATCCGGGTAACTCTGAATCTACATATCCATCGCACGGTGAAACAAAAGAAAGCTGTTACAACCATATAGATCAACACTAGATGGAACATTCCTGCTCAGATTCTCGCGACGGAGATTTAGCCAGTATGCCGCCAGAATTCACTCACAAAGACGCTACTACACCGATAGCGGTGGTTGGGTTGAGCTTTCGAGGTCCGGGAGATGCCACAGACTCAGAAGGTCTGTTGCGAATGGTGGCAGAAGGCCGCGAGAGTCGGTCTCCAGTCCCAAAGCAGAAATGGCACCACGACGCATTCTATCATCCCGATGCAAGCCGGCATGGTACTGTGAGTAACTAAAATTCTTGAACTTGAACAAGTGCGAGTTCTGATTCATCGAAGCACAATGTCGAGTATGGCCATTGGTTTCAGCAAGATGTCTATGAGTTTGATGCGCCGTTCTTCAACATATCGGCATCAGAAGCAATTGCTCTGGACCCCCAACAGCGCATGCTATTAGAATGCTCGTACGAAGCTTTCGAAAATTCAGGCACGCCGATTTCGATGGTGCTGGGGACAGATACCTCCGTCTTCGCGGCTTGCTTTGCGACGGACTATACAGATATGCTCTGGAGAGACCCTGAGACTGTACCTGCATACCAGTGCACAAACTCCGGATTTTCTCGGTCCAACATGGCAAATCGAATATCATTCTCATTTGATCTTAAAGGACCAAGTGTCACAGTCGACACTGCGTGCTCTGGTGGCTTGACCGCTCTCCATCTTGCGTGCCAGAGTTTGATATCCGGGGACTCCAGACAGGCCTTGGCGGCTGGATCTAGTTTAATACTAGGTCCTGAATCCATGTTCACGATGAGCATGATGAAGTGAGCGAACAACCGATCCCCTTTCTCGAAGTTAGCTCGTACTAATTGATGTCGTAAGTTTTTTGTCGCCTGATGGAAAATGTTATGCTTTCGACGAACGGGCAAACGGCTATGCACGAGGAGAAGGCGTTGCTGTTTTGCTTCTAAAGCGACTCGATGACGCTCTTGCCGATGGTGACACTGTTCGAGCAATCATTCGGGGCACAGGTTGCAACCAGGATGGAAAGACGCCAGGTATTACGATGCCCAACGGAGTGTCTCAAGAAGACTTGATAAGATCAGTATATACTAAAACTGGCCTTGATCCACTGGAGACATCATTTGTGGAATGCCACGGAACAGGAACCCAGGCTGGCGACACGACCGAAACGGGGGCTTTGAAAGCAGTCTTTGGTTCCGGTCGTCAGCTGAGAAATCCGCTAATGATAGGGTCCGTGAAAACCAATATCGGCCATCTCGAGGGAGCAAGTGGCCTTGCCGGAGTGATCAAGACCATTCTGATGTTGGAAAACGGCATCGTTCTCCCACACCGAAACTTCGTAACGGCCAATTCACGAATTCCATTGAAAGAGTGGGCACTTCGCGTAAGTAAATTAAGCCTCAAGAACGTAGATACATGATGCTTATGCATGGGATCTAGGTTCCGGTGACAGTCGAAGCTTGGAGCTGCTCATCGGCTCGTCGTGCGTCCGTGAATAGCTTTGGGTACGGCGGAACAAATGTTCATGCAATCATTGAGAGCGCCGAGGACTATCTGCAAGCTCGTGGCTATAAGGCGAATGCTTTCACCAGAAGCTCTGCACTTGCTATTGGAGCAATACAAAACGCCCTCAGTCAGGTGCATACAAATGGACACTCAGCCACCACCACCACCAAAAGCCCGAATGGCCTGTCGAATGGGCATTTGAATGGTTTTGGCAACTCTAGATCTGTCGTCAACGATTCAAATCATCATGAAACCAGCGCTCAAGATCAGCAAGGGAACGGTGACCACATATGGAAGATCAATGGGCACACAGAGCGGGTGAATGGTCAGATCAAGGCCAAGAAACAGCTCTTTGCGCTTTCTGCTTTTGATCCAAGGGCTGGAAAAATGTGGGCTGACAAGCTGGCCGACTATATTCAAGACAGACAGGAGGTAAACGAGGCAGATTTACTGGATGGTCTTGCATTTACTTTGAGCGACAGAAGAACGATCCACTCATGGAAGGCTGCCATAGTTGCGGACTCCCGGAAAAGTCTAATCTCACAATTGAGGGACTGCCAGTTTGTCAATTTTCCACCGAAAAAGAATCTCGGCTTTGTCTTCACAGGTCAGGGAGCGCAGTGGTGTGGAATGGGGAAGGAGCTCATTGATGCCTTTCCGCGGTTCCGGCAGAGCCTTGAGGACTGTGAAGCCGCATTGTTGCGCTTTGGAGCTTCTTTCAATGTGCTGGGTAAGTTTCCCGAAGTCACCACACGCGAATACTAACCCGTCGGTTTCCAGGTGAACTCCAAGCAGATTTCGAAGAGTCCCAGGTCAATAAAGCACAGTATAGCCAGCCTTTATGCACAGCACTGCAAATTGCGTTAGTGAACCTGCTTGATTCTTGGAACATTCATCCTGTTTCTGTTACTGGTCACTCAAGTGGAGAAATTGCGGCGGCATACTGCGCCGGTGCAATCAGCCTGGAAGATGCTATGCTTATCGCATATGAGAGGGGGTGTGCAACCGTTGAGCTCGCCGATAAAGGAGTCGAAGGGGCCATGGCCGCGGTCAGCATGACGCGAGAGGAGTTGAGCCCCATCCTTTCGAACTTGCGCAATGGAAAAGCCGTGATAGCCTGCTCAAACAGTCCGTCAAGTTTCACGGTTTCTGGAGACAGGAGTGCTGTAGACGAGCTACAGCAAATACTTCGAGCTCAGGGAGTCTATAATAGGAGACTTGTGGTTGGAGTGGCATATCATTCGCACCACATGAACCTTGTCGCAGACAGCTACAGGGCCGCCATCTCCAATATCGAAGCAAAAGAGCAATGTGGCGCCAGATTCTTCTCCTCTGTCACAGGCAAGCAAGTGAGAACGTCGAACTTAGGAGTCGATTACTGGGTCAACAATCTTGTCAACGAAGTGAGGTTCTCACAATCTGTGCGTCAACTGGCAAATCACGATGACCTCGACGGCGCGTCGCGAGTGCAAACTTTGGTTGAGATCGGTCCTCATGGAGCACTCGCAGGACCGATCAGACAAATTCTTCAAGCTGACGAGAGTTTGGTAAAATCATCGATAGAAACACTTTCCGTTCTCACTCGAAAGAAGGATGCTGTTGTGACAGCATTGGGGATGGCATCAAGCCTGTTTGTATCTGGACATGCGATTCGATTGTCAGCGGTGAACAGAAACTGGAACTCGGTAATTCCACCACTCATCGATCTACCTCCTTATGCCTGGAACCACACCAAGTCATACACTGCTGAATCGCGAATCAGCAAGGCACACCTGCGGCGCGAGAACCCCAGAACTGATATTCTTGGAGTGTTCGATGTCCACTCCAGCCCACTCGAGCCGCGATGGCGACAGATCCTTCGTCTATCGGAGTTGCCATGGCTTAGAGATCATAGTATCCAATCTGCTATCGTTTATCCAGCCGCGGGCTACATCACTATGGCCATCGAGGCTGCTAGACAACGAAAATCCTGGGTGGCGCCAGGGGCCCGTGTCTTTGGCTATCAATTCCGCGATGTCGCAGTCAGCTCCGCACTGTTGATTCCTGAAACTCCGGGTGAGGTTGAGATCGTCATCACACTAAAGGCGTTTTCCGAAAGTGTCCGATCATCTTCAAACTTATGGGATGAGTTTTCCGTCTCATCTGTTTCAGCTGAAAACAGATGGACCGAGCACTGTCGTGGATTGATTGCTGTATCAGCTGTGTCCAATGCGACAAATCCAGTCAATGGATTGGCCAATGGGGAATCTGTCATGGCCACTACTGAAGGCATGGTAGCGGATTTCAACGCTGTCTGCACAAACCCTGTAGATACTGCAGACCTGTATAGGCACCTCTCACAGGTCGGAATGCAATACGGCCCGACATTCGCAAACATCCATGGAATCCGTTGTGCGTCAGGTCGATGCATGAGCCAAATCCAGATCCCAGATACGAGAGCAGTGATGCCGATGCAGTTTGAGCATGCTTCAATTGTGCATCCGACTACTTTGGACAGCATCTTCCAGACATATCTTCCGGCACTCGCAGAGCAAATGGGTCAATTGAACAGTCCAGTGGTCCCGGTTGGGATAGAAGATATGTTCATCGCCCAGGATATCTGCAGCAAAGGAGGCGAGGTGCTCGCTGCATACACCTCGACCACTCGCAAGGATAATCGATTCTTCTCGGCGGAGATTGATATCTTCGATGGTGCCTATGTCACTGGCAAGCGTCCTGTGATTCAGGTGAAGGAAATGACAATGGCAGCTCTCGATCGGAATTATAGGGAGGAAAACAGCGGTTTTTCTCTTTCCCGTGCCTTCAATATGAAATGGGCACCCGATGTGGATTTATTGAGCGAGTCGCAGATCCAAACCCTTGTTCGCCAGCGAATGTACGCGAGAGCAACCAACAATCTGGGCGTGGAGAATGATGACACAAGTGACGAGTTGTCGAAAGCCTTTCAATTCGCCGCGGAGTATATTCACCTCCTAGCTCACAAAAGCCCTGGTCAAAGGGTTCTGGCTATGGGATGTTGCACCGGGTCGGGGGCAACAGCTGTTCTTTCTATGCTCTTTGCACTCTGTGATGGTGTTGCACCGTTTGCTTTATTCCACTGCACTGATACTGATCCCACTATACGTCAAGACTGGGAGACAAGATTGCCCAGCTGGTCCAGCTCCCTTTCCCAAAAGGAGATCACAGCAGGTGCCGGCGACTCTCAGGGCGGAATAATAGGTTCTGAAGACATGTATGATCTTGTGGTGGTTTTCAACCTCTCTAAATCGGATCAAGATTCTTCAGACGCCCTGTCCTCATCTTCACTACTGCTAGCACCCGAAGGAAGATTGCTGCTAGTAGATCAAAGTATGGAGTCATATTTCGCGAGGTTGGCCATCAGTCGAAATCGACCATTCGAGACAGAAAGCCCACTGACAAACGGGAATCATACTGAAGCCAAAGGGTTCAAGGGCTACCAAAAATGGTCGGAGGGCGTAGTCGCTTTCCACTCGACTCAAGGACCAACGAAGAAGGACCCAATATCGGAACTACTCATCGTGGTCGCAGACGGAATGCCACCCCAAGCCGACTTGCCTCACTTGCAGAGTTTGTTGCAAAAGCTGAACGTCACAGCGGATGTGGTGCTGCTCGAAAACGCAGACCCCACACCAACACAGGCGTGCATCATGCTCACCGAGCTTTCCAAGCCTGTGTTAACAGCGCCCACAGAGGCCGAGTGGAGCGCACTTAAGAGGATTGCTCATGGGGGCGCTGGCGCTTTGTGGGTTACTCGTGGCTCTGGAGGGGACATCTGTGCAAACCCGGAAGCTTCGCTCACGCATGGATTCACGCGCACCATCCGCTCAGAAACAGGAGACCGCCCGATCGTGACTTTGGATCTGGACGGTACTCATCCGCTCGCAGCTCAGGACACCGCAGAATGTATAGCGAATGTCTTCCAGCGCATACTCGTGAGCGGCGGGGGAGTTATGGAACATGAGCTTATTGAGCGGGGCGGTATTCTGCTCGTGCCTCGGCTAGTCCAGGACATCGAAGCTAGCGAAAAGATACAGGAAGAAAGTGGGCAGATTGCTCAGGTAAAACCATCACTGCGACCCCTTGGTGAAGTGGGTGCTTCGCGCCTTCTAGTGGAAACACCCGGACTGCTGGACAGCCTGCACTTCGCGCCTGATGAGCGGACCAATAGTATGTTGGCACAACAGCAAGTGGAAGTGGATGTGAAAGCAGCAGGCATCAACTTCAAGGATGTCATGATGGCCATGGGCCAGATACCAGTTGAGGACCTAGGTTGCGAGTGCAGTGGCGTGGTTTCCGCCATAGGAGAAGAGATCGCGAGTGACCTGCACGGCCTCCGAGTTGGGGACCGAGTAATGTGTTTGAGTTCAGGCTCTTTCTGTACCAAGCTGCGACTCGACGCAAAGCTGGCCGAGAGAATTCCGGACACAATGTCTTTCGAAACCGCAGCTGCCATTCCCATAACTCACGTCACCGCGTACCACTCTCTGCACAACATCGCGCGCCTACGCAAGGGCGAGACAATTTTGATACACGCTGCCACGGGTGGCTTGGGCCAAGCTTTGGTCGAAATGAGCGAACTGATTGGAGCTGAAGTATTTGTGACTGTGGGTAGCGCAGAGAAGAAGGCTTTGGTTATGGACCGGTTTGGGGTTGCGGAAGAGCGCATCTTGTACAGTCGAGACATGAGCTTTACGCATGACGTGATGTGTTCGACAGGTGGCCGCGGCGTTGATGTGATCGTCAATTCCCTAGCGGGAGAGGCACTGCGGAACTCGTGGACATGTATTGCGCCAAACGGACGGTTTGTCGAGCTCGGCCAGCGAGACATTACTCTCAACACGCGGTTGGAAATGGCGCCATTCGCACGTAACGCTTCGTTCACCGCATTCAACCTGGCTTTCACCATGCGCAATGATCCCCAAGCGGCACGGGACGTCCTCATGAAGGTTTTGGACCTCTTCGCGAGCGGAGCCTTGCGCGGCCCTGATCCGCTTGAGACATATGCTTTCTCTGAGCTCCAGCAGGCGTTCCGTAAAATGCAAACTGGCCGCCACATGGGTAAGCTCGTGGCAGTCGCAAAGCCGGATGACCTCGTCAAGCATATAGCAACCACCACCGAAGGCCCACTATTCCGTTCTGACGCGTCATACCTGTTAATTGGCGGTCTCGGGGGTATTGGGCGAGCAACGGCAGTATGGATGGCGTCGCGTGGAGCCAAGCACATCATTTGCCTCAATCGATCAGGCCTCAGTAATCACCAAGCCCAAGAAACAGTAAGGGCAGTCGAGGCTGCGGGGTGCACGGCCACCGTTTTCGCCTGCGATGTTGCTGATCCCGCTCAACTTGCTTCTACCCTAGAGGTGGCGCGCCATCAACTGCCGCCCATTCGCGGTGTCATCCAAGGTGCCATGGTCTTGCGTGATTCCATGTTGGCCAATATGACGCTGGAGGATTACCTGGCTGTCCTGCGTCCCAAATTCCACGGCACACGGAACCTGCACGACCAGCTATCAACGAACTTGGATTTCTTCATCATGGAATCGTCGGTCAGCGGAATAGTAGGCAACACAGCGCAAGCTGCTTATGCAGCAGCGAACACCTTCCTTGACGCATTCGCACGGTATAGGAGATCCAACGGGCTGCCCGCAACAACAATCGACATCGGCGCTGTGTCCGGGGTGGGATATTTGGCGCAGAACGAAGAGCTGAAATTGGCCATGCAGCGGCAAGGGTTCGACTTCACAGATGAAGCAGGGTTGATGCGACTTCTCGAGTTCTCTATCAGGAACTCCGCTCGCGATGTCGATCGCGCTCATATAATCACCGGCTTGGGGGCTTGGAACCCGGAGACTTCCCTGCCAGCGCTGGACGCGCCATTGTTCTCCCATTTCCGCATGAAGACTGCGACCTCTGCGGAGGTGGGAAAAGCTGAAGCGAGCCTCCACCAGGCTCTTAAACAATCAAAAGATGTCAATTCTGCGATTGATTTGATTGTTGTCGCATTGGTCAATCAAATTGTGTCCCACACTGGTGTTCCTGTTGAGAACGTCAGCACGTCGAAGAGCTTGCAGGACTATGGCATCGACTCACTGGCTGCTGTGGAGTTGAAGAACTGGATCTCGAAAGAGATGGAGAGTGTTATTCCAATCTTTGAGTTGATGGCTGCTGAATCGCTTTCGGACTTGGCAGCCAAGATCGCGGGGAGAAGCAGATTGGTAGTGAGCTCAAACGGCGCGTGAAATACGCGAATGATACACGTCATTTTAGAGAATATAGAGCGGGCTAGATGCAATATTTCTCGTTTCATTATGCAACACATTGAGCAACATATTGCGGAGTGCACGGCAGAGTACGGGAAACTTCGCAAAGAGCAATGCGCAGACGCGTCGACAAGCGGACGGGTAGATACCGCGTTCCGAACGCGGCAATCGCAATAATCTCGGCCCATGCGGTAGGTTCGGCAGGCGCGGAGGGTCAGTCGGTGGTACGTGATAAAATGAGGTTTCATAAGTATTCGACCTTTGGTACGGGGTCAGACTTCAGACAAATCTTTTGATACTCCTGGAAAGATATTGGGAAAGATATTAAGAGAAACACCAAAAAAAAAAAAAAAAAAAACACCAAAACAGCTTTGTTACAGCCTTCGAAATCTATTGCTCGCCTACAATTTTCATACGAAATGGAACAAATGTGGAGTATGGATTCATGTCATTCAAAAGGTTCGAGGAAGGATATCAAAGTAAAGCAAATAGGGTATGTGTAGCGAGACTTGGTCGCTAGTCGTGATAATATAAACATGTAATCCGGGCATCAAACGCAAAGAGCCTGCTCTCTGAGGTCATAAGAAGGATTTCAATATTGATGGGTGTTGGCACGATTGAAAGAGTGGCCTGGTGGGGCGCGGTGCATGGCCGACGGCGATACGGTATTCGCACGATTGTAGCTCTCCGCGGGTGGCGGTCTTTGAGAACGAGATTGAGTCCCTTGAGACGGCATCGGTGGGTTGAAAGCAGCATATCCACCCGTTTGCGGTGCAGGCGTCGCAGAGGTCATGGGCGTGAAGCTCCTTTGGGGCTGCTGGACCGCAGCTGGTGGAGGAGTGGGCCGGTAGCTCGCAGGGGTATATGAGCGATAAGGGGCAGGTGTAGCACCTGCGCTAGCCGGCGTGTAAGATCGCGCCGAGTAGGGATCGTGTTGGTAGTAATCCGGCTGGGGGTTGGAGTGAGGCGCAGCCCTTGAAGCGTATGGGTCATAATGCGCTGGCTCGTGAGCCCGATCGGAGTAATCGTACTCGTCAGAGCCCGGTCTGTCAGACGAGCCATACCCAGGGGCCGGTGTGTAGCTCTGGTACGGCTGTGAGTCTGAGCTGCCTTCAGTCAAGCTCCGATACCCAGCGCCTGCGCCGTGGTGATTCGGTCCGTTGCCATGTGGCGCAGGAGTCGCTCGGGAGTGCGGTGTTGCCATTCGGTGGGGAACATTCGCCGGCAAAGGAGGAACCGGTGGCAGAGTCGGGTGCTGGCTGTCAATCGGGCTGTAGCCCATCCCGGCCGCGTTCCCAGTCAGAGAAGCTGACTCGGACATGGCCGAAGAAGACGTCGCAGTTCGAGCCAAGGGAGGCTTGCTATCGAAGTCCAAATTCGGTAGCGTTGGATTGTTTCCTCGTGCGGCGGATGAGTTTGAGCGTGAGTAAGTAGGGAGTGTTGTTTGGGTGGTGCTTCGCGATATGGTTGTCACTGCGGGTTCTTTATCACTGGAGAAAGTCGGCAGTGTCGGCTTTGTATCGAAGGCTGCCAGGCTGGGTTGAGTGGGCGCTCGGTTCTGCAACTTCAGCCCCTTCGCCAATGCTTTGTTATTCTTGCGGTGCACAATGCGCTTCAAGCGCTGGCCCACCTTGCGACGACAGTACCTCGATAGAGTACCATCCTCAGCTGGAATATGGTGGAATAGGAAGATCAAGTAGAGGACGATTGCGGAGATCAACTTGAGGACTGACAAGACCCAGATGATCAGAGTGAAGAGCATACCAAACAACACCACGGCTTGGAGGTTGTTGTCCTCGGCAAGGATTTTCACATTGTTGAAGAACTGGCTGAACGAAGAAGAGCCATCATCGTGAGCCGCATTTTTTCCACCGGGGATCAAATCCATCTGCATCACCGAGTAAAGGGTGATTGCGTTAATCACCTGACGGGGACCATCTGCAAAGATTGTGTTCATCCAAACTAAGATGTTATTAGCCGCGCCCTATTATCCAAGCGTGCGATCGTGTACTCACATTGGAAAGAAAAGTGGGCGTACAAAGCAACATATTCAGCAGCCTTGCGGTCCTTTGTCAATTCGGCAAAAAGCAGGAACCTCCGGTAACCGCGACCCTGCTTGCCGAAACGAATACTTTGAATGCGCACAGCGAGAGGGTCCAGAAAGCTGCGTGTAATACTACCCGAGCGAATGGCACGGATTGCATGGAACCACCGGTATGCGAGAATAACGAAGGATGCGATGATACAAGCGGCGAAAATCCACCGGGAGATGTTGAAGGGAATGGCCGGTTCAACTCTACCGGACCAACGAGAGAACGCCAAAAGGTTGACAGCAGTGAATGTGTCGACACCGTAGACTGCGAGGGAGACAATAAGAAAGACCCAAAGGAAGAAGTATGAGAAGGGAGTCCAGCAAGACTCGGACTTGAAGTCATCTAGGTTCTAAGCGGTGTTAATGACGGTCTCGCCCTTCGTGAAGATTGCGCGCAATTGCGCAAACATACCACGTAGTCCCATTTCTCTTCCATGGCCACATCGCCCTTCTCCCGATCTCCAGAGCACAGCATGGTGTCGGGTGAGCTGGTCCTGCCAGATGCGATTGTAGGGTATCGAGCGAGTTTGCGATCGCGTGCGGTTCAAATGTCGACTTCCGCGGGCCAGCCGGGCAAAGTCGTGATGTCAAGGTAGGAACAGGTGTATGGTTCCTTTAAGATAGGGTAAAACGAAGGTTGGCCGTAACGAGCGACGGCTGAAGGAGTAGAAGGAACGGTCTTAAGCGCGCGAATTACGCATAACTGGCGGAGGCCAGGGGAGGCTGACAGGTATCGAGGGCTGCAAGCCACATGTATGGACGGAGAATGGAGCGCTGGTGTTTCAGAGGCGCATTGGCATTCGTTGTTGCTTCGAGAATAGTCGCCGGCCAAGCAGAACGTGCCGATCTCGCCAAGCCAGGAGCGCGATCCACGGATTGTGGGGAAAGAATGTGAGGGAGTGTGGTTGGGTTCAATGAAATGAGTGGAAATGACTGGACTAGGCAAGGGATGCAGACCTGAGAGCCTTGCCAAAGACAAAGAGTGACAGGTTTGACAAGGGAAAGGGGAAAAAGAAGCTGAAACACGAGTTCATTGGGGGAGTGGAGACGCGGGACGCCCTTTGTACCTTTTTGATCCATTTTGGTTTTAGGGCTGAATTGAAGCTTAGCCTCTATTGTTGTGTTTCGATTCTTTTTATTGTCAATTGTCTATTCATACTGGTCACTTTAAGTCTATTCAATATACGGAGCATACTGCATGCTACATGATGATTTCTCTGTTGGAAGTGCCATCATATTCCCCCATCGCAATATGAACCGACATTCAAACTGAAGGGACCCCACAAATCCCGCGATTTAACTCGCAAGCACGCGCCCGGGGGGTTTCTGTGCTTTAAGCGCCTGTTATCCACCACCACATTTGAAGAGCTGTCACATTCCAACATTCCCACAAGCATGCCAGACTGACATAGCAAAGACCAATGCTAATCCCGATAATCTGGCGCTAAATTCTGTTGCACATTGCACAACCTGCAGCTTACGAGATGTACAGCGAGGACTTTGGGTAAAGGTGATTCTTCGAGTCCAATCTTCAGGACTCAATTCCCGCAGGGTTCGAACCCGTGTTTTTTTTTTTCTTCTCTCAATCGACACTGCTTTTCCTCTGACACCATATTCTGTTTCGAGCAATGGAGCCACCAAGATTCAACGGGGCGTTGCCACCACCAATCGGTTTCGTATGCTGATGGCTCTTGCAGTCAAGAGGCGCTCGCAAAGACGCCCCGTGGAGTTAGATATGGCATGTTTGGCGCATAACCGGCTCATATAGCCGTGTCTCGCGAAAGATGGCAATGTGGAGGTGAAACAGTCTCAAAGAATTGCTTCTGAGCTTGGACGGGCTTATCGACCGGGGACTTCTCATTGGTCGGTTATATGATGCTACTCCAACGCTGACGTCGTCGGTGCATTGCAACTCGGAGACTTCGACTTGAATTTATAATCGGGTCAAGTTTGCCATTCGACCGTTACCTGTATATAAGCCTGGAACGAAAGACTAGATTTCAGCTTCCACAATTGCCTCACTCTCACGCATTCTACAGACATACCGCATCTGCCCAGCATGCCGAACATCGAGAACAAGCCCGCCGCCGGCATCTCCTACTTTACCCCAGCCCAAGTTCCCCCCGCCGGATCCGCAGCGATCCCTCAATCCGACGGCACACAACCACCCAAGCTTTTCCAGCCCTTCACCGCACGAGGCCTCACATTCCACAACCGCATTGGCCTCTCGCCACTCTGCCAGTACAGCGCCCAAGATGGCCACATGACAGACTGGCACATGGCACACCTGGGAGGAATTGCGCAACGTGGACCCGGTCTTCTCATGGTCGAGGCCACTGCCGTGCAAGCCAATGGTCGTATCACCCCTGAGGACCACGGTCTCTGGAAAGATTCGCAGATCGAGCCCCTCCGCCGCGTCGTCGAGTTCGTCCACTCGCAGAGCCAGATCATCGGCATTCAGCTCGCTCATGCCGGTCGCAAGGCTAGCACAGTCGCGCCTTGGCTCAGCAAGGCCGATACTGCGGTCGCTGAGTTCGGTGGATGGCCTGATAATGTTAAGGGACCGAGCAACGTCCCCTTCCATGCCAACTTCCCCACACCCCAGGCATTGACGAAGGATGAGATTGAGACCTTCAAGAAGGACTGGGTGGCGGCGGTCAAGCGTGCTGTCAAGGCTGGCGTTGACTTTATCGAAATTCACAATGCCCACGGCTACCTACTCATGAGCTTCCTGTCGCCGGCCACGAATGACCGCACCGACGAGTACGGAGGCAGCTTCGAGAACCGCATTAGACTGTCATTGGAAATTGCCAAGCTGACACGCGAGAACGTGCCCGACAACATGCCCATTTTCCTGCGTGTCTCCGCGACCGACTGGTTGGAGGAATCATTGGCCGACCAGCCAAGCTGGCGACTCGAGGACACCGTCAAGTTTGCGCAGGCACTGGCGGATAGCGGTGACGTTGATCTCTTGGATATCAGCAGTGGTGGAAATCACGAGAAGCAACACATCCACGCGAAGTCTGCATTCCAAGCACCCTTTGCCGTTGCCGTCAAGAAGGCTGTGGGAGATAAGCTCAAGGTTGGATCAGTCGGCATGATCGGCTCCGCTGAAGTGGCCAACTCGTTGCTCGAGAAGGAGGGCTTGGACTTCGTTCTTGTCGGGCGTGGCTTCCAAAAGAACCCTGGGCTTGTGTGGACTTGGGCGGAAGATCTCGGCGTTGACATTTCCATGGCTAACCAGATTCGCTGGGGCTTCGCTACTCGCGGAACCGGTGGTGGCCCTTACCTGCACAATCGCCCTAACAAAATCTAGACAAATCTAGACACTCTATGACACATTTCTAGTCTAGATCTATACATGATACAAACGATGGAATTGAATTAATTTGGAATTGATCTGCTTCGAATCCTCTTTAGGTTTCCTTCGTGTCTGATCCTCTTAACTCCGTCCGTTTCGTCCGAAGAAATACGAGCGGCGGTCAAACGCCTTCTAGATGCGCCCTCACCCAAGCAAACCAAGGCGGATTCGGTTTAATACAAAGCCGTGCATCCCTGTGCTGCAATAAATACTTAATCTCATAAATCAATATTTCCATCCGTTGTGATACCAAGTCATCGAAAATGGTATCCTTGACAGACGTGCAACGCTCCAATGCAAACATCGCAAACGCTCTCCCGTCTGGCCTAGTCGCCGTCTTCGTAGGCGCAACCAGCGGCATCGGTGAAGCTTCATTGATTGAATTCGCCCGGTCCGCACGGTCTCCACGTGCATACTTCATCGGACGCTCTCAAGAAGCTGCAGCGCGCATCACAGCAGAATGTCGACAGTTGAATCCCGAAGGAGAATTCATCTTCATCAAGGCGGATGTCAGTCTCATTCGAAATGTTGATGACGTTTGTCGAGAACTTAAGAACAAAGAGAAAGCGATCGATTTGCTGTTCTTATCATGTGGAACTCTTCGTCCGGGAGAAGGTATGTCACTCGCTCCCCGGGGCCGTGGTTGCCAACCTCAGAGCAGCATCACCGAGACATACATACTAATGAGATGATCACAGATACATCGGAGGGCATCTACCTCATGACCGCGACCATGTACTATGCTCGCGTCAGGTTCATTCTGAATCTTTTGCCCTTGCTGAAGCAATCAACCAGCCTCCGGCGAGTCGTCACCGTGTTAGCCGGTGGACACGAAGGCCCCGTCGACGCTACCGATTTCCAAGGAAGGAATATGTCGATGCTCAAGCTGCGCGGGCATGGTGTATCACTGACCGATCTGGCGTTGGAAAAACTGGCCGAGCAAGCGCCGGAAGTGAGCTTTGTCCACGACTATCCAGGTGCAGTGAAGACGGGGATTGGTCGTGATCCAACTACTCTTTTTGCGCGAATCATGAATTTCGTGCTCATGATCATCGGGCCTTTGCTTTTCATTCCCAACGTGGAGTCCGGGGAGAGACACCTGTTCTTCGCGACCAGTGCGAAGTATCCCCCTCGTGCAGCCGCTGACACAGCTGCTGCTGTTCCGCTAGTGAATGGCGTTGATGTTGCGCAAGGCACGGATGGTAAGGTTGGCAGTGGCGTCTACAGTATTCATTGGAATGGAGAGCATGCTGGCCCGAAGAGTGTTGCAACGTTGGCTGGGCTTCGGGGGCAGGGAATGGCTCAGAAGATTTGGGAACACACTGTTGGTGAGTTCAAGCGAATTACTGGCTCGGAGGTGGCGTGAAGCGCCCTTTCGCGCCGTTGTATGAGATTGTTTCCGTTTCAAATGTGACTTGGTCGGCTGGAAGGATGGGGGAAATGTCACTGTGCTCACTTGGAGACGAAAGGGTTTCTGGCCATTTTTTTCTGCACATCAATTTGATTCAAAGTTTTTCAAGGCAGATTATGCTCAAGGAAACCTATGTTGCTGCCTTCCGCTTTGGAAGAGAGCAGAGGGTTCAGCTGAGGTATTTGACCTCAGGCATTTGTACGTTATACACAATTTTCCATAATGCTTGAATAATATTTCAAACCATGACAGAAAAGATAGCAAAAAAGATAGCAAAAAAGACAGCAAACAATCCATGGTCACTGCCTACAGATCGGTCAGGCTCCAAAGTGGATTCTAGAGTAATGGAGGTCCAATACTTATGAAACTGCACTGTATTCGTAGTACGGTGACGTAGGAAGCTGCATGGCGTATGACATTTCAATGCATACGCCAGACCGAATGGGTACATATTCATGAAAGGTACAGTACTTGTCGCCTGAATATCAAACTTAGGCTTTTTTGTCGTTGGTGGTGGATTCAGGGGTCTGTTCGCTTATCCAACATTGCTCGATGTGGCATCAGTTGCGAGCGGTCCAACTCCAATCCCGTGCCGCTCGTTAAAAATCACATTCCTTTACGCGGTTTCGGGGTTCGGGTACTGTGACTTTCACAATATCTCCTCATTTCCAGATATCCGAGGCTCTTCCATACCAACATTCATAAAGGAGTCCAGAATTCATGTCCCACTCCACGCGAGTGAAAGTACTTTGAGATCGTGGAGGATCGAAGATCAGCCAACATCCAACCAGCGCCAAGCATTGGTCATCGCGGCTCCGCCCACCACCAGTTAAAGAGTAATCTCACATCAGACCGTTTCCATTAAACCCGGGAGCTTAGAATCTGCATAGGAAGATTTGTTTTTCTTTCGTCCTTCGTGCAACTTTGAGAACTCTCAGACATGGGGCGAATCAACGATGGCCTTCCCGTTCTCTATCTCGCTGTCGCTACCGGACTATATTACAACCCAGAGTATGCGATACTCAATTCTAGGATTGTGACTGGCTTGGTCCTTCTTGCCATTGTTGCCGCTTTCAAAGTCCTCTACCAATTTTCTCTATATCCAGAGTATTTCACCCCATTGAAACACATTCAAACGCCCCCGGTAGGTCAAATCATTCATTCCCATGCCCCAGCTACATAGTCTGACGGCAACTAGGAGCGTACTTGGCTGCGAGGAAACACCGAAAGCTTTTTTTTGGAAACTCCTTATATAGGTCTCGAGAAGTGGACCAAGACAATGCGCAATGACGATCTCCTGCGCTATTATGTTGTTGGTAATTTGGAGCGTGTGATGTGCACAAGTCCAAAGGCTTTGAGCGAACTACTCGTCACCAAAGTTTACGACTTTGAGAAGCCTGAGATTATCCGTGAGAGCTTACGTCGCGTTACGGGAGATGGGATTCTCCTCGCCGAAGGCGAAGAGCACAAGGTACGATACCAGTCACCACCTTTCGATATAAGCCTCGTTCCATTAGTCTGTTCTTTTCCTTCTTCCATTACTGATACTCGTGACCTAGATTCAACGAAAGAATCTGATGCCGGCTTTCGCCTACCGCCACATCAAGGACTTGTACCCAGTATTTTGGGCCAAGAGTGTGGAAATGGTCAACTTGATTCAAGAAGACCTGAATAATCCCAGCAGAAAAACAGCGAGCAAGTCTGATAACACGATCCGTATTGACACCTGGGCCAGTCGCACAACCCTGGATATAATTGGTGTCGCCGGTATGGACAACGACTTCGATTCTCTTCGAAACCCTGACAACAAACTCAACCAATCTTATCGCCAAATTATGTCCCCGCCGTCAGCATTCATGAAGACCCTGTTTGTCATTGGCATGCTCTTCGGCAAGCCAACATGGACCAACAGATTACCAACGGCGCGTAACAAGGAGATTATAGACAGCGGTGAGGTAATCCGCAATGTCGCTCGTCAAATGATTCGACAGAAGAAAGCGAAAATGGAAGATCCAACAGCGGAAGCGGGCATTGACATCATCTCCGTCGCTTTGAAGAGCGGTACTTTTGATGAAGAAAACCTGGTTGACCAATCCATGACCTTCCTCGGTGCAGGTCATGAGACAACAGCAACCGCCCTACAATGGGCTATCTACGCGCTATGCAAAAACCCGAATGTGCAAAGCAAACTAAGGGATGAGATTCGCGCGAATCTTCCGTCCCCAGATGACAGCACTCCCATAACTGCAGCCCAAATCGACAACCTCCCTTATTTGAATGCAGTGTGCAACGAAGTCCTCCGATACTACCCATCTGTCCCAGCCACAATCCGAAAGGCCGTCCGAGACACATCACTCGCCGGGAAACATATTCCCAAAGACACGTTGTTCATCATTGCTCCCCGGATCCTGAATCGAATGGAAGAATTCTGGGGTGAGGATGCTGATAAATTCAATCCTGAGCGGTTCATGGGTCCTGGGAAGGCGAATACCGGTGGAGCAACAAGCAATTATGCTTTCTTGACTTTCCTGCATGGTCCTCGCAGCTGTATTGGTCAAGGATTTGCTAAGGCGGAGCTTGCTTGTATGGTTGCTACTATGGTTGGGAGATATCATATCGAGTTGAAGTTCCCCAATGCAAAGTTGGAAGTTCGGGAGGGGGCCACCGTCTGTCCTAGGGACGGCGTGATCACTTTGATGACGAAGTTGGAGGGATGGTGATGTTGACATGGATTTATTTCATGGCTTTTTTCTATTGACATTCTATCTTGCAATATGCGAGCGCATTGTATTTTGTCCAGTTTGTGGGGTGTAAACCCTATTGTGTACATATTTTGCTGATTACAATATTAGAGTCCCAAATTATTCTTTCACATCAAGTTATTAGAATGGTGGAAATATCTTAAATATTCTACAGGGGCTACACGGGTCTCGCGGCGTCCGCGGGCTCCGCGACTTCGGCGACAACTCTTGATCGGGTACATCGATGTCGGAATTTACCTTCGGTTGAGCTTAGGCAGCAACCTATTCTCATTTCCCTCCACGCTCTTCCTATTCTCCGACTACATTAGCTCGCTAGTCTGACCCACAGTACCTTTTGAAGCACAAATCATGGGTCAAAGGTACATCCAGGGTCTATGAAGCTCACCACATAGCTTAGGCAACGACGAAAATCTTTGCGACTTTCGGCTCCATATTCGGTCAGATTGATAGTGTCTCGGGGCTGGATGCTTCGGTAATGTATTTACCAAATCAGATAAGATTTCTTTGGAAGCTTGTCTCGCTAACTTTATCCTACTTCCAAGGTTAGACCCTGAAAGATCTGGGAATTTGTACGTAGTTGCATAGTTACCAGTAGGGCCCTTGGAACTCGAAGCGGTCGTGCATCGCTCATGATCTCCCTTTGGATCATTGAAATAAGTTTGGTTCTCAGTAGTGAAAACGGGAGACTGGGCTAGTGAGTACTCACTCGTAGTCTGCCCAGGTAGTGGTCACCGTTTTGCTATTTGCTGTGTTTCATCCGAGCTATGGGTGTAACAAGCAATTCTTTCTCCCCTTTGAAATATATTGACAATACCACTATCCTCGGGGGTGGTACAATATGTGGAATCCACTAATCGGTTTCTGGTCGGTGGAATACAGGGATTTTTGATTGACCTGGTCGGCTAATCATTCGCGCGTCTACAACCACGAAGTCAAATCCACACCAAGACCAACGATGTGGGTATTTAAGCTAGCCGTTTCTCCCAGATATCCTATGGGATGGTAAAGAAGTATCTCTACTACACTGCTTGTTGAGAACATGATGCTCAACGCAACTTCTTCCAAGACCACTGAGGTCCCGGTCTCTGAGGTCCCGAAGTTATCAGATCCTGTATCCGAGGACAATTCAGACAAACAGGACGGTGTTCGAGTTGCAGAAGCAATTACCGCCTCATGGTCGAGAAGCTCCCTCATCACTGTCTATGCTTGGTAAGAATATCCTTGAAGCTTTGTCCCATCGCTCTAACAAGCCTTTTGGCGCTAATAGTATGTGGCTTCTTTACTTTGTCAATGCCCTCCAATCGAGCTTGACATCCAATCTTTCGGCGTACATCACAAGTGAATTTTCAGAACATTCGCTTATTACGGTAATCAGTGTTGTTACCAGTGTGATGGGCGCGGCATGCGTGATGCCCATTGCCAAAGTATTGAATATCTGGGATCGCAGCGTTGGCATAGGTATCATGGTGTTGATAGCCATTGCGGGCTTGATCATGATGGCTAGTTGCAAAAACATTGCAACTTACTGTGCTGCGCAGGTAAGTTCCTCCAAACTGCCCCAACAAAGCCACCGGCTAACCGCTCCCGCCTCCAGGCATTCTACACAGTCGGTCTCACTGGTGTTATTTTCTGCGTCGACGTGCTCACCTCCGATACCTCCTCGTTACGCAACCGTGGCATTGCCTTTGCATTCACATCCTCGCCGTCTATGATTACAGCATTCGCTGGATCCCCGTTGTCCAATCAGTTCCACGAGACGAACTGGCGATGGGCTTATGGAACAATCTGCATCATTCTCCCGATCATCGCTCTTCCTTTGATCATCACCTGGGAGTTGGCGAAGAGGAAAGCGGACAAGGAGGGTCGTCTGCATTACAAGCCAAAGATTGCTCGTACATTCTGGGAGAGTTTCACCTTCTATTTCATTGAGTTTGATGGTGGGTCAACCGGACCCTGGTCCCTTCCTTTTTCTATGTTTCCTCAGGCTAACGTGGTTCATTTTGGCCTCTAGTTATTGGGATCTTTCTCATGATCGGCGGTTTGATCCTCTTTCTCATCTCCTTCAACATCGCCGGAAATACGGAAAATCAATGGAAATCAGCAAAGATCATAACTATGATGGTTGTCGGCTTTGTCGTCATTCTTGCCTTCGTAGCCTACGAGCGCTGGTTTGCGAAAAAGCCTTTCATTCCTTCCCACCTTCTCATCAACCGCACTGTCATTGGCGCCTGCCTTCTTGATATCACATACCAGGTCTCTTATTACTGTTGGGCAACCTACTTCACCTCGTTTCTGCAAGTCGTGTATGGTACCAGTCTCACTCAAGCCGGCTACATCAGCGCAATCTTCGACTTCATGGACCCGGTTTGGCTCATTGGGTGTGGCTTCCTGATTCGCGTGACCGGTCGCTTCAAGTGGTTATTGATGTGTGCGGTTCCGTTGTATATCTTGGCGTCTGGACTCATGATATACTTCCGCTCACCAGGGCATAGCGTCGGATACATGTGCATGTGTCAGATCTTCCTGGCTGTCGGTGGAGGTACACTGATTCTCATCGAGCAAGTTTCCGTTCTTGCCGCTTCAACACATGAGGAATATGCAGCTATGCTTGCTTTGCTGAGCACATTCGGTAATCTGGGTGGTGCTGTGGGGAACAGTGTCTCGGGTGCTATCTGGACCAATATACTCCCTCACAAACTCCAAGAGTATTTGCCGTCAGAAACCAAGGAGATCTGGTCTGAGATCTACGAGTCACTGGATACTCAATTGAGTTATCCCTTGGGATCGCCCACCCGGATTGCCATTCAAAACGCATACGCGTACACCCAGCGTATCATGCTGATTGCTGCCACAGGGATCATGTGCCTATCCATTGTGTGGGTACTCATGATGCGAAATATCAAAGTTCCCAAACAGGAGACTGGCTCGCAAGTCTTTTTTTGAGCGGCGGTCGGTCGTTTAAGGTTTACGGAAGGATCTACCCAGGTGTGCCATGAACAACAGTACAAATTACCAAAGGCACATCCAGCGAAGCTTTTGGAACGGATTGACCGCACGAGCGTCTCTACATGCACCTCAGTGGATTTGGTTACAGTGGAACACACTGATGTGATCATTGAAGGTGCATGAATGTGATTTCATTCGCAAATCAAATATAATCAGCCATGTGTGTACGGAGTATCCTCCCGAGCTTTGCTTTGGCCTTCTCCATGGGCAACCTTGGAGACAGGAAGCTCCCTGGGTCGTCGTTTCGACATCAAATGATCTGATCAGTCTGGGATTCCAAGGTTTCACAAAAACAAAAATATAATGCATCATTGTGAAAATTGTCTGAAAATTGTCTGATCGCAGTGTCATAATACTGCACATGTGTGCAAAACAATGCCTACTTAGGTATTCAAACCCGAATTCCAAAACAAGAATATATGTGCATTTAATACTATGAAGAGGGATTTTGTCCATAAGAGGTAGAAAGGAAACTTTGAAATGACAGCATGAATGGACTCAGCGCCCGCGTAAATGCCTCCTCCACAGACTCAGGCCCCGGGGTAGGGCATGGGTTGCATTAGGCAATCAATCTCACCGGTCGCGTGATGATCTTTGAATCTCATCAAGGGTTCCGAGTCCCTGCAGAGGTCATTGACGACTACGGACTATATACTGCAGCATTGGAACGCAACGATATTCATCCTGTTGTTGTGTCCCAACTTTGGAAACACATCTTTAGTAGCCAAACGCACAAAGGAACCGAAGCATCCAGAATATGGAAAAAAAGCAGTGGTTTTCCTACGGCCGACGTCCGGGAAAGCTCCCGACTCTCGACCTGTCGCGCGCACGGACCCATGCATGGGCCGCGTTGGGCTTAGTCACGGAATTTTGCGGCGCCGGAAGGCGTTTCTTAACTCCCTTTAAGTTCACATATTCACCGGGATGCCTGAACGAAATCACGGAGAGATCAAAGGGTCCCATATCGAAAGGTCCGACATCATGGAACGCAAGAGGAAGCTGCAACTGAAAACCGGATCTTATGGACCCCAAACGTTCGGTGAATTTCAACCTGTTCTCGCTTACCGGTCTTGGCATTTCCGAAGACGGATCTCAATCGTCCTACCTGATCTGGAAAAGTGTGGGTGGATCTTGTGGGTAAGAATTTCCTGACACACATACATCAGAGGCTGGATCGGGACCCATAGGGCCACATGGAGACAACGTGGTTGGCTCAATGCGTATGCGCTCCACTCATCAGTCCATTCTCGCCGGCTTCATATTATCTAACGCGAGATTTTCGGCATTTTATAAATTGCGGGTTCCCCTGTCACTGAGCTATTGCAACCCCACGATCACTCCGATTCTCTTCGGGCGACCTTGGGACACAGTCCAACTTCCGTCATTGCGTCTCTCACTTCTCTCACACCTCAGCATCAAGCGACATCATTTACTCGAACCGGCTCGACAATTTGTCCGAACCGCCCTGAAAGACTGACCACAACACGCGACTACATAGTTGATTCTCCAAAGAAACTCGATATCAACAGTCTCGTTTCGCACATTTCAAGGTTTTGAAGTAGCAGCAATAGTTGCATTCTACCCCGTTGCGCCAACTTCGATTTCACCAAGTTCCTTCAGTCCAGCGCGCATCATTTCGGAACTGCCTTGCGATTCACATTCAATCAGCCCTTGCAACTTCGACTATATATATTCCATTGCGCCAATTTTCACCATTAGATTCCGTGGAACGATATACCCCAAGCGAAACGATAAATCTAACTCCCGCAAAAGAACGACATTCATCTACCAAGCTTATCCGTTGCGTCAACCGATCATCTTGCCAAGCGACTCAATTTAACAGCTGCCCTGTTGCGACTACCGAACTAGCGTCAATATGTTTAACTTCAAAGAATTTTTCTCCAACCGTGAGCGGGGCCAGTTCCCCGAGGTTGTGATCCCTTTGGCCCGTGGCTCAGCACCGAAAACAGATGACAGCCAGGACAATGACTCAAGCAGCGGCCTTGAGAAATCATCTTCTGCCCAGGAGAAGGGCGCTGGTTCTCACACAACCACTACACTGACCCTGGAAGCTCTCCGAGCAGAGGTGGAAGCGGATATCTCTGCTTCCGGTCATGACACTGCTTACGATCGTACGTTCCTATGGCCAGCAGGTCACGCCTTGTCAAATGAGGATTGAGATTTCACTCACGCCTGATATTGCTTTGGGGATTTATTCTAACATTAACTTACAGGCAAGGCGAAAGTGATTAATCGAGCAGTCCAGGACATTGGTATGGGACGCTATCAATGGGGTCTCTTTGTCCTTTGTGGAATGGGTTGGGTTGCAGACAAGTAAGAACATTCCGAGTCATCTTTGCCCTGATCAGAGTACTAATTTCCATTTTCTGCAGCCTTTGGTTACAGGTATTGTGTGCCGAATTTTTCAATTATAGTCCGAAGGGCTAACCAGATTCAGGGAGTTGCCCTCACGCTTACCCCCATTGCCATGGAATTTGGAATCTCTGAAAATGAGTCTCGCTTTGCTACATGTGCCCTGTTTGTCGGTCTCATTGTTGGTGCTTCTTTCTGGGGAATTGCCTCCGACGCCATTGGACGTCGTCCGGCTTTCAACATGACTCTTTGCATTTGCGGTACCTTTGGTCTTGCCGCCGGAGGTGGACCTAATTGGATTGGGTGAGCTACCCAACACACATAGGAGGCCATTCGATTATTAACGATGAGAACAGCACATGTGCCTTGTACGCCTGCTTGGGTCTGGGTGTTGGTGGAAACCTGCCCGTCGATGCGGCTGTCTTCCTCGAATGTTTGCCGCCCAACTCAACTCAGATTCTGAGTGGACTTGCTACGTGGTGGTCTGTCGGTACCTTGATTGCTAGGTTGGTCTACACTTCGTGTCTCACTTGAATTTACGCTGACCTTAAACTCAGTATGCTCGCCTGGGCCTTTATCCCTACATTCTCTTGTGAATCCTATGCCACATGCACCAAAGCGAACAACTGGGGCTGGAGGTACTTGGTTCTCACCCTTGGTGCCATCACCTTTGCTATGTTCCTTTGTCGATTCTTCCTGTTCACACTCTATGAGTCTCCCAAGTTCCTGGTATCTCGTGGTCGCCAAAACGAGGCTGTGGCTGCTGTTCACGGAATCGCTCACAAGAACAAGACTACCACTTGGCTCACCGAGGACATTTTGAACGAGATTGGTGGATACCCAGAGGAGATCAAGGACAAGCAAGCCTTGTCAACCGGTGAAATCATCGGACGATCCCTCGAAAGATTCTCCGTTCAACAGATCAAGCCGTTGTTCGCAACCAGACGCCTTGCCATCTCGAGTATGTTCCCATCTTTCTCAATTTGATTGACTTTGCTAACAAGCATTCAAGCCATCCTGATTTGGTTCTGCTGGACATGCATCGGAATGGGTTACACCCTGTTTAACGCTTTCCTTCCTCAATACCTGAGTGCCAACTCTACCACCTACATCACCTATCGCAACTACGCCATCACAGCAGTCTGTGGTATCCCAGGTCCACTTCTGGGTTGGGTTATGGTTGACATCAAGTACATTGGCCGTAAGGGTACCATGGCTGCGTCAACTCTCATCACAGGCGTCCTGCTCTTCTGCTTCACTGCCACCAAGGACCCAAACATTCAGCTTCTGTGCTCTTCTTTGGAATCCTTCTTCCAGATGATCATGTACGGTGTGCTCTACGCCTACACACCTGAGGTCTTCCCCGCACCAAACAGAGGAACGGGATCTGGAATTGCTAGCTGCTTGAACCGTATTGCGGGTCTCATGGCGCCCATCATTGGTATCTACGCTAGTACTGATCCTATTGCCCCTATCTACGCTGCGGGTGCGCTGATTCTGGCTTCCTTTGTGGCTATGTGTTTCCTACCAATTGAGACACAGGGCAAGCAGGCCATGTAAAGGGTCCATAACCACTTTCCTCGGAATCCACCTCGGCGTGGAATTCTCGAGTCATGGTCAAGCTTCAAAAACCAAAAATTTATTTATCTAAAGATAATTCAGAGTATACAATCTATCATGTTGTCATGTCGCTCTCATACTCTTTTAATACCATCGTTTCCTGTCCTTTTTACTGTCTTTCTTCCAGTCTTTTGCAATAGATGGCCAATGGGCTTCATTGCGCTGCTTATCATCCGCTACAGTTACTGGTCCTCATCCTCATCCTTGATCTCCTCCTCTTCCTCATCATCCTCGGCCTCATCCTCAACCTCCTCACTACTGTCGCTGTCCTCAAACAGCTTCTTGTAGAACTCCATTACCGCATCCATCTGCGCCTGGGTGATGCGCCCAGAGGCGGTTGGTGCAACGGCAACGCCGTGGCGCTCGACGTGCGCGCGGAGGTTGTTGATGGCAGAGAACGCCCGCTGTTAAATCAATTTTAAATTAATTCTGAGGATCCATGGGGAGATGGTTCATATATATTGACTAACCTTGCGGTGCTCGCAGTCGGGGAGGCGGCAGTAGACTTCGCCAAAGGCGATGATAGTAGCTCCATCAGCATTCTACATATTGATCAATTGTTGGCTTCCCTTTCTTGCACTGAATATAGGAACGGGATGTTCATAATATGAACGTGGACAAACCTGCTGGAATGGAGGGAGGGCCAGGGAGCCGTTGGCCACATCCTGGATGTACCGCCTGTAGGCGGCACAGTTCGAGAGAAACGCAGGGGCACCACGGGGAAGGGTCTGCATCTTGAAAAATTAATTTTAAATCAATTGTATGAGGAGTGTTTGATGAACAATTGAGTACCAGTGCGGTTGTGAAAGGAAGAAGAGATGAAAGGAAAGAAAGAGAGAAGTGAAAGGGAGGGTGAGATGGAAGCAACGCTGGCTATCGTCCACCACCCAAACATCGACCAAGCACTTCAAAGTAAAGAGTATCACATTCAAGAAGGGTAACAGAAGTCAGATGATATCTTTTCTACAGGATACCAGCTCTCTTCTCGGATCGAGTATGGGGCACTTTACAATAGGTTCATCATGCTGATCAACAGTCATAGTATCCATTGGTTTATTTCATCTTCCCAATCACCCACAGGGTCATCAACAGACTCACCTGGACTGTTTCCGCAGATCCTCATTCGTGACCAAATCTCCATGGAGGTCAACAACAATGCGCCCTGCTTCGTTGAATCTTGCCAATCTTGACTATCCACGAGGATTTGGCAACTTGCACCAAGTCTGAAAGCTCAGGCCTCTCTGTCGAAGACCTCCGTTCCACTGTCATGCCCTCCGCCGACTCAATATTTCCAAATTCAAACCTCTGCGGCGATAAGGAGGTGGGAACAGGGGGATGTTGGTATGAAAGTGGAGGCACAATGGGGTTCAGAAAGGAACGACTCTCGGACGTATGGTTCAGACGCCTTGCTGATCCTCGAACCAACTTTCCGCATCTCCTAACGAGAAGCCAGACCGTTGGGCCAGATACGCTCCGAATGAGAGATCTTGCCACGATGGATTGCCTGTTCGTGATTCGCCGCCCAACCCGCCATACGCGCTGACATCCATGGATACATTTGCTCGTTGAAAGCACTTGTCTCTACTGCTGCAACGAAGCCTGCGCACCTGTCCAAAGAAGCAATTGCCATAATCCCATCGATTCCACAGACCCTACTGTGTTCTGCTTGCAGATCCCCTTCTCGGTGCTTGTAAGCGAAGCTGATGGCCTCAATTCGTACACGGAAGCCTGGTATGATCACCAAACTTACCCTGCCGTCCATCCAAACTCAAATGCACACCGCGCAACGCCCACAGAGGCCATCTTTCCCTTCTAATTTGCTCTCAAGTATACGAGGACGCAGGCAACGCTCCTGTAATGTGGTCTCACATCAGGTGTCTTTCCCGTCACGGTCAACCTCTTGGTTCCCGTCTCTCGTGATACCCTCGGGGAATGCTTCCCGCGATCTGATCGCTTCACTTGATACGCCAGTTGATATTGCGCGCAGTGGGCATGACCTCTGGTCTGCCGCCAATTCTTTCTACATCAATCCGCACATGGCAACTGTCCCACCATTTTAACCATCTGATCCTCAGGACTTCTTCGATTCAACCTCTTACTTCACTTTCGTGTTCCCCGTCATCTATCACTGCTGTTTTGCCTTCCTGATTTCTACCAATCTTCTTCCGCGTCTGCCGATCCTGACCCTCACGCTTTCACCGCCCCTGCCGATTCCGCCGCGTCCGCCGAATACTCTGCTTTCTTTGCCTTCTCCGCTTCCCTTTTTCTCTTCTGGCCAGAAAAGGGCCATTCAGTCACGGATACCCTTTAATTCAAATGGCTGTGCTGCCTGCTGATGTTGAGGACAACACACCGAAGTGGCCTCACAAAGTTATTCCATGCTGTGACACCGGGTTTTCTTCGGCGAGAATCGCAACGTTTGTATTCTTAAAGTCACAGATCATTGCTTTCTATTAATGGTCATCCATGTCTATACGTTATATACATGACTGTGACTGTGAATGCCGCACAAGCCTCGGTCACCCTTTGTATTCACTCTTTTTGTTCAAAAAGACAGCATAAAAGACGGCAAGAATACCAGTAAAAGCATTCGATTTTGAAATGCTTTTCAACACTTCCTCGGTCTTTCTATGGTTAGCCTTGATTACCTACATATTGTGTCCAGGTTCTTTAGGTCTTCGTATCTCTTATATTTGATTACTATCACGCCCAAGTAGGGAGTAGAAAGTCTTCCCGGAGGGGTAGACTTTGCAGTAGGCACCGTCCATATTTTACAGACCTCTACTTCAAACTCAGGAGTCAGATGGATACTAGCATGGGTACGTCATCGCCGCCAACTATACCCAACCCCGAACCCTGATTTGTTACAAAAAACTCCAAACAAACAATATTTTCATGAGCAATTAGCTTGAAGAACCTCCAGGATTGCAATCTCGGCTCAGTACAGATCCATCCCACAATCCTACTCCCCGTCGCCGACGCCCCCGTTCACAATGAGCTCTATGTTGCATGTCTCACCACTTCTGCGAAAGTCCATTTTCTCCATTTACGCCGGTCGCACCGTGGCAGGTACCACTATCCAACGTTTCAACGTCCACGATTCCAGTCAGAAGTTTTCTCAGGCCAATGAGCATGACTCGCAGCACGGGTGCGACCTGAAGAGCACTCCTAACCACCCGCTTCCCTCCAATAACGCCCACCCGACCCTTCGAGATGGCAGACAATCAAATTTGGCCGACATGGAAGGGAAGAAACACGAAGACTTGCCGGAAGATGTGAGAAAACACAACGAAGACATGATGAACCGCTATGATCGGCCTTACAACCACATCGCGGACGAGGGCAAGGTCGAGCACGCTTTCGAAGAGAAATGAAGGTCACGAGCAATGATTTTGTTTTGCGTGTTTCCATGTTATACAGACACTGTCATCTTTTGCCTAGAATAGCGTTTGCATATCTGAAATGGTCGCCTTCAGTTATACCGATAAACAGCCTTTCGGGACCCGGATTATAGTGGCCATGTCTGCTTTACATAACTGTACAGACTCGCAATCTTGTGAGCAGCCAAGCTCCTTGAGGAGATCATCATGGTTGATAGAGGGATGTTAAAAGGCTATCTCTTCATGCTTGTGGGTTTTCAAAAAGAAAATCGAGTCCTTCGAGATCTCGAACTCCAACCTCGGAAGCCCCTTATGATTTAATATTCTATGTTTGCTCATTTCTTGAGTCCAATGACTGCCAGATTTCGTGGGCTCTGGCCATATTCGAACACTGGTTCAACCCAGCAGTCTTTGACCGAATCTTGTTCACGTAGAAATTGCCACCGATCCACAACAATGATGGACTCAACAAGCTGTGCACTGAATCCCATCAGACTCCACATGATACTCATATGTTTCCTCGCGTAGAGGTAGTTGGTTTCATATCCATCGATCTCTTCGTCTGTCAAGGTCGCAATGTGCTGCTGCACCTTCGAGCCATAATTCGGATCACAGCTCATCTTTATCGTGGCTGCACGAACATATGCATTGAAAGTTTTGTAAGCGCCTTTAGACACCCCTCCAATGATAATGGAGTCGCCCTTATGTTTGGGGTGTGCTGCCTCGTATAAGGCATCATTCTCTGCCGAGGGCTTGGGAATGACGTTTCGATCAACGAGAATGCGCTGAAGAAGAGCGCGGAAGAAATGGCGAGTGAAAGAGGTTTCACTATCTTCCTGGCTCCAATTGTATGGTGCTTGTACGGCAAGCGCACGTGCTGTAATGTTAAGCTTCATGCCTGTTGTCGCTCCAGGACTTCGATAATTCTCATAGTATTGAGACATGGGGAACCCATGTGGGTCGTATGAAGATCCCGCTTCTTTGAGTCGAGGGTGGAGGGATTGAAGGACGGGTAGCTCATGCTCGCTGGGACCCAATCGTTCCGTCAATAAATTGTAACAACAGCCAATCATAGCAACAGCTACAATGGAAGAGTTCAGAATCAATGAGCGTATCCCATGATGGACAAGGTTTCCACAGGAGTGTAGAGAAACGACCATTAATCTAGCATCGCGTTCTTTCTTCGTTTCACCGTCATTGGATTCTGGATGAATGATATGCTCAATGACGGGCTCCAGGTAGCCATCTTGAACCTCGTGTTCAACATAGCTTAAAGTGCCGCGTGCACTGGACTTTTTCTCCGGCAACTGTCCTCTTTGGACAGTTGGTCCAAGTAATTCACCGGGGCTGAGACTGATATCGCCGAGAACCTCAAGATTAGACACATCTTCTGTGATCTGCAAGTCCTGCAAAATTGGCGGAGACACGTTCGTCGCTGCGGTGGCAATCAGCTCTGGTGTATCGTTTTGGCAATCGCATGAGTCTTTCTGCTTTTGTCGGTCATAAGCTTTGGGGTCCTTTGCCAACTTCGCTCGAACGTCCATCGTTCTAGCGCCGCTGATATACTCATGCTTCCGCTCAATCGCGATGATATGCTTGTGGTAAGGAGGGCTGACCAGCGTCCGTCCAAGATAGTTCTGTCCAGAGCCGAAGTCCACGATATGAGATACCGGTTCACCTCGGCGCTCATAAACAGTTTGTGACAGGGATGCGACATATTGGGAGAAGTGGCGAACTTCATGTACTTTCTTGCGATTCATACGCATGACAACCTGCGATGGCAATTCGGTCTGGCTGGCTGATGATGTATCCAAATCTCGTAGGAGCGCCAGTTGGCGCACATTGAAAATGTAGTCTAAAAGGCTTTGTGGAGGAAATGCCCCTCCTCTCCAAGTACGGCTGCTTCCTTCTACAGGCTGGGTCGCGGCTCGTAGTGGGCCAATTTCTTCCCGTAGAAGTAGGTGGATGATGTCTTGAACATCATGGTGTTGGAAAAATTCCCTCCATTCCTCTGGAAGAGTTGTTGTGTAGACATCGGGCTCGCGTGTGAGAAAATCGACCATATGCACGCCTCCACACAAATTCATGAAGAGGACCGAGGTGGTAGCGAAGGAGAGCAGTGCCTCGGTGTAGGCATCGGGTGTCTCCCATGCCCCGGAGATGGGTAAGGGGCGATTTGGAATCATCGAGTACAGTGATAGCGTTCAGCCTCGCTGTCCAAACCGCCTTGAAAATTCTTCATTGCAGCTGCTTGTGGGGCTCGTTTGGCCGCTTCCAAGGTCGGGGCCCCAGCCGCCCGCCCCGGGGCCGCGGACGTCGCTGAGTCAGTAATGTCAAGCCCCCACTTGGGCGCCCGCGCCCAGCCCGCGACGTGCGACAGGCCAAACCCAAGGGGTGGCTTCGGGAAGCTCCCGCTGTATCTTCAAAACACTGTAGGGATCGGTCTGGTCGGCGAAGAGGCGGGTAACTTGTTGAGTATCTGTGTGCGCAACTTTGATGATTGATTGACCTTTGGCTTCCATCAGCACACGAGCTTATCGGCCTGCTTCGCTTCTCTCTCCGGATCTCAGCTCAATACCCACGTTCTTAGGGAGGGGTAGGGCGTGCATGCAACATGAACAGCGTTTGCATCAAAGGTGACTGGTGAAGGTGATACAAGAGCCAGAGTCAATTGTACTGTGGGGTAGTTTTTCCAAAGGTGGTACCTAGGCATGCGAGCATGATTGACGCTCCTTTGTAGGACAGCATCATCGCGTAGAAGATATAGTTATTGGAGGCCACAATGCTTTCTGGTGGGAAGACTTCTGTTGTATAACGAAGTTGTCGGCGGCGTTTCAATAAATTGGTGATATGGTCTAGGGGTAGGATACCACATTGTGGTGAGCCGTGATTCATTCACGACTTCAAACTGTGTTGGCCCCGGTTCGAATCCGGGTATCGCCACTAAGAATTATTTTTTTGGCTGTGATGTTTCTTTCATCCTCTATTATTATATGAGGTTTCTCTACTTTTTGGACTCTTTGGATAGTTGTGTGTGACGAACCTGGTCCTATGTAAGGGAGCGTAGTTCCGAGTTACCAGTCTTGGAATCCTGATCTTTTGCCCTAAGCCTGCTCCTGACATTGTATGCAAGTTGGGGAATGTGACTTTTTCTTGCTGGGGTGCTGCCGTCTAAGAGTGTGGACCTGTTTCCTATACTCTTCCAATATTGTTTTCATTTTTAGGTAGCCGATGTATGTGCCTGTTGGGTGGAGTGATACCTAGGTAACCATATAGTCCCTGGGCCATGAAAAGGCTTTCCTAGTATTGAAAATTTATATCTTCAGTACCAGGCAATACTACTCAGGAGGCTTCCAAGGCTCTCCGAGGTCTTCATCCTTGCCTAGTTGGGACCTTGTAATGGTTCTGGCTCCGTGTAGAAGACCTTGGGATCACTGCCCAGGTGGAGCATACTACATTTCCTTCCAAGCTTGGAAAACTCTTTGTTGTACCATCGATAACAAGATTAGAATCTTGAGAATAGTTTGGAGTGCAAATATATTCCAAGGTTTATTTGGCGAAATAGTCATCATTCAGTTTAAATTGGGGTTTAAACAGACACAATGACCATTCTGGCATTAGAAGTAACAGCCTTGAAATTGCGCTGTTATAACCTTGCTGGTCCGTTTCTCAGCATCAGGACCTTCTCTAGTCACCAAACTGAGGCTCCACGTCGCCAAAATACTCGAGGTGTTTCATTGAAAGAAGCCATCGGTCATGATCCACGAATCATGGCAGTTATAGGTTCTATGCTGTAAAAATAAGCGCAGACATGGCTTCAATCCTTCCAAAATTGATCTTGGGCAAGCTAATAGACTAGATGGGTTGAATAAATTTAATTTACGGCAAGTGTGATTAAGATTGCAGTAATTCGTCAACAAGCTCGCCGGCCCATTATCAGCTTCGTCGCATCATCACCAAGCTCATCGAATCTTGCCTTTCCAAGTGTATGCCCCCAAATCGACACTTCTGAACACTGATCTACATGGTAGTGAAATCCAGACCTCACCTCAAGAGCCCGGAACAGTGTACAAGCCATCTCCAAATCAATGAGCAAGAGTAGGTTCCCTGGCAGTGCTCCCTACTCTGTACAGAGTAACAACTTGCTCCTGTTAAAACCGACAAGATACATAAGAAAAAAAGAAGACAATATAAGGGTTCATAAACAAAAGAACTTAGCAAACTAAACAAGCAGAACATAAAAAAGAAAAGTTTGCTATCAGTGGCGATACCCGGATTCGAACCGGGGCCAACACAGTTTGAAGTCGTGAATGAATCACGGCTCACCACAATGTGGTATCCTACCCCTAGACCATATCACCAATTGTTATGTAATCAGCTGAAATACGGCATCATATGACAACTTCTCATTTGGAATCAAACTGCGCACTCGTTGAAAACGACCTGATTTCAATCAGCCAGTACGGAGGAAACAATGCACAAATTCGAATCCGAAGTTGACCAGTTGCATAGTCCTATAGAACCAGCCTATATCTACCCCACTGGTTGACCCTGATTTGTGAGAATCCGCTGAAGGGGTGCCACAGTGCGCAGATCTTTGGAGCGACGTGAGATCGATGCTCGCCCAGTTTTCATTCGGCAGATACGTCCTCACCATTGGATGCTTCATGAATTGACAGAAGCTACCCAAGAGATGCATATCGCTCTCAAGCCAGTGATACCAGTCTTGGCTGAGATGTTGTCACTCCAAAAAACTTCAAAGCGAACACACGATCTCCAGAGACTGTTTCGACAATGTCAAATTCAATCCAATGTCGAAGCTGCAAAGGCCATGACTTTTGGTACTCTTGCGGAGTATCTTGAAACGTACGCTGAGAATATGGGTGTCACGCTGTTGAATATCAATACAGAGGCATATCATCGACTTCTGGGTGATCTCAAAAACAGCACCATCGATCCCAGGTATGTGCCAAGCTCGTCAGAAGCGGAGGCTTCGTTCTACCTATGCATCTTTGAACATATATTGTGAGGGCTTGTGATTTGGAGCGCTAACGTAATATTTGTAGCTTTTGCTGTGACCTAGATTCGAGAGTGTTACACCTCGAAGGATTTGACGCCGGGGTTATCATAGAGCAGTCGCAAGCTCATCACGATGGTCCGCTCAAAAGCCAACTTGGACCCGCTCACCCAATTCTGGCATTACCATACTTGGGCCAAAGTTCAGACTCTGGATCGATGTTAGCCTGGGTCTGTTGGGATGAATTCGTGAATCTTGAAAATCCCTGTGCAGTAAAATGGCTAGAAAAGTGCAACGAAAAGCATATTGCGGCACTGAGGATTATTATGAGATCCACTCTCAGCCAATCAGTGACTACTGGAAAGCAGCGTCTGGACCCTAGCAGCCTGGAGATCGGCTACCTCATGGGTGCCCTGTTGATGGCCGCGATGTCAAAGCTCGCAGCAAGAAGGACTACCGCGCCAGTTGTGTCAGCGGAGGCTGGTGACACCGTCACGAAATTGATGCGAGGCCTGTTTGGTAATTTGTTGACGACAGCAGCATCTGGCCTGCGTTCTCTCAGTAGGGTATGGCAGCTGTTCGTTCTCGATGTCAAGTATGAGCTTCCAACCACCAAGATCGACTGGGTCTGGTACGAAAATATGACTGATCTGCATCCTTACACAGGATGGCCCCTGGAGCAGTTCCACCAGAACTTGGAACGGCTTCTTGACAACGCCATCATGCAATTTGTTCTCAAGAACGAAGACGCAGCTGCTTTGAAATCAACACGCAGGGACGATCTGATCAAGGGTTGCAAACTTCGCAACATTCATCTCAAGCATTATCGCACAATCATCACTGTGATGGGGCGAATTTTCGCAAACACGGACATCGATGTTTCTGCTGCTGCCAACCGTTTGTTAGGCCATCTCCCGCAAGAGCCTCAGCCATACAGCCATGGATACATCCTTATGATCAAATATCTGGATCATTTGGCTCAGGGGGGTCAGCGACGTTACAGCGACGACCTTGCTGCCGTGAGAATCTACCATTCTTATTCAGCCTGCTACTCTGAACTCAAAGGGAGAGTGCAGAGGCATGCAAGGCCATTGAATGGGCAAAGATGAAGGATCTTTGTCAGGAGAAGATGAAGAAGCACGCTGAAACTGCTGCCATCTGGCAGATCGAGCCTGAATCAATCGATTTCCAAAACATGACTCTGTACAAGAAGCTCTTGAACGCAGATTTTGAAGGCTCCGATGAGAATGTCAAAGGCGCCAATTTGAGATTGAGCCGAAAAGTCTTTGGCAATGCTGAGATACATCGTGTCCCATGGCAAGTCGGTAAAAAGATCCAGAACATTCAAAAGCTGGAGCCCCTCGATGAGACATTTATCGAATATCTTTTGACTGGCTCTGGGCCTGAATCATCTAGCGGTATTGTTTCAATTGGACCGGAGCGCGGGATGACAACTATGGTTGAAGCGAAATGCAAAGATGAATTTGCTCAATTCGAATCATTAATGCGGCCCAGTTTTATCGCCACGATGCAGAAGGACATTTTGCCTGTGGACGTCTGCCACTCTATCGCTATTCCAGAAGCTGCGATGCGCGCCTTCATCAAGACTTTAAACCCGGGATTCCTCTGGGAAGACCTGGGACTAAGCTTCCAGAGGATGGTTCTGGGGTTGTTGAAAAGCCGATCGAGTCAAACAGTCTATCATCCAACTAGGGAACTTCTGAACTTAAATGGAGCCAAGGAAATTCCACAGACCGAGGAGTGATGTCAGTTTGACTGGTGTGAGTTGAAGTAGACCAGGTGGGAAGTTGACAAGTAAATTAGTGCATTTCGAGAAATAAGAAGCACAGGCGACTTGTGTGTGTACAACAATGGTATCAAATCTCCAAAAAATGAGCACTCGCGTCTGGCGAACTGGCCAGGACCTGGGAGTTCGGGGTTTGATTGACTCTTCCCGAGGTCAGCAACGCCATACGATCTTGGCTTCGTATATGTGAGACCCAAGACGCACTACAAATCCTCTCGGTTCTTTTTCCACCGACTTCAGCAAGACGCAGTAAGAGGCATTGTCGTCACATCGCACCTGCATAACGTCACGAGAGCCCAGGTGGTCTATCTGATCTTTGCAGTGCGGAGAAACTTTTACACTCTGTTTGTAGATAGGGTTCAAGTTTTCTATCCCGTAGAGAATATCCCTTCTAAGCTCTGGATATTTCTACGCTTGGCGAGTATCCCGAGGTCCTGGTCGATTCATATTATAGATTATGAAGCAGTTTAGATGCTATGTAAATTTAGAACCTAGAGCTAGAGTCATTTTTAACGTCACTGGTCAGGATAGGCCAAGACCCTGCAGCACTGCACCTAGCCATTTTTCGGTCAAATTAGCTTACCGGGGGCGTCAATGCAGATGGAATGCAAACAGTATCACACCAGACATACAGATTCTCTGCTCTTCATCGTTTTCCAAGGTTGTGCGCTGCAATTTGATGACCAGGTCATGCCGGAACTTTGGATAACTTCACCCCGCGTTGACCTATGATATGCACTCACTCCACACCAGTCACGAATCTGCAAGTTGCAGCTCCCGAGGTCATCGGAAGGCCACTACTATAAGACTCCCCCTGACTCCCGCTCCCAAGCTCGGTTTGAAATCAATTTTCATTTGATATAACAACTTCCTACTTCAAGAAGATGCATTTTCCAATCTTTTCGATCCTCGCTCTTGTGCCGGCAGTCATCGCCGTTGTCGTCGATACGCCCACTATAAAATCACGTCGGACTTGGGACGTGTCGTGGCGACTAGACACGCCAAAAATTGGCCTCACTCTTACTCGAGACTTCAAAAATTTTGACTGGATTGATCTCGTGGACGCCGATCCGGAGAAAGCTACTGTACGATTGCCGAAAGATGTCAATCTTCAGCCAGGGTGAGAATAAGGACCTGAGCTTGTCATCTCAATTTCAATGTAATCAATACTGACTATTATTATACAGTGATGTTTGGCTAGTTGCCTGGACAAGCCATGGCACAGGACCGATTGGGTACAGTGAAAAGTTTACGATCAAATGAGATTGGAGGGCTGATCTCCAGGTATTGGGGTGGGTCCTATACATGATTCGATATCTTGATATCTGCCTCGAGGAGTTAAGTTATTATACCAAAATCATATGAGAATCTCGTTTACGATCCAATACGTAAAAGTTCGGTGAGCAGTTATATGAACGCTGAGCTACTATGATGGTATTGTATTATGAGACAAAGAGAGTTGGGATCCCGGGAGCTCTAGCTTCCCTAAACAGCGGTTTCTGCCTACTCATCGTCGCGGATATCGACAACAGTTTTCTCCCATTTCCGGGCCTGAACGCGACGCTTGAACAGAATGTCAATCTCACGGAAAGACCTGTGCTTCATCTCTGGAATCCAGATCCAAGACATGACAGTGCAGGTAAAGGCGGTACCAGCCCAAATATAGCCGCTCTTACCACCCAAGTCCCACTTATCAGTGTTGAGCATGTAGCTGGAAAGGAAGATGCAAGGAATATTGACCAAGTAGTAGGCACCTCGTCCGATACCAGTTGTAAGTGGCCTGAGACGCACAGAAGACGTCTCACCAATGATAACCCATGAGGCAGGGGCAGGTCCAAGGCAAAACAGGACGGAGACAATCAAGCCAAGTGATGCTTGCGCATTGCTAGCCGCATCACTGTCACCAACTGAAGCCGCAATACCGAGGGCGACTAAGAATGCACAGTTGATCAATTGACCGTACACATAGATGGTGCGTCGGCCGAGGTATGTGGTGAGGACCCAAGAGAGCATGACCATGAGCCACTGTAGGGCCGAAGTAATGAGACCAAGTGCAAATGCCGTGTCATCCACCATACCCGCCTCTGAACTGGCGTTAGTCTAATATTCGGCAGTAGAGGGTGTTTGGACTCACGTTTGAAAAAGTAAACAGCTTGGTTAGCGATCAGGTTACCCGTCAGATTCTGAGATGCGTACACACCGCACACAATCAATGTGCGGTAGCGATCAGTGCCTTTCCACAGTTCAATGAGACTGGGCTTCTTCTCGGTCTTCTCAAGATCAATGGTGCGACGCATCATTGCCACTGCAGCAGCGGGATTATCATTTGAACTGGCGCGTCCAAGGCGCTTGACAGCTTTCTCTGCCTCAGCTAGACGACCCTTTCGTACGAGCCACCAGGGCGATTCAGGAGCGATGAAAAGCAGGATAGCGAGAGGAGTGGGGAAGATCCACTGGAGTGCAATGGGAACTCTGTGCCGATAATTAGTCAAATGCCACCTAATCTCACACATGGGGGCAAACGAACCTGTACGCTGACGAGTCTCTCTTGGACTGATAATGGTAAGTGATACCACCGACAATGATTGACCCGATCGCCCAGAACATCTGCAACATCTGTGTTGCTGGAGCTCTCAATCTCATTGGCACAATTTCGGCGCAATAAGCGGGTGCATTGGCGATAAAGATGCCCCATGGAATGCCTTCCAGGATTTGTGACGCGAAAAACATACCCTGGCTGTTGCCAAAGTAGAAAATGAAGATAAAGCCGTTCAGGAACATAAGACCACCAATGGTTGCCCATCGGTATCCGATCCAACTGGTGATAGGACCAGCGATAAACACGCCGATGAAGGCGCCGATTGGCCCGCTGCACTGGAATGCCGACTGCCATGACGCTTCGATAATCCACTCATCTGCATGTGCACTCTTTACGCCGAAGTCTTTGGCGAATTGTGCCGTCGCTATGAACTGTCCCATCAAGAAAACACAGTATGACTCCATAATCTATCGCAACGTTAGATGAATCATCTTCCTGTCATAGGTAAGAGCTTACAATAGTGCATGACATGACGAATGCCCACCAACTGGCAGCCGGATAGGCCTTCACAGCCTCGATAACAGTCATTTGGTGTTCCAGCACCTCGGCATCGATGGCGCCCTGTCTATCGTAGTCGACCTTCTCGTCGACATCGTATACAGGTCCACCCGTGGTGGCCTGCGCCTCAACCTCCAAGGCTGAGGTCTGCTTCTCTGACAGTTCACTGCTCATGTTGAAAATTTTGAGAGAAACAGGTGAACAAAAGGGAGGCAGGCATGCCTGGGGGGTTTAGGTCTTTATACCCGCGACGACACGCACAAGATAATAATCCTGGTCTGAGCTCAGTCAAATGAAGCTTTCTCCGGACTTTGGCCCCCTTAATCGAACACCTCCTTTCCAAATGGGCCATTTTCCGGGCACTACGGTAGCACCGTCACTTGATTAAGGTAGAATCTTGTCGAGCCAAGTCATCTGATAGGGACTAGCCCCGATAGGTACTAGTGAAAATGAATGGTGATGGTTGATTTGCGGGGTATGCTGAAGCGGTAATTTGATGTATGGATGTGGTGGTGTGCGTGTGGTGGTGGCGTTCGATTCGCCGGAGAATTTCCTACTTTGGATCTTATGGAAGAGTCCTGAGTCCTCCCTTATTCAGTCAACACGAGATGTACGTGACAAGAGAACTCATCCAACTCCGAAAAATGGAGGAAAGATTCGATGGCGCAGAGAAGAAGAAGATAGAAAAGGAAGCGAGAGAGATAGAAAGAACTGAGACCATCTATAGTTCGGGTGCATCAATCAACCCCACAACAATGCCGGTACTCCATTTTAGTGTTTTTTTTTTCTTTTTATGCACTCCGAGAATCGACCCTTCTGGTTCTTTGTTTTATTCTGTCGACCTATCATAATGAGCGAGTACATTTAACCGAAAATCCGGGGGGTGGAGGATAAGCGCTAATCAATAGTTAGCGCGTGGTTGACCCCGGGATTGAGTGGTACCATGCGCAAATGTTCAGCGAACTTGACCCACTCAGAATTTCTTTAAAGATTGCTCTCCAACGTGAAACCAGATCCTCGAAGGTTTTTGACATCTCTATATACAATACTGTGCTCAGGGGTGATTTTGGGTGGAAGATCTGACATAAATCCTACAAATTTCTCAAAAGCATGAATTCCAGGATCAGACACATCTCGGTGTCATCTCATCCGCAGGCTAATGGGTTCGGCGGGTTTTACCCCGGACGGGCCTAGTACCCCGCGCCATGGGCCCCGGACGGATCCCGTGTCTCCTCCAATGGAGAAAAGGCTTGCCGCTCTATCAATAAGGTACTCCGGTACTCCGGTACAACCCAGCGCATAACTCACCAGTTTTTCAAATCTCACTTCTACAGACTCGGGCTCCAGGTGTCTCGCAAATACTTCATATCTGTATTAAGGACTTTGACAATAATGAAAGTCTTCTCACTCGTCGCGAGTGGTGACCAAGACATACCCTTGCTGGCAAACTCAGCAAGCTTAAGATCAAGGAAAGGGAGCCCCACTTGAGAAGCCGCCGTTTCTTGATGCGACCACTTGTTGACATTCAATCGAGAGGTAACACCAGACAAACTCCAAGCTTAGCGCCTTCAAAACATAAGCTTACATATCCCATACTCCACAGTAGAGGACTATTATCATCTCAGATAATAAAGTGTACTATACTCAGTGAGTTACTTGCGCATCATTCTGGGAGTCTCTTCTATTATACAGAAATTTGGCAATGCTAAATCATCCCTAATAAGGGTGAAAGGCCACGAAGTTATTCGAATGTAGAGGTATTCGTGTCAAGCCACGCCATTAATCTGGGTACATTAAGCCTCTGGTATGTATCCCATGTTAGCTGGGGGCTAGAATGGATGATCACACCCGCGCGCCCGGCCATTGGACGATACATTCTCGCTCTTCTGGTTGTTTATAGGCCTGTAAAATAAGGCCATGCTGGTTTGTTTTTCGCACAACCGACGAGGCACATTTGTTACATTATTTTAATATGTTCACTGATTGAGGCTCTTAGTGTGTATAACTATTAAAAAAGCTGCCACCACAGCGATTAGAAGTACAGGTTGAATCTATCTAAGACAAGCACTAAATTACTTCTTGTGGACTCGGCGAGTCGGCTTGGATCCTCGGGGATCTTTAACAACGTCGCATTCTAGTGGTCACTGTGACGTACCGAGAACTACGAATTATAAAATTCCTCATTTTGATCACTACTTTCATCAATTTATCGTTTTACGAGCTCGCGCGAAGCAATCAACCATGCAGTCAGCCCACACGAATCCCCCGGCCCCGCAGCCCCTCGGCACACAGCCACCTAGCAGGAGGCCCCCGTTCATCTTTGCACTCCCACCAGAGATGATAGATGAAATTCTCATTCACCTTCTAATATTTTCACAGGCTTGCCTAGTCTTCAGTTGCAAGAGATCTTATCGGTTATTCAATTTTGTGTTATCAGATCGCCGTCTTAAGTGGCCTTATTCTGACGGGCCCGACGATGGCCTTGATCCTTCAAGTCGTATACAGCTTCTCATGATTCTCGAATCCCAGCAGTGGAAATGTTGTGCTGCTTGTTTGAAGCTGCATCCCTTGAGTGACTTCAATCAAGATTCTCCTGGGTACAATGATCCAACCCTTCGTACCTGCCAATGGCCAGGGATGATTGTTCTTTGTCCCTGCTTGAAGTTCAGATCAAAGAGCTTGGGCGGCCTTGCCATCCAGATCTCTCAAACTTTTGACGAGCGTCCTGACACATGGCATCATTGTGAATTCCTCAGTCGCGACGGCACATTGTCATATGAGCTGAAAATATCTTTGTCCCTCGATTCTTGTGGCTGGGTTGTCTTCAATTTCCACTATGCAATAAACGTCGATCCTTTGAAATGTCACGGAGTCAAGCACAGAATAATGCTCTGTCCTCACATAGATGTATTTGAGCGAATTCAATCGAAAGGTCGATCATGTGCCAATTCTGAATCGATGGAGTGCAAGCAATGCATTATGTCCCCCAAGACAACCCTGTCCGATGACTTAACAACCTACAAAATCCAGTTCACCAGGTGTTACGGTCCCCATCATGGCATACCGATAGCTGGTAGAGCGTTTAATGATATAAAGTGGGATTACAATTGGCGAAGGTATAATTACTTTCCTCAATTATCCACTAGCTGCCATGGTCAATTTAACCAACAGAACTTTAGGTTAGAAAGATCTTCTAGCGATCTCGAGGAGTTGAAAAAATGGCTCCGTGTCTATCGACGCGAAGCGAGGTGGGAATGCCGGTCTAGGTAAGCAGTGCACGACCAAAGACAATGTTTTCCCGATCTAGCTCTAGGGCTACTAGTACTATGGAAGAGAAGCATTCTGACAACTTTCAAAGTAATTTTCGGGCCCTCACGCTATACATTTGGTCAAAAAACCTTTGGAATCCTGGATATCAGAAACTTTTGCAATCTTGGATGTCAAAAAATGTCAAAACCAGAAATACGCAACAATACACCTACTATGGGCACAGCCAGTACGTGGTCATCTTTTGGTCGTGCGGTCCCAAAAATGGGAATTCTTGTGCTGTCAGAAACTTTTGGAAGGAATCATCATCTGATGTCGGTCATGTGATGCCATTAGCTTTAAGCCATAGCTCTAGCCCCAAATACAAGATCACCTTTGTTTTCCTTGGGAACAATCACCACTTCGTCAGCTTGCTACATGACGGTGTCTGAAGGGGTTGGAGTCGAAGCCGGCCTCCATAGTCCAAGCCACAACAAAACCAGGATTCTTTACGACTCTAGCTTTTTCAAAGAGCATCGGGCGACTACTCTCCCCACTCCGACCGAGCTGAGAGCCATCAACAAAGAGTCAGGAAACATCCGCGGCATATATTTTAACCGACCCCCACCGGTTAAATTTCCATCACTGGGCCTGATTGTCAAATATGGAGCCGACGCAACCATCGTAGAGGCGGAAACTCAACATATGGTACACAATAAGTTGAAGGGCAAAGTGCCAGTCCCTGAGGTTTTTGGGTGGACCGAAGACAGTGGACAAGTATTCATCTACATGTCTTTGATCGAGGGCGAAACTCTAGAGCAAAGATGGGGTGCTTTGAACGAGGAGGAGAGGGAGGCTGTTTGTCGGGAGCTCAACGGCATGGCCAAAATCTGGAAAACCCTAGATTACCCCAACCACGACCACATCCTTTACGTTGGTAAGTAAACTGATACCGTGATACAGTCCATGGGCAGAGCTACACTCACGTGGTTCTTAGGTGGTCTAGGAAACCAACCGCTGAATGATATATTTCTTTCCAGTCATCCGGACTTGGCTGGCCCATTCTACGGTGCAGACGCTGTCCAAAAATTTCAAGATGGCTGTGGCATCGAGATCGACGGGAACGTGCCTGTGGTTTTTACGCATGACGACCTTGTGCCTCCCAATATCATGTTATCGTCGGGGCCAAATCCAGTAGTAGCTGCCGTCATTGATTTTGGTCAGTCAGGGTGGTATCCTGCTTATTGGGAATATTGCAAGGCGCGTCGCGTCGGGTTGCGTCCGCAATATTTCGATGAGGATTTGGGTGAAGAATGGAGAACGAAATACCTGCCTACTATTCTGGACAAAGTTGATGATGAGACAGTATACCACCCTTGGTTATTGTTTGTCCTATCACACGGTATTTAGTGGTGCGAATAAGGATACTTATCAAGATCACATCCTTGGGCTAACTAACCTTGGTGACTCGAGGCGGTATGCACAAGTACATGAAGAGCGCTAAACCCGATGGGAACATAGTGGCACTGTGAAAAGTTAATTCCACATCCATCCGATATGGTGTAGTGGCTAACATCGTCGTCTCTCACACGACAGCCGGGGGTTCGATTCCCCCTATCGGAGTCATTTTTTTGGGGTTAGTTTTTTTTGTGGACTCTGCTCCAACCCAACCGCTTGCTAAAAAGTCTCGAAAATTGAGACATTTTTTTCCCTGACCCTTCTATTGATGTTCCAAGATTTCAAGGCTGCTCTTTGGTAGAAACAATCGATGTCTGGAAACGGCGGAACATGCTTACTGGAGGCTGTTCTCCTCTCCCTTCCCGCCTCACGCCTGTAAACTGTGCAATCAAATGTACAGATATGGAGAGTACTGCTCGTTATGTTGTAGCTACATATACACGCATTGGGGATCCGAATAACGTCAAAACAAAGCGTTCCAAAGTTTGCTTTCTAGAAAACACCTGGACAGCAGAGCTACAGGGACGAGCAGGGTTCCTGAAAAGAGTCCGTATAGAAGGGGGTCGGCAATTAGTCGCATATCTAGGGATGTTTTCTCTCTTTATCTTCTTCTTCCCCTCCTCATCCCAAAAATGACTACTTTATCGTATCCTCCTATTTCTCCGTCGGTAAATCATGAGGATTGCGGAGAAACCAACAACGAACTTCCCTAAATCGAACGCATTTGGATTACAAACCCACATCGATGTGGAATCATGAATGTGTCGTGCAACCCTGGCATCTAGTTGGTATTTAAGAGAAAGAAAAGAGATTTAAAAGGCCCAGCCCTGGAGCATAGCTCCTCACACGTTGCCCAAAGAAGGACATTGCATAGACCACTGCCATGTCTTGAACCTTGGAATGTCAGGCTTGTGATCTGACAAATTGACTTGTGGAATCAACTTTCTACTCCTTGCCCCTGGCGCTGACCGACTCCCGGACTCAACACAGTTTGTCCGGGATTTGCTCATGCGTGTCGATCTCATCCGACTTTCGGGAAAGATACCCCCAGAACATGTTACACAGATTTGACTGCATGATGCATCTTTCCAAACAAGAACTGCCTTTCGTCACACCTGGGCATGTGCTCAATTCGGGTTCTGATAAACGAGGCGTGGAGGGCACTTGAAATATATTTAAGGAAAGGAAGTATCTTCTTTTTTTAATAAATGGTAAGAAGCCTTCCCTCTCCATCCTCCACCCTTTCCGCTGAGATATCAAAATGAGTCTGATACGCGATGCGCCCCTTGGGCAGCTGCTGCGATGGGTGACGGGAAATCGAGTTTTACTTTATCCAGAGGAAGATCCGAGCTTTGCCTTGGAGAGAGAAACCAGAGAAGGAACTCCCACCGAAAAATCAAACTCGCAACTCAACTCCCCATGTCCGTCTTCTGAAGGGCTTCATAATTCCTTCGCTCGGAAAGGGGAAGAATCAAAGCATGTGGTTGGCTGGTATGGGGACAACGACTCATCTTACCCAAGAAATTGGTCCACATGGAAGAAAAGACTTGTCGCATTGCAAATATGGTATGAGTTCAAATACACCTTTCCATTCCGAATCAAGAAATCTCCGAGCTCAGCTATTTGTTCCAGCCTCTATACATTTGTCGTGTACTGCGGTTCATCAATTTACGTTCCAGCTGAACCGTAAGTCAGCCACCTCTAAGTGAGACTCCAGTCTTCCGTGAAAGGCTCACATGTACTTCAGTCAAATAATGGAGCAGTTCCACGTGAGTCAAACCAAGGCCTCGTTGGGACTGGCCTTATATGTTCTGGGCTGTAAGTACTGTGATGTATCCAAATATGACAACACAACAGAGTCTAACTCGATCAATATATAGATGGAATCGGTCCACTCCTCTTTTCGCCATTGAGTGAAATTCCAGCACTGGGGCGCAATGTCCCTTATCTGAGTTCTTTTGTCGTATTTGTGATCATATCTGTACCCACCGCTTTAGTGGAAAATTACCCCGGTCTTATGATTTTGAGGTTTCTCCAAGGCTTCTTTGGCAGCCCATGTTTGGCCAGCGGCGGCGCTTCAATGGCAGATATGGTAAGCCCGATGCATATGACACCACTTCATACCTCTTTGAGCCATAGCTAATTGGTTGATAATTGTTAGTATGCTGACATTGATATACCGATGGGTTTGACTGGTTGGGTGGCTGCGGCCTACGGTGGCCCAGCACTTGGTCCTCTTCTGTCCGCTTATTCAGTTCCAGTAAAAGGGTAGGTTTTGTCATATCTGATCGACGCCATTATAGGTGATACCTTCTGACCATACTAGATGGCGATGGGCCATGTGGGAAATCCTTTGGATGAGTGGGCCTGTCCTTATCATTATGCTAGTCTTTCTTCCAGAGACATCTGCCGATACCATTTTATTACGTCGTGCCCAGCGAATTCGAAGGGCAACCAATAATCCAAACATCCGATCTCACGGCGAAATTTCCCAGGAACACTCGACCTTTTGGGGACTGATGGGTTTCTCACTTGTTAAGCCTATGGAGATCATGTTCAAAGACCCTGCCATACTTTTCACCAACATCTATACTTCACTGGTGTATGGAATATATTACTCATTTTTTGAGTCTTTTCCACTGGTTTATCCAGTGATTTATGGCTTCAGTCCTGGCCAGTCCGGTTTAGTTTTTGTTTCTCTGGCTGTTGCATGTGGAATTGGAATCGTGGCTTACATTACCTACCTGTACACATACATGATACCGGATCTCAAGAAACACGGTCATCGGAGCCAAGAACACCGCTTGATACCAGCTGTGATCGCGTCTCTTTTCCCTCCGGTTGGACTCTCTCTCTTCGGTAAGAATCAAGCTACTCATGATTTATTGAGACGAGATGTGCTAATGGGCATTAAACCCAGCATGGACTTCTAGAGAATCGATTCATTGGATCGTGGGCATTATTGGGATTTTATTATATGCAGCTGCGGTGTTCATCATCTTCCAGTGCATATTTGTCTACATTCCTCTCGTGTACCCACGTTACGCTGCTTCTCTTTTCGCCGGGAATGACTTCTCACGCTCTGCCTTTGCCTTTGCCTTCATATTATTCTCCAGGTTTATTTTCGTCGATTTGGGGATTGGAAAGGGCGTTACAGTGCTCGCCGGCTTGAGTGTCCTTGGGATTGTGAGTTTCGATGTTTGCCCATTGATCGCTAGCCTCCACCAGCTTTCGTCGATTGATCATACTTTTATCTTTTCGATTGGACTGGTTAAAACTAACATATGCACAGCTCGGAATGGTCGTACTCTACTTCTACGGTGGTAAGCTACGTGCTCGATCGAAGTTCACGGAGACCAAGGATGTTTAACCTTCACGGAATCACCAATCCACTCGTATTGCGTCTTATTCAAATGTTGGAGGGTACATAGTCATCGAGAGACGGAACACTCAGCCCTGAAGGCGGATATGCGGAGATATTTGAATTGACCAAGTACAATTTCGGAATAATTTTCCTGACCACGGCTCCATCTGAAACCTGCGAGCTTGTACCATGTAAATCGGTAGCGACTGAAACAACTCTGAAAGTAATCACAGCAGTGTACCAAGCACCTCATGTATCCCCGGGGTCATGTCCTTGTCATTACCAAATACTCCCATACTGGGGGCTGCGTAGCGTCCGATCCCGCAGTGTACTCTTCGATTTCGAGAATTGATGTTTCCATGGGAGCAATGCTTTCGTGAATGTTGATCAGAGACTTGAGCGGGATTGGAACTTTCGTGTTCACAAGGCATTTCAATAGAATGCATGCTCCATTGATTTGTCCTTGATCCAACAGGTGAATGCACGTCTGCCATTTCTGTCTTCATCCCATTGATACTGGCCTCCAAATTGTTGACGATTGGACTTGTTGCTTTTGTCACTGTCTGTCACTGCACCTGGCATGATCTTCTGAAGTTGTTCCTTCATCTCAGCCGACATCTCCTTTGTCTCGATCGATTGTGAATAGTGTGGTTGTCACTTCTGCATTTGTAATATCGATGCTGACTTGCAAGTTGTCATTCGTTGGGCTCATTGCTTCTGCAACTGCGTCTGCAATAATGTTCCGAACTTGTTCGCTCGCTTCATTTGACCTCTTGGTGGTTTCAATAGGTTGGCGATTCACTCTGGGTTCGCTTTGGATGTACCAGCATCAGTAGGCGCCGTTAGAAGGAATCTGCGGCCGACACACTTGACCCATTCACCAAGTATGGGTTGTAGTTCGCCTCTCCTATGGGTTTCGCACTGAACCAAGGCATTGTGTAGTCAAGTGTGTGCTCAAAAAATGAAAAGGTGGGAAGAAACAATGTTCCTCGTCAGTTTCCAAGTTGCCTAGGTGGTTTGTCTATTCCTGGAAGGTACGCTAGGCTCCGATCTGGGAATTCTTCCTTCCCTTTGATTGGGTTACCATATCGGGGGTAGCTTCCTGAATAATTTTACCACAACGTACAGCAAATTTAATGAAGCATTTAATTTGCACCGTTTACATCTAACATCCGATATGGTGTAGTGGCTAACATCGTCGTCTCTCACACGACAGCCGGGGGTTCGATTCCCCCTATCGGAGTCAACTTTTTGATGTTTTTGGATCCGATAAGGACCAATGCGACTTACTCTCAAAATCAGTAGTCCTCCCGAAAGACCATAATTTTTTCAACTTCCTTGCCAGCATTGTTGGTCTCAACCCAGGCCCGCCACATGCCACTGCAATTGAAGTCAAAAACGACCCGCCCATGATGCAGCTTAGTGTTCGCCGATCCAGGTCCTGCAAGTTCCGCCTCTATGCCGATCATGCCTCCTGAGCCCTCGCCTGTCAATTCCCATCTTGACCCAGCCGACCGTTGGAGCTCGCCCCCGGGCCCGGCTACGGCACTCACCGCGTCCGCTAGGCCCAATTGAAATTTGCTTGGAGAAAACCTCAGCATTGAGGCAGTGGTACGTGCAGCCGCGACGCGAAGGAACGAATCGCCATTCCCGGTTCCAGAGATTGCTATTGCACGCCTCCTGATGGGCTGTTGGGCAGATGATTCGAAATTTGGAGTCTTTTCAGAACCCGAGTCCGGTCGGTCGGAGTATTGGGCACTGTGAAGAGAAGAGTAACCAGGGGAGCTTGGACTCCATAAAAGCTGTGACATGCAATCCCCCAGATATGTTCTTGCATCGCGTAGGAGGTCGCCTACTGAAGATAGGTTTGATGTCGCCGTTTGACCAGCACTTGATACCAGTTCATCCCACGCCTCAGCCCAGAATCCTGCACCAAGAGTTGGTGTATCACCAGTGCGCCCGGGTAGTTTATTGGTCAGACCACCAGTGCTTGTCGCAACGGCAAGATTGCCCCATTGGTCCAGACAAACACATCCCACAGTACCTTGGCTCAAGGAAACAGGCTCTTCCTCACCCTTCAGACCTCGTATGTGCTCATCCCACCTTTTTTGCGTCCAGAACCACTCATCTGGTTTGAATTCGAGTCCCCAATCCCTGGCAAGAGTTTCAACATGAGGACCCGCTAGCTGGGAGTGCATATTGCCTCCATCATTGGAAGGCGTCCCGTCTGGGTTGATGCCTGATCTCAGTAGTGATTCACGGGCAAGGCGGATGGGGTGGCGGACGTTGCGAACACCCATGACACCCACACCACGTTTTATTGCACCTGGTTGTGCTGCATCGTACGGCTGCACGGATGTAACCATGACCGAGGCTTCCATCTCGATCGTGCCTTCGGTGGTAAAGACGCTACCTCGACCGCAGTTGAACAGGGGGTCATCTTCTAGTAAAGAGACTGCATGGACGGCTGCGTCTAGGGCTGTGGCGCCATTTTTGAGGAGGTTGTTGGTTGAGCGGAGGTAGGATTGGAGCGAGGCATGGTGGGCGGCATAAAGATCAGGTGGTAGCTTTGAGCGATAGAAGGTGCCTGCACCACCGTGAATGATCAGAGTTGGCTCGAAAGTTGCAGACATGATGATCCCTGGGCAATAGCAAATGCCATGGTTTGGGTGGAGAGTGCGGGGAAACTCAAAGCGGAGTCAACAGTGGATTCTCGAGATCTGTCAACATACATAGATCTCAGCCCCGTGTTCAGGTGGCGATCGTGATTGAAGCGGGTACTTTGTTTTCAGAAGCGTTCAAAGTCTTCGCAACTTGCATTTATCGAGTATATCAAGATCAATTCTTCATGATTACTGCAACACCAGCCCGAAGATGTGATCTATCAACACTGGAAGTATCGGAATATCTTTCATCCCGGCATCCATAGGTTTGCATGTGCCCAGGTGAGCAACTGGTCAATTTTGCGGCCTCTATGATAACGATCGCAGCCATTATAAGCCTCGGACTCAGGTTTCCAAGCAGACTGTTAGAAAGCTCTGTGATGAATTCTGATATGATGAACGATATGCCACTCTCTATCTCGATATATTACGATATCAGGTACGGTATAGCCTTGGAATATTTCAAAAAACATTGCGAAAGACAGTAAAAAAGACAGTAAAGTTTTCAAGGTCCCAAGATTATTGGATGAAGGTCAGGCAGACTGAAAAGTGTATTCTAAAGTATTGGAGGTTCAATACTTATTAAATACATTTGTGCATACATGCAATAGAATATTTGACGGCGAACATGTATTATCTTCACAAACAACTAGGTATGCGAGGAAGGCAAGTATAGAAATTCCTTGGGCAGGCAGTCCGGTTTCCTACAACAAAAGAGCTGTACCTGGGTCCGCGGAGTGTTGATCCGCATTCCCGAGGTATGCATCCATGAATGGCCAGAACAAAGAATCTTGAGACCGGGTGAGGAGAGCAGATAGATATCTGGGGAGAGGCTTGAGCACAGTAAAAGTCTGTCCGGCACTCCTAATCCGAATCTTGAAATAGAACCCAGGCTCGTTCCCCAGATACAATTGGATGTTGATCTCCTGAAGCGCCCGAGATGTCGGTGGCGAACGGGAACATATCGACACGTGACCATATCCGTTCAAGATAAGAAAAGTCCGCTCGCCCTTATCGTCCACGGGTGTTGTTGTTCGATCCAGTCGCATATATCCTCGCCTCTACCATCGACTACCGCGGTCTTCAATTAAACCCGGTTTTTATACTCCCGCCCCCTCGGTCGACCAAATATCTTTACTATGGACCACTCTCGGGATCCCTGCCCATATGTCGCCCTGAGCGATTTCGGTGGTGCCTTTTGTATGGGTGTATGTTCTGATCGTTCTCACATGCCCATCTCAAAAACAGTTGAATTGACCTCGTTTTTCTACAGGCTATCGGAGGTGCAGTCTGGCACGGTATCAAGGGGTTCCGCAACAGTCCCTACGGCGAGCGACGGATAGGTGCTCTCACAGCCATCAAGGCTCGCGCTCCTGTTCTGGGTGGTAACTTTGGTGTTTGGGGTGGTCTCTTCAGCACAGTACGTTCAAACCCTCGTCGTTCCTGAACCTGTTTCAGCAGTCAGCAGACATCGCTGACATCCACAAGTACGATTGCGCCATCAAGGGCATTCGCAAAACAGAAGATCCCTGGAACGCGATCAGTGCCGGTTTCCTGACTGGTGGCTCTCTCGCTATCCGTGGTGGTGTCAAGGCCGCCCGCAACTCCGCTATCATGTGTGCTGTTTTCCTGGCTGTCATTGAAGGTGTCGGCATCGGTTTCCAGCGCATGATGGCCGACAACACAAAGCTCGAGCTTCCTCCTCTTCCTCCCTCCGAGCAAAAGGCACTCGCTTAAACGATGCCGAATTCGCCCTCTCTCACTCTCGCATCCACACTACCATGCGATCGTTCTCATTACACGGTCGCCTATAACTGCACATTTCGCGATTCCTCGTTTTATATCATACATGAGCATATGTTTAGGTGTTTGGCCCGGATCATTATTTTACGGCACGGAGGTTCTCGGCTTTTACTCTCCCCCTCTTGTCGCGCTTTCGCATCGCCCTTCCGCCGATTGTGCCCTTGGAACTATAATGCTTGGATGGCGGGCTTGTCCTGCATGCAGTTCTGGGCATTTTTGAGCGACTGTTGGGGGCTTTCGCCCTTCAAAAGTAAATCTCCTACTCATCCTGCCAGAAGCATATGGCACATATAGAATTCTGTACATTAACGCATAGATACCGTCATAATACGCAATTTACTTCATCTTCACTGGATTCGATATCATTCGTTACACTCATCAGGTTTGGATTGACCATCGGGTATCATGCTTTAAAATAATACAATTGGGCCGTTGGGCCATGCAAGAGCAAAACATAAGTGGTCGTCATGATGGCAGGTTCCAGATGAAATCTAAAGCGCCACCCTCATACATGGGGAACTGGCCACTGTTGCTCATCCCAAAGGGGGCCATGGATGGATCAAAAGGCAGAGAAAGCCAGTCATCTGAACTGATCTCGTTTAGGGATGGAATGAGCCCCAGGTCTGGCGTGAGGTCCTGTGATACCGGGGTGTTCATGGCATGCGAGCGATTCCCAGAGTCCGGCCAGTGCGGCGGTCCCATTGAAGATGTGCGCGTAGCGCCCCGGCTATTCTTGACAGTTCTGGAAGAAGCAAGCAGGTTCCGGCGCAGTCGCGAGACATGCATATCCAGCAAGGTGGCATAGCGGGTGCTGAGGTGGACATCATCCAGTGCATTGGATTTGAGTGCCTTGATGCTTTTTTCTAGGATCTCAAGTGAGTCATGGAGTTTTGCTTGCCGGGTACCTAGACTGAGGGCCTTCATCAAGAAGATCGATGCACTCGTGATGCGAAGCACGATGCGAACTGGTGAAAATCGCAACGCGTCTGCGTCCGCCAGGTGGGTCACCTTTTGCAATATTTGACAACATCCGTCGATCACTTCTTGAATGTATTCATAGTCTGTTGGGTTGATGGTCATCGGTCGTACCTCCTCGAAGTTGTTGGTATCATTCTCTGCCACTGCACGTTCTACAACGGCCTGCATCCCCACTGAGTGGGTGTACACGCGAACAAAGTGGTATTCAATAAAAAGATCATTGAAAAATGCCTTATCAAGTACCTGGGGTTGAAGGTACTTGTCTTTCCATTGATCGAGTAGCGGTCGGAAATGTTCCAGTAGGCCCACATAGCGACCACTGTGCAGTTGCTGGCGTGCGAATGCGGCAGAAGGGAAGAACATGTCAGTCACGGACTTGGCGAGCTTGGTTAGCTCAATCCACGAGTCCATGAATGTGAGCCACGTGCTCCCAGGCGGGCTGAGCCCTTGTGGCTTTCGCCCACCAAGAATAGCATGGTTCAATGACTGGGGAATAGGCGACATGCATCCAATTCGCCAGGCTAGTTGGTTGATGTACACGTATAGAAGACGCTGTACACGCTGCCAACGGAGAGTCATCTGATCTCTCCATTCTGGCTCTTCCGCTGGCGAGCTGCTCTCCTCTGTTTCGAATATTCCCAACTCGTGGGCGAGAGATAGTGCACATCCCAGCAGCATCCAAGACATTTGGTCCGATCGTCGAGCTGGCTCGATCATGTCTTCAACCCAACGGCCGGCTGGCGCTGAGTTCGACTCGCTGCTCTCATGATACTTGGGTGCTGATGGTATTAGATCGTCATCCCAGCCATCGGTTTCGGGCGGGAAATGCAGTGAGCGAGGATGCCACTCTGAGATCAGAAGCAGTGCTTCCACGGTACCAAGACTTCGCACTTTCGACTTGGTGGACTTCTCTTGCCCAAAGATCAACCTCATTGTGAGTTGTTGGCAATGTTGCCAGAGGCGGTGGTGGATGAAGAAATTCCTTGACTCTCCCCCAGCGCCAGGAAGAACATGATAGCGAGACGATATCATTAGAATTGTACAGCAAAGGACTGGCTCCCGGGTGATCAGCCAATAATGATAGCGATGATTAGCGTAAAAGTCGGTGAGAATAGGTGATAAACAAGACATGTTTTTGTAGAACCTGTCATTAAGTTAGCCTTCAATCAAAAACATCGTGAACGGTGAGTACTGACAGGTCGATAAGGGTCACAGCCTCGCTAGCAGTGAACCAGCCCATTTTGACGAACCGACATGCCTCCCATACATTGAGGGTATCCTGGGCAGCACTAGATAGCTGAACTGGACGAATTACTCGAGTGACTGGCTCGAATGCAGTATCGTAATTTCCTGGAGTTTGGTGTTGGCTCGGGCCTGTCGATTGACCACCGCTGCCTGACTCAGGACTGGCATCAGTGTGACTCTCCTCTTGGGCAGTTGCTGCCTCGAAAAGAATGTTCAATGCGTCATTCCCACTAGCAACAACAGTTCGCATCATAGAGCTGGACAGCGAAGAGTTTGATCGATGCTTGGTGGTTTCGTGTGGATGAGACAAATTTTGATTAGACTGAAGAGGTTCAACAGCGCCATTGTGAGTGAAAGCGCCATTTTTTGGGGGCGATATTCCATTTGGATATGACCACCCAGATTGTAGATTGGGCGATTGCTGGAAGTTGTTTGCCTCGGGCGTAGGGTTGCTCAAGTCGCTCGCACGACGAGAGTAGTCAGTGCGACCCTGAGAACGAATCGAGTCTTCCGGCGAAGTTGCCGTCAGCTGTCGGACATGCCGGGGTGATTCATCGGGCTCATAGCTCCCAGGTGATCGAGCTAGAGCCGACCAGTCAGATATCAACAAATTTTCGACATGGTCAGCATTGTATTCCAACCTACCTCGTTTGCGGGACCTCTCCCAGGCCCGTTTCTCGGGAAATACACACTCTCTCAGCTCTCTACGGCAACGCGCGCATGGTGGGCCGATCGGAAGACCGTCTGAATCGGTTCCTAGGTCGCATTTGGCCTTGCGCTGCCGGCAAGGGATGCATGCCTTGTAGGTGCGCTGGTACGGCTTGTCCGGGCGGGATGGCCTGACACCATCCATCGTCAACCGTTCCTGAGCGGGCTCAGGGGCTTCAAGTGGACTTTGTGGGTATTCTGCGATGATACCATGGACATTGCCAGGGCATGGAGGTGAGATGCGACGACAAGGATAATTAGCCGGCGGTAGCCGCCCCGCCCCGCGTCAGCTCCTTCACGGCAGCCATGAGAGGAACGGACCTTCAACAAATGGGAAATTTGCTAATATAAACAGGAGAGAAGGTTCGATTTCTGCACGACTTCAAGGCTAGGCTATTGAGTTTATATTATTCGCCGTCAAGTTAGGGTCAATTCATGCATGTCACTAGGTGCCCCTGCGTGGGGTGACGAAGAGTACAATTCAGAGATGTGTTGCACCTAGTCAACACATCTCAATTGAGAATAGTATGCAAGAAGAGATTTAAACACCACCCTGAAATGCAATCCGGTCAATTGAGTCTCGGGTTGAGCCTCGGGCCAGTAGTGAAATTGATTCCTGAAGATTATGGCATCACTACGGAGTACCCAGAGACAAAGTAACTGACTAATTGACTATTGGCAGCTGGGCACAGTGCATATTATGACGAATTCCAGAACATCCGAGCATATAACCTGCCGAGCCACCGACGAAAGGACAAAAGACTAGTGTCTGAGGATCAGAGCGGAAATGTGCAGCGCTTGGGCTCGGGTGTCCAACCCCCGGAATTCATTCCGCGCTGGACTATACCCGTCAAACAGCATGTCTTCCTATATCTGGCGAGGTTGACGGGACACATGATCCGCTGTCCACGGGTTGAATCCATGTAACAGTGTATATTATGCGAGCTTCATAGTAAAGTTTTTCTTCCTTCCGAGAACCCCTTGTCCTTTTATAAAGCTTGAAGCGTATCGAAGACCAGCTCTTAGTATACCACGCATCGTACAAAATGACAGAGACAGTGACTCTCCATACCTACTTCCGATCCTCCTGCTCCGCACGGCTGCGTATTGCCCTGCATCTCAAGAAGATCCCTTTCAAGCCAGTTTACGTGAACTTGTTGAAGGGCGAGCAGTCATCCCCAGCCCATCTATCCATCAACCCATCAGGCACCGTTCCCACACTCGTCGTCCAGCGTGACTCCAAAGACCCGGTCGTAATAACTCAGTCACTTGCGGCCCTGGAATACCTGGAGGATGCATTCCCAGACAAGGGCCCAGCTCTGTTGCCTCCGACTTCGGATCCGGAGCGTCGCGCACTTGTGCGCACACTATCACAGATCATCGGATGTGATATTCAGCCAGTCACAAATTTGAGGATCCTCAAGCGAGTTGCGCCCCTGGGTGCTGACCGAGCAGGTTGGTCCAAGGATTTGATCGAAGATGGATTAAGGGCTTATGAGGCTATTGTTGCCAAATCCGCGGGCAAGTTCAGTGTCGGGGATCAGATTACTATCGCTGATTTGTGTTTGATTCCTGCTGCTTGGGGCGCTGAGAGAGTTGGTGTTGATTTGAGGACATTTCCGGTGACAAGTTCAATTGTGAAGAACTTGGAAGAAGAGGAGGCTGTCAAGTTGGGTCATTGGACGACTCAAGATGATACACCAGAGGAATTGCGGGTTGTGGGTTAGTTAGTCAAAATTCCATTCTTGTGGATTGGGAATTGGTTGCCCTTATCTCAATGATTGCTTTGACTTATATGACATGGTAAACTTTCTACAGACTGCTCAATAAGGCTGAACATAAGATGATAGCATTCTAGATAAATAACTAATTTTTGAAAATTACTGCAGAGGGACAGCAGGCAGGATGGTGCCAACACAGTCGCCAAAGCCGACATAGTTACCCTCAGTGCCCGCCATTCCGCGGAGGGTAACTGTATCACCATCCTCCAAGAACATGCGCTCGGAACCATCAGCCAACTTCAAGGGTGTCTTTCCGTTGGTCTGCTCCAGGAAGCTACCCTGAGACTTGGCCTCGGTGCCAGAGATGGTGCCGGATCCGAGTAAGTCACCGGTGCGCAGATTGCAACCCGTGATTGTGTGGTGAGCGACCATCTGGGGGAAAGAATAGAGTAGGTTACGGGCATTGCTCTTGGAAATCAAGGTTGGTTGGCCGCCTTGGTTCGTGACCTCGACGTCGAGGGGGATTTCGTAAGCACTTTCAGCACGCTTCTCGCGCAGGTAAGGCAGAAGCGACTCGCGGTTGCCAGGCTCGAGACCAGCCGCGCGGAAGGGCTCAAGGGCATCAATCAAGACAACCCAAGGAGTGATAGTAGTACCGAAGTTCTTGGCATTGAAGGGACCCAGGGGGATGTATTCCCAAGCCTGGATATCACGGGCGGACCAGTCGTTCATGAGCACCAGACCGAAAATGTGGTCCTCAGCCTCATCAATTGGGACAGGCTTGCCGAGATCATTGGGCTTGCTGATAAAGCATGCAAGCTCCAACTCAATATCAAGCTTCTTGCAGGGGGAGAAGGTAGGGACTTTGGGATCGGCGGCTGGGTTGGCGAGGATTTGACCCTGAGGACGGTGCAAAGACGTGCCTGAAGGAACCACCGAAGAGGCACGGCCGTGGTATGCTACAGGCAGATGCTTGTAATTAGGCTGGAGAGCATTATCCGGACCGCGGAAGAGGACTCCAATGTTATAGGCGTGGTTCAGACCGGCGTAGAAATCAGTGTAGTCGCCGATCTGCATGGGAACGTGGTTGGTGACCTGGGACAATGGCAGAAGCGCCGACTTCTGCAAAGACGCATTGTCCTTGAGGATCTGAGGGAATTGGGTGTCCGCGCGGAATACGTTCTGTAGGTACTCGCGCACCTGTCGATGCACAGGACGACCGAGCGCAGCGAAGTCGTTCAGTGTTGGCTGGCTGAAAACTGCCAGATGCTGTTGGATCGCTGGAAGCTGTGAAAAGCCTCCGGAGGAAGCAAAATCGCTCAGGTTCAGCGCATGATCACCGATAGCGATTGCGGCAACTTTTGATGCAGACTGCGCCGAGATGATGCCGAACGGGATGTTGGCCAGCGAAAAGGGAGAGTTCCTGGGAATTTGGAGCCAGGATGCCATGATGAAAGTAATTTGAAAAAGTGAGAAAGAAGCCCAGAATGATCCTAACAGTCTAATATTTACAGGCCAACAGTGCGGAAATGTCCCGCTCCCCCGCATCCAAGCGGCGCGGAAGGGGAGGGTAATCGCGGGAATTTCCATCCGCGGTTGTGACGTTTGTTGCTTTGCTTCGTCCTCGGCCTTGTCTTTAAGCCCAAAAGCTCGCATTTAATACTCTCCACATAGGACTAAGCACATAACACATTAAGCATCACTCAAAATGCCAGTCACAAACTTCAAACACCCCGATCCCTACAAATACCAGACAGGCTTCGACTCGCACCACGAGTATGTGTTTGTTCTTCAATTCCAAAAGTTAAATTTAACAAGTTACCAGAAGTGAAGCAATCGAAGGGGCCCTTCCAATCGGTCAGAACTCTCCCCAGAAAGCTCCATATGGGCTGTATACCGAGAAGCTCTCGGGCACTGCCTTCACCGCACCCCGCCGCGAGAACAAACAAACATGGGTCTACCGCATCTTACCAGCTGCAGCTCACGAGAATTTCATTGCTGAAGATGTCGACTCATATCACACCAGCATGACGACTGAGACGCAGAAGCTTCATCACATTCCGAACCAGCTGCGGTGGAATCCGTTCGACCTTGACGAAAAGGTAGACTGGGTGCATGGATTACATTTGATCGCAGGATCGGGTGACCCAACATTGAAGCAAGGTCTAGGAATCTTACTTTATGCGGCTGGTAAGGATATGGGCAAAGAGGCCTTTTATTCTGCGGACGGTGATTTCTTGATTGTCCCTCAGCACGGTGTGCTGGATATTCAAACCGAGCTCGGTCGCATCATTCTCCGACCGAATGAGATATGTGTCATTCCGCGTGGTGTGAGGTACGTGCAAGCTTCGTCCCCCAGAACTATCTTCTTATTGACATTGGTCTTTCAGATACCGAGTAACCCTCCCGGATGGCCCTGTGCGGGGCTACATCTGTGAACTATACCAGGGTCACTATGAGCTTCCCGAGCTAGGCCCCATTGGCTCCAACTGCTTGGCCAATTCGCGTGATTTCCAAGCGCCCGTGGCGGATTTCGACGACGAAGACGAAACCGAATACAAGCTTTACAGCAAGTTCAACAACACCCTGTTCTCCGCCAAGCAGAATCACACCCCGTTCGATGTTGTCGCTTGGCATGGAAACTACTATCCTTACAAGTATGATCTGGGTCGATTCAACACCATTGGATCTATCTCGTTCGATCATCCCGATCCCTCCATCTTCACCGTGTTGACAGGTCCTTCGGACCATGTTGGCACGGCTATCGCTGATTTCGTCATCTTCCCACCACGTTGGCTGGTGGCCGAGGGAACCTTCCGGCCACCATGGTACCACCGCAACACCATGTCGGAGTTCATGGGTCTGGTCGCTGGTGATTATGACGCGAAGGTTGGTGGTGGCTTCCGACCGGCGGGTGCCAGTCTGCATAATGTAATGAGTGCACATGGTCCAGACTCGGGTGCTTTCGAGGGTGCCAGCAATGCAGAATTGAAGCCGACCAAGGTGGGAGATGGAAGCATGGCTTTCATGTTTGAAAGGTGAGTTCTATACATTCATCCGCCTAAAATAGCTTCTGACAATGGGTTTAGTTCTCTCATGGTTGGTGTTTCAGAGTGGGGATTGAAGCAGTGCCAGAAGGTACAGCCAGAGTATAACGAGCACAGCTGGAAGCCTTTGAAGCGCCACTTTGTCAACCCTCTCAAGAAGACTTGAGCGGTTGAAATTCAACGAGTAAAATGTTTGATACTCAGTAGATCTCGGTTTGTATTTATCTTATTCTAGCCTTGGAAATACTTGAAACCAACTTCACTCGTGAAATTGCCGGCCACTAAAGATGCTGAGACGTACCTAATGAAGAAGTTTTTTGTATCAAATTCTATTAGAAGAGAGATTTATAGACACTATTCACCCCTCAAGCTCCTTCTTCAAGGCTTCCTTCACAATGGCACCGCACATCTTTGCATAGGGATTTGTCTGAACAGCAAGCTGCTGTGCAACTTTATTTCCATATCGACCACCGAAAAAGAAATCCTGGCTCGCCATTTCCTCCAGTTGATCAGAAGTAAGGTCGCGCAGGCGTTCCGGCCCCGTCTGACTGTCTTCAGGATAACTTTTCTTAACTCGAGCTGCTTTCAAAAGGAGGTAGCCTCGATGTGTGTGTGCATCAGCCAAAAGACGTGCTTGTGCGCCTGAGACAGGATCGGCAGGAGAGGCGGGCGTAGCGAGTTTGATGGCTTGACCTAGATCTGAAAAGATGCGGGAGCATAGTTGAGAAGTCTGTGGAGAAAACAAAGCACCATCTCTCAGTTCAGTACTGGGGTCTCCGCCGCCGCCGGTTTCTTTGTTGTAAATCAAGTCGGCCAGCAGCCGTAGTGTTTGGGCTCGGTTTATGTATGCGGATGGATATGTTTGGTTCTGCAAAATAAGATCGTCGAATTTATTTAATGCAAATTTGACATCTTCTTGGCTTGGTGATTCTTCTCCTTGCACCTTGCGGATTATGTCTGATTCGCGCTCCTTGAGCATAGCCAGGGTTGGCTCGGAAATGTTTAGTGATGAAGGCCAAATTGGAAGAGAAGAGTCGACGGTGATCCCTGACGAGGGGGAGGATTCAGCGTCAAAGAGGGCTTGAAGGACGGCTGAATCATTTGAGGTTAATGATGGCCGCGCTGGGGTGATGGAAGTCATGTTGAATTCTGCTCAATGATCCGCGGATATGTTGATGAAAAAATAGCAGAGTGCTTCGAGATGGTCAGGGTGATTGAATCAGTAGAAGGGCGTAGTGAAAAAAAGAAAGGAGAAATTTGGACAAAAAGAAGATATGATTGATGCGCGGATGTTGACAATGATCTCAGTGCGGATATTTCCGGCTATTACAGGGTCCTGCAATAGCCGGGAGGTAGATGCCTCCAAAGTTGCAAGGCGCCGATCTAAAAGATACCCGAAAGAAAGAACGGATACTGGAGGTACTCCAGAGTTCCCATTTACACTTAAAAGCAAAGCGTGGCTTTAATTTGCTAGATATCATTCAACCTCTTCCTTACTCCCTCAAAGCCTTTTAGACCCTTCAAACACATAAATCAAAATGGCACCATCAGCTATTTCCAATACGCCGCCTCCTTCCACTGCTGGTGACACTTCTTCTGTGTCTAGCTACCGCGGATATGACCATGTCCACTGGTATGTGGGCAATGCAAAGCAAGCCGCCAGCTACTACATCACCCGCATGGGCTTCAAGCGGGTTGCCTACAAGGGCCTGGAGACCAACAGTCGCAATATTTGCTCTCATGTCATCAAAAACGGCGACATTACTTTCATCCTAAGTTCTCCTCTGCGGTCACTTGACCAAATCGACCGTTTCGGGCCCGAGGAACAAGCAGAGCTACGGGAGATCCACGAACACTACGAGAAGCATGGTGACGCAGTCAAGGATGTTGCTTTCGAGGTTGATGACGTTGATGCTGTCTTCTTCGCTGCTGTGAAGAATGGTGCCAAGGCTGTTTCGCAGCCCAGAATTCTCGAGGACAAAGATGGCCATGTGAAGACTGCGACTATCAAGACTTACGGCGAGACGACGCATACTCTCATCGAGCGTAACCACTACCGTGGCGCGTTCATGCCCGGATATCGTGCTGAGGCTGGAGATGCGGACCCAATCTTGAAGTTCCTACCTGAGGTTCGTCTCGGGAAGATTGACCACTGCGTTGGAAACCAAGACTGGGATGAGATGGACGAGATCTGCGAGTAGTAAGTGACAGCAACGCGGCTGGAAATCATGACAGACCACTGACCTCTGAATTCAGCTATGAGAAAGCCCTTGGATTCCACCGCTTCTGGTCTGTTGACGATAGCCAAGTTTGCACGTGAGTCTTTCTGCTTTTGGTAGTGACCTTTGGCAGTCTGCTGACCTGATAAGTGAATTCTCTGCATTAAAGAGTATTGTCATGGCTTCGCCAAACGAGATTGTAAAGATGCCCATCAACGAGCCAGCAAAGGGAAAGAAGCAGTCCCAGATCGAGGAATACGTGGACTTCTACAACGGGGCGGGCGTGCAGCACATTGCACTACACACCGATGATATTATTCGTGATATCACCAACCTCAAGGCAAGAGGTGTTGAGTTTATCAAGGTTCCCGACACATACTACACGGATATCCAAGTCAGACTTAAACAGTCTGGCCTGAAGCTACAGGAGGATTTCGAGACAATCCGCAGTCTGGATATCCTGATCGACTTCGATGAGGGTGGCTACCTCTTGCAGCTCTTCACCAAGGTATGTAATACTTTATTTGCTCTTTATTTATAGACACTAATCTCTGCAATAGCACATTCTTGACCGACCTACCGTCTTCATCGAGATCATTCAGCGGCACAATTTTGAAGGCTTCGGAGCGGGCAACTTCAAATCATTGTTCGAAGCAATTGAACGGGAGCAAGAGCTTCGTGGCAATTTGATCTAACGCCAAAAATGATGTGCTCGGGGGTAAGACAGGTCTTCAAGTACTTGCATTCTGTATTTAGCGATTCCAAGAACATATCTCTATGAATATTTTTTCTACTTTTTCAAGGTTCACTTGTAAATCAAACCAAGTTCGCTTTTGAGGCTGGGATCATTTCCAATAGATATATAGTACAGAGACCAGCCTTGGAAACAGTCCACAACTGAATTTGAACCTTGGAAGGATCCGTGGACCAAGCCGCTGCGGCCACCTGCATTGAGTCTAAATGTATGAAGAATTGGGCACTGTTATGATTCTGTTCCTAATATCGGTCCGTCTATTTGCGTTTCGATGTCTTCGACGTGGGAGCATTCCCTCCAACTCTCTTGAACTTTCTCGGATCTACCAGCATGTTAGATAGCCATCACAGCTAAACCCAAAGGAAAGCACTTACCTTTTCGGCTCATCAGGGCACGGTTTCTTGTTCCCTTTCCGCCTTCCCAGAATCCACTTCCTGCTTTGCCAATAAGAACAGCTTTACAAATACCACAATTTTCGGGTCTGTAGATTTGTTCGCGTGAACAATAACCACAAATCATACGGTTGGCATGCTCGTTTGGGTGGTCGGTCTCCGCATCGTGACATCTAAATAAGAAGTCAGCATGCGTGAAAAACAAGAGGGAGCTTGTGTCAGAAAAACATACTTATCACACGGGAAGACTTTAGAACAGCAGCTGAATCTGTGGAAAATTAGTGACCGTAGCCATACTGGGCCCAAGAGGGAAACATACCTAAACCAGCGTTGACTTTTGGCATAATGCTGACAGCGACCACGTCGGGGAAGCTCCTGTCCTGCCACAATTCCGAGAACCTCCTGAGGCTAAATGTGAGTTTAGCATATTGCTCAAATAATTTGGCAAGCGAGACAAACCTTTCTCTTAAGAGGAAGAGCCCCACGAGCAGAGACTAGAGATCACAGTAAGCAAGGGCATACAGCCAGGGTTCCTGATGTTTAACACTCACTTGCTGCACTGCCCACCAACAAGAACTTCACTTCGGGAACCTTGAAAACTAAAATTTATATATTAGCAGCTGTGGCTGGTGCCAGAACACCTCAGAACCTACCCATTTTACGATGACACTGGCGGCAGATAGCCATTGCGCTTTCACCACGAACAGCAGGGACACCAGGTGCAGGATGAGCAGTCGAACACTCTGAACAGGTAGGAATGAAGTCGCTACAGCCAGGGACGTTAGCACAAAGCAATCAAAAAAATGAAAAATAGAGACCAAGACCAACCTAAGCAGCATATCTCCAATCGTACAGCCATCCAAGTCGATATATCCAGCGCGATTAGCATGAGAATGCATCAACTGCCTGCGGAAGGCTATGAAATCGAGTGTCAGCATGCCACTAGAATCAATGTACTAGCTCATTTGTCCACTTACCAACACTCATGTTGTTAGCACACTTTTTGCAAGACTCCTGCTTCGCCATTTGGCCTTTCTCGTCTGTGATCTGCGGCACATTCTTGATATCCACTGCAACCTTGCACCTATCACATTTCACAGTGATGTTGAGGCAAGTGAGTTCCAGCAGCTCGATTCCATATAGCTCCAGATACGGGAAAGACAGTGCAACGCCCCGCCCAGGCGCATTGTTGTCCACTGCCACAGGAACAGGCGCACCGCCTTCTTCGTCTTCTTCGTCTGAAAATTCATCCTCGTCGTAGCTTGATTCATCTGATATTCCTTCACCGCCGCTATGGGTGTCTGGAACTGACCACTCGGGCGGGCGGGGAATGACGTGAAGATGCGGCCGGTCTTCGTCGTCATGCGCTGGCAGTTCAGGAGGGGCTGTGGAAAGATCAACGTCTTCGGTCTCTTCCTCTTCTACCTCTAGCGGAATAAGGTCGGTAGACTCTTCATGATCTGGCAGAGATGTCTCGGCAAATTTATGGATATTGCTCGCGAGGTAGTTGATCTGAGACACCAGACTTAGTTGGGAAGTCTGTTGAACCCATTGAGTAAATCCGAGTTCTGTAGCCTTGGTCTCATTGCCTTCAACACCCTGAAGCTTGATTGAACTTTGTTCGAGTGGGTACAAGGGGGGCACAATCAGCTTCACAGTCTTCAATGCCTGAATCGCTCTTGGTAAGCGATCCTTCTTGGTGGGCTGAATCGGTATAACGTATGTCTTGCCGTCTGGCGCTTTTTGAAACATAGGAAGTCTACCAAGTCGCGCTTCCAATTGCTTTGTCTCGAGTGCGCGGCGTTTTTCAGCTGCAGCTTTGGCCTCAGCGGTATGCTTAGGTACCACTCTCTGTGGCTGCAAATTCCGTTGGGGCTGAGCAGCACTCGAGGCTGGCAATTTAGCTTGAGCAACGCTTGGCTGGCCTGTGACTTTCTCTGGAGCTTTGATGGGCTCTTTGGCCGTTGCTGGGTCCCCATGATTAGCAAAGAATTTGAGCGTCGGCCCTCGCTCCAAGGTCGTGAGCAGAGGCTCGAGCTTCTTGTCTAGACTGTTCAGCCACCCCAGTAGCGTTCCTCGGCCATTAGTTCGATAAGTGAAATCGACAATATCATCAAAGCCACGGGCGACGTTTGCTTGGTATGCAGATTCCATCTCAGAATTACTGACTGTAAGCGTGGGACGCGCTTGCGGGTACGACTTGGGAACATGGAGTATGCATTGAAGCCTTTCCAACTCGAATGGGAAGTCGGGATCCGAGGGGACCAATCCGAAGGTCAGCGTAGTGCCTTGATCATCATTGGTCTCGTGCGGGCGATAACGCCGCCTCAATTGATTGACTTGGAACTCTCGTGGGTTCGACTGTTCCATCGAAGAAACAGGTCTCTGAGGTTGGACAGAAGTAGTGTCAGTTGATTTTTTAGCTGACTGAGACCCACTGAGGGACATGTTCCGGGTCTCGGCGACAAGATTTTGGGTTGATATCGAAGTAGTATCATCAGAAGCTTTAGTGGGACCTTGCTGTTTCGATTGTACCTCTTTGGGCTCGAGAGCCGAGGCATCGTGCAGGTATGGGCAAGCTACACCCATGCGACATCCTTGAGCAATGTTAGCATTTGATCTGAATGGCACATGTCGTGATGGCAGGTGATCGGAGTGTCAAATAGGAGCGAGGCAAACATAGAGGTCAGCTATATCATGCAATGATAGACATGACCTCGGTATCATTCTTTGTCGAACATGAAAGATACTGTATAAAAAGATTCCCAAAAGGGCTTACTTGTAGTACCCGAGATACAACGGCGCGTATTCAATGATAATTCCACCATTGCAGGGACAAGATGGGGCCAAGACTCCTTACAGATCATGAACTCAAAAGTGAAGGCTTACCCTTTTTCGTTTTGAAGAAACGACACTTGCCCTGTGGCCTAGTCGATGACTGGCGGGCAGCACTCGACTCATTTGTGGATGCGACGCCATGAGACCGGGCCTCTGACAACTCATCGTTGGTCAATGAAGATGGCAACTCTGTACCTGTTCAATGAAAAGCATGAGCGTGTGATCAAAAAGGTTGCGGGCCGCGGAGTTTGATCTAGGCGTATTGGCGAGGGGCTACACGCCCGAGAGCACGGGGATGACGGGCTGGGTGGCAGATGCAACATGTGGTGCATGGACATGCAACAGGGGCTGAAATACGAAAGCATTTGTGTGGAGGTCGACCCAGAAGAATAACTCGAGTAGATCTCTTGGAGTTGATTGGGACAAAAGGCTCCGACTGGGCTTTCACAGAAAAGCCAATAATAGAACAGTGCTCAACTCACCTGGAACCTGGGGTGCTGGACCCGCATGGTCGTCAAATGACCCATCTGCCATGCTGATTCGGAGCCTCGAGCTGTTTCGCAAAGGAAGATCCAGACCGGGGGCACCTGCTGGGGTCTGTAGGTGACGTGAGTGCCAGCGCAGAGATCGGGTGACCTTGAAAAGATCGACAGGACCAGATCTGCGCAGTAGGTAAGCCGAGATGTGCGACCGTCAGAGATCTTCAAAAATCACAGGGTTTAGCAAAATGGAATAAGACAAGGGAAGCTCTGTACAGTAATTCCCACGTGACAAGAAGAGACTGAAGCTCTCAGCTAAGTACCGCAGCACACAGTGGGGGTGAAGTTATACAAACTGTTGATGCCAAGACTTTAGCGGAACCGATGATCTCATTTGACTCATCAAATTATCTTCCTGAGTCATTCTGAACAATGTGGATTTGCGGTACGGAGTAGAGGCGAATGTATTCGATATTTCTGGGGTAATACTGAAGTGGGAGTCCACAAATCACTGCCCCTCAGCATTTCATCGAGCTCGATGACACAACATACGAGTGTGACTACTATGTACAATTTAACCGAGGCCAGCTTCAGCTGCACATCTTCGTGCTCTCTACGGAGTATACGGAGTAATGGAAAAGGGATCTAAAAGGAATCTGATGAGCGAATTTTTCGCGCTCATCAACTGCAACCCCTAGTACTCCGTATATCCCAAAGCAGGGCGTTTGCCCCGATCCAGAATAAGAATTGCGAATACTAAATGCACCCCGAGTATTCCAAAATGAAACAGCATACAAGGGATTCATTGCCACCACAACCCATTTCACTCGAGGGACCAAAGAGGCAATAAGCAGAAGGAAACAGGATTCCGGAATCCTGACTGCCTCGCTGGCAGATACTACGCAGGATTAGCGGCATACACACCGAATCTCCCAACCTCCACGGGGGGATACCCCTTATCAACAAAGGAACATCGCTCCGATCAGAAAAGTGGTGATAACATAGAATTGAAATGGACATCCCCCGAGAGTAATACGACCCGACAGACAAGTTCCCGCAATCTCCTTCAACGGCCACCAGTCACGGGGACCGGTCGGTCCGCGATGCGCGGAGAGGGTGAGGGGTTCGCTTTCGAGAATTCTGCATCCCTGCGCGACAAGAACGCCTTCGCTAGGGTGCGCGTCTAACTGGGATGCAACATCTGGTATTCGCCATATACTGAATTTCACTACGTGTATATATTTTCTTTCATCGTGCACTGTTCACAATAATTTTGAAGTAATTATCAACTATGACTTCACACTCTTTTGGTATGAAGTCATAATATGCTAGCACAACTTGTATATCGAGCAGAACTACTCCGTATACAGAATCTTCATTACAGAATCTTCATGAAAGCCCACAATTAGTTTCTCCGTGCAAACTCCGATGTTTAGGATTGTCGTAAAGCATGTAAACAGGTCCATCGTATGAAAAGTACGAACACATGTGGAGCGAATTGGAAAAAAAAAACCTGAACAGTGCGACGAGATACATGTATGTACTACCTACAGCAAAGCACTTGGTAGATTACAACGTACAAGGCATATAGTAAACATGTGTGGTCAACCAATTTGATAGCGATGCTGCTCTCATGTTGCCACTTCCCATCACCGCTGTATATTGCTCGAAGGGACAGGAGTGTGATTGAAGGAAATAGTACGGAGTATTTGCGAGGCTGTCTGAGGGTCACTTGCATGTACCGAGTACTATGTACATAAACCCTGCCTGTGGCTTTCGCTAGTGACTTGGGCGGTATCCAACCCAAGCCATCGGGGAGTGAGGCTTGTGTCACAAGATATACTTGCGTTTTAGATATAACAATCCACATGGGTGCCTGGTTCGCACAATCTGGCAGTAGGTAATGTATGCGAATTGCTGATCTTCGAGACCCCAGAACATTCTTGAAAGTCTTCCGCTATGATCATGCAGCTTAACGCACTCCGCACCGGGGTCTCAAGGCTTTCATGTATGTATGTCGCGTTTAAGGCTCGGTCAATTGTATTATAATACGGCAATTACTAGAAAGGTATGGAGTTCTGCTCCGGTATCAAAGTACCGCGGTAATAATCAAATGGGGTATAGCGTGTGTTACAAGCGTTTTACACCGAAAGAGGAAAGGCGTGAATCGAGCCTCGAACTCACCGACCAACCGGATCATCCTTCCAGAAGGCTTCCAGAATTTAGCGGTCTTCCGTGGGATTAGAGACGTTTGACCGTGGTTTGGGCTTGTAGTTCTGTGTTTCCAACAAAATATCGGCAGTTTGGAATATATCGATCTACCTGAGCAAGTCTCGCTGTGTATAATCACAAACAAGTCACAGTCGATATAGTTAATTGTATAACATTTGATGAATCGCTGTATCTTGCGGGGTCTCGGAGTACAGAGCTCCCCGTAGACAGTGGACCCACGTGATTCTCTCCACTGCACAAGGCCTAGAATAATGGTTTCGCCAATCATGGGTGGCACAATTGTGTTATTTTTTTCATGTCCAGCAAGAACAGGTATGTCAATCGCGCAAGGGCCAGTTCCGGACGCCTCATTCGGGACTTCACCGAATATTTATTACATCCAAGGTTGTACTCCGTCCTCGTACGTTATACTGTGATGATTTTGCCTCAGTGTCAATTCCAAAACCCGCGGCCCCGTGACTCTGGCGAAATGTAGCATGAAGGACCGGTCGGCCATGGGCACTACTACTATCTATAGAACATAGGGTCACCCGTGGACATGTCGCCGCATGATGTATCTTAGCGTTTTCTTTCTCAGCAATGCGAACGAAGCCCTCGAAAGCATATTGCATTGCATGGTTCAACTCTAAATGGATATCTTTAGTATCAGTACGGAGTCCTCCGTACGAAGATCAGGTTGTTCTAGAGCTCAAGAGGCCTAGGCAGGGGTTGCATGGCCTAGGGCCAGCCGATCTTTTCAAAGTGGATGGCGATCGAAAGAATCCTCGTTGACTCTTGCGCGTCGAGATGTGTTTGAAACCCCAAAGAGAGGGGATAGAATAAAGCCAAAGCTGCACGTAATCAGCCACAATGTTTATATAAAGGCAAACCTTCCTTTTAGGCTTGTAGATGCGATAACTTCGCATATCCAAGACATGTCAGACATTCTGCAAGCTGCATCGGCATGCCGAAATTGCACGTCGGGCGCGCATCACCAACCCGAAAAGCCAGTTAGGCGTCAATCCTGCAGAATGAAGAAGGTGATATCCACTTTACCGTTTTGTACGCGGTTTTCATCGAGGATTCAGCTCCTTTGTTGATCGTGGAGAGGTCCGTGGGGGTCACTCAGCAAGTTCGTGTTCTGTTGCCCGTAATGAATCTGTATTGAGTCTCAAAGAGGCAATGCGGAGACACAAGCTGTCACTGCAATACAAAACTGAATGGAGAGATTCTGTTACCGGTGAGACGAGCCAACGGGACGTGCGGAATCGAAGGCTGCGAATGATACCAGTCCCTGATCTGTGGTTGACCCACTAAAAAACCCACCTTTGAGACTGCTTGAGCTGAGATCAAGAAGACTCTTCTGGCCGGCAAGGGGAAGATTGAGCCCTAACCGGGCAGGTGGATTGTGGAGATGGAAGCGGCTTGAATGTGCGCGCACCGTCCGGAGTAAGTGCATATGGAAATCAGTGATGAATCTAGCCAATAGAAGCTTCATATCGCCTTGATCAATTCGCAGGATTTCGATTCATTCGGCAGAAGCTAGAGGTTTAATGGTCGGATCTGGCGATGTTCTGCCTCTCGGTGAATCTCTTTCTGGCACCAGGTTCGCTACAACCATGTTATTGGTCTTTGTTTGATCTTTTTGTCCGTGCTTTCCATATTTCGAGGATTTTCTGGTTGGAGCCCCACGGCCTTTCGGAAATGACCGGAGTTGTTGGAGTAGTTCCTAGAAAGGTAAAGGTGTCGGGCGTTTTAGGAGAAAATTTCATCAACCCCCACACCCGTTTGAGGTGGAATAGAGCCATTTTGATGTATGACTAGCTGGGACATCTGGGGGTCGCTTCAAACAACACATTCAATAACTTGTGGCATAATATCATGAAATGGTAGAAGGACGAAGAAAACGAAAGATGTCGAGCAATGTAAATAGTAACCCAAATGCAAATCCCCTCAAAAGCGACCCATAGACTCCACCCCCGGAATCATGTGCGCCGGTCATGTGCAGTTGCCACATGAGTGGGACTGTCAAGTATAACACGTTAATCAATACATTGGGATGATATGCTTTCAATAACCAGGTACGCTTCAATCAATAACTACGGCACAAACCATCTTAAGACTTGGAAATAAGCATATCTTCCCTAAACGAGGGACCCGAGGTAGCATAAACGCAATTATGCCAATTTATGACATCAGTTCTTGATCTCCTGAATCCCAGACCTATAGTTTCCAGATCTACACGCATGAACCAAGAATCCAACACGCTCTGACTCAAGGCAAGTATTCATTATTGAATACTAAGCACAAAGCGGCGAAAGGCGAAAGGCGACGGAAGAATGATGAAAATGAATTTACTGGATGACCCATAATGTCATCATGGGCGATTCAACGGAACCAGGCCCTGCTATACTCCGTACCACTGCTCCAAAAACGGCTAACACATAACAAAGCCAACCTCCAAGGTCCCGTAGACAGCATAGACAGACATTTAAAAAGTATCAGCTGAACGCAAAATCACGAATGAACAAAGTTTGAATTCACACAAAGCAAAGTCCAGGCCTAGATCTAATTCTCGCCAGCCACAAGGCGCGAAGCAGAGCCCGAGCCCAATCCCCTCGTTCCCCTCCATCTATTCTCACCCATCCACCCCAGATCCCCGATCGATGAGCTGGCCGGCAAATCATGCAGAGCAAAAAGCCACCAGTGACTGAGCGCTTATCTAGTCAAGTCGTTTTCAAGCCCACCTCCTCCTCCCGAGTTCCCCGGGAGCTCTGGCCGCAGGAACTAATGTAGAGAGATGTCATGGCTTGCCCAGCATGTGCAAGCGACCAATGCGATGACGACGAAGGAAAATATCGCCGAGGGATTATCACTGAAGGATTTGACCGGTCTTTCAATATACCTCATTTACTTTGCAGGATTCGTACAGAGGAGCAACGCGTCGTGAAGACTTGGTTGTTTAGTGACCTCGAAATCATATGAGTTCTTGTTTGAAACATGCATTAGGCCCAATTGCATAATTAGAAGTACCGAGTATTTTAATTGCGTTCTAGATCTACGCGAGGGTTCTCGAGGGAGATTGGTACTTTTGACACTTAAACTAATTCCCAGGCTTTGGGGGTCGAACGGGCACTGGGGTGTTAGCTGGGGCGGCTTTTTGTGACCCCCCTGTATCATCTTTTTTTTTTTTCATCCCACATGACCATTTTTTATTTTTTTAGATCCTGGAAAGGATCTGCGCGAGGTCGCTGAAACGTCCATCGCCTGGACTGATAACCACATAGCCAGATCTTTTGATACCATTCTAGGCAGGTGGTTACATCTAAGTAGCCTCGGAGTACAGCTTCCTCCTTTGATTATGCTTAAGAATAAACTTACATCGCGACATCCTTGGAAGTGCCCTACGACTGGGCACAGATAGAGTTCAAGGTAGATGTACTTAAGATATAAGCATATGTTCTAAGAATCTCAAGTCCCGAAATACTTTGGTGCATCTCTTTCCCAGACGGGTAGACCGGTGCCTAGCTAACTCGATAATGAATCATGACCACCTGCATCCACACTGCAAGTACTCCGTACGGAGTATCATCAGCCATAGACTCCTCACTTTGATACGTGTCAGCGCCACAAAGTCAACCCTTGGATTTCCACATGATTTCTCTGGCGCCGTTGTCGCAGGGATGGCCGCCCGGGAAAACCTTCTACGGACCTCCGATCCTCCGTGCTCTGCAGCTCTCAAGAGCTATCTATACCCAAGTACGAAGTACTTTGTAGCTACCAAGAATGCTGACCCAGACCGCCAGTTCAGGCCTATGCATGGCGTCAAGCCTCATCTTCTGATACTTATGTCTACAGATACGATATGCACATGGAAACAGGTATTCTCTTGAGTTCATGGATTTGATTTTGACTGGTTTTTTTTTTAGTTGACTGTCATCAGATAGCGTACAGTTGGTTGGCCCGATCGCATGGATCTGAGCTGGATGAATCGCAAGACGTAAACGTGTGGTATCAGGTATCACAGAGACGGAAAGAAAACAAAGCAATCTCTCTGATAATAATCGAGAGTAGTGAGACAAATGCTGAGCGTTTTTGCTGTCACAGGTGACCATGCAGTAAAGAGACGCAGCGCTGAAATGATAAAGCAAACCCCCTTTTTTTGGTGAACATTTCCGGTCATAAAAAATAGCCCCTGGATGTATCTTGGAGAGCGAGATGAGAAAAGAATAAACCCCACGGTTCATCTACCGTTTGCAGCCTGAGATTGGTTTGAGGGATATGAACTGTACAGGTATATTATGGTCGTATGGTGATTAGCCCTCAATGTGGTGTTTCAGAAGCCAGACGCCAGATGAATGCCCGATTGATGCTGATGAAACACCCCAATCCCAGGAGCCGTTGGAAGTCGAGAAAGAGAAAAGAAAGAAAAATCCAAATGTGCGCCGTAAATGCAATGCATTATCGTGATCGTACGTGTCGAGAAGAAAAGGCTAAACTGTGATTCAAAGCAAAATCCGTTGAAGGTTGAAAGGCGAGAAAGCAGGGAGTCGTTCATGTGGATCGACTACCACCCCTTCACGTGGTATTCCCAAGGACCGTAGTCGGTAGTGTAGTTGGTCCAGGAACCATTCTTGCCCACGTCAAAGTTGGTGGCATTTGGATCTGCCTCAGCACTTGACTGATTTGACACGACACCCTTGTGGGGTCCCTTGGGGCCGGGGTACTCCTGGAGGTTCTTCATGTCATGGGCGGTATGGCGGCGCTTGAGGAAAGCATTGGCAGTTGCGCTCTTTTGTTGGCGCTCCCAGAGAAGGTGTCGGCGGAGAGACTCAGTCAATTCAGTGGCAAGCATGTTGCGGCGGGTGGTTCGAGGAGAGTGGGCCATTGACTGCCCTGGAGCTGGCTTCATACCAATGGGCTTTGATCGAGGGACATCGGGTCCACGCATGGTCAATCCTCCCTCTTCCTTGGGTGGTGAAGATTGAGGAATGGAAGGGCCATTCGGTGAGGTCAATCGAGATCGCTGGAGCGCGGGACTCGACCTGAAGGCATTGCTCTGCATCCGAGTTGGCTGGTGCATCATCATGGTGAGCATGGACCGGCGGGAAACAAGATTTGGCCGGGAGTCGACTCGCTGGAACATCTCGCCACGTTCGTCGACACTGGATTCGCCGCCCTCAGTCACCGAGTCCTCCCAATCGGAGTCCTCATCATCCTCGATGGCACTCTCGGAGACCTCGTCGTCGGTCTCAATGGCGTCCTCGTCGGAGCGGCTGATGTCCTTGGAGTTGGGGATGATGTGGGACGAGACCTGGTTGCTGAATGAAGCGGTCTTTTTCGTAGAGCTCGGGTTGCTGTTCTTGGGCTTTAATCCACCGGTCGCGCTCTCCTGAGCCACCTGAGGCGCCATGCGCTCTTCAAAGGAGCTCTCGTCATCATCGCCGGAGGAACCGCCCAATGTGAACATACCGCCCTTCTTTTTCAAGGGAGAAGGCTTCATTTGAGTTGCAGAGCGGGAAGGACTCGGGTCAATGGATAGTCGGGGCTGCGATCGGAACGAAGAGGAAATGTGGGACGGTGAGAATCCGCGGACGATGCTGGGCGACTTAATCATCTCGGGTCGACTGGGCAGCACCCCTGAGGATGAGACGCTAGTGTCGGAGGCGTGGTTCATCTGGGGGGGTATCACTGTCATTGCCCTCGGGGGCGGTGGTGGAGCAAGACTCGGTAGACTCGTGGGTGTAGGGAGTGGGTCGAGTGAAATGAGGGACCCGGCGAGCGGTGGGAGGAGTGGGAGTGGGAGTTGAAGGACGGGGAGTGATGTCGACGACGGGCGCAGCAGGCTCGACGGGAGGGCTCATGGGCTCCAGGTGCTTCTTTTCCTTGATGTTGAGAACCATGCGTTCCAGGTCAAGAGATGTGATGTGCTTCTCCTTGCCACGGCCAAGGCTGGCCATGGAATCCTCCCGGACAACGGCAGGTCGGTAATCAGAGAACTTGGGGCGCTTGATGTGAGCTTCGATCCGCTCAGCTTGGTCGGAGGCGGCCGATTCGACGCTGGCAGAGAGTTCGGGCAGATCACCGTTCTCGGATCGTTGGATGGGCAATGCGGGGGTATTGCTGGATTTCTTTGGCTCAACACAGAAAGTCTCACGGGTCCACAGACGCCAGCTAAGGTTTTCTAGGCGACGGCCCTGGTCCATGTAATCGGCACATTTGGAGAAAACTGCAGTTGAGTTAGCACAGGAGGGACCTCTCAAGATACAATTGCCACTTACCCATCCACATGCCATGGAGACTTTGAGCGTTGGCGGTATCCACCTTGTGAATATTGTCCGCGTCCACGGTGAGCACCGGTGTCGTTAAAGGCATAGTAGCAACGCCACAGTCCGGAGCGTAACGATTGTGATAATTATGGATTGTTGATTGGTGTTCCGGGGTCGCCGTCTCCCCCGAGAGTGGTCGTACGGCGCTTGGGAAGCGGTGGTTAGGGTTCGTGATAATCAACTGAGTGTTGGAGAACGGTTTAAAATTCGAGTCTAGGCCTTGCGATGCTGCAGAGGGTCGATCAATGGATACTTGGCGGCTCAGCTTCGATCGAATGCTCAGGTGAAAAAGAGAAGCAGATTCGAAGATCCGGGAAGCTTTGAAATGATATTGAGGCGAGATTCAAAGGTCCGGGTTTTCACAGCGCCACAGTGCGGAGAGTTCAATGGTGCGGAGAGTCGGCTAGGAGCTGAGAAGGGCGGATTGAGAATATCCTTTGATCGAGGTTGTAGATGGAGGTGGGAGGTGGAAGGTGGGTGTTAGGAAATATCTGGAGTAGAAGGAAAAAATGGGAAAGGGAGTCGGAACGATAATAAGAATGACGGGGGCGGCACTTCGGTGGAGTGGAGAGGTGGAAGGAGAGGGGGACGGTAATATAAATTATTAAAAAAGGGAAAAAAAGGAAAAAGAATTACGACTTTTTTTATTTTATTTTTTATTTTCATTTTTCAGAAAAGAAAATGTGGGATTTTGGTACGAGCGTGACAATACAAGGGGAAACAATAAGAGACCCCCAAAGCGAATAATTGAGAATAATGACAATAATGACCGAGGGTGTCGGTGAAGGGCGAAAATTCAATCGCATCACGGGGCCCTGGTGACAATACCGTTATCCATCGGTATTCCGCCTACCATGGTTCCCACGGTATTTCCCCAGTACTTTAGACTTTCCTTTCCTCTTCCGAAGTTCCCCCGAAAATAACGTAATGTTACCGGTCTGTTTCCGTGCTTCGTGAATACACATCGCATTTCTACATTGTCCTATATGTCTGTCCTCCATACTGAACACATTTCTGCGTGTTTGTGATTGTATCTATGTTGAAATGAGTGTGTCTGATTTAATTGAAATACAGTGTAGCAAAATTAGCCATTATCACATTGGTTTGCCAAACAATGACAACGTGTACTGATCAAAAGACAATATCCAGGCGCGGTAGTTGCAGTGACTTACCGGCAGAAAGTCCAGACCAGGGTTCCGATCCACGCCACCTGGGCACATAATGTATCGCAATGGTCGTTTGGACATAAGGACAACCGCCTCTTTCCCTTAGTAGTATAATGTGTACAATGTAAGAGGCCTACTGACCGATGAACTGTTGAACTGCCAGCGATTGGTCCTATCAGACCTAGAAATCCGCCTGACTTGCCATCGCATACAAACTATTTTCGTCACGGACACTCTATACTCGGACCATGGGGGTACACCGCATTCAAAAGATGAAGGGATCAGTCTGAGATCTCAAGCCACGATATGATCACAGATAGGGGAGCTTGGGGCTCCCTCACCTTTCGGCTTTACTTGCCCCCGGAGATATTGTCATACGAGGCCCAAATGAGACTCTAGATGTCGAAACACAAAATCATCCGGTGGAGATTATTGCAAACTTCCCTGCCGCCTCATCTCTTGGGCTTGTCCATGACTATGTTTTTCTTTTTGTCGGCTGAATTCTGAAATGTCTCCCCCAGCTCTTCCCCGCAAGCAGCTCATGCCCGGGTGAAGGGATCATTCCAAGGCCGACTGCATACCGGGGAACCAGCGTACTTCTTCCATAGCAGATCGTGTTCTCTTTTCGGTGCAGGGCCTTGTTTCAAAACAATAAAGGAGTCAACCCTTAGATCTCATTCTGGCTATTTACATTACAACCTGGATAGGCATAGATCTGAGGAACAATTTTTACTTTAGGCCTCAATCATGTGGATGGAGAAAAAAAGTCAGCCACCGCAGCTTCATCTGAAGGCATGGATTGAACCAGCCTTACCGCCATTTCTGTGCTCTTATCTTCCGAACGGGCATATCCTGGCCAGCTTTTCCATCTTTGACTATCCTGACAAGACACAGCAGTCGAAAGTGTCACAAACCCTACATAGTCACGAGTCGGCCAGCTGTCATCGAGGTACCTGCTTGGGTAGTGCTCATCCTTTTTGCCTTATTTCCCCTAAATGGAAGCGACATCGACGGATGACGGCTAACAGAATGGCCAACCATTACCCGGAAGTCGCCGCCCTGGAGATGGGGTTTGGTTTTCCGCCGTCACGGGGAATCGCGCCGAGAGCAGTGGAGTCCAAAGCCGGACTGACGGAAAAGGTCTGTCTCCCCTACCCGAAGCATTCCAAACCTCTACCCGGGGACTTGGGAGGGCCCTTCAGGGCATGACCTCCACTGGGGAGAAGTCACACAAGGTGCACGTTTCATCTATCGTGTGATTTTCCACCATAAGATTCCTGGATACATTGGGTCATAGATACTAACGTGTAGACAACTTAAATCAGACTGACATAGGCCCTTGTTCTGTTTCTTGTTCTGTTCCTTGTCAACGACGTCAAAAGTCTACAAATTGTGATCGTGGAAAGTTAAACACAACTTGCGGGGATCCGGAAGGCAGGCAGTTAAACAAGACAAGCCTGCAAATCATGACGCCGTTCCACGCAGGACATCCGGCGCGCTGGTTTCTGGGGTCTTTTAGTGTACTGTTCCCTTAAACGGACTCTACTCAGTGGCAAGGACCAATCAACCATCGTGTGTATTCCGTGACGAAAGGATTTAGACCCGAAGGATTAAAAATATGATTCGTTCGAAAGAGTTCGTCGGTAACAAGGGCATTCCTGCGAATGTATGACACTACACACACCCACAGGATGTGCAGCATACTGGCCGTTGTGCATCCTCGCTTTGAGAGTTACCAACGACACCGTACCTGCTATTGAAGAAGCCACCACTGTAATCGCGACATATGGCGTTCCGACCCAGATCGAGATTCAAGATGATGCTCGTTTCTATTGACTCATCTACAGAACCAGCTTCGGTCTCACCCAGACCCAGGTGATAACAGGTGGCGATGTACCCCAGATAAGCTACCATATTTCCATTAGAGTAGGCGTGCTGCATTCAAATCGGGATGGGGCAGCTGCAAATCCCTGGTAAGATGATACATACCCATAGTCAGCCCGACTGTGGGGGCGCGAATGGGGTGGCAAAAGCTGGGGTAACCAAGGCCTTTTCCCGGAAGAAAGGATTTCCGCCTGGGGAAACACCTGAAGAATCTACGGCACTTGAATGTGCAAGTATGAACCAAAACCTGGGCATTTCGACTCGAATCGGCCATTGTTCTATGTGCTGTACAATCAACTGCCACCAAATGACCACGGGAAGACCGAGGCGGCAAATAGCAAGGCCTCAGATGACAGCTGATGAGCGCGCTTCGGACTATAGATTTCCTAGTGCCGATCGGACAAATTCAGGCCCCATAATACACCAGAACTGGATAAACGGGTTGTACAGTCACGTATTATTTTTCAGCTAGCATAGATGGAGACGGGGAGAAGTGGACAACTCATAAAGTGGCGAATGGTCACGCGCAGTTCGTCACATGATGTCCTCTACCAGGAACGCGCGCCACCTCGGCAGGGGCTTGTGACTCCAAGTTTCAGGGGCCATTTCTTCTCTTTCTGCTCTACCCAATAAGTACGGAGTACTCCGTACCCAGTCCAGACTACAAAGTACGGACACCCTTATCACCTGAGTCCATGTGATACAGCGAGATTTCTGATATCTCTCAAGTCCTCGATTTGACTAAGACCATTCAACCGGGACAATTGACAGCGGTCCGTCAGACCAAATGACATAGGCCAGTACGGAGTACGGAGTAGCACGAAGATAGATCCAGCTTTACATCTCCCTATCCAATGAGAACTCCAAACTCCAGGGTATGCAACTCCATTCACAAGTGATCACCGTCATACAGCATATTCGTTCATTTCCCACCATATACTCCGCACTGTAGCTCATGTAAGATTCTACGACCCCACACAGATACTACAACACCACACATACTGTACATATGTCGATCAGATTCGTGATGAGTGTTTCAATTTGCCCAGGCCCGCATATAATGTAATGAGGCTACAGTGGTAACAAAGGGCTCGTTTGGTGTCTCGACATCAGATGACAAAGAACAGAGTGTATAAATGGGGATTTACATCTAGTGCTTCAAAGTAGGACTATCCCTAGATTATCACTTCGTCTATGTTGTGTCAACAAACCAATAGCCATCACCGTTACCCTTCCGATGTGATGGATATGAGGTAACGCCGGCGATTGTCCACCACCTCTCTTAGTATTCCGTACTCTATTCTCCGTACTCAGTATCCGTATAGATATAACCAAACGCAAGGCATAGTTTCATTGTCCGAGAGGGTAGTCATTACCGCCTGTAAACAAATTTAGACCTACTGAGTTCCAACCGTCCAGGCTTTCATAAATTACCAATACCGTATCATAGTTATGAATCATGATCGATCTAGATTGCCAAATTTGGGTGATGATAGATACATAGCGACTCTAAGGCACCCTAAGGGGATTTCTCTTTGTGTCCTAAAGATCATGCAGCAAATCACATTCCTCCGATTTTCTACTTTGTTTGTGTTCCGCTTCCCCGGCCCCATGAATGTCTGTGCTCAGATCAAGTGTTTCTGTCGATACTGATCTATTGCTTACATGGGTGGGAAAGGGGCATCGAATATTAGAGACCATAAACAGCTTGGAGCCTGGTAGCAAAGCTCTACAGGAGGTCGCGACTGGGGTCATGGGCGGCGATTGTTGATTTTTGCGAGTAAGGGATGCCCGCGAGCTGCGAAAGTTGACGCCGCACGTCGCTTTTTTCATGAAATCAGGTGAACACCGGGATCGAGATCGAATCCTAATTTGAAACACCAAACCCAAATCTGTCGCAATGAAGTGCGACCGAGATATGTGTCTAATCGGTAAGCGAACACGTAATGATTGTCTTATTCACAGGTCTGGTTTCGTGGACTCCGTACTATCTCCC